CAGTTCTTATAGAGAGCAGAAGGTACGCGTAGCTTTGGGCTTTGTGTATATAAACATACATATAGATGAACATATTTGTGGCACAGTGCTGAGATAGAAATGTATATCTTTGTCAACCTGCTTAATCCTCATGTATAATGTGTTTTCTTTGTATGAGAGAAACTGATGAGATGTTTTCTTCTAATTAAAACCATGATGGAGTCATATCAGTGCAAGCTGGTCTTGCAAGATACCGTCAGTCTTGTTGCTTTTCATAAATAAAAGGCTCATTTAGAAACTCAGGAACAAGTCAGATTCGTGTCTCTCAGGCAACAACTTTGGTCGTTTCTTTACACAGTATGGTCATTTACAAAGTCACTCAAAGATAGAAATTATCTCTTGCTCGAATGATAAATCTAATAATTGATTGATGGTTTGTTTGAGATTATGTAGGTGGGACGAATGATCCTCTGATCAGCATCAGAAAAGCCATCACCTCTCTAGTTTTCCTTTTTTATTTCCTGCTTACGAACTAGAGTTTCATAAAATTAAATGATTGTCTTTCTCACAATGAACTACTATTCTTTAAAGATTACTTCTTGACCATCAGGACACATTTATCATGAATACTTTTGGCACCTCCTCTAGAATAACAAATATTCTTTATGTCCACTTCTGGTTCTCAGAAACACATTTGTCCTACGATATCGAAAAACTAGAGGTCAGATTGTAGACTAAAAAGCTCCCTTTGAATGGCTCATCGCAGTTCAAATAAGGATTCAAATTAAAGCTAAAACGTGGCGGCCGTACCTGCAAACGGCCAAGAAGTGGAGTTAAAATTAAGCATTAGCATCTTTGCTAACAGGTACAGTGTGCCTAATGCTTCGTTCTAGTTACCTTGGAAGTTGGATGTCGTAGCTGGGGATGATGCTACAGTTGTTGTTAGCTATATCAGTTGTAAACAGCCCATAACACAGTACTTTACGCTGACAAACACCATAGCACCGTGTTCACAGTTAGACGTTGGGCAGTACAACATAAACCACTTTGTTAATTTCACAAAAACAAAACAGAAGTGCTAATAAATAAAACATTAAGAGAGCTTTTACTGTTACTCTTTACTGTTGATGCACTGCGCTGCCATCTTGGTTATGACGTCGTCAAGTCGGGGTTGGTGAGGATCGTCCGACTTTTCGACTCGGAAATCCGACTTCAGGTGGGCATTCCAGGTTTCCGACTCGGAGCTGGGAAATTCCGACTTCAGAGTAAAACTGCTACTTACTAATCCTACTTCTGCAAAACTTGTCATTTTAATATCATTAAAACTTTAGGAAAAAAAAAATCACTCCTTGTTTCGCACGTGCTTGAAGAAATTTTGAAATCATTTTCAGAGCCAGACCGTGAGCCTGTTTATTTTAGTTTTTTTCTGGTCACTCCAGGAACTGCAGTTTTTACTGCTTCCACATAGTTTTCTCCAGACTTGTTGCTGAGTGAGAACAAAACAAGTTAGCCCATCCTGTACTTCTGTTAAAGGACGACAGTGCAGGATAGCAGCGTCTGTGGAAGAGGACACACAAAAGTTTATGATGGCATATTGATAATTCATTATCATAAGCTCTACAACAGCTGATTAATTGGCTTCCTGGACTCATAGACTTTGGTCATGAACCGGTGTGTTTTTGCCAAATAGAAACACTGTCTGTGTGTGTGTTTGTTTTGTAACCTCACTCTGCATGTGTGTGCCTCTACAGTAGGTACAGTAACATAGCTTGCCCCCCCTCCGTTTCTCCCCTCTCTCCTTTCCCTTTGTGTGTGTGTGTGTATCTGTGTCAGTATCTGATTGTGTGTGTTAAAGTATCACAGAAGTGGCAGTCTGTCAGCTCTGCTTTCTCTGCGCTCTCCAGAACAATAGCTGGATTGGCCGTATGTGTGACACGTAGACCACACACCCCTAATAGTGACTGACAGCACTAAGGGCTGAGAGCAGCATGCACTCTTCACCCACACATACACACACACACACACACACATATATACACACACATAGTACCTACACGTGAGGACACAATGAGTGTTGGGATTGTTGAAGGTTTCGGTCACATGTGTATACTGTAAGTACATTTGTGTGTGTGTTTGTGTGAGTATGTGTGTATGAGAGAGAGAGAGATTGTATTTGTGCACATGTTCATTCATGCATGTGAGCCTCAGCATATGTTCTGCTGTAAGTGTTCAGCTGTCTTCTTGTTACCAAACTGCTCCATGCAGTTGAATCAAATGTCTGTGTCTGTCTGCAGCAAAACAAAGAGAGTCAAAAAAATCGCGTGAACTGCAATGCATCACATTTGTATAAAAACTGATGGTTGAATGATAGTGCAGCATAACATCCATTTAAAATCTTTTTTTGTGTTTTCTTACTTTATTTTTTCAGCAAATATGTTCGTGTGAAAAGCGGGATGTGTGTCAAAGTGGATCACAAACAACTTAACGTGGCAGAACCAAAAGGACTCTAAGAGAAGCTGAAACTACAACGCCAATCAATGCAGCAGAGGTGAGTCCAAGAAAGACTTTCCTCTTAAACTCATCATGTCCTCAGGATTACACTTTCATACAGGCCGACAGCACTGCAGTGTTGTTGCATAGGTTTCAGTCGATAATTCAAATGGCTTTAATCGCCTATTTTTAAGTTTGTGTTTCAGCAGCAGGCATGGTTAGAAACATTTTGTGTAAACGTTTGTCAATCCCATTATTCTCAAAGCAATTCTTAAGGAACTCCTGGAGAGAGAGATTATCAAGTGGTACAAATGTCCTCTCAGGTTGCTGTCACACCTGTAGCTTGTTTACTTTGTTCAGATTTAGATGACAAAACAATACGCCCTCATATCATTGTGTTGGACCAGTTAAACTACCTGAAGGTCTAAAGCTAGTTTTCAGGATCTCTCTAATGTAGAATAAGTGCTGTCAAGCAATTTGGGATTAATACAGGGTTTCTGCTGGGTCTTGAAAATTGTTTAAAATGTCTAAAATCCAATGATTTGAATTTAAGGCCTTAAATACAACTTTGAAAAGTCTAAAAAAATGTATTCATGTTACTGACAAAGATTGATTTGAAGTTTGTTTAAAATGTTCCGATTTCCCTTCATGTCTTTTGTACTTTTTTGCCAGGATTGATGTAAAATGGATCTTAAACTGTATTCATTATGGTCTTAAAAAAGTCTTACATTTGATTGTTGAAACCTGCAGAAACCCTGTAATAAATCACATTTAATTGCATGTATCAATGAGGTTAGTCTGATTTCCTGGGATCACCTTGCCCCCCACACCTCCCCTCCTGCACACACCCCTGCTCTCTGCACACACAGCTGCTGCTTTCTTTCCATCCTTATTAGCAGAATCATTCATAAGTTACAGAAGTTGAGTTTCTTCCCACATTGATCTTCTCCCTTGTGCTCTGGAACTTTGTTTTTATTGCCTATGATGAAGCGAAAGTGAGAGCAGTTTGAGGAGAGGGGCTGCACCTAGGCTCTGCTTTGAAGGGCGGGTGCGCTTTATTCAACATTGAAGCTTTAACAGGGGCAGGACCCCCATTATAGTATTTTCATGATCATAATAAAAATAAAAATGCATCAGATTCCATATAGCGCTTTATCAGAGACCCTCAAAGCGCTTTACATTGGATACATCATTCATTCACTCACACAGTCACACCCTGGTGGTGGTAAACTACCTTAGTAGCCACAGCTGCCCCAAGGCAGACTGACGGAAAGTTAACCGCCAAATTTGCTTCTATGGCCTCTCCGACCACCACCACACAACACTCACAATCAAACACCAGTGGAGGACACACACTAGGAGCAAGGTGGGTTAAGTGTCTTGCCAAAGGACACAACGGACAGACTCGGGATAGGGGGGAACTGAACTGCCAGCCTTCCAGTAATCGGGCAAACCGCTCTACCATGGGGCTACTGTGGCGCCATAATCGTAATCAAGATAGAAATCTGCAGGGTTCCCAGCAAGTATGGAAATAAATTTGATCAGTTTCCAGGTCTTAAAAGTAAAATGAAAAGTAAAGTATGGATAAATATTTATGTTTCCAGACTATTACCACAGTTTCAAAATACTGTTTTCTAAAATAGGAAAGTATTTCCAAAAATAGTTCTAATTAGTGGGTATAGAAAAGTATGGAAATTCCAACTGTGTAGGAACCCTAAATCTGATTTATCCACTGGCATACTCAATTTGGCTGCTTCATTATAAGAGTGACAAAAAGTCCTCCCAGTTACTTCAATTAAATAAATATATGTTCTTTTACTGTTACTCCTTAGAAACTCAGAAGCAACGTCTTCAACTTCGGCCCAACCATCTGTTTGCTCAAAGACTATGAAAGTGATCCGTCTGTGACCTCTGATTTGATGGTGGACGGTCCTCTCAGATATCTGCTGCACTTTCTGATATTATATATGCAAATATATCCCTTCTCATAGATGAATATGATAATCCACAATGATCTCAAAGTTGAGACTTTAAGGCACAGAAGTTTGTGTCGATTACAATATTTGAAAACGACTTTGTCTAAAACTTTAATGATGCAACTGGAACAGGATAAAGAAAGACAGAAAAACCACGTGCTCGGTTCATTGTGGTTGACCTCCTATTGATTAAGTCTCTTGTGATAACACATAATAAAGTGCATGAGGGCTTGCAGTGGTCTTATCACTCTGAAGTGTGTCTACATGATCTGTGACTGTTGTCTGAGTGTGTGAAAACCGAGTGTGTGAGAGTGTGTGCGAGAGAGAAAGAGGGAGACAGACTCAAGAAGGGGGGCAGCACTGCTGTGCATTTACACTCAGAGAGTGATGAGCCCTCTGGTCAAATGGCCCCTCCCCTTCGCTCACACACACACGCTCATGCACAGGCACACATTGAGCGCGAGAGAGCGCGACTCTGCTGCTGGCCCTTTAAGAGCTGAGCCTAGATCTCACAGCTTACAGCAAGGGAGGGAGAAGAGGAGGGACAGAGGCAGAGAGAGAGAGAGTGAGGGAGGGTGTTAGGCTGAAAGTGTGTGAGTAGAGAGACTGAGAGGAACAGAGAGAGAGAGAGAGAGAGAAAGAGAGAGAGAATCAGCAGTGTGTGTGAGAGGTTGAAGGATCACTTGTATCCCGTCTTGTTTTTGGGAGACTAACCTTGTTCATCTGAGCATTGTGGGACTGTTTTATGTTGTTGTTGTTGTCGAGAGAGACGGACCCTTACTCCAGCATGCTCACTGAGCCTGAGCTACCTCAGGAGTGTAACAGGTACGTGACGCTTTCTTACACACACACTCAGAGACACACACATGCTTCCCTACACACACACACACATAAACACAGACACGCACACACTCGCGTAGAGATGACAGAGGTACAGGACAGAGTGCCGGGTAAAGAGGAGTAGAAAGTAGAGAAGCATGTGTGTGGAGAGGAGACTCACTCGGTCTGTGTGTGTGTGTGTGTCTGTGTGAAGCATGTGAACTGTCTCAGTGAGTAGGCTGAGTTTGAAGCTGGAGTGTGTGTGTGTGTCCGTGTGTGTGTGAGTGTGTGTGTGACAGAGTCAGCGATGGCAAAGGAGAGTTGATGATTGACTTGTAGGTTTTTGGGGAAGATCTCATATGCAAAGCTGGAGCAGAGCAGACACTGAACATGTGTTTGTGTGTTTGAGTGTGTGTTTGTGCGTTCAAGTGTGTGTCAGGAGTTGAAGAACTGAGTCCCTTTTCTGTCTCTGAAGTTGTGTTGAGGACCTTTTAAAACAAACTGTTGAGATGCGTGTGTGTAGTCGAGTTTGTGCGTGTGTGTTAGAGAGGGGAAAAAAAGACAGATGAGGTGTGTGTCCGTGCGCGTGTGTGTGTGTCAAAGTCCTCTCATCTTGTCATCTCCACTCATCACCACTACTTCATCAACTTCTGCTTTACTCTCTCGGTTATTTTTACGCCTCCAACCTGAAGGTGCGATCAACAAGTCCAACTCAAAAAAGTGATTCACAGGCAGTCGTTTAAGAAAAAGCGCACAAAAACAACAAACCACTGAATCTGAGTTTGTTTACACTCTGCCCTCCCGCTCAGCCTCCCTCTTCTTCTTCTTCTTTTTAAAAAAAATTTATTTATTTGCGATTTATTTTCTCACTTAATCCAAATTCAATACATGCAAACCCGCCGTAATCCTATTGTCAATCTGCATGGTGCTCTGTTGTGTTGTTATTTTTCCCCTGCCTTATGCTAATGTTAATCTCACTGTGCTCCTCTGATGTTTGTGCGGGGCCTTCGCTTCGTTTAGAGGTGCGAACCCTCTAACCTTGCCCTTTTCCGACACTGTCAACACAAGTGGCTTTCGCCGGTGGAATAATGGTTGTTTGATGCTAATGCTGTGAGAGACAGATTACGGTATAATACCCGGCGTTTTAATACTAACACACACACATATGCAAACACTCACACACACACACACACACACACACACACTCTGCTCTCCCTTCCCCTGCTTGACTTTTATTGCATTAAAGTGGCGCTCTGTTTTGCCCGATGAAACTAATCTTTTGTTCCGAGATAAACCGGGTCGGTGGGGTTGCCGAGGGTGAGTAGGGGGGATTTCAGGGGCCCCCTTTGAATTAAGAACACATTTAGATGTGGCAAAAAATGTGTTTTTAATAAACCGTTCAATCCGACAAAGTGGTTGAAGAGAGAGGAGGAAAAAAAAAAAGATAACAACAGCTAGGAGGAATTAAAAATTTAAAGGATTACATGGAAAAGCAGAATGTATGGAGATAAATGCAGGGATTACAATGACTTAGGAGGAGAGCGCTTAAAACTCTTGCTTTCCAGTAATGCACTCCATCACTGGCCGTGTGTGTGGATATACATGTGTGTGTGTTCAAATATGGATGTATGTGTGTGTGTGTGTGTGAAAGAGAGAGAGGGGTATCCATTCTGTGTGTGTGTGTGAGTGTGTGTGTATGTGTGTGTATTTGGTGTGTTTCCAGTGTGTGTGTTGAGCGGCAGTCTCTCGGCGAAGCTGAGTGTGTGTGAGTTGCCAGTGTGTGTGCGCTTCAGCCTCGGTGGTCGCGATGCTCTCCGTTCCTGCGTCTCTGTAAGTGTCCGCTCGCCTCCTTTCACTCATGCCTCTTCTTCTTCTTCTTCTTCTTCTTCATGTCCTCATCAAACTTCCTCTTCTTCTCCTTCTTCTTCTTCTTTTAGTTTTCTGACGCTTCTTTCCACTTTCCCCCTTCCTCTTCTTTTCCTCGTCTTCATCCTGTAATCGTATTGATAAAATTCACTTTGAGCCATTTGTGGTGGATGAAAAGTCAATAATAAAAGAGTTTGCTGGAGTTTGTAGAAGAAGGTTCGTCTGATTTGATGACAGGGAGAAATAATAACAGAAATCTAAGTTTTCTGTTTGCTGTTGAATCTGTTTTTTATTTCTTTACAAAGAGGCTTTTAAACATATTTTGTAATTCTCATTTCATCTAGGCCAACAAAAAGTCTTGTGATATGGTTTTTGTCTTCTTTTCTTAAGCTTTTAAAAATTTACTTCATGCCTTGCCAAAGCGAGATTATTCTTTGATTTATCTTATTTTATTATCCAATTGTTTTTTTTTATATCTAATATGCTTTTTGTGATTCAGAGCGTTTTTTTGCTCGTCTGAGCGCTCGGCTTTGTATCAAAATTTCCAGTCGAAGCTGAAAATAGTGGAAACAGACTGCCTTCGCTAACACGGCCTCATCTGTTCGCACAAACAGAACAGAAATATACACAGAGGGAGAAAACGGAGAAAGCCAAAGCAACCAAAACACTTATGAGAAGAGAGAGAAAAAGAGACATTTCAAGTGACTGGATATAGACGTGGAGGGAGAGAAATAATGTGGTCAAACTGACACATTCCTCGCTGATGGACAAGAGACGGAGTGAAAGAAGTAGAAGAAGAAGAAGAAGCCGGGTCACAGAAAAGTGAGAGTGCAAGAGAAGAAGGGGGGAGGCAGCAGGGGTGATTTTAGGGGGTTGAATTGGTAAAGAGGAGGAGGAGGAGGGGGGGAGGAGAGGAAGGCAGTGGTGGATTTTCACACCCCTCCATTTGTCCCCTCACTTTATTGGGGTGTTTGTGTGTGTGTGTGTGCGTTTGAAGCGGGGGAGACAGTCAGCGGTGGATGTGTCAACACTTTGAGCGGTTTAAGCAGGACGCACTCAGATACAATCTGACATTAGCGGCGTCGCACTCAGACACCAGGACCGCAGCAGCAGCAGCAGCAGCAGCAGCCCGGAGGATTTAACTTTAATAAATTGAAAAGAACTTAAATTAAAAAAAAATCATCACTGGATTCATTTTATTTCCATAAATCAGCACGTCTAATACTGTTTATTTTAAATACCACAATGAGTTACTTCAATTTATATCACAGGAGAAAACATTTACTGAACTTTGATGATTTGTCTGTTTTAATTTCATCAAAATTAATCAGTGAAACTTTCAACGGAGGATGTGTCATCACTCATTAAACGACTCGTGATTGACATTAAGAGAGGTGCACAAACGCATCAGTATGAATCACTTAAATATTACTATAAAAGAGAAAAGACCACTCAGCTGATTCCGTCGACTGGACCTCAGATGTCAAACTTTTTATTCTGTTTATTTATTTATTGTTTTTCAGTCGTCTTAAACCGTTTTTAGTAATTAGCACAGTTTGCATTTTGGGCAGGCGTGTAAAAAAAAAAGATCACATTTTTGTGCCTGGCGATAAAAACTTGCTCTCAATTTAAGTGAGCAGTGCTTCTTCCAGTGTGTCTCTGTACTTCATTTAAAAGGGTGAGATTAAAGTGGTGTGTGTGTGTGTGTGTTTGAGGAACGACAGAATGTGTGTGTCTGTGAAGAAGAGAGAGAGAGAGAGAGAGAAAGAGTGGAGTAATTGAGTAGAGCGTCCGTGCTCTGCAAACTAATGCGCTGTTCTGCCCTCTCTTCCCCTGTGGCCCTGTCCCGGCCTCTCCCCGACAACTCTCTCTCTCTCTCTCTCTCTCTCTCTCTCTCTCTCTCTCTCTCTCTCTCTCTCTCTCTCTCTCTCTCTCTCTCTCTCTCTCTCTCTCTCTCGCCCACCATCACCAGCCTGGACTGGGGGCCATTCATTGTCTGGGCCATATTGTCTGTCCCCAGAGAGCCTTGATAACCGTGTCTCCATCCACTGTGCGAGAGGAGGGGAGGGGGGCAAAAAAGAGAGAGAGAGAGAGAGAGAGAGAGTAAAAGAAAGAACGACAGACAGAAAAATACCAGAAGAGAATGAATAAGCCCCCCCACTCAACCCAACCCACCCCCTTAAACCTCCTCTCAACTTCCTCCCCTCTCTCAACACCCCCCTCCACCTCCCTCACCCCTCTGACTCTCTCGCACTACGACCTCCCACTCAGGTGCAGTCAGCTGGCGCTCTCCATTGGCCGACAGATGAAAGAAAGAGAGGGGAGGGGGGGCATGAATTAAGCTTCATTTAGTTAAAGAGGAGCGTGGAGGAGAGAGGGATGGAGTGACTGAAAAAAAAAAGAAGAAGTGTGTAAAACTCAGACTGAGATGTCCCTCTTGGCTAACCGGGGTCCAGTCAGTCGAGTCATATGACATGAGGTCACAGGGAAGGGGTCAGGGGCCAGTTGGAGGTATGGCATTGTCAACATAGCAGGAGAGTGTGTGAGTGTGAGTGTGTGTGTGTGTGTGTGTGTGTGTGTGTTCAGGCATCCCTCTTTCTTTCTCTTCTTCTTCTTCTTCTTCCTCAACTTTTTTTTCATCATCTATCAATCCAGGCAGCTTGTCTTACACTAATCCTACTTTGTTACCTTCACACACACACACACACATATATACACACACACACTGTTTGCCATCCCTCCATTCTACAATAGGAGACAGTGTTAGAGGCTTAGAGCTCCCTCCCAGAGCGCCACAATGAAACCTCTGTCCCTCCAGGTAGTGAGGAAGGGAAAGAGAGAGAGAGAGAGAGAGAGAGGAGGAGGAGGAGGTCGAGAGCGGAAGGAGGAGGTCAGAGGAAAAAGGTGGAGACCATTTGGGCTGAGAGGTGGGAGAGTTTCAAAGTGCGGGGCGAAAAAGGGAGAGCCCAGCTGGGGGTGTGTGTGTTGTCATTTATGTGAGAAAATGAGCCCGCAATTGTGTCGGTGTGTAGGTGTGTGTGTTACTGTGAGAGTGTGTGTGTGTGTCTGGTTTACAGGGGCAGGCCAAGTCGCTGACAGTGAGACAAATGTTGTGACTCCTTTATGGATTGCTTAACAAATGCAGCACAAATAGCGGCCCTGGCACAACAATGGAAAAACACTGTCCCTCGCTCAATAAACATTATGCAGCGTCTCCCCCTTCGGAAAACACCAGGGGAGCGGGGCCGCCGTCCACCGGATGCACTTTTCCTCAAGCTGTCTGCCCCCCCCTCCACCTCCACCCCCCCAACTCTCTCTCTCTCTCTTCCTTCTTTTTTTCTACAGAGACGCAATTTTCCCACGAGTTGTCTTTGCTTTAAATTAACGAGGAGACACCTTCAAGTCAGACACATAGACAGATAGATGGAGCGCAGAGACTCTCCTCCCTTATCTCTCCCCTCACTCCTCTTTCCTCTCCTGCCCTTTTATTCTCCCTCCATCCTTTCCCTTTCCCTTTCCTCAAATGTCACTTGCGATCACGTAGTCTGGTGACTCAGTGTAAAGACATAAATAAGATTTAAAGACGGCGGAGGGGGAAAAAAAAGCCGAAAACATGACGAGGAAAGTATGTGGAGCGATGCCTGGCTGGTGACTAAAGGTTTGGACGGATGAATGGACAAGAGAGGAAGACAGACAGGGGGGGAAAAAGAGAGAGAGAGAGAGAGAGAGAGAGAGAGAGAGAGAGGTGGTCCCAGAGGCCACATGAGTTAGTCTACGTCTTCTGCACCCCGCCCCCTTTTTTCGCTCATGCACAGACTCATACACACTACTTGTGGACTTGTCTCTCCAGCATGTGTGTGTGAGTGTGTGTGATCAACGGCAGTGACATGAGTGTGTGTGTTATTGCCTTTTGTGGTTAAGCTGGACAGGAAACACGGTTTGGGCTGTCGGCCGCCGATTTAGGGCACCTCACAGAGGACGCTTTGTGTGTGTAAGGCTGAGTGTGTGTCTGCGCCTTTGTGAGGGTGTGACTGTGTGTGCATATGAGTGCGTGTGTGTATGTGTGTGTGCATATACAGGCAGGAGCTGTGTTCACATTTTGTCTACCTCAGTGGAGAAAGTTATCCAGCAGGAATATTGTTTTTTGTTTAATTTAAGTGACTGATTCGATTCAAACTTTCTGTCGTTTTTCGAAGCACCGCTGCTATAAAATATCCTCCGTTCTCCAGGTCCTCTCTCTACTAATCTTTATCCCTCCATCTCAGCCTTTTCCTCTCAGTGGCTGCCCCAGTCTTCCCACTGTTCAAAAGGACAGCCTATAAATAGATATTAGGCAATATCCTTAAGAGTCTGCATGGAGAAGAAAGGAGAGAAGGAGGGAGAGAGGGGAGGGAGAGAGAGAGGGGAGGGATGGAGCGACATTCTTACAAACAGCTGATTGTGTAAAGAGGGAACAGTAAGTAAAACAACACCAGGCGGGAGAGAGAGAGAGAGAAGCAGAGAGAGAGAGAGAGAGAGAGAGGAGGACGACAGATGATGTTAAAATAAGTTCAAGAGTGTGTGACAGAGAGATAGAGACAGAAAGAAGAAGAAGAAGAAGAAATCATTTTTGAAAGCTCAGACAAGGAAAAGGAAATGCAGCGGGAGAGCGAGAGAAGGGGAAAAAAAGCGACGGCAATAAAGCCAGTGATAGCGCGACACAGGGGGAAACATTTGTTTAAATTCCCGCCTGAGGTGTCATACGGATGTAAATGTTGCGGTCGGCTCCTCGGAGGCAAAACGCCCTGGGCGCCTTATCTAAAAGGCACATTCCGCTCAACTATTTTGATATGCCCTTCCATTCCCTCTGAGAACCATTTCAAAGATCGCTCGCATTTCCACGCAAATAGACCCCGCACCTGAGTGACAGGCAGACACTTCTCAGCAGTCACAAGGTGGCGGGGAAAAAAAAGAAAAAGAGAAAAAAAACACAACAACACAACAACACAAATGTCACTTTGACTCCTGACAGCACTTTGGAATTAGCCGGCGTGCTTATTTTAACTGTTAGACGATGGATGTGACTGAGTGTGCAGCCCTGTTTGTGTAGTGGTTGAAATAATGGCTTGTAATTTAAAGAGCGTGCACACACACACTCATACACAGACACACACACACACAGAAGCATGCCTGCACACACACACTTTACTGTTGAATTCTCCAGAGGAGGCTCCCACGCTCCCTGAAAGCTTGTTCTGAGTAGAGGAGTTAACAAGAGCAGTTAGCACCATGATAATGTTAGCAGCCAGACACACTGAGCGAGAAAGTCAGGCTTGTGTGTGTGTGTGTATAAATGTGTGTGTGTGTATAAATGTGTGTGATAGCCTGTGACATTTCTGCAATGGCTGCTTTATCTTCCTCTCCTCTGGATGAATCTGCAACATATCGCTGTCCCCATTTTGCTCAATTCATTTAATGTGTGTTTATAAATGTGTGTGTTTGTGTGTGTGTCAGTCTCCGATGTGTGATGAGCCCCACTTGCGTGATTTTAATCCCCCCCGCCTGTATTTAAACACGCTCGCGTGTGCGTAAACTTGCCGCGGCTGACGTGCCAACATGAAATGGACAAGTCGATTACAGTAAGCGAAGGCCAGGAGACGGTTAACCACCAATGATGGCGATTATTCGGCCCCGTTAATGGACGCACGTCGCTGTCCGATTAGTGACTAAGCAGCAGTGGACATATGTGATATGAGAGGGACTTAGCTGAGGAGCCGCTAATCATCAAAAAGCCAAGGGGAAGTGGCGCTCTAATCTCAGCTTAGCGCTCTCACCGTGTACACACTTATATGTCTGTGTGTGTGTGTGTCTGTGTGTGTTAGGTTCTAGGAAAGGAAATGAGAGTTTGAGGGTAGAAGAAGAAGAGACAAACAGCAGATTGAAGTTTTTTATTTCTTAAAAAATCACAGTAATATTGTTGCTCTGGTGTTATGTCATTTGAAAGCCTGTTATCATGCTGCTCTGTGGAAAAGCCTAGCAGCGTGTGTGCGTACACATTAAGTGTGTTAAAGGCTGTGTTTTGGTGCGGGGTGTTTGATTTTTTTGGTATTGTTGGAAGGAGCGAAATTATGCAAATATTCTCTAATTATGACCTGGACGGCGCTGCCAATTTGTCGACTTAATAAAACCTCATCTTTTTTTAATCCTCTCATTGCTTTGGCGCTTTCAGGCGGCTTCCTCCAGGTCTCCTTCAGGTCTCCGTCAGCGTGACAGCCCTGCCAAACTTTAAATGAAGTAGCCGGCGCAACCTGCACACCCGCAGTGCCCAATTGTATAGTAATTCAACTTCAAAGACAAACGGGAGGGAGAAGGGGGGATTTTATAACCAGAGAGGAGCTGCGAACGGCCTCCCCATTCATAGACAACCACCGCTGAGGAAGTAGTAGCAGAGTTAGGAGGGAGGAAGGAGGGGGAGGAGGAGTGTGAAGGTAGAGGAGGAGGAAGGGGGGGCTTCAAGTATGATGAAATGTTTGTCACCTCCTTTTACAAGAGTCAAGTGCGCTCTGCTCCAGCTGACTTTTGGGATAACAGTGTTGTTTTCTCTGTTAATGTGTAACCGCTCTGGTCTGCCCGTCTGAATCTGTCCGTGTGGCTGCTGTGATGAAACGACGGTCAATAAAGTTTAAGAAACAAACTCGGACAGAAAAAGAAACACACAAACACGCACACAGGATGTTTCGGACATAATGATGTTAGAGGACTCAAAGCTGACCTCAGGTCTGTGAGCTGGGTTAGAGCTGGGCAGAGGTGTGTGTGTGTCTGTGTGTGTCTGTGTGTGTCTGTGTGAGTGAAACAAAAGGCCTCAGTGTGAGAAAGTGAAAGGAGGTAAAATAAACAGGCAGTGATGAAGACAGACCTGCTGTGTTAGGGCCTCTGTTCCATGTATGCACACATATGTGTCTGTGTGTGTCTGTGTGCGCTTGTCTCAAAGGCCTGTAGTTTGTACAGCTGGGCATGCCCATTGCATTCAACAACACAAACACAGACTCACACAGACACACATAGTTTCCTCCTCAGTCATCTCATCTTAAGTGCCATAAACTTTATCTCAAGTAATTTTGATATGGCTCGGATTTATTGATAGCAGAGTGTACTTTTGTCTCGTACTCCTTTGTCATCAGAATAAATACAAAGTCTTGACTCCTCAGTTATGGCCCCAGCTTTTTCTGCTGAGCAAGCCCGCAAAGATAGAGCGTCCAAAGAGAGAGATAAAGGAATCAGCTGGAGATATTCCGACTCTGTTGTGGCATCTGTCTTCTGTACACATCGTCCTGCGTGAAAACACTGACTCGAACTTGCTCAGCAACATTGCTTCAGATAAAAGGAGGGACATCTACCCGCTTACAAGTCAGTGAGATCGACTCATGGATGAAACCGCGCTCATTGTGCTTTTACCTTAACCTTTACCTCGATGTGATAACACCACACGTTGTGTCTCTCAGCATGGCGTTTCCCTCGGCCCTCAAGATTGTTTGCCTTCCCTCTGTCATAAGGTAAATAAGCAGTGAATTAGCGGCGGGTCTGTTCCTCGGAACAATGCCAGATGTACAGTCCAGAGGAAATCCAATAGAGTCAGGAGTGTAATCAGTTTACCGGAGACAAGCAGCGAGAGAGAGGGGAAGAATTTAGGAGGGAAAGGCCAGAGAGGAAGAGGAGCAAATCAGAGGCAGACGAGGAGGAAGAAGAAGAAGAAGAGGCTCTGATGTTGAGAAGTTCAAGGCTGAAGAAGAAGAAGAAAAAAGAAATAAGGAATTGGAGACTTTCAGAGACAGACGCCTGTTGCTTTTTTCTCACCCTGTACCATCACACGCAGCCCCTCCCTCCCTCCCAGTCTTCACAAGTCCCTCTGTCCCTCTATCCACGCCTCCACCCCTGTCATGTGTTGCCTCTGTGCAACTAAACGTTTGCAGCCTATTACCCGGGGTCATAGTCGCACTGGCTTCAAGGCTGACAAGTGCATCTGAAAGCACTCAGGCGATGCTGAGAACCACATTAAATTCTATTATTGCTGCATAGTCACTGCATCCCTATTCAGCTGAAGTACACGGAGGCAAATTTACCTTGCGAGAGACAGAGTTCACCTAATAGATGTGGCTTTATATCCTTTCCTTCTTTTCAAGGGAACAAAGCCACGGTAACAAATGCAAACAGCGGGGCCCTCATGTTGCCAGCTATTTTCCTCCTGTGCCTCTATTGTCCAGAGGTTTTCATAAACACATATTATTGCCACGGTGTATACTGCTCTCACTCTCTATCTCTCTCTCTCTTTTTTTTTTTTTTTTTTCACTCTTTCCCACTCTGTATCTCTCAGTGAAAGCCTATTGTCAAGACATGGTCATTTCCTTCACAATGCCAGTGCAAGCGGGCTCCATTTGCGGTAATGGCCCCGTCTTTTGGAAAATGTGAATGTTGAATGGCCCCCGTGGTAAACATACTGTAAGTCCTGAGAGTGTGTTTGAAGGTCTGCCAAGGAGCTGGGTGCTCACAAACCCACTGAAGGGATATTGTGTGGCATTGAGACTGAATGAACGAATCCAGAGACGCGAGAAGAAAGGAAATTGGTGCGGGTTGATGAGCTAAATAGTGATTTTTGAATACCTGTGGGGAGGACCTGCATGCAGGTGTTTTTTTTTTCTTACAGTAACGACACAATTAGGTACAGTCAATCTACCAGTCGGATCAGACTTTCCAGGAGTTTATAGAAACTACCTCTGACAGCAGGGGAGCTCTATAATTCTGTCGTCTCCAGTCGTCTCAACTTATTATATCATCTTTTTGAGTATCGCTCACTCTTCCTCTTGTTTTTCCTTCTCCTCTGTCTTTCTATCTCCTCTTCTTCTTTCTTTTCTTTTTTTTTTTTTTTTTTCCAGGATGTATTCCAAGCGACCAGCCTCTCCATATGGGGGGACAGATGGAGAGGTAACCATGGCAACCAGCAGACAGCGAGTGGAGGATGAGGAGAGCGAGGGACTGGGCGGTGTCATCCACCTCCCTCTGGCCTCCTACTGTGGCAAGGTGTCCCCTCGCTCACCCCCCAACCGCAACTTGGACAGCCCCCCCAACATGGTAAGGAGCGCTGCTGCTGCTGCTTTGTTTTTGAATCCGGACTTTGATCGCTGTTTCCCAGGGTGGCGGCGCCCACCTGTGGGTGTCCAACTGAGGGTCAAACTAAGAGAGATGAGTCTCACTGGCAGGAGAATTTGCATAGAAGTCTTTAAATGTTTATAAAACGTCATAATCCTTAAACCAGGGTGTAAAGTTTCTCATATCCAAGGCTGCTACCGCTCTTGTGTGTTTTTAGAAGCTCAAGGTTGGAAGTCACCCCAGATGAGATTATGTTTCTAATAATCCTGACCTTTAGCTCCACTCAGGGTTAGGTGGCACTGAAGGCAAACGCGGTTTCACAACTTTGACTGTACATGAAAACCATCGGAATTTGGCTCTGTTCAGTCTGAAATGAACTTTATTGACATGTTGTTTCAGTAAATAATTCAATTTGTGTGGATGAGAAATGTCCGAAAAGGCAGAAATTTAGTCGCTTTGATAAATTTACAAATAGAGCGCATTTATAAACCAGAATAAATGCTTTTACAGTACAGATTTCTAACTCCCCTTTGACTTTGGCATGTTGTTTACTTCTCTAATGGCAGCTAAGAGTCACCTTTTAAACCTGACAACCAAACAAGAAAAAAAAAAACGCACAAATGTCTACAAAGTGGAAACAAAAAATATATGTATATTTCTTTAGTTGCCAACAAAAGACCTGAAAAGAGTGATCTCTCTTAAGAGGCTGAAATTGACTTTTCTCTGTGAGTGAAAAGCAGTTTGGTGCTGGAAGCTGGATTTTTTTTTTTTTTTTTCAAAAATGGAGGAAAAAAAAAAGAAGAAGGAGGTTCAAGGCTACTGTTTGGGTGCACACGTGTTTTTGCTTTTATGTGCGCGCCACCAGCCGTTGCCTTCAGCCCATTTGATGCACAGTTGCGTGACTGCAAAATGTGAGCCATCGCAGTGAGTCATTTTCTTCGGGAGGAAGTGTGACATTGTGTGGTGGTGCTGGATGTATGGCTCTTTATCTCTATGTGTGTGTGTTTGCAGCTCCTGTGATTCACGTTAAACGCTCGCCGAGGCTCCAGAGTATTCGGACTCTATATAAACTTCTGTCAGTCGACATACGTGTGTGTGTGTTTGAGTACGCCGCTCTGTGTGCATTGCGCGAGGAATCTGTTTTCCTGCGTGTGACTCATCCCACATTCTTTACATTCGGTGTGATTTACAATGAACGCCGGGTACATATGTGCGATTTACTCGTCTGTGTAAGGCATTCGAAGTCACTGTTACACATTTTTAAAACGCAACCACCCGTAACGAGAAATGTGGTGTTTACATTGTTAAAGAGAAACTTATGTAAGTGTGTGAAACAGTGTGTTTCACTTTGAGTGGGTGTGGCCTGGGCCCTCACCCTGATTGATACACGCCTTGTCCCGGTGGCGCTCTGATAAAGATCGTCGACCTTTCCCCCCATACTGACAATAAATTCTTGCACGCTGTAAAACAATGAAACAGCGCTTAGGAGCTGTAATGGAAAGCTAATTCTGTAATTAGCCCGCTGATTAGCCTGCAGGCCCCTCCCGCCGTGGACTCGTGTGCGGCAGGTGCTGACTGTAAACCAAAGTCCTGGGACATGCATGCACACACACACACACACACACACTCAGGGTGAGCTTTTCTCTCATTAGGAGGGAAGAAAATGTGAATTTATGACGATATATCTTTTAGATGTGCACCATCCAAAATGCAAATAAATAAAGATGAATTTGCCTTTTTCTGTCCTCTGAGGCGACATGTTAAAAATGACACAAATGTCCACTGAATGTCATCAGAAGTGAGACATCTTGATGTGTGTTTGAGGAGTTGTGCTCTTCAAACAGGAGGAGGAGGTGGGGGTATGATGCGCTGCATAAAGGCTGATGGAGCTTATTGAGGGTGTTTAGGTGGGGGCTTTTCTTGCTGCATGCTCAGCATGTTGTTAGATGTCTCTCTTTTTTTTTGAGGAGGGGGTTTACAGCATCAATCTCTGGGCAGCTGACTGTCAGTGAGGAGTTGATGAAGAGAATTAGAGAGAAGTGGAGAGTGGGAGAGGGAGATTTACAGCATGGTGGGAGTGTTATGGAGTGTTACAGAGTGAGGTGGGGGTCTGTGTCTCTCAGGGCAATTGTTGTAAAGTGATGGGGGAAGTAAAAGGCTCATCGTCGACTGGTTGACTTAGAAGTGAGGCAGCAGGGGGAGAGTGAGTGGAGAGAAGGAGGGAGGGGGGAAGAGGAGAAGGAGGAGGAGGAGGAGAAGGGGGGGGTGAGATTACAGCTTTATCTTGTCATAGTAAATTAACACGGCAGCGGAGAAGCGCCCGGCTGCACACTGACCTCTTCATCCCGCCCGCCTCGCCTGCCTGCTCGGCTTTGGCCCGAGCTGCTTTACCTGCCTGCTGCAGCTGTATACACACACACACACACACACACACACACACTGAACAAGGCTGAAAGGCGTCCCATTATTCACCGGTTTATAAATGTAGTTTCTCTTGCTTTAAGAATGGAGCTCTTCATAATAGTCTGCTAATTTAGGCTCTGACTCTGACGCTCGATTCTGATTGGCTCGGCGCAGTTGGCCTCAAATGCATGATGGGACTCAGTCAGCTGAACCAATCAACGCCGACTCCTGACATGATGCAAGAAAAACCCACAAAACTCTGATTGAAACTTTGTTTTCCCGAGTAAACAACAACATTTATGTCCTTCTTAATACGGCGCGGCTTTAAATCAGCAGTTTTTAATACCTCTCTTTCTTGCTTGTTTTCTTTTAGGCCCTTTTATGTTTCTGTTTTGCAAATCCTTGCAGGAAAAAAAAAATGTTTTCACATCAGGCAGAGGCAAGCATCTTTTCTCATAAATGTGTTAATGGACAAACACTAATTATTTCATTAACAGGCGAGATGCACACAAACACGATAGAAAACTATAAAGATATTTCATCAGGCATTATTTCTTATTCATTTCCCTCCACAGGCCCTCTCTTTCCCTCTTTTTGTGTTATTTGAATGTGTGATTATGTTTGTGTGTGCGCGCGTGTGCTGGTGCGTGTGCGTTCATGTGAATTTGACAGATTTAACACAGTCATTGAGCAGTCTTGAGACACACTGGTCACACTTAATTTCTCATGCCAGTGATGCACTAATGAATCAACACACGCTTGCCTGTCAACAGCGAAGGGGTCGTGGTAAAATATACTGGCATTCATTTTAGCCAAACTGCTATTTAAAATACGGAAAATACAGCTGTGTGTGTCGAGATAAGGAGAGGGCAAGTGTGTAATTCTCAGACAATAAGTTTAAATATACAATCTGAATGAGGACGTATACGTTTGTGAAGTAATTCAATGGCATATTTTTTTTGCTTTCTTTTAAATGACCGCTGATTTAATGCCACTTTTTTTTTTATTTCGCACTCTGGTTGTCGATTGGACGGATGGAAAAGGGCTCAACTGTATTATTGGTACAGAGGAGAGAAGTAATATGTGTGTGTTTGTGTCTCTTTCCCTGCTTGTCCCAGCCTGAGGGACCTCGAAGTCAAAACTGACAGTGTCTGTGTTTAGCCATGGCATGTAAAAGGATTTGCAGCGTATGTGTGTGTGTATGTGTGTGTGTGTGTGTGTGTGAGTTTGGCAGTGTGTCGGAGGTGTGTTAAGTCTATGTCGTGGAGATTGGCAGCTCTGGCGGAAAGCTAAGTCTTCCCCCCCCTGCAGGAGTGATCAGTGACATTCTCTCAGTGTGTGTGTTTATGTGTGTGTGTGTTTATGTGTGTGTGTGTGTATTTTCGTTGAGCAGCTGTTTCCAGTTCTTCCCACTACCACATTGTCCATGCCTTGATCCACAACGACGCGCCAAGCATCAAATATTGTTTTTCACACATACACCTTGCACAGCCCGAGACATGTCAGGCTATGGCAGAGAGAGAAAGAGAGAGAGAGAGAGAGAGAGAGAGAAGGAGAGAGAGAGAGAGAGAGAGTTTCCTCTGTCGGGCAACAGAGAAGGAGGAAGGGAAGAAGACGAAGAAATCAAAAAAAGAACATGAACAGCAGCATCTGTGCTGGCTGTAGGGAAAAAAATAGCATTTTCTGGCAAGAGTTACGTGTTTTTAAACCAACCTCCCCTCACAGATGAGCTTAAGAAGACAAAAGTTGTTTAATTCGGTTCCATTGCAGAGGCAGTAAAAGGATAAAGAGAGTAAGGCGCAATTTTTACTTTGTTCCAGTCATTTTGGAAGAGAATTGACATCTGCAAACTAAAGGCAGAACCGCCCACACTGCCAGCCTGCCACATCCAGTGCATATAAATACATATATGCAGGCAGGCGCTCGCACATTAACACACACACCTACAGGCTATGTGCACTCACAGTGTCACACATATACGCAAACGGAAAAAAAAAAAAAAGCTCACACACATGCACCGAGAGGAGGGCATGAACGTTTACAGTATCCAGAAATTTGTTTGTACTTTTGAATAAATGCATGTTGATGAGAAAAGTTTCGCAGTTTTGAGTGACGAGGGTTTTTTTTACAATCGAGGTCCGTCTCCTCGTCTTGTCTTTTTGATCTCCCTCGTCTTGGACTTTGCGAACGCAGAGTATAAAAATGTCAGCAGGGCACGTGGATTATGTTGCTGCAAGGTTGATGAGAAGAAGAAGAAAAAAAAATCATAAGCCATTTAAGTTGCCTGTGGGATCAGGCTGCCAGTCTGACTTCACACATAAATAATGTCATGGGCCCTAATTTACCAGGTCTTTGAAGAAGCCGCGGCTCCCCGCTAATTCCCTTTGATTGGGAAATGACCTTCATTGTTGGACGCAGCGAGATGACATCTCCCTGGCAGATTTTTCGACAGAGCGAAGAGATCCGACAACCCCTCACCCCGAGTTTCACCAACCTCCCCCTCCCCTCCCCCTCCCCCCCTGCTCTCCCTCCATCTCCCTCTCGTTTTCTTGTTCTGTTTGTTTTGTTTGCGCGACATCTTTCTCGAAAGAAAGAGTGCGGCTGTTTTAAGTAGGCGCTGGATTAGATAAATGGGATGTGACAGGTGTGACCGCTGCCTTCAAGATGCCTGCCTTCCTCTCTCCCTCTCTTTTTCCGCGTATCCCTCCATCAACTCTCTCCCTTTCTCTCATTTCCTCTAATAACATTGCCTTTCTCTCTTTCCCTCTGTCTCTCTCTCTCTTTTGCCTTTCACTCCCTCTTTCTTTCATTCTCTGACTTCTACCCACTTACACTCCTTCTCTCCTTCCCTCTGTCTCACCGCATTTGCACGTCACGCCGGCGCTGATGCAACTCGTAATCACAAAGCCGCCTCATTTGAAGTCTGAATTTCCCTAATCTGAAGAATGGGGTGAAGAAAGAAGTAAAAGCAACAAAGAAAGGCAGGAACAGGTTGAGCCGTCACTCGGTCAGGTGGTGAGAGGAGAAGAAGTAAAGTCTTTCAGCGCTGCGAATCACAAGACACTTTCCCAGCGCAGCACAGCACAGCCCTCAGCCAGCGTGTTAACAGCAGCTGATTGAAGCCTCATCACCCCATCCTCCAAATGCAGCTCTTACAAGCATATCATAGCTGTCACACTCTGTCCCCCTGTTACAATGCATGTGCAAGAGCTCTGTGGAGAGAATTAGTGAATTATTGAGCGTGCTGACTTATTCAGAGTGTGGGAGCAGACAGAGTCGAAGAGAGAAAGAAAGAGAGAGAGAGAGAGTCAGTGAAGTGTAGAAAACGCCAAGTGATAATGGTCTGCTGTACCTCTCATACACCGTTTGGATACAGACAATAAAAGCACGGCTGATACTCAGAGTGTCTGAGACGCCGAGATTTGAAACTTTGATTTAATTTTTTAGAAAGAGAGGAGAGTGTGTGGCCTCAACTTCTCAGCGCCCAACCTTCTTACTCTAACTCTCAAAGTAGTTCTTGGCTTTAGGGATGGGTGATAAATTCTCATTCACGATATATCGTCAGAAGATTCCTCCATGATAAATATTTGCCACCTCGTGATAAATACGATAAATGCAAGTTGAATAGAGCAGAATATCAAACAAACAAACATGGCCGAAGGTAATGAAGAAGACGTTTCTGAGCACCGCATGAGGGATTTCCTTCAAGACTGGGGCTTATATGAGCGCAATCAAGTATGCCTGACATTAGACCGTGGATAAGATAAGATAAGAGTTTCCTTTAATAGTTCCACTGGGGGAAATTCCTTACAGCAGCATAGTACAGACACAAAAAGAGAAATTAAAGGAAATATATTTACATGAGTCATGTTTACATGAGTACAGGATCTGCTGCTGTTCACTCTGTCCAATAAGAGTTTTGAACAAATGTTGAAAACTTTCACCATAACCTCCCACTCAAACTTGTGGTTCAGTATCTTATTCGACTATTCCAGCTGGTGTTCTCAAGACAAAATGAGTCAAAAATATTGATTGGAATTATAATATTTTATGTTGTTATCACCAGAATGGCAAATCTTATCATGATGAATCTTCTAGCCTATACGTAGCTCATCCCTCCTTGGGTTATGTGATCGACAGAAATAAAATCCGGCGTCATCTTCAGTCCAGATGACTCCACGGTGAACTGTGCTCTCGGTATTAAGTTCCACTTCCACCAGCAGCCTGTGAGTTAATCATTATAAAACAATCTCCGCTGTAATACGCTGTAATGTCATTAAAACAGTTGGAACGTACCAACGCGTCTCTCCCTGTGTCACTATCTGTGTGTGTGTGTGTGTGTGTCTTTCCCACACACACATGAATACTTACAGTACATGCATGTAGGCGAACAGGAACCTGTGTGTGCATGTGTGCCACTGTCCCAGGTGGCATGCTCCATATTGTAGTGAGATTAGCCAAAGATTAACCCTGTGGACCATTGACCCTCCTGTCTACAAAGAGCTGAGCTGGCCGGCTTATTGACTGACTGACTCACTTGTTTGTGTAATTAAAGAGAATAACACACACCTTAACACACCTGGTCATGTGTGTGTGTCTATGTGTGTGTGTGTGGGCGCTGTACAGGCCTGTGTATCTCTCAGTGTCTTTAAAGCATGTACACAAACTAAGCGCGATAACGGGATATTATTGTGTGTGCTCTATTTTGTAGCTGACGGCATCCTCCTTCTCAGTGTCACTGTTAATTGGGCTCAGCCGGCATTTAGTCTATCATGTGGGTTAGCCAAACAAACACAGGTTTTATTGGGTCAAAGATTAAGACGCTGGGAGTTACTTACCGATCAGCTGCTGTCAGGAGCTTTTCTCACTGTTTATTCATCCAACGTTATATCAGACGCATCAGTTTAAAGACCCACTCCGATGAAAATCATGTTTTTCTCGTTGTCTACATGTTCAAGGAAGGAAATATCGTGAGAAAAATAAGAGTATTACTGCATTTAAACCGCTGTGAATCTCTCACAGACCCAAACAGCAGGTTCAGAGACAGTAGTGTTGCCAGATGGAACATATAGAGACTCAAAATTATTGTATTTTTTATCGTACACACGTCATAATCAAAATAACAATCTTACTGTTGCATCAAAGTCATATTTAGTCACGTTGTTTAGTGTCCTACAGGCACCCACGATTTTATGGCTACAGTTTTGTGGTCATTCACTGCCCCGCTTCAAATCAGCAGCGTATGATCAGGCTTCTCTACTGAGCACACTCGTTGTTCAGAGAGAAACCTCACTCAAACTACAATTGGATGCAAACATCACATGGTAAAAGATCCCACTGAGCAATAAACAGCCAATAGACTTCTAGGTTTATTAGACCTAATTTCAACTGTCTAGATTTTGTATATTTTAGACAGAATTTAGTCGTCGCACTTTAACCCATTATTCAATAGCTATTTATTTCAAAAAGCAACTGTGAGTAGCATAACTGATCTCCAAGTTCTTTACCAAAATAAATATGATAGCCGTTGAGCAATATACAGTGTAGTATAGATATAGCCCAGATTTAGACTTGGTCTAAACTTTTATGTCTAAAAAACTTTCATTTTAGACCAGTCGTCTATGCTATATTGAGACGTCTATTAGACCTGTTTTAGACCAAAAAAATGCTCAGTTAGATGCCTTTAGGGTTCGGAAATAATAAACTGGAACGTTAAGGTCAGGCGGACTGAGACAGCCCCATTGCACCAAACATTCACAAAACTGTCAAATTATCGCACATTTAGACTTTTCTTCTGGGTTATTCATATATTGTACAGAGGGAAAACTTATCGTACAAATACGATAAGTATCGTACACCTGGCAACCCTGATAAACAGTGAGATTACCTATGTAGCAAATTCAAGCTCCTCCCCCAGAGCCCACTTTGAAGGCCACACTCGGAGAAACAGGGAAGACGATTGCCGAACTCACAGATTGCAACACTCATAAGAAAGCTAACGATAATATTAACTTTCATCATGTCCCCAAAGACATAAGTGTCCAAGAGCGGAGTAGCTCCTATGTTACCTGTTTCTTCTCCTACATCGGCAATGTTAGGCTACAAGCTAGTGCTAGCGCTGTCTCTGCCTACGACTCAGAGGCGAATTGCTAATGAGCTACAAGAGCTCTGTAGAAGGAAAGTCCTTAAAAATGAAACAGATAACATGATTTAGACTAAAAAATTCATAATCATAACTTAAAGACTGCTGATAACAATTTAAGTCATAAAGAGAAAATGATCGGAGTTGGACTTTAAAGATAACTCTGCCCCTTCAGCAGATGGATGTTTAAAGTGCACAATGACGGTCAAACATATGGCGTATAAGTGAAAAATCAGGGGAAATGACTCTAGTGGAGTGGACCTAAAACACTCTGAAAACTCGATCCTGCTTTCAAAGAGTTGACTTTTCAAAACTAGGGGTTCAGAAATCTGTTTTTTTTCCCTCCAAACGTATGAGAGGATTACGATTTCCAAAGTCATTGAACTTCACATGTAAAAGACTGTGTAAACTTTAGTCACAAGACAGCAGGAGAATTATTCATCATGACAGCTTGGCAAAAGGCGCGCTGCTTTACTGTGAGCTGTATATTTTATATTTTGTCGCTGTCATGCCGATTGTTGTTTTGTCAGTCCTTTTAAGAGTTTATGGAAATGACTTGACACCGCTCCAAAGCTTTGTTTTTTGAAAGGAGATCTATTTTTTGTGATTTTTGTTCCTGTTTGACGGAGTTGCATCCTCAGCATTAATTGTCACGAATCTTTGGACAAAAGTAGCGCAGTGCTGGAACTTGGGATTTAGTACAGTAGCGTTGGACGCCCCTCAAAGCCGAGCCGTGGAAGGCTTTGTAATGAAGAGTTAGCGTGACTCTGAGAGTGTGCGGAGTCTTTTGCTGTCGTTTCATGTGCTCGTTCTGTCAAGTACCTCCAAGTTAGTCAAATGCAGATTCCAGGGGATGTTATAAAGAAAGAAGAAGAAGTATGCCCCAACTTGAGATAACTGGCCAGGGATGACAGTTGGTTGTAGTATCGAGCGACGAGAAGGGGCGATGGAGAGAATAAAGAAAGTATGAGACAGAGAGAAGGATGGAGATAATGAGTGGGTCCATGCCAGCTCCTTCCCGCCTCATCCTCCTTTTTTTTCTCTCCCGGTTCCTTTAATCATGTCTTAACTTTAAGGTAATTTTTGAAGCTAATTATGACTCTCCTCCTTTCCGTCTTTTCCCTCCAGGAGCAGGACTGCACTAAGGGGAGCTCTCTGAGCCCGTACCCCCAGCACAACGCTACCTCACCTGGCAAAGAGGACGGCGGAGGAGGAGGAGGAGGAGGGCGGCCCTGCAGCGACGGGGGCTCGGCCACGGGTACCCTCGGGACCCCGGAGAGGCGCAAGGGCAGCCTGGCAGACGTGGTGGACACACTGAAACAACGCAAGATGGAGGAGCTGATCAAGAACGAGCCGGAAGGTCAGTGATGAAAGCGGGCGCTTGTCCGGCCAGATGTGTGATCTGTAACTCCCCACCAACTCCCTGGCTCTGCGCCGCTCTTTCATCACACTCTGTTGTCCTTTCTTTCTTCTCCTTTCGTTCTGTGTTGTTTCCTCTCTCTCTCTCTCTCTCTCTCTCTCTCTCTCTCTCTCTCTCTCTCTCTCTCTTCCTCCCTCTGTTATGAACCCGTACACACTCAGATGAGAGGCGAGCCTTTGTTTTTCCAGAACACAGACAGACAGCATCAGCTGTTTGGGCCTATTGTCCTCCATTATTTGCATATTTATCACAACCTGACAAATAAGATGCGTGTGCGTGCGTGCGCTCGTTTGTGTGTGTGTGCGTGCGTGTGTGGTATTCTCTAGAGTGTGAAAAGCCAGCAAATGTACTTGGATGTCTTAACAGCTCCCAACAAATGTTCCTGTATAAATATCAAGGAGGCGACATTCATGACGAGGTTTTCGCTCGACGATCAGAGGACGTTAAAACGCCTCTCTGGATACCTTTGCTACCATTCCTGTGATTATCTCTCCTCCTCCCCTTTTAGATAAAGATTTCGCTCACTATTGGGAAGACAGGACCGTGTTTTTGCCCGGGGCTACACTTAGCTCACTTAGCCTGCACATTTTCATACTCAAGTGTAGCCTTGGGGGTAACAGTTGGAGTCAAGAGATAAAATTAACCCATGGCCAACTCCATTTTTTCCACCGCGCAGATAAATAGAGGCTTAAGTCGCTATGAAACGCATGTGATAGTGATAATGTGATAAAGAGATTACCAACAGGTGGGCCCCGATCTGATATCTGACGGCGGGAATATAAATAACATTAATTGACAGAGATATCTTTTGTGCGCTTCGCAGGGAGGTCAGTGTCAGATCAGTTACACAGCCGACACCTGAGGCTCATTGAGTTGCTGAAGGGCACGTCAGCAAAGGAGATAAAGGCTTTAGCAGGTCTGAAACGCTGGAGTCCGACCAAGACGGAAGCATGTTAAAAAACACCCTGAGCTGTTACTAAAGACGCCCCGTTACTCTTACATCACACGTGATTAACGCTTATCCCGAGTCCACGGAGATCTGTCTGAATCCACTTTGATATGACGGCGTTTAGATTTCATCTCCTGAAGGGTATCATGGAAAAATACTTAAAGGTTTCTTTTCAAACATTCGTGCATGCACCACGCGGTCTTAAGCGACCGAAAAGGTGAAGGAAAGAGTGCAGCGGTGCAGTGTGTATTCGCCGGTTTAAGTGTAGGTGTTCTTGTGTGCATGTGTGTCTCCGCTCTGACAGTACATCAACAGGCTTTCATTTCAAGCGGCGCTGTGCTAACCTTATTTTCAGGCTTTTCTGTTAGGTTTTCAAAGCGGCCAGGACTGCTGGTCAGCTCTCGCCGTCTGGTTGTTTTTGTTCCAGTCAATAAAGAGGCCTGTTGTGGCACATTTTACAAAAAAAAAAAAAGAGAGAGAGAGAGAAAAAGAGAGAAAAAGCTGGACTGTTTGTCGAGCTGAGCTGTAATTGAGGTGTGTTTTGGGTTGTTCGCTGCTTCACTAGACCTCATGAACTGGCTGCACAGGGAAAAAAACAACATTAATGGATCTTTATGAGTCAGCCAGCGCAATGGAGAGAGAGAGAGAGAGAGAGGGAGAAAGAGAAGGAATAATAGCGAGAGAGAGAGAGAGAGGGAGAGAGAAGGACAGCAGGAGCGAGAGAGAAGGAGGAAGAGTGAAGGGGAGAAGGAGCAGTGTCTTTACAGACCCCATTAGCCGAGTGCCACAGTGTGCGGCATCCAAACCAACCCGGAGCATTATCTGCCCTACGTTTAAAAGAAACACGCTGACAAAAGGCCCCAGTGCCTCCAGACCCATCACACACACACACTCGCACAGACACACACAAACCCAGGCCAAGCATGAGAGAAAGGAAGAAAAGAAAAAAGACTAGGGAAGAAAAGGGATGCTGAGAAAAGATGAAGAGGGGCAGAGGCAAATGGAGGAGGAGGAGGGGGGAGAGAGGAACAAGAGGGGCGGTATTGAACGCAAGATAGAAATCCCCTCTCTGTGCCCGACTAGCTATTGTTTGGCTGTGTGGCTCACAAAGGCCATTAGCAGCAAACAGCAGGTTGGGATGAAAATTTAATGAAGGCTTTAATCATTATGAAAGGCCTGGAATATTACTGCTCTCACACACACACACAGACACACACACACCGCTGCAAGCTGGATCAATGACACACACACACACGCATACGCACACATACATACATTCAAAGTACAGAAAACACTGAGACCCGGAGCGACACGAGACACGAAATGGGTCAGAAAAGTGATAAACATCTACAAAAAAATTAAAAGAAGGAGAGCCCTGAGCTGGACATCACACACACAAACATAGAAACGCACACAAACACACACACAAACACACACACACAGTGGAGCATAAGTTTGAAAGATATAGTCCTGTGTCTGCGGCTAGTGTTGCTCTACTTAGGCTAGATGAATGGAGAGTGGTAGTTAGTAGGTCAGAGAGAGTGTGTGTACGTGTGTGTAACATGTATGTGTGTGAAACCTTTGGGAGCATGTACACTTGTGGATGTGTATTTGCATATGTATTTGTGTGTGTGAGCGTCGTGTCGCATTTGCCTGTAAGCATGCGAGAAGGAAGTGTGTGTTGCGGCCCCTAATAAATGACTCGCACTGATGTCCCCCATGGCCTGGCCCGACCATGCTCCACCGCTCCTCTGCTCTCTTCATTCATCTCCTGTCTCACTCTTCTGGCCACCTGCTACCCTGGAGATACACACTCACTCTTACACACACACACACACACCTGTATACGCAGACACACACACACACTAAAAGCCAACACTTATATTCAATTCTTCAGGAAGAGCAAAGATAAGAAATGCCAGGACACAGTCAGCCTTGTGTGTGTGTGTATTTGTGTGTTTATGTGTATCTTGGTCTTGAGGCGAGGGGTTGCCGGGCAAGGCGGCTCCCGTGCTGGAGTGTGTGCGCGTGTCATTACGCGGAGTAATGAGAGCGGGGTGTGTACAGTGTTGCAGGAGACGCGGGGTCGAGAGGAGAGACGGTGGTAAAACCCAGGAGAGATGTCCGCTCAAGTGCGCGCACCTTGGCAGCTCCCATGGACCTGCCATTTAACCCTTTGCGACCCCTGCGCCTCAGAGCAGGGCCTCCTGATAATCTATTAACCCCTCTGAGGGACAAGAGACGCGCACTGCTAGAAAGAAAGACAGGAAGATGGACAGATAGATAGAATAAACTGCATTATGAGGAAACCAAGAGGAGAAACATCACTAAATGGGGCACAGATGTTCCTCTTGGCCCCTGGAGTGGTGCCTCCACTGCCCTGGACTTTCACCAGACACTCAGCATCTTCCCTCTCTCTCTCCTTTCCTTTCACTGTAGAAGCTGCGACTGTAAGTGGCTCACATTAAGCAGCAGCTGAGCTGGCCACGTCTGTAGACCCTCTGCTGCTCAGCTCCGGCTCTCCGTCACTGGAGCTCCACGGCCCTTGGGACTTTGTCTCTCTCATTTTTTTTTTAAATTTAGCATAACCATGTTGTAGACTAGAAAAATACAAGACTTGTTGGCTCGTAATCGCCATATTCAAGGCTAGCAGGTACTAAATGGTACCAGAAAGAGCTCTAAGTTTAACACTACATTTACACGTGTCTGACTATTTTCAAAAATTGACATTTAACCCTCTCTGTTTACAAAAAAATATTACGTTTTCAGAAAAGTTTTCGTTTACACTAACCCGTGTATATATGCCATGTGGGTAGCAGTGTAGCGAGAATCTCAAGCCCATGTTAGCCAATCAGAATCCCGCATCGCAACAACAATCTGCCGTCGGCTACCCAAAGCTCCGTTTTTCTCTGTTAACATGCAAACATGCAAACTGAGTTTTTAAAAATCATCATTTTCAGGGACGAATTCTCCATTTGCGTCAAAACGAAGCGTGCAAACGATGGTTAATTTTTAAAAATAACCGGGCACGCATAAACGGGGCCTAAGAGTGCCACTTTTGTCCTGGATTTTGCATCACGTTCATAAATAATCTTGGTTTTATAGTCAGCAGCTGACAGCGCGGTTATCTTTTCATCAATGCATTACTTTATGCACTAAAATACGGTCGTAAATTTTAATTTAATTTGAATCTGATTTTTCTTTTTCATTTAGAAAAGCCTCACAAGTTGAATCCCCTCTTGTTTTCAACATTGTCTCTCTCAATTAAAAAGCGATATCCCTGTTGTTACATCGAGCCCTCGCCCCGCTCTCAGGTCTGACCCTGACCTTCATACTTCATGGCCTTGATCTGGACACGCGTGTAGGGCAACAGCAGACACACTCTTGGGCATCCATACACACATACACACACTCAAGCTCGGTGTGCAGGTTTACAGCTGTGCCGGCAACCTTGAGGTCAAGCAGAATGGTGTTTTTATGGCTGAGCGTACTTGCTGCTCCAAGGCACTGGTTTCCATACTGAAAATGCCAACTCAATGACAGATGTCACACACACACACACATGCTCACACACACATGCTCACACACATGCACGCACAGCACTTCATCTATTTTCAAGGCAGGGAGGGAATCCAGGGCTTGCTTTTAGAGAGCACTGAGGCATTTTATAGGACAGCACTTAGGCAAGGCCATTGTGCCACACAAGCACACAGTGGCCGGAGCTCCCTCACGCCTCCGTACACTCCAATGGGTGACAATGGGAAGGGCGGATACACTCTGCCAAGAAGGAGGAAAAAGAGAAAGAAAAGGGGAGAGAGAAAAAAAAGGAGCCGGAGAAGTGGAGAGATGGAGGCAGTTTCTCGTTCATCCGTCCGTCAGTCAATCCACCCCCTCCTTCACTTTGCTTAATCCTTCCACTGCTCTGCTATCTGGGGGGTTATGCCAAACAAACACACTCTCACACACACACACACACACACACACACACACACACACACACACACACACACACACACACACTTTAAACATCAACAGCGGCATAAACAACTGATGCAAGTCATCACATGGACCTGTGACTGGAAGGCAGATCCCAAAGGAAAAATGTGGATCGTGACACACAAACACACACACATCTATCCATACATACAGCAGCAGTGTGGGAGTGGGTGATGGGTTAAAGGAGAGAGAGATTTTTGATCTTATGTTGTTTTTTAGAGGGCAGGAGGATGATCTTAAAAGGTCTTTACAGCTCTGAATTCTCTAAATCTCACCTTAACCTCTTCCTTTGGAGCTGAGAGACAGTGAGGAAAAAAAAAGGCATCAAATTACGGAAATAAAAGTCCCTTTGAGCGGAAAAAGAGCCTTCAAACCATATCTAAGAAAACCAGCACTCTTATTAGCGTTATTTCCAGTTTTTCTGAACGTCATTGTGTCAGATAACTTCGACGCGTTTGTAGTTGACGGGGAAGAAATCATCGCGGACATGGTTCACAATTCAAATCGAGTCAATTCTCTTTTCTTTCCTTTTGTGGCATGAGAAACAGGCAACGTTTTGGGGCGAACCTGAGGCCTATTGTGGGGCCGGTCCATTGTTGGCTCGATGAAAGGCGCATTCAAGTCACTTTTCTTATTGAATTGTTTTGCGTCTGCTTTTCAACGTGGCTTTCTCCCTTCAGCCTCGCACGAGACAATCAGTGGGGATGAAACTCCTTTTCTGCCATTCTTCCCCGTCCAGATAAGCGATATTAATGAGATGAATAGTGTGTGTTTGTGTGTGTGTGTGTGTGTGTCAGAGTTTGTGTTTTGGAGGGGGAAAGCAGTCCCTCAGCTTTTGTCCGACACATGAGCATAAAGAGACTTAAAGAGGAGAGAGGGTCCTGTGGATTTCCTGATGGTGTGTGTGTGTGTCTGTGTGTGTCTGTGTCTGTGCGTGTTATTGGCCTCCTAGTGTGGCATTAAGTTAAGGACAAAGGCCTGAGGTTCATGAATCAGCCAGAGCTTCTCACAATCTGATTGTCCAGGAGTACAGTGTGTGTGTGTTTGTGTGTGTAAACAGGAGAGTGGAACAGGTAGAAAGAACATATATTATGTAGGGCTGAGCGATATGACCTCAAATCAATATCACGATATATTGAGCAGTTCACCTCGATAACGATAAATGGACGATAACTACTCCACGAGCTGCTCATCCCCTCATGACGGACTTTTCAGACCGCAACTTCAAAATGGCGAAGTCGAATCTCCCAACTCAGTTGAAATAATTAAAGCCATGATTAAAGGTCCTTAAACACAGGGAACGACGCAAATGCGAAATTATGAAATATTCGGAGGCGAATTTCGACGCGCCTGACTATACACATCAAGCGCGATGCGATTTTGTGACTTTCCGGGGGGGAAAAGATGCGAGAAGACTGACACAACAGCAGACTGACTGTTTTTCCGTTCTGATTAGACACCAGTGTTGAGATGACTCTCCACAAGTTGTCCTTCAGGTCGTTATCAAGGCTGACTGTGTCCTGTTGTAATATTTGTGTTTTTTATCAAAAAGCACTGTGTCCCCCGAAACGTTAACGATCAGTCGGTCGGCCGTGTTGGATATACCGGTGAATCTCACAACAACACGAAATCTGATTGGTCAGAAATGGACACACAGTATGTGAAACTTTAGAAAATTTGACCCTGATACGAAAAAATAAATGCCGCAGTGTCGCAGGACGGAAAAACATCGTTGATGTGAACGCTTGTACTGACAGGATACGAGTTTGAAAAAAATATTGACGTCCGAAATAATCGCACGAAAAAAACGCTCCCGGTGTGTAAGGACCTTAATTTAAGGTGTAGCCAAAAAAGTGACTTTAATACATAATTAAGTAGCTAAGAGTCATATTTAAAATAGACTCGTCAAATTAAAAGCAGGAGACACTGAGGTATCTGTATCTTGACATGGGCAAAATGGTGTTGGTTATTGTTGCAAATTTCCGTATCGGTAAATTTTCAGTTTATCGCCCAGCCCTACATGAGATTTTCTTCATATTAGGAACAAATTTGTGCATTTCCTGTGTGTCATACACTCTGAGTCAGATTGTCCAACTTCACCAACTCTCAAATGTTCGACCGGCCCCAGTCCTCTTTGGCATCCACCCGCTCGCTTCCATTCAGCAGCATATCCCATGACCAAATCAGTGGAATCCATGATTTATCTATTCAGCTTTCTCATAAACTCTCTCTTCATTTGCACACCCTGTTGTTGTTTTCTCTCTTCTCTGTGATTTTTCTTTCTTGGTCTTTCCTTTTTCCCCCCCCCTCTATTCCCATGGAGAGACAGCGGAATGTTTTTATGCTGCAAAATGTCTGCAAGATGAATGAGTTTTGTGTACAAGTGCAGTGAATTTCATTCAGTCCTCAATTACATTATCAAAAGCCTTGGAAATGTAGCTGAAAGATCTTAAAAACTTTTCATTGAGGCACTTAAGCAACAAAAACACTCACTGCTTTCTGCTTGAAGTTCAACCGGTTCTCAAAAGGGTCTCATGAGTGCACCCGAAAAACATTTCTAAATTGTAAGAATCACCATCAAAGTTAGCAGATAAAGTTCAACATTCTTCCCTTAAGTAGTTTTCTCACACACCAGCAGATACTTTTGTGAGTAGGTGGTTGTTGCATTTGGGGAATGAAATGCTTGATTTTACATTTTGACATTGCGCCACAGAGAGGTCTAAAAGCTATCACTTTGCTGCGCGCTCTCCAGACTCTTCACACACTGGCATGCAAGGAAGAGAGCGTGTGTGTTCAGAGAGGTGTTTTTAGTTAACTTTAAATAAAGGGTGAAGTTAAAATGCGATGCAGTAATAGTCTAACTCTTTTATAGGCTGTCATCTTAAAAATGTTGAGATGTGACCCTCTGCGGGAACGCGCGCGATCTCGCAGGGATGTGCGTACCGCGTGTACCCATTTGCTTTGTGACCTTATTAACTGTAGGTGCAAATCCTTACTGTGTTGGCACCTTCAATGCAGCATGTAAGCTCACTGTAGGCTATAATGTGCTTTATATAGACTTTAAGTAAGCCTTATGTTCGAGCTTATTAGCTGTGACTGCCTTGTGAGAGATCTAGCGTTTGCATTTATGATACACATCGCATCTACATATATTGTCTCTATATAATGGGTGTATTGGCATGTCTACATGTGCCTTTAATTCCACATAATGCATGTAAAAATGAATGATCCTACACCCCACTCTCCTCTGTGTATAATCCATGTAGGGTTGCGCACAAAGTAGCATGATCTGCTTAGCGCAATTTGACATCTCAGCTCCAACAAGGATGTAGAGAGCGTCAGAGTAGTGTGCAGTTTGAGTCCGCCCATGACGGCAGCGTCCGGCGTGCGGTTTAGGCCCTGACATGGATGTAAAAAGGGGCTTTAACAGCCCGAGTGGAGGCGTGAGATCGGTGTGTATCACCGTGTAGCTCCTGTTAGATCGGCCGCACACATGGCGCTGTGAACACACATGCACGTCGTGACGCACACACCAGCTTGTGTGTGGCCTGAAAGCAACAATGCACGAGGGGTACAGCAAATGGACACATGCCAACAATTAACGTAATAACCGCCCTCTCTCTCTCTGTTTCCGCTCGCTCCTACATGACAGATATCAAGGTGGTGCGCATACTGTTGTGTAGCTTTAGCACTTTAGTCATTCGGAGAGCAACAAGTCCGTCCGAGAGTTACTCAGTCTTTCAATATGTCAGCCAGTCAGCTCGCGAGGAAGCGAGTCCTGCAGTGCATCAGTCAGCCTGCCAAGAAGTCAGCCATTCACTTACTCCGTCCATTGAGTCCATCACAGAGCCAGTCACTCAGTCAGCCAGTCCATCAGCCAGCCACACAGTCAGTCTTTGAAGCCACGGGGTCTATATTAATTAACCCCTGGCTTACTGGGCAGAGGGCGGGTCCCGCAGATGAAGTGGTAGTGTCTGTGCTGTCAGCCTCAGGGGTCGTGACCCTCAGCCCTCAGCGCGGCCCGGCCTTATTTGAGCCAGATGTTGGGAGACAAGCATCCCCAGCAGTCCCTCTCCCGCCTCCCCCCGCCCCCTTCGCTCCTGCTGCATTCTTCTCCCTGACTGCCGCCACCGCCGCCGCAGCTCGTCGTCCAGCAGAGCAGGCCGCCATCACCAGCCACTCATGTCGGAGCTGGGATGCTCCTCTGGATTTCTCCGTCTTCTTTCCCTGCGCCCCCGTCTCCCCTTCTCTCCAGCTGTCCTTCTCTCCCTCTCCCCATGGGATCCCTCCATCCATCCATTCACCTCTCTCTCTCTTTCCTCTCGCTGTATTTTCACCCCTCCCTCCTTGTTTGGCCCACTGCCCCTTTCCGCTTCGCTCAGGGGAAAGAGTGCCGTGTGTGTTGTCTGGCAGCGTGCCTGCTCTCATCGTTTTCCCCCCTTCCCCTTCCTTTTTATCCCGCTCCCTCCTTCCCTCTTTCCTCCTTCTCATCCCTTCCTTTTCCACCCTTCCTCTATCCTTGATTTCTATTCCTCATTTCTGCCACCTTACCTCTATCCTTCTCCTCCTGCCCCTCTTTGTCCCTGTCACTCTCTCCACCTGCTTCTAATCACTCCCCCTCCATCTCTTTCACTGCCTGCCTCCATTCATACTTCGCCCCCTCCTCCCCTCCCTTTCTCCCCCCTCCTCCCCCCGTCTCTTCCTCGGCTGGGCTCAGGAGCAGTGAACAGGTGTTGTCTCCTTTTGATTTGGGTGCGTTCGGATTAATGCTGTCAGCTCAGCTGTTAAAACAACTGCCACCGCCAGATGCCAGTCAGTTTGGGGCTGGAGCTGTCACCTACACACACACACACACACACACACACACAAACATCCAAACATACACACACTCAGATGCAAGTGCGCACTCACAGGGTGACGCGCACACTCACACACACACACATACAGGGTCTCTTGGCTCATTGTAATACCGACAAAGCAAATCAGCTGCTATACGCCAGTCTTGTCTGTAACCCAGGTGTGTGTTTCTGTAGCCTTTCCAAACATCACAGTCAGTGGTTATAAGAGGGACATTATGACACGATACTACAGCGATTATTAAAACATATTCATGCGCGCGGCGTAGACTCACAAAGACGGTTTAGTCCATCTTTTTTAAAAAACAGCCGTATGAAAGGAAACGTCTGTTTTCTGCTCGAAAACAAAGATGACAAGACTTTAAGAGTTGTAGAGATGTTTTTCAATAGCTTGCATAAGTAGAAAGTATTTAATTAATGGGCACTTAGCCTATTTTACATTTAAAGGTCATTTCACTCGTCATGGAGAATACTACTCAGCCTGTGAAAACACTATAATGGATTCTCTGGCTCAGGAGGAGCTTTATTAAGTCAAAAAAAAAAAAAAACGATGATGGAAAATAGGAGCATAAAATTAAATAAACAAAAAAGGTTGTAATAAAAAATGCTCTTAAGTCGTATTAAAGATACAGATACCTCAGTGTCTACTGCTTTTAATTTGACAAGTTTATTTTAAATATGACTCTTAGCTACTTGAAGATGTATTAAAGTCACTTTTTTTTGGCCGCACCTTGACTTAATCATAGCTTAAGTTCTTTCAACTGAGTTGGGTGACTCGACTTCACTGTTTTGAAGTTGCGATATGAAAAGTACGTCATGATGTTTCTCTGCAGAGGAAATAAAAGGAACAGGGTGTCAGATAAGGTACAAATCCTCTATCATTGACTTCACCATGGTGCTTTTCTTAAAGGTACAGAATAGGGCTGGGTTATAAACCAAAAATTTACCGATACTGAAATTTACAACAATAACCGACGTCATTTTGTCCACGTCAATATATTCGATGTCAAATAAAATAAATAACTAAAAGTTGGTTTTGGATGTGTGTAGGTAGGCTATGGTCTTATGTCCCTTTAAGACCATAGCTCCACCCCATCCAGTCCATAACAAAGAGGGAAAATCAGGTGAGGAGATGGAGGACGGTTCAAAAGTTGTAGCGGCTCAAGTAGACGACGTTAATGTGGGAGGGGGTGAGCAGCTTGTGGAGTAGTTATCGTCTATTTATCGTTATCGAGGTGAACTGCTCAATATATCATGATTGATTTGAGGCCGTATCGCCCAGCCCTAGTGCAGAATGAAACAGACTGAAGGCTTCATGTTGAACGTGGACACTTAAGGTTAAAAAGACCAATTTAATTACACCTTACAACCCGTTTCTTACAGTTAAACTAAAACTTAATTTCAACACTTTGTAGGTCGTCTTATTTTGTTTTTACATCGATGAATTCGTTTCTGTATCCACACGGTGAAACTCCAATAAAGTTGTTTAAACAACATTGGTCTGTAACCGTGTTTACTGTTGGAGAAAGTCTCCATTCCTAAGGCAACGCATGATCCCTGCCCCCCCTCCCTTCACTCTTTCCCTCTGTACCCTCTCCTCCCTGCACACGCTCACTTGTTCCTTTCTTTTCTCCAAAATATCCGTCCTGTTCTGCCCGTAGTCAGAACAAACATACGCGTCCGCACACCTGTCAGAACTTTATTTTTCCCTCTTTTGCTGAATTCAAAGTGTTAACCATAAATCTGAGCCACACGTTATCTGTGTACACACAATCTTTTTTCTTTTTTTTTTTTTTTGCACAGACGTCTTTCCCACACTCGCGGCCCTTTTTCCGCCTTACGGTTGCTTAAATTTAGAATCCTTGTCGGTAAATTTGTGAATAAATGATGAGTAACTATGAATATCAATGATCGGTGGCATGCAAGTGGTGTGTAACAGCGCTATTTAGAGCCTGCGTGCATGTGGGTGGAGTTTGCAAGCTTCATTTATGCGTTTGTGTGTGTCAGATGGTGGGTAGTGGGCTTGGGAGTGGTGATGCTGGTATCTTAGTCTATTATATTCACAAACACTTTCATAGACACAAAGTATCAGGGGAAACATTTCCACGATCCATCTTCTCCTTCTGGCAGATTTTTGATCTATCTTTATCTCGCTCCATCGTCGTCTCTTTGCTCCCCCCCCTTTCTCCCTCTCTCTCTCTCTCTCTCTCTCTCTTTCTTTCTAACACACTTTTTTTCCCTCCATCTCTCTCAAATTGAACTCATGTTTGTTTGCAAGCTTCACACTAGACAGTCTTGTGATGCCGGTTCAAGGAGCCGTCCACACCAAGACAGTGGACACTTGTTAGTTAGGTCATGTTGGTGTGTCTGACATACTCTTACACCCAAAAACACACACACCCAACCCACTCACTAACATTGGGTCCTCTGTCTCGCTCCCAGCACCACTCCTCTGGTATCAGTTTACTATGTGTAAACACAAGCTCACACAGAATTTTTAGCCGACTCCCCGCAGTGGATTTTGCCCCCGTTTCTGCGGATCACGCCCTCCTCATCTGTGTTGTTGGTTTGCTTAATAAAGCTAACAAAGTTATGGTCAAGGTTTGACGGACCCCTCCATCGTCTGCATTCTCTCCTGAGCCAGACGTTGTTAAGACAATTAGCCCGCTTAAGGAGTTGGGGATGTCTTGTCGGAGGAATGGAGGGGGGGTGAGGATGATAGGGGTCAGAGACTGACAGGAATGTTGAGGAAGAAAAGAAGGACCTGTGGTTTCTGACTTGAGGACAGTTTCTAAATCAAATGACACTTATCAGTAACGCACTAATAAAGATACGAACAATCGGATTAATACAGGAATGGTTTAATTCGGAACACAAGCACCAGGTGGAATCGGTCCTATAATCAACGTGAGGGTGTTTAAAGCTCCTGTAAGGAGTTTTTGACCTTTATGAAATTGACAAAAACTCACACTGATGTTTTTTAACGACATGAAAATGCAAACAAGACCATTTTTTGTCGTAGATTATAAAAGCTGTGAAGGGGGTAAGCGTTGGTTGTTCGACATAAAAAATCCGAAATAAACGAGAGATTTGACCGTCAACAAAAGCTGTAGCAGACAAGATACGACAAGACTGGTTTGTCCGAAAGGTGGCGCCAATCAGAAGTTAATAACAATAATAATAATGCATCAGATTTCATGTATTGCTTTATCAGAGACCCTCAAAGCGCTTTACATTGGATACATCATTCATTCACTCACACAGTCACACCCTGGTGATGGTAAACTACCTTTGTAGTCACAGCTGCCCGGTGGCAGACTGACGGAAACATGGCTGCCAGTTTGCGCCTAGATCCTCTCTGACCACCACCACACAACACTCACAATCAAACACCAGTGGTGGACACACACTGGGAGCAAGGTGGGTTAAGTGTCTTGCCCAAGGACACAACGGACAGACTCGGGATAGGGGGGAATCAAACCGCCAACCTTCTGGTTATTGGATGACTGCTCTACCTCCTGAGCTACTGCCGCCCCACAGGAGCTATACATAACTGATCGGTGAGCGTCTTTGCGGTTTTGTGAAGGAAGTAAATGAGTTTAGTAAATGCTTGACCCTTACTCCCTTTGAAACAGACTAAATATTCACTTATGAGACAAAGCCAACCTTTGAGACCCCGCTAAGACATCAGATGCATTTACGTAAATAGAGGCAGTGTTAGCTAGCTTGTTTGTCATACTATGACATCAACTATTAAAATAGTAAAAATAGACGCTAATGACGACAATATGTCCGTGCAGCAGAGTTTAGAAAGATTCATGTACCGTCAACATGTGAGGGCTGAATGATAGGAGTGAGGGGCGTGTGTGGATTTAGCCATGACGAGAAAAATGTCAGCACAAGTGAGTCAAAGGGAGAGTCTAACATCACTCCATAAAGTTCTGATTTCACAGCAGTAAAAGGAAACCCACTTGGTTTCATGGACGATACCGTCCTCTCTTTAACCGCTAAACTGCGCTTGATAGAAAATCGTGTTTTAGCTTAACGGCGGCTTCGCTTTCATCCTGCCAAGAACATTTCTACCAACATAAATATCTTAAAAACTGATATCAAAGAGCAGAATGATGAATTTGCTCTCACTTCAGTATGTTCTTTCACCCGCTCTGTTTTTGTCATTTAATTTGTGTGAGTTTCTTGTTCCTATTTGTTAGCCACAGATGGCTAAATGATCTAAATGTGACCTAACCAGCAGCATCAGCTGTTATTGACGAGGCAAATCTCATCAACCAATCAAACTTTTTTTTTTTTTTTCTTGCCTGTAAAACTTTGTGATCCTGCCAGGAAAATTGGGGGAGTAGGAAGAGATTTACAGGGAGAGATATCGACGTGAGTGAATAATTGGAGCACAGTGACTCGGAAGGCTCCAACAGGTCAGGCACACAAATATTCACAGGCAGACACACACAAGCTAGTCAGCAGAGCATTCCAGCGCTGTTTGGACTGTTGTTGTGATTGGTCTAATGGTTCTCACATGTCTGTCGCCCTGTCTTTGAGCAGCATACAGGACAATGTGGGCTATTCTTAAGACTTTACAACGTGCTCTGTCTAAGGCCGATCCGCGCACAGATGGAACAAACATTCACACATACAGAAAGAAAGACAAAAAGAGACAGAGACGGATATCAAGACTCAAACAGACGCATAAACAGAGGGAGAAGTGTGTGCGTGTGCGTCTGTTAGTGCTTGTCAACAGCGTCCGCGCTAACTGGAATAGGCGGGTCCCGCCTCCGCCGTCCGGCAAAGCAAAGACACTCTCAAGCCAAGCCAACTGTCAATCATATAGTCAACACAGCGCCAAAACTATGATAGCATCAGAAATAACAGTCTTTACCCATCAGTCTCAGTGGCGCACACACACGTAAACACACACACAGACACACAAAGGGAGGTTAAAGTCACAAGCTCAGCCTTGTTTGACTAGGCTTCCAGCATGCAAAGCAACATTAGTGTGTCAGGAGTGTCTTGCTGTTCTGTCTGTCTCTCTGTCATTGCTTTGACAGGCAGACTAAAAATGTCACGACTCACAAGAGAAAATGCTGCACTTTGTGTGTGTGTTTGTGTGTGTTTGTGTGTGTTTGTGTGTATCTATATGTGTGTGTGTGTGTGCGCGCTTGCAATCAGTCTGTCTCCAGCGTAGTTAATGCGTGGGTCCATTCCCCTCTTATACACGGCAGGCCCAATGCACAATGTCTTCTTTTGTTGTCACGTTAAAGTGATGCAATAAAGCTGTGCAGTGACAAGGACGGCCCCGGGGCCGCTGCAGTGACAGAGACATTGAGTGCGTGCGTGTGCACATGCATGTGTGTGTGTGGAGTGGAGACAAGAGCACTGAAGAGGGGTTATTGCTACGAGACAGATTGCAAGTGTCATTTTCCATTACAGCAGCCTGAGCTACTATGTACGACACACACACACACACACACACACTGTTACACACACTGTTACACACAGAGTTACACACCGATACACATGCCTTGGCCTACTTCAACAGGATGCTTTTGACAGGGAGGGATGCGCATGCATTAAAAGAGTGCCGACCTCGACTGTTTACCCCGTACTCACTCTGACGTCAGGTTGAGAAAGCAAAAATCACAGACGCCTTTTTTCTTTTTTTTTTTTTTCTTTCTTTTTTTTTTCAAATTCAGCCTCTGCCTGATTGGTCGATCCAAACGCCATAGATTTAATCTGCTTTTTCCATGGAAATCAAGATTTCAAGAGTCTGTAAATCACATTTCGATGAGCACAAGATAAAGAAATTGGTACTGAAAACCTTATTGCAACGGTTTTCACGGTTGTGTTGGTAGATTGAATCTCGAGCCTCTAATGGTTGAGAAAATTCTCTCACTTATCGGGCTGGTGAAACCGTCTCGAAACACGTCGGCTCGTGTAAACGACGCACTCAGGTTTTCACCTGACGGCAGGAGCGAGGCCCGACGGTCTTGTCAGAGCGGCTCTCAAAGGCTCCTCAGTGAATACATCATGTATTAAATACAGCATGACTATTGTTGCATGTAAACCTCTATTATCTATTCAAAAGTCTCTCAAGAGGCTCTGTTTGTTAACCAGGCAATTAGCGGGCAGTATTTGGTGGTTATCAGTACCACAGTTGACACTTGGTCTCTTCAGCCTGTAAAGTATGAGGCAGTAAAATGAAAATGGGATCTGTGTTTGGTCCCATAGCTTGTCCCTAATAAGGTGCAGTGGCAGCAGCTATCAGGGGCCGAGCTGAATTAGTCCACAGCGGATTCAAATGTCTAGATGCTATCAAACAGCATTTAATGATAATGGAGGTCACCGAGGCAATTGGGGAAAATGTGTGTGTATGCGCGCCTCCGCGTGTGTGTGTGAAAGGAACGTTTCTCTGTCTCCCGCAAAAACACAGCATTAAGATAGCATCGCTAATTTCTCCAGCTCGGCACAAAAACAACATGCAGAGGAGGAGGAGGGGAGGAAAGAGAGAAAGAGAGAGAGAGAGAGAGAGAGAAAAAAAACAGCACACAAGCAGAATGAAACAACAAGGAAAGTTTTTCTGCGACTTTCTCGAATGTCGCTCCAGATTTTGCCCTTCATCGTTCTTTCACAATGTCGCGCCCTCTCCGCTGCTATTTCTGACTGCCAGTGTGTGGATCTGGCTTGCTGAGATTTCATGCCAGTGTAAAAATTGGCTGAGGGTTTGGTTCAAATCAAATTGGACATAAGCACCCACAACACCATCTGTTAGGGAAAGGCAGTGGAGTGAAGGGCAGAACTCTGTATTCAGATAAATGGATTTTCAATTTATTAAATTGTTGACTGACACCCTTGTAAATTTTCGCTTTATGTGCCGTGTCCTATTCTTAGCACGTCAAATTTAAGGGAAACGTGTTGCTATACATCCATACAGTCCTTAATATAGAATAAAAAGCCCGCTGCACCTGTTGTTTTGTACGTCTTGAATCTCTTCTTTTAATATTTCTGCAGCTCAGCCTCTTCACATTTACATGCGAGGTAAAAAAAAACGTCTTTTTTTTTACGCTCGTTTCGCTCAAACTTCATCGCTCTTAAAAACGAAGCTCTCCTCGCTTAATCTTTAGGTGTTTTTGGCAAGTGATATTTGTTTGCGATTTTCTGTTAACAGGTGTGTCGCCCCTAAATGTGTTTCGTGACGCATCTGCGGTTGTCACAGTACTTTAGGGGGGGGAGACGCACCATATGTCCCTCGTCGCCTCACCCAAAAACTTAACTCACTTTTCAAGGTGAATAAGAGTCTCTTAACTCTCAGAAGTTGATGTCATGTAGCTGTGTGAGTGTGTGTGTGAATTTGTGCCAAATATTTTCTGTTTTGTGTTTGCGCACGAGTGTGTGTGTCCCTGTAGCCTGACTGCTGGTCTGGGTGTTTATTAATAACTGAAGTTGGAGCAGCTTCTGAATTAAAAGTCACTGTGGACATTGAGACTGAACAGGGACCGAGTCTCTCTCACACACACACACAAACACACACACACACACACTCTGTCTTCCTCCTCCTCTGCTTCGGTGGGAGACAGGGAGCATTGGGAGGGGGCTACAAAGTAAGGAGGAGGGTTGATGAGGAGGAGTAAAGGGATTTTAGTGTTTACACAGAGGCCCGGCCACCGCGGCAACTGTTGCCAAGCGCAGTTCTCCCCAACAACAAGCCAGTAATTGGTACTGTTAGCGGCTAACCTTGCGGAGGTGGTGGTGCGAGGTGGGCTTGGACAAAAAGCTTTTTGATACATCTCCCTCTCTATCTCTGTCTCTTCTCTCAAGCCGCCTAAAAATGCCCCTGTCTGTCTTTTCCTTTTTTTTTTTTTTTTTTTTTTTTCCGACAAGCGACTGCCCATAATCTTGGCACGGCCCCCTTTTGCTTTGGAATGATTGGACTGTCTTTAGAAGGAATCTATGAAAATGTGTCCAGACACATGGCCCAGCTCAACCAGACATGAATTGATCATCAAAATATCAACATCATCATTTCGTAATGGAGTATGTTGGTGCTGTCAGTGCGAGGGGAATAGCCAGACTGAGAAGCGAAAGCTGCAGTATCAAGAGGGTGTAAATAAGTGAGGACTTGTATTTCCAAATTCTGCTTTTCTGAAGTTTCTTTGAGGAGCTACATAATGCAGAAGGTCCAGTCCGTCTCATTTTTTTTTCCCACTGACGGACGAACTCTTCTTCTACTTTTCAATTTTGTGCATTTTTCTCTAAATAAACCAGCTTTAACTGTACAAACATTGTTGTATTTGGTTGGTAAAACAAACACAAGCATTAATGAGGTCAAGAAGAATAAAGTCGGACCTTCTTCATGTTGGTTGTTTACACTAAAATCTCTTATTGAGGTGCACCATGTCAAACTCTGCCCTGCTTTATCAGACTGTGACAGTAATTCACTTAAGATAACCTGCTTAAGGTTTTTACAAGACAGTTGCTGTGATTTACTTCAATGTGGATATAATCTAATCTTTCGATCACATGTAAACATTATCTTTCTGTCCCCGTCATGGCAGCCGGCTGATGTAGTTTCACCGCGAGAGTCAGCACACGTCTCCTTCTCCTCTCTTACTCCTTCCTTCCATCTCAATACTTCAGTGTTCAGGGTGGCGGTCTTAGACAAACTCCACCAGTGCTTGTATAATTGCTTATTCAATGCTGACCCCTGCTCAGTTTAGGAGGGAGGGGGGGTTGAAGGAGGAGGAGGAGAACAGAGGAGGAAGGAGGTGGAGTAGCTGGAGCCTCCACATGGCTGCCAAGGCCCAAGTCAATGTGGAGCCTGTTTTTCGGGATATAAGGGCCGGGCTACGGGTCCCAAGCCAGGGCCCTTTTCCTGTGGGCCCTCCTCCTCCTCCTTGTCTTCGTCCTCCTCCTTCATCCTCCACCCTCCTCTGAGCCCGGCTGGGCCTGGCGCTGGCACAGAGGTCCCTTTGTTGTGCACCCGAGGGTCTGGGCTTTCTCTCTCTCTTTTTCTCTTTTCCTTCCCTCTCTTTCTCTCTCTCTTTCTTTCCACAGACTCTTACCTCCATCTCCTCCCTCCCTCCCTCCCTCCCTTTTTCTCCAAAGGTCTCCTGGCTTCACAAATATGAGATAATAGGAAAAATAGAGCTGGCCGCTTGCGGTGACTCAGGGCAAAACGTCTGAGTGAAAAATAGAAAGTGAGCGAGAGAAAGAGTGAGAGAGAGAGAGAGAGAGATGGTATTGTTTGTGAGGCTGGTCAGAGCGAGCTGGACTGAAGTTGAGTCTCCTCCTCCTCTCTCTCTCTCTCTCTTTCTCTCTCTCTCTCACTCTCTCCAGCAGCTTCTGAAGCAAAAGCTCACTGTGGATCCAAAAGCCGGATGGGGGCTTGCTCTTACACACACACTCATACACACACACACACATGCACACACTGTTTCTCTCTCCCTCGCTCGGCAGGTGGACGGGGTTGTTTTGGCTCGGCTGCAGGGCAGCAGCTTGACTCCGTTTGAGCCAATGAGCCAAGATAATAGCCGACGATTCCAGAGTTATTGTCAGCGTTTTTTTTTTTTTCCCTTTTGCTTTTCCCAGAATCCCTCTCTCACTGGTGGAAGATCGTAATAGTAATGCTGCTCGTAGATGAATTTATGTGCTTTGCATTAATACGTCAGTGTGGGTAAACGAACAGTGGAAACTGTAATGATGGTGTTTTCAGCTCTCTGGCCTGTAGGAGGGCCTTGTTAGAGATGAACCAAACATCCTCAGTGTTTGTTTCATTTTTACTTCGACATAAAACCGCGTCGAATAATATCATTGTTCTCTTATCGGAATTACCTTTTGGAAACAAAAGGCGGAAACTTCATTTGAATGGTTCCACGCTCACACTCGCACAAACACTGACTCTCTAACTCTAACGTCCTCGCTCCTTCCTTCATCCCTCCATCATTTCAAAGCGAGGCCAGTATCCCTCTTCTTCCTAACACCCAACCCTAAAAATATGCGGCCAACACCCCTGCGTGGGCACAAACCTCCACCCGCTTACCTCACACAGCACATCCATACACAGAGACACGCAGAAGAAGAAGAAGAAGAAGGGGAGTACTCCTCTGATTTTCGGTGGAAAGAGTTGTGCTGTCCTCCTTCATATTTTGTCATGTTTGGCCGGAGTCCGCCGTTGTAACATGCTTCTGCTATGTTTCCATCCCGTCCGCTGACTTTTATGAAATCTCCTGAAATATTGCAGGTCATATAATCTGCAGGGCGGCGGCTAATAAATCCTTCAAAGCAGTGACTTATACCCAGCATTGTTATTGCTGTGCAGTGTCTGTCAGGTGATGGTGGCCGTATTTCATATTCTTGCAGGAAAAAGGGTAAAACAACAGAAAGCACTTGGCAGCTGGAGGTATCCTAATGCACCGGCTAATGCCCAAACAACCATGATGAGAAGCTAATGCATGAGAAGCATGTGGAGTCACAGGTTCGGGACCTCCAAAGACAGCTTTGTGCACTTGTGTGTATGAGTCTGAGTGTGTGTGTGTGTGTTTGTAGTTTCTAAAGGGTGACAGCATGGGTTCTTTCTGGTAGTGTCCCCACATCAATCAACATCACAGTAAAAGCTACAGCATGCTTTGTCATCCTTTTTCCCCTCTTTCTCCTTCCCTCCATCTCTCCTTCTCTCCACTTGTCTCCACTCCTCTTGCCCATTTCCTCCCATTTTGCCATCCGCCGCACAATGAAAGAGCCTCTTGGCTTTTATTAATAGTTAAAGTGGCCCCAGCCTGTCACTGGGGACAATAACTGCAGCCCTGTTAATAAATAAAAATAATAACTAGGAGATGGAGACAGAGAGGGAGTGCAATAGAAAGAGAACAGGCGACACTGCCATTTGTTGTTCCCTCTCACTTGTCAAAGCTCTTTGGCTTAAAAGCCTCTGTCATTGTTGAGGGAGAGGGGGCTGGAGGGAGAGATGAGAGTGAGAGACAGAGAGAAAGAGAGGGAGAGGAGGAGGAGGAGGAGGAGGAGGAGGGGGGAGCCAGGGGCTAATAGCACCTGTTGGGGTGATGGTGAGACAGCTGTCACAGGAGGGAGAAAACACAGGAGCACACTGTTTCCTTTACTCTTTCTTCCTCTCTACATCTGTCTCCTTCCCTCCTCCCTGATTTTACAACATATTTTACGTCCGTCCCCCCGTACCCCGGGTCCTCCGCCGACTTCACGCCACCGCTAACCTTCCCCTTCAAGGCTACAATGCCTTCTGACAGAAAGCACAAGGGCGCATCGGGGACGCAGACTGCTGACTAACTGGCTGAGTGGCAGCAGAGAAAAACACAAGGACAGACCAGTCAGGGTCCAAGGACGGTGGAGAGAAAAGGCACAAGTGAGAGAGCAGAAATGGCCTGCCTGGAAGTTCAGCATTGATCTCTTTTAAGTGTGTGTGAGTGTGTGTTTGTGTGTGTGCGTTTGTGCGGCCAACGGACCGTGAATACCCGATCTAGTCTCGAAGCAAGAGGAAAGGACCTGATTCAGGCCTCTGGGGAGACCGGAGGCACACACACACACACACACACGCACACAAACACACAGAAACAGAGGTACAGTATGTAGGACACGCTGCGCTGCTTTGTGTGTCTGATCAGAGCTTTTATGTCTCGACTGTCTTGCATGCGTTTTCGTGTGATTGTGTGTCACTTTAAATCCTGAAAATCTCCAGGTGGCTTCTCATCCTTCCTCATCTCCGCGCTCCATCACAGTCGGAAAAAATAGAGGGATGAAGGAGAAAGAAAGAAAGAAGAAGTTTGGGTGAAGCTCTGCAAAAAAAGAAAACAACAAAAAAAAACCCACTTTGATTTGTTGTGGAGTGCGGCAGCTCTGTGTGTATGGGTGTGTATTTTTGTGTACACGTCTCACTTTCAGAGGAATAGAACTAAGCTGTTCGGCTCAACACACTGGACCCCTCTCTCTCTCTCTCTCTCTCTCTCTCTCTCTCTCTCTCTCTCTCTCTCTCTCTGTGTTGAAAGCATTAGTGTTTGTGTGTGTTCGCGCGAGCAAGCTGTCTCATACCAGCGAGATTAAGACTTCTTTTTCCTTAAATCAGTCTTGTCATTATAGGAGAAAAAAAAAATAATCCCAGCTCCAACAAACTTTTTCGCCCGCCGTCAGCAGTTGCCAGCGTGCGTATATATCTCTGTGTGTAAAGCTGTATACAGTATATGTGCTTATTCCAGTGTGTACGTGTTGTGCACGCATGCGCCTGTGTTTGTGCATTCGAGTATGTGTGTGTTTGCTTTGGCTGATAGGGTTAATCCCTGCACTCCAAGTGTAAAAACCTCTTTCCTAAGGAAGGCCTCGCATCCCAAGTGCAGATGGCTCCTTGTAAATAGACTCCTCTCTCTCTCTCTCTCTCTCTCTCCTTCTCTCTCTCGTCCTCTTTCTTCACACTTTTTAGTCCTCCTTTGTCTGATCATTTCCCTTTGTTCAAGTTAATAACAGTCAACGGGGTGACTGGATGATGGCTGTATGTCTGTTCTGTGTGTGTGTTTTTATGTCAATGAGTGCATACAGTATATGTGCACACATTTAGGATTGAATCTCTGCATGTGTTTGCTCTCTTGTGTGACATTTCCATTTGCCCCCACTGTGTTTGTGTGTGTGCACCGTGTGTGTGAGAACATCAATGTGTGACTGTGACCATGGTTAGGATTGTAATTAGTGATTCTGCGGGTGTGCGTGCATATATGTGTGTGTGTGTGTGTGTGCGCAGGGGTTTGTGTGTGTGTGTGTGTAAGGGTCTGTGGAGTGTGTGTTGAAAACAAAGCACTAGCTGATAATGTGTCCATTGTGGCGGGTGCATTAAGGCCCTCTTTGTCTCAGGGCCCACAGGGCTAATGATTCTCTAGCAGCAGGTGAGAGGGAAAAAGCCTCTCTCTTTCTCTCCCTCTCTCCTCCACTTGTCTCTCTCCCTCTATCTTGCGTTGCCTCTCTCGCTCATTCCCTTTTGCTCACTTGTTTTTGTTCTTCAGATTTCCTCTCTTTCGATTATCAGCTTCTCTCTTTCCACCTTTCCCTTCCTCTCTTTCCCTCTCTCTCCTGCTGATGCGACCATTAGGCTGAGCTGCCGCTGCCTTTATTACAGCAAATGGACTTTAAATGAGCTTTATTGTCATGTTGGCCAGCCAACTGAATCCCTCTCTTTCTTTTTCCTCTACCCCCACCACCCCCCTCCCTTTAACAGAGGCCCCCAGCATTGAGAGGCTGTTGTCTAAGGACTGGAAGGATAAACTTTTGGCCATGGGCTCAGGGCACATCGGAGAAATTAAAGGTATGGCACCAAATATTGAAGGCAGAACTAAACTTTACTAAACTTAAAAGCAACTCAATTACCGTAAATCCTCTAATAAAAGCTGGGGCCTTTATTTATTTGGACTGCAGGAGGTACCAGGCCTTTATATGAAGCGGGCTTGTATTCGAGGCAGGCCTTTAATTTAAACTTTCAGCGTCTTAATATTTATTCCATATAGTTTTTTTTATATAATCTTTAACAGGACAGAGCCTTTTGAATAATGTGCTGTAACAAAGTGCACTCAGAATTAAATAATTACCGTAAACAATCATTGTAAACTACGAGAACTAACCCTTACTGACTCCATTGTAATAACAGTTTCTTCTCCTTGCCTTGAGTTGCCTTGGTTGCATTACGTTTTATCGGACACTCCGTGTAAAAACAGGCGTATAGCTGTCTTGTCTTGTATCAACATGTGGGTGCTAAAGTTCCGACGTCCTTCTCAGTTTATGTTTTGTGTTTGCTCTTGTTGCCATGGCTTCAGATGTTGCGCTTCCTTCCTCAGTCAGCTTGCCTCCTGATTGGCCGTCCTCAGGGATCCCCCCCCACACATCGTGATTATTGAACATGATTAATGTTTACTATTTCAAGTTGTTCGTGACGATCTTTCACGCGGATTGAAAGGAAGAAAATCTGGTTTCAAAATTGGATAATCTGCTTTTTGTTGGAAGGGCCAAAATTCAAGACATTTGGTCATAAAGTCAGGTGTATAACTATGAAGACAGAAATAGACATTAATAGAGATCGATGTTAAACTTTTTGGTTTCCAGACACAACTGTCTGCAAGTTTGCCCTTGCCTAAAGCGATTATAAGTCCCTCTGTGGGTAAACTTTCCACTGCGCTGAACTTAGTTTGATACAGTGCTGCTGGCTGCTGGACAATCATTGTGAGACTTTCACCATAATAGAGGTACGAGGACCCTGAACCAATAATTATTTACTCCTAGAGGATGTGATCCAAGCCTTGATAAAGAGCCAGGCCACAGTTCTAATATAGAAATCATGATAACCTTTAGAAACCTTGTAAAACTGGAACTTAAAATTTTGTTTTTGGTGTTTTAGCGCCAAGTATTTTCCCAAAATCCCAAAGTTTACAAAGACACGATGTAAAGATCAGATTGAACCTCCTTCTTGTAAGATCAGACCAACTCCCATCCCATCTTCAACCACATGAGTAAAACACTTTGCAGCATTTAGTAAGTTACAGTGGAGAGGAAGAACTTCTTTTAACAGGCAGAAACCTCGAGCAGAACCAGACTCATGTTAGACAGTCATCTAGAGATAGAAGGAGATGATTTTCCATGAACTGAAATGAACTCGTCTGACGGTTTCGACCGACATCTCAAACAGTCAGTGACGTCTCTGCTAGTCCTTGAGCCCTGTGTTAATCTCAGTGTTAATCACCTGTGTTATCCACATCAACCCTTCTTAACATCCGTGAGTGACACAGACAGGGCCTGACAGACGGCGGGGAGTAAAACAAAACAGGAACAAGAGAGCTGCACTTTGAATACGCCGGAGCAAGAATCAGCCTGAGACCCAGACTTCGAGAGTGCTGGGATGTGAGAGAGTTGGTGGAGAGTCTGGCTTTTATTCTGCTTAACTCCAGGGCAAACCGTCGTTCTCCTCCAGTAATTGAGCTTCATTAGGAAGCAAAGCAATATGTAATCAAAGAGCCTTGTGGAGCGCCATAGCCGCTGAGAGGGGGGCTCCATTGATCAAGCCCCTTTTTCCCAGCTCCCTGCCGCGCTGACATTTCTATGTAGGGGCGTCCCGCATGGCGAGCCACACACCAGCAGCTGGGGAGAAATATCAGGACTATGTTGGAGTGTGTGTGTGTATGTGTGTATGCGTGTGTGTCCTTGAAAGTTGAGTCAATGTGTGTCCGTAACAGTTCTTACATAACAGTGTGTGTTGGTGAAAATGATGTTGCACTCATAACTGTGGGAAATATGATGAAGTCGAGCATTCATGCGGCAGTTTGGGGCTTGTATGTTTGAGTGCGTGTCTGTGTGTGTGTGTGTGTGTGTGTGTGTGTGTAACTGTTGTCAGTGCACCCTTGACTTTTTTTTCCCCCCATCGAATTCCACTGAAGAGCTTTTTGTGAGGAACAAAGTGATTTTGAGCCCCCGCCTATCGCCCCATCAGCCCTATTGAGAAGCAACGATGATAAAAGGCCCCATGCAGTTCATATAGCAAATCACACACACAGACACACACAAAGTACCAGAGTATATACCACCTCACAGTACAGTGTTATAATCGTCAGATCTGTGGTAGTTTATGGCGAAAGTTAGCTTCAGATTAGGGCTGGGCGATAAACTGAAAATTTACCAATATCGAAATTTACGACAATTACCAATGTCATTTCGTCCATGTCGTTATATTTGGTGTCAAAAAAATAAAAAATAAAAGTTGGTTTTGGATGTGTAGGTAGGCTATGGTCTCATGTCCCTTTAAGACGCTGTTCTGCATCGTAACAAAGAGGGAAAGACAGGTGAGGAGATGGAGGACGGTTCAAAAGTTGTAGCGGCTGAAGTAGACGAAGTTAATGTGGGAGAGCGTGAGCAGCTTGTGGAGTCGTTATCGTCCATTTATCGTGATGAACTGCTCACTATATCGTGATATTGATTTGAGGCCATATCGCCCAGCCCTACTCCATATTGACACCAAACACAGTCCTCAGGCTGGATTTCTGAGTCATTGTTTACAGATGTTTTTTTCACACATCTGCCCAGACCGTCTTGTACCCATCTCTATCTTGATCCCGCCACCCCACTTTCTCTCCTCGTCACCTCAGAATTTACCGCCCCCCTTAAAAAACAAACTCGACATGTACTCAGCTGTGTATCTGCCGGATTAAAGAGGTCAGCGGTTAAACCCACAACCTGAGAGATCACTTCCAGCACGCAAACACCGCGCTGTAATGCTCTTAACAGCTCCGCATACGGACTCTGGTGGTCGATTGGTTTGCTCAATGGCACAAAGCAGAAGAAAGAGAGGGGAAGAGGTTGTTGGCACTATCTGTTGAGTTTTTTTGTTTCTTTTTTGACTAAATATCTCAAAAATGCAGTTTTGTCGTGTTCTAAATGACCCCGGTGTTAAGTGTTATTAAGATCAGCGTGAGTAAATATGATCAGTGGACGATTATACTTACAGTAAACTTGAAATTCAGTTACTGTAACCCGTCTAACTGCGTACTATCTTGATTTGATAATTCACAGTGATTAGGTTATCCTGTCCCTGTGAATGTCCCGCTCCTTGTCCCTCGTGTCCTCTCTCCTCCACTGTCCCTCTCTCTCTCTCTCTCTGCCTGCGCCTCCAGCCATCTCATCTCCATTCCTCCACCCTTACCGAGGGGAGTTATCAGTACAGCGGGGGTCATTAATTAGCACCGTCAACGCAGTGACAAGTATTACATTGTTACAAATTGGTTAATTACGCCGCGCATGAGTGTGTGTGAGGAAAACAAAGAGAGAGCCGGTGTTGGTCGGTAGGTAAGCATCAGCCGTAGCAATCTGCCTAAGGAGGAATGTGTGTACAGCGGTGGAGGAAACCAGTTATCGATCCACCTGCCCGCCTCGCAGCAGCTGAGGAAACAAGCCAACTTGAGTTGATTTATGGGCCGGCCGCAGAAATTCTTAAAGTCTGAATGGGGGTTAAAAGAGAAAGGAAAGAGCGAGCGGCTCATGTTCACTTCAGAGAGTCAGCTAAATCCCGTCTCAGTTAGAAAGCGTGTTGTTTTCTTGGATGCGTCCTCTTTCGGCAAATACTTCGAGTTTACTGATAGAAGATCCGCAGCTGAGAGGGGGATTGAGAGCAGCTTGTAGAAGGAGAAGCGAGCGGTTGTCTTCACTTACTCACGGCTAACTCCATACCGCTGATTGAAGGAGTGTCCACCTAAACACACACACACATGCTTACACACAGTTTTGCGTAGAAGTGCCCCAATTTTACTGTGTTTGCATGAGTGTGTGTGTGTGAAAAGGGGGGTTAACCCCAACAAGAACCCCCTACAAGAAAGCCTCTTTTGATCCATCCTTTCACCTTTGCAAACCTCCCCTTATCCTTTTTCTCCCCCCTGTGCCCCGCCCTCCCCAACCCTTCACCCCCCATTTGAACAGGCTAACGTTTTTAACACAAGGCTCTTTCTTGTCTTGGTCAGCTTGAGCTACACACACACACATACACACATATGCGTACACACACATACACACACACACGCTCTGGCTCTACAAAGGTAGGTCTGTGAGTTAGGACAGCGGCGTGTTTATTTTTCCAGCGGCCAGTGCTCCCGACAGTTGCCTTTATTGTTCATTGTTGGCGGATGGATGGAGTGCGGGGGGAAGCAGGAGTAGAGGAGGGGGTGACGGAGGAGGGTAGAAGGGGGCAGGAGAGGGGGGTCAAGGGTGGTGTGAGACGGGCGCTACCAACAGGGAGGACAAATGGATGGTTCTCACCTTCATGAGCGGTCAAAGGGCAGGTCAGCAGCCGCCTCCGCTCCCTCCATCCTTCCCTCCGTCTCCTCCTTTCATCCACCCCGTTGTGTTTCTCTTTCTTTTCCTCCTCCTCCTCCCTCGCTTCCCTCTCTTTTTCCCTTCTCCCTCTTTTCTTTCTTCCTCATCTGGTTTGACTGGCGCAGGAATGTGGCTCTGTTAAAGGTAGCAGCTGAGGAACAATGGGGGATTGTGCTACTCCACACACGCACACTGGCACACACACACACACACACGGACACACACACATGGACACACACACACTCACAGGATCATGTAGGCAAACACTGGTACATATGACCAGACATGGGCGCACACACTCGTCCTGATTGTGCCTCGGTGCGCCTCTCTCTAACTACATCCTGGTGAATGATTTAGACCTTGTGTGGAAGTGTGTGTTTGTGTATGTGTAATTGTGTATGTGTGCATGTGTGTAATGGAGCTGGTATGTCAGGATCTGAGAGGTTAAAGGTCAGGCCATGGTAAATGTGAGCAGGAGGTTGGCTGACTGCAGGGTAAACACAGACCAGACACACACTCTCTTTCTCTCTCTTTCACCCCCTCTCTCTCTCGCTCTCTCTCTCTTTCTCACACACATGCTTTCATAAAATATAGCTCTCGAGTTTACCCAGAATTCAACAGCAATCAAATGAAATTCAATTTTCGCTTCAAGTTTTGCAAGGAGTGTAAATTTACAAACCTGGCGGAATATTTATTTTGTTTGTTAACATATGAATCTGGCTCTGATCTTACATTTGTTTTGCCGCCACATTTTCCCTGTGTACAAATGTTTCCTCAGCCAGATTTATTTTCTTTATTTCAATAAGGCAATAAAGGCGCTGATGGATGGGACTCAAGTAATCACTGCTGGCCTTCTGTGCCGCGCAGAAAAAGTCAACATCTGGTTTTACAACTTTGCAGCACACACACACACACACACACACAGACTTTTTACCAAACACACCTCCTGTTGACGTGCCTCCCACCTCCCCTCCCACCGCTCCAAACCCCCTAACCGGTCATATTTTAAGCCGACCAACAAGCCATGGATAGCTTTACGCCGCTTTGTTGTTCCTTCCTCCTCTGTTCCTCTCCCTCATGCCTCTGACCTCTAACCTCACCCCTACAAACCTTTCTGGCCTCCAGATAGCCGTGAACAAAAAACACAGAACATCTCAGTTTAAGTTTTGGATGTATAACTATGTCGTCCTCCTATTTTACTTGCAATATGTATAAGAAATTCAACTGTGGAGAAGCACACGTCCTTGCATTTTCCATTATCGCGAAATACCAAGGCTCAAATTTGCATCCACCTCACCTCTGACCCACTTCTCTCGCCCCGTAGGTACCCCGGACAGCCTAGCGGAGAAAGAGCGCCAACTCATGGGCATGATCGGCCAGTTGAGCAGCCTGAGGGAGCAGCTCCTGGCGGCCCACGAGGAGCAGAAGAAACTGGCCGCTTCGCAGATGGAGAAGCAGAGGCAGCAGATGGAGCTGGCCAAGCAGCAGCAGGACCAGGTACGGGAGCACGCCGCGTACAAAAGGGCGATGACTGAGAACACTGAAGGCTGAAGACAAGTCATACACTTAATACACAAAACAGTCTTTTTTGAAACAGATCAGGACTACACGATTGGATTATTCAACATAATTTATTTATATTTTTTCTAAATCGTGTATTTTTCTCTCCGTGCACAACGCCTTCAGATGGTCTCAGTCTGCTGATTCAGATCCTCAAACATCCACCTAACCGTCACAAATGGCCGTCACAAACACTCCGACGTGTGGTTTGAAATCACGATTTTCTGTCCTAACCCCGTTTACACACACATGTACCAAACACAGTCACACACGCATTTCATACTGTACAAGTGTGAACGCAGCCAAAGACATGAGCCTTTGGCAGCTCCAACACAGGGACACTGCGCAGGAACGAGCCGAGAGAGTATGTAGTGTTGGAGTGGATGAAGCAGACACACACATAAATACACACGCACACACACACACACACTCTACGCTCCCAGGCGAAAGTCTGCCAGGTATTTGCATAGAGAAGGGTTCCCGTCTTTATTGTGCTTTTTAGCTTCTGGAGAGCAGGAGCTTACACACTCACGCAGACACGCTCGCCGTCGCACATGTGTGCGGGAACATAGCTGTAAGGACAAATCACCTGTGACAAACGCACCGCTGCAGGCTGGAGTCTGCATCCTGTGGGAGAGCGCACATGGAGTGCATGTTGTATTCATGTGTCGAAGTTCTGGGGAGAGTTTTTGTCGTTTTTTAGTTAATTGTGGTTTTGCTAACGCCAAAGAAAAGCCAGCTTAAATGATACTAATATACCAAACAAGCAGAGTGAATAAAAACATTTAAATGTCAGAGTTGTTTTTGGACTTTACCTTCACACCTTCACTCCCAGAGCTCCTCTAAATCCAGTGTTTTGGTAACTGTGTGTTGATGCCACTAAGTGTGACATTGTTGTCCAAGCGGCTGTGAACCGAGTCCAGATGAGAAGAGCTCTTGAATATTTCATACCAGGGCATCGACCCTCTGTCGTGCAACTGGGGCCTCAGAGACCTGCAGATGTGTCACATCTCCCACAGGCTCTGCACACACTTCAAACACACACACACACAAACACAAACACACACTTTCAGTATATACATCCTAATGATGTGCTGATCTTCGTCCTCAGATTGCACGGCAACAGCAGCAGCTTCTGCAGCAGCAACACAAAATCAACCTCCTGCAGCAACAAATCCAGGTGAGGCCAGTGAATGTGTTTCTGTGTGTGTGTCCGTCTGCTTGTGAGTAGTTTCCAGAGTGTTTGTGTGAGTCTTTTTTCCAGTACGGCCCACAAAGGCAATTTTGTGATTGTGATTGTTGCGTTTTTTCCTCGCTCAGCCATCAGCATTTAAGGCCTTAATCAGCGCTGAGTTGTTGTTCTCTGTTCCTCGACAACAAAACACACAAATGCACAAACAAACGCGCACAACAAAGTTGGATCCCTTATCGCTGACAAATACAGAGGTGTTAAACATATTGACATGCAGACCTCAGACTCAAGCTAGTTGTCCTCTCCTACTCAATCGTCTGACATGGACAAGGAAGATTAGGGATGAGAATCAGTAACCGGTTCTTTTTCAGAACTGGTTTCCAGTGATTCGATTCTTAAGAATTGTTTGTCTGCCTCCTTAACGATTCTGCTTATTAGTTCCTCTTACGTCTTGTTTATGCGTTGACGTAGTACGCGAGAAATGTGTTTTTGTTCAGAATTTTCCAGCATGGTTATGAGGCATACTCTACGACTTTGGAAATACATTTCAATGACGTTGACTGCCAGAGTCATGCTAGCGGGTAGCTCTCGCACACCTTAAGCAGCTCCCTTTATGGAGGCAGGGAAGAGTAAAATAACAGAGGCGAAGATAAACGAATGTCACCGAGCTGTGAGCAGATTTGTGGTCAAAGGGTATGTCACGAAACAAATTATTAGTGCATGGATATGTCATATCGTCGACCAAAGGTGACAATCATAGACTGTTTAAACTATGGACAACTTAGTTTCGCCTCCCGCCAGTATACGGATTTGAAGCCAAAAAGCTCTCGGTATATCTGCGTTATTTCTCCGCTCCAGTCTTACAGTAACTACATGTCAACATCACAAGCAGAGGGGGGAGAAAATGTATGATCTGTGGAATAAATTTCTAAAGTTTGTCCACAGCCCCATAGGCTGGAGGAGGCGGGATTTATGACCTATACTGCAGCCTGTCACCAGAGGGTGCTGTTCTCGGGTGGCTTCACCCAGCGAGGAGGCAGACGGCGTCCATTCTATATACAGTCTATGGAGACAGTAATTAATAGTTAATTCAAACAAACTGTTTTATTTTGTTTCTCACCCAATTAGCATCGATAAGGAATCATATCGATAATGGAATCATAATCGCTAAATTCTTAACGATTCCCATCCCTAATGAGGATTGTAATAAGCGTCTTATTTAAGCGTACCACAGCTCAAACAAAAGTCCAACATATCACGTATTATTGCACAGACGAGGAGTGAACGATCTTATTCAGAAAAAACTTGCAAAGAGAATCAACCCCAAAAAAAGTTTCTTTGAATGTGCGTCTGTGCTCCTAATAAGAAAGATGGGCGGGTCTGTAAGATGTAACACTAAAAAATGGAAGTATTGTCCTTTGGGTGCTACACTGGAGCCTCTATGTTGGTCCAGGTGGCTTGGACCGAATAGCCCGGGCCTTTGTAAAAGCAGATGACACTGAATTTTGAGCTGAGAAAGCCGGGCTTTGTATCATAAAGAGACACCCTGTCCGAGAGGGAACACACACACACACACACACATACACAAACGCGCACATGCACACACACATACACACACATATACACATTCCCCTTCCCCCTGAGAGGTTAGCCATACACAGTGTGTGATAAGAGACCTTGTGATTGCATGTGTGTGGGACGTGTGTCCATGTGTGCTCACAATACTGTGTAAAGCAGCTGTGTTTATTTGCTTTGTGCGAAGTAAATTCTGAATTGTTCGGCTTTTTTTTTTTTGTCTCCTCCGAAAAAAAAAGAAAAAAAAGACGAACACATGTTTGTTTCTGAGGATTTCTCTGTGCATTCTTCAGCATCCATTTCTTCATCTGTGCATATGTGTGTGTTTGTGTGTGTGTGTGTGTTTGCCGCAGCTGTGTGTGTAGAGCTATAAACACGTCCGCTCATGATTCACTCCCTCACGACCCCGTCGAGACAAAGCTCTCTTTTCCCATGACTTTGCAACCTTTTCCCAAACAAGCGTCTCTCCATTGAACGGGCCCAACAATAGTTTCTCACAAGCAGGGGCAGCTGTAGGCAGCCTCGTTAAGAGAGAGGGACATAATCAACAGGGGCTCATCACAGGAACGAGAAACACACATACACACACACACACGGCGACGTATATCACACACGCACAAAAAAATAACACCTTCACTCGCCCGAGTCCAGGTATCGGAAGCAGGCGCGGAGAGAGCGCCGAACGCTCGCCCTGATGATCAAACACACACTCATCATCAAAGACTTGGTCGAGAAATACACTGCTTAATCATTCATGAAGAGATTGTCCGCACAATCCCACAATACAATGGCCTGCCAGAGCGAGGGCAGCAGGTTCAGTGTGTGTGTGTGTGTGTGTGTGTTTGTGCGCGCCTTGTGTCTGTATGATAAGCCTCTTGTGATTGCGTTTCCCCCTAACGAGGCTGAGTTCAGCTGGCCCTCGGTGTGTGTGTGTGAGTGTGTGTTTGTGGGCGTCTGTGTGTGTGTGTGTGTGTGTGTGTCTGTGTCCTTGGCTTTGTTAGGCCCCAAACCCCCAAAGGCCTGTGAAGAATGCTTTCAACCGTCCACTTGGAAGAGGTGATGAAATGAAACGAATAATCAAGCTCATGAAAAAGAGAGGAGAGTGACACACATCCCTCATGAAAGGAGGACAAATTATTTATTGTCCTCGCGTCCGGCTTCCTATTTCTTCTCACCCCCTGAAACTCAAATCAAGCCGGCGATGTGCGTGTTAGCGTCCACTATTTAGGCCAGTGGCACTCGCCAAATGTGGCGCAGGCGGACAAACAAGCAAGTTCATTTGCGAGGGGGGGTGGGCATAACGAAACAAGCTAATGAAATATCGTAGGAGAAGGTCTCACGTTCGGTGGCTAAACCATTACCCTGATATCGCAAAGAGCGGGAAAAATGACCAATACGGTGCGAAACTTGTCTCTCAATTCGACGACATAACACAACTTTGACAAAACAGGAGCATTAAAGCATGCAGACACACAAAAACACACACACACGCACAGGCTTCTACCCCCTGCTAGGGGCCTTCTTGTTAGGCTCAAAGGGGTGAGCACATTTCCTCCGTTTTTCCTTTGCTTTCTCTCTCGTCTTCTCTTATTCTAATTAAACGACTTGTCTCCGAGGCTCCCTCCGGTGAAGCCGGGGACGACTATTGCCGCCGTGCTGGGAAGCGCGACGGGGATGAAAGGAGCTCACCTGCCGAGCGGCTCAGGGCTTACCTTGAGAAAACGCGCGCGCATTTTTTTTTCGCGGAACAGAAGCGAGCGCACGCACACACTCAGCGACATATACCGAAACAAGAGGGATGAGGGGACGCGAGCGCGACCTGCCTAATGAATCAAACCCACTCAACCAAGACACACACACACACACACACACAGAGTCAGGTGTGTCTCTATTCCTCTATCTTTTATCTCATCAAGCACCGCTGCAGCTAAAGGTGAGAGACGGCGGACGCACAGAGAAGAAGAAGAAGAAGAAGAAGAAACGGCGGGAAAGAATCAGAAGAAGAAGAGTAAAGCCACCTGATGCTTTTTCTAGTTAAAGAGGGGCCAGACATGCTGGCGACAGCAGTTAACAAGCTCTCTATTAGGGTTAACCTACATCAGTAACTCAATTACACACACACAGACACACACCTTCAAGTGTGTTTCACCTGATCGAGTCAAAGAGGCCGTTTTTTTTTTTCATTTCATTTTGCGGAAAATTACGAGAAAACGCAAAAGCATGATGTCCATTGACACACACACACACACACACACCAGCACCTCTGTACTCTGTGCATAGGAGCAGCTAACCCAATTGCCTTTGTAATTGTTTAATCACTTCCATTTCGGTGTAATTTGTATTTTCTTATGCGCGGGAAGTGTCGACGCGCACGCACCCTGAACCGCAACCCCGCTGAGACCCAACCCTCCCTCACACGCCACCCCCACACACACACAGACGTTACCTGCGTGTGCGCACGTTCTCGCCACCGTGCCCCTTACACCCGCAGCAGGCCGGCCTCTAATCGCCCCTGTCCGTATAAAGTTAATGGACTAATATTGCAAACCCTCCACCTCTCTCTCTCTCTCTCTCTCTCCCCTTCTCTCTCTCTCTCTCTCTCTCTCTCTAAATTAATTATTGGTTCTATTGCTCGCACGTCCCTTCTTTAGCAATAGGTCATCCAGGTCTTGCATTAATTGCCGGAGCATATGGTCGCCAACAGATTTTAGCTGTGGGACTCGCACTTTAGCGAGGGCTATTTTTTTCGCGCGCTCAGATGCGAGCCATATTGTGTGGCGCTGGCAGCTATTGTTCGGCGCATTAACTTCATAGAGCTAATTACTCCCCAATAATAACTTTACCTTGGAGTTTTTAGCGCGCCGCGTGCCAACCAACCTGTTTCGCACCCCATATGTTAATTAGCGGCCACATCTTCATTATGCCGCAGCGGCGCTTTAAGTTCAAGCTGTGCCGCCTGGCGCGTGGTGAACGCAGCCTCGACTCGCTGCCAATTATCCAACTCTTGCTCTGCTTTCCGTCTCTCTTCCTCTTTCTCTCTCTCTTGTTCATTCTGTTCTGTCTATCTGCTGTTTATTTCCTGAGAAGTTCTCTCGCCAGGGTGAATCGTCGACTTCTCTCTTTCTCTCGGTCCTCTTTGCCCCTGCGAAAGTTCTCGAGCAAAACTTTCACACGTTCGTTTTAAATATATTTATATGTTTAGTGTGTAGTTCATTTCGCGTCCAGAGCGTTTTTCTTTGTTTTGCACTCCCTTCCTGCTGATTAGAGGATCTCTCTCTCTCTTTTTTTTTTTTTTGTCAGATGAGTTTTGTTTGTTCCAGGTTTCTTTTTTTGGACGGTTTTTCGGAGGAGGGTTTCGCAGATAAAAAGCAAAGTCCCTTATTCTCCACGTCAGCAGCCTACAGTAGCGGCAGTGTGATGTTTCGTCTGTGTGTGTGTTATAGGTTTTCATGTTCGCTTTGGGGCCTGATGTGAAAGAGAAGCTGAGGAGAGCGTTATTCCCCAAAGCGCCTGCTGTTTCAGATGTGCCTTTTCCTTTATGTGGGATCTGGAGATTGTCTGATAGATCCGGCCTCGCTCTCACTTTCCTCCTTTTTTTTTTTTTTTTGTTTTCACTTTTTCTCGCAGGCTTTTCTTTCCTTCTGTCGATGCATCTCTTTGTCTCTGATTCCCGTTCTCTGATTTGAGAAACTCTTTCTCTCTTTTGTCCCTAAGTTTCAAAGTTTGAGCTGTGATCACCAGACTAACAAACACAGCTTGTAGTCGGCTTTGATGCATTGTATGACTCTACATCAAATACCAAGAGGAATATGGTATTTTAAGTCATTGTGCAGATGTTACAGAAATGTAAAGAGAGAGAGGACGCAGATGAAGACCTGATATGAGAGTCCAAGAAGTGGACGAACCTCTCACCCCATCATCCCTCTTACACACACACTCACACACAAACATCGTATCCCCCTGTTACACTCTTTTTTTTTGCGCCTCGTGTGTGTATTACCCTTCGGAGGTCAGCGTGTGCGTTTGCCAGCTCAACAGCTGTTACACACATATCCAGCTCAACTATTATAGCAGCAACATATGGGAGGTAATGATCCTCCTTTCTATCCTTTCTCTGTTCCTCCTTCTTCTCCTTTTGTCTCCCTCTCTCGCTGTTTTGCTCATTTTTTCCCCGCCGCTTGATCGTCTTATTCCATTGTGGCGACTTATTGCGCGTATTGTGTAAGACTTCTGTAGGCTGATTAATGTCTCCTCATTGTGCGCGGCCTTTTTTTGTCACCAGATAGCAGAAAAAGAGGCAGAGATATAAAGAGAACAAATTCTATGACATTTTCATTTGTCATAAAAGAAAGCCACGCGCTCGCTCGCTCGCACACGCACACGCACACAGACATGTTAGCGTGCCAGCGTGTTGTATGTATTCATTGCAGCTGCCACAGACTTATCTCCCTCCTCTCCTCTCCTCTTTTCTCCTTTCCTTCCCTCTCCTCTCATCTCCTCCTCCCTACGGTACATTACTGTATTTCTAGCCAGCTCCACTCTAGCATATGTCCAATTAGGCCTGAAAGGCAAAGCGGAACTGTTCTGTCTGTGATTCGTCCCTACAGGGGTCCTGTCCGAGCGCCGCACTAGAACGCCTCTCCCTTCTGATCGCGCGGCGCGGGCGTCGCGGCGGTTTATGGTTTACCAAAATGGTGGAGTAATTATTGTTTTTGGTGTAAGGGGGGAAACAGGAGCCGCTTGAAGAGAGCGCTATTCCCCTGCGCCCTGATAGTTTGATTACAGTGCTGCTGGCTGCCGCATGCCGACACACGGGAGCAGGAGGAGGGGGAGGAGGAGGACCCACTCACTCACAGAACACACACACACACACACACACACACACACAAATAGGTATTTACAGTAGAAAATTATGCATATGCCCAGGGAAACTTGAGTGTACACACACACAGGCAGGGAGAGCTGGGAGCGCTGTTCGCCGTGACAGACAGCCGCCCTCTCTCTCTCCCTCTCTCTCTCGCCCTCTCTCTCTCTATTTACCTGTCTCAAGCACTAACCACTTCAAGTGTCCATATCGCTGAGATATTACCTGATTGTGCCGTGGCACCGCTGCAGCCCCGTGATTGTGCAGCCATTTCCAGCCATTTTCATCATTCCAGATCAATTTTCCACATCAAACAGCTTTTACCTGCCCATTATCCTATTCAGCTATTACCTCCCTGCCCTCCTGGCGAAGTGAGCGGCGGCGAGACGGGAGGAGAAGAAGAAGAAGCAGGAGAGAGGAGATGAGTTGTAAAGAGGGTGCAAAACGCTTTACAACCAGGAGGACGGGTCAAAGGCGCGACCACCCGATCGGGGAATTGATTTAAAGGGGCGCTCCACCAAGTTTATTATTCAGCAGTTTCTTCAAAGAGATGTTGGATATAGATGTCTACCAGAGAAAATATTGTTTTTATAAAAGGACTGTGAATGAGCAATGGAGCTGATCTGTTATATAAGTGATTACATTGCATGACCTATCTCTTCTTTCTTCGTTTATCCTGTTCCTCGTAGGCGTTGCATTGTTGTAACGCTGCCATGACCGAAGATTCAAAATGAAATCTGGTGTCCAATAAAAACAACACGTTTCATGTTGTAACAAGAGTTGATTGATCAAGCTGCAGATGTACATTGATACCTATGGAAAGAGTCAGTTTGAGGCCGGATCCCAAACTGTCGTCCAGAACATACTTTCTGACTTCTCCTCCTAGTTTTGGGCGCTCCATCTTACCGGGATTGCACCTTAGTTTTTAGCAGGTCTATTAGATCTCTTATTTTCCTCCTCGTCTCACCTTTCTCCCCCCTCCGTCTCCCCCATCTCTCCTCATCTTCTCCTATCTTCTCCTCTCAAACTGTCACTCAGTCCATCACACGCAAGTCTTTGTGTGTTGTTTTTGGCAGAACGCTGTTTAGTGCAACCATCTGTCTCCTACTTCTCTCTCTTTCTGTCTCACTATCTCTCCTTCTCTCTCTCTCTCTCCTGTCGTCCCTGCCAAAGCCACCCATCGGAGGAGCTTTTTTTTTCTTTCTTTTTTTCTTCTGCTTCTCCTTTTAAAATCCTGGAAACCTTGTGAAGTCGTATGGCTCTCTGCCGACGCGTGCGTGCGTGCGGAGATGGGTTACGTCTGCGCGGTCGTGTCTGTGTATTTGGGTGCAGCGCGTCAGTGTGTTTGGGTTGTTCGGGGAGAAGGGAGCGAACATCATCCTCCAAATAAAAAGGAAAAGGCCAGCTGTTGAGAGAGTTTAGTGAACCGTCCTCATGAGTTTCTTTTCCGTCTCTTGAAATCACGAGGACAGGATCCGTGTTCGAGCATGAGTGTGCATGTTTGTGTGGGTGTGCGTCCTCCAGACTGATGTGTGTTCCCAATATGCATATGAGCCTAAGTGCATATGATTTTGAGAAATAATTATGATGTAATTGAGATGTAACTGTCTCCAGAATGGAAATCGTGGCTGCTCTGAGATCAGTTCGTCTATTTTTAGTCGTAAGTGAACACTCAGACTGCTCATCTTTTCTTCTCCTCTTTTCTTCCCCCCCTCCTTCATCAGCAGGTCCAGGGCCAGCTTCCTCCGCTGATGATTCCTGTCTTTCCTCCAGACCAGAGGACTCTGGCGGCGGCTGCAGCCCAGCAGGGCTTCCTAATGCCCCCTGGCTTTAACTACAAGCCTGGCTGCAGTGAGTCACATCCACACACACACACATAAAAACACACACACACGCACTCATAAATATGTGCAACTTTCAGTGTCAGAGTCCGTCTGAAGTGTGATGTTTCAACTGTTTTTCACCCAGCAAGGTAGAGTCGAACTGTTTTCCCACACAACGAGTCGGATTGTTTCCCAAAAGACGAGCTCGCCCCTACAGCAACAACTCTCTCTTAATAGAAAAACCAGTCCAAATACACCCTTCCTGTTTACACTCTCGATCTCTCTCTCTCTCTGTATCTCACTCACTCCCTCTCTCTTGCTCAGTCCGTTTGGCTCCTTCCTTTTGTCTTGTCTATTTTTTGATGTATAAAAGCAACAAATACAGGCGTCCTGCAGGACATGTTTTTTTTTTTTTTTTTTTCATTTTTGGCTATCGCGCTCCGGCTGTGTGGCAATGTGTTGTTTACCATGATAGAAGACAGAGAGAGGGAGAGAAACAGAGAAAAAGAGAGGTGGGTGCTTGCCAGGGGATGCTGGGAATAAATGCACGGTGGGGGGGATAGCAGAGGGAGGGGGTAGGGGGTGGTAAAGTGACCTGCCCCAGGTTCTCCTCACATTAACACAGGATGCAGCCAGAACATGTTTCCAACACAACCCACACACACACACTAGCTTGTGTCCAGAGATGGCTTTGTGATATCGCAAACACACACACACACACAAAAAAAAACGCTGCAAACGTGCACACAAAGCTTGCTCATGCACACTCAGTCCGGCCCCCCCACCCCCACCCCCTTAGAGTTTCACAGCTTCCCAAACAAGTCCATTCCATTTTAATTAGTGCCATCTTCACCCACGCCCACTGCCCACGTAAATACCCTGTCAAGTGGTGGGCTTGTCTTTTCACTGCCTCCGCCAATTCCAACCGGATTGGCACGCCGCGCCAGGCTGGGCCGCCCCTGAGAAAACTCTCTGGCAACTTTCAAAGTTGGTGTGAGTTGATGGAGTTTGGTGCCGCCGCTCTAAATAGGGAAATGTGTAGCATTGTACTGTGACATATTCTCACGTGGCATTGTATCTCGCAGATATGAATAGATATGATCGGCTCAGTATAGAAAACGGCGGTCGTCTCGCTCCATCACTTGTCGAACAGTTTAAGACAAAGAGAACTTTTTACTGTTTCAACATGATGAAAAATACAGAAACTGAACATACAAATTATGGATATAAAGTCACATTTTTTCCAATCATTGATGTGAAATATACGAATATACGTGATTTTGACCGTTACGCGTCAAACCGAACAAAAATTAATGATCAAAATGAAACAAAATGAAGTTCAGATATTTAGTCTTCAACTTTCTGTCAAAGGTCAAACTTGAAATCCCCTGAAACTAGTCATCCAGATAAACAAGTCAGTGTCTCCTTTTGGCTCACAGTCCCTCCTTAGAAAATTCCCATATACTGAGTTTATTAGAGTTCAAGTTCAGTCTTTCCCCTACATTGAGGATTATCTTGTGGTGGTGGGCCGGGCGGTGTGGGGTGGCGCAGTGGTTGCTCGATAAGTGCATTCAGAATAATCTAGTCACACTCAGGTTTTTGAACTATGCGTTTTATTAGCACAGTAACCCCTGTCTAAAGCATATTAGGAGCCCTAACTTAGCAGAAATGTAGGGGTGCCCACTGTAACTAATAATTCACATTTCCTCTCATTTTCACTGTATTACTGATAAATAGATAATAAATGCAGAAATTACAATGTGCTGTTTTAAATTCAGTGTCACATTTTATTGTGCACTTTTAAAGCATAAGGTAGACAGTGGGCTATCATTACACTGACCAATGAGAAGTTTTTCGTACATGGCATTTGTTTACTACTTTAGACTGATACAGACTGTTGCTTTATTAACAAACAACCCAAAGGAAAAACCAAGGTCTGGTAAATTAAAGCCTTGGTATCATATTAAATTCAATATTAATTTGACCAAGATGATTTTGAATGAAGTTTTCCAACAGCACATTGTATGATATATTTCCATAGATAAAAGCTTGCATCCCATCTGCGGTGAACTTTCGCTTCTGTCATCTTGACTCTGTCTCTTACGCTTGAAATAGATTTCAATTGGCTTCATGTCCTAAGAAGAAAAAGTCACAGTCAGTCTCTGAGACAAAGCCAGTGCTAGAATAACAGAAAGTATATGAGGAAGAAAACAGTGAGTCATGATAAAACGCTTTATAATGTGTTTTGATTATTGCTATGAAGCATTATGATCATATGTGAGTGTTTATAACTTCAGTTATACAGTGCTATAATGTGATTATAACACATTATACATATATTGTTTGTCAAATAAAGTGTTACCATGGGGGAAACTCTCAAGTTCAAACATTGTTAAAGTTATCTGCTCCTTTATATCCTCACTGTTATTCTCATCAGAGCTGAATAAGACATCAGATATATTCATTCAAGGCTTAAACTGAAGATCTGTGAAATTGCTTTTTGAGAATAGATGTAAAAATGTAACTTTTGCAAACATTCGCACCAAAGAAATTCCTTCTAATATTTCTTTGATGGTGAGAAATTTGGTTCTTGTCTGCCGAGGTCGCTGTCCTCACGCCAAGAGCAACATGTTTGCTTTCCGCCGTCCTTTTTCCTTTTGTTACAGCGACCCCCAGGAGGAGCATAAATATCTTTCCCGGCTCATGTTTGTCCAGGGAGCGAGGAGAAAAGACCCATCTCCTAGAATACACAGTCCTGAAATAATTCTTTAATCCCTCCTGCCCTCCCTCTCTGCTGGAGCAAAGAATGTCTCTGCTTCACTTTTTTTTTTCCTCAACAAAAAAAAAAAAAAAAAAAAAGAGAGAGACTTATATGGGAAAAAATGTCGGAAGGAGAGTTTTGGCTTATGCCGAGCGCACACACACAAATTTACATGGGCGCACACATGCACAATGGAAGGTCCTGATACAGCCAAGAGGCTGACCGCTCTGCTGAAAGTTCAGGTCAGAAATGCAAGGTCAAGCCCTGAGAACATTCCCAAGTTTTCTCTGTCAAAAAAAAAAAAAGAAAAAGTCTCACCAGTATGAAAGTCTGACCTCAGTTTGCTGCACTTTTAGTTAGCGGGCATGTCCACATTCAAATCCGAGCCATCAACAGGAACCTTTATTCAATATGATGATAATTAACAGCAGTATTCCTCCTCCTCCTCCTCTCTGCCCTCCCTCGAACCCTCCACCTCCTCCTCCCCTCATCTCTGACCTTTCTCTCTCCCCTTTTCTCTCTCGGAGTAATCACGGCGTGGCCTATCTGCACCTGGTCACTTATAATCCGCGCTCGTCCTTCTCTTCCCTGATTTCCCCCCTCGCTCCTCTGTCATCTCTCCCACTTTGTTTGTCCATCTTTTCTTTTGATTTATCGGTCCCGACAAGAGGGAAGGGGAGTCGGAGGCAGGGGAGGGGGGGACGGAGTTGGAGAATAACTTGTGAAGTGAGGAAGATGACAACAAGAAAGAGAGACGAGTCTGAAAGCAGCCCTCTCTCACCCCCCGACAAAGCGAGGAGAACAGACAGTTGAGGGGAGGAGAAAAAAAAAAAAAAAAAGGACAGGGCAGCAATCGTCAGTGGCGGCTCTTAATTACGGCGCTGGGGCGAGCTTTATCAGAATCCCCTCACCTCGCTGCTCTTTGTCAGGGGGTATTAAGGAGGAGGACACACAATCAGGCTTTTCATTAAGGCCCTACCGGCAGCGCACACAAAGGGCGGCTTTAACAGCTGCAAAGAGGGACTCAGGTGGTGGTGATGGTGGCAGGAGGGGAGCTGATGGGGTGAGGAAGGGGACGAAGGTGGGATAAAAATAAGGGGACGAGGGGAAAGGGTGATGAAAGAGAGGGATAAACGGATGCTCCGACTGATAACACTTTTGAGCTGAATGAGCGTCTTCTCTTGTTCTTTCCAGGTGACCCCTACCCTCTTCAGCTCATCCCCACAACGATGGCTGCCGCCGCGGCCGCCACACCGGGACTGGGACCCCTCCAGCTCCAGGTAAGACCCCGAGTGTTTACAGAAGAACCCCAGGAAGCCAAAAACACTTCGATCATCGCAGACACAAACATTCAGTCAAACATTCTGTTTTACTTTACACTTGGGTGGTCCAATTGGGAATAAATCCCCCTAACCCTGACAGTGTTCACACCACGTACTTCCCACTGAGCTATACAAGACCACAAACACAGCCACAGGGGGGTTGCACAGCTGTCACTTTCAGCCCGAGTGTTAGCGAGTGAGTCGAGCCCATAAAAACATGTTCTCCATGATTAGCGCTCAAAAATCACACAGAACTGACAAGTGTAACCCTAGCCCTCGGCTTTGTCCTGCAATTGGAAGTACAGGCCTCCAAGTATTCAGATTGGCTGTCTGAGTTGATCCGCGGGTGACGCTGAAGAGATTCCAGCCTCTTTTTTTTTTTTTTTTTTTTTTCGCCGCACAAAAGCATCTTTGTGTGCGATTTCACTTTTTTAAGGTTATCATCACGCCTCGAAATGATGAATACATTTTGTTCTGTCTTTCCACGAGCGCCTGAACATGCCAAGAATGAAACACTTTTGGATACTCTCAACTTTCGAGTTAAAAAAAAAAAAAAAGAGAAGAATGCTGCTCGCTGTGATGGAAAGATAATTTACTTTGTGTGCTAAAAAAAAAACACTCATACATGTAAAAAGAAGCAAATACATCCTGGGTTTTAGTATCTTCATCATGATCACAAAAGATATCTGAGTGTTTTAACAGACAATAATCCTCGCTGTCTTCATGACTGTGGTTTTCATATTTTTCAGACTCGTACTGGTCAAACAGTAAATAATAAGGGGGAAAGAAAGAGGGGAAAAAAACCCACAAAGATATAAAAGAGTAAAACAGAGATGAGTAAACACATCTGTTATTCCGCTCATGAGGAGGATGAGTCTGACTTGGAGGAAACACACACCACCAAACCGCACATATTCACACTCACATCCTCCTGGGCTTTGGGGTTAAGAGCCCGAGCGAGCCTACCCCCCTGAAACCCATTAACCCCCCAGTGTAGGACCCATCCCTGGTACAGGCTGCACTTGGTCCTCATGTCTGCTTGACGCATATTTCCCCCCCCACACACACACATCTTTTTCACTTACTGTTTGTAAAATATGGGTTAAAGGTTAGTCAGAGTGTGTGTGTCATACATGTGCACCTGTCAGCCAAACGTGCCGCCCCATATGCTAGACACTAGAGGGAGAATAGAATAGCTGTGTAATTCCATCATGGAGAACGGACCCCGCTGTCCTCACTGATTTCATTATTACTCCCGTTTGTGTGTGTGTGTGTGTGTGTGTGTGTGTGTGTGTGTGTGTGTGTGGCTGAGAATAATGTCCTCTGAGCTGTTATCACTGCTTCAATCTAGCCGTCCATATGTTCGACTGTGTTCAGACTCACTCAATCTCCAGTTGAACGGCTTTGTCCACCTTGCAATTGGATTTTTTGTGTGTTGTTTTTTTTGTACCAGCAGGGAGGGATGAGAGGACACAACAAGTGCAAAAAAAAAAAAAAATCTCACTAGCAGATTTCTTTCTTACAATCCTCCCAGAAAAACACACACGCAAAATCTCTCTCTCACACACACATACACACACACAGACACACACACTGAGATTAAGGCTTGTCACAAAGAAACGGATTTACCCAGGCTAACACAAGTACAGATGTCTCAATGTGGATGGATTTCCTTTGGGATCGTCTCTGCGCCCTCATTTGATAAGGAGGTGTTTTCTGTGCTCAGACGAGACATGACAGTTTGCTCTGGCCTGAGGTCGCCACGGCAACACAGTGATTTTTATCAAAGAGGGGCAAGAAAGAAGTCAACCCACTCGGCTTTAATGCACAAATGAAGGATTTTAAAAAAGGGTTGATGATAAAGTTAAAGGATGAATTTAGGAGTGTAAAAAAAAACACAATTTTAACACTTTAACACACTCGAACTACACACATAGTCCTCATAAGAGAGTACAGATTTGATGTTATGCAATCCTTCCTCACACCTATAAAATAACACTAAATTTTGACTTTATTTTGAACTACATTAAAACAATCTGCCGCTGTGAAGTTATAACAATAATAACTTGATTTGCATAACACTTTTTCAAACAGATTGGTAATAACTGTTTTACATACAAGAGCAAAAAAAGCTAAAACAGGCCCAGGAATACTGCAACAACACTTTTATAACTGAAGCAACGACTAAGTTTCGAAGTTTGGGAGACGAACACGAAAACTCAAAGGATTTGGATTTTCAGTCAAGTTTTAACCGAATTGTTTAATTAACAATTTTTGCAGAAACAACATACCGTGTGACAAAACTGGAGAATTTTACTGTTTATGGTATACTTACACATTTCTGAAACCCTAACATGACAGAGGGCCTTTTAGAGAGACTGAATCCTTCATAAATCAAGATAGAAATAGACTCCCAACCCTGGGACTGTAAAATAGTTCAGTAAATTCAAGAGGGGTCTGGCTGCAGACTTCCACTTTCAGGACTCACCTCCACTGAGAGGACCTGAGGTGACAGTTTTTGTCAGGCGCTCTAGTTTGTTTAAGTGGTCATCCCGTCTTGTAATTTGTCTTTGTTGAACACATGAATACACAAAAAATCATGTCAACATTTTTTTCCGTAAAATAAAGCCCCAAGAAATTAAATATATTCACATGAGACAAAAAATATGTACTTCCCGGTCTCATCTCTTTTATTTTGAAAGGCTTCAAATCAACTTCCGGTCCGCTCAGTGGAGGTCTGCAGCCAGACTGTCTTGGTAAATTCAGATCACTGTTGGGTTTTTATCTACATGATATAAAACAGTTAAAAGAGTCTGAGAACCTCATTGCTATAGGGACAGGGAAGAGAACCACTCCTCGACTCATACAGATACAGATATAAGTCTTTAGTGGGAATTACCTACCTAAATCCGTCGTCTATAAACAAACGCAGGTGAAAACTGAGACATTCAAAGACGTAAACATCCAGAGACGTTGGCCCCGAGCTGGTTTAAGACGGACTGAAGCGAAGTGGAAATCTGACGATCAAAATTTGGAAAATCACAGAATGTGTTTCCATTTCAAAGTAAACCATTTTACAGCATCACCTCATCATCGAAAACATCTATATTTTTGGAAAAGGAGGCACAAAAGAGGAGAAAATGACCTTTAGTTGATCACACTGTGTAAATTGCAGGCATGGTAAAAAGAGGACTGCGAGAAAAACTCTCAACAGCATGGCTTTGAGTTAAGTGCAGTTCTTGGAAAAATGTATTAATCTCTCAATGATTTAAAGCTCTTTCTATGTTGAAAACATCCTCCATAGAAATCAACAGAGTAGCACTTACAGTCAATGGGAGCTTAACACACAATCCTCCACAGGCGGTTTTCAAAGCAATAGAGGCTTTGGAGAGCGCAAGTTTGGCATTTAGTGTCTTAATCTGGGGAGATGAGTGTGACATTGTGCATTAGAGCATGTTAATCTGGTTCCCTATTGACCCTTGATATCATTGATATCATCCATATCACATAAATGGACTGAAAAGGACTGAGAAAGCTGACAAAAAGACAGAGAGAGAAAACGAGAGAGAGGGAGATAGAGGGATCAGCAATAAAGGTAAAAAGGCAGAGTTCCCAGAGAGGTATTTATAAGGAGGATCAGTTAAAAGGATAAACAGAGAGAAAGAGATATGAGGAGGTAAGAGGAGGAAAAAAGAGTGTATGTGTGTGTGAGAGATTAAATATGTGTGTGTGTGTGAGTGTGTGTGTGCAGCGTGGTATAAAGAGGGTCAATGGTGTGGGTCAGGCATCATATGGAGAGGCAGATGTTGGAACATATTGTCCTGGATTACCGCGCCGTACACCGGAGAGATGGACGGACGAACAACAGACAGGCAGTCTGAGGGAGAGAGGGAGGGAGGGAGAAAAAAAAGAGAGAGGGAAACCGAGACAGGGACAGATGACAGAAGGTAAACCAGAGAACAATCAAGCAACTCTGAATCCTTATCTAGAAGAGAGACGGAGAATTGCTTCGGGTTTGATAACTCCCCTCCAGGCTTCTTGGAAATGCCATTTACTGATAGGAGCGGGGGATCGATGCGAAATCAATAAGCAGTGGAGATAGGTGACTATCATTAGGCAAATCCTGCCTCACACAAACAATGAGGGAAGTCTGCGCGCTCCTGAGGTCTCTCACTTGAAACTGCGAAGAAATTCCAACACGAATAGTTGAGTTTGCGACGTTGAGGTAACAAGCACTTCAGAAAAGCGATGTTGTTTCGAAACCGTCTCAGGGAGAAAATAACCCAAATACTTGAGAAGTCTGTCATCATCAGGGAACATTTGTTCCGTTGTGTTTGTTTGTCCTTGGTGCCGTGCCATAATGGTATGAGAAAGGCATTGTAGTGAAGTAAATAAACTCTTTTATTTCAATTTGATTTAGTGCTTCGTTCAATTATGAATAACTTTCAAGTTTCAAGGGAACAGAGGTCAAGGAACTTAAAAATACACTGTTGAGATATAAAGAGGGTGAAGTATTTGCATGGAGGCTGTCTTTGAGTTTGGAAAACAAAACAGCTGGAGACGACCGAGTGGGATAGGAGGTCCGCCGCGTAAGAGTCCTCAGAGTCGACGAAAACAATAGAGCTCTAACTCTGACAACAACACCCAGGCGAGCCGCTAATCTGACTAAAGCTGCAGATTATTGACCGAGACTCTCACACACGCATGCATCCATGGATCCCCCCTGTTAAGAGGACGGGGGAGACCGGACACATCCAAACACACACACACACAAACACAGGCACTGTCAATAGCACTAATACCCGACAATCACCCTCACTCAGAGGAACACCGATAGTCACACATCACCTTTTCAGCTCTTGTCAATGGAGCTTAGTCCGCACATGCTTCCACACAAACGTACAGAAAACACACTTTAAAGAGGGGGCGGGGGGTGAGTTGTGTGACAAGAGTGCGCTGACCACCAGACCCCCCTTTGTGCGCACACGAAAACAACATGCAGATGTGTGAGCGCCGGTCTCACATTATGGGATTAGGCGCAGAGAGACGCGGTCAGACGCAGACAGAGTGACTTTTCAGATTCTCGTTTTAAGTCTCATCCTGCAACTGTGACTTGCACTGCTCCCCCCCCACCCCACCCAACCCCTCCTCGCTGAGTGTGTGTTTGTGTTTATATCGTGTGTGTGTGTGTGTGTGTTTGCTCCCCCAGTCTCCCCAGGGGGCTTTGCGCTGTCACTTCCTGTTTGTTGACATGCATGTCGTTGTGGCAACGCTCTGGGCGCGCTCCACAGTGCCTCTGCCCTCTGTACTCTGCGTGTGCGTGCATGGGTGTGTGTGTGCATGTGTGTGTCACTGCACGCCGGCCCATTGAGCAGCCTTTGAGTGACGGGAGCTGGCCTTGTAATGGAACTCAATTCACTCCACAAATAAAGAGGCCTTTGAACCACTGGTCCGAATATGTCAGGACACACACACACACACACACTTACGCACACACACACACCGCCTGTGGTCCACTCGCTAGGGGGTTTGGCTGGTAGGGAAAGGCAGGAGGGGGTTGGGGGTGTTCATGCTCGACTGCACCACCCCTCCATACACACACATATACACACACACATACATAAACACACTCCCTCTTCCAGGAGCCACAGTGCAGCTAATTGAAGAGAAATGAGCAAGCGGAGGCTGATCTGATCTCAGGGAGCTGGTCCTCCGCGCCGTGTCCGTGTAGCTTACCAGAGCATGACCGATCTCCTTCTGGTTTCCACAGCAGCAGCGGTGGCAGTGGTAGCGGCAGCTCACCCCTGCTTCTTACTGTATGCACCTCAGTTATCATCTTTCCCTTCTCTGTCTGTAATAGGAGCGGATTTGTGCGTCCTCTTAAAATACAAGCAGCAACAAACACGCACTTTCAGCAGCTGCACTAAACTCATACTGTAGGAAACTTTCTGGGGAATCTGGTCACAGGCTACTCTGATTTACTAACTAAAACTAAAAGATGCCATCAAAACTATCAAATCTCCTAAAAAATGCCCTGAACACCATCACTTACACTTTCATTTAAAAGGATCTGGACTATCTCCTGGATCCTGAGCGTCTAGTTTATGTTCTGATCCATTTTTTTTCTGATCCAATCCGATACCGATACCTGGGCTGAGCATATCGGCCGATACCAGATACCGATCCAATACTACTGTTGAATGAATGAACTGTTTACCTTACCCTGTGAGTGAAGGCATCAGGGTTGAAATCAGCCTTTCAAAAATAAAAGGTAACAAATAAACACAGATGTAAATTTACTTAAAAATTCAGGGCTTGACAGTGCAACCGTTTCACTGGCATCTTCAACCAAAAATAGATGAGTGTGAATTTTAAATATGTTTAGGGGGACATGATTGCATACAAAAAATCGTGCGAGGCAACAAAAGTTTTTTTATGTAAATACCACGGTAAAGTCAGTTTTAGGTTGGATATCCAACAGACATTCACTGCGGTTCTACCAGTTTGTCTTCTCACTCTCCATAACTGGTAATAGCAACAGCAGCGCGGTTAAATCTACTCTGCATCCTCGCTGTCAACGTCGGGTGTTGAATAAGGGACCGTCAATAAAGTACCGGTTGATTTTCTCAGAAAAGGCTGTTTTCCTTCAATAGCTTCAGTGTTATGTCCATTTAAACAATAATACTTATGTCAAACAATAAGACACACCTCTTTATTTCCCTAATTTGTTTTCTAAAAATTTTTATGTTAAATTTAAAGGCAAATTTTTAACATTTTCTTCAATAGCTTCCATGACATGTGACCAAAAGACCTAAAATTGATTTCAAATAATAGTACTCATGTCGACCAATGAGACAAACATTATTTGATCAATTTGCATTGTGCCCCTTAAGTTCTTTATGTGCTCCTTACTTTTTCAACTTAAGAGCTCAAGCGCTCCTCATGAAAAAGGTTAATGTCAAGCCCTGCATTATTTATTAACAAATAACAAAAAGAAGTAAGATTTCAATGTAAACATTTAGTGCAAAAGGATAGACAGACATAGAATATAGAGCGAACAGAATCGCTGTGTCGCTGTGTATGATATTAATTAAAAGAAAAAAAAGACTGGATTGGCATCAGATATCCGATCCAGTTAATTTGTCAATATCGGAGCCGATATCCGATTCACATATCGGATCAGTGCATCCCTAGTTTCAATAAAGTTAATTTTCTAGATCTTAAAAATTATAAGAAAAGTTTCAAAATTCCTTTTAAGCAACACTAAGAAAGAAAACATCACGGCTGCAGTGTTGTACTGTTAGTACTGTGTGTGTTGTTGCCACATGTGAGTGACAGTCAGGCGGAGATTATTTCAAATTCAAATACGAGTTTCTCCCTAATAGTACTTCTTTGTGAGTATTTGTGCCGCCAGTTTGAATGTCTCCTTTTTTTTTCTTGTTTGTACAAAAAGAGATAAATGTCTTTATATAAGATAGCAGAGGAGCAGGAGCTAATGTGGCTGTCAGGAGAGATAGAGAGAGGTACAAACAGAAAGACAGTAAACAGAGAGAGAGAGAGAGATAGCAGTGACAGCATCTCTTCCTTGTCCATTTGCATAAACCAGCCTTTGTTTGACGCCAGTGGCCGGCAGCCAAGCGCCAACAGAAGGACGGAAGTTAAACTAAAAAAAAAGAGAGAGAGAGAAAGAGAGAGAGAGGTCCTCTTCCAGAAAAAAATCTTCCACCAGAAATAAAAAATAACAATTATAACTATTCAAAAAAAAAAACAACACATCAGTTACTCCTCGCTAAACAACCGTTCTTTTGCTCTTTAGAGGACAGAATAACAATTCTGAGAAAACAAAACGGCGTCTTGGAGACCGGTATTAGCCGACATGAAAGTAATTGAGCCGTGCGCAGGATGATTTTGAGGAGGAAGATAGAGGGAGACGTGGAAAGAAGAAGAAGTGTTTATGAATAATGAAGCTCCTTCCAAGTTGTGAATATTACGCTGTGTCTGTTGCTGTGGAAATACAGGCCAGAGACTGTTTTGTGTGATACAATGGTATTGCATAAATATTCCCAAGTATGTTCACACCATAGCAGCTCAAGACATAATGCTTTTATTTAATTGGAAATTAATTGAATACATAAATAAGAATAGGAAAACCCAGTCCTCTTTTTTTTGTTTGTTTGTTTGTTTGCTGGAGCAGTTATTGAAACCGTTTCTCTTCATTTTAGACCAAATTAAAACATTGTTTTTGTCTCTTATTGTCAGAAGCCAATAAACATTGCAGAGGCAAAAAAAAAAAAAAGACACTTCTGGCGTGTCCCATCTGGCTACGCAAATTTCTCAGAGTCCTCTGTATGTCTGCGTCTCTCCCTCTCTTTTTCACCTTGAGAGAGCCGGGCTCTCCGGCCTGACCTCGATAGCCTGAATGTTTTCCCTTTCTCCCACGATGCACCTGGAGGGGACATGGCCATCTCAGGGCCTGTCAGAGAGGCTGTTAGCGCTTCTCCCATGGGGTGAGGGAGGGGGCTGACAGTGGAGATGTCCCTCTCTATCCCTCTCTGTCACACAAACAGAGGCCGGGCCACTAATGGCCTCTTCTTCCAGAGCTTTTTAGCCGGCGTCTTCTTTTTTGTTTGTGTGCTCTCGAGTATTCATTTATTCATGTCGCCCTTTTCTTCTCCTTTCTTCCCTCCACCCCTCTCTTTCTCTTTTTTCTTTTCTTGCCCCCCCCCCTCCCTCCCTCCCTCCCCAACCTTAACTCAACACTTGTCTGTCTCTCTCTGTCTTCTCTCTACCTGTCTCTCTGACCTTGCAGCAATTGTACGCGGCTCAGCTGGCGGCCATGCAGGTCTCCCCGGGGGCAAAGCAGCACGGAGGAAGCCTGCCTCCCCAAGCCAACCTGGGTACACACTCCCCACCCACCAACACACACAGTCACAGCGACAAGGGCCGCAGCACCCCGCCTCCAAACAAAACCAAGGTAAGGGAAAAGCGAAGGCCCCCCTGCAAGTGTCATTGCTTGTGCGTGTGTGTTGAATACCAGAAATGCCAGGGGATGCAGGGAAATAAGAGTCTGAAAACCAGATTAAAGGACACTCATTCATAAAGTCCACATGCACATAGACATATCTTAACTTCACTAATCTGTGCTCTGAATCCTTGGAAAGCGGTCCTGCAGTCCTCCTGCGTCCCCTTTGGCCTTTCTTGTGTTACAACAGAGACTGAAAAAAGTGAATGTCTGCCTGGAGGAGATTGTGCATGTGCCGAAGAAGTGTGTTCGAGCTCGTTCGATGGATCCTTCACATTTCGAGTCCCCTCATACTAATGCGCATCCAGGTTCGAAACCTGAATCCTCGCCGCCAACTTTATCACAAACTCCAGCTGGTGTACGGTATGAGGATGTAGCGGTGTTTGTGCCGTTTTCTCGGCTCGCTGCACAAAAGAGGAAAAAGGACGCCTCGTGTCCATCCAAGTGGAATTCTATGAATATCTGGTCAGGCGTTGGGACCCCGACCAACATCCCTCCAAACACACACACACACACGCACACAGACACAAACGCCATGGTCCCTGCCAAACCTCAGTCCACCAAAAGACCCCCTGCAGGTGTAGTGGTCAGCCACAAGTCAACACAAACAGACTCTGAGACATGGGATCGGACTTGAGCAGGACAACACCATCAGAGTCCCACAGAGTTTCCGTGTCTGATTGTGCTAATCCCACTTTTTATCACATAAATCAGTTTCACAACTTTCTTCTTCTTTCCTATAACTTTCCTGTCCTGTCCCAGTCTTCTTTCATCTCCTCTCACTTTACTTCATCATATTCTTCGTTATCTCTCCTTTCTTTTATTTTGCACCTGATCAGCTAATAGTTTCGACTAACAACACGTAGACACACTCACACCCGGAGAACAAACACACATCGAAGTTTACATCTGACCTTGCACCTGGTCTCCCTCGTCCATCATCCCCTTACAACATGTCACTCACAAACCCAGGGCACACTTTACCATCCCACCCCACTGACACCTGTCTTATTACCATATATATGGACTTGGGCTGACAGGCAAGTGCCACGACCCACAGTGGAGGGGCTTTGGAGGGCCGTAATGGCCTCGACGGTCCAGCAGGAGTGGCAGACTTGGGAGCAGACCCACATGGCACCCAACAGGCCCTGTGGAGCCGGACTGGCCAGTTGATTGCACCACAATATTGATGTTTTTCTTTCACATGCTCCCTCACAGTTAGTAAGCATTGAGAGACAAAGTTTAAGATACATGCCCTGTGGTGTTTTATGTTGGTCTATCTTTTCATTTTTTTCTTTTCTAGCTGCTGTTTTGTGTCACTTTTCCCCGCTAGACTTTACACTGACCAGAGCCTGGCTCTTATTCACTCTCCTAACCACCTCTCCTCTTTCTCTCTCTCTCTCTCTCTCTCTCTCTCTGAGTGAGTGACATGTATATTTCAAAGGTGTTCTCCCCCTATGGGCCTCATCTCAACTCTCTAGTCATTTAGAGCCACGCTGTCTGCCTCTGCTCACAGCTGTTTGGACTCAGGCGCATACCGCTTAAGTGCTTTACCCTCGGGTGAGACACCGGCGCACATACACTTGCACAGATGCACACAACACACAGGTGTTGGATAAGACACCATGCCAAATCGAAATGGTGCTGCCCCATCACACACACACACACACACATACACACACACACACACACAGGAAGAAATCACTGCAGCATACATGTAGCTTTCGCATACACAAGAGTGGATCTTTAAATGAAGGCAGGCATGCATACTGACCCATACAATAGTGCGATTCAGATGTTGCACCGTATGCAGCCTATTCGCTGACATGCAAAACTCACACGCAGAAGCTAGGTGCATGTATTCAATGCACAATATTGACACACCTGTTTTAAACGCTTCTCCTCAAGAAGTTTAATCTTTTTTTAACACATTTCTGAAAACAAGAAGTACTTGCTGGGTCAGATTTTGCATAAAATTGTTGAAATTTCATGTGTGAAATGAAATAAGTGGATGAAACTAGGAGTGTCCCGATACAATATTGATATCAGATATGGGTCCGATATCAGCAAAAAAGAATATCGGATACAAGCAGTCTATTCCAGACTCCGCTCTGGCACCTCTATCTAGCAGCTCCCGGATCCAGCAAAGTAGTAAGGAGTCAGAGTGATGTTGGCCTTGTGGCAATATTTTTGTTTAAGTCCAAAAAAGATGTTGCAGCTGAGTAAAAAACTTGTAATGCACAATTTTGTGCAGATATCGGACCAATATTAGTATCAGTCAATATTGAAGGCTACAGTATTGGTATCAGTCATTATTAAAGGCTACAATATTGGTATTGGTCAATATTGAAGGCTACAACATCGGTATCAGTCTATTTTAAATGCTACAATATCAGTATCATATTGGAAGTCAAAAAGTTGCATCGGGACGCCCCTAGATGAAACTGTTAATATGTTCTGAATTAACTTAGTCGACCTGAATGACACACTTAGTTTCTATTATAGAAATTAAAAACTGAGTTTAATGATAAAAGTCAAACAACTCAAAGCTAATGTGTCAAGATTACAGAATCGAGAGTTTATCAGACACAAAGATCTTCTTTCAGTCTATTGAACCGAAATTTTTTTAAAGACAGTGTTCAGTCACAACATTCCTGCTCTGATTAGAAAAACAAACACAAAAATATTATCTGTCTAGACTGTCAAGGTGAAGCCACATTAACAAGACTGTTTTTCCCTCCAACACAAATTAGCAGAAAATTTCGAGTGCATTTACATACTTGAGGAGTTAACGTTTGAATCGCTGCCACACACTGTAAGAAACAGTGTCAAATCTGCCACTTGTGTGTCGTCTGCTGTCTGGGTGAATTAGATATGACAATATAATTAATATCCAAACAGTCACTTATAGCTGGGAGCGAAAGGAGAGAAGAGCGGGTAAAAAAAAAAAAGAAGAGAGGAAAAAGCAGAGAGAAAGATAAAAGAAGAGAGGCTCATGTAAAGGTCTTGACATGGACACACACCTGAACACACAGACACCTGCCCAAGATAAACGGCGGCGGCATAAACACTTGTCCTCTTAATTGAACCGTCAGCCCCCATGATAAGATGCAGAACCCTGATGTCGCTCTCACATGTCGGAAACACAGCCCACACACACTCACACACACACACACACATTATCTCTCCCCTCCTGCTTCTTCTTTGTCCCTCTGGCTCTCCTCGTCGTCTCTCTGCATGTTTTCGGTCTTAAAGCTGGAGACAGTTTCATCAGCCAAGAGAGGCACAAAAGCAATTGTATTAATTCCAGATTCCAAGCCTTACAGAGGCTTTAGAGGCCTAACACACACACGCTCATAAACACACACCCTCACTCGGATACGCGCGCACGCACTCACACACACACTGTCATGAGATTTAAAGCTTGTTGAACAATGTCTCACAGTGACAAACACACACACACACACACACACACATTAACAAGTCGGTCCAAGCCTCTCAGCCTGACTGTCTAAACTAATTCCTCCACACTGGCATAATGCAGGTTGGCCACCTTCCCACCGTAGGATTTGGCTTGGCGCGGAGGGGAGACTCCCCCATCCACTGTACAAGAGGCTGAGGCATTATCTATTTGTAATAAATATTCAAACACATCCCCAGCCAAAGCCCACCATAATATGGGTCAGGATTGAGAAGATCCCACTCAGTTTTTCTTTCCTTCTTTCTCTGCTCTTCCTCTCCGGCCCATTGTCTCACTGAAGGCATCTTTGGGGGTCCTCCTTCTTTTTAGAAAGACCTCCCTAATGAAGGACAATCCGGTTAGGCCTCATCGCTCACACACACACACACACATAAAGTGATGATCGCGCACACACACGCACGCACAGGCTTAATTGGAAGGGCTTAATTGAGTTGTGAGGGGCTCATAAGCTTAGAACGACTCAAGGAGTGGGAATCAGGGAAAGTCGGCCTTAATGAGTGGATATGCCACACACACTTACACACACGCACACACACAAAGTGCTCGCTCTTCTATTGGATCCCACTATATACTGGTTTCTGCTCTGCCTAAGCAGCAATTAGACTAATGACCAGTAAATAAAGACAAATAATACCTCTGTATTCCATGGTTTTAATTCAGCTATCACACACCTGTAGTGTCAAAACTTCACTAATTGGCTTTATTTAAAAAAAAAGTGCACGTGATGTAAATTTGGCGTAAAGAGTTTGGATGTAAACCAACTTACAGATGCTGTTGTTGTTGTGTCTCCGTAATTCTGCGTCTACCTTTTAATTGTGGAGTTTTAATTACACAGAGTGGTCTGTCTGTGTGCATCTGGCCCCTCTGTGATTTAATTCCTTTCTTCTCGTCATGTGACCCTTTGAGATCGCCCTTGATTGGATTAGGTCATCAGCATGGGGTGGTGTTGCTATGACGATTAATGTGATAACAGCCCCCGGTGTCTCGCAGTGGTCCACATGCCAATTCATTTAGGGACTACTGTCTGTTTCCATGCATTGAGGTTAATCACTGTGTGAAGACATCTTCTGAAACAGATACAGAACTAAAAGGAGTGACGGTTAAATCTTGTTTCGCGTCATGATACTTTCATGAGAATACAGCAGGAATCGGCTACAAGGGCCTCAGAAAAAAAAAAAAAGCTACTTCAGAGGTTATTGATCAGTCGCTGCATTTGTGTGAAAGAGCCGCCCCGCCGCCCCCTCCAACGCTGATTTTCACAGCCATGAAGGTCCCGAGTTTCTAATGGAGCAAGTGCACATTGAAGTGGCAGACAGGCCTCTGCGCTGTTTGCTGCTTGATACGCGGAGACGTTACCACATCTTTAGACTCTCCCAGCTGTGAAGTCTGAGGAGGTTGTTGTTTTTGTGAAACACAGACAGAGAGAAACGTCTACTGTAGTTTTGAGGACGATTTTGAGCTTTTAGTTTCTTTTTTTGTGCAGTTGCTCTCGCTTTAGGAGAAGCATCGCAGTGCATGTTTTACCGGAGCCTGCATGTGGTGTGCACATGCATGTGCATGAATCTCTTTTGCTACACTGTGATGGAATTGAGTTTGCATGTGAACGTCAGTGGTTTGCACCAAAGTTTCTCAGTACTTCTTCTTTTATTTGTGCTGTTAGTCGTTTTATGATAACCTGTTTGGAAACAGGCAGTGGCATGCACCTCATCATCTGTCCCACCAGGCTTGCATAAGATTCCTTTGCATGGGCTTCCGTGTAATAACTACATGTAAAAGCCTAAATCACAAGTGGTCTCAGAAAGGGGGAGGGGTCGGCCCCGCCCCCTCTCGCCTCCCACTTCCAAATTCTTATAGTGGTCACAGCAGGCGAAACTGTGCTGTTTTGGTTTTTGCAGGACAGTGAGGGTGCACAGCCACTGAACCTGTCGGCCAAGCCTAAGGCATCCGAGAGCAAGTCACCCAACTCCCCCCCAACTTCCCCACAGGTTCCTGCTGCTGCTGCCACCAAGCTTGGCCCCGCAGGCTCCATGAAGCACAGCATCGCCCCCTCCAGCATCGGTGGACCGCAAGCCAGAGTTAGCTCAATTGGTAAGTGGACAACTGTACATACACACACACACACACACACACACACACACACGCACACACACACACACAGCACGCAACAGGAAGTGGAAATACATTTTGTGTTTATTTTTTACTTATTTATTTTAAATACTGTCCCCACTAAAAGTAGTAAGATTGCACCTGTGACATGAACTCATAGAAGGTAAAGGAAATCACTTACCATAGGAACTGCACTTTAAGTCACACAGGTTTATGAGAGACACATGAATATAGGGCTGGGCGATATGGCCTCAAATCAATATCACAATGTATTGAGCAGTTCACCTTGATGACAATAAAAGGACGATAACTACTCCACAAGCTACTCACCCCTTCCACATTAACTTCATCTACTACACCCGTCTTTCCCTCTCTGTTCTGACGTAGGACAGCGTCTTAAAGGGACATGATACTATAGCCTACCTACACACATCCAAAAACAACTTTTATTTTTTTAATTTCTTAGACACCGAATATGTTGACATGAACAAATTGACGTCGGTTATTGTCATAAATTTCTGTGTCTGTAAATTTTTGTTTTATCGTCCAGCCCTACATGAACACAGTCAAGGATGTGTATTTTCTATGCTTTGCAGCTCTTTCTTACTCCGTCCATTGTTGACGTCCTGTCAGCTATTTCACCATAGATTTCTGAACCATTGGTAGTCATGAAGTATCAATAGTCCCACTGCCTATAAGCAAAGGTGCTTTAACAAAACCTAGGTAGGGAGAAAAGAATTATAAGGCAGCGTTGGTGGACCGGTCTGCCTCGTGATGCTTTGATTTGTGCACCAGGGCTCGCCTCTTTGGGCCTAAACTGGTTGCTCTGGTGCACAAAAAAGTCAGAGGTAAGAGGGTTTTAATGGGCTGAAAAGACATCTGATAGCACAGGAAAGAAGTCTTACACCTTTACACGTTGGAGTTAAACCTGCAACCTCCTGGTATCCCCTCAGCAACATCCACATAAGCAGTTTTAGAGTAAAGATGACCGCGCTTTTCCTGCTGATATGTGATCGATTGTCAGAAATTAGTTATAATAGTCATGCTTTAGGTTTACTTGTCAAGAATTCCACTTAATTTGATGCACATCGTCATTTTAATCCATTTTAAAACACAGATTTTGCACCCAGTGTAAGTGCATCAAACATTTAAACCAAAAGAATTAAGAAATTGTTGTTTGAATTAAAATCTGTGTCTTCCAGGAAAATAGCAGTGGCCTCTCTGGTGGTGGCGGTGATGACAAGAATAACATTTCCCTTGTAGTGTTTCTATTGTTGCTAATGCCTGCGCCATAATCATACCCGGCCATATGTATACATACATAAAATATGACATAAATGAATCACCATTTTGTACTCCTAATCCATTTTTCACGCAACACTGATAGTTCAAATATTACACATATGTAACAGGCTATAATTAGTGTGTTTGTGTTTTTCCTCCGTGCCGCTATTTGCCTCCGGGCTGCTTCATTGTTATGTGTTTATTAGTGACTGAAAGAGACAGAGAGACATAGGAGCGAGGGGAAGGAGAGAGAGATGGGGATTAGCCGTTTTTTTTTTTTTTTTTTTTCCAAGCGATGAAGCGGGGGAATAATAAAGAGAGAGGAGCGCATGACAGACAGGAGGTATCACCAATGAGATTAGACAAGCCTCTTACACGAGCCAGGACACCGCAAACACCCAGCATTAATGACACAATGACAGCACACACACTCATGCACACACACAAAAGCTCACAATCCCACCTCCTCCTCCTGTGCAATAGACAGTTAGTCATTTTTTTCTGACTTCTTGGCTAATCTCACTGTTTTTCAACAAATCGGCGGATTTAATATCAGATTAGTGGATTTGCAGTCCCAGATGTTTTTTGTTCGGAAAAATGGATTACAGTGTTTAAAGTTTGTGTGTGATCCCTGCTGAATTATTTGTGTGTGGGGACCAGCGTGTTTTGCGCCGCCGATCCCAGTGTACGCCGCACAGCTCCCCGTCCCATCTGTTGCCACCGGGGTTTAGCCGGTCGCATTTGTTATCGCAGTTCATCGTCGTATTAGGATTCCCGTTACAAGTTCAGAGGGGATAGAGGGCGCAGACAAATTGGAGAAGAGTCGAGAGGAGGCCGTTTTGATGTGGGAGCGATTATTCCTGCATGTGTGTGTGTGTCTGTTTGTCTGTGTGTGTGTGTGGGTGGCACAGAGTATGAATATGTGCTCAGATTGTACAAATTCAGACGTGCAGACATGCTCGTGGTAGACGCTGAGGAAATTGAAAAGGTGGCAGAGCTCCACTGAGGGATCAGAGAGATTAAAGAGTTTATTTATACGCTCAAAAGAAAGAGCAAAGTTGCAGGTTAGATAATGTTGAATTTTAGAAGCACATATTAGTGAATATTAGTGCATATAGAGTTAAAACACACTTCTATTTTAAGACTTAACTCTCATCAAACTCGTGATAATGCGTCTTTAGTAGCACTTTACTTAACGTCTATCTTTATAATTCATTATAAATATATGTATAATGCATTATAATCACGTTATAAACACTCATAAATTATCATAATGCTTAATAGCAATAATCATAACACATTATGAAGCATTTTATCATGAATTACAAGGTCAGGTATTATAATGTGTAATATATACACATATATTTAAGATGTGTTATAATTTGCTTATAAACTTGTATCACTATTATAATAAACACTCATTAATTATCACAAGTCTTTATAACAATAAGCATAACACATTATAATACCTAACCTTGTAAGTCATGATGAAATTCTTTATAATGTGTTATGATTATTGCTATTAAGCATTATTATCATTTATGAGTGTTTATAACTATAGTTATACAGTGCTATAACATGATTATAAAGCGTTATAGAGATACGTGTCAAGTAAAGTGTTAAAGCGTCTTTTATAATATGAATAACACAAACAGTATAGCAGGATTTCCAATAAGATCTATTCATGTGTTTTCTCTTTGGACAGTCGGTTAAAAGAGCTCATATTTGTGCATCATATAATATAAAAATGTACGCCTTTAGAAAACTGTGAATACATCTTTTTTTTTTTGGCTTCAACAAGAAAGTCTAAAATCTGCTGCTGTTGCTGTGATTATGCACACTCAGTCTTCCTGCGTAGAAATCTGGGTCATATCTGCAGGTAAAACGATTATTAAACTGTGTTCATTCCTAATAGTGTCACCCTTCTTACACCACTTCTCCTGAGTTCATCCGTTCACAGCGCACCTATCTTTCTTCTCTGACACCTAATAACCCAAAGGCACGCTCTCTTATTCCTTCTTCATCCGTCCATCAATCCATCAATCTCTCTACCCTTCGTGAACTCAGCTGAGAGGCTGTCAGCGCCTGTAACCTTAACCGCTATAACACATTTGTCTTTGTCCCCCCCTCGTCATAAAATACCGCAGTCCCCCTGACCTCCCCGGCTGCCCTGTTTCTGCGGTGCAAATGTATTGTGCCTGTCTGTAGAGATTTGGCACTCAAAGAGAAACAAAACTTGTGTGTGTGTGTTTTAGTGAAAAACAGAAACAGAGAGAGAGAGAGACCCTCCTCCCTCCTCTCTATCTGGGTCACACTCACTGTCTGGACGGTTGGCATCGCTGTCAGTTTAAGCGAGACTCACACACACATTCATAAGTGCAAGAATATCTCCCTGTTCCCCCTCCCTCTCGCTCTTTTGAATCTAGATTAAAATTGACTGCCACCCGATTCCATCGCCCTCTCCGCTCTCCCTTTTCTGCCCTCTGTCAGCATCCACCCCGCTGCCCCTCTGCCCCCTTTTTTTTTTTTTTTTGGCCCCGGTTCCATCCAGATTTTCCGGTTATGACTTTTGAAAGAGTTCACAGCTCTGTCATTACCAATCTGAAGCTGGTAATCTGGCCTGAGATGGCATTAGCCGTGCGGATTAGCGCTGATAAAGGCCCCATAAGCCAGCCGCAGCTCTTTGTTAAGAGCAAACCCGACTGATAGAGAGAGGCGATAGCAGCACACACACACACACACACACACAACCACGCATACACACACACACACACAGTCAAAGCAGATGCCTCATCGGAGGCTAAGCTGCGGAAATAATACAAATAATAGGTGGTGAAGGAGCAGAGAGATGTGATCTGCATTAGACGGCGAGACAGATGTTCTCCACGGGTGAAATTAGCAGGACTTTCAAGCTGTAATACAGTCATCAGACCACCTCTCTGCAAGACAGGGCCTCCTCGGATAAGAACAAGTGTGTGTATGTGTGTGTTACTGTGTGTGTGTGTGTTACTGTGTGTGTGTGTGTGTAAGAAAACCAGGCTCAAGAAAGAAGAGTGGTCAGGAGTGTGTGTTTACAGCTGAGGGCAGGTGGGCAGCTTGAAGCAGGGCTGACTCGGGGCACACTCTGACTCACACACCCAGCTTGACAGTCAAGTGGTCGGTGTGCGATTGTGTTTATGTGACACACACACACATACACAAATACAAAAACATGTAACTCCCAGTCTCCTCTCAGTGATTTTTTTTTTAACATTTAAACTCAAACCACGGTAAATAAATCCAAAACTGATCGCACGTTTTCACTCTCTGCCCCTCTGTCACCGTCCGTGTCTCAGCAGACTTGCTGTCGTCGCTATCCTCCACAGCCTACCTGAACGACCACGAGGCCGTGACCAAGGCCTTCGCCGAGGCCCGGCAGATGAAGGAGCAGCTGAAGAGGGAGCAGCAGGTCCTAGACGCAAAGGTCGCCGCCGTCAGCAACCTCAGCCTCAACAACGGACGCTCAGACAAGGTAAAAACCGCTGAATGTGGCGCCTTTATCGCTGCTCTGTGAATAAAACTTAGAACTTTATTTGTCTCTTTGTGGTTTAACAACGAAACAGAAACTAGTTAGTTTGATTATATAAAAATAAAGAATAAATCATTTGACTGTAGCTGCAAAGTGTGTAACCTCCTTATTAGTTTATGTCAAAGTGCCGGCTGTTAACCAGAATTATCTCTCATAATTTAATATATTATTGAATTATATTAATTATACAAATAAGACAGAAGTTTGACAGACTGAAAGTACTTTAAAGAGGATGATTTCCCCTCAAAATACTGAATTTATATTGACCCTAAAAAATGATATTTATGGTTTAATTTGGACATTTTTTCACATGGAGAAAAATGTAAGAAAAAGCTGATCACATCTGTTATGAGTACACGTAAACTTCAGAAATATAAAATACATCTGTTTCCAAATTGTCTAAATTTAAAATCATTTAAAATCGTAAATAAAAACAACAATCTAAAGTCAGCCCAGGCTGCGGCGTCTCTTTGTCAGCGGGTTATAATTTGTCTTGCCATATGCCATCCGCTCTGCACCATGTAGGAGGTAAATCGGTGTACAATGCACACGCAGGAATGTGTCGGAGCTAAAAAGGGCCAGATAAGGTAAAACCAGAGGCGTCTCAAAAGTAATGAGTGTGTCTGTAAGGCTCACTGCAGGGCTACAGGCGTGTGTGTGTGCGTGTGTGTGTGTGTGTGTGTGTGTGTGTGTGTGTGTGTGTGTGTGTCCGTGGATGTGTGTGGCAGAGCGGAGCGTCGGAGAGACGGTAATGTGAAGTGACGGCGCCGGCTCCTCGGCAGCGTGGCTAAATTGTGGTTATTTGTTAAACACATTGGGAGTCAGCTGGTGCACACGCATACACACACACACACACAGAAAACACACACACACACTCGGAGAACAACAGTGTGCTTGAAGCATCTGCACCGCTGACATTCAACAGCTCTATCTGTCTCTTTCTTTCTCTTTTTTTTTCAGCCTCTCTCATCTGATGTGTTTCAAACAGTCAAACCCACACTGATCTGTATTCAGTCCCGGCGTTTTGTGCACATTTAGACAGAGTGTACAGAGTAACGTACTGTACAAAATAATAGCTTAAGCCTAATAGCCAATTAGATCCACACCAGGAGAAATTGGTATTTTCTACGGGGAGTGAAGGAACATCAACGTTTTTATTTCAGGAGCGTTTTACACAGCTCGTTCCTGCATTAGATGGAACTATTAAGCTTTTTTTTACTCCAATGCAGAGGATAATAATAATAATAAAAGTCTTCACATATATTTTAAAGTTAAGGTTAGAAATTGAAATATCAGGATTTGATTTATTTTAACAAATGCCCCTCGCGCTCACACACTGATTTTTTTTGGCTTTGTGCTGCACGAGTGCGAAGCGGGGCGAGCTCCCTGCGTGCGAATACAACAGTGTCATCTCTGACACACTCAGAGGATTAGTTTTGTCGCTACTTTGTGTCTTGGCTCCAGTGTCAGCCATTCAATCCACTTTCCTCATGTACTGTACCGGGGCTTAATGTCAGACTAGCCTGTCATCCACTCTGTCTCTCTCTCTCTCTCTCTCCTCATCTCTCAGAGCTCGCACATCTTTGCTCTTTCTCTCTCGATCAGGTAACTTCTCTGATTTACAAACAATCACCACACCAGCCCCGAATCAGCGGGAGATTATTCTTCCTCTATTAAAACACACTTAATCCAAAATTGAATACTTTTCAATAACTAGAAAAAGGATATTTTCTGCCTCGCTTTTTAGTCTTTTTAGGCACATTTATTCCAACCTGGGGGAGGGAGGGGGGAAGAGAAACGATCGCTAACAATTAAACTCTGTCGGACTAAAAACAGAGAAAATGCTTTCATTATCATTCTGCCCTCCCTCCATCCAGCCCAACAGCTCGCCAGGGTCACATGTAAATGGAGAGGGACACTTTTTGGAAGGTTGTTTTAGAAGACGACAGTGTTTTGCGCGCCGCTCCTAATCGTATAATTAAACTGTAAAACGCTGGCACTGATTCTCCGCTGTGTGTGTGTGTGTGTGTGTGTGTGTGTAGACGCCGTCCGCAGTCAGGTTCCAGCATAGAGTGTGCCGGCTGCTTGCATTAAGCATGTAAATGCTCAGTAAATCAGCCTTTTATTGGTTGTAATAAATACCCAGGGGGCCGTGCGGCGTGGCCTCGCTCTCGTCCGCGCTGCACTCTCTCGTTCTCTCTCTCTCTAATGCGTCGACCCTCGGGGGCCTCTGCAAGAGAGAGGCAAGCCGCGGCACTCCACTCTCGCAGGTGGCTGCCAGGAGTGGCTTCACACTTCACACAAACACACATATAATATACAGTACACACACACACACACACACAAAGCGGTAAACATCCAAATAGGACTAAATGTAATCAACATTCTTGCACAAGCAAACAGATGTGTGTTGAAGCATGCAGGCGCGCCGCACTCTAACAATTTGATGTTGACATTAACATTCCCACAAATTCACATGAAAACAAACTCAAATGCAAACTGTCCGCTCAAAAACCAGCGCTATTATTCCTCCGGATGAATTCGACTTTTATTCACGGGCGTATTTCAGATCGAAGATGATTTCTTTTTGCATCTTCAGACACGAACTCTCTCGTAAACAGTCGGGCTGAAGGCCGTCAGCGAACCGATTTGACGGAGAAAAGTGACATTAAACACTTTGTGCTGCTCTTATGCGATAAATAGTTTAGGTGATGAAGACTTGAGAGGAGTGGAATCTGGAATCTATGTCTGTGTGAGTGTGAGCGCTCGCTGTTTTTCCATATCATCACAGCTCGGCGGTTTCACTCATTCATACGTTCAGAATCATTGACTCACTCTCTGACCGACTGCAACTGTGAACTGTTTGTGTTGTTTAGGACAAGGCTGCCTTGGAGAGTCTGAGTCAACAGCTGAAGCAGCAGGCGGAGGACAAGTTCAGCCACGCCATGCTGGACTTCACCATGAGTGGAGATTCAGATGGTAGGAGCGCACACGCAGACACACACAAACACAAACGCACAATCCACCATTTTTTTTAAAGAGAGAAGAAGTTTACGGTTCTTTATATCATTTCTCAGCTCATTCTTTCACCCTCTGTCCTCCTCAGGCTCCCCGAGTGTGTCCGACTCCAGAATATTCCGGGAGGCGCGGGGTCGCGGCAACACCGAGCCGCACATCAAGCGGCCGATGAACGCCTTCATGGTTTGGGCCAAAGACGAGCGGAGAAAGATCCTCCAGGCCTTCCCTGACATGCACAACTCCAACATCAGCAAGATCCTCGGTGAGGCTTCGCGCTCACGTGGTCGTCTTTGAATGACAGGAACCCCTTTTTCCCCTCCCCTTTTCTTGGTCACCCCGCTACACGATGAAGATGCACGCGCCGCGCTTTTCCCGTTTCCTGCTTTTTCAGACGCACATACACACACGTTGATTTCATTACACGCGGTGGCATCGTGTAAGCGGCTGTTAATGAACGGCTGGGGAGAGCACGGCTCCGACAAATGATGATATAATTCATTATGCATTAAACAAGCAGCGCGAGGCCGCCTGACATTTCCCCCGGACCGCCGGGATCGGCCCTGACATTTTAAAGAGCTCCTAAGCGTTTTATAACACAGGGAAATCTGGTTTTAATAAGCCCCCCCACCCCCTTTCCCTCTCCTCTCTCTCTCTCCCTCTCTCTCCCTCTCTCTCTCTCTCTCTCTCTTCGCCGATTGCTAACAGATCGTCGACCAGAGAGAGAAAAAGACAGCGAGAGAGAGCAGCCAAGTGCTGACAGCTTTTACCCATTAAACATACAGTAGTCAAGTGCAAATTCAGACCAGATATGTAACTCACAGGGGAGGACACGCTCAAGATTACACACACACACACACACACTCACAAACACACACATGCAGGGGACTGATACCACAAACCGAGCTGAAACAGAGCGGCGAGGGATGGCGGCAGGTTCGGCGGAGTCCTCATTAATGGAGATGAATACCTGTCGCCTCCACTGCTCTCCTCATTAACCCTCTTTTACTTTGCCGTGTGTGTGTGTTTGTGTGTGTTTGTGTGTGTTTGTGTAAGAAAGTTAGCGTCCCTTAAATGCTGTCACATGTGTGTCGGTATGCACATGTGATGCGGGGTCATGCATGTCACACGGGCGCTTGTTTGTCACACTCGCTGTAATTGATCTCAAAGCAGACATACATCAAACTGATCCGGGGTCACGTAACAAACGGATGTAAACTCTTTTACTGTTTTTGTATTTGAAGTCTTTTTCGCTGCGGCTGATTAAAACGACGGTATCGAACCTTTTTTTTTTCCAGGCTCACGCTGGAAAGCGATGACCAACCTAGAGAAGCAGCCGTACTACGAGGAGCAGGCTCGCCTCAGCAAACAGCATCTGGAAAAATACCCCGACTACAAATACAAGCCGAGGCCTAAACGCACCTGCTTGGTGGACGGGAAGAAGCTGCGCATCGGCGAGTACAAAGCCATCATGAGGTCCCGGAGACAGGAGATGAGACAATACTTCAGCGTGGGGTAGGAGAGCATCCAGATAAAAGTCCCTTAATCGTATATTTTTAAAGGTTCTTGTTGTCTTCTTGGTCTGTTTGTTTTTGTTGGTGATAAACTGAATGTTGGAATGCTTTGTTTCTTGAGTTTTTTTATTTGTTTACCTTAAAGTCAGTGATTTCCAAGGTCAAAAGTTTAGCCATGAGCTGACTCAGAGATCAGGGATAAAAAAACACGAAATCCTATTTTCCATGCGCAGAAATAAAAAACTCAGAACCTCCCAGATGTGATCTTTGTTTATATCAAATGAACAGCCCCTCATGTTAGACACATTCTCCTGATGGTGAATGAAAAGCCGCGGCCAGCTGTTGGCTCATTTGAGCAAATTATAATGATTGAAAGCAGAAGAGGGGGGGCGAGAGAGGGAGCCCGTTTGGGTTCGAGGCGACAGCGGCGTCACGCAGGAACCGCTCAGAGTCTCTAAGTGAGGCGTCCCGACCATAGACTGTATATAGAATGGAAGCCGTCTGCGTCCTTGCTTGGTGAATGCACTCCGAGAACAGCACCCTCTGTTGACGGGCTGCAGTATAGGTCATAAATCCCGCCTCCGCCAGCAATCCCTATGGAGCTGTGGATAAACTTTAGAAATTTATTACACTGAACAACAAAGAGTCCCCACATCCCGTCTCTCTTTCGCTTCCTGTCATATAAGAGTAGGGGTGTCCCGTTACAACTTTTTCTACTTCCAATACAATACCAATATTGTAGCCTTCAGTATCGGCCGATACCGATATTTGTCCGATATTAGCACAAACTTGTGCGTGACGAGTTTTGCACTCAGCTGCAACGTCTTGTTCGGACTTTAACAAAAAATACTGTACATACTTAACAAAAAATATAGTACACACTGTTGTTGTGATCATGTGGTCTCCACATGCTGGATCAGGGCGCTGCTCGATAGCAGTGCTGGAGTGGAGTCTGGAATGGACTGCTTGTATCAGAGATTTTAGATGCAAGCCGATATAATCCGATATTTGTTTTTTTGGCTGATATCAAACCTTTATCCAATATCAATATCATATCAGGACAGCCCTTTTTAAAAGTGAGGTTAGTGTCTGAGTAGTTGTAGTAATTTTTATGTTCTGTGTCTGTTACAGGCAGCAGGGACAGCTGCCCTTGTCCTCTGCAGGCGTGGTTTACCCAGGAGCCCTGTCCATGGCAGGACTGCCCTCCCCCCAGATGCCCTCCGAGCACTCAAGCATGTCCAGCAGCCCCGAACCCAACACCAACCACCACCAGAACCCCCACATGCCCGGCTTAAAAGAGGACGAGCCACGAATCAAGGAGGAGGAGCTACGGCTGGACGACAGCAACGGCGACGTGTACGACGACTTCGACTACGAGGACGAAGAGGCCGATTACGCCAGCGATAATGACAACCACATCACCCAATAGGAGGGCGTGAGAACCGCCTCCTTCAAAGCCAATCACAGCTGGTTTACCCCCACACAATCCCAAACCCACCAATCAGGAAGAAACTTTTCCTTTTTTTTTGCCAATCACCTTGAATCTCACACAAAAAAACAAACCCCACCCCTTTCTTCTCCTTCCTGACTAACATGGACTCTTATTAACGAGCCAGACCCCCCCTCCCACTGGAGTCCTGATACCAGCATCTGAATCAACTGAAGCACAGGACTGTCAATCACACTGACTGTTACACAAAAACCAGAGTCTGGGAGGAAGAGACGACTAAGCCGGCTCTGAAGCTCGCTGAGGAATATTCAAAGTACTACTGCAGGAGCGAAATGCCACGAGTGAGGAGAAATAAACATCAACCCTTTTAGGCCTGTTTGTAGAGAAAAAAAGGAGACGACGTCGGAGGTAAAAGACAGAACAGTGGACCTGTCAAAGGCGAACAGATGACACTTTAAAGATGGCGGACCTGTTTATTATCAAGAGACACTTTTAAAAAAACAGCTTTTTTGTTCTTTGGTTCTATAATATTCTCACTCAGGTACACGGTGCCAATAAGTGGCTTGTGAATGTGATTTGTTGTTTTTGTGCTAAAAGTTTGAATAATAATAGAAAAAAGAGACAATTCCTCCTTTCCCCCCCTTTTGTTGTAAAGCACCTGAAGAAATCAGACATGTTTATTTTTAACGAGAACATATCTTTTTTTTGACAGTGCGGTCAGCAGTTCCCCCGCAGACCCCCTCTTTTTTTTTGTTTTCGGTGTTTTTTTGCGACTGCCTGCTCCCCCTTGTACAGAATCCGATGGGACGGTCCAGCCAGGACTGACCAGTACAGAGTGGACCGTCCCACTTGAAGGATTTTCAAGGAGGAGGGGGGGAGACGGGGGGAGTCTGTTTATGGAGCGGAAACAAAAAGCACTGTGTTGTGAGACAATCCACCTCCGTCCCCACGTTTCTTAACCTCTCACAGGGCGAGACGCTCAGCGGCGGCGGCGGCGGTACCGTTTGAGGGTGTGTTTGCGCGCCGAGTCTTTTTATTTATCCCGCTCTTCTTCTTCTGCGAGAACGAGAGCGTTAGAGGTGTATGATACAGGAAGACAGGCAACTTCTTCTGCTGCTGTTATTTACTGTACACACACTCACACACACATAAACACTTACACACACACACACACACACACACTGCTGTTCTGCCCGTGTTTTTCCTACTCCCTCCAACCAGTACGGTCCTGCTGTCCCAAGCCGGCAGAGCTGAGATGAAGTCAGCCAGTCAGTGTTTCTGTTTGTATTTGAATACTGTATTTTATTATTATTTCTCTTCAAACTGCCTCTAGTCTAATAATATTATTAACAATAATTATAAGGATGGTCAGCGTTTCCTAAGTTTAGTAAGTTATGTACAGTATAATTTATTTTTCTCCTCTTTATCGGGTTTTTATGACCATATGAAACTATGACAGTCAATGAAACATTATTCTATTTAGCTGGTAGGTATTTAGATCGAAACAAACCTTGTCATTTTACCTTGCTTTGTTTTGCCTTCTTATGTTCCCTTCTTTTACAAGGCGTTTGTTTTTTTTGTATTGTTTTTGTTTTTGTTTTTATTAATCCTCCGGACAGGCGGGTGGGCGGAGTCAGGACAGCAAGCTGAACAGAAAAGACTCAACGCCAGCCGCGTCGTCCGAGCTGAAGACGTAACCTTCTCATGTCCAAACCCATTTCTAAAAAGCACTCTGCCTCTGAGCGGTCAGAGGAAAAGAAGAACATGATTTTATTTTATTTTTTTCTAATGTTATTATAATTTTATTTGTAATGGTTATTATAATGTATAATGTGAAGTTTCCTCTCTCTCTCTCTCTTTTTTCTCTCTTTTTTTAATCAGTTCGATCACTTTTAAAAAAAAAACTGTTTTCTGTGAACAAAGAGTCCCGTCCCCGTTTACTAGTTCGGACGCCTCACTTAAGACACAGTGGAGCATCTTTGCCATGGATCCCCACATACACACACACACATAAACACACACACACTTGTGCACAATCACAACAAAAACGAAGAGATTATCATGACAACCAACCAAATCCTATGCTGTCCTTTTTTTTCTGTTTCTCACGAAATCTAGAATTTTTTAGATTTAAAACTTGTACATAAACTTAGATGGATGTTTTCTTTTCAATCATAGGAAAGCAGTGTTTACATGATCCACAGAGATGCTCCACTGTGTGCGTGTGTGTGTGAGTGAGACGGCTGAGCAGACCTAACTTTTTAAAGTCACACTTCTCATCAGGAGCCCTTTGCTTTGTTTGAGCTCCACGCAGTGCTACAGGAGCCATGACTACTCTTCAGGTGTGCTGTCAACGTAGTGACCCTCCCCCCACAATCATTCTTGCTGTAGATGTTTTGCTACACGCCTCATAACGAGCCTCTGGGTCTTAATTTGCTGTATAGTCCCCGTCCCTCCCTCCAAACACCCCTGTTGTCGCCCCATGGTTCAACCCAATGCTGGAGACAGGGGAATAAATGGATGAATCCATTTTTAAGGCGGGTGGGTGGGGCATTAAGACGTCAATCATCCCTGCTGGCAAGGTCTGTCCCCCATATGAAGACAATGAAAACGAGAAGACGATAATTTTATTATGAGACAATCAAAGTCATGAGTGGAGCTCAAAACAAAGTGAGAATTATTACAAGTAAAAAATATCTTACCATCTCAACTTGAAAAATCAAGAAAGATAATTATGTAAATATAACATAGAGTTATAGATTTATATTTTGTTCATAACACAGTGTAATATAAGTTGTATATTTCTTTTTTTCTCTCCCTACTGTCTCTTTTATTGATGTTATCCATGCCACAGAAAAGCAGGAGTCACAGTACTCTCACAAAAAAATGAAGAAAAATATCAAAGAAATAAAAGAAAAAACAGGAAAAAAAAAAAAAAAAAGCCGTGGGCTGCCACCACCATCTGTTCTAAGTTCACTTTTTTTTCAGTATTACTGCCAGACAAGGCTCTAATAAAGACAGCAATGTGTTCGGTAAAAAACTTGTGCTGGTCCTGGTCACTTCTTTCTTCCACACATGCATTCACACAATGGGTTTTCAAGCTCCAACATATTCACAGGAGGCATACGAGCTTACACTGCCGCGGCCTTATTTTTAACAACAATGCTGAACAACTTTGGATTCACATATGTGGGTTTTAACAGTCAGGACTTCATCATCACTCTTCTTAAAGATCACATCCGACTCCAACAAGCCAAAAACGAAATATTTGGCTCTAAAAGTCGTCAGTGTTTTCCGCCACACTGCTACACAATGTGAGGTTTGCTGGCACTGCCCGTGTGTTGCCGAACAATTCAATCATCTCCATAACAACGTGTTAATTATGCTAAGTCCACCTTCTTGCCCCTCCAATCAGAGGGCCAGCTGGGAGACATGGAGTGGAATCATGGCCCGTTAGCAACCTGATAACCCAATTAAGCACAACAAGGGACGTGGAAAAGGAGGGAGGGGTGTGAGCGATGAAATGTGTGTGTGTAGGAATAAAAAAAACACACACATAGAAGAAAAAAAAAAAAAAGTAGAGCGTGTGTACTCTGACCATGTCCATAAGCTCCTGGTGCCAGCTGCATGTGCTGCTGTCACCCGTTTAAAAGCAAATCTTTAATTGATGCTCACTTAAAGATGTTGAGTATGTTCATGCCTCCACTTTCAAGGGTTAAAAACACAAAACCCCACTCAGTGCGCCCATTAAAACGCCATCCCCATCTGTGTCCATATGTTCCACAATCAACCCTCACCACCCTCCATAATGCTCTGCACATAAAAACAGTTAAAGCACTCCGAGGAGATGATTTTACGTGGTTTGCTAATTACCATAGCTTCACACACACACAAAAAAAGGCCTTTTGATGCAATAAAGAGGCACGATGGGGGCAGATCCGCAACTCCTACGGTAAGTGAAGGACTTAGTTGTTCTCTGGGCGTTGTGAATTTTTCAGATCCCGCCTGGAGGTAAAAACCTGAGAAAAGGTTTATGTGTGAATAGTTGAGGAGCAAAAAAGAAAGAGAGAGAGATTCAGATTTTTCTTCTTTTATTGTCAGCAGAATAGAAGATGCAAAGGGTGGCTAGACTCACAGATTAAATCACATGCACACACTCTTTAAACACACCCTTCGGTGTACAGTAGCTCAGCTTAAACCACAATTATATCCATCGGCTATTTCAGTCACAATACTTGAGACAAAAGCAGGAAAACTATTACAGTAAGCACAAATTTACATCTGAATGTCTGCGCCGTGCATATTCACAATACAATCTCACTCGCTCGAACTTCTTATAGCTCTGAGAGAAACTTGACACATGTTCTGTATGTGTTTGTCTAAACGCTGGAAAAACTGTGTGACTTTGAGTGCAGGCCTCTCTGTGCACCGGCTCAGTGAAATATGCATTTTTCGACCGTGGGTGTTTGGAAATTGAGTGAAAACGATGTCACATTAATGATTTAAAGTCGGTAATAGGATGTGCTGTGACGCTGAGCCGCCAGCTAAGCTGAGTTTAAGGCTCCGGCGTTAATGTATTCATGAGGAGGGGGGATTATACAGAGACAAGAGCAGTTAGAGAGCTGAGTGCAGCAGAGCAGCCGGGCCAACAGGCCTGCTAGATATTATATATATAACTGCATACTGTGTGAGCACACATGCAGGAGGAAGGACTTAACACACACAGACAGAATATTGTGGAATTACAAACATGAGCAATACAAACCACCTTATCAGAATTGAATTTAAATGTGTTAAAAGATGTTTTTTATTTATTTTTGTTCAGAGAAGAGACAAAATTGTGAATGAATTTGAAATTTAAATCAAAATGCTTTTACTGGAGAAATAAAACAAGAGACAAAACAGCTGAATATGGGACAGGCGGCACGCTGACGTGAATCACTGCGTGTGATATAACCTAAAGAAGGCTTTATAAATATGGCTTTACGCAATAAAAGGAAATACTTCAGCTTTTCTCTTCTTTTATACATAAATACAGACTATAAATACATCTTTATGCATTAATATGCTTTAGACTCATCACAGTCTAACATGCTAATGTATACACAAACTGCAGCATCATTAAAAAGAGGAAAAAAGGTGACCATAAACGTCTCATAAAGATGATTTCAGCTCCGTACTTAAGCCGCATATTTTCTCATGATGCAGAAATTGGGTGACAAAAAGGCTCTTCATTAATCTGAGGTGTCTGAAACATGAGGAGTCCATAAAATAATCCCCGCACTCAAACCATAAAAATAAGATAATATGATGCTGTGATGCAAAATAAAACACAGATATGAACTCATATGTCGCTCACTGTATATATCAACGTTTTCTGGCAATCAGCCGATCCGTGCTGCTTCGTTTTCAGCGATTAAAGAGCGGCTCGGCTTTTTTTTTTTTTTTACACACAGGATTAATGTCTAACAGTTCACATGCAGCACATTTCACATCATCACACAACAGCACTGCTCGGCCGGCGTGTCGTACACACAGACACGACAAATTCTCCTCAATCACTGCGATCTGTTGTCTCCGCTCGACACGAGGTGAGCCGTGACACGATCGGGCAGGTTGGTGAAAAACGCGCGGAATGACCAAGCAGATATTAGCCACGTTACCCGGTGTGACTTCCCTCCACGACTTTCACTCACTTCCTTCAGTCAGATTTCAATGAGCAGAGTAATCAGCGTGACACGAGACAAACAATCACAAAGCGCCGTCAGTGTTTGAGCGACGGCCCTAATGTGACAGATCTGAGAGCAGCGGTGTGTGAGGGACAGGCGTGGCACGCAGCGGAACAGCGAGGCCCGCGGGCTGATCCCCAATCAAGACTGGGAAACTGGCTCGACGCCCCTGACACGTCGCCCCTCTGCACAGCCGCCGCTCTCACATGAAACACTCGGTGGTTTTATCAGCGGCGGCGGCGGCATAAGCTGGCCTACTTTCACCCCTTTCTCCCTCTCTCTGTCTGCCTCCATCGAAATGTACAAACTCATTTATCTCCTTTATTTCCTTTCTTTACACAACCTTCTTCTCATGCTCCTCCTTTCCCTTCACCTTTGACCTCTAAACACTTTAAAGACAAAACAAATGAAACAACCCATTTACCAAATTTTTATCAGTCTGCGATAGAAAAAAAAACGATCAAACCCGTTTTTCTGATGATTAAAATGTAAAGGACGGACGTTTATATAACAGTCTGATCAAATCGTAAGCGTGAGATGACAAACTAAAGAAGGAGAAGCGTCAGATGTTCGTGTGTAGGTGGTCCGATCACATAAGAGCCTCCAAACTTTTCACAGCAAACTTGAAAACATGATGTTGATCTCCGAGAAGCAGGACCAAAGCGAGGTAAAGAAGACCGTGGGCGCTTTTACGTCATTTCATGAAATATATATTTTTTTGAGAGCAGAAAAAAAAAACTGTAAAACTGTTATTTTCTCTCCCCATCAACACCCTAATGCACACATGCAAATATTATGCTAATGGTATGTTAATTGGTGGAGTAGCTGCAAAGCAGCCCTGCTGTTCAAATGACTGGTGAGAAAATAGGTGGGGTCAGTCGCAAGCTGTAAAAGCAGCTCCAACACAAATAAACAAAACCCTCGGGGATTAACAGAACAAGGGCCAGTGATAAACGGATGAGAAGTGAGACAGAGAATACAACAGGCTGTAAGCGAAGGGGACAAGGGAATCAGCTCAGGGATGTGGAAATACGAGGAGGCAGAGAGGGACGAGGGTGAGAGGAAGAAGACAGGGAGAGGGCTGAGGAGTGGAAACACAGGGATTAGAGCGGGACTAAGAACCAGAGCGGAGGTAAAACTGACACGAGAAGGTAAAGTCGAAAAAACCTGTGAGACTGAATGAAACTAAAGTATGAAAGAGAAAGAGGACAGAGGTCAAGACAGACTTAGAGAAACCCTGAAGGTTATACACTTTATTTGAGAGAAATAATAATAAGAAAATAAAGAGAATAAATACTCGAGAGTTTCCAAGACTTCATGAAAATAAGAAACAAAACAGCGAGTAAAAACGCAAAGATCTACTTCATATTTTCATTATTATTGTGACAGGAAATATCAGAGATCCCATGACCCGATCATGTCTTTAGGAGTTTTACATAGAGAAACAACACCAGGACCATCGTGTGACTGTTTTACCTGCTGAATTACAAACACTTGAATCAAACGAGGTTTCATGAATGAAGATGAAGCAGGAAGCATTTATTGACACTCGGCGGCGAGGGTGGGCGCAGGCTTTACCTCCGTCAGCGGGGGGAAGGAGTGTGAGAGTGTGGGTGTGATGTATAAATCTGGGCTCCATTTAGACCTGGTATGAATATGTGATGTGTACCTGGATGATGACATCCAAACCGCAGTCTTTTCATCCACACCTGGTATTTATACGTTTTCATTCTGCTAAATCCTGATGCACACCTCGGGCTGGAGGTCCGAATTTCTGTCTTTGGTATCATCTGTTGACACCTGGTTGATTTTAGTGAACTGGTTCGACAAATGTGTAGTAATGCGTACAACAAAGAATCACCGGTTTACAGAAAATCGGATGAAACAAAGTTGTCAAAATTGGAAGAAGACGAGAAGTTTTTCAAACATGCTGGTCCTTTTTCTATCCCAGATGTGGCCTCGATTATCGTCAATTTGATCCAATTTTGTTAAAACCAAATTTCCCCTAATATGATGCTTATAATTAACAGTTCAATAGACGTTCAAGATTGCAAAAGTTATGGCACGCAAAGCTTTGACTAAGTTTTGATCGAATTCTCGCGCAATCGCCAAGAGATTCTCGATGTCGACTCTCCACCGGGAATCCTCCTCCCCGTCTCTCTTTACCCCACGGTGTAACATTTAATTGTTCGGAGTATTGAGAGTTGTGAAACATTAAAGTACAAACACCCTAAATAAATAAGGCGCCCCGTGCTTTTCTTATAAATCTGTCAGGGGGCTTCGAGGAGCCGGGCCTCCGGTGCCTCTGTTCCTGTGTGTAGCGTCATGTGTAAGAGCGCAGCGGGCCCTGGCAGGAAAAACACTTTTTGGAGACTGTCAGTGTTCGCTCCATGCCAACCAGCCACAAGATACCCCCACACCTCCTCCAAACCCTCCTGAAAAACATCCCCTCTGGAACCCCCATGGCTGCCAGTTTCTCAGACAGCCCACCGCTGACCCCTTCAGGCCAGGAAACTGTTGTCCAGCCAAGGAGCCAAGGAGCCAGGGAGCCCAGGGGCCTCGATTACCAACACACACCCCCAAGACGGTTGTTTGGCTGCTTCCTCAGGCCTGAACGAGGGAGTGAGAGAGAAGAGAGAGAGAGAGGGGAGCGAGGAGGGAAAAGGAAAAGGAGAAGGAGACACTCAAGTTTGCATTTTTAATTTGATTGCCTGGTCACTTAATTTCGCTTCAAGATGATAAAAAAAACACTTACTCCTCTCTTTGCATTTGACTTTTTTTTTAATACGACAAGGATTTCTCCGGCGTGCACGCTCTCCAGACTGTTTTACAAACGCCACGAGTCATGGAGCGGACAACCATGTGTCCTGACAGTTGACTTTGAATCCCAGTTGAGATTAACTTGATACCACCAGCTTTGTTTTTCCAGTTTATTTTTATTTCTTTGAGCAGAGGTTGCGAAAGGTTGCGCCAAAGACACTCTGCCCTCTCGGTTGTCGTCACATATTTGTCCAACCCCCCTCCCCTTCCCCTTGCTTTTGTGTCCCCTTTCATCGCAGCCAAATGTGACCGGTTGGCTCTGTTTCCCCCGCCTGTGGGTTCTTGTGTTAAGACTTTTTCGATTGGGACAGATCAGGACAATCCAGGAGCGGCGAGAGAGAAGAGAGAAGAGAGAAGAGAGGAAGAGACGTGACAGTGGAGGGATTGTCGGTTTTAAAGTTTAAACTTCAGACAGCTGTTGTACCAGGAGGTCAGAGGGATTTCCTGGATGGAGGTGTCCTAATGGCTCGGTGTTAATATGAATTCATAGACGACCCATTAGTGCCTCTCCCTAACCCTCCTCCTCCTCCTCCTCCTCTTCCTCAGTCGCATCATAATGGCCCTGGCTCTGGCCGCTAGTCTGCATGTAGCGGATATAGCCTGGATTTATTCCGATGTTCTCAGGGATTACACCCTCAGTGAGCTGTGTATTATGAGTAGATTTAGGCCCATAACTCCTGAAGATAAGGGGGGATTGGGGCGATTGTTTAAACGGCATGTGTTAGCCATCATCGCCGGGACACAGGGCCGGCAGTGCGTGTGCGCGTGTGCATGTGTGTGTGTGAGAGAGAGAGAGGGGATAAATGTGGTGGAAAGAAAAAGGTTTAGTAAAACAAAATGGTCAGAGCATTGATGTTCATTGAAATTCCAATCCAATCTCATTCACGATACCAAAACGCCGCTCTGAATTGCTTTAAATGAATTCAAATGAAGGCTTTATGTCACTGAAATGCTTTTTGGATAATGAAAAGCTTTTGGTTGCACTAATCAAAAAGTAAATTCCGACGATTATGCACGATAACTGGAATTTATTTTCACATCATCATCATAGCTTTGGTGGAGTTTCATTCGCACTGTTTCAGGAGGATGCAAAGAATAATAATGGATGGCACAATTAAAATCAAATGATTCTTTTTAATGGGAAAAAGTGTTTGAGAGATTAATAATGCTTCCTCAGCATGGCTCTGAGGGACTTTGCCATTATTAAGTTACAGGATTTGAATAAATTTGGGCTTTTATGATGGAAAAACTCGGCCAAAAAAGCTAAAAGAGCTCTCCTCGGCGATCAGAGGAGTAACCTCCCAGTAAGACATCCACTCTTCCTGATGTCCCGTCGGGCTGCAAACATAAATTTTGAGCTCAGACACGCTGCTGCTCAACAGATGTGTATGTTCGAGTATTGTGGTCGAGGCGCAGTGCGTCTGAGCAGCTTTGTGGCGAGGATCTTTACAAGGCCTCAGGGACGAGTGAGAGACCACACTGACCACAAAACACAGCTTCATAAACACTGTCAGACTCAGCAGAGGACTCGTCTGGACTGGAGGTCTGTGGGATTACTTCAGCAGCAAGAATGGAGTCTCGCACTGAAACAGATCCGCTCGGGTATAAATCTGTGACACTGTCATCGAGGTTTATTCTGATGCTGAAACTCCAGTCAAGACAATCTGATGCAACAAAAGCACTGATACCTACGACAGAGTATTAGGGCCACATTCAGAAAAACAAGAATTAAGACTTTGAGATTAAAGTCGTTGATTTAAGTGGATGAAATCATGACTAACAAGAATAAAGTCGTAATAAGTAATTACTTACGAGAATAAAGTTGTAATAAAAACATTACTTACTACGCTAAGTCGTAATAAAGTAATAACTTACGAGAATAAAGTCAAAATAAAGTAGTTACTTTGACGACTTTATTCTTGTTAGTGAACTTAACTCCCATAAGTAATGATTTTATTACGACTTTATTATTTATTAACAAGAATAAAGTCATAATAAGTAATAACTAACGCGAATAACTAAAGTTAAAGTTAAGTTAAAGTAGTTACTTTGACGACTTTGTTCTTGTTAGTTATTACTTTATTATGACTTTACTCCTTACTACTACTTGTTACTTGTTACTACTTACAACTTATTCTCGATAGTAATGACTTTATTCTTGTCATTACTTTATAGCCACTTTACTCTCGTAAGTAATTTCTTTATTACGACTTTATTCTTGTAAGCGATAATTTTATAATGACTTTTTTCTCGTAAGTTGTTACTTTATTACGACTTTATTCTCATGAGTAATTCCTTTACTACGACTATATTCACGTAAATAATTACTTTATCATGATGTTATTCGCACAAGTCATGATTGTATTACAACTTTCTTCTCATAAGTAATTACTTTATTACGATATTATTCTCGTAAGAAATTATTTTATTACAACTTTATTCTTGCAAGTAATTAGTTAATTACTACTTAATTTTATTACGATTTTATTAGGACTTTATACTTGTTAGTAATATCTTAAGTCTGGTAAATTAACGACTTTAATCTCAAAGTCTTAAATTTTTTTTCTTAACATGGCCCTAATACTACGTTGTAGCTACTCAGCTGATCTTATTATTGCATTTAAATTCTGAGCTGGATAAAATCAACTTTTACTGCATCAGATCCAAACTTCTAACTTTTATGTTAGTTTTTATTTTTATGTAAAGTCAAAGCAGAAAATTAAAATCATAACTTAGTGAATACATAAATTAAATGTATTTATGATTTAGATTTATAAATCTGAAGGATGACATTGGGCTCAAACTCGGAGACTATAAATCTGTGAAGAGTATATGTACAGAATGTCTGAATATCTGCGAATGCACTTAATGCATCTGAAATGTTCTCTATCAGTGTCTGCAAAAAGCATATACTGCTGTAAATATTGTAAAGCTGGGGACAGGGAATTCTTATTTTTTCTGGACATTTTTAGGAATTAATTACCCAGAAACGACATACTGTGATGTCAATAAACTGTATGTCAGGTACTCCAGCTGCTTTTCCATCTTTTACTGTCTTAAGTAACACAAAGTCCTTCACCAGCTAAAGTACGGGAAGTAGTAGATCTGAACACGTCAGTTAAAGTTTCAGGACTCTTTTGGACTCTTTCTGGATATTTGCATGAGCAGGAGTTAAATAATTCTTTTTTAATCATGTGTCCAAGGTAACAAGTCGTCTGTTTTCTACTGTTTCTACTGTTTACATGTGATGTTAAAGCCAGTGTCAGTGATTTTTTGGCATGTCATAAACAGACTGAAGTCAAAGCAAATGTGACCATCAGTGTGAAGATTGTAAATTTATACAAACCAGTGGTGATTTTTAACATCTGAAACACCTGATAGGTGGAGGTGAAGGTCATTCAGAGTCACCACACACTGCTGAAACGGTCTTTAACGTAAAGGACTTGATCTGGACACTCTCTAGTATCTAAACTACATCATATTAGTATCCTAAAAAAAGGAGGGATCAAAAAAGAGTGACTAAACTGAACCATACTCACTCACATGTTTTCTATCCTGTAGCATCACTTCCACAAACTTCCTCCACTCACTTCTGGGAATACAGGAGACCAGTTTCTGAAGTTCTGAAGGTGAAACATGGTCCGATTCTTGTCTGCTACAGGACTTCATCTCTAATAGTTACTGTATAATGCAACAAAATGTTCTTAGACGATGAAGTTGACCGCAGGCCGGGAAGTTTAGCACCAGGACGCCACCATGCTGTTGTAATATTTGCAGGATGTGATGTGGCGTTGTCTCACTGAAATATGAAGGTCTACTCTGAAATGAGCTGGGTCTAGATTGCCGCATATGCCACTCCTAAACCTACACCAGCATTCAGTATTTTCCAAAAAATATCTGTGCTGCCTAGGAGTCCAAAGATTACAGAAATCCACTCTCAGTTTTCTGCCCAGTCTCCTTTGTACAGAGATTTCCCCTGATTCTTAGATAGATATTACAGCTCCAGTTAGGAACTTTCTGTCTGTGTTGAGTTTGGCGCCCTCTGTGGACAAAGTGGAAACCCTTTTATTGTTGCTGATTTGATCTTGTCCCGGTGAAAGTGATGCTCAGTGACAAAAATCCTCCTCCTGTCGTCTTTTTATATTTGAATTTATAAATTCTTGTTAATATATTTGGTTGGGTTGTAACAATCGTTATTTTTAAGCTTTCTGTAATGATGGTTGGATATATTTAGACAATATATATCAGTTTTGTTTTTTTTTTTTAAATAGACTGAAATTTATAAATAGACAAAAACAATTAAAAATCATATATAATTGGATCCGAATTTTTGAGGTCCGAAACTGGTATGAGAAGGTAGGTGTAAGCCATCAGCTAGAGACGAATCCGTTTTAACAACTTCAACGTAAAATATTCACGTTAGATGAAATATTTGACTGTCAAAATGACAAGTTACGCAAAGACTGCGACACCCACAGGGGGCGCCAAAACCGAATCAACTGAAATGTCCTCACAGGAGCTTTAATATGTTTATGCTTTAAAGTGTTTTAAAAAGACAGCACAGGAGCTGATTTCTTATTTTAGATTTATTTTTGGTTATTTGGTTATTTAAGATGAAGCATATTCTTTGATTTAACCTGCAAAGGTTTCTAGCTAAATCTACGTGTCCATGCTAACCTTTTAAAAGCAACAATTAACTTGTCATGTTGTGAGCGGCCTCTCTGCAGATCCTCCTTGTTTTATTTTTAGGTAGTTTTTTCTCCCATCAAAGATTTGACACTTACCTTCTGGAGGAGCCGCACAGCATTATCCAAAACCTGCACTCAGATTTACGGCTTCAGATTGGACCGATTATGAGAGTTCATTTGTTGTGTAATAAATGTGCGTGTGTGTGTAGGATGTTAAAATGTTGTGCATATGCAGTAAATAGAGTTTTCTCAATCCGTGTTGATACGAAGCTGTGGAACCTTTGCCTTCAGTGTTGCGCCAATCTGTCAATTTCAGAGGTATGCTGGCTCTATAACGTTCCAATAAATAAATATTAGTCTGCAAAAAGGACAGATCTTTCTGGGTGTGTGCGCTTGTTATGTGTGTTGCCAGATCTGCAGCCTACCAGACAGCGACAGACAGACATTATGTAGCTGTGTCACACAAACACACACACACACACGCAGGGAGAGAGGAGAGGGGACAGAGCGAACATCTCTGCTTGTTATTCAGCTTATGGATTATGTTCTGTTAAAATGACATCTCCTCAGCTCGGCGAAAACAACTTTAAAGCCCCTTTTTTGTCATGTAACATATTTCATCAAAGTTGTTCCCAAAAATAAATGCGGTTACAATGAGCATGCTCAGAGGCCGGGGCGCAAAATGAGCTGGACGCTGACCAACACGGAGGATGCGGACTAATCTTCTCCAGCCGCGGGTCAGAGGTCAACTTCCTGCCTTTGAAGAAGTAAAAGAAAGCGCTGACAGATGAAAGATATTATTGTCTCGTCACATTTTGTTTTAGTGTTTTCATGTGACAATTGTTTGCCTTCAGCTTTGCTTTTTTCTCCCCTCACAGAAAACTCACAGAAATGCCCCAGACGGGTGTAATTGGTGTGTAGGGACGGCTGCAGCAAATAACTGTAATTACCAGAAATGACTTGTTTCATGAAAACAGTCACGCGTGTCATTTTATGTTTGAGTGTAGGGGGTCAGATGCCGGTGGAACTTTGGGTAACAGCACTTTGCAAGTCATTTTTTACACATTAAAGCTCATTGTTTTCAGTCACGCTGCGGCGTCTGCTGAACTCTTCACACGCTGGTGTGAAATGAACTTCTGAGTGTTTTCCTCGCTGCAAAGCCGGTAAAAAAAAGAGGGGTCAGCAGCTGCCCCCTTTGATAATGATAATGCATAACACACGCGAGCATGCAGATACTCATAACAAGCAGGCGCGCGGAGGACAACAGGCGTGCCTGCAGAAGCACTTGTCAACAGAGAGGCGTAAACACACACAGACACAAAAGTCGCTCATCGTTTCAGTTGTGCCCTTTGAAGTCCTCAAATATCATGAAGCATTTACAATCTAATTATGTGCATTTCTGTTTTTTTCTCTCCCCCCTCTTTTACTCTCACTCTCTGCCTCCCTCCCTCCCCGCAATCCCAGCTGTGAATCGAGGGGGGAAAAAAGCGCCTCAACAATCAGGGAAAGGCGAAAAGCATGACGATGAGACCGCACGGAGAGAAACAAACACCGAGAGGGAGACATGGAGGAGAAGGAGGAGGCGGATGTGTGTTGACAGTTGGTATGTCCGCCACTCTTTGGGTCATTAAGAAAGTGGTAGCCCCCGCTGCCCGTGCCCCCTCTCTGAGAAGTTGATCTAGGAGCTGCGGGGAAGCTTGAACCAGGTCCAGGACTCATCAGCCAAACAGACCTGTCTACAAAAGCCCATCAGCGTGAAGCTAAAGCGGAATAAGACGTGTCTGAGCTCTCCATGAGGATGGCTGAAGGTGTTTCTTCCCCTGTGTTTAAGTTGAGTTATCAGATTTATGTGCAAATAAAAAGCAGCTCCGGGCGGCGAGGCCTCTCAGGCCATGTCTGCCTTCTTGGTAAATAAATCTAAAAGTGCCTTTTTCACTTACAGCCATAAAGAAACATTAAATCAAAAACAAACTCTCACTCAGAGGGAACAAATTAGTAAAAAGCAATCTGGGTAACAAGCTGTAAGTGTTGTGTGTGTGTGTTAGGACAAGCGCTCCTGTGTGTGAACGCGTGTCTGCTGTCGCTGCTCAAACAGTTTGAAGTGATACAGTTTTATTTGCGACAGTATGTGTGTGTCAGTATAACAAGAACAGAATCTATAGGAGGGTGCAAGGTGTGTGTCTGTGTACGTGGGCGGGCGATGGCTTGTGCCTCGAGTTTGTATGTTCTTTTTTTTTTTTCTGTGAATGCTAAGAAGGGAAAGAAAAAACATTTAAAGAATATGCCGGTGTGAATAGGGGAAGGATCATGTGCGTCGGATGTGTCCCCATTTCTTAACGTCGCTGGTTTTCTACCCTGTTTCCACCCCTCCACAAATCTCGGCGGTGGCAGCGGCGACAGTGACATTTGGGAGCAATTTTTAAGTGCGCCTGCAAAGGTTGTCAAGGGATTAATCTCATCTCATGCTGGGGCGCAGAAAAAAAACGGCTTCCTCCAAGAATTAAACACAATTTACCCATCAAGACAAGTCTTTCAGGATGGGAGACAAGCATAAATAATATCTCCTCGGTCCAGATTCGCTAATTTACAAGCTTAGCATCTCCAAATGTTATTAGCGGGACTGACGAGGTTACCAGAAGGCGCTGTAGGGAATGATTTGTTATCCGGGCGAGCAGCAGCTGCAGCAAAAAAGCGCATGTTTGGAGTGCTGGGATAGAAAGACAGACATACCTGACACCCACCGCCTCACCCCTCCTCCCCCTTCACTGCCACTACAACACCCAGGACTGCACACACCTCAGGCTGGCAGATAGTGAACTTGGCAACTCTCAAGCTAATGTTCTTTTCCACTCCTCTCTTTCTCATTCGCTTTCAGTCTCCCCTTTCTCCCTCTCTCTCTTATTACCGTTTATTCCTCTTCTGTTTTCCCCTCGGTTTCTCTCCCTCTGTATCACTCTTTCTCTCCCACTTGCTCTTGAGGCTCGAAACATCAAATAGAACATTTGGGCAACCGTTGTCATCTTGGCAAATGTTGAAGAAGCTCTCGTCTGCAATAGAAAAAAAAAAAAAAGGGAGAGAGAGAGAAGGAGAAGGAAGTTTTTAGATATTCACTCGCTCTCAACATATCAGTCAAAGCGAATACAGATGTCTCTTTGCCTCGTCCAAAAATATGTTCGTCTTTTCTAAAGATCTATATCGGCATCTTTGCTCGGTCACCGTCAATCACGCGGCGCCTGAGTTCTCTGGCCAAGTTTAGCACAATTTTCCGTGATTAACTTTGTAAATAACCAGGTGCCTCCTGAAATTTGGATGCCGTACCTTTTCTAAGCTGACAAGGAGCTAACACCCTCAATCTGACGTTGTCGTTGTGTTAGATGGTTCACTCACTCCATGTGTATGTGTGTCTTTGTGCATGCATGAAGGTGTGCATGCGTGTGTGTGTGTTTAAGGGAGAGTATTTTGATCTGTGCTGGCTGTTTATCTTGCTGAAACAGGAGTCTCCCGTCACTCCAGCCCCTTTCTGATCCTGACAGATGAGTTCAACCCCAGCCTGCAGCCTCCGAGGGGAAGAGAGGAGAGAGAGAGAGGGAGAGAGAAAAGGAAAGGAAAGGAAAGGAGGGCGACAGGAGAGAGAGGAGGAGGAGGAGGAGGAAGAGGAGGGGGGTGGTGGTGGAAGAAAGAAACAGATGGATATAAGAAATAGGAGAGAAAGTGAGTGAAAGAAAGAAACACGCAGAGGGATGGAGAAAGAGAAGAAGACAGACAGAAAAGGGGAGAGGACTGGAGGAGAAAAGAGCGGGCGCTTAGCTTCACCTGCCAGTCTGTGTTAGCGGGGATGAGCCAGAGTTCCCTGCTTCTGGAAGCTTAGTGTCAAAGGTGGGACTGCAGGGCTCTGTCTGACGTTTGTGCGAGTGTGTGTGTGTGTGTGTGTTTGTGTGTGTGTGGGCATGTGTCTCTGTGCCCAGTAGGGGTTCCCCCGCACATTCCCACTTCTCGCCTCTCCTTTACTCCTCACATCACTTCTCCCTTCTTCTTCTCGTCACTCAGGGGTTTTGGTGGCTGAGGGATGCATGCCTGTGAGTGTGTGTTTGTGTGTGTGTAGGTGAGCGTATACAGTGGTGTGGAGGGGTATGTGGCAGATTACTCTAAAGACAACCAAAACAGAGGACTCTGATTTCTGCCAGACTAATTGGATGATGCATCTGTGTCTTGTTTTGACAGTTTTTCGTATTTTTCTGTAGTTTAAAATTATTTTCTGGGTCATGTCGTTTGGAGAAAGGGGGTATTTCTAGAGTATAAAAAAGGCTTCTACACAAAGGTCTCTGTGCCAACCCCGACTATCAAAATTAAATTAAAAACACTGGGAAAAGTCAGTGTAACCTCAACTGTTTGCAGACTTACAATAGTTTCATACAGGTAGTGTGTCAGATGTGTGAAAGCTGAAGTGATGACTACGACTTTTTGCCCTCAAGCTGAGTGTGGTTACTGCTGTAACTCTAATCTACATTAAACTATTGTTAAAGTAAAGAGGGATTATTTCTTTCCAGAAGAGGGTGATGAGGTAATGTTCAGTAAAGTCTACCTTGGAGAAACCCTAGTTAACTTTTAGCCTAACATTGCCGGTGCAGAAGAAGCAGTGTGTAATATAGGAACTATTTAGCCCCCAGACACTAATGTCTTTAGGAACATGATGAAAGCTTTTATTAGCTTTCTTATGAGCATTGCAATTCACTACCGCACACACATGTTCTGTGATCGTTCTCTACTTCTCCGGGGGCACAGGGGGCGGAGTTTGTTGTTGTGATGTAAGAAATCTCACTGTGTCTAAACAATAGCCTGTATAGAACTTTTTTTTTTTTTACATTCTTTAATATAACATTTTGATCATACTATACGTTGTAGTTTTATTATACTATACGGTGACACTATTTTGATACTATAGTATGAATTTTCTTTGAACGAAATTTTTTATCATACTATACAAGTACATTTTTTTCATACTAAAATTTTAATTTTTTATCATAGTATACTGTTACATTTTCATCTTACTATACAATGACATTTTTTGCATACTATACAATGACATTTTTTCATACTGAAATTTGAATTTTTTATCATAGTAAACTGTAACATTTTCATCTTACTATACAATGACATTTTTTGCATACTATACAATGACATTTTTTCATACTTAAATGTAAAATTTTAACATACTTTTTAAACAAATTTATTTATCATACTTTACTATACTATGACATTTTTAACATACTATATTTTGATATTTTTTAAATTCTAAAATTTGAAATTTTTATCATAGTTAACCGTAACATTTTTATCATACTATACTATGATATTTTTAACATACTATACTATGACATTTTTATCATACTATACTATGACATTTTTCAACATACTATACTATGACACTTTTTTATACTAAAAATGAATTTTTTATCACACTATAGTTTGGCATTTTTTCAAACTCACATTTGAATTTTTTATCATAGTATACTATGACATTTTCATCTTACTATACAATGACATTTTTTACATACAATACTCGGACATTTTTTCATACTTAAATGTAAAAAATTTTATACAATTTCTGAACAAATTTTTTTATTATACTATACTATGACAATTTTAACATACTTAATTTTGCTATTTTTTTCATTCTAAAAGTTGAAATTTGTATCATAGTATACTATGACATTTTCCAACATACTATACTATGACACTTTATTCATACTAAAAAATGAAATTTTTATCACACTATAGTATTGCATTTTTTTCATACTCACATTTAAATTTTTGATCATACTGTACTATTACACTTTCATCATATTTCACAATGACATTTTATACATACAATACTATGACATTTTTTCATACTTAAATGTAAAAGGAAATTTTTTAATCATACTATACTATGACATTTTTATCACAATACCTATTTTTCACACTTTCTTTTATTAAACAAATTCTGAGGGGGAATTGAACCTATAACCTTCTGATTGTAGGGTGACTGTGTTAACCACTACACTACTATGCCTCTCATGACCTTTGATGATCCTTTTATCATGCGCTTATGTGATTTCTTCAACTAACCATACGGTGACATTTTTTAATGGTATTCTGACATTTTTTTCAGATTAAAAAGTGAAAATTTTAACATTATTTACTTTGCCACTATTATCATACTATACTTTGACATTTTTTTCATTCTAAAACTGAAATTTTTATCACAATATACTATGACATTTTTTTGATACTAAAATGTCAATAAAGTCAATAAAGCTTCTTAAATTTGAGCTGTTCTCCTCTAAACCTTCGCCTCCTTTTCTCTGCTTTTCAGATTTGCCAGTTTCCCCGTAAGTTGTCACTGTAAATCGCAGCAGTCTGCTAGTTCATGGCACCCTCGATGTGTAGAGAGTTGATATTGACATCACTTCGGGACGACCCGCTGAGAAAGCGCTAATCAGGATCATCTCTCTAAAAAGTTATCTCACTCACTCGGCATGTCTCATGAGGACACATATCTGCAGGGACAGTCGACTGGTGACACGACTCCTTTAAGATGCTGTTATTAATGTGAATTATACATCATCTGGAGACTTTCTTTATTATTTCAGTCAACATAAATAAATGTGAGTGTTTGTGGCTCCTTGAGATGAAATATTTTGAGCATCTATCTACTCCAGAAGGTTAAGTGTGTGTTTTAAGACTCCAGGATGTGTTTAATGAAGCTTTATCGGGGCTTACTTATCAATATAAATCAGTTGTATCTTGATATTTCTGATGTTTCTCGTCACAAAGTGGTCCAGCTTTGACTTCCTTCCACCTTTCTTTACCTTTGTCACCACCTTCAGACCTCTCACCTAACCCAGTAACCTCACCACCACCTCCTTAACCCCGCCGAGCTCCTCTGACTGAGGTCTTACCCCTCCGCCGACCCCCCACCACCTCTCCAAAAAACATTTCATACCTCTGCTGCTTCCCGCCTACACAGACCTCTTCCTCGCCTGCCTCTCCGTGCCAAGTCAAAGGAGGCCCCGCTGATGCCAGAGGCTCCACAACTCTCTATCTCCCTAACACACACACACGCACATCCCGTCCGCCACCACACTGGCATCACTGGGCCATCTGTGGAGCCCGGGTGAGCTGGTGAGCCGAGCCAAATCACCTTGCTGTTACACAACTGCGTTTACAAACTTTCGCATAAGCCGCACATGAACACCTTCAATTAGCTTTACACAGTCGATTACAATGTGCACTTTTGTGTGTGTGTGTGAGTGTGTGTGTGCTTTGGTTGGAGGTAGGAGGCTTTAGCTGTGTGTTAATGTGTGTGTGTGAGGAGGGGAGTTTGTGCATCTGAAGGAGATGCTGCAGCAGGAGAGCACAAACACAAGGGGCCAATGTGATTTCAGGCCGTCTATTGAACTGGTGTAATTGGGAGCATGACCGACAGTGTAGCGGCTGGAAGGCTATATGTCAGACCAACAGCTTTTAGCGCCATCTCTCCCTCCTTTTCTCTCCTGTTCACACACAGACGCACTCTTTCATCTCCTACCATCTCTTTACATTGCCCGTTCTCACCTCCCGCCCCTCCATCTATGTGTCCCACCTGAATGGGATGGCAGCTCATTCTTTTCACGGCGGAGCATCCTCGCCTTAAAGAATGTACTGTATTTGCGAGAGTCGGACCTCTCACCTCGACCCGGCCTGCCCTGAAACAAGGAAAAACGGCAGGTCTTTGTAATGGCTTCTAAGCAGGATCTGAAGTTTTCTCCCACTCGGTGACGCAGAGAGACCTTGAGTGTGACCCCTCGTTGTATCCGGCGTAGCAAAATGGGAGCTGTAAATGTAGAATAGCTGTTATTGAAAACACAGTTGCACCGCGAGATGTTGATCGACAAATAAGGCCAAATTGTCTGACAACACCCCGTCAAAAGGTGTTCTTCTTTTATTCTCCTAGAGTTGTGTTTTGGAAAGTGGCGATAACGCGGCAGATAAGACTTTTCCGAGTGGTAGTTTGGCATTTATTCCGCTCGCCCCGGAGTCTTTCTCCTCGCTCTTGTTTACCTTAAATCCTCATTTCTACCTCTGTTTGTGATATCGTCTCCCTCCCCGTCTTCTCTCCCTCTGTTCCTCTTTCTTTTGCGATCTGAGACGGATAGAAAGAGGACCACAAGGCCACGGAGCGGGGGCTGTGAAAATCTCACCACACTTTTAATGACTTTTAATGAGATTCATAAAACATGGAGAAACTTGCAGAAAAAAAAAAAAAGGAGAGGGAGAAAGAAACAGAGGGAGGGACAGAGTGAGAGACGGAGGAAAAGATGCAGCACCGCCCGCCACCAAGCTGACAGCGAGCAGGCTTGACATTTGGCCTCTCGTAATTAGGGAAGTGCCAGATTCCGTCCCACTAAATCTCAGCTCAAAATCATTATTCACGACGGTGTTGACTCCGCAATGTCCAACCCGCTTAAGCCCTCCTCAGTGCTTTTTTGTCCCCTCTTCTCCCCTCCATCCCTCCCCCTTTCTCCCCCCGTAAATATCGCAGCCAAAATTACATTACAGTTTTGCGCTTGCCTCCCCCTTAATTGCTTGCCCTCCAAACACAATCTGCTTTGGCAATACATAAGATGGTATGTGAGTTAACAGCGACAGTGAGTTGGCAGCGAGGCGGCTGAGCGGCGGTCTGTGAAAAAAAAAAAGGGAGCACTAAGACGAGGAGATAAAGTGTGGAGGAGAGCTGGAGAGGAGCTGATCACACACAGACAAGCTGGGGAGCAGCAGACAGATGCCATGAGAGCACGGCTGTCATCCGCACAGCCAGGATGGAGGAAAGAGAGAGGGAGCAGAGGGAAAAAGGAGAGGCAGGGATGGAGGGGGGAGAGAGAGAGAGAGAGAGGCAAGGGAGGAGAGGAGGGAGAGTGGGCGAAGGAGAGGAGAAGTGAGAAGGTGTGAGATTTAGGTAAAGATTGAAGGAACTTTTTTAGAATTAGGAGAAATAAATTAAAATGAATTACATAAATAATGACTTTGTGAAATAAAAGTGTGTGTGTAAGTAAAATAAAAAGTTATAAAGACAAAATTTAAGCAAATATGTGATATTTTTTAATACACTCTGATTAAAACTGTAAAAATGTTGCTTTTCTGTGTGTTTATATTCATTAAAAACCACATTTACAAATCTCATATTTAACACACACTAATATCTGAAAAAATTCACTATACTCTCTAAGATGTAAATGAAACCTGATTATACATCACTACAAAAAGTCTGCTTAGTGAGTGAAATCAATAACAAACTTCACTTTATAAATTAACTAAATACGACCCTCAATAACTGATAAAAAGTACCAGTTTATACACTAAAGTCGTATTTTTTCTGCTTTTTCTTGTATATTTATTTTTATTCTACAGAGGAAAATCGACAGGCTCAAAATGAAAAAGGAAAAAGTGACAAAAAGCTCGGAGAAGTGTACGAGTCTGAACCGTCCGTCCCTCTTGTATTATACTATAAGATTCGTGAGGAGGATGAGAGTGAGGCTGGAGCTGCTTTTACTGACCCTGCTCGGAAAACGTCGCACCATGTGAAGTAAAAGTGCACAAGGTTGACTTTCTTCTCTGTATCCGTGCGAGTTCATCTTTCAGCATCTGTTAAATCCACCAGATCCTGTCAGTGTCATCGTTTTTAAAAAAAAGGGGGGGGAAAGAAAAAAAAGTACCATGATTTGTTTTAAGCCTTTGCAGTCAATCACGTTGTATAAAAAAACACTTTCTAAATGGGACACAAGCACAAGCTAATACCCCCTCCCAGCATGAACCATCATCAAATCACACATACAAAAAAAAAAGAGAAGAAGAAGCATTGCCACAAGCTCCTTTTTTTTACCACTTTATGAGAAGTTTAGACAAAGTTCCCTCCTTTCCCTTACACTCGGAGGCTTGTGTCTTGCAGAGGGAGCCCATCACAAAGCGTCAGCTAATCTGGGAGATGGCAAAGAGGGGACATGGGTTTGACAGGGGCTCGCTTACTCCATAAGCCTGCCATTAACGCTAATCCTCCCGGGTGATGAGCAGAGGAGGGGCAGTGGCGAGCAAGGAGGGACAAGACAGCCTGTAAATATCAATAACAAATAGGAGATGTGGCGGTATTAAGCCCCCTCCGCCAAGTTCCAGCAGTGCCACCGAAACCCTTATCCCGGCAGAGTTTGGCCCCCATGTCTCCCTCTTTTATCTCACAGGGATTGGGCTGAAGTTAATCTCTGCAGCCGTTATGACAGTCAATTAGCGGAGAAGAATGTAGCTGGACTGGAGATTCTTGAAGCTGAATGTATGGGGGGTTCATGGGGTGCGTGTGTGTTTGATTTGAGATGGGTGTGTGCGTGCGTGTGTGTGTGTTTGTGCCCGTGGAGAGATGTTCCACAATGACAACTATCTCTCTGTCCGCCCCCCTGGAGAGCAGATGGGATATGAGCCTGCCAATAAGACAAGAAGAAAGAGTGGCGTGTCTGCGTGTGCAGGAGTGTGTGTCAGTCCTGCATATGCACGCACACATGCATGAGGGCTCCCGTGTGCGTGCGTCGCTATTCCTCCGTGTGTGTTCTGTGCAACAGTGTCTTCTTCTTCTTCTTCTTCTTCACAATTTTACTGATGAGAGAACATTTGTCATGACGGCGACGGCTTCACGTGCGACTTATAGAAGAAAGTAACAAAAGCACAAGAGTCCTCAAAATCCAGCTCGACTTAACTTTGCAGAATCTCCTTAAACACTCGTTTTAAAAAATCTCATTTGCTCATTTACTTGAAGTGCTTTTCATGAATCCAAACGCTGGCATGTAACTCAGACTCCTAACTTCCTCTTCAAGAAAACAAGAAAGTTTTTTGGTCATATTTTCTGTGACATTTTGCAAAAGTTTAAACAAATTTTTCAAACCTCCGCAGACTTGGCTGTGAATCGAAGGTGGGTTGCAGTTTAACTTGGTGGCTTTGATTTCTTCTTTTCTCACACTTTGGAGGTAATATTAAGATCAATAGCAGCTGAGTGAATGATCTAACAGCAACAGATGGGTGATTTGGTCCTTGTTTTCTTTCAGTGTTCTCCTTATGTATGAGCGAAGTTTGCCAACAGGGCCGCTGCTGAAAAAACTTGAAGACTTTTCATCAACCTTTTTTTTTATTATACCGCCAATTAACTGGGAAGTATTATGAATCATGGGAGGTTGTTTAAAATGTTGATAAAAACAGATTGAGATGGTTTTGCGAACCATTTTAACCTTGTGTTATATTGAAAATAGTTGGCTTATCAAACTTTGAACTTTGGTGCCCCCTGTGGACAAATCAGTCTTTGCTTATTAGGGCTGTCGAAAATGCTCCAAAATGACGTTTGAATATTCGTTCCAAAAATAACACATACATACGAACATATTCAAATATCTCTCTTAACACAGCTTGCGTATAACTTGATCTCGCTCAGCATTTTTTACGTCTATCTTGTCTTTTCAAAATCTGAAGAATTTCCAAACAGAGCTTCTAAAGTTCGTCAGAGTCCAGACAACTCTCTTTGAGTTCGACTTTGAACATCCCGACTTCTCTCTCTGCATGTACCACGGACAGTTTTTGTCGAGTCTGAAGGTGCAGCTCCTGTGACCTGTCCCTGACCCATCATTACAATGCGCTCACTCGCAAAACAGCCTTTTTTTAAAAACATATTTTCTTTCTGTTTTTGTTTTTTTTCTGTGATCCATGGAAGTGCGGACCCAGAGAAGCGGAACAAACGACGACAACAACGTTTTTTTCCCCACTCAGTTTTTTCCCCACTGTTTATTTAATATTCGAATGTTAATTTTCACATTCAAAACTCGTATTTTTTCAAATATTCAAATAAATATTGGGATTTAGAATATTCGTTGACAGCCCCATTGCTTAACTTTTTCAGTGTTTCATTGTGATTTCTAAACTAGCATTTATTTATTCTAAAACAATATCATCAGTATAATTTCAGTTTAAACATTTGTTCTGTCGTCTTTGCAGGATTTCCAACTAAATAAAAGATTTAAACGACTAACAAACCATTAAAACCTGATTTTATTACATCTTAAATTATGGGGATTGGTGTTTTATTCCTCCAGAATCAGTTTATATCATTTAAAAACAGATAAATGCTTCCTTTTGTTTCTTATAAATAGATGGCCATGGAGAGGGGCTGCTTATCAAAAAAGTAATTTTCATTTTCCGTCTGATTTTTAATAAACAAATGAGTCTAAATGTCTGGTGAACAGTTCAAGTTCAATTAAAACTTTGATGTTATGTTAGTCGTATGAACAACTTTTCCAAATTTCACAGGCTCACTCAGAAATGAGTCAGATTGACAGCAGTCAAATTAAATCTCAATCTGAATCTGGAGCCAGCTGTTTCGAGGTAAGGAGCTGTTTACCTTGTAACTAACAGGCCGCAGTGCATCTGGGTTCTGTCTAGGCCTCAAGGGTGGTGTTAGGGCAGCCACCCAGGTACCCTGGACCAGAATGACAGGCTAAACTGGCCCGCAGGACGCCCCCTGTTCCCTCGAAAAGGATCCAGAGGCCAGCGCAGCGTGGTCCAAAACTGAGCTTGAGTCCACCCTGGGGGGAACAGGACAATAGCCAAGAATGTGTTCACATGGTAATGCGATCAACATCAACTCTAACCAGAACAGATTCGGGTGTTTCTGTGGTACTTTTTTAAAGTTATGAAAGAGCGCTAACTCTCTTACTCGGTAAACCCTGCTGAAGTGTGGGTAAATATAACCTTACACTCACGTAGAAACGAGCCTGCACACACACGTGGAGATGAGGGAGCGCACACAGGAGCAGCAGTAGTAACAGCTGCATAAGTCTTTGGGTGAGTGCACATCTGTTAGACTGGCTTAGTACGGTGAAACTGGCTGTTGACAGCAAATGTTTTCACTAAAGCTCACATTGTGAGTTATGTATATGGAGGGAAAAAAAGGACAAATTAATATAGCTACTCCTTCTCCTCTGTCTCTGTCTTACTTTGTCTCTCGTACCAACTCTCTCTCTCTCTCTATCTCTCCCTCTCTGTCTGGCTTTCCTTTCATCCGAAGCCTGTTGGAGGTGCTCTGGTCACCAAGTTAAATCAATTTCAAGCAGTTGAAATATTTTCAGCCATTTGAAATAAATGCTTCGCCCAGGTATCTCTTTAAAAACCCCCATTTCCACAGGGCAGACGGCAGGTCGAGGCCACATAACTCCAACAATCTATCATCTGCCACCTCGGTGTCGACTGTAATAGCCTCTCTTCCTCCTAATATCAGAGTGAATGGTCGCAGTGATAGAAAGGCATGTTTTTATGTACCTAACCTGTGGATAGATGTGATTGTATGATTGATTTGAAACCCGGTGTTCCTTCCTGTGAGTCAGAGTATTTGTGTGTAGGCAGCAAATGAAAAATACCGCCATGTAGTGATTGGAACAAAACGATCTGACCCTCAACCTCCCAATCTTTTTAAGCGTGTTTCAATTCAGAGGTAGCTTTCAGTGCATTGACATTCAATAGTATGATTACTCAGAAGCAGCATGGTGTGTGTGTGTGAGTGAGTGAGTGAGTGAGTGAGCGAGTGTGTGTAGATGACAGATATGTGTGGGTGTGGTTAATGGGAAGGTGCAGAAGTTCTTCTTTGTGTGTCTGCGTGTGACAATCACCTGTAGGCTGCTGGTTTCAGGGTGTTTGTGTTGAGGGCATCAAACAGGCCTTTAGAGTGAGGTTGAGTGAACAGCGCGCACACACACACACACACACACGCACACAGATACATGCACACACACACACCCACGTAGCAGCCAAGTCCAAGCCAGAGCCGAGCCAAGACTCTGTGTTTAGAACAAGAAAAACACTTTGTTTACGCTTTAGGGCCCTTCACTGCTCAACCAGCGAAAGAGGGAAATCAACTCATCCCTGGTTCCCTAGCCACCGCCGCGTCGTCAACAGATGAAGTCAGCATCTCACACCCAACAGATGGGGTGCAGAGAACAGCAGCCTACTTTACCAAATGGACTTTTTTTTCCCCCCCTGCCTTCCAATCTACTAATCAATGCTTGTCGTCTGCGAGATAGCACCACGAGCTGCAGGCAGAAGGTTAGGAAGTCGCTGGTTGAGGCGAAATGTGTGATTACATGAGGTGCGCGTCAGCGTTAATCGCAGATCTGCGCACACTGCGGTGTGTTTCCAGCCGGGTAGTGAGAAAAATATACATCGTTTATTGTTCAAAAGAAAAAAAAATGTCTTTTATTGGAAATAATCCTGCAGGGCTTGGTGGAAGTGCATCTGTGGCAGGAGATGTTTAATATCAGATGCAGCTTATTTGAAATTGTCTTGCTTTGGTGAGATCAGAGCATCCAGATGATAAGGACACGCCCACCTAAACGCCCTCGATCAGATGAACAAACAACTCTCGCTCCAGAGGAAAAACACACACACAATCTATTTATTTATTTTTTATCATTTATCCTTTAAGTCTTCTGGTGTTTTGTCTGTATAATTCCTTTATTCTTCACACCCAAATCAAGTGCCTCTGTGCGCGGCAGATAAATAGGAATTCCAAACTCCAATGGTTCATTTGTCATGGTGTGAATTCCAAGAGTGGAATCTAGAAATAGCTCGAGTGTTCAAGCGCGGTTGTTGCCTGGGGCTTGGTGGCATGTAGGAGGCTTTGGTGATATTTGCTTTTTGCATATTTTCTACTAGGGGGCTTTTTTGGAAGGGAGATATGCACTTTTCCCATTGCAAACATTGCAGAAAAAAAAAAAAAACACACACACATAGAAAAGATTTTTTTGTGTGTGTTCTGAGCTGCACGTTGTAGGAGGCTTTGCCCATTATTTTGGTATGACATTACAGTTTTAATTGAATTGAATGCAATTTATTCTTAAGAAAACTTTTAATTAAGTGCCATATGGACAGATTGTGGAGTAGTGGCCTCCATGATATTCCCTTGGGGACATTTGCTGCATAATTAAGAATATGAACTGTAATGACACAGTGAGATTTAATGGAAACTTGCAGTCTAAATAGGCGACGTCGGAGAGCCATTATTACCCAGCTAGAAAGGGCTTAGTCGGGTTCTCAAGGGACACCGGGGTCCCTAGAGTGGAACCCTGGGAATAAAACCTCTAGAGAGCAAGATGAGAAGGAAGGAAGGAGGTAAGGTAGGAAGGAAGGAGTTAAGGAAAGCTCTTCCTTGACTGTGCTGTTCGCCTTATATTAAAAGGTTGTTTTAATTGTTTTCTTCAGGTATCACAGATGGTTAAATCAGTGTGATGCTCCCACCCATCCTCTCGCTGCCTGTGACCCCTGATCTCAACACAAGGACATCTTTAAAACCAGATTTTGTTTTTAAACTCCGAAACAATCCAAAATAAAATTGCAGCTACCCACAAAGGCAATGATTCCCCTATTCAGTATTCAGGCTCTTGTTTTTCTAATCTTCCTGTCACCATTGTGCAGAACTTGAGCCCGTTTGATCGGGTTGGGGCTGATGTTCAGAGTCTGGAACCAAGCTAACACTACTATTTAGTCTTGGGTTACAAGTGACGATTGACACAATTGAGAGTGGGTCACAATTGCACTCTGACTGTCACTGTCACTGAGTAAATGGACTGAAAATTTGCTGGTTTTTTAAGGCCCTTTTCTCTTCTCTTCTCACAGTCACACCACATTCATACCCTGACGGCAGAGGCTGCTATGTAAAGCCCATTAGTATTAACCAATCCCATTCACACAACTTTGGCACAGGCATCAGGGCCAGTTTTGGGGCAAGGACACTAAAGCTTGTGGACCATGAGACCTGGAAGATGACTGACTTGACCACTAATCCACAGTCTTCCTTGGGGGGGTCTTAAAACAGGAACAAAAGGATGTGATTACAAAGTATTTAATTAGCTTGAGCTATTTCAGTTTGTCGTGGCAGGACAATGGCGAGGACTACCAGTAGATTTCTCAAACAGAGAAAAAAAGAGTTTTTCCCAGTGACAGGAGTCTTAGCCTTGAAAATGTGATTATCCTTCGGTAGAAAAAGTCTCTTACCAACAAACCGCAGAGGCCGCAGCCTCACGGCCTCTCGCACTCACCAACAGGTGGCTTCAGCTGGGGCTCAGGACAACAACCCCTCATGGAGACGAAGACCATCGACTTCTTTCACGTTTTATAAAAGTTCAGAGAAAACACAGAATCGCCTCGAGAAACTCTGTCACGAGAAATCAGAGAATAAGACATGCATGCAACCACAGATATACTGAAAACTAGATACGCTAAATGACGTGTCTATGTGGTAGCCATCTTAGCGGGGGCAACGTTCCTTTCAAGGCGATGCATACATTGAAAATAATGCATAACTTCTTAATTTCTCAACCGATTTTCATGCTGTTTACTTTATATTCAACGCCAAAACATGTAGGCCGCTATTAATGCAGAACGTTTTAATAAACATTTGTTTTTTTATTGTTTAAATCAAATATTCTGTATTAATAGCGCATGCTTCAAAAGAAACGACAACCCCCACTAGCTTAACCTCGCTGTAGGCACGCGGCTCAAAGACGCATGTCGTATCTACGTATCAATATCTGTGATGTCAACAAACACAAAACGGAAGACGGTCTATGAAGGTTAAGAAAAAGGTCTTTTGTGTTGTGAGCACGGAAACGTCTTGGCGTCTTCATATTTATTCATTACTGATACTTCAACAATTAGCGTGAAACATCCACAAAAAACAGACAAAAGTTTTTCTTTTGGCGTTTTCATGAACATAAAAGCTTCCTGTAATTTCAGCTACTTTTCATTTCTAGTAAATAGTCGACAATGAGACTACAATGCCCCACAACGAAGTCTTCAGATAATAAGTTCGGACAGGACATCAGGAAGAGGCGGCTTAAGCCAAGGTAGACTGTTGGCAGTTAACAACACTCAAAAATATTCCTCTTTTGTTGGCGGTTGGTAAGAATGACGAAAACAAAGGAAGGAACGACGAATAAAGCAAAGTTGTAAAAAGCCAAGTAGCAGCAAAGAATGTGAAAATGAGAGAAAAGAGAAAGAGGGAAAGAAGATGAAGAAGAAAGATTGTAAAAGAGGGCGCTGAGGGAGCCAAGGAGAGGGTAAATATGGAGGCCAGATAACAAAAAAACAAAGGCAAAGGGAAGAAAATCAAAAAGTGTGTATGTGAAAGGTAGAGAGAAATGAAAGGAAGGAAAGACACAGTTAGTCGCCTGCAGAACAGAACAAACTCATTTACAGAGCAGTGCCAGACTTGAAAACAATTATCTGCCATCTCCGTTGCCTCTGTAGAAGAGTAGCCCGTTTTGTGGGGCTCTTTGTTTTTCTCAAGGACATATTCATTATTTCAGATGAGACCCATTTGAGTCTAAATAAAGACTTTCTCTCCTCTCTGTCAGATTCACTGGTGCTGTGATGTTGCATCTGAGGGGATGTGAAAACACGTTTGAAAAGAAGTCTGATGAAAGCACTTCTATGCCACTAATGCATGTTCATTAAGTTCAAATTCTCTTTTATTTCCACCTCTCTTTTCACATTTGAGTTCGGGTGCTAATATTTGTGTTTTTGTGTTTTTCTGTGTTCACGCGGTGCACAAGTTCTCCTGGAAAACTGAGCGTTCGAGCAATCGGTGACATCTTTTTCTTTCGTTGGCCGCCCACGACAATGGTCTTCCGTCCAAATGTCTCTTTGAAAGCAGGCCGCATCTTCTCCGGTGCATGCATGGAAAAAGGAGAGGAGAGGCTGGCGCTAATCACATCCAGACAAAAGACACCTCTGACAAACAGTAAACAAGGAGCCAGAAGTATTTTATGACTCACAGAGAAGACACAGAGAGTGTTATTTCTCTCTGGATGGGGAAGATTTTGACATGGCAAAGAAATAATTTGCTGTTGTGTTGAGACTCCTCGTTTCCCTCTTAGGGTCACGACAGCAAACACAGATGGAATCAAACCGACACGAGGGGACGGAGTGGAAAAATAACCCGGTAGGTTTCAGGTCCCATCTTACCTGCTCAGGAGGTTGACTAAAAGACCTCTGTGTGTGTGGAATTGAAAATGGAGGGTACGGAGATAAACAAACAAACATACAGGCATACACATGTAAACACAACACACTTCAAATGGCCTTCGAGAGCGCCGCATTCCACATTTAATTGGAAGGCAAAAAAAAATCCGCCGAAGAGCACCCTCCAAAGTAAACTTCTCACAGTGGCGAGCCAGCCAATCGCGAGGGGAGGCAAGGTCTCCGGGGCCCCGCCCTCCGAAAATAGGCACAGATAACCTATTGTTGGAGCGTGAACAGTGGTCACACACATGCACACAAACAAAAATGACCTCACGTATGGTGTTCGAGTTTGGAAACCGCTGCAGACATATTTTATGGAAAACTGGATCTGAATGTTTTCGCAGACTTTGAATCCCCACAAGTGTGTGAAGGGAAGACAGACACCCAGTGAGAGGGTGGAAAAGAAATGACATCTTTGAGAAATGTAACACCAGATTTCACCAAGATGTATTTCCTCCTCCCTTCACAGAAACCTCTTCAATAACAAATCTATCTTCTTTAATCTATACTTATTTGGATGTGACATTTAAAGGTCTCCAGCCTATGAGACAAAATGTGAAACTCTGATCTAAAATTTTGTCAAAGTAAAAACAAAAGGTTTGAGTCTTACATTTATGAGCAGCATTATCAAATTTGAATAATTAAATTAACACTCTTTAAAATGCAGGAAAGACGAACCAAACAAGCTGCTGCTGCAGTTATTCTCTAATATTTCACATAATTTGGGGCGTTTATTTTTCCTTTTTCTTTTTTTTTTTAATTCTGGCACTGCCTTTTTTTTATGATGCACGATTTAAACTCTCACGCTCTGAAATAAATAAATGTGTCTGAACCCAATCTGGATTAAAACATTATAATTGTAAGCATTTATCCCTGAAAATCCACAGCTGAATTTTTAAGAGGATGTGAGCACTAGTTTTTATTTAACACAAACACACACAGGGGGGACATCTGTGCTGAACGCTGACCAAATCCGTGGCGACTTTACTCACAATACAATTTTGTTGGAAGTGTTAGAATTTGTTTCAAGTTGATGGCACAGCCTCCATTTTGAGTTGACTTTGATATCATTCTGCGAACAGTGAAATGTCTGGATAAGTGTTGCGTTTAGGCCAGCCATCTGTACCATCTCCAACTCTAGAGCAGTTACATGCAGAGTACCCTTGAATTAGAGGGAGAGAGTCGTGGCTTTGTTTTAAACGGTTCACTGCTGGCATCTACTGGAGGATTTCAGCAAAGCCAGCGTTCAGGAAACTCTTCGAAAACCCTTTTACTCACTCTCTTCTTCTCTGGGTGGATCTGTTTTATTCCACAAATGAGGGAAACACCTCCAATCTGATAAGAAACAAATGAAAATATTTTAAACATTCATAAAGAAGTGTTAGCATGAATCCTGCAACATGGACATCTGAGCTGCACTTCATGAAGTAGTAAAGATCTGCTCAGGTGGAGCAGGTTTTTCAGAGATTTTTGGACCACATATCCAAAAAGAAATGTGGAAATAAAGAAATCAGATTAGATTTATCTGATTAAAAAAGGATCTTACTTTTTACCTCAAATTACACTATTTGCTTAAATCTGACACTTCTCCTCGGTTACAAAAGTGTTTATCTAAGCCTTTAAAAATCACTGAAATTTTACACATTTGCAAGGATGAGGTTGAACAAATTTTACAAAGAGATCACAAAGTAGAAATACTTGCTGAATACCTAAATACGCACGAGAATAATTAAATTAAAACTTAAAAAAGGATGTTTAGTAATAATTTTCCTGATTTATTCCTAAAAAGATGGAACAAATAAGAAAACTTTTAATTGCAAGTTATTCCTACATCATTTTATTCATGTTATGCGATTTACCTGCTGCAGTGAAATCTCTGAAAATATGAAAGCAGAAATCCACCAGCACGAGTTTATATAAGAGTGCTCTCTGTATGTTTATTTACCACCGCATTAGCGATAAACCAGCTGCTATAAATGCTTCTCTTTCTCAAGTCCGAGGCTTGTAAATGTGTGTGCAGGCTTGACAGTGTGAAGTGCAATAAAAACAGTGTTAAAAACATGAAAAGACCTTAATTAATAACATGCCAACAACATGTTTTAAGTCGTGAGAAACTGTCAAATAAGATGAATAATTATTGTCTGTCCAGCAGCTGATCGAGTGCAGCCCTGACTGACAGAGCGCGAACGTCTCCTTCCTTCTCTTTCTTTTTGTTGATGTGTTTGTTGCGTGTTCATGTGCAACTTGGGAAATGAGAGCGAAAAAAAAAAAAGAAGAAGGAAAAAAAAAAGCAGAAACAACCGGAGGAGAGCTTGTGGGGAGAGAGGAGCGCTGGAAAAGATCTCCTGTGTGAAGGAATGTGATTACTGTGACTTCTTCGCTGAGCACAATTCTCATCTAATTCTTGTAATTGTTGCCTCATAATATAACACATTCATATCTGCAAATGCATTCAGCTCCCGCCTGTTAAGGACGCTGCAGATTGAGTTAGAGAGTTCATCCATTACAATAAAGAACAAAGCGCTCCCCTATCTTTTTCAGATATTTCTCCCTTTATGATGCTGAGTATGGCTCTGAGGTTGTCAGAGAATTCAGGCAAACAATGTAATGCTTTGAGATGTATCAAGAGCTCCACAATCAGATCCTGTGTTGTTCACAATGTTGAAAGGATGGAGGGGAAGATAGACTGAGACAGAGACAAACTCCAGACAAAAGGGATTGTCTTGATTATTTGTCCGTCAGCGATGTCAGGAGCGTATTATGAACGTCGATGGCTTGGAGGATAACAGTGAGCGAGATTAGGGCCCTGCTGAGGAGGAGAAAAGAAAAAAGAGAAAGAGAGGGGGCGACGAAAAAGAGAGGAGGAAGAAGAAGAGTGAAGAGTGGAGAATAGGGATGTGACTAGACTAGAAGAGAGCTCTGTGATAACTGCCAGCCAACAGCCTGTTTGATCCTGAGGGATGGCAGAGGGATGTAAGGCGTTTGAAGCTGACAATCCCTTTGTGATGATAACACATGTTTTTCAGTGTGCGCGCTGATCCCCCCTCTCCTATTGTATTATGGGCAGCAGACGGCAGCTACCTTAAGGCCCAGTGCGGTTATGAGCAGCTGTCGGCATTGTGGGAAGTGCCGCTAATCTGCTTCAGTATCTTTAGCCCCTCGTTTAGCTCTTTGATCCGCTCCCACTATGCCTCCCTTCCCATCACAACGCACGACTGAGCCTGGCAAAGCTGTGGAGGAATGTTGGAGAGACGGCAGGAAAGAGAGAGAGAAGGGAAAACATATAATGCTAACATTTATTAACATGTGTTTTTTGTTTGTTTGTTTGTTTGTTTTTCCATTTGTTTTTTGACTTCATAGGAGTGTTAAAGCCCCAGTAAGGAACTTTTGGATCGTATCAGTCCTCATTTGTTTTGTCCTCTATGTGTCTTTTTTGGACGATAAACCTCATCTGTCCAACTTTTAACAGTCAATACTTGATGCAGAAATTGGAAAAACATGGCTACTCCCTCTGCGCACTGGCTTTAGGCATTAAAATTTGCAATAAAAAAAGGCCAATCTTGTCATCGATGGCCTTCTTTGGTTTTGTATATCATAAAAAGAAGCATAGCTATGAATTTCAGTTTATTTCATAAGTATCCAAAAACTTCTCACAGGAGCTTTAAGTTTGTTCGTGGCCTTTGTTCAGAGACACAGGATATAAAATAAGATAAAATAAGATAAGATAAGATAGTCCCACAGGGAGAAATTCCAAGTTTACGAGAAATTAAAGGACAAAGAAACTTAGAGTTAAGTTAAGAAAAAAGAAAAAGATATGTACATGACATCATTTGTCATATTTACAAATGATGAATCTGATATGGTTTTGGTTGAGGCTAATGTCCTTCTGTGATACAGTGGTTAAAAAGTTGTGGGCATACATTGGTCAGAAGTCTTCGTACAGAAATTTTAAAGCCTAAAGCATAAATGGAAAAAGTGTCTCCCATAAAATTATGATGACTTTACTGTATTTGAGTGTCCATGTGGTAGGGGTGGGAGAAAAAAATCGATACAGGATAATGTTGTGATATTTTGTCTGGTGATATATCATATTGTCTCATTTACTAAGTATCGATTTTTCAAATGAATTGTTAATATGAAGTCAAATCTATGGTAATGGAAAATAAAAATCAACTGTTTGTCCAGTGAGGTTGGTAGAGGTGAAGTTATAAAGCAGGAGAAAGTTAGTACAACAAAGATATATATAAAGTTTGTAAGATGTGCAACATGGAAATAAAAAACAGAGTAAATAAGAGAAACAGAGAAGAAAGCCAAATGCTAAATTAGCAAAACAGTTGAAAACATTTTATAAATTGCAATATATTGCAACGCAATAGTGACAATATTGTAAATTTAAGTATCGCAATAATATCGTATTGTGGCCCAAGTATCGTGATGATATTGTATCGTAGCCCAAGTATCGTGATAATGTCGTATCGCGGCCCAAGTATCGTGATAACATCGTATTGTGCGGCCACTAGTGATTTCCACCCCTACCACATGGGGATCCAATGTTTGGTTAAAGCTCATAAGTAGTAGTACTGTCCTCCGCCGTACTTGGAAACTTAATTTGTTCGGACAACTTTCAGGTAGAGCAGGTGCTCCTGAACGCAGCTAATTGATCGAGTTTAAGTTCATGTCAGTGGCGCCCTGTCCATCGTCTTCAATTATTTTTTCCTGCTTTGCGGCACAGCCAAAGATAAATACATTTCTAACATGTTCAGAGTGTCGCCGCTGCTCCCCGGGAACCTTTTAGTTAGTTTGATCAGTTTCAGGGCACGGGAGTAAAAGTTCCTTGGATTTCTGTTCAATGAGGCCTGTTTTTAAAAGATAAAAGCACCTGTTTTCTCTTAAAAAAACCCACCCAAGCCAAAATGTGGTAAACTGGCAGGTTATTTCTTACAACTTATCACTGTTTTGAAGATGTTGCCAACATCCTCAAAGACTCCCTATCCTGCCAAAATCAGAATTATTCAGTCCAGTGCAGGAGATTTCATCCAGTTTACTCAGACAACTTCATTCCTTCAAATTAAGATGCCAGTGGGAAGACACTCTCATCCCTGTCTAATTTTATATGACGCCTCATCCAGAATTAACGCTTATTTCTTTAACCTGCTTGTAAATATAAAAGGTGCTCTGATGGATGATTGAGAAAGAAATGGAAGAAAGCAAAGAAAGCTTTTCAAATGATTCAAGACCAAGAGCAGCAAATACTCTTATAAGTGAGGCCGTGCCCGAACCGCTTCATTCCTGCTGCTCCTCCTTTAACGTAAGTATTGTGAAGTTCTGCAAGAGCCTTCGAAACATCCAAAATAAGAAAAAAAAAGAAAGGTAAAACACACATACTTTCACCTCCTTCAGTGATGAATCGGTTGATGAAGAATCCAGGCTAATAGGCTAATTATCACTAAGAAACAAATCAGGTATGAGACAAATGATAGTCATTTAACAGCGTTGGATGTTTGAGCGAAACAGCGAGTAGTAGCCCGTAATGAGATGAGGTGGGTGTAGCGGAAGTGTGTCGGTGTGTGTGTACGGTTGTGTGTGTGTCAGTCAGGGGTGCAAGCAAGCAGCAGCGAGCAGAGCGGATACAAGCTGCACACAATTAACAGAAACATAAATATCTCACCGTGCTTAAGCAAGCCATTAATCAGATATAAATAGAGCAAAGGAGCCCTTTGTGATTAACGAGGTGAGACTCGCTGATAATTACGGTTTCCCGCTCCTCTGGTAATTAGCTTACTCATTGAATGGGGATGAACGAGACTACCCTGACACCCCCCACCCCAACACACACACACACACATACACACACGCACACACACCCTTCAATTGTTCTGTTTTGCTCCCCGCTCTTCTGTCTGATTGTAGCAGGAGGTGCGAGTGTTTATGGGCTCCTGTCTCTCTTATCATTGTGAAGCATTGTTTTGAGAGTAATTGTAATCAGATAACAAGGTGAGACATGGACCTTCTCTTATCTGCATGTGAAATCCCGTCATTTTTAATCAAATCGGGAAGTCTCAAGAGGCAGGGGCACCCTTGGCCCCCCTCACTGATACGGCCCTGAACTTGAATTTCTTCAAGTGCAAAGAAGAGCGACGTAAATAATTAATTTTTGATAAAAAGCATGATTTACACCCCGGCTAATATTGAATCAGGTGGTTATTTTCCCCAATTTTGTTTTATTTCATCAGGTGAGTTGTCTCCATGTAAACCCAAATAACCTCAATATTCTGAATTTGTTATCAAACATAAACACGTCGCTGAAGTTTTGAGCATTCAGAATCGTTACTTGTTCATGTTTGGAGACTAAAGGTAATAATTCACATCCTAAAGCCTGTCGAATACTTAATTTATCTGGATGTTAAGGCAGTTATTAAATTCATTTTGTCATTTTTTTATTCGCTTACTTATTTGTTGTTAAAATTATTGCATTTTTAAATATTAATAACACATCTGTAATATGCCAATAACCACAAGTCAACTCTTAACTTCATGTGATATTTGGAGTAAAAACATGCTTTTAAAGCCAATGTTAAAATATAATTATGTTTTATTTGTTTCATGGTCATCACATTTTAAGTTCTTCAGATCATGTTCCAGCTGAGGGAGGAATAATTCAGACAGCAAGTCAGCGTTGGGAACCGGACCTGGACCAAGCAAGAACCTAAGGCCATGTTCACACTGCAGGTCAATTCCGATTTTTTAACCATATGTGACACATATCTGATTTTTCATGTAAGTGTGAACAGTGCAATTCTGATTTTTCAAATCCGACCCAGGCCTCTTTTGTATGTGGATATAAATCGGACATGTATCCAATATGACTGCAGTGTGGACGCTCAGGTCGCGTTCGTCCGACCTAAACGTCATCAATATGCAACAAAAGTCACCATTGTTCGACAACACAAAAAGGCGCAGAAAGCAATTTGTGCTTTGATAAGATGCCGCATTCGTTGTTGTAATGTGAACAACCGCACAAAAAGATCGGATTTAACAAAAAATCCGACTTGTGCATCATAACCTGCAGCATTAACGTCGCCTAAGATTACACATGCGGCTCAAAACATGGGTCACAACAAGAACCCAGTATCTCTGGCATGGTCAAGTTCAGTGTCAATTCAACTAAATGTTACACCGATAAATAAACTTTTTTTCTATTTAAGTTATTCATATATTTTTGAATAATTCATAAAATGAGAAACTAGCCAACGTAATGGTCATGTTCATGTAATGTTTCCTTTCATTTGTGGATAGAAATCAGATCTCCACCGGTAAACCTGAACTCAGCCTGAGAGTTTGCAGAGACACAGGCAAAAAGATTGTACTACTCGACTGTAATGTTTGCTCCACTCATGCTTTCTGCTTTATGAGTACAGGAAAAATGACCACTTTAATGGATACTCATCACAGCGGCTCTGGTCTTTGTCCAGGTCTCACCCTCTGACTAAAGAGAAGCTTAACTCCCTCAGCTCACACTCTGAACCCCAGTGAAACACAAACGTAATCCATTACTACACACTTACAACAATTTTCTTCAGCTGGAAGTGGCTATGACCTTTTTATGGAAAATGAAAATAAGTGAAGGCGCAGAACAGCCGATATTGGATTCTGTTGTTAATTAATGTGTGTATTATCCGGCTGGATGAAGCCAGGGGGGAGGAAGTTAATTGAATTATAGTCAGCGAGTTGGATAATGCACTGTTGTAATTGTTCAACTGTCTAAGACAGTGCTCACATTAGGAAGACGAAAGGCCGGACTGATTAGCTTCGAGAGAATGGTAAGAAATTACTTGTTTGGATTTTGGGTTTGAGGCATGAATGGGTTTCTAATTTAACTCTTGGAAGCGCATACTGGATGATACACAGATGAAAATTAACAAAGCTATCCAATCTTGAAGTTATAAGGCCTTGACATCAGGCTCAAAAGCCCAGGAACGAACAAACTTTTGACTTTTGAAGGATTTTTATTCTCACCAGGCCGTATGTCAACTATCTGGTCTAACTCAGACGAGTGATATTTCCCCTAGTGTTTGCTGTTTTCTTATTTACCTTAAATTTACAGGTTCAGCATGAGGCAAATTAGTGAATAACCCTCATTTTTGGTTTAAGAAAAAATCTTTTCCTGTAAGAATCCGTATCAGAAATAAAAGATGTTGAACAGGATTATTTCTGCACCATGTCATGATATTTCTGCCAGGTTTCAGAACCTGAGAAAAATCTATTTTCTTTCTAAGGGATGTGCTGCCATCTTGTGGCAGTTTGGGCTCAAAGAAGAAAAAAAGTCTATGCAAAACACAAGAGAGAAAAAGAATAACATTTCAGGAATTCTCAGTCTGATGGATGGATTCAGGAGGGAAAGTGTTTAACTCAAAGGTTAAAAAAAAAGCTTTAACTTTTTATCCTTACAGCAGGTCTGACCAACTGTGTGGAAACTGTGTGGAAACTTACCGAAACTGTAGTGTGGAGGGTGAATGTAACTGTCGATGGAGAAAGTTGGATGAACCCCAGATCACAGATCACTCCACACTGGATGAGAAAAATGACATGGTTCTGATACTTCACAGTAAACACCTCCGCTGTGTTCATGCAGGAGGAGTGGGAGGAGATGGTGTCGACCGTGGCCCACATGCTGTCCTTCACCTTCATGTGTAAGAGGCCATCCTCTCACCAAACAGCCTGCACTGAAGAAGAAGAAGAAAATGAAGAAGAAGAACATCTAGCTCTTGGGATGATTGTTTATCTCACTAAATTCTTACTAATCTCAGTCATAATCCAAGTATAGGTGTCTGATATTTTGTGAAGAATAAATTCAACACCAAAATTGTCTTGCTTACAGAGATCAGCTTTAGCATCTGGGTTTATGATACAGATACCTGCTCGTAGAGAAAGTCATTTCTACATGAAAATATAAAATAAATAATTTAGATTTCTGTTGATCATTTGTCAGAGAAGTCTGAGCACTAGTTTTCAAGCTGAGAAGTGAGTAAAGATACTGTATTTATCAGTATGTAATCAGTGATTAGCAAGTGTAACTGCTGATCTGAATTAACACGATAGCTTGTTCTGAGTTTTGCAGACATTTGATCACTTGTGGTGCCCTTCCCTTGATTATCAAGTATGTTTTGGGTCTGTGGAGGAGATAGCAGGCCATAGTAATAAGACAGTTTGTATCTTACCCAGTGTGCTGATAGCCTCGGAGAGTGGGTGACAAGCTGTCTTTACTTCTCAGTCTTCTGGATAAACAACTTTATGTAATCTATCCATGATAAGTGAACCGAATACGATGGGAAACATGATCAACAAACTTATTAGCTAGCTCATCTTTAGTTCTCACCGCATATTCTTCACACTAGGGCTGGAATCAACCCAAGAAATTCTTGGTCGACTAATCGGGGGTGGAGGGGTGAAAATGCACTGATACCAGCACAAGAAGGCAATGTAACACGATGAAAGTTGAAACGCTCAAAATAAAACTTAATATTCAGCAAACAACCGGACGTTGATTAACGCTGACGCTTTTCAATTTTTCGGTCTCCGGTGGTTTGGACGAATCCAAAATGCTAACAAAAGGGGGGTGTTTTGAGACAGGCTGTTAGCTGTGAAAGGGGGTTGCTCTGAAAACACCCCCATTAGCACTTGGTACGTTCCCCCTGAGGAAATTAACCATAGACTGAAACTTGACGCGGGAAAAAATTGAGCCGACCGATCAAAACTTTTGGTCGACTAAGAAAGTATCGACCAATAGTCGACCAGTCGACGGGGACTTTACAGCCCCACTCCATTTTTTTGATTTTTTCAAGAAACATAAGACGGGCTCGGATAAGGGTAAATAGCCTTTATTTTTTGTAGCATGTTTACAGTATTGAAAAAATGTCATTTGTAATTACAACCTTTTACTTCAGGCAACTATTAACTTAAATGAAACTTGAATAAAACAGAAAACAAAAGAACTCCCTCTATGTACATAAATTCACATTGGAGAACAAGAAAAAGATAGATTTGTTCACTGTACATATAAACATGTGTGGCCAGGGTTTTAAGGACTTTGTACAATGTTAAATAAGAAACACACATTTGAAATGTAGTGGAGGCTCATATTGTTAGCAGTACTGAGAAAAGAGAAGTACGCTGTGCGCTGAAAATGCCTCGATCGAATCAGGGAGATTGGTTCTGTAACCCCCAGGACAAACTTTGGCAGTTTTACTTTCAACATTTTGAAAACTTAAATTATAAGGCTGTCTAATTTGACTCATGTGGGTTGTGTGTAAACATTTTTAACAGGAAAAAAACTGATGCGAGAAAAGTCAAACTGGTAACTCGACCCAAACAAGACATCAAGTAGGACACATTCAAAATTCATTCTGGATTTGACTCGAACCCCTCGCTTCTTCTTTCAGCACCGTCCAGCAGAAAAGACGAACAATCAACAACCTTGAATCTTTACAACTCTCAGTATGAAATCAGCTTTCAGAGACATACAGTCACAATTTCATGTCGACTCCTTTGCTACTACTGGAGGGTCGTTTTGTTATTAATGCTTTTTTCAACGCTTTGCAAATTTCAACAGAGACTTCCTGAGCAAACAACTGTAAACTCGGAGTCTGACACTTAAATCTGTCATCTGCTGCTTTACCTTCAACCCTCCACACGTGCTCCCAGACCTCTCAGCCTAAACATTTCTCCTCTAATAACGATAAAAGACTCCTCGCTTCATTTGTGCTACATGGAAAACGGTACAGTGTGGACTATTTACAAGCAGAAAAGAAAAGTCAGCACTTTGGTGTAGGCTTGTAAAAGTGACCATGAGATGAAGCTGTCTTAAAAACATCGATGGAGTGATAAAAAAGTGATCATCGGGGGAGTCACTGACAGCAGCCTTCATACTTTCCTCCAGAAGATGGTGCTATTCCTCTTCAGTGGACTTTTTAAAACTTTTACTGTGAGCCAATTATGAACAACTCTAACTTCAGCGAAAATAACCAACTCCACTTTCATTTCCCCTAAAAACTCAACTGCTCGACGGACCTTCATTTGGATATTCGGCTCCTAGATTGTTAAGTGCACAACCGAACCAAAACACAAGTAAATGAAATCTGCACTACAGGTGTATAAAAATGGTCAGTCCTCGGTACACCGGGACTCAATAGCAGTGTTTCCAAACAATTAAGATGACTTATGCACTTTCTCTGACATACAGCAGACAATACAATGGTTTGGTCTCGTTTTTGTACAGCGTGTTTCACATAGATGTCACAGTAAGTAAAGTTCTCAATGCTTCTGGCTTTATGTCGACTACAACCAAGTTTCTTATCTAGCATTATGAACATGGAATGTTCAAATTACAGTGAGATGCAGACTTGTCTCCAGTTCAGATTTACACAAACCACAAGTGTCAAAGTGAAAGTGTAAAGTACATTACAGTGAAAATGTCCCTCGAGTCGATATAGAGTGCTTTGATAGCGTCCGTACGAGTGTACAACCCAAGGTAGAGGTTAGATGTAAACACATGGCGTCCTCCTATTACTCAATGTTTCTACCCTTAATTTAGAAAACCAAAACACAAAGGCCCTCACCAAACTACACAGCAGCGATAAATACATGGCTAATCTGGTGCCCTCCCCAAACAGAGCGTGCCCCGGGGGAAATAAGGGCAAAACAAGAGAGTCACAAGGCAGACCACAAGTGCTCTGTGTGCTGTGGCTCATATCACAAGATAAAGAAACAGCACTCGCCGTTCCGTGTTGACATTTTTACTTTCTTCAATCTTAATAACTCCAAATACAAAGCGGTCTTTGTATTGCTGTCATATCAATATTTGAATTTGGTCGATAGATGGGCTGGGCTTTCGAGTTTCCCCCATGTTTGTGCATCAGAAGAAGGTGTGATGATGGGGTAATTAATTTAGATTTCACATCTGACTCTCCATCAGCTTTAAAACAAAGCTTCCAACAGATAACTTCAGTTTAAGTCATATTACTATCCTAATGGATAATACGGATCATTAAAATTACCACAATACATGTAGTAATGTGGGCTTCACATTACCGCAGGACTTCAGCTCCTACTTCACACACACTCACAGTACAGAGGATTTGTCCTAACAAAGGTAGGACAGCATGGTGGAAGATTGTGGTCCGCGGAGGACTTATTGAGGGGACCTGTAGGCACTCAGACTCTCAGTCTGGCTCCTCACTACATACGACCTCAGTGGGCGCCGTGCGGTCAACAAGTGAGGCACAGAGCTGGCTGGAAGGGAGGAAGAGTGGGTGAAAGTATGGATGAGGGGATAGGGGGGGTTTTATTCAGGTAAATGCAGAGCAGCCACCTCCGGTTTCATCTTCAAGTACTGGTTGAAGCGCAGGACTGCGTATCTGAGGGAAGAGAGTGAGAGATAAGATACGTTTGCAAAACGATCAGACTCTCTCAGAATCCTACATAACTCATAACGGAGTGGGCTTGGTGAACATACCCTAAGAAGTCAAAGTCGATGGTGGAGAACTTGGCCTGGATCAGAGCCCACAGACCCCAGAAGAAATGTGATGCCTAGAAACAGAGACACAAAAGAAGAGCATGCAGTCATTGTCCAGAAGTAAATGTCGTTTCTAATTACACAACACTTGGGCACTCAAACAAACGCAACGCCAGCAGAAACCCTATGGCAACGACCACAAACAGCTGACAGGGAAATACAGTTCACCTCACTTGCCCATCCTCCACAGTGCCCTCTTTTCCTCTTGACAGTAAACAAGGCACAGTGAGGCTCAGGGGAGCGCGGGGAGAGTGCCAAGCCTCCTCACTAGGGGGAACAAGTCATCATCAGGAGCACCTCCCATATGGCGCGCTGCATCAGTGAACAAACATCCCTCGCTCGTTTCCACTGCAGGTAGCGCAAATTTACGGCCCGCATCGCTCTTTACTCTGTTTAACCCGCACCGCGCTATGATTCCATGTTTGCTGACCGAGCGCCTGGCAACAGATCCAGGAAGAGCCCGCTGGAGGACTCACTGTGCCCTATAAGTGTTCAGTTTCATTTCTCTGGGATGTGGTAATGATTTATGTTTGCAGGATTGCTGCTTCAGCCTGAAATCAACCACAGCTCACACATCCTCAAGCACACCCCTGGATCCCGCTGAAGGAGGATATGAAGGCCCTTATGTCTTAAGTCCTGGTTAAACACTTACCAGGGCAAATCTGTTGACTTGAACGTAGAGGATCTCCACTTCTCTGTCAGTCACCTCGCTGTCCCCGACTTTGTGCTCCTTGTAGGCCTCCAGGTAGGCGCGAAGCCACTCCAGCTGAAATGCTCGCTCTGGGTAGTGACTGTAGTCCACCTCGTTTATGCCTGCAGACACGCAAACGGGACACAGATTCAATTTTGCGCCGCGCACTTCCTACTCACAGTCTACTTAATAATGCCTGTTCAAGATTTACTCACCAGCAAACTCGTTAAAATGGTTCCCGATGTCAAAGGCTTGATAATTGTACCCAGCGTACTCGTAGTCAATGAACTTGACATTACCTGGAAAAGAAGCAGCATTTTTCAGACAGAGACACAAGCAGCAGGTTTGAAATGACTTTGTTTTCAGTGCATGTTTGGACTCTTTCTTCCTGTCTGACTGAACAGGCTGGCCTTTTTTTATGGCAACTGTGAGACAAGGAGTAAGGGCTTGCATTTTGAGGAAAGGAGCCTGAGGAGGGTCGCAGAAAATAACGGAGATGATAAAAGACTCGGAGTGACATTTTCTACACATGCGCCGTAATGCTGTGAAGAAGAGCAAATACAAGCATGCGGGTAAGATTCAGAACAGGCAAAGACATTTTTACTAAATCAATGTTGCTTATTTTGTCAAGAGTTGTCAACTTTACCTTCAAGAAAAGCAACAAGTCTTCGACTATTATGAGAAAAACTTAAAGGATAAATTCACCAATTACCAATTTTTTTGCACATATCGGTGTCAAAAAAATAAATAAATAAAAGTTGATTTTGGATGTGTGCAGGTAGGCTATGGTCTTGTGTCACTTCAAGACACTGTCCTTCGTTGGAGATGTGACTCCACCCCATCCAGTCTGTGACGGTTCAAAAGTTGTAGCGGCTGGAGCAGCAGCTGAAGTAGACAAAGTTAATATGGGAGGGGGTGAGCAGCTTGTGGAGAAGTTATCGTCCATTTATCGTCATCGAGGATTTGAGACCATATCACCCAGCCCTATACCTGAGTGAGCTTATGCGATTGAATTAAAAGGGATTTTCTCTGTGCTGTCTCTTAAAGTCTAGCATGAATTGCGGACGGCTGTGATGTGGTTTTGAAAGTGCTGCAGGCTACATGAGGCACAGATGATGAACAAATAAGACTTTGCTGGACAAACTGCCTGATGACAGCGCATCTAAATCTCTTTTTTAAGCACTATTCAGCTCCGAAAAAGAGGACAAAATATGTTTTTATAAGCACAACACTGACAGTACTGGTTAGTAGTTTTTATACAGTTATGCTCTTCAGGAAATCCAAAAGAGGCAGCGAAATAGCCGGCTAGGATACATTAGCAGAGATGCAACACACAGGACGCTTAATTTAAGAGGAAAAGTTGTTAAACCGGTCTCTCTAATAATGTTTGTTTTGGATGCATGTGAAGACTAAAGGCCAAAGCTAAAGTTATGTTCTAAAGAAATACAGAGAAAAATATAAACAAAGAAAGCTTAGTGACTAAAAGAGTTTGAAAGAGACGGTGAGAACAGCAACACACCCTGTGATACACTCTTTTAAAGCTTTGCTGTTCTTGCTGGGGACAAATCAGTTTAGAAAGGTTTTATATCCTCGGCCCACATCTTACAGTCGACTCATATTCTGAGTTCTAGACAAAAGGCTTCAAAAACATCAAAAGTACACTGCGTCCAAAAAAAACACACAGTGTAACTGCCAGTAACCCTAAAAGAGAGGAAGTATAAATGAGTGTGCTGCTGTTTGTCCGAAAATGAGGTGTTAGTGTTAAAAAAGACCAAAGGCGGGAAACATGCACTGATTAAGATCTCAAAATGCAAACCCTTACTTTTCCAGGCCCGTGGAATCAAGCAAAGTCAGCAGAAAATAAAACAGCAACATTGAGTTGATTTTTTTTCTCTTTATTTTTTTTGGTCTTGGTTTATTAATTATGGAATAGAAGTTATCGAGGTGGTGTTTGACTACAGAGAAAGACACTTTGAGGTGGGTTACCAGCCGGCGTGTGGGTCCTAGCAGAACACAACCGAACACCTCCAGGCAGTGGCTATAGCCCCCCCTGTGCAGCAGATGAAAAGGTTGGGGCAAACACATCTTTCATACGTGCTCACTCTCTCACTGACATCATTTACCGCTCGTCTAGTCTCGCTCCCATGCAAAGTGTTGCGACATCATCAGGCCCTGCTGCAAAACTGCCTTTTTCTTCACCCCCCTTTAACAAAAAATGTGACCTCACCTCCCCTTCTCACACGCAGACACACACCCCCTCCAATGCTCCCTCCTCATTGGCTACTGTGGACCAATAGCATGAGACCTCTGCTGTTTCTTTTTTTATTTTTGCAAATGACAGAGTTTGCAAGCTTTTAGATAGTAAAGAAAGGAAATAAAGAGTGGGAGAGATACAGCATTGACTAAAAAACTCAGGGATCTGATCAGATCAGCTGATCGTGTTCTTATCAATATAACAAGGCAGCACTTCATTGTCTTTTAATGCCTAATCGGTTGTAACTCTCTATCATAACCGACAAAGTTTTTTTAACTTAACAGGGTACGGAAGAGTCTGAGTTTAGAGTTTGAGTGAAAGTTAAAAAGCTGAAGACTGCTTAAACAAAGGCGCGCCCTTCTTTATTCCAACAAGACTTTTAACATGGAGGATAAGACGATGATACCCAATGTAAATATTTAAGTTACTAAACTCGTGACAAGACCAAATACCAGCGAACAGCCCTCCCCTGTTACTCCTGAACCTGCTCAGCCTGTTGTAATTACTTCTGGCTAATCCTTTGTTGTGTTGTGCTTGTATGTGTGTGTCCCTCATAAATCAATTTCAAGAAACTTCACTTAAAACGAAACAAACTGTTTGCTATATTTATTAAAGACTACTGAAACACAGGTTTAGATTGTCATTATCCGTATCCTTTCACTTGTAAACGATCGAATACTGATCGTATGAGTATTGGTGCGATGAAACAGGAAGTGTGGGATAAGGAGCACTGACAGCGAGGAGCTTTATGGCTTAAAGCAAGTGCAGTCCAACAAAAAACCTCCAAGTGATAACCAGTGTCATAAGTAGCATGGCTCTGTCAGATAGAAAACTGGTGGGCAAGTAGCATTGAAGGGTAATAGGTAGGTATGTAGCTCCTACTGCTACCATGAACTCATCCCGATAAGCCTGAGCAGTGGGCAGACTACGCGAGGGCCCTCAGAGCTGACTGTGCGTGAGGTTTGTCTCTCTCCATTGCCTCCCCAGGGCAGGGCAGGACAGCGCGGCACAGCCACAGCCTCGGCTGTCATTCCTGGGGGAGAAAGGCTAGACACAAGGAGCTGTGAGAAGGGCCCCGCCCCTCGTCGTAGCATGACGAGGGGACTGACTGCTCTTGCAAAACCCCCCTCCCACACACATTAAAACCATGATAACCTCCCATCCTTCCCCCCTGGGAGAGTGAAATTTCTTTATCAATAAGACAAGACTACAACAGTTTCACTTCTTTGTACAGTCCTATATACAGGCCTGTATGGTTAAAGCTAGTGAGCGCTGTTTGAATTTTAACCATCATAAAGAGCAACAGTGCTTGGATATGACATAAGTGCTGTCAACATAACTTTGACTGGGACTGTGGTGTAATGGCATGTTTGTTCAGGTCGTTCAAACTGTGATTTACAGCTAATGTAATCATCACAGAATCAGAATGGCAGATTGGACAAAGTTAAGGGATGAGACTGGAATCCAAATACACTTAAAAAAAGATGACTCTGCACATGGCAGCTGTTTCTTATTAGTGAGAGTAATAAAAGAAGATTTGTTGCATCGGTTCTGTTTTAAAATGAGGATTCCATCTAGAGGAGAGGCAAACATCCGCTTAACAGGATTGTCCTCTGCACATTCTGATTCTACGCCTGCAGCACTATGCACAAAACTGACAATGAGTGAAGCATGAGACAAAAGGTGAAGACGTGCATTGGTTGCAGTCCACAAGATCTTTCAAAACACAGTGAAGTGCGGAGTCTCTACTCACCTTCCGCCTGGTTATAAATGATGTTTTTGCAGAGCAAGTCATTGTGACAGAGAACCACCGGAGAGCCCAGCACGGACAAGCTCTGTTGCAGCCACACAAGCTCTTCGCGCAGGCACCGTGGGCTGGGCACCTCCCTGCTTAACCTGATGGGGGCAGAGAGTCCAACATGGTGAATAATGTACAGTGTGCTTCGAGAGGTAGGAGGCTTAAGTCTATTAATAGAAAACAGAAGGAGGCAAAGTTGGAGTGGGAAAGTTTGACGGGGACACAAAATATGAAGAAGGTAGGACGCGGAAATGAGTAGTTTGCTTGTTTTTCCGAGACGGACCTCTTCGAGCAGTTTGATCATTTCACAATGTCGTCAACCATTATTCAAAAAATACCAAAAAACCAAGTGATCTGCTTACAACACTTCCTGTTTTGAACATATACACACAAAGCAGACTTTTAACACTGCTGAAATTCCACTGAAAGCCTGCTATTCAAACAAGTTCTTCACCGGAGTCTTCACTGCATCTCATCAGTCTATAAACAGAGTCTGTCAAATAAAGTTTTGCTATAACCGAAGTTTTTCTGCTTACGATAAATGATCTTTCTGATCTCACTCTATCCCCTCTCTAAACCCACTGCAGGTCTTATTTGTAATTTTTCTGAACTTCAAAGTGTCAAAATATCATGTGGTGCGACCAATAATAACATTAATTGTATTAATACAAACTAAAATATCTAATTTCTGTAACTGAGACATTAATACCTGATACAGTATGCTTAAGTGAAAGGTAGTTTTAAAACATTTATCAGTATTATGCAATTTAAAGAAAAAATTAGTTAACTACATTTAATTAAGTGACTGTGACATTATAGAGCTAAAATTTGAGATCATTATTCACAAAAACTCAAATGAAATGCAAACACTTTGTTTCTATCTATTTGATATTACTGATAATTTGTAAAAAAACTATTAGAATGTTGAAAAATTTACTAATTTTGATATAAATGATGGTCGCACCACATGACATTTTTTAGGGCCACGGGCAATTCATCTATATGAAAAAAACACTAAAACTGCGTAATTTAAAAATTTAACATTAACTTTTGTATACAAAACATCCTTAGTGTTTGAACTTTTGCAAAATATATTCTTATTTTTGCGATTTAAAATTGGCATGTTTAAAAACCTTATACGTCACTGACCCCTTTACAGCTGCTATGTACATGTTTGATATGTTACAGCTGAACCATTGGAGGTATTTATGTGTATGTCTTTATAAACAGAATAAGCAAATGATTATAAGGAAATGCCTCACTGTTTTTTCAGATGTATTATTTGTTGATTGGTCTTGTTTATTGATGGCCTTTCTCAATAATGTGCTTCCTGCTTCCTTGTGTTTCAGGTTGATTAAAGAGCGACTGTCAATCATTCTATCATCTTATCACTACTACGGATGCTTTGTTGTAACCTGAAGTCATGCCTGCTGAGATAAGGAGAGGAATTTTGTGTATTTTTCCTCAGACATGTGAGGCATGTAAAGCGGATACTGAATACTCATGGGGGTGTGACTGAGAGAAGAGGTCAAGGATCATAGTTCCACGTGGAGATAACTAGGAACAGACACAGACAACAAGCACCGGCATATCTCCCCCTGTGAGTAAAGCTAACCCTGTTGTTTTACTGTTCGGCCTTGTGAAGTGTCTTGCGAGGTCTAAAAATGTCACATTTGTGTAAAAGTTCTCCTATACTGTCTTTATGGCCTTACCTAGCATTCCGCTCAGGCTCCTTCAAGGACTTGGGGATGAGTGCAAAGTACTTGCCCATCTTCAGCCACAGGTCCGACTGGGGCACCCAGCCATTGTGAGCATGGATGACATGGTACTTTGCCAGCTGTCGGGCAATGAGCCTAGAAGAAAAAAGACAAGGGTAGGTTAGAATAATATCTAGCTATTTCAATTTTGGGGAAAGTAAAGTACATTTTATGGCACCGCTGGCCTCAGGGTATCATGTGTTTGGCTGCCTAACCCATCTCTGAAGTTACATGAAAGAAATGAGAAGTGGTACCTGAATACGGGCTGGCTGCGGATGTCCTCGGGCTCCAGCGCAGTTCCTTGCAGAAACTCATAACACAGGCCATTGTTGAAGGTACAGTAGAGGCGAGGGGCACAGCGGTGTGCTTGTAGTACTCTAAAACTTTTCACTTCGTTTTCTCTGTCGACTAGCAGTTCTGTTTTATTGCCATAAATTCGGACCAGAACCACATCCTGCATGACTGGTCCCACATAGCAGCCGAGCAGCTTGTTGGTTATCCCGTCGGTAAAAAACTGTAGAGACACATGGTACATGACAACAAGTTGAATACAAAGATGTAAGTTGTATCTTCTTCATGTTCACAGACAAAAATGGGACCGTCATGCATGTTACGCCACTGGAGGAGGAAAAAAAAAACACTTTTTACTTTGACTGACTTTGATTCTTGGAGGACACTGTGTAAGTTGATAAAAAATGAGAGGATTGAATGCAGCCATGAGAAATGAGGGCATGTCTGGTTCGATTTAAGCGGAATGTCTCTGCTGTGAAGGTGGGGGCTGCCAACATACCAGCCCTAATTGTTCACTCTATATGGGATTCAGTGCGAAAAACACGACTGTCAGGAATTTTATTTTGCATGAGAAAGCAATGACAGGCATTTGCTGAGTTCCCACTTTGCTCTCATTGATGAATATAGGCAAGAGTGGCGGCTCATGTGACCGGCTCTCATCCTGTGTTTACCCAGTGGAGCCACACCCCCAGTCTTTGACTGGAAAGGAAAACATCTCACGTTCTGGGTTACATATGTGTTTCACTGTGTTACAATGGGGTGATGTATGAGACCTTACTCTTGAGGGTCTGTAGGAGTAAACATGACACCACATCAAGCTCCAAATACCCTGGCGCAGACATGAAAAATGTAGGGGAGATGGGGGTAAGATGAGCCATTTTTCATATAGTTTTCATAGTTTTGTCTCTAACTAGTGTATCTGCATATATTTCAAGATGTTGTTCATCCCTGCAAACCAACAGAATGAGTGTAAACATAACTGTCTTGATAATATAGCATGCCAAAAAAAAGTAGTCTCCTATGGTCAACTTTCCCAGTGTATGGGGTAAGTTGACCATAGGACATCTCCCTAAATAACAGTCACTTCTTCACATTCACGTGTGTTTTTTATCTATTATACGCTATTCAACTGGTACAATAATTCTTTTTATTATTATTGCATATAACTGCTAAAAAGCTGTTTTGTAAAAAGCCATTTTAACATGAGGATGCCTCTTACATTCACGGCTGTACTTTTGAAAAGAAAAAGTAACACATTTTAACAATCTGAACTGAAACGCTAAACCTCTGATCAGACTTCTTTACTTTCTCAGTTGAGCTGCTGGCTCAACTTACCCCTGAACTACTATTATGACTTAATTAGTCCTCTGAGCTAAAATGGTGGACTTTTAGGTTAGGTTTTTGACCTCATACAAACCACAATTGATGTATAAAACAAATTAAAATGATCTTTTTTGGTCTGAACACAATTCTAATAAAACTTATGATAGACTTAATGGTTTCTTTTTGGAATTAAATGTCTAACCCCTTCACCCATGCGCCCCTAACCTTCACAGACTCCATGAATTGATGCCCATCTCCTAAATATTTGGTCACATGATCAATTTCTTTCACCATTTCCAAGCAACAACTTACCCTTTGGTTCAACTTACCCCACTCTCCCCTAATCTCATTTCCTGCCCTTGTAAACAGGATCTTTGGGGTCTACCTGTAAGACTACAAACTTCTGCTTTGGTGTGTTACTACCTCTCATTCAGACATAAAGGCGCACTCACATTACATGGTAGCCTGAGGGTTACTTAAATAACAGGTTCGCTAAAACAGCAAGAGCTTGGGCTGTTTAATCATAACCAGAGGTGACGCAGATGCTATTTAGGAGGAGGGGGGGCATAACAAAAATTAACCCTTTTGACGACAAATAATCGCAGTATCTTCCGTCCTTCCTGCAACATACAGAGTAAATCATCTACCATCCGGCTGAGGCTTGTGGGCGGTTACCTCGGAGTGACATTTCAACTATCCGCAATGTGTAACTACAACAGCAGCTGGGTTTAAGTACATACATAAATGTATATTAATGACCAAATGATGAAACGGTTATGATAGCTCCGTTGGTGATTCATTTTATCGGTCAGAGCGCGCGCTAGCTTCAGTCTGTGATGTAAAGACGTTGGTATCCAGACAACAAAAGAGAGTATAATTCAGTTTATGGGTGTAATTTAAAGTAAAAAATCAAACAAACTGCACCTTAACTTTAACCTCGGATGGCTCCCACTTTGGTCTCAGCTCCTTGATGAGCTTCATCGCCCCGGACCTGTAGTCGCTCTCGTCAACTGTCACGTCTATTTTGGGCACAGCGGGAGCCTCGTCGGGTACGTGAATGTAGTTCGCCATGACAGAATCTCGATTTCTTTCTTCACGACTTCAAACATCGAAGGCGGAAGCTCAGGGTGGCAATCTTCGTGATCTCTCTAATGCGTGACTGCTACTAGTTTATATTGCGGGAGCTGTCCGTGTGTGCGGCGACAACGCCTCTCAAAAAGTCCCACCCACGAGAAAAAAATGTGCTCGCGGTGCATGCTGGTAGTCGCATGACTCAACGGAGGCGTGTACCTCATGTGAAGCGTCATAGGCTGGTGATATTTCTTTTCGTAGGATGGTAGGGGAAGGTCCCGCCTCCTTTAACTCTGATTGGCTAGAAAAGCTGGAAACGTTGTCGCGCGCTCAAACCAAACGCGGGTTGAACAGAAGATTCCAGAACATTTCCGCACTTCTGAATCCCTTAACCCTAACCCTAATCCTAACCTAAACCCTAAACCAAATCTTAATCCTAACTCAACGGGCGCTGACGTCTCACAGCCATACGGAATACCCAATCGGAGCCAAGCACTTCTAGCCAATCAGAGGCGAAGGAGGGCGGGACCTTCCCCTACCATCCTACAAAAAAATTCGCACCCCAGACAGAGCTTTATTATTTAAAATATATTTTCGCCCATTTTATTCCCGTAAAAAATCAAAATTTAATGTTTTCTGACATACACGATAAAAAAATAAAATAATAAACTTGCTAAAGTGATGAAATAAAGATTTATTACATGCGCAACGAACTATGCAGTTGACGTCACATCCGTAATCTTCTTGAATGAACCAGGCTCGTGCTGAGCAATATAAATGTAAGAGCCACCACGCAGGAGGGTGGGCACCACGGTGCGGCAAAAGGGAAATCCAGAGATAAAATATATAAATATATATGTCTGCCATATACATATTTATGTGGGGAAAACCCTCCAAAACGGAAATGAGATCCGATTGTTATTTTAATCCACGATGTATGCTGACAATCATTGTGACTTGATGTAATGCACAGGTGTCAAACTCAAGGTCCGGGGCACTAATCTGGCCCGTGGAACAATTATATCTGGCCCACAGGAATATATCATATTTAAAATATTACTGGCCCATTAATGTAAACTTTAGCAAAAATATCCTTAATAAACCATAAAGATCTGGGAAAGTAAGGAGTAAGGAAGATTTGATTAATTGTCAAGAATGTGGGGGGGAAATTGTGCTTTATCCATATTTCCAATTTTGCAGATTTTAGATTTATTTATTTATTTATATATATTATATAATCCTTATTTTTTAAACTCTTGATTTCAAAATGATCTCATATTTTGACCTTTCAAATTTAGGATTTAGATTTTCTTCTCATGTATTTGCTCTATTTTTAGTATCATGTTCTGGTCTTTTGAACTGATCTATTGGATTTTTTAATTTAATTTTTATTTAATTTTTGTAATCTTTTTTACTTGTTGATTTTCCAAGGGGTTTATAATCATTGCTGATTTTGTTATATATTTTGAAAAGGAGGCTGACAGTTTGGGTTAGATGTTGACCTTCTTGGGCCCTTAGGTTGGATTTAAATCCAGATTATGGTCCTTGCTGTGGTTGAGTTTGACACCCCTGATCTAATGTCTGCAAGCTGTAATAGAAAAAGGACAAGGCCCCTCATGAAACACATTTTTAGTATGTATTGCAGCTGTAGTATCAAGTCCTTAAAATAAAAAATAACTAGTACAAATTGAGATACAGATGCTGCATTCATTTAGGGAATGATTTTTGGCTAAAATTTTAACACACACCAAAAGTAACACCTCAGGATATTTAGAAGAGGCTTTTATTCTCTCTAATTAAATAGAGTTTAGAAAAGTGAAACAAGTGTGACAGTCTGTTTATAACTGAGCCATTCACCTTTTGCCAACTCAGACACACCCATAATTGCATCTTGACAGTGGGAAGGTTTGCTTAGTAATATGCTCTACTTTACAGGCACAACCCCATATGGGATCATGTTTCTCACTGAAATCTGGCTTTCACATTCAAAAGAACGCTTGAATTGTATCTTGATATGTGTGCAAGCAGCTGATGGAAAGTTCTGACCCACCTCCTTAAAAAATGATCAACACAGGTACACTTACACTTGGGTGAGTGGCTCAGACTATTTATCACATTTGTTTTTATCTCAGGAAGTGGGAGCAGATAGAAGTGCAAGGGTTGATCCAATAACCAGTAATGCCATCTAAAGGGTGTTTGATTTCGATTTATTCAGATGAAGCTTTTGGAGATAACTCCACCAGTTTGCTTCTCAAGTTCCTTGTCCTTTCAAAAAGGGAATTTTCAACCAATATCCCCGAGAGCAATATACCCAAGTAACAGAGCACAGAACTGTGCAAGCTTGACATTGTCTATTGTTCAAATGCCCGCTGAGGCGTGGCAGGAGACATAAAAGATGTCCAAATAGAAATCCGATCAAGTGTTGTTAAGACAACATAACAGCTAAAGGGTGTCAGTCTTTTTCTTCCTTTTTTAACCTGCAGTAAAGCTGAACATGTGCCATTCTCCTGCCATTTTGGCAATCCAGAGTTTGGAAAGTGATGGATATGCTTACATGTAATAATCAAAAAAGAAAAAACACATTTCCATGTAACTCATACTAATAAAGTACATTTATTTTAAAGTAAAAATATAACATTTCAAGTGATTAAATTAGATTTGATTGTTTGCAAATCATTTAGGCCTTTGTTTCATTGAAAAAAGTGCCAAGACAACTTATATGCTGTAAAATAAAATAAAAAAATGTCAGTTTTATGAAAATTATATCTTCATTTTCAATTCGATGCCATCAGCACTTTTCAAAAACAGCCTCCACACATGCATGTCTACCAGTGTGTTGCATCACATCTTCCTTCAAACACTTTTTTTTCACCAAACAGACGAGACCCTTTGGCTCTGAAAGTTCAATGTTGTCTCATTCTTGCCTGAGTTTGGGATCTCCTTAATCGTAGTTTTTGTATTATGGTTGAAGAAATGGTTGTGATTTTTTGAACCTTAAAATGAGGCCTTCTTTAATGGACTACCTGACTCTTGGCTCTGCACAGGGTCCTAGAGTTATCCATTGGCGTAAATCTAACAGCTTACCACCAGATGCTTCCAAATCTTACACCACAGTCCTTTCAGTTATTTTTTCAGTTTAGTGTTAATCATGTTGCTTAATCAAAGTAGTCCTCTATATCAATGTTAGGGTTGAGCAGCTCCTCTCCATATGAGGTCAGATCCATCTGGTTGAGGATCAGGTTCTCAAAGGTCTCCTCCAAGTCAGTTTCCCCGATCAGCACCGCTCCAACCATCCTGCCTCCACTGAGAACAACCTGAAACAGGCACACAAGGTTAAACTAGGTGATAAAACAGACACGTGATATTTTCTCTGGGGGTGTATGAAATTATAATGATGACATGTGCGGAAAGATATCGTCAAAAGCTTGCCCTTTTAAATTGCAAACTTCGTCTATTTACCAGCTGATCCTGTTTTGCTCCTGGCTGATTACCAGCATAAGTTCATACCTCAAAGGAAAACAGAGGCTCCTTTGAGCTCTGATGCTGTTAAACAAACCAAATTTGTGCATAAAATAAAGATTTCTTGTTTTAATGGAGCGGACCATTCAATGTTATTGAACAAGCAGCACATAAAACAGACCACTGCTGTTACAAGAAATTGATGCATGAACACAAAACAGCAACAAAGTGTTATTTTGTTTCTCTTTTTGACCACCTTGACATACCTTGACATACTCCTGGCCTTTGGTACAGCGTATCAGCAGCTCCTGGTCAGGACCCAGGCCCTGCCCATTAAACTTTCCCAGCAGTACCACCTGTGGAATGAGCAGCAGACAGGGAGCAGTTTATATGCAAATTTTGATTAAACCTAAGGGTAGTAGGAGGAGGAAACACTGTAAAATGACCTTGAAAGGTCTTAAAAGTCATGGTAGTCACTGAAATCCCATTAATACACTACTGACAAATCTGTTATTGGAAAAATAACTCCCTTCCCCTCTGGTTGAGTGTCATTTACCTTGTAGTTGAAGAATTTGGTGATGTGTGAGAAGAGTTCGAAGCAGAAGTCCAGTTCTATTGGTTCTGACAGAACATGTGCTGCCATACAGCGGCCAGCGTACCAGCCCATCTGACGGGCTTGTGTCCACAAACGCATCTTTGCACAACATGCAGGAAAAACAAATTATTCCACAGCTTCTTTATGGACACCAAAGAGCACAGAAACAATGACTACAATTGTTTGATTAAGTAAAAGTTTTTCATTGTGCTTTTTATGATTTATAATTGATGCAACTTTTCACCTGCTGCCACAGTCGGCTGTGTTCCCAGCATGCAGTGCACACGTCCCCTGCAGCATAAACATCTGGCTCTGATGTCATCATTTGGTCATCTACCTGCAGGCCCCCATCATCTGCTAATGTGAACTAAAAAAATGATATTTTTGAGAAGTTTACCAAGGCTTAAGAAATAACATGTCACAGTTAAAAGGGTCATCAAAAGAACTGAGTACTGAGATAAGTGAATTCACCTGCCCTCTAGTGACATCTAAAGGTGTTAACATCCAACTGCAAAGAGCTTTGACTGATTTTCTGTTCACTATCTGTGCAAAAATTTATTTTTGGTTCCACCAACACAATGAAACACTTGTAATCCTTGGTTAGTGAGGTTTATAGATGTTCTTCTGCACATTAGACTGAAACGACGACTGAAGCCAGAGCTTGTAAAAAATGCTTCAAATGACACCAAACTTGCTGAACACACAGTTCGAATGAAACTCAACACTTGGTTCTTATCAACTTACATTGTTGCCATGAAGAAACGGCTCAGTGTTTGGTACAACACCGGTGGCACTGACAACAAAATCACAGCCAAATGTTTTGCCGTTGGTTAATTTGATGTAAACTGGCCAAGATCCTTCTGAAAGGAGAGAGAGGCATAATCATTGTGAGGCTGTGGTGGAGTAAAGAAAACATCCAAGACTGGATGATTGAATTCAGATAAGTCTACTCCTCACTATTCTCAGGACTGAGTGTTTGCTGTGGGGACTTCTGCAGCTCCTCAGAAGTGAAGATCTTTTCCACCTCACACTGGTATTCCAGAGAAACTCTGCGGGACGCCTGAGCAGACGCCAGCGGGGTGAAGAGACGCAGGGGAAAAAGAAGATATAACAACACAAATAGTCAAAACAGATATAGAATTATCAAGAGATACCATTCTACAATAGACCTCTCATCCTGACCTCATTTAAGGACATGCACAGAAAGGTTTGGTACCAAAGATCTACACACTATCTTACATGTTCAGTTCCCCTCAGAACTATTCCTTCATGCCAGTCTGGACCCAGAGCGCTGCCTGGCTCTGTAACACCAGAACCATGTCCTCGTGAATTTCTTTCTGAAAAAGTAAGATCATGAAGTTGTTGGAACAGATTGTGCTGTATCATAAGCGAAAATATTTCAACAAGTACAATCATGACCTGCTGTGAAAGTCTGGGCTGCTCCGGGTGCTGGTTCCTCTGTGGTGTAGCGAGTTCTCTTACAGGGTACAGCTCTGTCTGGTTTGTCAGCCTCCAGAGATGGTATCAGGAACTGTGCTGCTCCCGCATCAAAGAAGGTGTTTCCAATGGCCTTGTCCTTCACAGCCCAGATCACCTCACAGCCCTCCACCTCAAACCTGAATAGACAAGGTCCAAGAACACTAAACATTAGATCATGATGATCATTGAAAAATATTTGATGATGCTGTATATACAACTGCCACATAACATTAACAAAAATACAACTATTTCACAAATAAATGAGAAAACAATCACATGTGAAGATAAGTGACACATTTTTAAGATGAAGAGTTTTGGTTTCAGTTTCTCACACTAATTCCAGGGCGATGCCTCCATTTCCGACCACCACGATCCTCTTTGCTTTGGACAAACGCCTCTGAAACTCCTGAAACAAGAAGAAAATGAGAGCCGTTCAATGTCAAAGTCCTTCCTGCTGCTGTGAAATATTAATGCAATATATTCTTAGAGTGTGATGCTCTGTTATTGACTCTCATTTATCAAACACAGCATCACTGTTGCAGCTCTTCTTGTTAAAACTGAGGTTCAGTTTCTTTAAGAATTTCAGACCTGCATATTGCTGAAAACAGAAACACACAGAGTAATGGAATTGTACCTGGGCGCTGTCTGTGTCCCGTATACCCAACACATAAGGGTTGTCTTGGGCGAGGAGCTTGGGTCTTCCCCCGCTGCAGATACAAAGTTTTTCATAACCAAACACCCGACCATCTGTAGTTTCAACTGACTGAGAGTAGAGAGAAAAAAAAGAGATTTTACACACATTCAGGCAGTGTTTAGATTTCAACTCTGTCCTCAGAGCTCAGTTGCAGCCTTATCTCCACAAGGTGGCAGTAGTGCACAACTGATATTCTCCAATTTCACTCAGATGTGACATTAATCATGACTGGGTTTTACATCATAATGGATGACAAGCAGATGGGTGGCTTAATGTGTGTCGAAATGTTGTTCTAGCACAGCACAGATAAATAATTAGAGTGAATATTACACCTACACTAACAAAAAAACATTTTATTTACACCTTTGAATCATCTAGGTTTTTTTCCCCTCTATGAAAGCCTGATGCTTACATGTGATTTTGTGTTAAGTGATTTAACAGCAGAGTGGATGACAGTCAGGTTGGGAAATTTCTCCTCCAAAACACTGGATGGTTTCTCCTCAACGTCAAACTCTTCCAAAGTGTGGGACACCTTATCAAGGAAAACAAAGGGGTAAAAGAGAGTGAGGTTGAAGAAGCTTGTGACCATAATGTGATGCAGTATGACAGATGAGGAAAAATCAGTGCATGCATATTACATTTGTGTACATTTACAAACATCATCAGCATCCTTACCTGCTTATAGTTGGTCACTGCTTTGATATGGGAGCCTGCTGTGATCAGAGCCACATCAGCTGACGGGATCTGGGATGACAGCTGTCAATCAAGAGGAAGATTTAGGTTTAGTGGCAACATACAGTACAAAACACTAAACATTATGTTAATAAGTTTGTATTTAGTATAGTATTTATAGCATTTCACCTGTTCAGCACATGTCACACCCGCGATCCCTCCACCCACGATCACAAACCTAAATGATCTCACTCTCTGATCTGCCATTCCCTTTAAAAACCCACAAACAAAATAACGTCCAGCTAACACTAGCTTCCCTGCATTTCTGAACACACGAGACTAGAGATACAGGGTACTTTTCTTTCGAAATAAACGGGCTGAAAAAATCTAAGGCTCAAACAGTAGTAATTAAGAGAGTAAGACTGTTTTGAGAAAGGTTTAGTTAGAGAGAAGTGACCTAAAATCCACAGATATCATATTTCTATGCTAAATTCTATGTAGCACCAAACCAGGGCATGGATACCGCTTCCGTGTTTACATGCGGAACTACGGCAAGCAGGAGGTCCTGTTTTTTTAGCGAATACACCAGAGAGGCGTTTTCGAGTGTTCCGTCTCTCTCCAAAGGCCCAATGTTAACAAAGTTGAAAATTAATCTGGTACAGACCTTATTTCAGTGGTACCATCACTGTAAATTTGACAGAGATTGTTGTGTTGAATTCCACTTTACTTTTCTGTTTAATACGGTGGCCGAGAACCGCCACTGCTGCAAATTAAAAAAGAATGCAAAAAAAAGAGAAGTCACAACGGAAGTTAGCTTTGCAAAAAAATAAAAATAAAAATTTGAAGCCCGCTGCAGATAAAAAAAGGAAGCGGTGCAGATAAAAAGAAAAAAAAAACAGCCACAATGGAAGTTAACGATGCAAAAAAAAAGTGATGATAGAAAAAAAAATACTTATTGCAAAAATAAAAGGATGCAAATAAAAAAAGCCACAACGGAAGTGAGCTACCGGGGACCAATAATGATGATGCACCAGTGTTTTATGGTCTAAGCACAGAAGACAACAGCAAAAGGACGAGCAAAAAAGTAGGTTTCTTTTTTTCCCTCATTTATTTATCTTTTTATTTGCCAAAAGATGTTCATTCAACAATTTTAGCAGAGAAATTAATAAACAATAGTTTACAGTTTATAGGAATTTAGAGTCTTTAACTGTCTGGGTTTCGCAGTATTTTTTACTGTTAAATCTACAGAGAATTTTTTAAGTGTAAAGGAAATACATCAAAATCATCCAGTAACTGTTTTACACATACTTTGGATAACTATTATATATGTTTTTCTTTGAAAGAATAAACACTCTTTGCAGTGAAAGTAGGTTACAGTATTTTTTTCAGGAATTTTCGAAGCAGTACAGCTATCATATTTTTATTTGGATTATAGCTCTATCTTTAGTGTTAGAGATTAATGTGGTTGGGGGTCATGAATCAGTTCCATAATTTTAACACAACATTAATCAGCTGAGCTCTTATTACTGTACAGATAAACAACTCACCGCTACGTAACATCTGAAATGCTGCGCCTTTTCTGATTATACATGAAGGCAAAGACATCTCTTGACATGAACCCTTTTATGTTGAGGATAATGGCTGCGTTTTTATTGTTTTGATGCATCAGCAAAAGATGGTACTTCATCTATTTATGAAAACCTTTTATGCCGATGATACCCATGTTTGGATGATGGTGGGGTCTGAGATGATAAGGTCGCCTGTAATCAAACTGGGGTTAATGCTATGCGTCATACTTCCCACTTGATTTTCATTACATTTCCCTAAATAACCCCCTGCTGCATTCTGCCACACAGAAGTACTGTGATCAAAATTCTGTTATAATAAAGAACCGGAGAATTGTTTTTGTTTGTCAAGTAAAAAACTGAATGTAGAAATATATGATATTTTGATTGGCAAGAACTGTTATTTTGAACTTTGTGGAGGTCTCACTCAAATGGCGAGATACCAAAGTTAAGCAGATATAAGTAATATGAATTATCATGATTATTTGCATTGGCAGAAGTTCTCACAGTGTGCTTTGTATTTCAGTTCGGTGATTTCATCTCCTGCAGTAACTGCTGCAAAAATTAACATGATGCTCAGTTTAAAGCTCCTTTCCGGGTTTTTTTGACATGAATGAAATTGACCGAAATTCATGATGATAATGATATACATTATTTAATGATATACAAAAGCAAACAAAGCCATAATCAGCATGACTTAAAATCCTCTTTTTCATTGTTTAAAATTATCTAAGGGGGGTAGGTCTGAGGCCTTGCAGCTGTAAACACAGCCCTGTTTTCACAATTTCACCCAAAATATACACAATGAACAACACGTTTGACTGCAATCTAACGGCAGGATGAGATTTGTTGTAATAAATCAGTGTTCAAACAAACAGTGGACAAGGTAAGCAAAGACTGCTGTGTCCATAAGGGGTGCCAAAACAAGCCAAAAGTTCCTCACAGGAGCATTAAATATCTGGTGAGAAGTTTTTATCCAGTTTTAGATTAAAACTAAAATTGATATCTCTATAAGCGCTCAAACTAAAGCGGTTCTGTACTCACAGTATAGAGTGGACTGAAGAGAATCAGCAACGAGGCCTACTACACTGTCCATGAGTCATCAATATGGACACAAAAATGAAAGCTCCTTTAGAGATAAATATAACAAAAACAGTACTTACTTGTATTAAAGCTCCTATAAGGAACTTTGGGTTTTTGTCAACGTTGGCGCCCCCTGTGGACAAAGCATGTTTTGCTTATCTTGTCCTCTGCATGTTAAAGTTATGTCTCATCGTCAATCTCTAATGTTTCATCATTTGTAAATATTTGAAATGAAATGGATAATACTTTCTTCAGCAGCTCCACTGACACCTACCCCCTCATACTGGTTTCAGGAGATAAAAAATACTAGATTAAAACCATCAGCCTTGTTGCTCGTCATCTTTTACTTTTGTATATCATACATCAATCAGAATTTTAGCCCATTTCATAAATGTTAAAAATCTCCTCACAGGACCTTTGAGAGAGAGTTCCATATCCTTTAGTTATTTATTTATCCTTTCAAAAATTCAATAAACAACAGAGAGGGTTATTTGCTGAAAGTTTGTTAGTTGGAACCAGTAACTTCCAGGCCGCCGCTAACTAGCTTTAATGCTATGAAGATTTGACAGCAGTATAGAAGATCTCAACTAATCTTTGAACAAATGAAGAATGTATGAATGCTGGTGTTGATCAAAATATAAAAGATTAAACATTTTTTTCTTTTTTTCTCAGTCAGTAAGGTCATAAAGAAGTATTCCTTTTAACTTACTGTAACTCATATGTTGACCTGATGTATTAGTGTAAGACATGAACAAGCAGGTTGGGAGCTGGTTAACAGAGTTTAATACATTTGATGGCTTTAATAAACATGTCATGTTTGCTAACAGTCCATAGCTTCTGCATGCATCTGTCTCGATTTGGAAAAATGGGGCTTAAAACACAGTAAGACTTTTGAAAATATGTTTAAATATTTTATTATCAAAAATTCATAGACTTTTTATTTTACGTGACTGTACATCTGTTGTCTTTTATTTGTTGGTTTTCGATTTTCTTTATTGTATTTTATTCACATGCCATAAATGCCAACAGCGAACCAAACCAAACCACAGCACACACACAAAGCGAGAAAAGTCATACACTGATGGTTTAAATCAAAGGCACTGTTTCTGGAAAATGTATAAAATGAAAATGAAAAATATGTTCTTCATTATTACCCTCACTGTCATCTTTTCCGGTGTCGTTCTTATCTTTATTGTTACACAATATATCATTATGTCATCAGAGCAGGGTGTCCTGGTGGAGCTTCCCCACTAGAGAGACATGTATTTGGGAGGCTGCAGCAGGTCCCTCTTGCCGTAGGTGCCAGATCCTACGTTGGTTGGTGCATAGACGGTGCCAATAGTGTTGCTGGAGCGGACTAGGAAGTCTGCTAACCTCTGAGTGACGCAGGTGGCTGTGTTGCACTTCCTCTTCTCTAGGTGGTGACTGGCAGAGAAGAGAAAGCACAGAAACTGAGGGATGCACCGACATCAGATAGATGGATTTGTTTACGATATGATGAGGATTTATGTAAATCCAGTTACCCGTTCATGGCTGCCAGCCCTCTTCGCAGCCGTGACCCCATGAGGTCAAGGAACGGGTTGGAAATGAGCCCCGCCGGTAGCCAGCCGTCGCTGTCTGGAAAAGCCCTCTCCTGCTCGCTGGATGAGCTGGAGCTGAAGTACCTGAATCACAGAGGAGATCACAGGGGAAAGGGCTGAACACTAGTTAATGATACCTTCTTCAAAATCTACTGCTTCCAAGAGCAAGGAGAAAAAGTGGCCACTCAACCCCCAATGAGCTGCACGGTGAAGCACTTTTTTCCACAGATAGGCGCAATTGGCTTCCACCTCAGGAGTTATCAGAGCCCTGCTGCTCCTCACATGGACATTACAGCTCCTCTCATCACACAATCTCTATGCTATTCAGCTGCTTGTCCACTGACCTCGAGTTAAACTGGTTTCCTGCCTCTCAAGATAGAAGGCACCCGATATGATGACTGCATCAGTTTGGTTAAAGAGACTGATTTGGGTACATCATCTTAACATGATAGCAGTATCCTCTCAGGTAAATACGTAGACATAGACTTACCTGTGACTTGGAGCAGTGGTGACACAGCGCAGCAACACAAGCAGCACAAGGAGAAGCACAGACAGCCGTAGGTGATACATAGTGTTGGGCGAATACCTGGATTAAAACAGCACATACAAAAGCTTTTGTGTTGGGATAAATCACCCTCTCCGACTCCAAAACCCACAGAATTTAGAAATGAAAATGATCTGAATTGAGCACATAGAGTGTAACAGCAGAAAATACTTCAGTAAAGCACACCTGTGAAGCTCTAAGCAGGTAAATCTTAATGCTGTGTGCACGAGAATTACAGTTATCTACAATACTGCTGCTAACATGCAGATTATTTCTTTAAAAAAACACCTAAAAATGTTGATGAAACGGTTCTGAATTTTGGCAAACAGATAAAACTTCAATATATTCAATTTATTGTTACAAGAAAAGAAGAAAGTGTTTTTTGCTGCATGCATTTCTGATGATTACTCCCTTGCCAATTCCTGTTATTTAACGTGATCCAAAAACCTTTGCACAAACTTTATTTCTCAGCCTCTACAGACACTCAGAAGGAAGGATTTTCTAGTTAATATTTTAACGTGTTCCCTCAAGAACATTGCATCCAAAACTGCCATGTATGGAGATATTTGAACACTACAACCTCAGCCGCAAACATAAAGTAGAACTGTACCCCTCTGAAATGGTCCACAAAACCCAAAAAGGTACCAAATCAAGGCGAGGCTTTGACAAATGAGATGAGTGTCAAGCCTCTAAGTTAAATATGTCCTCTTAAATTTCTTTTATGCAACAAGACCTTTGAGGAAAAAAGCAGCCGGATCCTGATTTAATCTACTCCACAGCAAGTACTCATGAAAAAAAATCCAATTAAGAGGTTAAGATTTAGTTAAAACATGCTGCTCCAACTTCTGAATCAACTTTCACCTAAAAAACAAACAAAACAAAATAAAAAAGGAGTACTTACTGTCTTGGTGTTGGCCACAGATCCCAGCTGTCGGTGGAGCTGTCCAGGGTTTGTCAGACTGTCACATACTGACTGCAACAGTTATAGGCTCTTCTCTCAATCCACTTGTGACATCAGCTCTGTCCAAATATAGCCTCGCTTTTTCATTTACACAGAATGAGGAGGACGAGGGGGGGGAGGAAGGGTGCACGGGCGTATTTGGATGCCCAGGTGGATCTTCTGTATGTCGGACACACGCTCACTAAGCTTAACCTCAATTTATGCTCTTTAACCTTTTCTGGTGCCCAAAAATGCTAATTGTCAGCGCAGACACACACACAAACACACTTCAAAATGTACACACACACACATTTTTGTGCGTCACCATCCTCATCACCACCTTCGTCATCATTGTCACTCTTGATGTGGTGGAGTTGACCCACCATAAACCCGCACCAGGGAGAAGAAAGCTTTCCTCCAATTTGTCTTGAAACAAAGTTATATGTCGCTAAACTCTGCCCCTGCTCCGCCTCTCTGGGCTTTATCAACAATAAATAATAAATGTGTGGACGAATGATCATTCATAATTAATACTGTCTCATTAATTTGAAGGGACTTGTCACAAACAATTGAGAAAGGACTAATTAAGGAAGTGATGGGCACACTTAAGAGCAATACTTGACGAATGTGTGATCTGCAGCTCTGATGAGTTTGAGAGTGAGTTTGCAGAAATCAATCTTGAGAGAAAATTGAAGTTTTTCTGTCATCTTAAAGCTGCTGTAAGTAATATTATTGCTCTTATGAAATAATCATGAGTGATTTGCATGGTGGAGTCCACAGGGAGTTATCAGCTGGCTTGTATTTGTCCTCTGCAGACATTGCAGTCATTAAATGGAAGTAAATGTTACACTAGCTGATGGTAGTGCAAGTATGATGGTTTAATCGTTGAGTGCAAAGCAGATGGTTTTAGTTTGTAACCGTAAAACGTGCATAAAACTTTATTGCATTGATTTAATGGAGAAACATGTAATTCAGAGGGGGGTCTGATTGGTTGAGGAAACCGCAAGAAGCAGCTACTTATATGATGTGGCCACAAAATTGCAGATTTGTGACTTCGTAACCTCACGATTGGCGCCTGTAAATTACGACATCAACCTCTCCAGCTAAGCCGTCCCAAAATAAAAAAAAATGCAAAGGGCATTTCACAGAAATGTACATATGGATCTAAAATACAGAGGCAGTGAAAGCCGTGCTCGTAAAAGTGAAATTATCAGTGAGACATGCAATATTTAACGATTGTATGTTTGCTACTATATGCTGCTGTAGCTAAGTGCTGGTGGTTTTTCACCGCGGCTTTGTGCTAACAGAAAGATTTAGTGCACCTTTAATGGACATTTAACACCCTAAAGCCCACCAAGGCCCGACTAACACCTCCCAATATTTCCTGTAAGCCTCCTAAGAAAACCTTCAGTTATTGCAGACGTGACGTGTTGCAGTTTTCTTTACTTTTGTATGGATTGCAAAGCTTGTATGTCCGACAGACTGAAGTTAGGTATAGTTTGATTTACCCAACCTTTACCTGCATTTAAATATGGCAACCTTTAAGCAATTAATCTTTTTTTTTTTTTAGTTCCAGTTGATAAAAGTATGAAACAGTATTTAAAAAGCATGTGGTTGTTAAAATTTAGGATTTACTTTATATACAAGGAAGTAAAAGAGGAGGGAAAAAGGGAAGGTAGGATAGAGGAGAAAAAAAGAGTGGGTGGTTCATGTAGGATTTGAAGTCTATTTTTACAAGCTTTAGTCTTGGGAAACATGTCCCTGGTATCATCCTGTTATCTCATCCCTGGATTTGTTCAGTAATTATTACAAACCAGGTGTTACATGGGCAGAAGCTCCATTTCCCGTCGTAAAAAAGACGATTTACTTTCAGTTTACAGGGAGTTCAGTGAGCCTCATCAGGTCCTGGAGGAATACGAAACTCTGTTTTCATCATCTCTGTTTCATAAGAGGAAAGCGCTCCTGTGTTTCTATTCTTCTTTAATTTTGGGGACTCACAGCTCCGAAAAAATGTTTAAAAAAAAAAAACAAGCTCAGTGTGTCTATTGAGTTTCCCTTCTTACTGTGTATAGGGTGGATAAAAAGTAACTTGGGAATAAAAAGTAAATTAGCCAACGCTAATAAAGATTATGATAATGTCTTTGGCCTCTAAATCACATCTTCTGCTAATGTCCATAAAGTTGTTTTGAATGCATGTCACCACTGCCATCAGAGATCATTTTTGTCTGCAAACACGCCTTCATAACCCCACAGATCAGCTGGTGATGAATCCAGCTGTTTCTGGTTGATACTCTCACGCTTGTTCACTACATCTGCAAAACTAGATGCGACACTGATGGCCTCGAACATCTTGGTTTAATGAAGATCCAGTTGAAAAAACCCTCACACGCCTAACCAGTGTGCATGGTCTGTTTCTGTTTCACACCCATGATGCATGTACAGTCACAAACAAACACTTATCGTCATCAACACCTGCCTCTGCTGGGAAAACTTGTTAATTAATTGCGGGGATACGGATGACAGCTTTGTCAGGCATTTTATCCAGTAAATATAGCTTAAAAACACATCTACATACTTAAAACATATTTACAAATGATCAAATCAATTTACAATTAGCATCTGAATAATTATGAAACATATTTACTTCTTCATGCAGTCATCTAGGCCGTATCTCTCTGTGGTTTGGAAATTGACTGACCACAGCTCTCCTGAGAGGAGCGAACGTTGACAGGAACACAATGTTTTCTTTTTCCTGCAGCATGATCTTGGGGGGACTGTGCACGGATCAGATGTGCAAAATGAAAATAATATCAATCATCCAAGAATCACTTTATTTACATACACAGAAAAGCACCTCTTTATGTCCATGAAGTTGTTTTCCAGTTTGGACCTTGCATGGCAATCATGCATTTATCAATACTGTGAGTTGGTGCAAGTCCATTCTTCTGTCAAATATTGAACTATGTTTCTACAGCTATAGAGAATCTAACGCTGGTGACCCCTCCCAAGGTCTGATAAGCAGATCCATCCTGTAAAAAAAAAACGAGCACCCTTTAATTGAAACGACCCCTCTTGATGTTTGATCCTGAGTTTGAAACATCTCAATTTTGTGGGATCTCGGTCTTTGCGCCGTGTGCTGTTTCTGTCTCGGTCCCGTTCTCGGCACCCTCCTGATGGTTCAGTCTCTGCTCACAAAAGTTGTCTTTTCCCTCTTTCTCCTCCTCCTCTTCCTCTTCTTTTAGTCCATCGAGCTCTATCATCACTTTTTCACTTGGGAGAGGGGCTAACTCAACTGTCGTCTTTGTCAGGGGTTGGAGTTTCTGATCCGCCTTAATGAGCCTGCAGTCTTTGGGGAGCTGCTCGGTTTTGCGAACCTCCTCCCTCTCCGCCGGCTCTGCTGCCGCGATCTTTTCAGAAACTTTGGGTGCGTATCGTACTTTAGACGATTTAGAGAAACTCGACTTGCCCTCATCAGGGTTCGATGGCGCCTTAAGTTCGATTTTCATGGACCCTTTTGTTTCTTGCACTTCGGCCCCTCGGCCTGGTTTCCGAAACTGTCTTCTGAGAAGGATGATGACGGCAATTATGAAGAAATAGGAGGAACCACTGAGACAAGTGATCAGACCCAAGAAGATCATCCTGAAAGTAGAGTCAGGCGGCAGTTATGTGAAATGCAGGAGAAAATACGACTGGACCACTCAGGAAATCAGAGATTTTTCCACCTTCATGTCTCACCTGTACATAGCAGAGTCATAAATGCGACACGCCCCTCTACCCCCACACTTCTTGATCGACCACTTCAGACAGGTGGAGTCGATCAGGGCCCCGAAATAGACCGGTGCGGGGAGTCCTCCTACACACAAGGCAACACCCAAATATCAATCCACTTCCAAAGTTTAAAATCAAAATAAGACCAAATGAGTCGAGAAGCACCTGAAAGTTAAGTGACTTACCAAGAGTTCGAGTTAACAAGGTCTGGATACCCAGTGCAAGGGATTTGAGCTCTGGTGCGATACATCTGTATTCATAAAACAAAAAGGCTCATTCACTATTTTTAAAGACATCTATCAAAAGTTGTGATTTTCTGCTTGCGAGGTTCAGGTGCACCAACCTAATGATAACCATGTAACCAGGCGTGGCTCCGAGAGAGTTGATAAAGGAGCTGAGGACGGATACGCCCATGTAGGAGGTGAAACTGCGGCTGCAGTCCTTGGCGTGAGGACACTGACCCAACCTCACAGACGTACTGCTGCCTGCTGGGTAGGAGGCGGACACACAGCTGCAGTTGTGAAAGACCTGGTAGAGAATGAGAAATGATAGTGCTACAAAGATGAAATACTGGATAAAAAAGGTCGTTTTTATCAAGAAATTTGAAATATTCAGGGTTAATTTGAACACATAACAGGATGTCGGGACTGAGGAGTATTTCTTTGGCATAGGAACAATCAGTCAATGGGATTTTTCTGAGCTATAAAACCTTCAACACCGAGGACTCATGCAGCCTCATTAAACCTGAATATCTTACTCTGACTGGCTGGTTTACTGTGAGCTAGGGCTGCACGATAAATAGATTTTATATCGTAAGTAGATTACCTGATTAACAATGTTAAAAAAATTAAAATCCTCATATCAATTTTCCTCCCTATAATGTCTCGCGCTTCCAGGCCACCATAGGCTCCCCAGTTCCCTAACACACTAATGTAAACAAACATGGCGTTTACAAAAGAAGGCAATAATTTTGTCGCTAAATAGGGCAAGAGCAAGTCAGCCGTGTGGAATTGGTACGACTTCGCAGTTTCAGATGAAGAGTAAACCATTCCCCGCTGCAAAGTCTGTCTGAAGACGCAAATGGTGTTTCGGGTGACTGTGAATGGTACTTTTTGAAAAAAGAGTGCATAAATCCGTAAACAACAACCATTTCATCTCCGTGTGGATGCCTATCTGCATCTCTCAAAACGATTATGTGGCACACTTTTTTATCGTTGTTTCCGGCCAAAACAAGCTTTGTGTGCATTCTCTGTGCTCTTCTTCTGTCTTTTGTGCATTTCTTTGGCAGCATTACAGCGCCACTTACTGGCTTGGCATATGCACTACATCGTTTTTAGAGGTTTTGTTTTGAGAGATGATAGAAAAACTTTTTATTTAAGTGAATTTTGGTGAAGTTGTCACTGAATAAAAAAAAGAAAATCTAGATCACATTTTTGGTTGAAATCATGCAGCCCTACTGTGAGCGGTCTACGGTTGTGTGATAACAGTCTGCAGCCCTACTGTGTTCTTGCCGTATCCACTGGAGCTTATGCAGCCGGCCATACATGGAGAGATGTAAGTGATGCCGCTGTCTGAACACACGGGGTCCCACTCCTCTGCAGAACATGAACAGTCACTGTTGCACTCTGCGTAAAGCATGTCCGTGCTGTGTGATACACTCGGTGTCCTGGAGAGAAGAGTGTTACATGTTATCCCAAGACTCTTTAACTTGGTTGGTTAAACCACTATAGCATCACAGCACTGACCCATTGTATGAGATGGTGAGCCCAGCCACAGGAATGTTATCACACTTGGTCCCAAATTGCAGCAGGAGGAGGAGGTACGCCAAGAAGGACGTGGCAAAGGAAAGCTGAGCCCCTGAGACCAAACTCAGTTTATATCTCTTCATCAGCAAACCTCCGAGGAAGATCCCTACTGCCACTGCTGGTAGGTTCAACACACCTATAGAGCAAAACACATCAACCCTGAGGTAATTTAGGTACTCTAAGTTGGCTGTTTGGGTGGAAATACAAGACGGATACAGTTGACAACCAATTGGCTCCATATCGGTTTGTAGAAATCCTTTACCTATGAGGAAGTTAGCTCTGGATGCAGACTGCCCGAACTGCTGCTCCATGTATTTGGCTTTGAAAGTGAACAGGCCGATAAAAGAGTTGAACTTGAGGACGCTCCCACAAATAAGCAAGAAGTAGGCCGGAGTTCCCAGGAGGCGCTTCAGCGAGGGGATAAAACCTGTAGAGGGGACATCAAGAACAAGAACAAGCAATGACCAGAAACTAGGAAAGGCATCAAAGTGTTATCAACTGTGACGCAAAGAAACAAACGGTTGTCTCAACCTTTCGCAATGTCCGTCAGCTTGAGGTGGTGATTGTTGCTGAGGGTGTCCTCTGTCACGTCTACGCTCTTACACTCGATCTCATCTCCTTCTCTCTTTAGAGACCGGGGAAGGAACCAGAAGGGGATGCTGGAGATAAGCAGGAGGGCAGAAGACACCAAGAAACCCATCCACCAGGCACCCACCCAGCGAGCATCTTTGGGGGTTATGGTCACACTTTCTGAAAGACAGAAGAGTGACCAGTAGGGGGAGCTCAACAGCCTGAAAAGTATACCGATAAGGTCGATGTAACTGCATATAGAATATCTGACAAAGGCTTTTTCAGATTTGATTCGCCGAAGCAGAACCCTTGAATTTCGTAACAAAAGCTCAACATTAGTGGTTCTCCGTTTTGCAAAGTATACCAATGTCGATGTATCCGATATCCACGTAGAGTTTGGCGCAGTAAGAACCCAGGAGGAAACCAAACATGGGGCCCAGGAGAGTGATGGTTTGGAGACAAGCTGAAGATCATGAAACAGTAAAGAAAGAAAATTAAATTACACCTCCAGTCAAAATCAACTGTTAAACAAGATATCAGGGAGAATACACCCTGAATTAAGAGGTACAGAACATCAACAAATCAAACTTTAAAACTGAAGTATGTGATTACATTTTACCAATGTAAAAAGGTGAGTTTTCTGCTTTAGCAAAGTCATCGATGTAGGAGATGCCGAGTGGTGTGACCGGTGTTTCTCCAATCCCCCTCAAAGCGTTCCCGAGGAACACATAGATCCACATGTTGGAACCGGAGTCCCTCACACAGGCTTAAGGAGGCACATGGAAAAAAAGGATGTATGATTGAAAACTCGTGAGTTGTTGAAGATTCAGTGGGAGTTGGTTGGCAGGTGTTCCTAATATTTTGCCCTGCCCTTTGTTTGTGAATGGACAGGACAAAATATAAGGAACACATTCAACTATAACATGCACCAGTACTTCACAAACACCCATTATGTCTTCAATAATAAACATAAAGAACCTTTCTGATCTTGTCAACAAAAACTGAAGCTTCCTGAAAGTAGATTTAAAGGTAGAGCTGTTGTATTTCGTTGGAGTAAATTGCCCAGATGTTTAATGTCATGACTGGTCGGTATATATCAACTAAAATAGCATGTTTAGGACAAGTTAAATAAAGGATCTTCAGAGTATTTTTTGGCTCTGCCTCTTATTCACTCGACTGAAAAAGAGAAAATAAAGCCTCCGTCCCTGATTATTCGAAACCACCTCGATACACAATGAGTTCATTCATCCCTTATTTAATAGGAGGCTGATTTCAGCCTGCATACCACTGCATTGTATGTGATTTTTATATTGTGTCTCTTTTTAAGTTTGCCGCTGAACAGGATCAATACGTCCCATTCTGTGAGCGGACGACATGTTTTTGTGAAAAGTAGAATTAATTATGGTTTTATAATAGAAAAGACTGGAACAGCATTTCAGCTGGAGCCCATATCAGGGAGCCAGGACTGATTGAATCCCAGACTGAACACTGAAGCTCCACATCCTATTAAATCTTTGACTTTAAATAGAAGACATCTGCTTTTTAGGCGATTTTGTTCAATTTTAGTTTCTATTTCTTCTCTGAACACGCTTTTTTTCAGTTCTTCTAGGGTACGCATGGCGAGTTACCCTGCAGTCCCCTACAGAATATCTCAGCCGCTCTGTTGTTGAGCTGTATGTTCACAGCGTGGGGGAAGGGAGGGGGGGATCTGAAGGTCAGACTGTAATCAGTGCATTCCTGGCATATTTGAAAGAAGCCGTTAATGGCGTTGATCAGGATTTACTATGACACGGATTACTTTTTCTCCCATGTTCACCAGTCGTAGGCTTAGTGTAAAGTTGTTGTTTTTTTCTTTATGGTTGAATCCAGTTTTATGTGAAGTGTTGTGTTATTTTAACTATTTCTGGAACTGTTTTAGGGGTTACAAAAGGGGCGCATATAAACGGATGTATTTACAGGCTTATAGTCAGAGCTAACGACCGGAGTTTGGTTTTTTGAAGGCAAATTTACATGTTAGATGTTCCACATGCTCAAAAAACAAACGGTTCTAGAGTGGAAATTGGACAAATTTTGATGATCAAGACTATATTACTGATATTTGACTTTAAATCATCATGTCTCATTAGAGTCACTAATATTCAGTATTTTCTGGGAGTCCCTGAGCTCCATCATGCCGTAGCTTCCTCTAGATCGCTGCTGCAGACGTTTTGGACGTGTCTATTTTCTGCTGCTTCAATCAGTCTCCCCTCTGTACATCTCTCTCTTTCTGAATTCCCTCTTTAAGCCTAACGCAGTAGAGGCAGATGACTGTCTTACATCAGTCTGGTTCTGCTCAAGGTTTCTGCCTGTTAAAATGAAGTCTTGGGATAACACTCCTTGGTAATCAGTGCTGTATAAATCAAGACTGATAGACTGATTGATACTTCAATTAAATACCCGGGTATGATCGCACTGTCTTACATCAGTCTGGTTCTGCTCAAGGTTTCTGCCTGTTAAAATGAAGTCCTGGGATAACACCTCTTGTTAATTGCCGCTGTATAAATCCAGGCTGATAGACTGATTGATACTTTAGTTCAAGAGCCCGGTATGAACTAATTGTCTTACATGAGTCTGGTTCTGCTTGAGGTTTCTGCCTGTTCAAATGAAGTCTTGGGATAACACTTCTTGTTAGGGTTAGTGTCGTATAAATCAAGGCTGATAGACTGATTGACATATTAGTTCAAGGCCCAGGTATGATCTCACTGTCTTCCATGAGTCTGGTTCTGCTTGAGGTTTCTGCCTGTTATAATGAAGTTCTTCTTTCCCACTGTAACTTCTCTTGGGGTAACACTTCTTGTTAGGGTTAGCGTCATATAAATCAAGACTGATAGACTGATTGATACTTTAGTTAAAGACCCAGGTATGATCTCACTGTCTTACCTTTATTGTCCTCTACAGCTGGATCAATCTGCGTAATATCCTCTTCTTTCTCCAGAGGATCTGCACACGCAGTAATTTTGATGCTGTCATTGTGGAAAACCTGGATGACTGTGTCGTACTTGTATCTGAGGAAGTCAGCATGCCACAGTAAGACAAAACTAGGATGGTTTGAAGATTTTGTTCCATATATGTAGTCTCTGAAAGTTAAATTTACCGTCCCATGAAGAAGTGTGTCAGGCCTGTGAGAAAAGCGCCCACAGCCATCAGGAAACAGCCCACAGCGATGAGCCGAGGCCGATGTAACTTCGCCCCAAAATGGCTGACCACTGCAAGAAACAACAAGTTGCCTGAAAGACAGAAAAGAGACGTCATGAGAGTTTTACAGATGTAGAGCATCACTTGATATACTGATATATATCATACCCATCTCAAAACTGCCATCTATGAGTCCAATGTGCGTGCTGGAGAGGTCAAAACGTCTTTCGATCTGAGTGATGGAGCTTTTCATGTAGGTTCCCGTTAGAGCTTTGGAGAAACAGGCGAAGGATAGTGCCACAATGAACAACTGGAAACAGAAGGGGACATATGTTAGTCTTCAACACCACTACATAATCTGAAGATCTGCTCCAGACAACATGAAAGGGTCGTAGGATTAATGTTTTTAAAAAAAAGCACACATACTTTATGCTAGTTTCACTGTTTCCACCTCCGCTTTTGCAGCCTCCACAGTCTTTGGATTAACTCTGTGTGTGGGCACCCTGGAGTCCTTTATTACTTAACATATCCCCATTGAGGATTACGGCCATTTCTTTCCATGTTGTTTATCTATTCTGCTGTAGAGCTACCGAGGCTTAACTTCTTATCTCAACCTTGTTCAAACTGGACTTAATGTGGAGTCTTTATTAGAGAGCATTAATGGTGTATAAACAGATGATAAAATGCAGTAAGTGTAATTTACTGTAATTTACTACCTTGTCTGATTTGTAAGAGAGGAAAGTTAATATTTTAACATCTGACTGACTGATCTGGAGGTAAAAAGTCTTGAATAAAGCTGATAACATGGATGCGTTTTTCAAGAAATGCCCCATCAACTTTACACGTCGAGTATGGCGCCGCAATCAGGCAAAACTGAGGCTGCAGCGTCAAATTATGTCCACTGAAGACTTTTCAGAGCACGTTATCAGCTCTAAGCTCCATTTTAACCACTTTTAGGGGGGATGCATATCTCTGAAGTTGTCCAAAAACGGGCTCACATTCGACATTTTGAGTGCTTTTTCATCACGCTGCATATAGAGTCTGAGGCAACGCCGTCAACTGCAAAATCACCCTTTTACATTTCACGCTGAAGAATGAGGGATGAATTTATTGTGGAGACAGTAAATGGTAAAAAAAAAAGTGTAGTACTTTGAGAGTGGAGATGTTAGGCTGTTTTCCTGCCTTCCTGTCTGGATCACACAGAGCCTGCTGGCTGGTCATCTTGTCCCCGCCTTCAGGTACTTCTTCCATCTTAGGTTTCTGCTGAAGTTCTTCCCTCTAGGTCTTTGCAGAAAAGAAATAACAAAATAGATCAATTGTTGGACTGAAAGTGAAGAAAATTTTGCTAAAACCCTATTTATGATAACAGTAGAAACAGTAGAATCAACCAGTTCACATGACCCACTTGTTGCCTAAATAATGTAGCGATTTGAAATGAGCCTCACAAGGCCACACCAAAATAATACTGTAGCGATTGGAATTTATAATAAATGTCTGAAGATTAATAATCTCAAATTATGACATTTATGCACTCGTTGAAAGGGGCACCACCCACCCTTAATGGTGGGAAAATAAAGAAAACAAAAGTTTAATTCAGAAATCAAACATCAAGTCAGTTTAAATTAATCAGTCTCATATCTTAAGTCGAAATTCTCATTTCAGGGACTCCACTTCTGGAAGAACACTAACAGACAGGAACTTAGAAAAATAATGATCTGTTTATTACAGGATAAATGATGGTACAACACACATGCAATAAATGATGATAAGATAATGAAGATAAATAATAATAGGTGAATAAATAAAGATTCTGAGTCAGGCTAGGAGCACTAAAGTTAATGATAGTGAGTGAATATGCGCTAACATATTAACCTACACTAACTTTGGTGTCGAGATAAACTCGGATGTGGATTTGGAGGAATCTAAGATTACCAGAATAAGTGGATATCTGAGTTATGAACGCACAAGACAGCACCAGCCCTGTTTGGAGCTCTGGAGGTTTGCATACTTAAGTGAGACTGGTCCTTGGAGAAGGTGGAGCAGGTTCCGAAGGTCCGGGCTACTGGCGGTTCGAGCGGTTCAGCTCAGAAGACGACTGAAGTCAGCCGAAGGATGAGCCAGGAGTTGCAGCACTCGGGCCCGAAGCAAAGCCAGCGCCTGTGGATCCTGTGGATGCTCGTTTGGGTACTTCTTTAGTCTCACTCAAAAACTCTGGCACAGAGGATGACCTGGGCCTGCTGGGTTGCGTTCAGAGGTGACTTTGAATCACGCAGATAACTCAGAAAAACGAGACTCGAGCAGAGAAAACTTTCAAAAATGGCTTCGCGAAATTAAAGAAAAATCAATCAAAGGCTTAATCTTGAATTGCTATGTGCACAAAAAGTTGAAGTTTCAAAACTTGAACTAAGACGATGTTAAAGAAAAATCAACGTGAATCAACACGTGGCGTAAAACTTAGTAGACTAAGAAAAAGTTCTAAGAGAAAACAAAGAAACGCACCACAGAAGGGTGTGGGCAGAAGAGTAAGGGGAGAAGAATCAGCACACAAGAGTCAGCAGAAGAGCAGAAACATAAGAGAAAGATGGACAAGAGTGAGCAACCCCACTTCACTGGTTTTATCTTCTCACACTGGGAGTGTGTGTGTGAGGAGAAAGAGGAGGAGAAGAGTCAGAGGTTTAGTCAACCTCCGGTTGTGTCAGTTGGGCAACCTGAAAGTGTAAACAAGTCTGGAAAGATGTATATCCTGTGTCCTGGGACCAGATAAGGAAACTTTCCTGTGAGGAATGTGTGAGATTCACACCCAGGGTTGTCTTGATTGCTACAATAATATCAGTAAATGCCATTTACTCCATGTGCACAAACATACACTGATACCTCGACCCTTTATTAGCAGTGACTGGGCTGTTTCCCTTTTTGGCTCCATTCACTGAGCAGCTTAGCCTCACAGATCCACTAAAATTAGTCCTCTTCCTGCAGACAGCATAAGGCCACATAACTCCACATTTATTACCTGTGTGTCCTCAAAAAGGAGCACAGGCATTAAACTAGTGTCCTCTGGTCCTTCATGGGGTTCCCAATACTGTAATATTCCCCATACAGCAGCTGGTGGTGCAGATAGTAACCCAAAGTATGTCACCAAAGATTGCCAAGATTTAGTGGTTAACCAAAGACTGTTAGGAGAGCAGAAACTCAGTGTTTATTATGTATCACTGGTAAATCGTTTGGTTAATTGTCAATACTCTGCTAGGATGTAAGGTTTGCAGTCCAATGAATTACTTTGAGGTACACATTAAACACCAAAGCTACAGGGACAAAGCTAGTCCTATTTTTAATAAATGACCAAACTTAAATACAGTCAAAGGTTATACATCCAAACTGTAAATGAAGACACCCCCTCTCATCTTAACTACATGTTACAATTTCAGTTGGAAAATTCTGCAGGTTAAAGCTCCTGTAGGGAAATTTTAGTTTGTGTCAACTTTGGCGCCCCCTGTGGACAATGTAGTCATTGCTTATCTTGTACTATAAATACTGAACAAATGTCATCCTGCTGACTTCTGTCAATCTGCCATCTGACACCTACCCCCTTGCACCGGTTTCATGCATTAAAAACAACAATATCTAATCAGTCAGTCTCATTGCTGATGGTATTTTGTCCATATTTATATCATGAAAAAGCACCAGTGTGAATTTCAGTCCATTTCACAGGCATCAAAAACTCCTTACAGGAGCTTTAAGGACAAAGACTGTAAACTCGCAGCTAAATCTGCAGCAGAAAAACAGAATCTGTTCATAAGCAACTTAAAAGCTTATCTATCCACAGACTTTTACTGTTACTTTTTCATATATAGCCAAGCAAACCAAGATAAGTTTGAGCTCCCTTCATGCCTCAGTGGGCTTTTCTGGCAGATAGACAGCATAATTGTTGAAAAAAGTAACTGAATTTGGCCAAATACTCTTAATAATTAAGTAATTATTTACTGCAAGGAATACACATTACTAGAGCTGCTTTATGCACAAATATTGCTTAGTTTCTAAGTCAAAGTTTCACATTTCCAAACATCTTATTAAGTGCAGCTGAAGCAGAGGAGCTGCCGTGTTACCTGTTTATCTTCTCCCAATCTTCTGAGCTCGACACCCGTCAAGGGCCGCAGGTTGAATCCATGTCAGAGAGGATAACAGTTTCCCATGCCACCTGTCCTCATATGTCCTCTGGGATAACTCTGAAAGGAGGAAACTGACAGAAGCTAGACCGTCTTTACTTTATAGTGCCGAGAATCTCTTTCAGGTTTAACCTTGTTAATGCCCTCAATTTTCAAGTTTGACCGGAAAGCTTTAGTCCTACTAAAGGAATATCTGAAAATGTAAAATTTTCATATTTAGAAAAAAATCAAAAAGTTTAGCAAAATAAGTTTAACAAAATGCATAGTTCATCTCCAGGACTGGTGTCTCCCCTCTTCCTCCTCTGATCCAGAGGAGGAAAACCTGCTGTCCTCAAACTCCTATTCTCCCTTAGAGCTGTTACTTGGAACCAGCTGGACAAAGGCCTCTTACATTTTTATTCCACACACATGCCAGCCGGCCAGGAGGGGGACAGCAACAAGAGCACAGGGAGGGAGGTGAGGGGGGGACAGATTAGTAATTCCAAACCAGGCCCATTCGATATTTTTCTTCTCACAAGGAGAAATCTGACGACTTCTTACTTTACAGCTCAGTTTTCGACAATAAAAGTCAAAAAAGTCGCAGAATTTTCCCCAAATTGTGGGACATTTGAACTTTTAATCAACCGCTCAGTCTTTAGATTTGATGTTTTCCTTCATGACGATTTTAAAAATGAAACCGTGTGTGAGCTTTAACTCTGTGTTTGGTGTAAACACGTGTTAGGGAGCGCTCTATTATTCCACGAGCCTGTGGGGGGTTCAGACAGCCAGGCAGCAGGTCACACAATCAGCTTTGGCCCCCCACAAAATTTAGAGGATTAAGATTAAGAGTCTTCACATTCCTGTACAGCAGCAGTGAAGAAAGCGTTTACCCTTTGGAAAATTTATACCTGGCACATATGGACATGTTTTTTTTGTCTCTTTATATGTTGTTAAAGAGACATATCCTGTTAAACAAATAAAACAAAGACGCTTTATTGTTTATTGTGGTTTGAAATGCAGTGTTTGTGTTTGACTGAATTTGACAGCCTGTGTGGCAATGCCATACACGCAGAGGTTAGAGCACAGCCTGCTGGTGAAAACAGAAACTGCATGTGGATGTGAGATTCATATTTCATAAATCTCACTTAAATTTTAGAGATAAAAACATCGTATTTGAACTCACACGTTATTAAGTTCAATTTATAAAACAGAAAATGTCCAAATTTTAATAAAAACAAAGTCAGGCAGACAAAAAAACCTCCCTGGTGAGGCTCATAGTAAACACAGAGGGGTCAAAGTTCAACAGACTGTGTTACCAAATATCAACCTTCACCTTTCAGCCAGAGGGACTGTTACATCAAACATGTGCAAAGAGACAGACGAGGTTGGCGGTGCTGTCACTGTTTCCACATTTAAATATAAGGAAGTTTACCCTTGATCAGATTTGGCTGAGGTTGTGAGGTTGATGTGGATGCTGCAGCTTTAAATGGACACTCCGGCCTCTTAAAGACACAAACTACCTGGTTTTCCTTTTTTTCCTCTGTGCTAGCTTGGATAACTGATTGTAAATCTTTGGGAGCACTTGCAGATAAATATTAGTATTAGATTGATTGTCCAAACAACTTTGAGGATCTTCCTTGCTTCTCATTTAGTTCGACCATGACATTAAAGCTCCAGTAAGGAGTTTTTTGACAATTATGAAATAGACTGAAATGTATACTGATGCCTTGTTATGATTTCCAAATGCAAACAAAACCTTAAGAGACAATACTGACAGTTTGTGTTATGTTGTTACATGTGCTGTGTGTCTCTCTCCTGCCAATCTTGTCACACTCCTCCCTCTGCCTGCTGCGCACCTGATTGCAATCGGCATTCAGGTAGAGAGAGGAGGAGGAGGATAAGAGGGACAGGGAGAGTGGAGACAAGAGGTGTGTCCCAAATCGCATACTTCAGTACTAAATACTAAGTGGAGTATACTAAGCATACTATGTGCTTAATTGCGCAGTGCACAAGTGCTGTCCCAAATCGCATACTTCAGCGCGGCGCACTCACCGGAAATTACAGACGAACAAAAACTAAAGAAATAATGACATGATATGCTGCAGACAAACCTCCGTGGCTGATAACCCGCTGGTTATTTTTTATTTGCCACGGGTAACGCTTCCGAACCTGGTGGCTACTAGCTAACTACCATTAGCATTTACGATGCCATTCGCGGTAAAAGACAAAAAATAGGTTACACCACAAATATACTCAAAAAGATAAACGCTTGGTGGAAAGAATGTGTAAAAGGCAACTTATTACTTACATCTGTATAAAGCTCCCAGGTCGACTGTCGCCGATCCACTGGCTCCACAGCCGTCTGCAGCCATTCTTACAGATGAAATGAGTGCGGGCGAGCGTCCACACTTGCATACTCAAAATCTTGACCGATTTGAATATGTCATCCAGGTACTTTTGCATACTCAATTTTCACACACTATCCATACTTTTATCCATTTTGAGTTGAGTATACTCAAAATTTTAAGTATTTAGTACTGAAGTATGCAATTTGGGACACACCTAAGGGCTCGGCACATGACACAGACACCAGCACTGAGGGTGAGGAGTTTTTTTCCTCTTTTCTGTTTTTTTTCCCAAAGCAGGTTTTCCCACCATCCTCATTTAGACGCTGGGGGTTTTGTTATGTTAGTTTGATGTTTTAGTTTGGGAAGGAGCTTACCGGTAGTTACTTAATTCGTCTTTTGTTTAATCTAGTTTAGTTTTATTTTTCAGGTAGTTTAGAGGGAGACACTGGGAGCGACTGCGTGGTTGGTCCAGTGTCTTCCCTCCTTTTGTTCCTTTTGGCCGGGGTTTCCAGTCCCTTTTGTTTCTTCCTTAGTTCATTGTGTTTCGTTTAACACTTTGGGTGAATCAAATAAAGTTTGTGGGTAAACTGTAACTTTTGGTGTGGCGTCCTCTTTTATATGTTGCAGCCTCCTTGGTCACTTTGTTTGTAGGAAGGCCATAACATATGTCATTTTCAGTGGCTAAAACCACTGTGAGGGCCCTTTTGATTTCAACGTTAAGCTTTGGCGTTAACCGACACGTTTGATTTTACTCTGTTGTGTGGTGCTGCAGCAGGTTTTCATCCTGTTTCTTACGCTACCTTCTTGTTGCAAATAAAAGAGAAAGTATATTAAAACGTACACTGATTAAGAGCATACTGTGAAAAATTGCTTTAATGCTTACGGATATGCTTCAGGGACAATCAACACAAATGTAAAAAAAAAAAAAAGATTGGCAGCAATGATAAAAGAGAAATATACATGAGAACAGTAAAAACATGTCTAACTCAAAAACCTAAACGTTCACTATTAACAGGAATTATATGAAAAAATGAAACATTTTGATTTACAACTAAAAACAAACTAAGTTGAGTAACATACTCCGTCCTCTTAAATTCACTTTTCGTTCTATAGTGAACTTTGAAGTACAAACACTCGCAGTCTGAGGATTACATGAACGTAAATAATCAATAAAGTTTGTGTACAAAGATGTGATGTAACAAGCAGACGGATCAGGTGTCCACACACGGCAGGTATTGTGGTGGAAATCAGAATAGAGGTTACACTGCCTAAACCAAACCATTTATAGCTCAAGGTCCGACTGTACGGTCATGTTCTTTCCCTTTTGACACCCCCTTCTCCTATAAATCCTCCAAATTAATCAGAATATGGTATGAGAAGCTTAAAAACCTCACATCTCTCCCTGGTTACTCTGTGGTGTGACTGTATCTTTGCCTAAAAGCTCTATTACAACTATAGAAAACTGTACAAAGCTGTTAAGTATACACTGTATAGGCCTAAAAGTTTGGATCTGCACATAAATCTTTGTGAATATAAACTTCTAGGACGAGACTTTACAGTAATTGCATAACCTAACGCTCTTCAAGTACACACAGCTGATGTATTTTACAGCTACTAATAAAACGAAAGTGAACATCATTCAATGGAAACTGTTTTTTTTTTCTCCGCAGTTCGATCCCTCTGATAACCTGTCAGTTGATGTATTTGTCTGCTATTAAATGTTGTTTGATTCTTGATCTGGAAGTTCTGGATCTTCGACAGTTCACTTTTGCAACAATATTTGTGCAAAACATGTTTACTGCTCACAGAGTGAAGAGTGCTGTTACCGCACCATTTCCCATTTGGTGCAGTATGGATGCAGCAGTGTACTGAGGCAGTGAGAAATCTCTGTAGGTTAAATAATATAAGAGTGTTGACTTCCTCCAACACCTTAAATTGTGCTCTCGTTGTTCATTTCTTCTTTGTTCTGGGTGATGTTGACGTTAGCATGTCCGTTACCCGTGTTGTTACCATCAGTCCCATTTTCTTTGGCCTGATTTCGCAACGCTAACTTTTTCTGTCTCCGGACGAGTTTGACATAGAGGACTCCCCAGAGTGTGTTAGACAGGAAGTAGAGTCCAGTGATCAATCCCATGAACGTCATCCTGTAAGAAACAGATTAAGCTTAGGCTTGGATTTTAACGAATTTCTACAAAGAGAGATATTTATGTTGTTTAAAGCTCCTGTCGGGATTTTTTTCACATGAATGAAATAGACTGAAATTCATCTTGATGCTTTTCTATGACATCCAAAAGCAAACAAGATCATCTGCGACAAAATTGATGGTTTTTATATCCAAATTTTTAATGTCTGAAATCTGAGTGAGGGGGTTAGGACTAGCAGCTGAAGCAACAGACCTGCTTTTACAATTTCCACACAAAATATTCACTTTAACTAAAATGATTAACTGTTAAAAGTCAGCAGGATAAGGAAGTACTCAAAAATTTAACAAAATAATCAACGACTTCTTAGTCCACAAGGGGCGCCAAAATTCCTTACAGTAGCTTTAATATTGCACATTTCCTATGTAATTTTGTATTAAGCTACATAGGACAACTGCAAGAAATGTGTTAACAAAGCCAGACAGCCCCCCCAAAAAAGAGGACATGTCCGGGTAAAAGCGGATGTATGGTCACCCTATTTTATGCTAAAAAGTTCATTTTCTTCAAAGGAAATTAAAATTAAAAACTAAATAAAAACATCATTTTAAATGCCGACATGTTCACAGAAAATAGGCAAAACCTGATATGCAGAAAATTCCTGCAGAAAAATAAAAATAACAGAGTGTGGTTTCCTCTTACCTGAAGGCATTAGCATCGTAGAGTCGACACGCTCCACGACCTCCACATTGCTTGGTGCCCCACTTCAGACATGTTCGGTCGATCAGTGCACCGAAGTAAATAGGCGGAGGAATCCCACCTGAAAAATCACGACAAATCAAAGTACGTAAATGTAACGCCACTGATCATCTTGGTATTAATACTCTGTAAACACTTAACCTTATCGATGTCTGCAACATGACTAGCATCAAAACCTCCAGCTGAAGTGTTCATGGTACTTACCCAGAGTTCTCACTATAAGTGTTTGCATCCCCAAAGCAAGCGACTTCAGGTCTTGCTGAATGGACCTGGAATATTTGCAAAATTTCAGCTTCACGAGTATTTCTTATGACGTTAAAGGGGCAAAACTCGCTTCAAAAGCTCTGACATACCTGAGCAGCACAATGTATCCTGGCGTCCCCCCACAAGCAGAAATGAAGGACCCCACTACAGACAGAACCATGTAGATCTTAAATATGCGCTCACAGTTGCTCCTCCTTGGGCACTGGCCCAGCACGGTAGACGTGTTCATACCAGGAGTCATCATTTCCTCAACACAGGTGCAGTTATGAAACACCTAAAAAAACAACAAAAGACAGAGATTGGATCAATACTTCGATAGGATGAGTCTTCACCTAAACTATTCACAATAAATGAGAAATTTGACTGTCAAAAACCAGCAGGATGAGATTTGTTGGCATAAATCACTTCTCAAGCATGCAGGGAGTAGGATAAGCATAGACTGCTTTGTCCAGAGGGGGCGCCAAACCTGACGCACACTAAAAGTTCCTCACAGGAGCTTTAATTTACGGGCACTTTTGAATTAAATAAACAAAACTTGTGAGGCTCTAAGGACCAGTATGTGTTGTAAGTTCCTTTTTATCATCAATTAGACTTAAGACAAGACTGAAAATACACAACTTTTTCTTTAGGATTTCCAATCAGTCATTAATAAGTTGCTGAATTTACTGTTTTACCATTTCCTTCCCAATTCCGCTGGAGGTCTTGCAGCCAGCCAGGCAAGGCGAGGCGTACGTCAAGCCGTTATAGGCACATACCGGGTCCCAGTGCTTCATGGAGCATGAGCAGCCCATGTTACACTGTGACAGCAGAGACTGTTGATTGTAGGACACGTGAGGAGCCCTGGTGAACAGACATGAACAAGCACACATGAGCGAGGGACGCCGGCCAAGAGAAAAACCAAGAAGAACAAACAATAAAAAACAAATAACTAAGAGCAGGAAAAGTCGACCTCACATGGAAGTACGATGGCGTGCCACTCACCCCTGATATGTAACAGTCAAACCCCCGACCTCTGAGTTGTCACAGTGGATGAAGACCTGAACGGCAAGCAGACAAAAGGCACCAAGAGAGGCAGAAATAGACACCCTGGCTGCTCCAATAACACCCAGCTTGAATCTCTTCAGAATAAAACCTCCGGTGATGATGCCCAGAGCCACCGCCGGCAGATTCAGGATTCCTGGAGGGTTTGATAGATGGACAGAGATGTGGATTAAGAAAACCAACTGATACAAAAGACTAAACGTTATCCAACTCCTTCACCAATCTATCAAATCTAGATCTTTACTTTTTAAATATTTATGGCACTTATATACTTAACTGTTTACACAGTTAGATACCTGTAACAATCATTCTACTAACTTATTTAGACTGAATTTGTTTTAGGGTATCACTACGTTTCAGAGCTACAGTACGTTGTGAGCTCATCGGATGTGGTATTTCTTTTGCTCATACAGTGCCCAGCATAAGTCAGTACACCCCCTATTAAAAGTCATGTATTCCTCAAAATCTAGATGAGCAAAAGTACAATTTCCAAAGTTTTGACAAAGCTGAGTTTAACATAACATTTTATTTACCCTAAGATAACCATAAGGGTGATATGATAACTAAAATTTAGCTTTGCTCCCAGAACTTTGTTTAGGGTGTACTCATTTTTGCTTCCTTATTTTAAAGTGAAAAAAATACTTTTTTGTATACAACTTAAAAAATCTTTGGTAACACTTTACTTGATGCCTCGCTCTATAGCGCATTATAAATATATGTATAATGTGTTATAATCATGTTATAGCACTGTATAACTAAAGTTATAAACACTCATAAATGATCATAATGCTTTATAGCAATAATCATAACACATTATAAAGCAGTTTATCATGACTTACAAGGTCAGGTATTACAATGTGTTATGCTTATTGTTATACAGTCTTATGATAATCAGTGAGTGTTTATAATAATAGTTACACAAGTTTATAAGCAAATTATAACACATCATAAATACATGTATAACGTATATGTGGGGCATTGTCAGTGAGTTGTTAACAGTTATAACACATTATAATGCATTTTACATTTATTTATAATGCGTTACAGAGATAAGCGTCAAGTAAAGTGTTACCAAATCTTGTTTGCAATCAATGGCCTACATTTTGGGGAGTGTTTTGTTGTATAGTCTGACATAGAAAATGTTGATTCTGAAAGTAAACTAAAGGTTTTCTGACAACTCTGAAGGGGTGTACTCATTTACATGCTTTTGCTTTGCTTAGTGTTGCATCTGCAGATGTTCAAACAGCAAATTTCAAATAGTAGGTGACCGAAGAACAATGACTTCCACATAGTCATGCTCCAAAAATAACAAAGACAGATATGTTGGTAAACAGTCATAAAAAGTTAATCATAGCTATGGGACTTACTCTACAGGCACACACAATAGGACAGTCTGCAGCGGCCTACTGAGTGCTTATACGTCAAGTCAAGGTTATCTCTTGTAATCACACTTCCTTACAACAACATCATTGTTGCCTTTGGCAGCAGTAAACGCAGAGTGAGTGGGGTTCCCCTCACGCTCTGTACCTATGAGGAAAATGGCCCTGGAGGCTGATTGGCCGTAGATCTGCTCCAGGAACTTCGGCTTGAAGGTGATCATGCCGATGAAGCCGTTGACGGCCACCAGGTAGGTGAGGATCATCATGGAGTAGATGCTGTTCTTGAAAAGTCGCCGCAGAGATGGGATGAAATCTGGTGGAAAAGGAGACGGACGATAGATGTTGTTTTTTTAAAGTTAATGTGGTGTTTTCCTGCAAAATTACACAACTGAAATATTGCAATGTTATCTATTATGAAAATCATGTCAAAGCATGTCAATTATATGTCATAACCTCCTCATTTTAAAGTGTAAGTGTTAATATTTTACTTTATATTCGTTTAAGTTTTCTAACTTGGTTCTATAGCTTTAATAGAAACGTAAACTCTCAGTTGGTCTATTAAAGGATATACAAACACATTGTGTGATAAGCCTCAGCTTAAGTAACCATTCCCACGTGTGCCGGTCCTGGTGGGTCATTCAACTCTTGCCCAGATTTCATTGTGGTCAGTTGTTTAAGTCCAGGTCTCAAGGTTACAGGTCTTGCCTCTGATTTGTCTAGGCTTACTACTTTGTTATTAATTAAACCCCAAAAGCCCAAAGACTGTTTGAGCGGTGTCACATGGGTATTGTTAGAGGTTGAGGGCATGCTTGTAGATACGTAATTGTTGGCTGTTGATGTGGAGAGTAAAATAAGACAACACAACATGAGGGAGAGAGCGGGGATGACTTGGCTTATTGATCTTGGACGGTACCTTTAGCCAGCTCTTTGAATGTCACCGGTTTTTCCTTCTCCTCGTGGTCCTGGTTTTCCTCTGGCAGGAAGTTTTCCTGCTCTGTTGTCGGGGTGAGCTCCGTGCTCTTATTCTGATTCTGCTCTTGTCCTTGTTTAGGCAAAGACTTAGGCAGGAACCAGAATGGGATACCAGAAAACAAGACCACAGTGCCGGTCACTATGAAACCCAGCCACCAGGCTCCGACCCAGCGGGAGTCTTTGTAGTTGATGGTGATGGTGTCTGTTGGAGGGAGACAAGCAAAGAAACAGGTTATGGTGGTTTTAGACTCCCAGATAACCCTTAACCTCTTGATCCGACAAATTACACATTAGCTGAAAGTGACAAGGATCAAGTCATAAAGTTCCTAGACTGTCGTAAACCCTGATCTACGCCCCACTGAGCATGAGAAACGTTGGGAATAGAAGATCCGCTTCGCTCTTTAAGATCTTGCCATTCTGGGCAAGATTTACTAGGTCTGTATAAAGGTAACTACTGAATACTTGTCTTAATACTTCATTATAAAATTGATTTTAAGATCTTAACGATAACTCTAAAGCACTATCAGGATTTGCCCCTAAATTCATCCCTGAGCTCCTTATGCCTTACGAACCCGGTTGAACCCTGCGGATTGGGCTTTTTGGTCAAGGCATACACTCTGTGGGACAAACTGCCCGAGGAGATCAGACTTGCAAGTATCCCATTTAAAACTCATTTTTATGAGTGTGCTTTTACTGGATTTGAGTTTTAACTCAGTTTTATTATCATTATTATTGTTATCAATAATCACCCTGTGCTTTAACCCACCTAAATCCACAGATCCAACATCCACGTAGATCTTCGCGAGGTAGGACCCAAGCATGAACCCAAACATAGGTCCCAAGATTCCCACAGTGTGAATGCAGGCTGGAAATTGAGGATAAAGAAAAGATGAAGATTATACAGGATTTTAATGAATGCCTAGCAGGCAAAAATGAAGTTAAACAATCATATCAGATGAGAGGTTTAGAAACATCTACTGAAGATACTAGCACCAGCAATACAAGGATAAATGTTACCGACCCAAATAAAAAGGAGTGTTTTCTTCTTTGGAGAAGTCATCCAGGTAGGACACACCCAAAGGCATGATGGGAGTTTCTCCAATTCCACGCAGCATGTTACCCAGGAACACGTAGATCCACATGGACGAACCAGCCGCCTTTTCACAAGCTGAAAAAAAAGCAGATTCATGATGTAAACACGATCACGCTGAAAATCCTCTCCTCTGCATCTCTGCGTGAAATGACCCTGAAGTACCAAACAGACTGGGATCTTAAATCTAAAGCCGTCAGTGTGCATGGACTATACCTGCCTGGGCCGCTAAATCAGGCGTTTCATCTTCGTCAGATATGGTGCTGTTTGATAGACATGGCAGGATGCTCTCTGAGCTGTTGACAGCCGTGCTATGAGACATGCTGGTCTCATATTTGTATCTGGAAAATGAGAAGAAATGTCATACAGGAGTTTCTCACAACATGATGAATCAATGTCTTGAACTGTTCGTGGTAAATGCCTGATACTGTGGACTTGAATACCAAATGGACCAAACTGAAATATTGTTTCATTTTGGAGAATTAAATTAACTTTTCTTTCCTCAGATAAAACATAAAAAAGCTGAATATTAAAAAAAGTTGTGTACTAACTCTCCCTGGAAGAAGTGAGGCAGAGCGATGAGATAGGAGCCAACAGCCATGATCAAACAGCCAATCCCAATCAGTCTGGGACGATGGAGTTTTGCACCAAAGTAGCTCACGAAGGCGATGACCAGCAAGTTACCTGGAAGAAGAACGGAGTCTAAAAATACTAGCAGAATAAAGCTGTAGTCAGAACCCTGTTAGTTCATACAAATGCACACATACCCATTTCAAAGCTGCCGTCTATAACCCCGATGAGGGAGCTGGGGATGTCGAAGCGCCTCTCAATCTGGGTGATGGAGCTCTTCATGTAGGCTCCACAGAAGGCTTTGGAGAAGTAAACGAAGGCCATGGAGGCCAGGAAGAGCTGAAACCCAAATCAAGAAACAAGATGTTAAATTGAAGTTGTCTTTTCAACGTCTATTCAACCATTTTTTGCTTGGTGGGAACAGTTCGTTTCCTCAACTTATTTTTTTTTTCATTATCTCTATATAACAAAGTTCATTTTCTCATGATAATGGAAATTACATTTTAGCCAACCTTAACGGTAACATTTAAAAACACTCTCTAGATTAGGATATTTATGAAATGCAGCAGCAGCGATTTGGCCTCATTTAGATGGTGCGATTCTGTCCTAATTTAGCCCAAAAAAAGACATTGAAAACTGGTCTTTATTTAGACGTGTAGTGAAGACGCATTCATTTTCAACTATTTTTTGCTGAGTGGGAACAGTTTGTTTTCTCAACTAATATATATTTTATTTTTTAAATAAAAAACATTGAAAGAGCATAAAATAAAATAAAAAAAAGATAAATAAATAAATAATGTTGAAAGTATGTGAAAAAAAATAAAGTAAAATAAATAAATAGATAAATACCAACAAAAAATAAATAAATAAAATAAATAAATAAATATATAATGTTAAAAGTGCATGAAAAAAATAACAAAATAAGATAGATAAATAAATAAATAAATGTTGAAAGTGCATGGCTGTTCTTGGCTTCCATATGTATGAGCTTTGATTGGATTTAGTTCGCTAAAGTTACTGTAATGACTTCCATGTGAGTGGGCTGATTTGACTCTTAGAGGTTCCACTTGTGTGATAACTTTAACATTAATGCTGTTAGATCTCTATGCAGAGAGGTGAATGGATAAGGGAGTGTCTTATCCCATCCTCCTGTAACAGATCAGACTAATTCACACCCACAACTACGAGCAATCTCAGCACTTTACACCTTCCTCTATCACTGATTGGGTTTGTATTCATTTAAATGGGATTAGTTTTAATCAAGTTTATTTAATTATCCAGAGATTAAATCTGGTCCTCAGTCTGGACGTTCTGAAATCTTTGACACATATTTATCTCAGCTGATAGAGCACATGAAATGATATCAATATATATATTTTTAATGTTTGGATGCTGGAGATTAAATAAAACATTGACAAGACAACTAAAACCAAAATTAGTCCATTTAACAATCAGAGAGGTTTCGTGATACATCTTAAAAAGAGAATCAGTTACAGCCGCTGATGTCCCATTTACCGCAATAATCAGTTTCTGGAATAAAAACAGCTCTTACATGATCCAAATACAGGTCAGGCCACTGCAGCCAAACCCCTCTCTTTTTTTCTCCTGAGCTCTGAAAAGCCCACCTCACACACTCACTCATCATGTTATCTCTCTGCACTGTAGTGAACCTGCATCCTAACTCTCCTTTGCACCCATAAAAACCCCTGCTCTCATTTCCAGACCTAGTTAAAGCCTCTTTGTGTCAAAGTCTCCAAGTTTTATCTTTTCAGGGGAAAATTAGGCGTTTATTTCGTTAATGCTTTGCCTTTTACTGCCCAGACATGCCGTACCGAGACAAACACAAGGAGATAAGGTTAAAGAAACACGTGAGCTTTCTGGTCAGGTTCGACTTTTAGAAGTTTGCAGGTTTTTTTTTTTTTTTTCAAAAAGTAGGTGATAGTGTTGATGGTCGCATTTTACCCACCTTGAGCTTGGAGCAGCAAGCCTCACGTGTTTTTTTGGATTCTACGCTCATGATGCTGTGTGCTTTACAGATGCAAGCAAGACAGACACAACACTAAAGCACCTGCAGGCAAAACACAGAGATTTAACAAGATTTAGGGCAAAAGGAAAACTCAATTCACTTCAAACTTTATTTTCTTAAAAATATCTTAATAATGAAAAAGACCAATTTCTGTTTTATAATGACTATAACAGAGAAAAATGTGAATTTTTAGTCAAGAAAATGTCCATAAAAAGAAAAAAAACTTCATCCCTTTTTGAGTTTTTGCTAAATTCTGTCATTTTTCCAATCAGATTACAATAAAAACAGATAAAGCACTCTAATGTTGGTTAGTAACAGGACTTTACATAGAAGATGAACACTTTGCACAGTTAGAAATAAAAAAAAAACTAATTTACCTGAGAGGCAGCAGAGCTCCTGAGAGGGAGAGGAAGGATGTGGTGCAGCAGCAGCAGCAGGTTTGTACCTGGCAGGACTTTGTGCTCAAAGCAGCGGTCTTATCACAAACAAACTATAACATCACCTGTAATCAGTAACCCAGCCACTTGTTGATCATGTCAATAAAAAGCCCTCCAACTCCCTGCGACCCTCACGCACACAGACACGCGCACACATGCAAACCCAAACGTGACCGCTCTGGTTGAGTAAGGTCCAGTGGGACGCGGGTCTGACCAGCACCGGAAGGTTCACAGGTTCACTGTATGCAAACACACACACGCAGACACTCACAGCCTGCGCACACAAACACATCCTCCTCTGTGAACATCATAAGCCTCCACCGTATCCATCCTTTTGAATGCACAACAAACAAACAGCAGCGTGAAGCGGGCCAAAGATTATTTTACAAGGCTGCTGTTTTGTGTTAGTCTGCTGTTTTCAAAGACTCTAATGCTTTTCTCCTCCTGGAGAAATGCAGCTTTTGTAAGGCTGGGTGTTTCCTAGGACTGATCAAAGTCTTCCTGTCCTATTGATAGCCCCTAACAATGGCTTCTCCCCGAGTACTAATGGCTGAGTGCTGCACATCATATCACCTGAAAAGACTTCTTAGACCAGCATTTTGATTATTCGCTAAAACCAGACTGTAGTAATGTAGTTATGACAAAAACAACGTCATGCATTCACTATTTAAAGCTGCTGTGAGCAACTTTTGATTCGTGTTGATATTTGCCCCTCCTATCAGTCATCTGTCAATCATGTGGTCTGACTTCTACCCTCTTGCAGGTTTTTTAACCAGCAAAAACTGCAACAACACACAGCAAATAAGCAGCAGGTGTAATTTTAAAAAGGACTTTAAAACAAAACTATATATGAATGAACAATAAGAGCACAGATTTTGGAGTGATTTTGATGTTTTAATGTTGTGAAGAATCATGGTTTGAATCTGTAATTGTATTTATTATTAATTAATTGTTGAAATGTGATTGTAATGTGATTTTAAGTTTTTGGGACCCCAGGGAGACTGAGAATCACTTTGTGGGAGCTACTGGGGTTCCAAACAAAGAAATAAACAATGAAATTATCAGACTTTATCAACTGGTTAAAAACTCCTTACAGCGCCTTTAAAGCAAATCTTTAAGATTAAATCCATTCGGTCTAAAAGTGCAGATATATTGGTAATATATAAGTAAAACAGCTACCTGCATGGCCACATGTTGAAATTGTTATTTGTAGTTTTTTTTTTTTTTATTAAACATCCCTTTTAGGACTATTTGCATGAAGACAGGACAGGACAGGAATTAGCATGAAGAGAATTATTATATTTTACTGTATAAATGACACTTCTATAAGACTTGAGATTAATACAAAATTCAGTTTATGTGATAGAAAACAGATTAAGTTATATTAGAAAAATAACATGGGGTAACACTTTATTTGACACCTATATGTATAATGCATTATAATCATGTTATAGCACTGTAGAACTCTAGTTATAAACACTCATAAATGATCATGATGCTTTATAGCAATAATTGTAACACACTGTAAAGCATTTTATCATGACTTACAAGGTCAGGTATTATAATGACAATGACCAAATAGATAATGCAGATATTGTCAGTGCATTATATGTATAATGCATTTTACATATATTGATAAAGTGTTATAATTTGCTTATAAACTTCTACAATTATCATTATAAACACTCATTAATTATCATAAGGCTTTAGAACAATAAGCATAACACATAATAATACCTCACCTTGTAAAATGCTTTAAAAATGTGTTATGATTATTGCTATAAAGCTTTATGATCATTTATAAGTGTTTATAACTTTTGTTATACAGTGCTATAACATGATTATAACACGTTATAAATATATTTATAATGGGTTATAAGGATAAGCGTCAAATAAAGTGTTACCAAACAGGGTTATTTAAAGTGATAATTTATTTAAGACAGATTGTACTGTGATTGGTAATTCTTGAAATCACGATTTCTTAGCCGTGGTGAGTTTTCTCTCATTTTTCGCTCAACATGCCGCAGGCTCTGCACTCACAGCTGGTGACGTGTTTGTAGGCATATTGTCTGGCACGGCGGTCGAAGCACTGCAGGGTCACCATTCTCCTCTCTGAACTCTGCTCCTGACAGCACTGGTACTCCTGCGCCACCTGCAGGTCACCGTGAAACACAACCCTGGTGCAGTGTGCAGAGAGGCAGAGGAGAGGGAGGGGAGATTAAAAACAATACTTAAAAGTGTGTCAAATTTGACTGTATCCATGCCAACCAATCAGTTTGTGGTATTTTTCCTCCTTACCAGGGCTGTGAAACACACTGGCCCTGACACACAGGCATCTCTATGACGGCGGTGCAGTTGTCTATGGTGATGTTGATGCTGGTCACCTTTGGGACACAGCTTTGTTTACCTAGAGACAGAGCAGATTCATGAGGGTGAGATCAACACAGACAACAAATGAGGAAATTTTAAAGATAATGGACGTAAAATACTGAAGGATCATGAAAGCGATGGTGATGATGCTGATATGACGCTTTTTGACTTGACTCACATGTGAAGCAGCAGTGTTGATCGTCCCAAACTCTGTCCTCCTGCTGAGTTTATCAAAAGTCCTCAATGTTAGTTCTTGTTTGGATCGTTCATTTTGGAAAGTTTTTCTGCTTTTGTGAAAGTTATTTACAATTTATGCGATAAGTTTCAGAGAAAAGCTTCAAACTGTGCTAAGAAAATACTTAAAGCTACAGTAGGGAGTTTTTGACATTTAGGAAATTGACTGAAATTCATGGTGATGCCTTTTAATGAGATACAATGACAAACCAAGCGATGATAAACGACTTATTTTTTTTGTTTGATACCCATGTGAGGGGGTAGGTCTAAACCTTGCAGCTGTGGACACACTCCTGTTTTTACCATTCCCACTTTATATTCACAATTAATGAGACATTTGACTTTCAAAAACCAGCAGGATGAGATTTATTGTTATGAGCAAAAACTGCTATGTCCACAGGGGGGCGCCAAAGCTGACGCTAATTCAAAGTTCCTCACAGGAGCTTTAAAAAACACACACTGCAGTTTTTCAAGATTTAGAGTTTTAGATGCTGAGAGTTGGAATCAGCTGTTCAGTACCTCCTGACAGGTTTCTGTAGGACAGACTTTGGTCTCGGTCTGGATACCGTCTTTGTCACAAGTGAACGACATGCAGGGATGGTGGACATCCTTCCATCTGTCTCCCACCTTTAAAAAAAAAGACAGATTTAGGGCTCAAAATGACTAAAAAGACACTTTTCTGAGATACGACATGAACAACATACCTTATATGTTCGTCCATTATGTGTGCATGTCTTCTCAACTGAAATACAACATGGGAATTAAAATCAACCAAAGACAAAAGACCAAATTTATGAGCTATTTTACAACTATTTCAAATGTAAATGTGGACTTACCGCATGTCAGATCACCACAACAGGAAGTGTTGACTAATTCAGCATTTGGGCCACAGGTGGGAGGGGGATTGAGAGGTTTCAGAGAACAATCCTCTGTCAGAGTTTGGTTGTTGCATGTACACAGGTGACATCCAGACCGCCACATCTCTCCAGGCTGAGAGACATGTAAAATTCAGACAAGAAAAGGAAAAATGTGCACATGCTTTGGCTCTGAAAAAAAGGGTCACTTACCAGTTTTGGTTCACCAAGTGGTCCTTTACAAGCTAAGTGGGAAGAAAAAACTTTTTATCAGCACTTTTTCTTACTTCAGTATGCACCTGTACTTTAGCAAACCATAAAAACATGAAAAAAATGGTCTGTGGATGTTCGGTGACAGCCTCCGAGGCCATGATACTCACAGGGACACTCTGATACACAGATGTTTGAGTGGTTTCCTGCCCTCATCAGGCCACGGGGGCAAAAACAGCCAGCGCTGTCGCTCCTGATCAAGGCTCCTGGACGCTGCACTCTGTGAAGCCAAACCAGAACATGCATAAAAACTGCTAACAGTTTGGACTATGCAAAGTGGTAATAAATGTCATGAGGATATTGATGAACTGGACAAACCCTCCAAAGCAGAAGTCATCCAGCTTGTTGTGACACTCTTTGTAAATGAGTCCTTCTGGACAGGCCCAATCTGAAACAACAATATCAGCTTTTTTTAGTCAGGTCGGCTCTAAAAACGTAGTAGAAGAAAACTCAAATGAGCAGAAAGGTTCATACCACAGTTTCCATCAGTCAAATTTCTCCATTTAACACAGAAACCAGCTCTCTTGCACTCCTGCGCAGCCTGCTCGAGTGCGGAGCAAACACCAGTCCTGCATGAGTCAAACTCGCAGGCCTTCTTTATCACGATCAGATCCACATAATTGCCGCAGTCTGAAAAGATTCTGAACAAACAGATTAGGTTGTTTCTAAAATCATAAAACACACAAAAATATCACACATATGCAAAAACAAAACATGAAAACTTACGGGTGGTGTAGCAGCTCACACAGTTGGCTCTCAGGGCAAGGGGTGTGTGGGGGGGGAGTAGTCCATGAGTGGCAAGGGACATCCCTGGGTGCAGAGAGACAGGCCGGCTTCAGTGGGTCAGGGTACACCCAATCATAGGACGTCTTTTCACAGCAGGAGTCATCCTCCATCTGCCCTCCTTTACGTATGCAGGATCCAACACCACACACACCTCGAGAGAAAGAAGAGGAGCGGAGGAGGCTCAACTCAACTCAAATCAACCTAAAATTAACCCTTTTTACAGGTTTCAGCCACTTAAAACACTTTTAAGTTTGCTTTTTATGCCAAACATCCCATTTGTGTGTTTTTTTCTTTGCCTCCTGTTTGTATAGGAAGGTAAAAACATCCACATTAATATACAGTTTCATTAGGATTGTTGTCTTTTTCTGCCCTCTAGTGGGCAAAAGCTGAAAGTAACCTTTGGTCAGCAATCAGTCTCAATGATCTGGAAGATTTTACAGTTTTTTTTTGCACAGTTTCTCTTAACCCACCACATTGTCCCTGAGTGTTGTTGAAGAAGTGCTCCATGGCCAGATTGATCACCAGGTTATACCATTGACCGAGAGCGACATAAGAGCGGATCTCTGGTAGGTAGATGGCCACGGTGTATCCTGAGACCTCAAACCTCCACCCGTGCTCCTCATATGGTGGATATATCATCATGTTATTGAGAGTGGCCTGTGATAGAGTAGACAAGTAAAAAAAAACAACCATCACATGAGTAATCTGAGGAACGAGAAATCTATGAAAGAGCTACTGTATTTTCCTTCACCTTTACTGAAGACGTAGACAGATCGATATTTAGTGTAGCTGTACTGTTCTGATAATTCAAGATGACGCCTTTAACGCAAGAGACTTTGGGCCCACACTGGAAGTTGTCCACTGCGATGGTCAGGTGATGATGTGGCGACCGCTCCTCTACCAGAACATAGGTGCATTCACCCATAAAGTCAAAGGTTACCCCTTGGAAAGTGGTGTAGTGGGGGTCTCCATATAACTCACAGCGGCCTGTGGGGACAAACACATAACAATAAACAGGAGCAGTGATAGATTAAAGTAAAAGACAATAAGAGGTCCACTTACAGTCACACTTCCATGTTTCACAGCATCCATCTGAGACCCTTCTGGCCTGCCCTCTGGGACAGTTCGGCATAGTCACCTCAGGACAATCAACGGGAGTCAGCTCTATCGCCCCGTTTTTACAGACCTTATCAAAACAGTCCTCTACCCATGAGTCATTGCAAGACCAGCTTTTTCTCCTCTTCAAATCTCTACATGCACAAGGTGGTGGTTTTGTTGTGGTTGAAGGTTCAGTTATTTCACTTGTAGTTGATGGTCTTGTTGTGATTGGATGTGCAGTTGCAGTTGATGGTACTGTTGTGGTTGGAGGTTCAGTTGTAGTTGTGGGTGTAGGTGCTGTTGGGTCAGAAGGGACGTTAAGGTCTTGCATTTTTAAATCAGTATGTGAACTGTTTATGCATTTTTACAGAATAATAACTCATACTTACGACAGTGGATCGTTCCATCTTCACAGTGGCTGACAAGGACAATAAAAGTTAGGTTACATCAAATCCAGTCGAAAATAAAGCAATCTGCACATCACAGATGACCTGAAAAAGTGAATATAGAAGCATTTACTTACCAGTTTTTGGACTGTATCCACACAACTGCTCCAGGATGAATGACAGTGCCATTAAAATCACAGGTGCAGTTTCTTAATTTGGTGCATTCACCAGTATTTTCATCATAATATGGCATGTCCTTTGAACATCTTGGGTAACAACCTTTTGGAAGAATAAACACTGAATTAGTTTACTATTAGATCCAAAGACGGTTGAATAAAAAAAGCATAAATTCACTTAAAAGGAGTTATTTGTTCAATTCCAGTACCTTCCAGCTTGTGGGTGAGGTTGCTTCTGCCGCAGGTGAGCATCTGACCACAGGCTTCATAGTGCCAGCTACACTGACCCTTCTCGTTGTAGTAGTCACAGTAGACCGCTGAGGTTCAACAATCAAAGCTGAATTACTGCAGGTTTGGTCAGGCATTATTTTGCCATCATTAAACAATAATAATACAATGCAATAAAACATTTAATAAAGTGCAGAAAGTAACTCAATCACTAAGAAAAGGAAAAGAACATTTATACGTCATTTTAAAATGTGGTAAATGCGACAATAATCACCATATTATCAAGAGAGTAAACAAACCCTTCAGTTTAGCATCACACACTGTGCCTTTAATAATGAATGTGAAGTACAACAATCACCTGTCTGATCATGACAGTGTAACCTGCAAATTTAGAAGCCTCCTGAGATAGATTTAGTGGTATGTTGTGTTACATTGCATCAGATCAGACAGGTGTTCATGATGTTATGTTAGTGTATGTTTCTAACTGGAAGTCGTCGTACTGGGTTAACTTACGACACATATCAGGTGTTCTCCAGTCTACACACACATCCTGGTCGCTGCAGGCTTGTGCATAGGCCGCCACAGCCGTGCAGAAGCCCAGGAACTTCCCTTCAAACTCACAAGAGCAGGACTCTTGCACACAGGCGTGGTAGTAGGGCTCCGGATCAACCTGGAAAATTCAGAATCATCAACAACAGAGCATTTACCTACCTACTAATCTAAATAGCCGCTACAAATATATAACATACATACTTTCAAGTGACAGCTTTGGAACGTGTCTCCTTTAAGAATCATACAGCGGCGCTCGGCCCAGGCAGAGCAGTAAGAGTGTCGCTCGCATGGAAAAATCTCAGTTATCACATCAGAGCAGGGAGGAGTGGCAGCTTTCCAGCTGTTCCCAAAGGCCAGGGGGCTGGACATCCCTAAAACAGATTATTACCTTTATCATGACAGCTGTTGCAAAAATAATGTACTTTATAAGACAAAGAGGAAAACATGTTTACCTGCTGAACCACTGAGCTGGATGTCATTCATCTCATTGGAGTCAAAGTTCCCACAGAGGCCACACACTTTGTGCTGAAGGAGAAGAACGGAAGGGAAGAAAAAAGAAAAAAAAAGAAGAAAAGGGGAAAAAAAAGAAACAAAAGAAAAAAAAGAAGAAAAAGAAAAAAGGATAAAACAAAAAGAAAGGGGAAAAAAGGAGAAAAAAGATGAAAAAGATGAGGAAAAAAGGGGCATAAGGAAAAAAGAAAAAAGAAAAGAAAAAAGAGGGAAAAAAGAGGAAAAGGTAATACAAAGAAAAAAGAAGAAAAAGGGGGGAAAAGGAGAATAAAAATTGAGAATATGAGGGAAAAAAGAAGGAAAAAGAGGAAAAAAGAAAAAAGAAGGAATAAAAAAGAAAAAAGAAAAAAGAAAAAAAGGAAATAGAAGAAAAAAAGAAGGAAAAAGGGAAAAAAGAAAGAAAAAACAAGGAAAAAAAGAAGAAAAAAGAAAAAGGAAAAAAAGAAAAAAAAATGAAAAAGGAAATAGAAGAAAAAAGGAAAAAAGAAGGAAAAGGGGGAAAAAGAAAGAATAAAGAATAAAAAAGGAGGAAAAAAAAGAAAAAGGAAAAAAAGAAAAAAGGAAAAAAGAAGAAAAAGAAAAGGAAAAGGAAGAAGAAGAAAAAAGAAAAGGAAGAAGAAAAAGAAAAAGAAAAGGAAGAAGAAGAAAAAGAAAAGAAGAAGAAAAAGAAGAAAAAGAAGAAGAAAAGAAAAAGAAAAGAAGAAGAAGAAAAAAAAGAAGAAAAATAAAATTAAAAATAAGAAGAAAAAAGGGAGGAGAAGAAGAACTTTATGGTTCCCTTTAGGAGAGATAGTTAAATCATAACTGACCAGTGATGGTCAATGCTCATAAAAAAGAATATCTGAGTCGGTGTCGAATGATTTTGTGATGTGACAAACAGTTTATGACCAGATTATGAGTTCCTGATATCTTACCCTCCAGTATGAACTCAGCTCCACAGTGATCCTGGTGTGTTTGTCCCAGATCAGAGTTATCCCCTCACTGGGAACTGAGATTATGATGTAGAGTCCCACAGTGTGGATGAAGTACAGCGAGCCCTCCTGGGTCCCATCAACATGATAGCGGCTGGTCACCCTCATGTCACTCATCAATAAGGTGACTTTGCCCTGGGTCGGGACAGCACAGGGATAAGATATGTGAAGAATTTGCAATATTCATGTGAACAAAGTATCAGTTTTTTTTTTAGGGAAAGACAAATGAGATTAGCAAAATAATCAACCGTCCACCTGGAGATCGAAGATGATGGAGCGAGAACATGTGAGAGCCTCATCACAGCAGGGAACACTCTCCACCCTCACAGAGAAGGTGCCGTCTCCATTTCCACAGTCATCCTGCAGTTTATAAAGAGGAGAAACATACAGGCAACCTAAGAGGATTTACTTCCATGCCCTGCAGTCAGGGTATTTAGACGTGGAGCATCCTTTGTGGACAGCTCTTGGTAAACTCACAAAGCTGGATCAAAGAGTCATAAGCACGGATTTCATTTCCACTTTCATGTTTGATCTCACCTCTACGAGCGTGTACTGGCAGTTCCCATCAAAGCGGTACCATTTGGAGTCAAAGGTCTGGTAATGCCCGTTTCCGTAGACCTGACACCTCCCAGGACACGGCTCCTCTTTGCAGTGCCACTGACCCCGTCCACAGACGCTGCAGGACAGAGCGACAGACGTCAACCTCAAATCCAACCATTACTCTCAGTCTTTCAGGTGGAACGGCAGAACTAACGCAGGTGTTACCATGTTTTGCAGTTGGTTTTTACACTTTGTCCTGCACTGAATACTTGGCTGCTGTACACACAGGTGCAATTATCCAGGTACACACAGTTTCCACGGTGATCCTCGTACATGTCATGTGGGCAGTAACAGCCGCTCTCACAGGTCATACTCGTGCCCTAAGATCACATTTAAAACAGTCCTTCAGCACAACGTTACATCAGAAATACTTTGGACAAATGTGATGAATGTGGAATAAAGTAGATGCATATGTGTTTGAATTCAGGAACTTATCCAACTAGCTTCTGTGTTATCTTGACCCACCGTTGGTTTGCTGAGACTGTCACAGGTTTTTTGAGCGGTGCTGACCGGGTTCTCTGAGCAGTGAACACAAACTGTCCCATTTCGGCAATCTGATCCAAAAAAATAGACAAGTTAGTTTAATTATTTGTCAAGATTTTACGTTTTTTTATTGTACAAAGCAGTTTTAGACATTTTATTTGAAAACCGTGTCAACCTATGGGTGAAAATCTACTATTAAATAATAAAGTTGGGGCAATACAACAAAGAAAACACCAAAAGAAAAAGAAAAATATTTACCACAGTCCTTGGAACAGCGCAGTTCTCCATCGTCACAAGAGCTGCAAACACAGTACTTAGTTGAGAAATGACACAGCTTTGCACAAATACATTACATGTTGAGAAGCTTGCTGCTCCCTTATTGCACCACAGAGGTTCACTGATTCAGGTGATGAATAAGGATAGACTCATTAGACAAAAATGTGTCTTGTCTTGGGTGCAAATTCCAAAAAAACATGACAGATGTAAATCTGTCTTGGTAGAGTCGAGTATTTTTTCCTTGGCTGATGGGAACAACTGGAGATTCTTCATGCGTCACCATTCAATAACAATGGTTTGAGGCAATAACTTTTGACTTTTTTTTCCCACCAAACTTCATGAGAATATGGCCCCAGGGGTGAGTAGTTGAATTGTGAAAAAAATATATATATATCGGGGGGTTGGTGGTTTTTATTGTTTGGGACAGGTATTTTGTTCTGATGACGGTGCACATGGTGGGAAACCAACTGTGTAACCATTTTATGTCACTAAAGTGCAAATATAATCATTTTATTACATAATCCCTCAGATTGAGCTGTCCATGTCGCTCGGCCATGATACTAAAATCGCAACAGCGTCAGCGTCATCAGCGCTGCTCACTGATGTCATTTTATTATTTTTTTAAAAAGGAAAAAAAAGTGTCATTTTCACATGCGCCGCCTCACCCAGAGTATTTTAATAAATATGCGCAAAGACCCTTGTTGTGGGGTTCTCGCTCAAACAATCACAATTTTGTGGAAAAACACAGGTGTAGTGGAAAACACAGTGATGGTGATCGGATTTAGCCGGCCTTCCAAGGTGCAGTGCAAAAAACTTTACAAAAGTGCAAAAATAATGGTCAAATACCATTTACAAAATGTACAAGACAGAAAAGAAAATGCCGACAAGGCAAAAGTTTCACTATAACTCAAGATTCTCAAGAGAAAAAAAACTGAAACACAGCAGCACTACTAGAGTCAGTTTGCAGTTACCTTCCATACAACTTTTTCTTCTTCTTGTTTTACGGCCACCTACCATGTAAGAGTGTGAGCAGAGGTTCCTAATCCCATCGGAAAATAAATTCATTTTTACTTTAAACTAAATTCTGTTTATTAGTTCTGTTTGTTTTAAAAACTCAAACACTGCTTTACACTCTCCTTTTCCCAGACTAAATAAATTCTTAAGGTTCAAAACTCTCATTCTACTTTCCTGTAGTTTCCTCAAAAGACCTTCCAGACAACAAACTCCAGACTCAAAGGAAGAGAGGCGCAGGAAGCCTTCTTTTAAACCCCTCTAGCCCCTCCCAGTAGTTTGGAAAAAAGAAAAAAATGTATTCACATTTTAACCATTTTTAACCTTCATACTTTTTCTGTAAGTTTTCGCCATTTTAACTCAGTTTTTACACAAATCAATGAAGCATTAATTTTTAGGGATTCATGGTAAATAAGGGAATTATTTTTTCTTGCATCATGTGACCACTTTGACCCGCCATACCCACCTATTTTACACCCGGAAATCACGCGCTCTGTTTCTGATTTGGAAACACGAGCTGGCAAGATGGTGGAATGGACACCCGGCAGGTAAGTAGAAGGATAATTATCTGCGTGAATGTGTGTTTGAGTTGACTGATAGAGCTCCAACCTTGGTTACCCATCCAACAGAAAAGGGAGAAGGAAAGTAGAGCTGTTTAGTGGGGAATTAGCGACGCTGGCGGGGAGGGAAATGTTTGGGGTGTATGTCGGTTTTGTGCGTGTGGCTCCACGCGCTGCCCGCAGTCAGTGAGGACGCCGCTCCGTCTTACCCGCAAAACGTTAAAACTGCGGTAATTTTGTAATATTTCCACATTCATTGACAGAAATGGCTCAAGAGATGGAAAGTTGGGAAGATCGTTTTTTAAGGGGGATGATTTTGACTACACTGCCCATGGTGCACGAATCTGCTAGCTACCAGAGTTTCGGAACAACGCATGCGCGAGTAGAATTGCGCTACTGGAGCAATGACGGTAACGAATCGGTTACTCCATTACAACCATAGACTGTATATAAGATGGACAACCTGGTTCCGCCTTCCGCCTGTATACGGATTTGAAGCCAAAAAGCTCTCGGTAATTCCGGGTTTTTCTCCACTTCCTTGAAACCAGAGCTGTGCAGTAGCGTTGTGCGCCTTCGGCCGCGCAGTCGCCGAGAGTCCCTGTGATGACGCTCGGCTCAAACAGCGTATCCCCCCGGGAGACCTACGCAATCCCTGAACGCCCATAGGCTGTACCAGGTGTCAATCATAGAAAACCTGAACCCCCTAATAACTTTTAAAAACGTTATATATATACAGTCGATGATTACAACTCAATCAATAGAAATATATTTTTACTGCCACAAGTTACACCTCTCTCTGGGCGAAAATGAAACGATTTACTCAAATATAATTTTTACAATATTATTTTTAATTTTCTATTTATTCTCTCAGCTCATGTCTCTCTGCAGCTCCTATTATCTTGGATACCTTGGATGGCAAATAGATAGTTTATTCATGTAAGTTGATAGTTACTTTACCATTTACAGGCAATGAAATTATGGTTAATAATTTTCATTTATTATTAATGGACTATTTATTAAAGGTTTATATAGGGTTTAAATATTGGTTGTAAAACATCTAGATTAAAATGTGTGTCAGTAGCACTTTGTAAATGGTTAATATTTGGTTTAGTTAGGGTTAGGGTTAGGATTAGGTTTTTAAAATTGTAAAATTCATTATAACATTAATAAACAATCTGCTTACCATTTATAAAGGGTCTATTTATCATTTATAAGTTATGGTTATTGTAAAATGTTACCGAAAGCTGTTTAATATCACAGCTGGGCATGTTGCAGCAGCGTTAGGAGGACTTCCTTTTTAGGTAGAAAGTTGGTAACAGCTTTAGCCATCAGGTAAAAATCTTGAAAAGTCAACTCTGATCAACCCACCACTTTTGTCCATCGATGATAATGGGTCCAGGAGCTGTTGAGCCATTTTGGTAAAAACAATTGCATTCAGCCTTCGGTGTACAGACATGTCCTTGGTTCAGATGAGTCCCCTCCGGGCAGCCGCAGCCCTCCACCGGTTCATCATCCAGTCCACAGCGAGGGTCGAGGCTAGACAGTGAACGGCATGTACGGTTGCAGGAGTGGATGTTGTAGGAGAACTCTTGGTTGTTTTGGCATTTAACAGCTAAAACACAACATAATGAATGATTACTGTTTTAATATGATGAGCATTAACAGTTCCTCTTTTCAAGACTCGAGGCGCAAATACATCATGTCTCAAACATTTCATATCAACCATGAGAAACAAGTTTACCGATAAACAACTCAAAGTTGGGCTTTTTGGACCTTTTGTTTTGAATATCACTGTACTCTTTGAGGATGCAGACAGGATCTGAATTAGAGATGCACCTATCTATTTTTTCCAATCCAATCTGATACCGATACCTGAGCTGAGTGTATCGGCTGATATCTGATATCGATCCAATACTACTGTTGAATGAATGAACTGTAAACCTTTCCCTGTGAGTGAAGATATCAGGTTTGACATTAGTCTTGTTAAAAAAAGGTAACGAATTAACACAGATATAAATGTACTGGATATTATGTCTTAACAAATAACAAATTACACATTAGTTCACAGCAAAAAGAAGTCAGACTTCCATGTAAACATTTAGTGCAAAAGGATAGACAGACATTGAGTAAAGAGCGAACAGAATCGCTGTGTTGCTGTGTATAATATTAATTAAAAGAGAAAAAAAAGACTGGATCAGAACGCTGGAACGGTGTCATTCATCCGATATCCAATCCAAATATCAGATCGGTGCATCCCTAATCTGAATATATTCAACATGAACTCACTGCAGTTGGTCACTTTCCGCCAGTCACCAATGTCAACACCCAGACTGGAGCAGGCTTTGACATAACTTCCCAGGGCCGCACACAAGCACTGCTGCAAGTTGCCCTCACAGTTGCAGGTTCTTTGGATGCAGGCCTAGAATTGAAAGCCGAAACGGAGTTAATTTATCAAAAACAGAACTGATAATAATGTAGCTTCAGTGTGACAAGCTGTTACCGTGTAGTAGTAGTCGGTTGGGATATGAGCGTGGCACTCAGAAAATACGCCATTCTGGTCATTCAGCCTGGAGCATTTTTCAGTGGCAAATATTTCTGCATAACAAAAAACACACAAACCTGCAGATTCAAGGACTGAATTCTTTACAGAGCTTTATTCTACAAATGATTGAGAATAAGCTTAAGTGAATAATATCACCACTTCGGAGCACTTTTGTGTATTAAAAGGTACCGTTGTCTGTTTTGATGCAGGTGGGGGGTATGTTCGGAGCACAATCACCAACACTCCAGGAAACAGCAAAGGGCTGAGGTGAGTTCTCCACAATCCCACTACTGGTGGTGAAATCATCTGTGGTGTCATTGTTGTTGTTGCCACAAAGACCTGAGACACACAAAATTATGAAGAAATATCAAACTTTGTATTTTTTACAACTTTTCATAGTTTTTAAAGGCTTAAATAAATAAAATTACATCTTAAAAAGGATACTGAAGCCATTGTTTTCCTTTTAAACCCTTACCAGAGATCACCCCAGTGTGGTTTCCAGGTGGTGTGATGTACAGCTGAATTTCAGGAGACATCTGTATCTCGATGTTGACTCCCAAGGACGTTTGCACCTGAACGTACATGGAGGACTGCCAGAACACCAAAGCATGATCTGACAGGATACAAAGGAAGGTGAGTGACTCAGTGGGTGACTTAGTTAGCTAACATCAGTGGATGGCTTTACCTCTTGACCTTTGTATTAAACCTACGGTAAAGAACTTATGGTTTGTGTGGATACCTCTTATCTGTTGTCTCATCCTGTTACTTTTTAATGTTGAATTTTAATCAAAGTCATAAAGAGTCCATATTATTATTTTCTAAACCAGTTAAAAACCCCTCATGGTGCCTTCAAGGACCCCAACATAAGCCCATTGGACAAAATTTCTTTCATATCTACCAGACAGGTGGAGTTCAGTGATCTCCTCTTCTCCGACTTTAACCATGTTGGGTGAGAATGTGTATTTTTCCTGTAAATACCAAAGAGAAACCGTCCATTTCTTTTTCCACATTTGATAGAAAGTTTTTTTAAAAAGTTTAAAAATGACACAAACCTGAAAAATCTGCAGTGTCACCGTTTTTAGAGAGGGCGCCTTCGCTGAAAACTTAACTAGGATTTTCCAGTCGAGACCCTTTAAAAATCAATCAGTCATCAGTTTAAAAAAACAGAGGATATCTTTGGGTTAATGTTTTGTGTTGAATGATGGAAATGAAGGAAAATGTACCTGCGAGGCCACATAAGAACATTTACCGGGGACGGCGTATCGTTTGCCGTCGAATGTCGTCACGAAATACCCTTCAATGGAACATCTGGTTGCGCATAAGTTTTCCGAGCACTGCCATTTCCCACTGTCACACATGCTGTGGAGAAAAAATAGACGACATTTTAGAAATATGAAATCATTAATCATCCACGACAAAATATCGACTCACCATGATTGACACTTGGTGCTGCGCATGTCTCCAGGTGAATAACTCCTGCCGGCGAACTCACACGGACAGCTGGACACTTTCACACACTGATATCCTGCTGCACGATCGTTGACCACCTTACCTTCAATGTGAAATAGTCCAACTTTTAAAAATGACCCTAACCGTGACTTGTAGATGTAAATGTAAATGTTCTTTATTTATACAGCCCTTTACAACAACCCTTTCGGTGAACCCAAGTGCTGTACAATAGAAAATAAAAATGAATAAATAAAAACAATAAGTTAAGTATTGGGTGTTAAATTATTGTCGGGGCGGCAGTAGCTCAGGAGGTAGAGCAGTCGTCCAATAACTGGAAGGTTGGTGGTTCGATTCCCCCCCATCCTGAGTCTGTCCGTTGTGTCCTTGGGCAAGACACTTAACCCACCTTGCTCCCAGTGTGTGTCCTCCACTGGTGTTTGATTGTGAGTGTTGTGTGGTGGTGGTCGGAGAGGCCATAGACGCAAAATGGCAGCCACGTTTCCGTCAGTCTGCCCCAGGGCAGCTGTGACTACTGAGGTAGTTTACCACCACCAAAGTGTGACTGTGTGAGCGAATGAATGATGTATCCATTGTAAAGCGCTTTGAGGGTTTCTGATAAAGCGCTATATGAAATCTAATGCATTATTATTATTATTATTATTAAAAGCCAGCATAGATAAATACATTTTCAGTCGAGATTTGAAAAGGCCCAGGTCAGATATAAGTCTCATTTTAGTGGGGAGCGTATTCCAGAGCCTGGGATCAGCAACTGAAAAGTTTTGGTCACCCCATTGTTTGTATTTTGATCTGGCACTTCCAGCAGAAGTTGGTTTGACGACCTCAGAGCTCTACCTGGCTCCCAAATGGTTAAATGCGCAGTTAAATAGATGGGGGCGAGAACATTACAAGCTTTAAAAACAAACATTAAAAGTTTAAAATCATTATACGAGTAAAGAGGTGTTTGTCCATGTCAGATGAAGCTCACCCTCTGGGCAGACACAGGAGCTGATGAGATCCTCATCGGAGTATTTTGGGTTTGGTCTGGAGCAGCTGGGGACAAAGGCCTGACCCTGTTCTACATAATCCAGGTTTCCAGGACAGCTTGGTTTTGCTATAGAAACCCCAAAGAAACATTACATCAAATAAAGTATCCATTAAATCGATGTTATCAAAGGAAATCTGTTTTTAATACACCTACCACATCCAGTAACAGTTCTCCAAATGTACCAGACGAAGCTGTTGTTTCCACACTTCAAGATGACCTCTTTGAAGAAAGCACAACTAATGTATTTGCTTTTTTCATAGCTGTAGATGTTCTCGTCACAGAGCTGCATGTAATGGGGCATCTCAGCTTGAAGGCAAGCCACTATGTGGAAAAAGAACTGTCTGCATTTCTGCAAACAGGGTCAGAGGAACCATCTCAAGCTCTGGGACGAAGACTTTAACAACATGTGTGTGTTTCTTCATGTCTGAACTTACAGCATTCACAGTAGAGACAGGATCTCGGCTTTGGCACGTGTCGTCAGCCAGCACACTCTCAGAGATCAGCTGCTGCATGTTACCTACATAAGAAAATAACACTTTGGGGTTATTGCCAAAGCTAGAGGAACTTATAAAAGTTGACTTCTTCTTAAACCATCATGCCTCACTTTGCTGTAATTACCAACATACCTTGGGTGCTTGGTTGTCCACACAGTCCGGTCATGTCAGTGCTCAGTTTCTGATCCAGCTCCACCTAGATGAAAAGTATAATGCTCAAACTTACTCAGAATTATTATGTTAATATTAGTAATAATAATACATTTTATTTGTAGTGCCCTTTACATCCAGAGACCTCAAAGGGCCACATGTTAAAAGCAAAGAAATATCACAATAAAGGAATACAAAATCAGGTTATTGGTAAAAAAAACAAGAGAAACATCTCATTAAAGAAAAAATAAAAGCGAGATAAGCAGGTTGTTCTGCTGTTAGTATAGAAAAGTATGTAAAGTGAGCGTCCTCTCACCCACACTGTGTCTATTCCTCCAGGTACGTTGTGCCAGGTGATTGACAGAGGAAGCAGGGAGCTCCTCAGTTTGGTGTAGATGCCATAGTGGAAGATGTGCTGGTAGGTGTGATCGTATGGGAGGGAAACCCTGGGAACACAGATCAGTACAAATATAGTAGGAGTAGAATACATGTGGATTTTATATTAAAAAGAAGAGGCTGAGTATGTGTATTATCATGTTAAAAAACTAGCATCCCACTGAGCAATAGACGGCTATTAGATGTCTAGTTTTTTTTTAGACCTAATTTCAACCGTCTAGATTCTGTGTATTTTTAGACGGAATTTAGACGGTTGCACTTTGACCCATTATTCGATACTTATTTATTTCAAAAAGCAACTGTGAGTTGCATAACTGATCTCCAAGTACTTAACCAAAAAAATTATGATAGTTGTTGAGCAGTAAAGTAAAGATATAGCCCAGATTTAGACTTGGTCCAAACTTGGTCTAAATTTAGACGTCTAAAAAAACGTTCATTTTTAGACCTGTGGTAGCCTTATTTTAGACCAGTCATCTAGACTACATGTAGATCTTTATTAGACCTCTTTTAGACCAAAAAATGCTCAGAGGGATATCTTTTTGTGGGACCACATTATCTTAAAAAATCATTATCTTGACTCCTGGCCAACCAAAAGCCTTCTCACCTCATTAACTCTGAAAAGGACAGGCACAACGATCAAACCAGTGAGGTGTTAAGGGTTCGAGGTCACCTTGCCAAGTCACCAAGTAAGAAAATGATGCTCTGCGTGTTTTGATTTACTTCAACCGAAGAGACAAACCATTTCAGTTCACACTTCACCAGATCCAAAGCCAATAATCAACTAAAGTCAATGACATTAATGCAAAGCACATGGAGAACTGGGTCAGTGTGGTTACAACCTGTTGGTTTCTCATTATTAGATTTAAGACGGCATTAGGGCGTGTCAAGGCGAGGCTCAAACCTTTTCCCCTCCACCAGGATGCTGCCGTTCTGTAGAACAGTCCGGATTCTATTCATGATGATCTCCACTCGAACCAGAAGCCCGCTGTCATCTCGGCGCGTGGTGATATCGCACTCCACTCGGTTGTGGGTGAAGTGGGTGAGGGTGAACTGGCAATTAGACCGCACGTAAAAACTCGAGCCATTGAACGGCTGAACGACACCACTGCCGAATGTCCTGCAAGTGTCTGATCACGACAGGAAGAGAAATGAAATGAGTTATCCTGAACTTTTTTAGCAGGTTGAATTAATCTCATAATGAAGAAATGCTGTTAGACTGAAGATGTGAACAGAAGCATCAGCTTTGAATCCATCTAACATCACAGTTTGACCAGCTATTAAACATCCCACTGAGCAAAAGACGGTCATTTGACGTCTAGTTATTTTTTAGACCTAATTTCAACCGTCTAGATTCTGTATATGTGGAGACGGAATTTAGACGTTGCACCTTAACCCGCTATTTAATAAGTATTTATTTCAAAAAGCAACTGAGTTGCATAACTGATCTGAACCAAAACAATTATGATAGCCACTGAGCAATATACTGGTAGACTTCTGTTAGCTGGCTGGTCTAAACTCGGCCTAAATTTAGACGTCTGAAAACTTTTATTTTTAGACCTGTGGTAGTCTGATTTTAGACCAGTCGTCTATACTACATTTAAATGTCTATTAGACCTCTTTTAAACTTTAAGCTTGTATCCATCATGAACAATTCCTCTCACCCACTGCACCAGACTGTGGGGGCTTTAAGCAGCTCCCTCAACAGCAGACTTAGACTCCCACCTTGCAAGACGGAGCGCTACCGCAGGTTATTCCTCCTTTCTGCAATAAGACTTTAGTAACCCAGGTTAAAAATCTTTATTGAAAATAGTTCATTGTGTATTAAAATCCAAGATGTTTGAATATAGAGAGACTGTTAAATTCATAGTGGAAAATCAATTCATTGAATATGATGCTTATTAGCCGATTAAAAGAAACATGTTCACTTAAAAGGAGAAATTTAACAGTAACAGAAAAGTCATGGATTTGTAATTTGAAAGAGCGGTCTTTCATCCAATCAGAGGAGAAGCTCCCACCCACTGACCCGATCGGCGCACGTTCACTTCCTCTGTAGCCGCTATGAGAACGAGAGCAAGCCAGATTGAACACGATCAATGGTAAAACTATCAAAAACCTGGATAAAACTCAGAGAAAGCTGTTGGAAAAATTCCCCCGGCCGACCTGGACCTGTGTGAGCGCAGTGAGAGAAGCCGTACGGGAGGAGAAACGCATCGGTGAGCGACCAGTTTGAGATGCTAAACTGTAAAAGATAACGGCGACACGTAGCGTACGAGCTAATGTCTGAGCGCTAGCTCGAAGTGCTATTTAACATTAGGGTAGACATTAGGAATATGAATGCGATGCATTAGTCTGCTATTTTTTTCATATGAGACATTTGTTTTCCTCTTTTTGTTAGTTCTTTTTTCTGTGCTCACTGAGCAGTATAGAGTGTGTGTTTAGCATTCTGCCTGTGAATTTTAAGCGCCCTTAGCCACAGGTTACCAACTGTGCACATACATATTTTATTTCCTCATTGGCTGATGTTATTTGTGTACTAATTACAATGTAAAGAGCACAGAATGTTTTGATATTACTGGTTTTGAGAGGTTATTTCAACAATATACTAACATAATAGAATTAATCATATTCTGATAATTGAGTGTTGTTTATTTTATTGCTGAGAATTGTGATGTCATATTACAACAGAAATTCAGTAAACACAAGTTATTCTCTATTGAAGTAGAGTTTGTGTTGACTTAATATGATTTTATTCCAATTCATTGAGAGTTGGCAAAGTTAAATGAATGCTCTGACTCTACCCGTTGTAGGTCAGGTTTTTCTGTTGGACCCCATTCAGAATTGGACCTACCTGGAGAATGGAGCCAGTCGAAGTTTGATGGCAAGCCAAACCCCGGAGGATACTTGGAGATGCCGCGGACCCTGAATCCTTTTACACTGTTACACACATACACATCACCCTCACACTAGTGAGGTGGGACTTATTTTCAATTGTACAGAGATGGTTGGACTGAACATTCGTGACATAAGCAGCTGCAGAGAATTTTACAATAAAGAGAGAAGTGTTACACTTTACAACGAACTGTAATAATAACTGGACTCAAACCACCACTTTTTTTCTGGCATTTAAATTGTGTAAATTGTAGATAGTTTTATTTTTCTTCTCCCTTTTTCCTTTTTCTAAATTTTTTCTTAATTATTACATTTATTTAAGTTCTTAATATTACGATCTTTATTTTATTTTATAACTGCATTTTTGCACTCTTTGTCTGTGATGCTGCTGTGACAAAAAAATTTCCACCATGGGGGATCAATAAAGAATATTATATTATATTATATTATATTATATTATATTCAATTTAGACCAAAAAATGCTCAGTAGGTTCTTACATATAATCTTTAAAAACTAATCTAGCCCTTACATGCCTGAAACTACAAATTATGGCCAGAAAATTCTATTTTGTTTGAGCTGAAATGTTTATTTCACTTTCTACTGAAAAACAAAAAAATCAAAATGTCCTTAAAATTTAACAAATATATTTATTGATCTCGTTTGATACATTAGATGTTTTTGGAAACTGATAAACAACAAGAGGACATTTTTATCATTTATCGGACAGTATATAAGTGCTTTTTTAGTAATTTGTTGATCATATTGATTTGATAGAAGCTTCATAAAAGAGTAAAAGTGAAAAAAATAATAAATTACTCACATTTATGAGTTTCTGTGACTGTGACAGATTCTCCTGTTCCCAAAACTGAAAGAAGATGTGAAGATTACAATTAGTGCTAAAAGGAAAACATGAAATAAAGTCTGGATATGGCAGAAATGTCATATTTTGGTTGTTATTTTTAGATTTGTAATGCATGGATGAATCATGTGATTGAAAAAGAGCATTTTTAAGCATGAAAATAAAAGAACTTCATTGACAGGTACAACCGTCCAAAATCGTCAAATCCATTTCAACAACCATGAAAACAATAGATAGTCCAATATGCATGCAGAATAATTGAAAGCCCAACAGTGAATAAGAGTTTACAGCACCTGAGACCAGAGACAAGCACACAGCCAGCAGCCACTGCCTGGTTTTCATGCTGCCTGACGCTCTCTTGCAGGTCAGCCTAAGAGGAACTGCCTGAACTACCCCTTCAGGGGCTTTTATATGCCGTATCCATGCACACAGGAACAAACCCCCCATAGATGTACGTGTGTGAACGTGTGTTCAGGTAGAAACAGGTGGATGATTGCTCACTAAGACAGCTTAAATTTGAGCGTATAAGGAAATGTGTTAAGACGGTAACCTAATAACCTCATTGATATATTATCCGTTATTTATGTGTCTGGATGAATCCTAAAACGAGAGTCTCATAGATGTCCAAACTAGGTCAACAAGCAACCAAAATACCGTTACATGAGAGTCTGAAACTTGATCTTGTTCTTTCAAAGCTCCAGAAATACCAACACCTGCGGGACACATTTATCAGAAACATGATGGGTGAAATATCAGAGGAGTATATATTTACTCCTCTGATGGGACAATTGGGGATGCTTACCTTTGGCAAACACTAGTGAAGCTGACAATACCCTGCTATTGAACAGAGGACAAATTGAACGATGAGTGAGTGGAAAATTAGGCTCGGTAAATGACCAGGGTGCATGAACCAGGATGTAGTTGGTTAAAGAAGTGCAACTTGGTGGACATCATGTTCATTTAAATGCGTGAGAAATACAATGTGTGGTGTGTGAGCGTGTGAACGAGTGGGAATGCGTGTGTCATACGCTGAATGCGTGAGACTTGAGAGCCCTGTGCTCACGCATCATCGATGTACTCCCGTGCCATGCAAAACGGGCTTTGCAAATGTTGCACTGAACGCCTTCCTTTTCAGTCTTGGTAAAGTTTTCCCACACCACTGATGTTTTAGGTCGGGATTTGGGTTGGGTAGTGTCAATGTTTTTCTCAGCCGCTGCCTCGGCCATGGCTGTTTCTTTTGTGTGCGTCCTGCTGATGTTTACACGCCGGTGTCCATGGACATATATAAAGACCCGACGAATCGATTACAGAATTAGTTGGCAACGGATTTTTTCGTCACGACGAATTGACTTAATCGATTCGTTGTTGCAGCCTTAATAGTTTATTTAATGTTACAAGAGCATTGTAATCTTTGAATTTAGAATTACAAAAAAATAATAATAATAAAATAAAATAAAATTTAAGTATTTATTATTTATTTTCCAAATCCATTGGGAGCCGCAGCTTAGGGAAGAAAGAGCCGCATGCGGCTCCAGAGCCGCGGGTTGCCGACCCCTGATCTAGACGGTTGAAAATGGGTCTTAAAAAAAAACTAAACATCTAATAGCTGTCTATTGCTCAGAGGGTTCAACTAAGGATTTAGGTGATTTTTAGCAGAGATGGTCAGCATTATCAAGAGATTATTTAGGCCAAAACCTCATTTTCGTCTGTGTGGTTCTTTTTTGTTTCCAAGATCCTTTTTTTAGTAACCACACGGGTATAATTTAAGAGGCTTGTTGTAATTTGAGCCTCAAGTATTCAATGTGTTAAGAATAGGAATTATCTTTACAGGAAATCTGAGCAAAGAAATCCAAGTGGTACTTTCCCTTGGCTCTCAAATTGAAAATTAACCCTTTTAAGCCTGTAATATTAACAGTCCGCCTGGTCATTATTCTCTTTTTTTAGCTGTAAATGTGTCAAAAAGTGTCTTTTATGTGAAATCTTTTGCCCCTTTTTTCAAGATAAGTTAAACTTTCAAAATCTCTCAAGTATTTTACATTTTTAACATGTTATATATAGTTAAACTGTGTGAAATAACAACAAAAATAAAAAACGGAACTGATTTTTTAGAAGGTTTTGTATTTATGAACACTTAAGATGTACAGGTCCAAAGATTTTGAGATGACAAAAAAAACTTGAACTATAATACAACAGCTCAAGCAGTTTTGTTTTCCTGGAACCTTCTTTTAACCTGTTACTGCTTGAAAAAGTCTACTAATAACCAGGCGTTTTTTAGGAATTAAACTCCCTGTAGCATTTCGTATATAATTGAAGGCAGAGACCAACTCTACACTCTTCACACTTACAGGGAGTGCATTGTTTTCTCCCCTGGCTGTCTCTCTGCCTTTTCTCCATTGACTGCCCTCTGCTGGTGGGGACAGGAAAGCAGCCTTGAGTGGGGGGTGTGGGGGGCTTGGGCGGTGGATTGAGTGGCACACCAAGCAGCTCGGCACACAGCTTCTCCTGGAAAGCCTGGGGTGTCATGAGCTTCCTCTTCTGTGTCACACTGATTTCTTTGTAGAGGATATAGCTGTTTGCTGCAGCTGTATCCACAAGGTGTTGAAACACAGTCATGGGCCATCTTCTGGTCTTCCTGTGGACAGAGTTGGTGCCCAACATCTGGTCAGAAGTGTCCACCCCTCCCATGTACTTGTTGGATGAGGGTCAGGGTCTGCCTCTGTCTTCCAGGCCTCCTGCAGTTGTGGTGAATGACATGCAGGAGCATCACCAGCAGCATCAGGACCACCACTGCTGCTGCTGTGCCGCCTGCGTCGGCCACAGACCAGACTTCGTCCCCGCCTTGTCCTTTTTGAAGACCCCTCATCAGAAGAATCTCTAAAAATGTATTGAGAAGATAATCATAAATAAAAAGTATTTATATATGAAATATTATGAATTCAAATAATGATATCATTATATTAGAACTAGATTTGGGAGTATGCATACTATTTACTTACTGTGTTTGGGATGGAGACACACCCCCTGCCTCCTCCTGCATCTCCATCTTCTCTTCCTCCTCCACAAATTGAGCTGGAAGTCTCCTCTTTCTTGCAGATCTCCTCAACATTTCTGCCTCCACTATTACAATCAATACTAAAGGAACTAGCTAAAAACAGTCGTGCTAAGGCAAGAACACGGCAAAACGACACTCAAGACTTATAAAATGAACTCTAACACTATGATAAACAACAATAAATATAATATATACAACGATTAATATAATATATACAAAGATAAACAGCTAAATTACCTCTAAAACTCTCTCTGCTCCAAAGTCTCCCTCACGTCATGTGTTTTGATCCGCGAATCAGTGCAAGGCCGCTGTCACTATCGTAATGTATCATATATCAGCGCAAAGCTTAGAGTCGCAGCTTTCAGAGTCCGTTGGAATTATGTTGATAGCGCAAATGGTTCAAGAGTTACGGTACTAAAAGTGCAGCATGTCATTTTCTGTATAAATACCATTGAAAGTGCATTAAAAAGATAACGAAATAAAATAAATAAATGAATAATGTTAAAAGTGCATTAAAAAATAAAATTAAATAAATAATGTTAAAAGTGCACTAAAAAAATAACAAAATAGATAAATGTTGAAAGTGCATGGCTGTTCTTGGTTACTGTAATGACTTCCATGTGAGAGGAGTGATTTAACTCTTCGAGGTTCCACTTTTGTGATAACTTTAACATTCATGCTGTTAGATCTCTATGCAGAGAGGTGAAAGGATAAGGGAGTGTCTTATCCCATCCTCCTGTAACAGATCAGACTAATTCACACCCACAACTACAAGCAATCTCAGCACTTTGCACCTTCCTCTATCACTGATTGGGTTTGTATTCATTTAAATGGGATTAGTTTTAATGAAGTTTATTTAATTAGAGATTAAATCTGGTCCTCAGTGCATATGCTCAGAAATCTTTGACACATATTGATCTCAGCTGATAGAGCACATTAAATGATATCAATATATATATTTTTAATGTTTGGATGCTGGAGATTAAATAAAACATTGACAAGACAACTAAAACCAAAGTTAGTCCATTTAACAATCAGAGAGGTTTCGTGATACATCTTAAAAAGAGAATCAGTTACAGCCGCTGATGTCCCATTTATCTCAATAATCAGTTTCTGGAATAAAAACAGCTCTTACATGATCCGAATACAGGTCAGGCCACTGCAGCCTAACCCTCTCTTTTTTTTCTCCTGAGCTCTGAAAAGCCCACCTCACACACTCACTCATCATGTTATCTCTCTGCACCGTAGTGAACCTGCATCCTAACTCTCCTTTGCACCCATAAAAACCCCTGCTCTCATTTCCAGACCTAGTTAAAGCCTCTTTGTGTCAAGGTCTCCTATCAGTCATCTGTCAATCATGTGGTCTGACTTCTACCCTCTTGCAGGTTTTTAACCAGCAAAAACTGCAACAACACACAGCAAATAAGCAGCAGGTGTTATTTTAAAAAGGACTTTAAAACAAAACCGTATATGTGAATGAACAATAAAAGCAGAGATTTTGGAGTGATTTTAATGTTTTAATGTTGTGAAGAATCATGATTTGAATCTGTAATTGTATTCATAAATAATTAATTGTTGAAATGTGATTGTAATGTGATTTTATGTTTTTGGACCCCAGGGAGACTGGGAATCACTTTGTGGGAGCTAACGGGGTTCCAAACAAACAAGTAAACAATGAAATTATCAGACTTTCTCAACGAGTTAAAAACTCCTTATAGCGCCTTTAAAGCAAATCTTTAAGATTACATCCATCCAATCTAAAAGTGCAGATATATAGGTAATATATAAGTAAAACAGCTACCTGCATGGTCACACATCGAAACTGTTATTTGTAGTTTTTTTTTTTTTTTATTAAACATCCCTTTTAGGACTATTTGCATGAAGACAGAACGGGAATAAGCATGAAGAGAATCAGTCAAAGTTTTATGGTGATTAATACAAAATTCAGTTTATTTGATAGAAAACAGATTAAGTTATTTAAGAAAACAAACATGGGGTAACACATTATTTTACACCTACCTCTATAATGAATTATAAATATATATATAATGCATTACAATCATGTTACAGCACTGTATAACTATAGTTATAAACACTCATAAATGATCATAATGCTTTATAGCAACAATTATAACATATTATAAAGCATTTTATCATGACTTACAAGGTCAGATATTATGTGTCATAACTGTTAACAACTCACTGACAATGCCCACATAGATAATGCAGATATTGTCAGTGCATTATATGTATAATGCATTTTAGATATATTTATAAAGTGTCATAATTTGCTTATAAACTTCTACAACTATCATTATAAACACTCATTAATTATCATAAGGCTTTATAAAAATAAGCATAACACATAATAATACCTCACCTTGTAAGTAAATGCTTTATAATGTTCTATGATTATTGTTATAAAGCTTTATGATCATTTATGAGTGTTTATAACTTTTGTTATACAGTGCTATAACATAATTATAACACGTTATACATATATTTATAATGGGTTATAAGGGTCAAATAGTGTTACCAAACAGGGTTATTTAAAGTGATAATTTATTTAAGACAGATTGTACTGTGATTGGTAATTCTTGAAATCACGATTTCTTAGCCGTGGTGAGTTTTCTCTCATTTTTCGCTCAACATGCCGCAGGCTCTGCACTCACAGCTGGTGACGTGTTTGTAGGCATATTGTCTGGCACGGCGGTCGAAGCACTGCAGGGTCACCATTCTCCTCTCTGAACTCTGCTCCTGACAGCACTGGTACTCCTGCTCCACCTGCAGGTCACCGTGAAACACAACCCTGGTGCAGTGTGCAGAGAGGCAGAGGAGAGGGAGGGGAGATTAAAAACAATACTTAAAAGTGTGTCAAATTTGACTGTATCCATGCCAACCAATCAGTATCTGGTATTTTTCCTCTTACCAGGGCTGTGAAACACACTGGCCCTGACACACAGGCATCTCTATGACGGCGGTGCAGTTGTCTATGGTGATGCTGATGCTGGTCACCTTTGGGACACAACTTTGTTTACCTAGAGACAGAGCAGATTCATGAGGGTGAGATCAACACAGACAACAAATGATTAAATTTTAAAGAAAAGATATTAAACGTAAAATACTAAAGGATCATGAAAGCGATGATTAGGCTGATATGGCGCTTTGTGACTTGACTCACATGTGAAGCAGCAGTGTTGATCGTCCCAAACTCTGTCCTCCTGTTGAGTATATCAAAAGTCCTCAATGTTAGTTCTTGTTTGGATCGTTCATTTTGGAAAGTTTTTCTGCTTTTGTGAAAGTTATTTACAATTTATGCGATAAGTTTCAGAGAAAAGCTCTGGACTGTGCTAAGAAAACACTTAAAGCTACTGTGAGGAGTCTTTCATGTTAATGAAATTGACTGAAATTCACAGTGATGCCTTAAAATGATGACAATAACAAAAAAAAGCAATGATAAACAACTAATTTTTTTGTTTGATACCCATGTGAGGGGTTAAATCCAAGCCTTGCAGCTGTGGACACACTCCTATTTTACAATTCTCACTTTATATTCACAATGAAAGAGACATTTGACTGTCAAAAACCAACAGGAAGAGATTTGTTGTTATTAGCAAATACTGCTCTGTCCACAGGGGGGCACCAAAGCTGACACTAATTCAAAGTTCCTCACAAGAGCTTTAAAAAACACACACTGCAGTTTTTCAAGATTTAGAGTTTTAGATGCTGAGAGTTGGAATCAGCTGTTCAGTACCTCCTGACAGGTTTCTGTAGGACAGACTTTGGTCTCGGACTGGATACCGTCTTTGTCACAAGTGAATGACATGCAGGGATGGTGGACATCCTTCCATCTGTCTCCCACCTGTAAAAAAAAGACAGATTTAGGACTCAAAATGACTAAAAAGACACTTTTCTGAGATAAGACATGAACAACATACCTTATATGTTCGTCCATTATGTGTGCATGTCTTCTCAACTGAAATACAACATGGGAATTAAAAACAACCAAAGACAAAAGACCAAATTTATGAGCTATTTTACAACTATTTCAAATGTAAATGTGGACTTACCGCATGTCAGATCACCACAACAGGAAGTGTTGACTAATTCAGCATTTGGGCCACAGGTGGGAGGGGGATTGAGAGGTTTCAGAGAACAATCCTCTGTCTGAGTTTGGTTGTTGCATGTACACAGGTGACATCCAGACCGCCACACCTCTCCAGGCTGAGAGACATGTAAAATTCAGACAAGAAAAGGAAAAATGGGCACATGCTTTGGCTCTTAAAAAAGGGTCCCTTACCAGTTTTGGCTCACCAAGTGGTCCTTTACAAGCTAAGTTGGAAGAAAAAACTTTTTATCAGCACTTTTTCAGACCATAAAAACCTGAAAAAGCTGCTCTGTGGATGTTCGGTGACAGCCTCCCAGGTTGTGATACTCACAGGGACACTCCGATACACAGATGTTTGAGTGGTTTCCTGCTCTCATCAGGCTACGGGGGCAAAAACAGCCAGCGCTGTTGCTCCTGATGGAGGCTCCTGGATGCTGCACTCTGTGAAGCCAAACCAGAACATGCATAAAAACTGTAAAACAGTTTGGACTATGCAAAGTGGTAATAAATGTCACAAAACCAGGAGGATATTGATGAACTGGACAAACCCTCCAAAGCAGAAGTCATCCAGCTTGTTCTGACACTCTCTGTAAATGAGTCCTTCTGGACAGGACCAGTCTGAAACAACAATATCAGCTTTTTTTAGTCAGGTCGGCTCTAAAAACGTAGTAGAAGAAAACTCAAGTGAGCAGAAGGTTCATACCACAGTTTCCATCAGTCAAATTTCTCCATTCAACACAGAAATCAGCTCTCTTGCACTCCTGCGCAGCCTGCTCGAGTGCGGAGCAAACACCAGTCCTGCATGAGTCAAACTCGCAGGCCTTCTTTTTTATGGTCAGATCCACATACTTGCCGCACTCTAGAAAGACTCTGTAGAAACAGATTAGGTTGTTTTTAAAATCATAAAATACAAGAATATCACACATATGCAAAAACAAGACATGAAAACTTACGGGTGGTGTAGCAGCTCACACAGTTGGCTCTCAGGGCAAGGGGTGGTGGAGGTTGGTGTGTTAGTGGGGCGGATAGTAGTCGGAGAGTGGCAAGGGACATCCCTCGGTGCAGAGAGACAGGCCGGCTTCAGTGGGTTAGTGTACACCCAATCATAGGATGTCTTTTCACAGCAGGAGTCATCCTCTATCTGCCCTCCTTTACGTATGCAGGATCCAACACCACACACACCTCGAGAGAAAGAAGAGGAGCGGAGGAGGCTCAACTCAACTCAAATCAACCTAAAATTAACCCTTTTTACAGGTTTCAGCCACTTAAAACACTTTTAAGTTTGCTTTTTTTATGCCAAACATCCCATTGGTGGGATTTTTCTCTGCCTCCTGTTTGCGTAGGAAGGTAAAAACATCCACATTTATATACAGTTCCTTTAGGATTGTTGTCTTTTTCTGCCCTCTAGTGGGCAAAAGCTGAAAGTAACATTTGGTCAGCAGTCAGTCTCAATGATTTTACAGCTTTTTTTTTTTGCACAGTTTCTCTTAACCCACCACATTGTCCTTGAGTGTTGTTGAAGAAGTGCTCCATGGCCAGATTGATCACCAGGTTATACGTTGGACTGAGAGCAACATAAGAGCGGATCTCTGGTAGGTAGATGGCCACGGTGTATCCTGTGACCTCAAACCTCCACCTGTGTTCCTCATATGGTGGATATATCATCATGTTATTGAGAGTGGCCTGTGATAGAGTAGACAAGTAAAAAAACAACCATCACATGAGTAATCTGAGGAACGAGAAATCTATGAAAGAGCTACTGTATTTTCCTTCACCTTTACTGAAGACGTAGACAGATCGATATTTAGTGTAGCTGTACTGTTCTGATAATTTAAGATGACGCCTTTAACGCAGGAGCCTTCGAGCCCCGGCACACACTGGAAGTTGTCCACTGCGATGGTCAGGTGATGATGTGGCGACCGCTCCTCTACTAGAACGTAGGTGCATTCATCCAAAAAGTCAAAGGTTACCCCTTGGAAAGTGATGTAGTGGGGGTCTCCATATAAATCACAGCGGCCTGTGGGGACAAACATACAACAATGAACAGGAGCAGTGATAGATTAAAGTAAAAGACAATAAGAGGTCCACTTACAGTCACACTTCCATGTTTCACAGCATCCATCTGAGACCTTCGTGACTTGCCCTCTGGGACAGTTCGGCATAGTCACCTCAGGACAATCAACGGGAGTCAGCTCTATCGCCCCGTTTTTACAGACCTTATTGTAGCAGTCCTCTGCCCATGAGTCATTGCAAGACCAGCTTGTTTTCCTCTTCAGATCTCTACATGCACAAGGTGGTGGTTTTGTTGTGGTTGGAGGTTCAGTTGTTTCAGTTGAAGTTGGTGGTCTTGTTGAGGTTGGGGGTTCAGTTGTAGTCGATGTTGTAGTTGGAGGTTCAGTTGTAGTCAATGTTGTAGTTGGAGGTTCAGTTGTAGTTGATGGTATCATTGTGGTCGGAGGTCCAGTTGTAGTTGATGGTATCATTGTGGTTGGAGGTTCAGTTGTAGTCGGCGGTCTTGTTGTGGTTGAAGATTCAGTTGTTACTGATGTTGTGGTTGGAGGTTTAGTTGTAGTTGATGGTCTTGTTGTGGTTGTAGGTTCAGTTGCAGTTGACTTTCTTGTTGTGGTTGGAGGTTCAGTTGTTTCAGTTGTAGTTGATGGTCTTGTTGTGGTTGGAGGTTCAGTTGTAGTTGGTGGTCTTGTTGTGGTTGTAGGTTCAACTGTAGTTGGTGGTATAATTGTGGTTGTAGGTTCAGTTGTAGTTGATGGTATAATTGTGGTTGGAGGTTCAGTTGTAGTTGGTGGTATTGTTGTAGTTGATGTTGTGGTTGGAGGTTCAGTTGTAGTTGGAGGTTCAGTTGTAGTTGGTGATATCATTGTGGTTGGAGATTCAGTTGTAGTTGGTGGTATTATTGTGGTTGGAGGTTCAGTTGTAGTCGGCGGTCTTGTTGTGATTGAAGATTCAGTTGTTATTGATGTTGTGGTTGGAGGTTTAGTTGTTATCGATGTTGTGGTTGTAGGTTCAGTTGCAGTTGACTGTCTTGTTGTGGTTGGAGGTTCAGTTGTTTCAGTTGTAGTTGATGGTATGATTGTGGTCGGAGGTTCAGTTGTAGTTGACGTTCTTGTTGTAGTTGATGTTGTGGTTGGAGGTTCAGTTGTAGTTGGTGGTATTGTTGTAGTTGATTTTGTGGTTGGAAGTTCAGTTGTAGTTGGTGGTATTGTTGTAGTTGACGTTGTTGTTGGAGGTTCAGTTGTAGTTGGTGGTATTGTTGTAGTTGATTTTGTGGTTGGAAGTTCAGTTGTAGTTGGTGGTATTGTTGTAGTTGATGTTTGAGGTTCAGTTGTAGTTGGTGGTATTGTTGTAGTTGATGTTGTGGTTGGAGGTTCAGTTGTAGTTGGTGGTATTGTTGTAGTTGATGTTGTGGTTGGAGGTTCAGTTGTAGTTGGAGGTTCAGTTGTAGTTGGTGATATCATTGTGGTTGGAGTTACAGTTGTAGTTGGTGGTATTATTGTGGTTGGAGGTTTAGTTGTAGTCGGCGGTCTTGTTGTGATTGAAGATTCAGTTGTTATTGATGTTGTGGTTGGAGGTTTAGTTGTTATCGATGTTGTGGTTGTAGGTTCAGTTGCAGTTGACTGTCTTGTGGTTGGAGGTTCAGTTGTTTCAGTTGTAGTTGATGGTCTTGTTGTGGTTGTAGGTTCAGTTGTAGTTGGTGGTTTAATTGTGGTTATAGGTTCAGTTGTAGTTGATGGTATAATTGTGGTCGGATGTTCAGTTGTAGTTGACGTTCTTGTTGTAGTTGATGTTGTGGTTGGAGGTTCAGTTGTAGTTGGTGGTATTGTTGTAGTTGATTTTGTGGTTGGAGGTTCAGTTGTAGTTTTGTTGAGTTGTAGTTGGTGGTATTGTTGTAGTTGATTTTGTGGTTGGAAGTTCAGTTGTAGTTGGTGGTATTGTTGTAGTTGACGTTGTTGTTGGAGGTTCAGTTGTAGTTGGTGGTATTGTTGTAGTTGATTTTGTGGTTGGAAGTTCAGTTGTAGTTGGTGGTATTGTTGTAGTTGATGTTGGAGGTTCAGTTGTAGTTGGTGGTATTGTTGTAGTTGATGTTGTGGTTGGAGGTTCAGTTGTAGTTGGTGTTGTTGTGGTTGGATGTCTTGTTGTAGTTGGTGGCACTGTTGTGGTTGGAGGTTCAGTTGTTTTAGTTGTAGTTGGAGGTTCAGTTGTAGTTGTGGGTGTAGGTGCTGTTGGATTGGAAGGGGTGTTAAGGTCCTGCATTTTTAAATCAGCATGTATGTAACCCAAAACAGTCAAAAACCAGACTGCCTGTGAATATAACTGTTAATACAGGATAATAACTCATATACTTACGACATTGGATCGTTCCATCTTCACAGTGGCTGACAAGGACAATAAAAGTTAGGTTACATCAAATCCAGTAGAAAATAAAGCAATCTGCACATTACAGATGACCTGAAAAATTAAATATAGAAGCATTTACTTACCAGTTTTTCGACTGTATCCGCACAACTGCTCCAGGATGAATGACAGTGCCATTAAAATCACAGGTGCAGTTTCTTAATTTGGTGCATTCACCAGTATTTTCATCATAATATGGCATGTCCTTTGAACATCTTGGGTAACAACCTTTTTGAAGAATAAACACTGAATTAGTTTACTATTAGATCCAAAGACGGCTGAATAAAAAAGCATATATTCACTTAAAAGAAGTTATTTGTTCAATTACAGTACCTTCCAGCTTGTGGGTGAGGTTGCTTCTGCCACAGGTGAGCATCTGACCACAGGCTTCATAGTGCCAGCTACACTGACCCTTCTCGTTGTAGTAGTCACAGTAGACCGCTGAGGTTCAATAATCAAAGCTGAATTACTGCAGGTTTGGTCAGGTATAATTTTGCCAACATTCAACAATAATACATTATGATAAAACATTTAATAGAGTGGACAGGAAAAGAACATTTATACGTCCTTTTAAAATGTGGTAAATGCTATAATAATCACCATATTATCAAGACAGTAAACAGACCCTTCAGTTTAGCATCACACACTGTGCCTTTAATAATGAATGTGAAGTACAACAATCACCTGTCTGATCATGTCAGTGTAACCTGCAAATTTAGAAGCCTCCTGAGATAGATTTAGTGGTATGTTGTTGTGTTACATTGCATCAGATCAGACAGGTGTTCATGATGTTATGTTAGTTTATATTTCTCACTGGAAGTCGTCATACTGGTTTAACTTACGACACATATCAGGTGTTCTCCAGTCTACACACACATCCTGGTCGCTGCAGGCCTGTGCATAGGCCGCCACAGCCGTGCAGAAGCCCAGGAACTTCCCTTCAAACTCACAAGAGCATGACTCTTGCACACAGGCGTGGTAGTAGGGCTCCGGATCAACCTGGAAAATTCAGACTATTCATAAAAAAGCATTTACCTACCTACTAATCTAAATAGTCGCTGAAAATATATAACATACACACTTTTAAGTGACAGCTTTGGAACGTGTCTCCTTTGAGAATCATACAGCGGCGCTCGGCCCAGGCAGAGCAGTAAGAGTGTCGCTCGCATGGAAATATCTCAGTTATCACATCAGAGCAGGGAGGAGTGGCAGCTTTCCAGCTGTTCCCAAAGGCCAGGGGGCTGGACATCCCTAAAACAGATTATTACCTTTATCATGACAGCTGTTGCAAAAATAATGTACTTTATAAGACAAAGAGGAAACATGTTTACCTGCTGAACCGCTGAGCTGTATGTCATTCATCTCATTGGAGTCAAAGTTCCCACAGAGGCCGCACACTTTGTGCTGAAGAAGTAGAAGTGGAAGAAGAAGAGGAAGAAGTAGAGGAAAAAATGAGAAAAAGAAGAAAAAGAAAAAAGAGAAAGAAAAAGGAGAAAAAAAGGAAAAAGAGAAAAAAAGGAGAAAAAGAAAAAAAAAGAAAAACGAGAAGAAAAAATAAGAAAGATGATAAAGAAAAAAGAGACATAGAAAAAAAAGATGATAAAGAAAAAAGAGACAAAGAAGAAACAAATAAGAGAAAAGAAGAAAAAGAAAAAATAACAAAAAATAATGAAAAGAAAGAAGAAAAACAAAAAAATGAGAAAAAAAATTACAAGAAGAAAGAATGTGGGAAAAAGACAAAAAGAAGAAAAAGAAAAAAAGGAAGACAAGAAAAAGAAGGAGAAGAAGAACTTTATTGATCCCTTTAGGAGAGATAGTTACATCACATATGACCAGTGATGGTCAATGATTACAAAAAAGAGTAACTGAGTCGGTATCGAATGATTTTGTGATGTGACAAACAGCAGATGACCAGATTATGAGTTCCTGATATCTCACCCTCCAGTATGAACTCAGCTCCACAGTGATCCTGGTGTGTTTGTCCCAGATCAGAGTTATCCCCTCACTGGGAACTGAGATTATGATGTAGAGTCCCACAGTGTGGATGAAGTACAGCGAGCCCTCCTGGGTCCCATCAACATGGTAGCGGCTGGTCACCCTCATGTCGCTCATCATTAAGGTGACTTTGCCCTGGGTCGGGACAGCACAGGGATAAGATATATGAAGAGTTTGCAATATTCATGTGAACAAAGTATCAGTTTTTTTTTTAGGGAAAGACAAATGAGATTAGCAAAATAATCAATCATCCACCTGGAGATCGAAGATGATGGAGCGAGAGCATGTGAGAGCCTCATCACAGCAGGGAACACTCTCCACCCTCACAGAGAAGGTGCTGTCTCCATTTCCACAGTCATCCTGCAGTTTACAAAGAGGAGAAACATACAGGCAACGTAAGAGGATTTACTTCCATGCCCTGCAGTCAGGGTATTTAGATGTAGCGCATCCTTTGAAGACAGCTCTTGGTAAACTCACAAAGCTGGATCAAAGAGTCGTAAGCACGGACTTCATTTCCACTTTCATGTTTGATCTCACCTCTACGAGCGTGTACTGGCAGTTCCCATCAAAGCGGTACCATTTGGAGTCAAAGGTCTGGTAATGCCCATTTCCGTAGACCTGACACCTCCCAGGACACGGCTCCTCTTTGCAGTGCCACTGACCCCGTCCACAGACGCTGCAGGACAGAGCGACAGACGTCAACCTCAAATTTAACCATTACTCTCAGTCTTTCAGGTGGAACGGCAGAACTAACGCAGGTGTTACCATGTTTTGCAGTTGGTTTTAACACTTTGTCCTGCACTGAATACTTGGCTGCTGTACACACAGGTGCAATTATCCAGGTACACACAGTTTCCACGGTGATCCTCGTACATGTCTTGTGGGCAGTAACAGCCGCTCTCACAGGTCATACTCGTGCCCTAAGATCACATTTAAAACAATCACTCAGCACAACGTTGCATCAGAAATATTTGGACAAAGTCTAAATGTGATGAATGTGGAATTAAGTAGATGCATATGTGTTTGAATTCAAGATGAGCAGGAATTTATCCGATTAAATTCTGTGTTGTCTTGACCCACCGTTGGTTTGCTGAGACTGTCACAGGTTTTTTGAGCGGTGCTGACCGGGTTCTCTGAGCAGTGAACACAAACTTTCCCATTTTGGCAACCTGATCCACAAAAAACAGATATGTTATTTAAATATTTGTCAATATTTTACTTCTTTTTAAATTTACAAAGCAGTTTTAGACATTTTATTTAAAAACTGTGTCAACTTCTGTGTGAAAATCTACTATAAAGTAATTAAGTTTGGGCAATACAACAAAGAAAACACCAAAAGAAAAATATATATATTTACCACAGTCCTTGGAACAGCGCAGTTCTCCATCGTCACAAGAGCTGCAAACACAGTACTTAGTTGAGAAATGACACAGCTTTGCATAAGTACATTACATGTTGAGAATACCATAACAGGTGTAAATTTGTGTCGGTAGAGTCGAGTATTTTTTCCTTGGCTGATGGGAATAACTGGAGATTCTTCATGCGTCACCATTCAATAACAATGGTATGAGGCAATAACTTTTGACTCTCTTAAAAAAAAAATGTCCACCAAATTTCATGAGAGTATGCCCCCTATGGTCAGTAGTTGAATTGTGAAAAAAATATATATATCAGAGGGTTGGTGGATTTTATTGTTTGGGACAGACATGTATCCATTTTATTGTCTCTAAAGCGCAAAGATAATTACTATTAATCGCTCAGATTGAGCTGTCCATGTCACTCGGCCATGATACTGAAATCGCAACAGCGCCACCAGCGCTGTTCACTGATGTCATTTTTTTTTTTTTTTTAAAAAGGAAAAAAAAGTGTCATTTTTACATGCGCCACCTCACCTAGAGTATTTTATTAAATGTGTGCAAAGACCTTTGTTGCGGGGTTCTCGCTCAAACAATCACAATATAGTGGAAAAACACAGGCGTAGTGGAAAACACGGTGATGGTGATCGGATTTAGCCGGCCTTCCAAGGTGCAGTGCAAAAAACTTTACAAAAGTACAAAAATTAAGGGTTGAATACCATTTACAAAATGTACAAGGTAAAAAAGGAAAATGCCAACAAGTCAAAAGTTTTACTATAACTCAAGATTCTCAAGAGAAAAAAAAACAGAAACACAGCAGCACTACTAAAGTCAGTTTGCAGTTACCTTCCATAAAACTTTTTCTTCTTGTTGTTTTACGGCCACCTACCATGCAAGAGTGTGAGCGTAGGTCCCTAATCCCATTAGAAAATAAATTCATTTTTACTTTAAACTAAATTCTGTTCATTAGTTCTGTTTGTTTTAAAAACTCAAACATTGCTTTACACTCTCCTTTTCCCAGACTAGATAGATTCTTAAGGTTCAAAACTCTCATTCTACTTTCCTGTAGTTTCCTCAAAAGACCTTCCAGACAACAAACTCCAGACTCATAGAAAGAGAGGCGCAGGAAGCCGTCTTTTAAACCCCTCTAGCCCCTCCCAGTAGTTTGGAAAAAAAGAAAAAAAAAATGTATTCACATTTTATTTTATTTATATTTATATTTTAACCATTTTTAACCTTCATACTTTTTCTGTAAGTTTTTGCCATTTTAACTCAGTTTTTACACAAATCAATGAAGCATTAATTTTTAGGGATTCATGGTAAATAACAAGGGAATTAATTTTTCTTGCATCATGTGACCACTTTGAGCCGCCATACCCACCTATTTTACACCCGGAAGTCACGCGCTCTGTTTCTCAATTGGAAACACGAGCCGGCATGATGGCGTGAAAGGACACCCGGCAGGTAAGTAGAAGGATAATTATCTGTGTGAATGTGTGTGTTGAGTTAACTGATAGAGCTCCAACCTTGGTTACCCATCCAACAGAAAAGGGAGAAGTAAAGTAGCGCTGTCTAGTGGGGAATTAGCGACGCTGGCGGGGAGGGAAATGTTTCCACGCGCTGCAGTCAGTGAGGACGCCGCTCCGTCTCACCCGTAAAACGTTAAAATTGCGGTAATATTGTAATATTTCCACATTCATTGACAGAAATGGCTCAAGAGATGGAAAGTTGGGAAGATCGTTTTTTAAGGGGGATGATTTTGACTACACTGCCCATGGTGCACGAATCTGCTAGCTACCAGAGTTTCGGAACAACGCATGCGCGAGTAGAATTGCGCTACTGGAGCAATGACGGTAACGAATCGGTTACTCCATTACAACAAAATCAATAGAAATATATTTTTACTGCCACAATTTACACCTCTCTCTGGGCGAAAATGAAATGATTCACTCAAATATAATTTTTACAATATTATTTTTTAATTTTCCATTTATTCTCTCAGCTCATGTCTCTCTGCAGCTCCTATTATCTTGGATACCTTGGATGGCAAATAGATAGTTTATTCATGTAAGTTAATAGGTACTTTACCATTAACAGGCAATGAAATTATGATTAATAATTTTCATTACTTATTAATGGACTATTTATTAAAGGTTTATAGAGGGTTTAAATATTGGTTGTAAAACATCTAGATTAAAATGTGTGTCAGAAGCACTTTGTAAATGGTTAATATTTGGTTTTTAAACCATCTATAAAAATTACTTAGATGGTTATTGTAAAGTTAGGGTTAGGATTAGGTTTTTAAAATCGTAAAAATTACAATTTATTAATGGTTTATATGCTATTTACAATTGATGATCAAACATTAATAAACTATCTGCTTACCATTTATAAAGGGTCTATTTACCACTTAGAAGTTATGGATATTGTAAAGTGTTACTGAAAGCTACTTAATATCACAGCTGGGCATGTTGCAGCAGTGTTAGGAGGACTTCCTTTTGGGTAGAAAGTTGGTAACAGCTTTTGCCATTAAGTAAAAATCATGAAAGGACAATACTCTGATCAACCCACCACTTTTGTCCATCGATGATAACAGGTCCAGGAGCTGTTGAGCCATTTTGGTGAAAACAATTGCATTCAGCCTTGGGTGTACAGACATGTCCTTGGTTCAGATGAGTCCCCTCTGGGCAGCCGCAGCCCTCCACTGGTTCATCATCCAGTCCACAGCGAGGGTCGAGGCTAGACAGTGAACGGCATGTACGGTTGCAGGAGTGGATGTTGTAGGAGAACTCTTGGTTGTTTTGGCATTTAACGGCTAAAACACAACATGATTAATGATTACTGATTTAATATGGCGGTCATTAACAGTTCCTCTTTTCAAGACTCTAGGCGCAAATACATCCTGTCTCAAACATTTCATATCAACCATGAAAAAACAAGTTAACCGATGAACAACTCAAAGTTGGGCTTTTTGGACCTGTTGTTTTGAATATCACTTAATTTGTCAATATCAGAGCCGTTATCCGATCCATATATCAGATCGGTGCATCCCTAATCTGAATATATTCAACATGAACTCACTGCAGTTGGTCACTTTCCGCCAGTCACCAACGTCAACACCCAGACTGGAGCAGGCTTTGACATAACTGCCCAGGGCCGCACACAAGCACTGCTGCAAGTTGCCCTCACAGTTGCAGGTTCTTTGGATGCAGGTCTAGAATTAAAAGCCTAAACTGAGATAATTCATCAAAACCAAAACTTAAGAATGTAACTTTAGTGTGACAAGCTGTTACCGTGTAGTAGTAGTCAGTTGGGATATGAGCGTGGCACTCAGCAAATATGCCATTCTGGTCATTCAGCAAAGAGCACTTTTCAGTAGCAAATATTTCTGCAAAACAAAAAACACAAAAACCTGCAAATTCAAGTACTGAATTCTTTACAGAGCTTTATTCTACAAATGATTGAGAATAAGCTTAAGTGAATAATATCACCACTTCGGAGCACTTTTGTGTGTTAAAAGGTACCGTTGTCTGTTTTGATGCAGGTGGGGGGTATGTTCGGCGCACAAGCACCAACACTCCAGGAAACAGCAAAGGGCTGAGGTGAGTTTTCCACAATCCCACTACTGGTGGTGAAATCGTCTGTGGTGTCATTGTTGTTATTGCCACAAAGACCTGAAACACACCAAATTATGAAGAAATATCAAACTTTGTATTTTTCAGAACTTTTTCATAGTCTTTAAAGGCTTAAATAAATTACATCTTTAAATAAAGGATGCTGAAGCCATAGTTTTTTTTTTTTAAATCCTTACCAGAGATCACCCCGGTGTGGTTTCCAGGTGGTGTGATGTACAGCTGAATTTCAGGAGACATCTGGATTTCGATGTTGACTCCCAAGGACGTTTGCACCTGAATATACATGGAGGACTGCCAGAACACCAGAGCATGATCTGAAACGATACAAAGGAAGGTGAGTGACTCAGTGGGTGACTTAGTTAGCTAACATCAGTGGATGGCTTTACTGCTTGACCTTTATATTAAAGCTACGGTAAAGAACTTATGGTTTGTGTGGATATCGGTGATACCTCTTATCTGCTGTCTCATCCTGTTACTTTTTAATGTTGAATTTTACTCAAAGTCATAAAGAGTCCATATTATTATTTTCTAAACCAGTTAAAAACCCCTCATGGTGCCTTTAAGGACACCAACATAAGCCCATTGGACAAAATTTCTCTTATATCTACCAGACAGGTGGAGTTCAGTGATCTCCTCTTCTCCGACTTTAACCATGTTGGGTGAGAATGTGTATTTTTCCTGTATATACAAAACAGAAACAGTCCATTTCTTTTTCCACATTTGATAGAAAGTTTTTTTAAATAAAATTAAAACGTGACACATACCTGAAAAATCTGCAGTGTCACCGTTTTTAGAGAGGGTGCCTTCGCTGAAAACTTAACTAGGATTTTCCAGTTGAGACCCTTTAAAATCAATCAGAGTCATCAGTTTAAAAAAAAAAAAACTGTGGATGTCATTGGTTTATGTTTTATGTTAAATGTTGGAGATGACGGAAAATGTACCTGCGAGGCCACATAAGAACATTTACCGGGGACGGCGTACTGTTTGCCGTCGAATGTCGTCACAAAATACCCTTCAATCGAACATCTGGTCGCGCATAAGTTTTCTGAGCATAGCCATTTCCCACTGTCACACACGCTGTGGAGAAAAATTCGACGAAATTTTAGAAATATGAAATCATTAATAATCCACGACAAAATATCGACTCACCATGATTGACACTTGGTGCTGCGCGTGTCTCCAGGTGAATAACTCCTGCCGGCGAACTCACACGGACAGCTGGACACTCTCACACACTGAAATCCTTCTGCACGATCGTTGACCACCTTACCTTCAATGTAAAATATAGTCCAACTGATTATAATGCTCCTAACCGTGACTTAATATATAAGCAAAGAGGTGTTCGTCCATGTCAGATGAAGCTCACCCTCTGGGCAGACACAGGAGCTGATGAGATCCTCATCGGAGTATTTTGGGTTTGGTCTGGAGCAGCTGGGGACAAAGGCCTGACCCTGTTCTACATAATCGAGGTTTCCAGGACAGCTTGGTTTTGCTATAGAAACCCCAAAGAAACATTACATCAAATAAAGTATCCATTAAATCGATGTTATCAAAGGATATCTGTTTTTTAATACACCTACCACATTCAGTAACAGTTCTCCAAATGTCCCAGGCGAAGCTGTTGTTTCCACACTTCAAGATGACCTCTTTGAAGAAAGCGCAACTAATGTATTTGCTTCTTTCGTAGCTGTAGATGTTCTCGTCACAGAGCTGCATGTAATGGGGCATCTCAGCTTGAAGGCAATCCAGTGTGTAGGAAAAGAACTGTCTGCATTCCTGCAAACAGGGTCAGAGGAACCATCTCAAGCTCTGGGACAAAGACTTTAACAACATGTGTGTGTCTTTATGTCTGAGCTTACAGTATTCACAGTAGAGACAGGATCTCGGCTTTGACACGTGTCGTCAGCCAGCACACTCTCAGAGATCAGCTGCTGCATGTTACCTTAATAAGAAAATAACACTTTGGGGTTTTTGCCAAAGCTAGAGGAACTAATAAAAGGTTAACTTCATCATGCCTCACTTTGCTGTAATTACCAACATACCTTGGGTGCTTGGTTGTCCACACAGTCCGGTCATGTCAGTGCTCAGTTTCTGATCCAGCTCCACCTAGATGAAAAGTTTTTATAGTTTTTCTATAAAGTCAAATTACATCAAACACTCAGACTTACTCAGAATTATTATGTTCATAATGGTAATAATAATACATTTTATTTGTAGTGCCCTTTACATCCAGAGACCTCAAAGGGCTACATGTTAAAAGCAAGGAAATATAAAAAGACGTTATTGGTAAAAACAAGAGAAACATCTCATTAAAGGAAAAATAAATGCGAGATAAGCAGGTTGTTCTGCTGTTAGTATAGAAAAGTATGTAAAGTGTGTGTCCTCTCACCCACACTGTGTCTATTCCTCCAGGTACGTTGTGCCAGGTGATGGACAGAGGAAGCAGGGAGCTCCTCAGTTTGGTGTAGATGCCATAGTAGAAGATGTGCTGGTAGGTGTGATCGTATGGGAGGGAAACCCTGGGAACACAATGCAGTAGTGTGTATATTTAATGCAAATCACATAGGAATTGTGAATATTCATAGAAATATGTGGATTTTATATTAAAAAGAAGAGGCTGATTATGTGTGTTATCATGTTAAAAAACTAGCATGTCTTTTTGTGGGATGATATTATCTTAAAAAATCATTATCCTGACTCCTGGTCAACCAAAAACCTTCTCACCTCGTTAACTCTGAAAAGGACAGGCACAACGATCAAACCAGTGAGGTGTTAAGGGTTCGAGGTCACCTTGCAGATTGTTAAGTAAGAAAATGATGCTCTGCATGTTTTGATTTACTTCAACCGAAGAGACAAACCATTTCAGTTCACACTTCACCAGATCCAAAGCCAATAATCAACTAAAGTCAATGACATTAATGCAAACCACATGGAGAACTGGGTCAGTGTGGTTACAACCTGTTGGTTTCTCATTATTAGATTTAAGACGGCATTAGGGCGTGTCAAGGCGAGGCTCAAACCTTTTCCCCTCCACCAGGATGCTGCCGTTCTGTAGAACAGTCCGGATTCTATTCATGATGATCTCCACTCGAACCAGAAGCCCGCTGTCATCTCGGCGCGTGGTGATATCGCACTCCACTCGGTTGTGGGTGAAGCGGGTGAGGGTGAACTGGCAATTAGACCGCACGTAAAAACTCGAGCCATTGAACGGCTGAACGACACCACTGCCGAATGTCCTGCAAGTGTCTGATCACGACAGGAAGAGAAATGAAATGAGTTATCCTTAACTATTTTAGCAGATTGAATTAATCTCATAATGAAGAAATTCTGTTAGACTGAAGAACAGCAGCATCAGCTTTGAATCAATCTAACATCACAGTTTGACCAGCTATTAAACATCCCACTGAGCAATAGACGGTTATTTGACGTCTAGTTATTTTTTAGACCTAATTTCAACTGTCTTTAACCCGCTATTTGATAAGTATTTATTTCAAAAAGCAACTGTGAATTGCATTACTGATCTCCAAGTACTAAACCAAAACAATTGTGATAGCCGTTGAGCAATATACTGGTAGACCTCTGTTAGCTGGCTAGTGTAAACTCAGTCTAAATTTAGACGTCTGAAAACTTTCATTTTGACCTGTGGTACCCTGATTTTAGACCAGTCGTCTAGACTACATTTAGACGTCTATTAGGCCTCTTTTAGAACAAAATATGCTCACTGGGTTCTTGCATATAATCTTTAAAAACTAATCTAGCCCTTTAATGCCTGAAACCAAAAATTATGGCCAGAAAATTAATTTTTTTTAGCTGAAATGTTTCTTATACTTATTAATGAAAACCAAAAAAATCAAAATGTCCTTAAAATTTAACATATATACATTTTTTATCTCGTTTGATACATTAGATGTTTTTGGAAACTGATAAACAACAAGATGACATTTTTATCATTTATTGGACTGTATTAAGGTGTTTTTTTAGTAATTTGTTGATCGTATTGATTTGAGAGAAGCTTCATAAAAGTAAAAAAAAATAATAAGTGAAAAAAATAATAAATTACTCACCTTTATGAGTTTCTGTGACTGTGACAGATTCTCCTGTTCCCAAAACTGGAAGAAGATGTGAAGATTACAATTAGTGCCAAAAAGAAAACATGAAATAAAGTCTGGATATGGCAGAAATGTCATATTTTTGTTGTTATTTTTAGATTTGTAATGCATGGATGAATCATGTGATTGAAAAAGAGCATTTTTAATATCGAACGTAGAGTAAGCATGAAAATAAAAGACAGGTTTAATCGTCAAGCTCTAATCTATTTCAACAACCATGAAAACAATAGATAGTCCAAGATGCACGCAGAATGATCGAAAGCCCAACAGTGAATAAGAGTTTACAGCACCTGAGACCAGAGACAAGCACACAGCCAGCAGCCACTGCCTGGTTTTCATGCTGCCTGACGCTCTCTCGCAGGTCAGCCTAGGAGGAAGTGCCTGAACTACCCCTTCAGGGGCTTTTATACGCCGTATCCATGCACACAGGAACAAACCCCCCATATTTGTATGTGCGTGACGTTGTCTGATCAACCCACTTTGCGTTCACGGATTTCTGCACACATGCACTCTTAATGCTTTACAATAAAAAATACCAGGAAACCAGATACAGAAAACAAAATCAGATTAAATATTCAACTTGAAGGCATTCAGGTAGAAACAGGTGAATGATTGCTCACTAAGACGTCTTAAATTGGAGCGTATAAGGAAATGTGTTAAGAGGGTAACTTAATAACCTCATTGATATATTATCCGTTATTTATGTGCCTGGATGAATCCTAAAACTTGACCTGCATTGATGTCTAAACTCGGTCAACAAGCAACCAAAATACCGCTACACGAGAGTCTGAAACTTGATCTTGTTCTTTCAAAGCTGCAGAAATACCAACACCTGCAGGACACATTTGTCACAAAGATGATGGGTAAAATATTTACTCCTCTGATGGGACAATTGGGGATGCTTACCTTTGGCAAACACTAGTGAGGCAGACAATACCCTGCCATTGAACAGAGGACAAATTGATCGATGAGTGAGTCGAAAATAAGGCTCGGTAAATGACCAGGGTGCATGAACCAGGATGTAGTTGGTTAATTTTCAATTTGAGAGCTGAGGGAAAGTACCACTCGGAGTTCTTTGCTCAGATTTCCTGTAAAGATAATTCCTATTCTTAACGCATTAAATACTTAAGGCTCAAATTACAACAAGCCTCTTAAATTATACCGATGTGGTTACAAAAAAAAGGATCTTGGAAACAATAAAGAAGCACACAGACGAAAATAAGGTTTTGGCCTAAATAATCTCTTGATAATGCCGACCATCTCTGCTAAAAATCCCCTAGATCCTTAGTTGAACCCTCTGAGCAATAGACAGCTATTAGATGTTTAGTTTTTTTTTCATTTTCAACCGTCTAGATCAGGAGTGGGCAATTAATTACCTCCGCCAAGGAGGTTATGTTTTTGTTAGCGTTTGTTTGTTTGTGAGTTTGTTTGTCTGTTAGCAACTTTACAGAGAAAGTAACAGACGGATTGACCTGAAATTTTCACCAGGGCAAATTTTGGAATTTTTGCATTTAACTCTATAAAAATGTCCAGAGTCTTTAGTAAAAAAAATACACAAAAGGATCTCAATGAGTTTTATGAGGTGTCAAAGGTTGATCCTGATCCAAACATAATTCTGGATACTGCTGAAAGATAACCAATGGGCGGCACAGTGGTGCAGTGGTTAGCAATGTCGCTTCACAGCAAGCAGGTCCTGGGTTCAAATCCAGGTCAGGGAATTTCTTGTTTTAGGAACATTATGAACAGTGAACATACCAGTTTAAACACAAATAAACGTTAATAAAAGACACGTAACAGTAAAAGTTTTGGTGTGAATCACAATATAAGGGGGGACATGAGCTGCTTGGCGGAGGTCTGCGCTCTCCGAGTGCTTTTCGAGTGAAGAGATGATTTAGGCCAAATCTCATTTTCGTCAAAAAATGACAGGGCATGATATTAATAGGGTGACGATAAGTAACATTTTTATTGCATATAGCTAAATTATAAAGTCACCTTTAACAACCGTGATAAATCGGACTTCTATTTCTCTTTTTATGCATGCTAAGTGCATTTATAGTACATTTCTATTAATTTTCACAGCACTTTGCATTGATGTTACGGTAAGTTGACTGTCATATCAGCAACAGAGCTTAGTATTTCTAATATAGCACTGTCTTAAAGGTTTGTGAAAATGACTTGTTTCTGTAAACCACCCATGCAGTCCACACTTCTCTCACAAATGAGCTCCCAGGGGTGATTTTTTTCTATTTATTAACAAGTATTTTTACTGCCTTGTAAGTTTGTATGCCCTCCTCGCTGTGTTTTGCCATATATGTCATGCTTCAGAGATGTAATGTCACACGGGTGAGAACCAACCTGGGAGTATATAGTGAACAAATTCTGACGCTCTATTGATCAGAGTATTGGGATTACATAAGCAGATGGGAGACAGATGTTCAGGCGTTTACAAGAAGCGAACATGACCACATGTATGTTATGTTCTTCACTGAATTTTTGCTCCAACTTATACAAAATTGTCAAAAGATTTGTCGATTACTCTTAAAGCTCTGCTGCTAAAACAAAGCGTACCACTGAGTGTACAGGAAACATGTCGTATTGCTCTCTTCTCTCACTAATGGACTCACTCATGAGCCATTATCAGCTTGTTTTTGTTCTCCGCCTTGTGACACCGCTGTCCACAAATTGATCCCCCTCCACACATGAGTGCATTTACAACCATGTCATTTCTCCTGTTGACAGCCACGGTTCATGTTTACGAAGAAAAATGGTTCTTCCCTTTTAGCTTGTTCAGGATCGGAGAGGAGAGGCATTGGCTGAGTTTTCCTGGAAAGCTTTTATCTTTCTTCAAATGATTAGCAGAGCGAAGCCTCTTCATCTGTTTTGAACAGTGGCTCAATAGAATCATGTCAGCCTTTAACCTTCCTCCTGTGTCAGTTTTTACCATGCACCCACCATGTTGAGGGTCGATTTTGACCCGTGTCTTAAATCAGCTGTAAATTACACCAAAAACAATTCTCTATCATCCAATTTGGTTCTCATCTGTAGGTTACCTTGTTAGGCTTCATTATCCATTAAAATATTACTGTTTTTGTAGTGGGCCTTTTTTGTCAGTAGTGTTGTTTCTGTAGCTCTATTTTATTAATTACACGAGTCAAGAAATGTGCAGCAGAGATCTCTGGGTTCAAAATTAGTTCATCCTTCCAAACAGACAACTTGGAGGTCTGAGCGCTTCAGAACCAAGACTAACGTTTTCTTGAACCCTTTATAGTAGAAGATCCGCCTATCTAGACAAAGAGTTTCCTATACTTGATGTTGTCTTCGTGTGTAGGCTGGTTCATGTCTCTTCTTCACCTCTTGTATAGATGGGTCCAGGTGTTTACCTAATAAGGAGTTTTGTTATGCGTTCAACACTCATCTCTAACACGCACGCATTCAATCATACAGCTTGCGTTTGCTGGGCACATGTCCTAAGAAAGCTTAATGGCAAGTATCATAGACAAATAAATATCACCCCCCCAAGTTTCATAACCTTTCTTTTGAAGAAGTACAAACCGCAAAGCACCCTCTGAGTCTGCACACTTACTTTTTCATATGTCTGAGTACAACTTCCTTAAAAAAACAGCAGGCAAACATCTTTATTCATAACAAGACACCTTACCTACCAACAATCAAGAAAGGCCAAAGCTAAAACCGTCATACTATAGACTAAGGATGCCTCGCCCAGGTTCACACTATAAAAAATGGAAGGTCCATACAATGATCATTTTGACAAGCTTTACTGGTTACAGATCTGGGTTACAGCTTCATCATGCCACAAGTGTAACAAAGACTGGTCTGCGACTGTTCAAGTATATGTAGTCGTCCACATTTCTAAACATACTGATGACATTTAGTGGACCTTAAGCAAAATCTATGTACGGTAAGAACAAATAACACATTTTAAGGAGCTTTAGGTGAACATATGGAGGGTCCATAGAAGGAAATACCATGACAGAACATATTTGGGGACCTGTGTGATGTAAAACATGGGTACAAGGTCCTTGTTGAGTCTAACACTGAAGTATCTGAGGTATCTGAGTGACACAGCTCCACCACTCTAAAGAAACTCATCCTAACAGTGATCTACAGCCTCCCTGGAGCTTTTATCCTTCTTCCTGTCATCCATCAGTACATGACTGCCATGAGCACAGTCGTTCATTCTTTATGCAGCTTCGTCAAATCATCTCCAAATTATATATTTGAACAATTCCCATCTTATAGAAAGTGTAGAAATAGTAGGTCTCTTATAAGGTGGCTCACAGAAACCTGAACCTGTAATGCATGGGTTAGTCCTGCAGGGGGCAGTCGTTTCACTTCTAAACCAAAGCAGTTTTGGGAATTTGAGAAATGTGGACTTTTCTTCTCAAAACCAAAACAGAAATCTTCGCCTACTTTTCATTTGACACCCTCTTTTCTCTCTATTGTTGAGAATTTGTAGACACAGTTTTGATTGATCACTAGTTTCCTCTTGATGAATTAACCACTGGAGTAGCCTCAAACACACACTGTGATGCTGGTAAATCAGCTCTACTCTATATTATCAGTTTGATGTTCTTCCTGCTGAATGCAATCTTCATAAATCCGCCTCCATGATATTGTGGCAGACTAATAACTCACCATTACTGTCCTCACTACAGCATCACGTTTCCAATACAAGAGTCTTTGCGTCATGTCGACGCTGGTGGTGACGAGCTGCTCCACTCCACTCCTCCTATCTCACCTTTTCCTCCCCACTCTTCTCCAACTCTCTCATCAGGACCACGGAGATGTAAACACGGATACAAACAAGGCTGAGGAACTTTTATTCAGCAGCCTGTCTGACACTTTGGTCCTGGGTTTGAGTAGCCAAGGCGTTTAGTAGCAATAAAAGCAGAGAGGGAAGAGAGAGGGCGCGTTAGTTTAGTGGGTGAGTGTGTTTTTTTCTTTTCTTTTTTTCTTTACAAAGCGCCAAAAACAACTCAGTAGTCCTTTTTATTGTGTTTCCCATATGTCGCGAAAGCAGGTCGACCATGACTACAATCTCCGTAGTATGAGCAACCTGATGGGCGAGCGGTGGAAGAAAGTGAACGATGGTGGAGAGCGGAGTCTCATCAAAGCTCCGTCCAACGCCAGCGTCAACAGCCAGGGCGCCTCCACCACCGCCGCGGCGGGGGCTTCCGCCGCCAGCGCTCCGCCGGCACCCCCTACCAACACCGGGGACCTGGAGAGGGCTGCGCGCAAACAGTTCCAGCAAGATGTCACACCCGGTTTCGTCTACGTCCTCGCCGCCTTCTCCGCTCTGGGAGGGTTCCTGTTCGGCTACGACACCGGGGTGATCTCCGGGGCGATGCTTCTGCTCAAGAGGGAGCTGGACCTGAGCGCACTGTGGCAGGAGGTGCTCATATCAAGTACTGTGGCCGCGGCCGCCCTCTCAGCCCTAGTGGGTGGTTTCCTCAACGGGCTGTTCGGGCGGAGGGTGTGCATACTGTTGGCCAGCTTCTTCTTCACCGTCGGGGGGATCGTGCTGAGCTCTGCGCCCAGCAAGGAGGTGCTCTTGGCGGGGAGGCTCATAGTCGGAGTTGGGCTGGGTAAGAAATGTGTTGAGAATGCCATCCAACATTAAGAGAATCATCTATCCTCTTTCTTTTAAACATGCTTCTCTTACCATCATTGCTCTTAAAACTTGGTTCAGCTCCAAACTTAAATAACCAACACAAGTTTTCATTTTGGAAATAATCTCACCTCTTTAGTAGACCACATTCCCTTTTTTTGTGTGTTTGCACATTATCATCACAATTAGAGCTGCCCTCTATCCCTTATTAAATGGGTTTGCTTGTTGCTGCCACTGTCTCACGCTGTCTTTTCCAATCCCTGCTTCAAACCTGCTATTTGCAATTACACACAGCTTCTAATCACAGTGTGTCCACTGTTTAAACTTACATTAGTGTTGTGTCATTCGCAAACGATTCGTGCGAAAGAACCAAATCTTTTAAGTGAACGTACTGAACTGAAACGCTTCCTCAATTAATTGGTTCGTTTCTCACTTGAGTTGAGCTGTCAGAAGCGCAGCTGCTATAGCACGCAGCATTGCCAGGCGAACGAGGGGCTGCGTGCACCAACGCCTGAATCACGTAATCATGTAAATGAATCACGCATGGAACTACACTCTCTGGAATCATTTTTGTCTGACAAAACTACCTTTTTTTTTTTTCTGCTTGCAACTTGCATACAATAGGACACAGCATGTAAAAAGTAGTGCATAAAACCTGCAGCATCCTATCATTGCAGTGTTTGGGAGTGAACGGTGCATGTTCAGTGTGAATTTCTCTAAACGTTCAGTGAACGAATCACTCACTGAGCCCGATTTACCGAGCAGACCTGATAATTAGCATACCATAGGACAGTACACTTAAATATCATGACTTATAACCAAGTTCATTTTTACAAACCTGTTTGTCAAAGCAACACAGCCAAACACTCTTGTCTCCGTTCAGTTGTGTATCAGTTCAGGAGGTCGGAGTCGGAGGCTTCTCCCAACAAGCGCAACATGATTCGGTGATTTGGTGAACGAATCTTTTGAACGAATCATTTAAGTGAACTGATTCTAGCGATTCAGTACATCTAAGAGAACTGCTGTTCCCATCACTAACTTACATGCCTGCTGTTGCAAAGCTTTATTATTATCAATGGGGATATCATTCACTTTATTCACATAAACCATAGAACAGATAGAAAGACGAAGGAAACTTTTAGTGTCACTTTTATAAACACTGATGTCGAGGGTTGCAAAGGGGCAGAAAATTTCCAGTAAATTTCCAGAAACTTTCCATTGGAAGTTAAGCTGCTGGGGAATTTTGGAAATCCTCCAAATTGGAAACTGTAGAATAAAATAACAAAAAAGCTTGTAAAAACACTAATGCGATGGCATGAACAGAAATATAGTCGGCTAAACAACTGGAATGGTCTTCAAAATATTTGACAATTGAAGTATAAATTATTGTACGGTTACAGAAAACTGTCTCGCAGGAGTGAGAAGAAACAGCATCACATTTGAGGTAGCTACCACCACCATAATAACCTAGCCCCTTAAATAGTCGATTTCCGACTTTGAAAACTCCCAGAATTTTGCAACCCAACTGATGTCTCATTGGCTTTCCTTCTTTCTGCTTCCTCCTCTTCTCTACTATTTCCTTTCCTCTCTCGAATCCTGCCTCTTTGTGGCTGCTCCTTCCTTCCTCCGCACTCTGCATGCTTTTACATGCGACACTCCTTTTTGATCAGAACTCAGTGTACCCCAAATCATTTACGCGGGCTGCTGTTAGTACATGACTCACATCCTTTGAGGCTTTCCGGGCTAAGTGCCACGCTGATGGCACACGTCTGCTGCATCCTTTTGAGGATAGTAAGAGCTCAGAGCGGCGATACCTGGAGGAATCGCGAGCCATTTGCTTACCACTGGGATGGGAGTGAAAGCCCGGTTCTTAGATAAAAAGTACTCCACGTTTACTTTAGATCAAAGCTGTTAAATACAGATATTTGGATCTATTCAGGATCAGACATCTTTACAAATACTGATGGTTTTGATGTAAGTTAGTGAGTCAAACTTTGATAATTTGGCATGCTGATAAATGATAAAAAAACCCACTTTCAAAACTTTTCTCCCCACTCTTGTCACTGGTATATAAGGTTATGTTAAGGTCTTGAGATTGTACCAAAAGTCACTGTAGAAACTGCAGAATCAACTTGTTGCCCACCCTATAAAACATTAACGCTTAATAAGGTCAACAATAACAGAAGATTTCTAATTGTGGTTGTAATCCCTCTCATACACTCTTCCCTTTCACTCAAGCGTGCAGACAGGCCCTCACAGATAATGAAACACATTGCGGTACTAACTGTACCAGACACTAATGAGGCAACATTTTTCATCGCATGCAATTATTCCAGACGTGCCGCATGCACACTCCCATTATCATGACCGACCTCTCTCTCTCTCCGCAGAGCCAAGTCACTTAGCATTTCTGACCTGAACTTGCCTTGAAGGTTATCAGTGGCTATTTGTCAAACCAGAGAAAGGCCATCCACCACCACCAAGTCCAGCCGGCCTGTATTTCTGTCCAAGAAGCCTGTGGTTTGTCTGCTCCTGCCTGGTTATTGTTGATCTGACCTTTGGCTGAGCACAGGCCCTGTTGTGAGGTACCAGCCATGGCTTGTCTGGGCAAACAGACAGTATTGAACCAGGTCTGAAAAGGGTTTATGGCCTAATTTCTTTACTTCATTTGTTTAAAGACATTTATGAAAGAGACACAAATTCATATTGATGCTTTTTTATGGTATCCCAAAGCAGACAAGACCACGGCCAAGTAGCTGGGTACCTAAAACTGCTGATCCTTAATAGTGATGGCTAGGGGTGTCCAGATACAACTTTTTTACCTCTGATACGATACTGATATTGTAGTCTTCAGTATTGGTTGACACGGATATTGATCCGATATTGGCACAAACTTGTGCATGACAAGTTTTGCACTCACTCACTGCACAATGCAGTGTCGAAATGACATCTATTTAAAGTATTTTTTCGACGATAAGGTACAAATGTGGACGTCATTTCAACGTCTTTAAAGAGGTCCAATAATGACGTCTAAATCTTGGATCCATTTTGCACATTGTGCCAATGTCTAGATTTGGTCTACAGATGACGTCCAAATTCTAAACGTGAGAGCGACGTCTAAAAAAAGGTCCAATTTGGACGTTGAAAGTTCTAACCTATTTTGCACGTCGCACTGATGTCTAGATGTGGTCTTTGACGGATAACTGATGTTGCTTTTCTTTTTGGCAACAAGTCTTCATTTTCAGTGGTTTCCTCTTGTTCGTTGCTCATTTTGCAATCGTTGTTGTAACCGCAAAACACACACTGCTTATCGTAAAGATACGATTTTAAACCCATACAATTCTTATTTGTGGGGCTGAACAGTGATGAGTTATGTTCCCAAAGTAATTCTCGGCAGGCATGGGTTTCTGGGCACAATGCCGGAGGCGCCAGCCACTCACTCCATGTGCAGGGGCGTGGTTTCCTCCTCTGATTTTGATTGCCAACTGAGTAAAGAAGGAATGTGATTGGTGGATCACTGCACAGCACATGCAGAGTCACATGTAGTGTATCTCAGTCAGCTACCCTGAAATTAGATGAGTTCATTTGCCTCGGACATCGCAGGCTCTGCAGTGTGACTATCGCGCACACATACATCACAATGACGATGCTCAAACGATATATCGTGCAGCTCTCATCAATATCGTGTCAGGCCAGCTCTAGTGATGGCGTCTTACCATCAATGTATAAATATGATGTGGTCTCGTGACTGTGTAGGAGTACATTTCCCACGTCTTACTGTGATTCTTTGCTGTTTTGACTCATTTTTATTACGGTTTGAAGAGTTTTGAGTTGATTTGTTCAGCTAATTAAACCTCCCAGTGGTGCTTGTGGCATAATTGATCTTTGAAAGTTTCATGATAATTAGATAAAAGCAGTGGAGTAGACATTCAGGTACAGCTCGTCAGGGTTGGCAGTGCAACTCTTGGCAGTACTTTGGAGGGGAAATTAGTATTTTGATTGAAAGGGTTGACTCGAACGATGAGTGTTTTTTCTTAGAAATAATCTGACCTGTGCCTTCAGCAAGTGTTACTTATTATTTACTCACATATCTACCCTCACAGTTGGAGTATAATCAGGTTTTCTGGATTGGTAATTGAGCTGTGGCGAGTTTTGATTTGTTCTGTCCTTGGATACAGTAGATGAAGGCACTGTGTAAAAATAGTGAAGCTAATTACATTTTAATAACATTTAATTATACCTGGAGGCTTCGTGATTAAACTGTTGGTTTGTATGATTAAGTTGCATTTGTAGATGAAAAGTGAAGCGTATTTTTGTGCGGATTTAACCGTTTGGAAAACAAGCAACAGCTTTATCACAGGAAGTCCTCTTTTTCTCACCCTGTGTCATCAGCGGTCCTCCATTAGCCTCTAATTCGCCTCCTCCATCACAACCATCGACTCTGTTCCTTGACTTCATCACAGTGATGGAGGGTCTTGTGAAGTATCTCCCTCATACTCTGATTGAGTTAGCCAGCGCTGAGCTTTGAGTGCCTCCAGGCCGCCTTCATAAGACCAGACGTATTCTTTGTTCAAGTGGTCAGAGCCTGACTTTAGAGAGTGTGTGTTTCTGTGTGTGTGTTTCTGTGTGTGTTTAGTGTGTGTTTGATGGAGGGAGTGCTGGGAACTGTCCCTGGTGCTGAAAGAAGGAGAGCTCATTAACAAGAAAGGGAAAACCACATCTGTGTTTGTAAAGGATTCTTGCTTAAGTTGGTAAGTAAGCAGGTAATTTCATCTGTTTTAAGTTAGGTTTAAGAGAAATATGATTATACAGAGTAGAGCCATTTGTATTAGAGGATTTATCTGAGCTGTAGATATGTCTCTTTTACAGCTAAACAGATGAGAGTAATTCTGTTTCATCTTGTCTCAAATTTCTCAGCTGAGTTTAGTCCAGCACTTAAATAAGTTAAAGTAAAATTCTGATTCATTCAAACCTGCCTTTTATTCTCTAATTCTTGGCTTTTCAGGTCATGAGTTTGTACTTTTTGCTTTTGTTGAAAGGATCCAGAAGAAATTCCAAATAACTTTTTTAAATATATTTTAGTTCTTCAAATTTTTTGTTTTTTACAGTTTTAACATTTTTGTCCTGTTGAAAGTAAACACAGTCTTCTTAAGTAATCATTTCTTTTTATACAGACGATACTTGAACAGATGCAGAAAGAGAGGGGATTCATAAAGGAAGATGATTAACCTAACCCTAACCCTAATCCTAATCCCAGTCCTCAGCAAAGTCACTATTGTTAACGAAAACTAATGAAATGACGAAAACTAGAATTGAAAAAACACAAATAAATAAAAACTATAATTAAAAGAAAAAAAAACAATAACTAACTGAAACTGTATAATGTGTTTACAAAACTAACTAAAATGTATTGAAATTATAGACTGTGTGAGTGAGGCGTACAAAGATTGCGTAGCTAACCCGGGGATACACTGTTTGAGTTGAGCGTCATCACAGTGACTCTCGGCGACTCTCCCAGCGAGTTACTACACAAGTGGTGGTTCCAAGAAGTGGAGAAAATCCTGAAAATACAGAGAGCAGTTCGGCTTCAAAATTGTATAATGACAGAAGGCGGAGCCAAATTGTTGTCCATGAAAAATAGTGAAACTGTTTAAAGTATTTAAAGAATTAGCTAATAAACAATAAATCCACTTTAGCTGATGCAAAACTGACTGAGCAGAAAGACCGTGGAGACTTTCAGCCAATACAGAAGTAATATCCAAGAGCCAATATATTGATGCAACAGTGTCGAGTACTAACCTCTCCATTGACATGCTGTAGTATTAGCGTCAGCGAACCCAGACACATTTACCTCCTGCACCATAATGGGAAATGAAATGATCCATTACTCAAGAGCCTTCACGTGCCGCTGTTCTAACCACCTCCATGCATTACCATCAACCTCCTGTGCATGACTGTGAACACTTTATTTCTCTGCTCATGAGTTTGTCTGAGTCCCCCTATTGTGTTGTTTATGCAACGTTTATAAGTGTATTTATAAGTTTGTGTGGATTTGCAGCGTCTCACTCGCAGCATGTGTGATTTGGAAAGAGACAAGCTGCTGATACATATGGTTAAGATGCAAACAACAGGAGTGTGGTGGGCTGCATGAAGGGAATACATATAGAGGCATTGCAGATTTTTGTTTGGGTTAAGTGTGCTTTAATCTGTGCATATGTCCGCTTCATCCGAGCACGCAAACAGAGAGACGGTGGAACAGATTTCACGGCTTTTGATGTTTGCTGTCTTGAAATCATCAGTCCCTTTTTCTTCTCTATAGGAAAGTCTTGATGTAAGAGCTATCAGAGAGACAGTGCAACAAAGTCTCAGTTCTAGAGCCACTTGACCCAGATCAGCATATTCTAATAAGTATTTACCAGCGTCTCTATTCAAGGTCATGTTTTGTATCTGATGTGAGCTGCCTGTGTGAGTTTACCTCAGGACCACCTGTTTTTACCATAGACTGTATATACTATGGACAACTTGGCTCCACTTGTGTCATTATATGAATTTGAAGCTGAAAAGCTCTCAGTATTTCCGGGATTTTTTCAACTTCCTGGAACCACCACTTGGGCAGTAGCGTTGTACGCATTTGGCGGGAGAGTCGCTGTGATGCTACGCAATCTTTGTACGCCCATAGGCTGTATCAAGTGTCAATCATAGCAAACATAAACCCCCTGATAACTTTTAGAAATGGAGCCGTACAGAAAAAAAGAGGACTTGGGCACAAACCAGTCTTACTGTAACTACATGTCAACATCACAACCGAGGGAGTGAAAAATTTATATTCTGTGTTATAAATTTCTAAAGTTTGTCCACAGCTTCATAGAGATTGCTGGAAGAGGCGGGATTTATGACCTATACTGCAGCCCATCACCAGAGGGTGCTGTTCTCGGGGTGGCTTCACTCTGCAAGGAGGCAGACGGCGTGCATTCTATATACAGTCTATGGTTTTTGCCCTTTACATAATATTTAATCAAACTTTATTATCTGGTCACATGCCAGTGCAGCAGTGACAGATGGCTGCAGATGAGTCTGGTTCTGCTCAAGGTTTCTGCCTGTTAAAGGAAGTTTTTCCACTTTTTTTCCCAAACTTTGTGCATGCCTGTTCTTTTGTAAACCCAGATTGTTACAGGACTTTCAGATTCAGATTCAGACAACTTTATTAATCCCTAAAGGGCACTTCATCTCACAGTAACCCACCTTGTTATGAAACGATCAGGAACAGAGAAATGTCAGACATCCACTGCAGCATAAGGCCCAAACATTCCCCTTGTCAGCACCGCAATCAGCAATAAATAAACAGATGGATAATAAATACATGTGCAATACGTTCAACAGTGAAACGACTAAAATGCAATAAGAAATAATGCCATAAAAGACGTAAAATAAGAACTAAAACAATCCTGAGACCCCACTTTCAACACAGGCCACCAATCAGCTTCTGATCGCTGATCCAGAGACTTCTTGAACTCTCTTCAAAGTTTAGCTGTTTATGCTTCTGAGGTTCAGAGCAGACCGCTAACATCTCAGCTGAGTGAATAATTTGAACATCCAGAAAAAGTCTGACTTGACTAAACAAAGTCACAAAGGCTTAGTTTCTTCGTGTTTATCGTTTCGCAGCATCCATCGAAAGCTCGTGGAATGGGATGATTTCATTAAGCGTCATTTTCTTCAGCAGATAGGCTTCATGCCAAGAGCCGTAGATTAGATTATAGCCATGATCTGGATCTTGGATTTCCGTTGTTAGATGATTACCCTTTTTTTTAAGCCGTAGCCAAGATAAAGCTTTGAGTTGAAATCCTTGGGGTGTGTTTGTACGGACAAGAAATCAATTCAAATCAAGAAGAGGCAGCCTCGCCAGTCTTTGAGGACCTCTCCTCTGATCATCGAACAGGACGAGACTTAAAAACAGCAAAACCCAAAACGGATAAAAGCGTGGGGACTCCTTTAAGAAATGTGAATCTGCTTTAAAATGGTAATGACGGGGGGGATTTCCTTCGTAATAAAAGCTCCGCTCTCCTCCGTCTCACAAAGTAAACGAAAAAGAACATGCCCTCGGTTATTGATTTACCTTCCTGGAGCTGCCACAGTGTGGTGCCTGCTGGGAGACAGCGTGGCTAGTTTCCCAGCAAGTGGTTACCATAGGAACAGGTAGCCACGTAGTCATGGCGGCCATTGAGGGCAGGATGTGTGGCAGTAGGGGAGGGGTGTAGAGAGAGCGGTATCGGACTATTAATAGAGCATATCAGAAGCCAGCTGCAGAAAGCAGAGGTCTCATGGCACCTCATCAGATACATCCTGGAAAAGCACTCACTGTTTGTTCTTTGTGTGTGTGTGTGTGTGTGAGAGTCATGTGACTGTGTGTGTGTGTGTGTGCATTTTTGGATGTATGTGCAGAGCCAATTTCTTAGCTGTGCCACATATTAGTTTGTGTCCCACATTCGGAGGCACTTTGGTGTCACTGTTACCGGTTTTAGAGTGAAACGCTGAAGTCGTTTTTTAGAAACATTTAATGATAGAAATTAGAGATAAATTAGGAAAGTGGTATACTCTGAATTAATGACCAAAAATCTTTGTTTTTTTGTGATTTTAAAGACATTATCTGAAGGTACATGTTTGAAAATGTAGTAATTCTAAACAAATCAGCATAACAGGAGAAGAGAGAGTAATTTTGTGCGCTTGTCAAAATACAGATTTCACAAACTCTAGTAGTCATGATGAGTTCTTGTCTGTTTAGTTTTCCCTTGTTTTGTGTTTTCATTCTTGGGGGTCAAGTCCAGCTCACTTCCAGTGTTTTCCCTCTTTTTTTAGTTATATTCAGACCTATGTATGTCTGGTGTCCCAGTTTGTACGAAGCCTCTGTATTTCCCTTCTTCTGAATCAGTTCACTGTGTCCGCTCCTCTTTGTTCCACTTTTCTCCTTTTGTTCTTCTCTTTGATTCCTCCTCTTGCTTCCTCCTGTTTTTTGATTGTTTTTCAGACTTTGTTTGAGTGAGTTTAGTCGGTCTTTTACCTTTTGATTATTAAATTCCTTCTGTTTGATCTGCACTCTGGCTCCTTTTCTTTGTTTGAGTATTTGATCGGTGACAACAGTGGTGGTGAACTTTGGTATTTTTCAACCTGGGCCTTATTTTCTCATGTTTTTTTGTTTGCGCTTGACTGACGAGGAGAATAATTGCTGAAATTAGTCCAGCATCGTCAAACTGCGTCCACTACAAGAGCTGTATTTCACCACTGACAGGCTAAGATTGTTTTCGCAGTCTCAAAAACAGATTGGCGAGGTTTTCCTTTGCTTTCATTTGTCTCGTTTGTGCAAAACCAAATCTCGTAGGTGGAAAAGTGTTGTTCTATCGTCTCGCAAGAAGACATCGATGGTTATCTTTGAGTTTGAACGAATGTGATAATTCATGTTTTTAAATAAACAGTGACTTCCTGAGTAAATTACAGTAAAATTCTGCTTTTTTAAAAGTAAATAAAAGGTGCCACTATCAAAACCGGAGATCTTCCACTAATGCTGCATCTCTCCGTCTTTTCTTGCTGTGTAGGTATCGCCTCCATGACGGTGCCGGTGTACATCGCTGAGGCTTCCCCTCCTCACCTCAGGGGTCAGCTGGTTACAGTCAACACCCTCTTCATCACCGGTGGACAGTTCACCGCCAGCCTCATCGACGGCGCCTTCAGTTACATGCAGCGAGACGGTTGGAGGTCAGACTCAGAGGCAAACACACAAACACGACCGCGAACGTGCCAAGAATACTGTCCCTCTGGAAACGGTATCACGTGTATCTGGACGAACCGATGCTGTAGATTCGACTTTTTTCTAAGGCTGCAGGGCCCCCGCTGTGTGTTTGATGGATGGTCGTGTATTAGATACGATAAGAGCGGACTTTCTTTGGCTTCTTATCATATCAAATGCCAGAAAAAGTCAGGCTGGCTCAGACCCTTAGTTAAAATGTCAACACATGCACAGGTCAATCCTTAGCATTTGCAGTGGCTGAACATATGAGACATGCACTCTGTCCGTCTGCCTGCCTGTCTGTCTGTCTGTCTTCTTCCTTATTTGTGACCCTCTTCGTTATTCCCGTCTTTATTGGCAGCTGTTCTTTCCTGCTGTCACACTGATATCAGGTTTGCACAGTCTAGGTTGTTTGAATGTCGAGCTGCAAGACGATGTCGATTAGATTCTCCCCCGTTTGCAGGGATTTGCTTCGACTACGCCTCTAATGGAGATAGTGAAAATTGTTTCCAAGCCCTCAGATTGATATGATTCATGCATGATAATGGATTTTCAGAGACATTTATTGAGTTTAGCATTTGAATGTTGCCTGATTGACGTCTTTTGCCTGTGTGGCGAGAGAAAAGCTTTGCAGATGTCTGCGTGTTCACTTCACTGAGATTTTATGGATTTCTTTTTCTGCTCTCTGGGGGAAAAACGGCAACCTGCTGTTCTTCCTCTTTTATTACTTCTAATACCAACATTCAGTCATAATTACAGTTTTTTTCTCTGTCTTCCAGCTCTTTTCTTACTTGTGTTCACACCTGATTACGTTTTAGATCTGCAGAGCCACCCTTTCATAGAAATATCTTAATCCTTCAGTTGTGAAGAGATGGCTATTTTTACTCCCAACAGGACATTTAAGTGACGCACTGCTGTTAGGGTTGAGGAATTAATTGTATTGTGTTTTTTTAATTTCAAACACCTCCTGATTACGTCTTCCTTTTGTACAACAAAGTCATTCTCGTGCAGGAAAATAAGGCAAGTTGAGTTTATCTGTAAAGCACCATTCATACACAAGGCAAGTCAAAGTGCTTTATGGATGCAAGGACAATACATACAAATAAGGGCATTAAAAACAATTTAAAATCTATAAGAAAAATTAGAATAATTTTTTTCGTTTGTTCTGTTTGCCCTGATTATTTATGAAAACCACCGTTTCCCAGAAAAACAAAATAAGTCATGAGCTTTCAGACCCGATGCTCCCCAGATTGTACTTAGTTTTCTCTTCGTCTTTCTCAGACGGTATTAGTTGTACTAGTTTTCTCATATCTGCTTTCTCTGGGGGGGATCCTGGATCTCTGTGGAGAACAGATCTGCAGAACTTGGTCTAACACCGCTACCAAACTTGGACATTTTCGCAGAGTATTCTTTCAGATTCAATTCTTAAGTCAAATGAATAATCTGTTGTTAATCCAGGCCTGCGTGCTCCGTGCTAATGTTAAAATAGCAACCTGAGAAACACTAGAGCGTCAAACACATATGGTATTTTAACCCTCACTTAAAATCACTCTTTAATCTAGGGCTGGGCGATATGGGAAAAAGTTTATCAGGATGTGTTTGTTTCATATCAGTCGATATCGATATGTATCACAATAAAAAAAATCAATTGTCAATCTTAAATGTTCCCTGTAGCTATTGCATCTGTGAGGTCTTTGTGTCTCTTCGACGTTTTGTCATAAGGCGTTGCACTCGAGAAGCGGACTGAATTGTCGTTTCAGCGTGGCGTGGACCCGGAGCAACTCCCCTTTTCATTGGCTATTCTTACAATCTACCAAAACATGGCAGAATGCCGGCAATCAAAAAGCATATTGACCATGTTTTACATCGATATCGAGGGAAATTTTTGATTTTATGTTTTATCACCCAGCCCTACTTTGAGCTATTGGCAATCTATATAAAACTAATCCAGACTTAGGTCCCCTTCTTCATTGACATTGTCTTGCAAGCTAACAAACGAAAATCCCTTTTCTTCTTAGAACTTTATTCTTTCTTCTCCTATCATGTTTTCTGCACACGTCCTTTGTGGTTGCTCTTTTCAGTGTCTCTCATCCTTCTGTTTTCAGGTACATGTTGGGTCTGTCCGTGCTCCCCGCCGTGCTTCAGTTCGTTGGGTTCCTTTTCCTGCCGGAGAGTCCTCGCTGGCTGATCCAGTGCGGGCTGACCCAGAAGGCCCGCCGTGTGCTCAGTCAGATTCGAGGAAACCAGAACATCGACGAGGAGTACGATAGCATCAAGAACAGCATCGACGAGGAGGAAAGTGGAGGAGGTAAGGGTGGTGGGGAGGGGAAGGAAGTAAAAGAGCAACAACATTCTTGTTCTTCTTCTTTATCCATGCAGTGGGTGGATGTTTGCTTTCTGCACACATCAGTTAAAGCTGCTCTATATCGTCTGCATCAGTTATTAGCTGCATTTTTATGTGCACTAGATTCAACCATGGCAAATGATTATGCATCAGGTTATAAATGTCTGCATTTGGCAGCAGTATATATGTTACGCCAAGAGTATTTGGCTGTTTGATAGTGTCAGAAATATCACAAATAAGCAGCAAAGGTGAGGAAGAATGAAACATACATTTTATCTTTTTCTGGGAAAAAATGGTAACTATCTAAGTGTGTTGAACTTGGATTTTAAGGGAGGAGGGAACATAAAGGGAATTATAATCAACCCTCGTCAGGACAGGAACATTAGAAAAGCTCCCAGCTAAGTCACACACACCTTACAGAGTGAAGGTGGCAGCCTCATTTTCAGTCACTTTGATGTCCTCGTCACTGAGGCTGATTAGACAGTTCATGCTTCTCTCCAGCTGTGTGATGAACTCCCTCTGTTTGCAGCAACAATAAGTCATTTGGATGCCCTGTTGCTTTCCCTCGGAGCTCCAGGGGCGACATTGGTGACCTGCCAATCAAACATAATGTGGCATGAAATCCTGGATTCGTTTTGAATCTGTTATTTGGAGCTTTTTGGGAAATGTTTTTTAATGCACAAGATGACTTTACGGCTCATATGATCATTTAAAAAACAGCTGCAGCAAAAAACATGTAAAGGACATCGAGTCCTGTGCAAAACTAAGGTGATTCATTGAAGCTATCTGCTCAAGACAGGCTACCTACTGTAGTGAAGCTTGTTTTTCAGTTGGTCAACTTGATGGACTTCTGTTTCCTTTTAAAGTATGGCTCTTCTCACCTCTACATCAGGCTGTGTCAGCTGTGCTCGTCCAGCCGACAAGAAAGCTGAGCTTAAAAATAAAGTTTATCCACAGTCTACCAGCTCCAGGAGGCCGAAAAGCTTATCAGCACTGACGTGTCTGAGCTTGAGTCAGTCGGTACGTTTACACACACAGCTTCATCGGACTAAGCTCATAATTCGTTCTTTTCGCCGACTTGGACTTCTCTCCTTGTCAGCCTAGATGCAGCTGAGAAAATCGAATAATTGACTTGAATGTGTCCCCCTCCCCAAAACTAGAGGGCGATACAGGTCTTTTCAGCGGCGCTGTTTCTGGCTGACCTCATATAACTGTCAACAACAACAGCAGGTCCGTGCCAGATGTCAGAAGTGTCTACAACTGCTGCTGGGCATTTTGGAGCAAGAAGATGGAGCATCGTACAGAGTTGTTTTTGTCGGCGTGGCACACGCACACATGCATTGTCCGATCATACTCCGACTACGCTGGTTACATGGTAGAGAAAATCTAATTCCAGTCATGTTATCTGGGTGTCTTAATCGGAAAACTCTAATCGGAGTCGGACTAAGGTGTTTACATGCACTTTAGTTGTCCAGTCTTAATCAGAGTAAGGCAATAATTTGGTTTTCATGAGTGTCATGGAAACGTGCTGAGTGACGCCTTGGTTCGTTGCCCTGTTTCTGCCGATCAAGGCGCAGTCTCTTTGGACAATCTGTTTTAAGTCCGCTCTAGCCTGCTTTTATAAAAATGCACATAACTGGTTTAAGAGATTCTGTAAAAACGGTTAAATCAGAATTTGTTGAGATTAGAAATGGTGTCCCCACAAGGCTCCGTCCAAGGTCCTGTTCTGTTTCGTCTTTTTAACACTGTTTCAGGTCGTAAAATTCAACTTTATGCAGATGATGTGATTTTGTATTGCACTGCTGTTTATGTCTTAAGGGTTGCTTCTCTGACCATAAATTGGTCTTACATGCAGAGAAACTTAATTTAGAGCCATAATAGTTCTGACTTGTAAATGAAGGCCTTGCTCTCAGTGATTTTCAAGTTTCAGTGAAGAATAATGACGCTCAGAGGAATGATTCATGGCCTGGATGATAACGGCTGCTTTACACACGTATCATTTCCGCTCTCAGCCGGTGAGTTAGAAGCAGACAGAAATATTTCCTTCGTCACGGTCAGTTATTATTCCCTGACCTTGAGTACATGATGGCTGCTGTCGAGAGGCTTAGCCAGGCTGAGCTGTTTTCAAGGAGGGTGTCAAAGTGATAGCTGCAAACCTTCCAGCGTGTATTTCTGTTGCTTCTACAACAAAATAAGAAAAGCAGCGAGTGCATGCTCGTGTGTTCCACAACCACAGTCTTGTAGGTGTTGGTGCGTAAATGTCCAATTTTAGCACATTTATACGCGTGTGTCCACAAAAACTAACACCCACTGATACCTACCAATATACCGAGCCAACTATTCACGCTTATTCTAGGTCGATTTTCTTTTTTGTTGAGCTCATTGTTGGCGTCAGCTGTCAGTGAGCAGAGCCTGATGGAAAAATGGAGGGAAAGAAAGCAGAAGGAGGAGAATTAGATGACAAACAGGTGGTGACAAGTTGGAAAACTAAAAGATTAGTGGAGAAGGGTTGGGCGAGAAAGAAGTAAGGGAAGGGAGCAGAGTCGAGGAGACGGGGATCCTCCTGCATCTAATCAACCTTGACAGCAGAGAACACCATGTCTCTGGAAGGAGTGACATACATAGCTCCTGTGGGACTGCGATGAAGAAGAGGCTCATTCTCACATCCACTAACACACACATGTAATCACAAACTGGTGTGTAAAAACACATCTTCAGCAGATTGTTTGTGTCTCTAATATCCAGCTCCTCTTGCTGCTGTTGTCTGTTGTGTGTAACAGCAGGGAGGCTCCTCACACTACCTGCCTATTATTTTGTAGCCAGCGGGCAATACTTCCTCTATATGTGAAATATGAGACTCAATACAGAGACGATGCTGCGGTTTGTTTTGGCACGAGAGTAAATCAGGCTCATAATCAAATCTTTACAGGTTCTAATCCAATGAGCTAGGGCTGCACGATTAATCGATTTTAAATCATAATTGGATTATTTAATTATGATAGTGTTAAAAAATTAAAATCTTCAAATCGATTTTCCTCTCTATCATGGGTCGCGCCTCCAGGCCACCGTAGGCTCCCCCTTCCTCGCGAGAGCACACACCAGTGTAAACAAACATGGCGTTTACATAAAAAGGCGGTAATTTTGTGGCTTAATAGGGCGAGAGAGCAAGTCAGTTGTGTGGAATTGGTACGGCTTTGCAGTTTTGGATGAAGAGAAAACCACTCTCTGCAGCAAAGTCTGTCTTAAAGCGGTATCAATCCGTCCACACGGAAATGAATTCAGGAGTAAACGCAAAAGTTTTTTTTTGTCATATCGGCGTTTCATCCACACGGAAACGGCGTCTCGAGTGGCTGTAAACGTTACTTTTGAAAACGGCTACGAGAATGCATAAATCTCTGTGTGGATGCCTATCTGCATCTTTCTCAAAACAATCATGTGACATACAGAATAACTCTTTTATGGCACAAAACAACCTTTATAAGCATGCTCTGTACTCTTCTTTTGTCTTTTGTGCACTTCTTTGGCAGCGTTACAGCGCCACTTATTGGCTTGGCATATGCGCTACATCTTTTTCGGTGGTTTCTTTTTGAGAGATGATAAAAAAACGTATTATTTAAGTGAAGTTTGGTGAATTTGTCACTGAATAAAAAGTCGAAAATTGGGTTTTCAGAAATGATGAATGAAAACCCAAATGAAAAATACTAATAATTATAATGCGAACTCAACATACCGAAAATAAGTAGGATGAAGCATTATGCTTTTTTTAAACCTACCCCTTCTCCTTTATTCAATAAACAGTCAGTCTACAGCATATTTACATTATATTAACAAAAAATAGAACATGAATAGAGTAAATAAGTACATTAATCATTTGTGAAAACACCCGGTAAGAACCATATTTTTCTACCGCTTTTTAAACTGAGTCATGCTTGGACAACACTTGAGCTTCACACCTGATCTAATCCACAACCTTACTCCACAAACAGAAACACAAAAACTTTTGGTAACGCTTTCGTTTATGGTACACTTATTACCAGGTAATTAACTGGTAATTACCTAGTAACAACATAAGATTATCTGGTAATTACATGATAACTACTAAGTCAATACTGTCTAGCTACCAGGTAGGTAACCTTCCATCATCATACAAATTTGAGGACGAATTGCTCTGATATTTCCAGGATTTTCCCCGCGTCCTGGAACCACCACTTGCGCAGTAGCATTGTACGCATTCGGAGGGTGAGTCGCTGTGATAATGCTCGGCTCAAACAGCGTATCGCTATGCAATCTTCGCACGCCCATAGGCTGTATCAAGCGTCAATCATAGAAAATAAGAACCCCAAATAGCTTTTGAAAATGGAGCTGCACAGAAAAAAGAAAAATAAGAGAAACTAGACAGTATTGACTTAGTAGTTATCATGTAATTACCTCATAATTTCATGTTGTTACCAGATAATTCCATATTGTGACTATGTAATTACCTGTTAATTACCTGGTAATAAGTGTACCATAAAAGAAAGGGTTACCAAACTTGGTAATGTTGTATGTGCCCGCTTATGCTTTAGGTTGAAGTCCCCCTTCTTTTGGATATGATCAAGATGGTGATAAAATGGAGTCTGTGGAGACCTCACAAAAGTCTAAAAAAGTCCTCATTATTCCCCTCAGATAGTCCAGCATTGTCAGCTTTCTGTCAAAGATATTGTTTCAGAGTTGTTACAAGCTTTCCTCTCCTGGTTCATGACTCGGCTTCAGCTCTAAAAACCTTCCTTTACTCCCTCAGTTCAGTCCCTACACTACAGAGATTGACAACATTGACCTTTGCACAACTTGTAGAAATATTGCTATCTGGAGTAATGTCAAATAATTGCCCGAACACGTCAAGATTGAAACGAAAACATCCAGGATGGCGATTCATTAATCTGTGTAAGACTGCCTATGCCTGTCATGAGACTGGATAGATCAAGAATTTTGCTAAAACACTCACACTTTTTCTACCGCACACAGCTGCAGATTAATTTTGTGTGAATAAAAATAAAAATCTGGCTGGAGGAAAATCTTTAATTAATACATCTCCCTTGTTATTCCCCGTCAAAAACAAAACCGCTGGCTAAATATCGCAGCTGTTGCTTCGGGTCTTCCTCTTTGATTAGCGCTGAAGCGGTAGGACAGCTGCAGACGTCCTTCACTCAGGCCGTTTTGAATAAATTTGAACAGTTCCCAAAAGTTCCTCTGCTCCGAGCATTAGTACATTAAAGACTTTTGATTAACCTCTTAAAGGTCCCCTATAATGGCATTTTTCATCAAGTTCAGATCAATCCCAGAGGTCCCACAATAGTAAATTTGAAGTTTGTTGTCTAAAACACCAGATTATTTGTGGATATCAGCCAGCCTGTACTCCCCTCTTTTTGAGCTCCACTGAGAACGGGCTGATTCTGCGCCTGTACCTTTAAATGATAATGAGCTGTGCGTAACCACGCCCCTCTCTGGAAGGGGCTGCGACTTTCGCTCCGATACCATGCGCTAATGTTTACAGCCTTTGCAGTGTAATGGTTCCAAGAATCGCTGTGGTTCAGCCCTACCAATCAGACCCAGAGGGAGAGGCTTCCGAAGAAAGTCAGATTTTGCGGCTACAACAGGACGTTTCTGAATGGTTGGTTACAAATATTATGCATCTTCATATTTGTCTTTTTACTTTGTTAGTGTGGTATGTTAAATTGCTAGGTCGGTTAGCTTCGAGGGGAGGCATATTATTGGTAGAAAACCGCCCAAAAGTAGATTTTTCATAATAGAGGACCTTTAACGATCCAACTGGGTGTGGCAAATGTGTTGCTATGCAGGATTCCTTTGAGACTCTGCAGCCTTGTTGTGTGTATTTCCTAACTAATGAGCCTCTATGTCAAAATAATGGTTGATGCATGATAAAGAAACTTGTTCACCCTACATGGTGCACTGGAATTTGTTTGTGCACACAGGTAGGAAACCTGACGTGGTGCGAAGCTGCAAAGGCGTGAACTTTCAACTGGAATTAAAGAGGTCGTCAAAGAGGGTGTTTGTGTTTTTATTTCCAGATTTTTAAGTAGTAACATAATATTTCATGATGGCTAGAAGATTTAATGGAGGTACTTTTAAAAAAAAGTGTCCCCATCTGAACTTTTTCTACAGCTTCATTTAATCCGTCTCATTAAAACTTCTTTGTTTTAAAGACTCGTCGTCTGTGATTGTCCTCCTCGTCCCCCCAACCTCGGCCTCACTCACGACTCCTGTGAAGGATGTAGAACTTAATCCAGCGCCCTACGGTGTGTGTTTGAACGAGCGTGTACTTCTGATTGTGCTCTCACCTGGATAAACAAAGGCGCACCGCGGCTCTTCACCGACACGTCGGTTACCTTGGTAACCACACTTCTCTCATCTCTGTTCCTCTCACCTCAGACTCGGCGGTGATTATCATGTTTTTACCTCCCTTTACTCACATATCACATCAGGAATTTTCAAGTCTTGAGCACCCTGTGGTCAGTGAGCTGACAGTTAAACACGCTCAAGTGTTTTCATGTTACGCTAAGTCGGCATCCTTACCTATTCAAGGGTCATTTTAAAAGAATACTACCAGGACAACTTGACCAATATCTGTTGTTAAGAATAACTTGATTAGAGTTTTATTTATGTGCTTCAAACAGCAGTCTGATTTTAAAGTAAGTATGCAGAAGCTGAGTACCGACTCAAAAGGTGTAACGATGCGTCGTCAATTAACCGCGGCTGCCATCTTTTTTATCCTGAAAGGTCAAGGACGGGGTTGGTCAAAGGGCGAGAGAAGTCTATGACAATGAAAACTGGGATGTTAGGGCATCAATTTTGATCAAGAAGTTATATTGGTGCGAAACTCTCCGACTTTATGTTCCCTTTGTTTTTTTTTCGAGAAATTTCACAGAGCGGTATATGGAGCACATTGATTTTTTTTCCAAGGCTGGATATAACTATTCTTGTTTCAAGCAACACCAAGCAGACTGAGCTGTAACCTTACAAAGAAACAGAGCATGAACAGGCAGGAGTGATGGAGGCAGGATGGAGCAACGATCACTTCAGCAGAAAATTAATGACGTTTCTATAACAGAGAGTTGCTGCTGTTGTTTCACGGTAATTTACTGCAGTTATAGTATTCAGTTTATTATTTATTTTGGTATGAAACTGTCCACTCATGCAAACGAATCCTACATGTGCAGTTATCGTTCTTGTTTTGATAGAAGTACACCATTAGGTCAATTTCAAACAGCCGCCAGAGCTGATTCGCTAAGTTGGCCCTCCTCTGTCGCCATCATCAATTAAGGACCGCGATTGGGTCGGTACATCTGCCGCCGATGGGAAAACGTTTAGAAAGACAGCGGTACCAGACCCACCTGCTGCGAAAATAAGCAGCCTCTGAAGACAAGAGTGGACTAATTACTATTATTGATGGCGTTTCCATTTAACGCCTCGGTGAGCGTTTACAGGTGGAGAATGTTTCAGGTCCAAAACATCCAAACACCATTTCTAACTGAGGCAGTTGGAAGCATGGGAGCAGGATGCAGAAGGAAATTTTAAAGTCACTGCCTTTTTGCAACCTATCATACAACCACATGGTGAATGTAAAGGGAATTTTTTTGTTCAGTTTTAGTGTCAGCAGCTCAGTTACAGGTGGGGTAGGCAGGATTCCATTAAAGAAGCATCTTTGTTTGTGGTGCATATACAGAAAAGTTTTTAATATCAGTCAATAGCTGTTAGTTATTAATGACATGTTGGAATATCACAACATTGCTGTGTTCTCTTATGCCTGTGTGGTCAACATTTTAAAATGTTTGAGCTGTGCGCCCATTGACTGTAAACAAAGCCATTCTCCACATCCCTGACCTGATTGGTTGTGAGGCAGACGCTGCTCCCTTGTGTTGTGAGGCACGCTCCACGTTCTCAAATGTTCAGGAGCCCAAACAAAGTTAGCGTGCTACAATATCGGACAGTAGAAACCAACCAGAAAGTACAGAAAACTGTCTGAATCCTCCTTTGGCCACGACTGACGACACAAGCAAGAAAACGAAGTAAATACTGGAGACTCTGGCGGAATAATAGCGCATAAATAGCGCATATCTGCCTGTCTTGATCTTTTTTTTTTTCTATCTCTCCAATCTAACCTTTGTTTTCTTTTATCTCCAATCTTATTTTAGCTTTGAATGTAACTTTTAATCTGTTAAATGTCTTTTACGCTGTTTTTACTTTTTAAATTGTGTTGAATGTTTTGCCTGCTTGTTTCATGTAAAGCACCTTGAATTGCCCTGCTGCTGAAATGTGCTATACAAATAAACTTGACTTGACTTGACTTGACTTAAAGAAGCCAGGTCAACATCAGCAGAAACGAAGGGGGACGCTTTAGGATCTTTCAGACCCTGTAACCTTTCCACTGGACAGGTAAACAGCTTTAACATAGTAAGCCAAGTGTCTGTAACTTAAGTGTTTCTTGTCAAACGGGACCTGCTGCGTGTTGAAACGCTGCTAAACTGTTTTCCTCGGGTCCTGGACTACGTCACTTTATCCTAGTTGTAGAAGTCCTGCAAACATTGTGTTTGCTGGTAGTCTGTTGGCATCTACAGTAGCACCAATGCTTTTTACTTTCACCTTGACTGGGCCCCATTTGTAATTATCTGAAGTATTTATCTGCATTATATCTGAATTTAATTGAAACGTCACGAGCGAGCAGGAGCGTCTGTTTGTGGGCGGGGCTTACTGGAGCAGAGAGAGAGGGAAGAGGAGGAGCTGAGAGGAAAACTGGTTGGGAGGGGTAGAGTTTCCGTTCAAGATTTCTCCCAAAAACTTGCACTTCCTCAGATCCTGCCTACCCCACCTTTTAAAGAAAAAAAACTACTTAGTGCAGCTTTAGGATCGATGGATCTCTGTTTCCTTTTAGAGAAAGTCTGTTTCAGTCTGCTCATCCAGACTGAACAAAATAAGCTTTTCATTTAAAAAGAGGGATGAGAGAAACTGTCCAGTGCCAAGTGCTTTTGACATCCAACGCTCCACAATCACAGCCTTACATAAAAACGCCTCGCAGGCACAAACGGGCACGTCCAGTAATTCAGATGAATGGGTATATTGTTCAGAAATGAGTTTGGCTTTATTTGAAGCTTTAATATCGGTGAGGCTGCAGCGTTGCGTGCACTCTCACAACATCGGTTGAAGGACATTGAGTTTGTTCCATGAGGCTTTTTTTTTTCTGCCTGTTTTATATGGATTTTAAAGATAATTGTTTCTCCCCGTGTTTGTGCGTGGTTTAAAGCAGTCTCCTCTTTAACCCGCTGTACTTTTCTGCTGTTCTGGCTCACGGCTTGTTTCAAACCATCTGTTTCCACTTAATTGAATGGTACTGAGCGAGCTATCAGGACCAAGCATCACACGTTGTTGTTGTTCCTACACCACAAATTTTTAAACGACTGTTTTATTTTTGCTTACTTTTCGCAGTAAATCGAAGCGTAAACACTTGATGGATGTCTGAGGAAGCTTTGTGAGATTCCTCAGACATCCATTGCAGTCCGAATACTCCCACTGATCATTAATAATTCAGAATATTTGAACATTTCTTGAAACTCCACGGCTGCTCTGGGTCTGGTTAAGTCCATGAGGAAATTATAAGAAGACCGAGGCGTCAGACTTATGAAAGAGAGCGTCTAGAGTCACTAAACAGCCTCTTCAGTGTCTTAACCACGGCTGCAGGTACAGTGCAGAGTATTTAGAAGTATACAGCTGAACATACTCAGTTGAAATGGAATATAATTGTTAAAATGATGCGTAATCACCTCAAATCAATCTGTATTTACACAGCGGATCATATTTATCATGCCTCACAATGGCTTTTGTCCTCAAACGCCGCCGGCAATCACTAAATATTCCCACTTCTACGTACTGAACCTTTAAAAGTGAGTTAATTGAGCTTGTTGACAGTGTAAATAAACATCTCCCAGTGTCATTCAACACTATCTCCATGGCATAGCTGGTGTGAGTCCCCTTATGTGGTCAATTAAACCGGTTTGCAGACCCCAGCTCTGCTCACAGCTCGAACATGCGAGTTAATTAAATCTTTAACATGCTGTCGGCATTGTCTTCTCCCCTAATCAACATTTCAATAAATATGCTTTCTGCTCCAGTGCCTTTTATTCCCACTGCTTGTTCAACCTCTTGTCTTATGAGTCAACAAACCAAACGGGCCGCCTGACAATTATGTTCACATGGACGACTCGAACAAATATTTTGATTCAAGACTAATGAAAACGACAGATTTCTGCTCTCGCTGTCATCACTTTGAAGGCAGGGGTTGCAGGGCGGAGTGCAGTAAATGAAACCAAATACCCAAATGGGAAAATCCTGTGGAGGCTGCATTAGCAGAAAACAAGAAACAAGGCGAGCTGCATTCGATGAAAGCAAAGAGGGGGATAAGGGAATTATCTTTGTCTTTACTCCTGTAATTGGTTTCTGCATGGTACTGCTTAGTTTTAATGAGGCTAAAACAACAATATGAAACAGAGTGAATGCAGCTCCTCATCCATGCCATCTTTTCTTCTGACTATTCACCAGGCACAGGATTTGTAAATAACAGAACCATAAATATCGACTTTATGGTGTTTGGTTCTCGACGCAGGCAGCTGTGAACATGTCTGTGCTGGCTAAGCGGATGCTGCGCCCTGAAATCTTCATTTGATATCAGTGTTCAGATATTTACTTGAATGCACAACAAACAGACGGCTCTGTCTTACTTGTAAAGTTGCCAGTTTGACTGTAAATGTTTGCAGACTAGAAGACTAGATACACCAGTGTGCTGCAGCAGCCCCCTAAACGATGTGCCTACATGGCAGCCATCTTGGTGGGGGCATCTTTGCATGTTCATTAAAAGTTAATCACAACTTTCTCATTTCTCAACCAATTTTTGTGCCGTTTACTTAATTTTTAATGCCAAAACATTTGATATTATTACAGAAAATTTGATTAAGAATGTGTGTTTTTTTTTTGTTTGTTTTTTTCAAATGGGAACCTTTAAATGACCTTAAATGGGAACGATGCCCCTACTAGCTTATTCTGCGTTCCAGTAACCTCAGAAGTTGGATGTCGGAGCTGGGAATGACATTACACCCGAGTTGACGGCATTCTAGTAAACAAGTCGGAAAAACAAAATGGATGCCTACTGTTAGCCGTCAGCTGTCATTAGCCATTGTCAGTTGTTGTTAGCTGTTGCCAGCTGTTGTCAGCTGTTGTTAGCTGTTGTCAGTTGTTAGCGGTTGTCAGCTGTTGTCATTGCTTGTCAGTTGTTGTTAGGGTTACAGTTATTGTCAGCTGTTGTCAGTTGTTGTTAGTAGTTTTCCACTGTTGTAAGCTGTTGTCAGCTGTTGTTAGCCATTGTCAGCTGTTTTTAGTAGTTGTTATCTATACCAGTTGTAAACAACGCATAACACAGTAATTTACTCTTAAAAACACCAAAGCACTGTGTTCACAGTTAGACGCTGGGCAGTACAACATAAACCATTTATTTAATTTATTTAATGCACTGCGCTGCCATCTTGGATAATGATGTTGTTGTCAAGTCGGGGTTGGCGAGGATCAGCCGACTTTCCAAGCAACCAAGCAAACCAACTTCAGGGGAGCATTTCAGATGAATTTCCGACTCGGAGCTCGGAAATCCCGACTCCCAAGTACAACTGTAACACAGCATAAACTCACCATAGGCACGCAGTTAAAAAGGAACATGTCTTATCTACGTATTTATATCTATGTTTGCAACACAAGGATCAGAAAGTCTTGGCTTGAAGTATCACAAAGCAACTGCAACTGTCAATACTTTAATTTTGATGCAACAACAATCAAGGCGTTAATTTGAAAACACTTGAGGCTAATAAGACTTGTGCGTTCGCAGAGAGATATTTACAGCCTTTATAAACAGTTTCCTCTCATAGACTTCATCTGCAAATCAGAGCTTTTCACTGACGGGGTACAATACTGTTTAAATGACGGCATCTTCAACATAAAGCAGTGTCCTTCTGCTGCGCTCCCATGAAAAGACGGCCATGAACCCGTGACTCATCTAGAGATATCTTATTTAATTAAAAATATGCTCGTTAAATTGAAATGTTTTGGATACAGCTGGTTTAAATGAGCCCGAACTCAAATGGTTATGACTCACATGTAAACGCTGGTTTTATTAGGTCAGTAAATTATCTTTGGCTGAATTATTATCCAAATAGGCCGTAATGAGAAATAGAGTAATGAGAAAATAATGATATAGGTAGATGCTTATATTGTCTGCCTGAGGGAAGCTTTTAGGCCTTTTATTTTTACCTCTGTGTGTGTGTGTGTGTGTGTGTGTGTGTGTGTGTGTGTGTGTGTGTGTGTAACCCCCCATCGATGGAAAACCCTTGTCATTTGCATTGGGGCAGGTGTGCAGCTGGGAAGTCATGAATCTCAATAACTCAGTAAATTGATTACCTGCACACGACAAAATGGCTCCAGAGATTTTATTACTGGGCAACGAGAAAGCAGAGATGGATGAGGGGTGTGTGTGTGTTTCTGACAGGATTTACTCATTAAGACTACCTGCTTAGGGCGTCACCCTGATTTCGAGAGAATATAAAAGCGTTTTGAGAAACGTCGATGCTCCTCACTCTAATAGGACACGATGATTCAAAGTTAATGAAAGAGGACGGAGAAGGAGTGCCAGGACCTTGGCAGTCAGAGCCTACAGCAGCGTATCTAAGAGCCGGCCCAGATTCCCACCTCTGCTGTGAGGGTTTATTTTGAAAACTGATAAGTTTGGTGTTTTAATGACCTCAACAGGCTGTCGTAATCAGGTCACGGTCAGCTTAAGCTTATTAAAGAATCCAGCACGGCTAAAAAAGCTTCAAAACAAACAAAACGCAAACATTTCCACTGCAATTTTAAGTGAAGGAGTGGAAGGGATCGCCTGGGGTCTCTCTCTCGGTATCTGTCGTGTTATTTTATCTTGACACTCAGTAATTCACTGCTTTCATTACAGCGACGCAGATCGCCCTCAGCACAGAAATCTCTTTAAAATTTCGCCGTCTCTTCGACACACTTTTGTTTCTCTTATTCACATTTTAATGCCCGGGGCTTTAGAGGTATGAAAATAAATCCACCTTCTTGCTGCTGTCGGCTCGTAGTTTCCCCTTGAAACCTGCTTTTGCAGTGTTTTTGCCTCATTTGTAACACGATCAGTCCTTCTCATCTGTATGTACTATAAAGTAGACCCAAAGGTCCCTATCAGCATAAAGGAGCACAACAAAGAGGAAATACAAATACAAACAGAGATGAAGTAGAAAAACACCTCGTGTCACTTATTAAAGGCTGAGCGAGTTCCCTTTTTCCTCCTCCAGCGACTGTTCGAAGATATTTCTGCGGATCAATCAGACATTGATTTATATTTGAGCAGAAGTTTTCGCTCGTTCGGTATAAGTGCCGCCAAAACTCAGTCAGTTTGTCTCAAGGCTGCTGGGAGAAGAGGAGCCGGTGACTCACAGGGAGTGGAAACTTGATTAAAAACCGATTTCGACGAGAACAGTTGTGAGAGGTTATTTTCCTCTTAGTTGTGATTGTCTTCTGGTTTCTTCAGCGTCGCCTCTGAAACTTTTAAGTGAACTTTTGAAGGACGTGGTTGTGAACCTCTTTGACCTGGGTATTCATAAAGCTATTGGTATTCGATTAAGAGGTGCAGCTAGTTATTTTCTTTCATGCAGAGTGATAACATTACGTCTGAACCCCCAGAGAGAGCCTGTAGGGATGTCGGTGGGACTGTTGACAGGCTGTTGTGGCTCTGACTGAGCAGATTTGAAGGATGTGATCGGGGAGAGTGACATATGTCACCTGAGTGAGTGAGAGGTGCAGCTGAAGTCGCCCGCCTAAATTAGTTTGCTGGTTTCACTCCATCAAATCCACACCTAAGGGTAAAGGTTCTTGGACACTGGGAATGACGCAAATATACAACGCAAAATTACGAAATATTTGGTGGTGAATTCTTACGCGCCTGACTATACACATCAAACGTGATGCGATTTTGGACGAAAGCAAGAAGACTGACACAACAGCAGACTGAGTGTTTTTCAGTTCTGATTAGACTCTTGTGTTGAGATGGCTGTCTGTCATGATAGCATCTACTGAGTCGGGGCCAGTACCAGATAAGCACATTAAACTATAATCCATAAATGTATGGATTGTTTACGTGTCTGTTCTCTGACATGTAAACAATCAGCCGGTCGGCCATGTTGGATATACTGGTGAATCTGACGTCGCAATAACACGCAATCTGATTGGTCAGAAGTGGACACACAGTATGTGAAACTTTAGAAAATTGGACCGTGATACGAAAAAAATAAATGCTGCAATATCGCAGGATTGGAAAACGTCGATGTGAACGCTTGTATTGACAGGATACGGGTTTGAAAAAAAGTATTGACGTCTGATATAATCCCACGAAAAAAACGCTCCCCTTAAGAAAGATTAAAGCTTAGTGGGCAACACGTAAATATATACATTTATATTTTATCGTTTCCATATTTCACTTAAATCACTAGTGTTTATATTCTATCCTAAAGTCTTCATCAAGCCACAGGACTAGGGCTGGGCGATAAACCTAAAATTTATCGATATGGAAATTTATGAGAATAACTGACGTCATTTTGCCCATATCGTTATATTCGGTGTCAAATAAATAAATAAATAAAAGTTTGTTTTGGATGTGTGTAGGTAGGCTATGGTCTCATGTCCCTTTAAGACGCTGTACTAAGTCAGAGACGTGACTCCACCCCATCCAGTCCATAACAAAGAGGGAAAGAGGTGAGGAGATGGAGGACGGTTCAAAAGTTGTAGAGGCTGAAGTCGTTTTATTGTTATCAAGGTGAACTGATCTGTATATAGAGATATTGATTTGAGGCTGTATCGTCCAATCTTACACAGGACCATCAGATTTATATCCCTAACTATGAGCTGTTTGATTGAGTTAATTCACCTCTTAGTCATTTGAGCACCTTTCCCTCCTTCTCCATCCTCTTTCTGTCTGTTTCATTAACTTGTTGGTTGAAGTGAAAGATTAATTGTGCGGATAATGAGCTAAAAGAGTCCTGTAATGTCTTCTTTTTATCAATCAGTTTTAAAAATACCTAAATGGTGACATCTCTCGACAGGTATTGTGTTCAAACAATCTGAACTCCACCAGTATTGAGAAGCAGCAGGTTAGATGCGGATTAGAGGCAGCCAACTGCTGTTTCCAATGACAACAGATCCTCCGTCCCCCGTGGCTCTCTCCTCACCTCTTAACTCTCGGGTTTATGTCAGCTGCTTCCCTCCTGTTTACCCTTCTTTTCCTTTCTCACTTGTCCTTTCTTTTCTGCATCATTATGCATCACATCCTCGACAATTTTTCTCTTTTCTTCCGAGCCAATCCTCTGATTTTATTCCCATTTAAAGAATCTTCCATTAACCGGGTAGAAACCTTGAGCAGAACCAAAATTATGTCAGACAGTCACCTGCTGTTATTATGTTTGGATTGCATAGGAGAGAGATGGGAAAGGATCACAAAAGTTCAAATGGAGAAGTGACGAAATATCAGAACAAGTTGACAAACTTTTTAAAGGATTAGTACGTTAACGGAAATGGAGTGATGTTCGATAAACTTGAGTCGTGGTAGTTGCGCAACAGACTTTGTAATAATGAAGTTAAAGTGAATAAAAAGGGTTGAAATTAGATCAGCTTTGTGAATATGGTCAGTATCGGCACTTTTTAGACCCTCTCTTCCTGATGACTGGTCTCTCCTCTTTCATTTTTGCATATCCTGTCCCTTTCTACCATCCTTTCTCTTCCCAGTTTGACCTTTCATATTCTCTCTCTTTCTTTTCCTTCCCGTTAATCCCTGTCTTTATTCTCCTCTAGTACCCCTTTCAGGCCACTCTCTTTGTTTACCCTCATTTACTCTCATGTCCTCTCCTATACAGTACTTCCTCTGCTCTCTTTTGCTTCCTCTCCCTCCATTCCTCGTCTTTCTCATTGATTTGTTTCAATCCCTCGTCATCCTTTTCGATCCATACCCTCTGCCATGCGTTGCTCTGCTTTCATTTCCTCTCCTCACGAGCGCTTCCCTTTTCCTTTCCTCGTTTCTCATCTCCTCATCCTTCTTGTTGAACATTCTCGACAAGTAGGACTGACCCTGCGAGAGAACCAGATCAGTTTCTGATCACGCCGCCCAGCAGGCATGAAGGTCACGCGGTTTGTTTTTAAAATGCAGATCTTTGCTCCCCTGCTGCTTAACAGACTCTCTTACCTAGAAGTGTCTCATACTTACTAATGTTGCCTGTCGCTATGCTCTCCGTGTCACGCTTGGTTTTAATCTTTAACAAAGATTGGTGCGCAGATTGGACCGACTGTCTGCATTCAAAACAAGCGCCGTCTGTTTGATGATTGACTTTTGACTTTCGTGGGTAAAGGCTGAGCGTTCCTACCCCTCTTTGTTCGCTCGCTGCATTTTCAGTACCATTGCTTCCCTGTCACTGAATAGAGAACTTCGGTATTAAAATTTGATCTGTGTAAGACCTCTGCATTCGAACACCTCTTTTCTACCCCACAGAAAAGATAAATGTACTTCTAGAGACTATGCAGATCCAAACCCTCAAAAATAAAATTATGCACTGCTTTAAATTAACAGAGCACATTTCTACAAAAGAGGATAACGGAAAAGTCGGAATTTCAAGATTTAAAAAAATCGAAATTATGTCAATAAAGTGAAAATTTCGAGATTAAAAATTTAAATTTTGAGATTTAAGTCGAAGGTTTGAGATTGAAGTCAAAATTTTAAGATGACTGAAATCCAAATTTTGTCAATAAAGTCAAAATTTGGAGATTAAAAATTTATTTTTTTATTTAAGTCGCAATTTTGAGATTAAAGTTGAAATTTCAAGATTAATAAAATCTAAATTTTCTCAATAAAGTCAAAATTTTGTGGCTAAAAATTAAAACTTTGAGATGAAAATCGAAATTTCGAGATTAATAAAATCAAAATTTTGTCAAAAAAGTCAAATTTCAAGACTAAAAATTGAAATTTCGAGATTAATGTTGATTTTTTTTGCGATTGCAAAATGTTAGATTGTCACGAATAATGTGGAAATTTCAGGGCTAAAAAATAAAAAAATTGAGCTCTAAATCAAAACCTTGAGATTAAAGTCGACATGAATAAAGTTGAAATTCCGACCTTTTTAAATTTCACCTTTAATCTCGAAATGAAAAATTAAAAAAATCTCCCTCTTGTAATTATTTTTTTCTCTTTTTGTCTTTCCTTCAACATGAAGCGATGTACATTTCAAAAGTAGTCCCAGCTTGGCCATCGCTTTTTGTGTCTTCATTATCTCCACAACACCTTCCATCTCCTCTGAGATGACGTCCCCATTACAGCCAGGCCAGTGTCACTCTCTCAGCTCTATATTTGGAAGGTGAGAGGCCAATTTGCAGGTTTGAAGAGTTTTCCACAAGAACCAAAGAGACTGATTTAACGTGTTTTCAGACTAGAGAAAGCTCAGCGTTAAGGGGACCTCATGATCAGACTGAAGTCATATTTGAATTAAAGTGAGAAGGAGTCAAAGCGCCGACAAAACCCTTCCCCCTATAACCTGACCAAGGTTGGTATCTTCAAACTCTCTTTGATGAGTTTGTGTGGGCCTCCAGGTACAGCAACGGTGACAAATAAAGGATACCAGAGCATCTGACTCCTCTGCTCCCCCGCTGATTTGAAGCAGCTTATTAATAATTGAGCGGGGACATTTGTGCGATGGCAGATATATCATGATTCCCCCTCTGCGGCTGCCACAGGCCAGAAATGGATAGATATTAAGCCAGCTTGATTCGCACGCTCAAACACGGTGTTTTTGGGGTGGTGCAGCAGGCTGAATTTTCTCACTATGCATAAAAGTGATAATGAAATTTCTGCTGGCGTTAACATCAGTGGAGAAAAAATCCTCACATGGCAGATCAGACATGGCGTGTGAAAAGAAATACAGTGTAAAAATGTCATATGTGTTACAGGCCTGTAAAAGTCTGTATCAACACCTTTGTGCTAATGCAAAAGTTAACATCTTCTGTTTTGTGTGTCACGGCTTCTCAATGGCTCCCTCAGGCCAACAACATCCCTTGTTTTTCTCTCTCACACACACTTTTACACACATTTCTCTCCTTTCCTGTTCCTCAAGATTAATTAAACGCAAGATCAAACCGGCAGCAGCAGCGGCTCGTTCTTGTAAAACATCTGTTTAAGCATGCTGAATAGGTGGTGTTTACTCACTTAGAGTCCACCAGAGCTGGGATATAACATCTATTCACACACACACACACGCGCACGCAAAGTTAAACTCTTCTTCTGTTTTACTTCACACTTAAAGAAAGGCATTGTGTCTGCAGTGAGAAGTGTCCAACTGCTGAATAATAGAAATCTCGGGCTGGAAAAACGAGATGGAGTTTAAAAATGAATGGGCCTTCATCCTCAGGTAGAGCCGAGTTTCTGCAGCTGTGATTTGATTCGCGGTGACATAACCGAGCGCTGGCTGTTCGACACCTTCAGATCAAAATTGGAAAGCTGATAATTGCCCCCGGTCCTTTCTGCCTTTTCCCTCTATCCTTCAGTCTTTATGTAGGTACTCGGAAACAAGTCAGAAAAACTTGAGAGGTAGCGAAAAGCCAAAAAAGTAGAAACTCAGAGGAAAGTGTAAGTAAGTCTGCGTGTCAAACTTTCCTTCCAGGGGCCTCATTTATCAACCTTGCGTACACACAGATGTATGCGTTATGAGTGCGTACCTACATTCCCACACACAAAACCTAGTGGTACAACAGTGAAACTACAAATAGAACCCATTAAAGGAGTCACAGCGTTCAGCAATCTTAAACTTCACACATGCTCTCTGTTGCCTCTGTACAAATTTATCAATTAGTTATTTAGCAGACATTTTAAATGATCGGTGTGACAAGCTATAAAAATCAGCTGAGACAGGACAACCTCAGAAGAAGTCTTACAAGTACAAATATAAGTATCATGGCTTATTTTGTGCTATTGGAGGACTTCATGCAGGGAGACCGTGCTGATCTGTTCAGTGAGAACACAGAGTGGACTCTCAGCAGGTACAGCTTCCCCAAAATATTTCAATGGATTTATGCCCTGATTTACAACCTGTGTTAGAACGAGAGACAAAACGTACCAAAGCCATCCCAGTGCACATCCAGCGCCTGTCCACCCTAACCGGAACATTTCAGCGTGAGATTGGAGACATATGTGACATTTCGCACCCAACGCTAAGCAGAATCATGCCGGCAGAGCTGGATGCAATAATTTCTTTGGCCTCAACTTACATCCAGTTGCCAAACACACATCACCAACAAGCCGAAATAAAACGAGTATTTCACGCCATCGCCGGATTCCAAAACATGATTGCACCCACATCGCAATAAAAACATCTTCACACAACAAATTTAGTTTTGTCAACAGGAAAGGATTTCATTCAATCAATGCACAAATAATCTGCGATGCACATATGTATCTGTTAAACATTGTTTCCCGGTGGCCTGGAGGAACGCACAACTCATTCATTCTGCAGAACAGCTCTGTGAGTGTGCACCGCCATGATTTTGGCGAGGGGAAAAAAATTCATTCATGCATTTTTAAAGGGATTGTTGATACCATATATGGTCAATTGGAGGCATTTCTGAATGCAAATGACCCCAACCATTCACAAGCAAACTAGTAAAGAACAGGTGGGATTTATCATCACCGATTATTTACTAGCGTGCGTACAACCGGTGTCCACATGTTTACTAAAAACAGATTTTTTTGTACTTACACACTTTCTAAATTTCATTCCTACGCCAGAATTTAGAACCTTTTTCTACACATGTTTTATAAATAAGGCCCCAGGTCTTTGGGAGAGCTATATTTACAAACAGTAGGTTGTCGGAGTCAGTTTGAGCCGGCGTCAGGTAAGGCGTAGTAGACATGCAGGGTCAGAAAGAGGTGAGCTCGCCAAACGTCTGCGGGCAGCTTCCCAGATTTGCATGAGTCGAACTGAGCGATGTCGGCACCGAGTTTAAACTCAGCTGAAGATGTATGCCGCTCAAAGAAAATTAACGGTATTGTTTCTGTGCTGTTGAGTGTCACTGTCAGTCAGTCGGCGTGCTCCAGTCTCGTGTTAAACTCCTGGGAGCGTCTGACCCTTCGGTGCCCTTAGATAAACACAGCTGCTCCCCCTGCATCTGCGCACCGGACTCCCGGCTGACAAGATTTTATCAGCTCCCATTAAGATGTTGCTTCTCTCTGATGCTTCAGGTCCACAGGGATCCTCGACTATCCAGGAAACACTCAATTGAGAATCTAGTGGTCCAAAAACATTTTGAATCGAGGCTTTTACTTCACAACTGCATCTATAAAACAATCAGTATCAAAACAACAGGGCTTTAGGATTTATCATGTATTTAGTGATTGTGTTTTGGTCCACCAGCATGTCCGCCTACATGCGTTACTTAGGCAACAACACAGGCAATAACACAGGCATGAGTTGCCTACCTGTATATGCTGGTGGCACAGCTTCCAAACACAACGATCCATCATCTCGCCATCCGAACAATCACGCTGTCAAGACTTGGAACAGATCTCCTCAATCACAGCTTGTTTTGCGCCTTTTTTTGTATCGCTCTGCTCCCGGCGGCGTGGATTCAGCCAGGTACTGCTTAGCAACTCTGGATTTGATGCCGTCATTGTGTTTGCTGCTGTGAGTGAAGGCTTTCCATGAGGTTTAGGAGTGTGTTTATAGGAGGTCAGGCATTAGTGTTGGACAGGAAGGCCTAGCTGGATCTGCTCTAATCTATCCCAAAGGTGTGTGCTGTCGGGTCAAGGTCTGCGCAGGTCAGTCCAGCCTAGACTGATTCGTCACTATACAGGACACGCCTCCACTGCTCCAGAGTCCAATGGCAGGGTGCTTTTCTGACGCTTCACTTTGCACTTGGTGATTTAGGGCTCTCTTTTCACTGTTCTTCAGCTTATCGAGAGGATAGTGTTGTAGTCAAAACCACACCAGACAAGACCAAGACAATATCAGGCCTAGAAAGTATCGAGACTGAGACAAGACCAAGACTGTATATATCAAAGAAAAATCACAACAAACCAGAACAAAAGAGCAGAACCTTTTTTAATCGAGATTGCTTTTACAAATGTTTTAGTTTGGATTTTTTCCCCGGTGTAGCTTATTCAACGGTTAATTTACGGGTCTTTATGCTTCCTCTCAATGTGCCGATAAAAGCTGGATGATGACGACCCGGCAGTTTCTGTGAGTTGTGCACCGCAGAACGCCACAGTCCGTATGGTTTTTCGAAACCAAACTTAATAATGGTTGAGCGCGTTACTCCAGGTGTGTGATACTCAGAGGGCAGCTGCTACATTTTTCTCTTTAACAGTCTAAATCACAGACTGTATATACTATGGACAACTTGGCTCCGCCTCCCATCTTTATATGAATTTGAAGCCAAATTGCTCTCGGTTTTTCCGGGATTTTCTCCACTTCCTGAGAACACCACTTGTGCAGCGTTGTACGAATTCGACGGGAGAGTCGCTGTGATGACGCTCCGCTCAAACAGCGTATCCCCGAGTGAGCTACGCAATTTTCGTACGCCCATAGGCTGTATCAAGTGTCAATCATAGAAAACATGAACCCCCTAATAACTTTAAAAAATGGAGCTGCACAGAAAAAAAGAGGACTTGACACCAAACCAGTCTTCCATGTCAACATTGCAACCAGGGGAGTGAAAATGTTATATTCTGTGTAATAAATTTCTAAAGTTTGTCCACAGCTCCATAGGGATTGCTGGAGGGGGCGGGATTTATTACCTATATTGCAGCCCATCACCAGAGGGTGCTGTTCTTATGGCAGCTTCAACCAGCAAGGAGGAAGACGGCGTCCAGTCTATATACAGTCTATGGTGACAATTGGTCTTGATCAAAAATCCCAAGTCCACCCAGTCCAAGACCAAGACAAGTCCTAGTAAAAACCTTTGATTCCGAGGCAAGACTGAGACCCTTAAAAAATGATCTTGAGATAGGTTTGGAGTACAACAACACAACTGGAGGCCACACAAAGTTTGGAGGTCTGCACCTCCTGACTCTTTTGTGGCCTCCCAGTTGACTAAACTTATTGCAGAGTTTTGTTGCACTCTATTCTCTAAAAATGCACTAATAATGGAGTAATAAATAGATGTCAGACCATTCCTTGGAAGTCGGATAAAAGCCTCACACAGTAGGACGCCAAATTAAGCTCAGCTGGTGGAGTGGGCACCCCACGTAGAGAGGCTGTAGTCCTCATCACACCAGTCAAAGGATCAATTCCCTTTCCTTATTCCCATGCTGTTCTGTCTACTACAGGCTAAAAGCATAATTTGAATTTTTAACCTATGTTTATGAGTTTAGTCCCACGAAGCATCAACATTTAACAGTTTTCTTCTGCAAACACATATCGCCTTATTTCCATATCCTGACCTTCACTTTTGATCCGAACACTTTGGTGTGAAAAGTGCCCCGATCCTCCTCTGATGAGGAAGTGGAGAGGTTAGACAGGAGGGAAGAGGGGAAGCATAGAAGACATAATTAGAGGGGTGATGGAGGTTGATGCTTCCGATTTCTAGTTCGGGCTTCAAACTTGATTGCCGCCAGCCTGGTTATGCAAGTGAAGACCACTTCCAGACCCTTCCCGAGGACACTGATTGGATGGATGAGGAGAAAAAAACTGTACGCGCTGACTTCGATCCTTATAATTCCTGTAGTGCTTCCATCAGCCACCTTCCTTGTTTCCTTGATTGGTTATTGTTCAGCACCAGCTTGCCCCTTTTGATACTAATGACGGCGTATTGAGCCGTAGATGGAAATGCATGTCACTGGTTACGGGGGATTTCCGCATCAATATGCAAATGAGTATTTATAGGTCTCTTGAATGGACGCCTGCCAATGTTCCTGAAAAGCAAGTCACCATCTGACTCTTTGTTCCTGCTCTCCCTCGATCGCTTTCTGCTGCATGCTTCATTAAGCTGATGGTGGCATGTGTTCGAAACATTGGGAAAGAGACACATCTGACAGGAATATCAGAGCCTAGCGGAGTCTCTAATTGGCAGCTAGGGAAGTTGGGGGTGTTTCTGGAAAGCAGGTACTCAAGACAAGAGTTAATTGAGATTCCTTCAGTGAATACCAAAGAGGATAAAGAAAGGAGTGGGAACCGAGTTCTCATTAAAAACATATCCCAGGCTTCCCTGTCGTCTGTAGAAATACACCATGGTATGGTCTGTGAGGCTGTCAGTGTATGCTGCACTGACTGCTGATAAGATACGAAATCAAAGAGTATTTCACATCTAAGAGAGGCGCAGGTTTGACTGAGAGAGCGGCAGACATGCCTTTGTAGTAGGGCTGGGCAATAAGGGAAAAAGTTTATCACAGTATTTTTTTTTTCATATCAGTCAATATCAATATGTATCACAATATAAAAAAATCACTTGTCAATCTTAAATGTTCCCTGTTACTCTTAAATGAAATTGAACATGTACTCAACATAGTTTGCAGTGCACGCTACTCTACTTCATGTCCGACCTCAAAAAAACAAAATACCTTCACACCACTGACATTTTCGTGTCAGTGTTGTCGACAATGTTGTCATCTGTTGAGCCTTCATCTGCATTTCTGCAGGGTAAAGTAGAATTGTAAAGTAGAGATGCACCGATCCGTTTTTTTTTTATCCAATCCGCTACCGATACCTGGGCTGAACGTATCTGCCGATATCTGATGCCGATCCAATACTACTGTTGAATGAATGAACTGTATACCTTGGCCTGTGAGTGACGGCATCAGGCTTGATATTAGCCCTCTTAAAAAAGATAACAAATTAATAAATCTTACCTCTTTTTGTGAATGTTAGTAGAATGGTTTAGAGATATTTCAGCTTGCTTTTATTGTGCTGGGACTTGTTTTCTCTCTCGTTGTGGCAACAGATGAACACAGAACAGGTGTTTGGTTGACATCATCCTTCTTGTAACTGAAATAATTCCAGATAACGAATTTTACTTTGTTATTTTGTTACTTTGTTGTTTTTCTCTTGTTCATTGCTCATTTTGCAATCGTTGTTGTTGCTACCGGTGTTGTGCTGAGAAACACATGTCCGGCGAAAATTGCATGCACCTCACGTAAACATGCACTGGTTATAGAAGAGTGGTCCACGGAAATGTACAATTTAAAACCCATACAATTCTTATTTGTGGGGCTAAACGGTGATGAGTAATTCTCTGCAGGTATGCGTTTCTCGACACAACACCGGCAGCGCCAGTGACTCATTCCATGTGCAGAACATGTGCAGGGCCGTGGTTTCCAGTCATCTCAATCAGCTACCCTTGAAATTAAATGAGTTCATTCGCCTCCTACATCGCAGGCTCTGCAGTGTGACTGTTGTGCACACAATAATGCTCAAACTACATATAGTGCAGCCCTGATTTAGTGAAAAAGGATAGTCAACAGAATTGCTTTGTTGCTGTGTATGACATGAATTCAAAGAAAAAAAAGGCAGGATCGGAACGCTGGATTGGCGTCACTCATCAGATCTCCGATCCACTTAATTTGTCAATATGGGAGCCAATATCCGATCCAAATATCAGATCGGTGCATCCTTATCGTATAGTCTTCCAAAACATGGCTGAATGCCGGCTATCGAGAAGCATACTGACCATGTTTTATATCGATATTGAGGGAAATTAACTTTTGATATATCATAATTGTTTTATCGCCCAGCCCTACTTTGTTGTCAACTTTGTTTTTGTGTGCGTGTGCATTTCTGATCTCTGAATGTCTGTATCCATGATCTTCACCTGAGTGTGCATTTCTTTCAGTTTAGTTTTTATTATCATGAAAGGCATGAAAGTTTTTCACAAACCTAGTATCAGATTCGGCCGCATTTCAGACTCCTACAAGTAAAATTACAGTCTATGAGTTTGACCTTTATCTTGGTCGCTGTACTCGCAGTTTCTGTCTGCATCCTATTTCCCAAAGTTATGAAAACAAAGCCTTATATAATGGTCTCAAACAGGAGGTTATTTGACCCATTTTAAGCAAAACTCTGGGGATAATGATAATCTAGAAGTGGCGGGTAAGGTTCAGCGTGGAATATTAAAGTGCCATTACTGCGGCGCTTTCACATTAATCACTCTGATCTGCGGTTAGCCTTTTGCCTAGTTTTTTTTTTCCTCAACATCCTTCACTTTCAATATCCCATCTGATTAAATTACAGCTGGGTGGTGTTCTGCAGGAAATGAAGCCGTGTGTTTTGTGAGCTTGTATGTATGTTAATGCATTTAAATGAGACTAGGTTTGTGAATTGTGATGTTACTTTGCTTATTTGCATTTAATAATTACTGTATTCACTATTATTCTGTGTTTACATGAGAGATTGTGTTGTGTTTGTTTGTTTGTTTGGTCGAGTAAATCCAGCTCTTCAGGGAGGTGTCAGATCCTTACCGTCTTGACCATTTCTCATGGATTCTGGTTTCTGCGACTTGTGTAACAGGATTCTATGGGAAGCGCAATGCATTTATTTGTTAATTTACCTGCCAGAGAGTCGAAGGCGTAGTCAGTCATCGTTCAAAGTGGACAGTTAGCGGCTATCCAGATAGGCGAGGCGAAAAAGCCTCTTTCAGCGTTTCAGACTCCGCAGGAATCAAAGATTGTCATCAACAGGAAGGCTGTGGTGTGTTTATGTGTCAGCGGGGGCTTCTTTTACAAAGTCTGATCTACTTTTTGGAACAGCTCGATGAAATGTTCACTGGCCCAGAGTCCTCCCACACACAGCTGCTCCCAAATACCCAGCCTGCCTGTGTGTCATATTGTATGTGCGGCCTCATGTGTCTTTGTTTATGATGTGTTCCTTTGTGCTCGTGTTTGCGCAGTACCTTGTGTCTTCTTGCACACTCCGATACCTAGCATGTGTCACTGTGTGTGCGTGTGTGTTCAGGCTTGTTTGTCACATCAGTGTGTGTGAGTCTCCACTCTTTATTTGACCTCTCAGTGCTTGTCTAGTCCTATAAAGACATAGCCCAGAGGAGCTGCTGGTCTGAGTGGTGGTGGAGACCAAATATGGAGCCAAATTGGGGGCGAAAAGTTCATGAAAAATCCTCTGATCCGATTCACACTTGCTGCGTCTCTCTTTAGATGGCCCGGTGATCTGGCGGATGCTGACCTATCCCCCCACTCGGCGAGCCCTCGTGGTGGGTTGTGGTCTCCAGATGTTCCAGCAGCTTTCAGGAATCAACACAGTCATGTGAGTGAACCTTTCTCTGACATCTTGCATAACTCTGGACCATCTTCTTGTGTTGGTCTATCTGCAGTACAGGGTATCATGGACTGAGGGGTGTTACTAACATAGATATCATAGCTAGAGGCCTCACGACCCATAGAAGACAACTTTAAGACTGCCGCCATCTTGGAGTGGTACCGATAACTGCTGGCAAACTTGGTTTTGAATTTAAACAAATGCTGTTGTCAGGGAAACCACAGGCTCCCAAAACTTCAACTGACCAAAAACCATTGACACATACCACTCCAAGAAGGCTTGACGTAACCTGGGCACGAAATTTTTTATTTTGTTGGACGGTAGGGGAAAGTCCCGCCTCCTTCGCCTCTGATTGGCTAGAAAAGCTGGAAACGTCATCACACACCCAATCCTAATCCTTACCCTAACCCTAACCATAGCCCGACAGACGGTGACGTTTCACAGCCATTAGGAATAACCAATCGGAGCCCAGCACTTCTAGCCAATCAGAGACCAATGAGGGTGGGACCTTCCCCTACCATCCTCCAAAAAAAAAATTTGCATCCTAGGCAGGGTCGTGTGGCATCTAGTGGTTATGATATCTATGGTTAGTACAGTATTGAGCTCTGCTTAAATCTACTGTGTGGAACTTCTGGTTTGTGTTAATGTTGGCACCCCCTATGGACAGTCAAATGCATCGTTATTGGCGGTGTGCCATCTTAGGCACCCCATGATTCAATTCAATTATTAAATGATTATTAAGATTATTAAGATTATCGATGTGCCTTTTCTCTCCATACAGGATTTCTTTTAAATAAGGTATATTTGTCAACATCCATTAAACAAAGTAAACAAAATTTCCCCCACTACATTTTATTTTTATTGTACCAAATGATGCGACACTTTTTCCACAACAAAAAGCTGCTCTAATTACATAAAGAGCTATAACTATCAGCTTGTTCAGCTTTAGTCTGGTGTAATATAAAATAGTAATAATAATAACTTGACCTAAGTTAAAATAAAGACTTCCAAACAGAGTATTCAATGAGCGGCACAGCATCCTACAACAATCAAACATTTTGGTATCCACAACTAAAAGCAGCTTTACATCTAAATAAGTGGTGGATGAACAGAATGACTCAGAATAGAGTAAATCCTCTACATGAAATTTCTCCAGACGCTGGATTTCTAACCGCAGAATTTCTATTTCTAAGATGTCAGAAGAAAGAAAAAAACCTTAACAGGAGCTGTAAGTCACAAGATTCAAAACTATAATTTAACACAGCTCATTCATAGTAATACATGCCACTTTCTTTCAACTAAACTCCAAATACAGGGAAAAAAACCTGCTTTATAAGAAATATGTCAAGCATAAGCTTAAGGCATCTGGATGTGGATGCAGAATTAAACATGGGGGGTTGTGGGTAAAAAGAGAGGCTAGAAAAATGGGACTCATTTGCTGAAAACCTGCCATAGAACCTTTCACTGACTAAATGACTACAATTAAACTATTTATTTATTAATTAGTTAGATCCAACTCTACTCCTGCGATCTCCTCAGACACTGAATCATTATCCATCAATAGTTGATCGTTTCTTTGCTCAGTTTCTGCCTCAAACACTTTGCAGACGCTGATCCTAAATCAGCCTTAAATCGGGTTATACCTCATTACTTCACTATTATCTGAGACACACGCCAACAGTCGGAGCATGACCGTTAAACACATATAAACCTTGACAATAGCGTGTCTGTGGTTGACAAAGAAAGTTCAAGTGCGGTTAATCAGCACAATGATGATACATGTCAGGATTTACGCCTCACAGACTAACCGCTCTGAAAATAGGCTGGATTTAGAGAAATGCATTTGGTGTTAGATGACAAAACCTCTCTTTCATCCTCCATATAGCAGATCACACACAAAGGACTGACCCTCCACATTGCATTACTGCTCAGTTGCCTGTGAAGGGACGGACCACCTCTCCTCTCTTATTCTTTTTTATCTCGCCATCTGAGGAGATTGTGTCATCTGTCTTTGTCTCGCTTCCCCTTTGAGATGAACTATATTACAAGCTCTGTAAACAATCTGTGGATATGTGCTGTTGCTTAGCAACCGCCGGAGGTGAGAGCAATAGGATAAGTGTGTGCACGTTCGTGTGTGTGTGTGAGCGTGCACGTGAGTTTTAATTGGCTTAGTGTGCCGCTGGACTTCAGGCCTGCTCATGCACTTTTGTGACGTCTGTGGCGCGTTTACTTTCATGTCGGAAAGAGTGCGATAGAGGGGATGGACGTTTGTACACTTGTGGTAATCAACACTTGCGCAGCGTCTATTGACTCTGCGCCACTCATTCAATATTTATCTCCATTTTCAATTCCTAACAGTCTCAATGGCAAAAGAGACAAATTAAATCGGTTTCAGCTCTGTCTCTTTCCATCTCTTTCCATCTCCCTGACTGATGCATCCACCAGTCTCCGTGAAAAGGTCTTCCTCCTTGTTTGTCTCTGTCAGCAGTGACCCATTTACACAGAGCATCAGGAAACCTTTGATCAAGATGGTACAGAAATCATGTTTCGTTTACTCGGGCATTGAAATGTGTCTGCCGCTCACAAACTGAATCTGCGTGCCCTTTTATTTGAACAGTCCTCACGGGGGCTTCCTTGGTGTGATAACTACATCTTTCTAAATTGACATTAATGGCCTCATCCTGCTGCCAATCAATTTTTACAGCAGGGTCCCAGTAGGAGCCGTTTACAGCTTGTTGCCCTTTACAATTTCGTGGTTGTCAAAGCTTCATGAAGAGGAACAAAAATATCATGACGCCTTTGATATAATTGCAATTTCAGAAAACTGGATCCGAATGCAGACACCAGAGACTCGGCTGGTGCAACAGTCAATTACAGAGTGAAATACTCGGACAAGATCCTCCTGTAGAGACTGTCAGCAGGTCTAAACTCCAGTCCCCTCCAGTTTTATGATCCCCATCTCCTCGTGTCTAACTCAGGATACAAAGATTTGCAGCAAAAAAATTGGAAAAGTTGTTAGCATACCTGTTAGCGTATCTGTTTGGATCAGTAAAAAAGCAACATGATCTGATCTTTTCAATCTCTTAAGACTTTGGCTTTTCAACCACACCGTACGGTTACAGATCTTTACAGTTAAATTGTGATAGCTCCGGCCCTCAGGGAGTTTCAGCACAATGTCTGAATAAGATTTGTGAAATTGTTAATGCTACATATTCAACACAGTCTCTCAATAGTTTCATGAATTACTGTATGAGAGTGCTGCACAGCTGTTGACAGGATTTCAAATTGTTGCATTAGTTCAATTAAAGGCATGGTTGACGACCTGAGAAGCAGTAGAAAAAAAGTGAGCTGTTGAGGCAGATTTGAAAAAAGTGTACAACCCCCCACACACAAACCTCTCCCCTCTGTGCTCCACGATAACTCCCCCCCAGACCTGTATCAAGCCAGCCAGCAGGAGATCCTGCGCTAGCTTCAAATAGGATTCACCATGTCGGATTGCTAGTGACCAGCGGCAGCAAACGCCAGCTCTGCTAGCGAGCACCGTCTGCAGCTGCCTGGACAGCTACCGTGTTGACATTGCAGAGACTAATAAGAGTTATTTTTGTAACATGTGCCACGATAAAAGGCAAAAATGACCTGTTCAACAAAAACTCTGCTGTCTCAGCATCTGTTTTCAGGCCCAAATCCTGGCGGAGCTTTCTCCACCGCTCCAAGGATGACCCAATGATTCCTCGCTTGGTCACATTTCCTCTCTGTCTCCGCCCTTTCTTCTGTCGGCTTGCATTTTCTTAGCACTTTTGGCAGTGGGGCAAGCAGAAATTGTGTCGAATACAGTGAGGTGATTGGATGGAGAGGCGAAGCAGGAGATCTACCAATAGGAGCTGTCCGGGGCGGATGGCTCGCATTGGTCAATGTTTTTGCAGCTCTGTACCTGCTAGGGATAAGGGATTTTTTCCATTCTTTTTTTTCTTCACTTTGTGGAGATCGCACTATAGGACCATGATTGCCATATAAACGAGGTTCATAATAACTACAGATCTCTCCAATCGTCAACCATACCTTTAATAATAAACTCCATGTTGGTTCACTTCACAAAGTCTGCATGCCAAATGTGAAAGACATAAGCATGCAGATGAAGATGCATTATTTATTATTGTAATTTCATGTAGCAAACAGCAAAAAAAGGATCAAAAGTGTTGAATTAGAGAAACTTTTAAAAGACTTTGTAACCAGCAGCTTCACTATAAAAACTGGTGTTTAAATGCAAAACTCGTCATTTTTATAAAGACAAGTATCTGAATTTCTTCAGTATAAAAATCTCTTTTATACTCCCTGTAAAAAAATCTGTGTTTTTAATAATATAATTGTGGTTTTGAGGTGGTCTAGATGTAATTTCTGCAGGAGGATTTCTTCCATCCATATGTCTGCTACTTTTAAAGTCACCCTGGATATCTTTCCTTTGTCTTCCCAGCCTTAATAGCCAGTAAGAAATGAAAAGAGTCTATACAGACTGTAAATCAGCAAGGCTTAGAGACAAGCTCCACTCTCCTCGTCCCCAGCTGCTTCTCGTGATTAAACCGCCATGCTGGCATCGAGCGAGAAAGAAACTGGCCAAAAAAAGAAAAAAAACATTCAAACTGAACTAGCAGATCTGTCTCTCAACTTTAACAGCCAGCTCTTCCAATTTGGGAACTCCCCAGTAGTGGACTAATGGACTCTGAATATGCTCCAACAGAAGGGTACATTTGACTCGATATTAGCGCTTGTCAAACTTTTCATCCCCCGGGGGAAAAGGTTCACAAAAAGTGCACCTCTCTGGTTGTTAGGAGTGTAGTCCCACAGTTGCTAACCAAGCTGATCGTCAAATTGTGCTTTTCACAACAAAATCATCCAGTGAATTTTTACTGTGATCAAAAGTCCAGTGGATTTTTTTAACCTCTTTTCGGGTCACACATTTTTAATTGGGTGGCTCAGGTGCAGGAAGAGAAAGATGGGTCAGAGGTGGCGGGTGGAGTGTCAGTGAGGAAGAGAAGGCGATGGCGTGACCCCTCTTCATACAGAGAGAGCTGTCTTTTCCTCTTTCCCTCATTTTTGACATCCAATCATGAGAACCACAGTGTTCCTCCTCCACTCATTAATTCCATCGGCTGACGTCGGCTGACAAACTCTTTCCAACATAATTAACAGAAAAAAATCCCTCAAAGATGCTGGTTCGATGATCAGCGCTTGTTCAGCTGCACACTTATTTGCAGATTGCACTCGGGGTGGCAGGGCACCATCGCATACTTGCATGCCAATTAGTTTCTCTCAGTGGTGGCAGTGTGCTGTCTAATCACATGGATTTATGCAGACGAAATTGACATCCAAAGTCTTCTGGTTTAGTGTTAAAACCCACAACTGCTGAATCGTTTAAGACACGTGGGTGATTTAACATAAAAATTCCAGAGTCCTTTTTCTTCAGCACTCAGTTCGAGGATATAATTCAGGGGACATATTTGAGGTTAAATGCTTCTAAGCGTACCTGATTTAAGGGAGTTGATTGACAATCTCGGTACGATTGGCCGGGGGTTTGTCGCTCGCTGCACATCAGGGCACTTTTTTCACTTTTTGAAACAGTGGGATAATCCGCCGTGTGACTGGCATGTGAGGACATACAAATGGTCACACAGCTACTTTTTTTTTGCAGCCAGGTGATTTGAACTCATATGTCAGACCCAGTCTCTCTGTACCCTGGTTGTTATCTGGATAACCTCCCTGTCCTTACTCTTACACACACCAAATTACACCGACCAGAATAGATGGATGGATTTTGTAACAGGGCTGCTGTGTTTTCAACTTCTCTATCAACCTTTTACTTCCTGTTGGTGAGTTATAAATGTGGAAAAATTTGGATAATATTAGATAATATTCTTCCACATTAGCCATCGGATCATTTTTGTATTCAATTAGCCGCATAATCCGGCACGTAAAGGTCACTGTGGGCTCCTGGGAGACTGCTCTGTGCGTTTGTGTGTGTTTGTATCTTGTCAGGGCAGGTCAGCCGATTGTGATGACAGAGCGGCGGAGAGGAAAAGAGGACAGAAGATGGAGGGAGACAAATTGAGCAGTAGATGAGAGGAAAAAGAGACAGATGCTGCAGAAATGAAGAAGATGAAGAGGAAGAGAAAGGGTGGAAGGAAGAGTAGAGGAAGGGTGCGATGGATTTAAAGGGGAAGTCAGAAAAAAGGGCAGGATGTAGTGAGAGTTTTTGACTTCTTATGGTAAATAAACCTTGTATCTCACAGAGTTACAGGTTTCAGCAGCTCTTTTGTACAGGAGTTAGATTACTATAAGTTTTACGGTAATTTTTGTTTCTTTAAAAGCACAAAAAACGGTTTAGCATGCTTCTGTGCATGCGCGTGGCCACACCAGCATCCATTATGGCTTTCTATCTCAGAATGGTTGGAGGAGGGATATTGATACACAGAGTCAAAGGTCTTGCTTTGTCGATATATAATAGTATACATTTTACAGTCATTTGAGACGGGAACAGACTCTGCATGCGAAGCAGTCACTCCTCTGAGAGTTCAAGTGAAGCTTTGATTGAAGATTATTGATGGAAAATGAGAAACTGGTGACACTGTAAGGTATTTCGACTCTTACGACTGATGTTCAGATGTTATGTCTGCACACATAGCAATTGCAATTACTGATGTATCGCTCCTAGTCCTAGATCAGATTTAGAAAAAAGACAAAAAACTGCAGTTGGTACATCTCAACTTACTGTAATAATCTGCTAAAACTGTCAGCTATGGATAAGCTAGTCAATTAATTTGGCCCTGAGTTGTGTAACTAAGTTTTGGTAAACAGTTTGTTGAATTTCTTTTATTTCACAATCAGTAAAACCTATGATATAAAAGAATATGATATGTTATGAAATGATATGATATGATATGATTTGATATATGCTATATGGGTTGATATGATATGATATGATATTACATGTGTAGTGATTTGAAATGAGCCTCATACGGCCGCACCAAAATAATACTTGGCGATTGGAATTTATAATAAATGTCTGAAGATTAATAATCTCAAATTATGACATTTATGCACTCGTTGAAAGGGGCACCACCCACCCTTAATGGTGGGAAAATAAAGAAAACAAAAGTTTAATTCAGAAATCAAACATCAAGTCAGTTTTAATTAATCAGTCTCATATCTTAAGTCGAAATTCTAATTTCAGGGACTCCACTTCTGGAAGAACACTAACAGACAGGAACTTAGAAAAATAATGATCTGTTTATTACAGGATAAATGATGGTACAACACACATGCAATAAATGATGATAAGATAATGAAGATAGATAATAATAGGTGAATAAATAAAGATTCTGAGTCAGGCTAGGAGCACTAAAGTTAATGATAGTGAGTGAATATGCGCTAACATATTAACCTACACTAACTTTGGTGTCGAGATAAACTCGGGTGTAGATTTGGAGGAATCTAAGATCACCAGAAATAGGTGGATATCTGAGTTATGAACGCGTGAGACAGCATCAGCCCTCTCTGGAGCTCTGGAGGTTTGCATACTTAAGTGAGACTGGTCCTTGGAGAAGGTGGAGCAGGTTCCGAAGGTCAGGGGCTACTGGCGGTTCGAGCGGTTCAGCTCAGAAGACAACTGAAGTCAGCCGAAGGATGAGCCAGGAGTTGCAGCACTCGGGCCCGAAGCAAAGCCAGCGCCTGTGGATCCTGTGGATGCTCGTTTGGGTACTTCTTTGGTCTCACTCAAAAACTCTGGCACAGAGGATGACCTGGGCCTGCTGGGTTGCGTTCAGAGGTGACTTTGGAATCTCAGAAAAACGAGGCTCGAAGAGCAGAGAAAACTTTCAAAAATGGCTTCGCGAAATTAAAGAAAAATCAATCAAAGGCTTAATCTTGAATTGCTATGCGCACAAAAAGTTGAAGTTTCAAAACTTGAACTAAGACGATGTTAAAGAAAAATCAACGTGAATCAACACGTGGCGTAAAACTTAGAAGACTAAGAAAAAGTTCTAAGAGAAAACAAAGAAACGCACCACAGAAGGGTGTGGGCAGAAGAGAAGGGGCATAAGAGCCGGGGACAAGAGAGTCAGCAGAAGAGCAGAAGCATAAGCGGAATAAGAGGAATAAGAGTAATAAGCGAGTGAGCAACCCCACTCCACTGGTTTTATCTTCTCACACTGGGAGTGTCTGAGGAGAAAAAGGAGGGGTCATCGGGTCTCTGATTATTTGATCTAACTTATTCTTTTGGCTGGTAAAAGAGTCAGATCTGATACTCACTCACTATGATTAATATCATTGAATGCTTGGTTTCATGATAAATAATTTGATACTAAACACATATGAATGAAGTGTAGGATCACATCAAACATTCTCATTATGTTTTAAGTATCACATTGAACATGCTAAATTACTCTGAAATGAAACAGATAGTAACACATAGAAACTGTGAACAACAAAAGAGTAAACACATGTGAATGAACGTCATCATGATTAATAATGGATTCTAAATACTCACATTCAGATTATTCAGTGACATTATAACCACCTAATGGTTAAGATACTAAATAAATAACTAAAATATAAACCAAACATTTCTAAACTATTTCTGTTACTTAGAGTAAACTTAGGATTCATAGTCAATAAATTTAACTCTTAAAAGTTCATGAAACAGTCTGAAAAGCTGTTGGTCTAAAGAACTAAAGAATAAGGATTTATTCTGTCAGATAAGATAACTTGGCTTCTGAAGCACATAGAAAAACGGGAAACATCTCATTTTAACACAAATTTCATGATTAGACAGATTAGTACATTGCTGAATGCGTAAGATGTCATGATCAGTCATTTGTATTCTTTCACCAAAGGAATGCAGTCTTTATCAGTGTATGGTCGAGCAGGGTTTTACAACCGAGGTCTGGAGGTCAGTGTCCCCCCTTATCCTGGGGTCCGTATGTTCACACACTTTAAGACGCTAAATCTCAAATGGGAGATCTGGGTTGAGACGTTAATGTTTATTTAGATGGTCAGTAATGGAGTCAGTTTGAAAGGTAATAAAACTCTGTCTCTGTTCGCCGCACTGACCAATCCTGAAGAGTCAGAGGTTTAGTCAACCTCCGGTTGGGTCACTTATTTAACCTGAAAGTGCAAACACGTCTGGAAAGATTTATATCCTGTTTCCTGGGACCAGATAAGGAAACTTTCCTGTAAGGAATGTGTGGGTTTCACATCCAGGGTTGTCTTGATTGCTACACATGATATATGACATCATATGATAAAATATAAAATGATCAATGATACAATATGAAACTATTATATAATATATTATGATATGATATATGATATGATATGATATATGATATAGGAGTTAATATAATATAATATAATGTAATATGATCTGATAACTGCTATATGAGTTGATATTGTGTTATATATGATTTATGATATGATATATGATCTAATGTGATATAGTAAATGAAATGATATGATAGACTATGATATTATATACTATGATATGATATATGGTTTAATATGATATGATTTGAAATATGATATATGATTTAACATGATATTATACATGAGTTAATGTAATATGATATATGATCTTATATGATATGATAAATGAAATGATATGATTTACTATGATATGATTTGATATCTGATATGATATGATATGATATGATACGATATGTGTTATTGTCATAAGGCAGGTGATACAGGCCGGTTAGCCCTAACAGATGGTCACATGGTCAAATGTCACAAAACACAGCTTTTGCATGCTCTCTCTGATGGGAAGCCTGCTAAGATCTGGCAGAGCTCGCTCTGTTGTGCGTCTGTGTGTGGTACACATACTGAGATAAATGCCAAAACTCACAACACAGCATTATTGACCACTGTAGGATTTATACAGGAACCTTGTACTTGTTTCTTTCAGGGTAGATTATGTAGAAACAGTAACTTACCGTTAAAGACAGTGCCTGGAGTAGCAGTGACACTTGTGGGTCTGCTAATGAAGTCTCCTGGAACAGTCAGGTGGTTTGCTATTGTGCTTCAATCGACTCTGATTCCTTTTTTATGGGTCAACTTAACCTGCTGAGGTTTTTTCACTGAGCGCCAGAAATATATGTGGCTTAATTAACTCTTGGCTGGGCTGGAGTAGATATATGTCAAAGTGGCCCATATAGTAGAACCTAGCTGAACTGATGCTCAGAATGAGTTTCACCTGCTTTGGTCTGGACCTCCTTACAGGGCTGTAGATATGTAGACTTGTCATGTTAGTATTTAAAAACTTAAAGACTAGAAAGTTTAAGCTTTCACTATGTTTTATACCTCTTCTCAAGGTGTAACAAAACACATCTTTCTACCCTTTGATAACAAATACAAACAAATCAAAATGCAGCTTTACATCTTTGGCATCGACTTTGTCTTATAACTATAATTTGCAGATCTGTATTTGCAGCTAGTCTGCTGAGGCTCTCTCCATTACATACTGTCCAACTCCCAGTTACTTCAAAGGTCAACACTGTCAAAACAGAGCTACTGGTCCATTGCGGACAGCGTTGTCCAAGTCTGGCCGAAGTTTGGAAGAACAGCCATGCTTTTGTAAATATCTCAAATGTTTCACAGCCCGTCATGGTTTATTTCTTCTAGAGGTGCTGCAGAGCCAAGTGGATGAGTTTCAAAGGAGCACACATGATCATTCATGGATGTGCCAGTCCTGCAACTATTTGCTGGTTGATTGTGTTGAGTCTTAAATGTTAAGTTTTTAACCTCCATTTTATCATCCCAGAAATCATTTAACTGATTTACTTTGGCATACTTAGTTATTGTTGCTTCTGCGTTCTTGATAGAGGAGGGTTGGTTCAGCCAGGCAGAGCAAAGTGTGTTTTCATTCCGTGGTTATGATAGACATCTGCAGATGCCACACCTTATGTTACGGGGGAGGAGGCTCTGGATCAGTGCGTTTTCTTGCGTGTTCCTGTTTAAGTTGGGTGTTTGTTCCACACTATTGATGTCAAAGCTCTGTTTATATTCATTCATTTAAAAACTAGACCACTTCCCAGGAGAATCTCATTCTCTTGTCCTCTTTTATTCTTTCTCTGCAGTCACATCTTTTCACCCATTAACTCGTTTCCTCCCTCCTCTGTTTACTTCAACGTTCCCCTCCTCTTTCCAACCTTTCCTTACCTCCTTCTCGTTCTTCCTCCACCTCCCTCTGTTTCCCCGCTCCTTCTCAAGGAGCTGGTACTTCTTTCACACACAAGCACTCACTAGTTCACTTGCACCCACTCACCACTTCTTGCCCACTCGCACACGTACGTTTGAACTTGTTAGCTTAGTCATTTCCTTTCCGTTTCACTTTTGCCTCACTCCCGTGGCAAACTACCTTCAAATCCATACTATAAAGTTACATAATCAGATCAGAGCTCGATCAGTGAATTTCACTCTGTTATGGATGAAGAATATTTCCCCAGTAGTTGTCATGAACACCCTTATACACATTCAGTGACCACTGCATAACTGCATCTTGAACCAGAAGAATCATGAAGTTACAATAATCAATAAAAACAACTTAAAGCTCCAGTGGGGAACTCAAAATTTGTGTCAACTTTGGCGCCCCCTGTGGACGAGGCAGTGTTTTTCAGCTGCTTGGCTAACACCTACCCTCTCGCATCGGTTTCAAGCATTTAAAATTATGATATTCAAGTCGTCTATCTTGTTGCTGGTGGTTTTGTTTTCTTTTTTATATCATGAAAAAGCACCAGTGTGAATTTCACTCAGTCAAACAAACTCCCCACAGGAACTTAAAGGAACCGTTAGCGACAAAATAAAACCGCTGCATGTATCAGCAGTCATTGGAAAGACTCTGCTACAAAATGAGGGTAAGTGTTGAGACGTTACTTGTGACTTATCTTGATAAAATGAAGCAAAAATGGTGAGAAAATATACCTGAACAGTTGCTCAAGAGTCATTTAAGTATGTAATCTGTCTGTTCCTGGTTAAAACCATTAAGGAACAAGACTTGTAACTTGCTCCATGCTGCACTCTCTCTCTCTCTGTCTCTCTTCACTTTCTGTGTGGCTTCGTCTCATACGCTTCGTCCTCATTGGTGTTCGGCGGCTTCTTCTTCGTTAGTGTTCGGTTGCTATTTATTCCGGCATTGGAACTTGGAATCAAAATTTAAAAATTTGAACGGTTCCTGGAGAATCGGAATGTTAGTCCCGGTCCCCATCGACGCTTGAGACTCGATGCCCAACCCTAGTCTCCATAAAAGAGTCCAGTCTAGCTTTTTTGTGTCTTGTGATAAGATAACATGACGAGTATCAGTCATCATATTTAATCCAAAGGTGGTGAATTGTAGTATGTTCCTTTAAGACCACATGTGGTGTCCTCTGAAGAGTCAGCAGCCTCAACGATGATCCAGTGATGTACAAGTAAATGTCAACCGTGAAGGAGTTGGCTTCTTCTCACCAACACCCTTAAGAGCAGTGGGGGGGCAAAGCAATGCATGTGAGTGATATAGAGGGTTATTTATTGTTTACTTGATCTGAGCACAGAGTAGGCTAAAAGGATTTCCTAAAGACCTCACAAGGGACAAGGACAGCAAATTAGCCATGGATTTTCTCGCTTATTTATGTTTTATCCCCCTCTCTAGAGTCTGGGTTATCCCTCAATGTGAAGTAAGAAATGGGAACATGACAGGAGTGTGGATCCATGTTTCCATTTTTGAACTGGGGTCTGGGCCAGATCACACCTTCCCGTGTTTGCTTGGCACCGACGCTCCACAGGGCCACTTATGTAAAAACACTGTGGGTGTGTTTGGGCGTGCAAGGATGTCTCTGTATGTGACATCTCTCTTGCTGTAAGAAACGGAGGATGACTGCTAAAGGGATTGGAAAGCATTAGTCTGTAAATGGTTAGTTTTGTAATGACGCCCCAGCCTCCTCAGTGTTTGTTTTGTATTATCACAGAGATCAGATTATGGAGGAAAAATAGGCAAGCATAAAAGTGGGAGTAACTCTGACAAAGCCCAAACTGTGTTGGTTAAAGCGTGGTTTTATGGCTGCATTTCTCCACATCTTTTTCCATGACACGTTCCGTTTTGTTTTCTACTTGTTTGTAATTGAAGTTTCTCCTGATATCATTTCTTATTTTTGTCCCCGACAACCCGGCCACGACTCCAACTCACCCAAAAACGTCTTTGCCCACCACATCTAAAAATACCCTGTTAGGGGATTGAGTATGTGATGTTGCCTGCGTCTGAGCAGCGCGGTGCACAGCCGAGGAAACAAAACAACAACGCAACTAAACAATTTCGTCTCGTCTCGTTTTAGTCAACAAAAATGAAGAGATATTTTAGCAAAGTTTTTATTTTGTGAACCACATTTGGTTTTGGTTTTATTCGTCAACAATCTTGCATGATATATTTAGCTATAGTTATCGTCACAAGAACACCATTTACGTTTCGTCATGTGATAAAGGTTCGTTGACGACGATATTTTGTCATAATTTTCATTGACGAAAGCAACACTATTATTAGACGGGGTCCTTTTCAGTCTGCAAAAAAAAAATCTTAAATACTTCATCGTTTGGATAATACTTATTATCCTTATTCTGCTTCTCTTTACCTTTTGCCGACTGTTTAAATGTAGCTTTTGCATCTTCAAGATAAGTTTCTTATTCATGTAGAAAAACTAAATCAAAACTTTTCCCCAGGAATGATCTTTTTGTACCATATTGTTCCGTGTTTACCCATATTCATGATGCATTTCTGTCTAATTTCAGTTTGTCTTTGAATATTTTTCCCTTGACACTGCCAGATGAAAAGCTAGAAAGCAGAACCAAAGCTGGCAAAGTGCTTTGAGAAGACGCACAAGCCGAAAATGAATCTTCACAATGGGGTATTTCAGGTTGTTGCCTGCCTTTATTCTGCTTCTGCAATTTAGCTTCCTGACGTTAATAAGACTTTTCAGACGACTTAGAGTGTGTGAGGATGGATGGAGGAGGAAAAACCACAATCATCAGACACTAAGAAAGCTCATGTTCAGTCTTTTAGTGAGTGTCTTTTTCTTGGCTTTGGAAGTCAGGGTCGTTTATATCATTTGACTCCAGACAGTTTTCAGAAAAGTGGTCAGAAACTTGATCACTTTTCTTTCTTCAGGCTGTTCCTCACATGGCAGGACTCATCAGAACAAACTCTTTACTGTGTGTGTAACAATCAGTAAAATACAGACTGGAGATGGGAAAACAGCAGGCTGCACCGTCGAGAATAGAAATAAGCTTTTACCCCCACTGCTGCTCAAACATGCTTTTTTTTTCTTCTTATTTATTCCAGCTTTGAACATGTCCACAGCAGGTGTGTGCATTTGTGCCGACTCAGCACATGCGATTGTTTTTAGGTGTAAAAGTCTGCAGCCAAATTAAGCCGTCCGTCATTGATATCACCTGCCAAGAGTTTAAAACCAAATTTATTACCGTCACATTTTTCATTTTTTTTAGTCTCCCTGGATGCCATGGCTTAAAAAAACCAGAGCGTTATTATGTAAATCCCCCAAATGAATGTCTTTTAAAGAGATGAGAAGCAGAGATGCTAATTCGGAGGAGCCTGTAGAGACACGGACCGGCACACAATGGAGGAGAAATCTTATTTGGCTTTTTTCTTTTAATGAGTAATATTTTCTTTGTTTGCATTCTCTCAGGGTTATTTGAATCTGCTGCATTCGGTTTTAGAAGCTTGTGTAGATCTGCGCATACCTCAAGGGGCGAGAGACAACACTTTTCCTCTCACTCGAGCGCATCATTTCCATAACCACACTTTAAATAGAATTCTGCAGATGTGATGCTGTTGCCATCATGTGCTTATATATATTTTTTTCCCTCTCATACAGACATCCAGTTATAATAAAGTGGGAAATGGACCCCGTGCAGGTGTTTGTATTGTCAAACACAGCCTGTTTAGAGCTGTGTTGATGATGATTGGAACTCTAGAGCTGTGAGCATGAGAATACAGACCCAAAGACTGATAAAGTGCTGTTGAAAGGGAGTAGCAAGAGACTATTTATAGCTGATCAGAACTGTCTCCAGATCAGTTGCTGGTACTCAAGCAGAGAGCCCAGGGAGGGGAATGAGTGGTTGGCTCTTCAGAACAGAGGCTGGACTTGGTTTGGTTTGTTTTTTCACCATTTTTTCTAACTTGATATCTTTATATTGTTCTGTTCTAAAGATCTTTGCAAGAAGTAGCTGATACTCCCATCGCCTCAAATAAGTCACCAGGTCTAGCTGAGTTTTATGGGGCATCCTGGGATAAGCTTGGCCCGTTACTTTGGGAAATGATAAAGAGTGCTTTCTCAAAGGGGGTGAATGTAGCTCTGATTTCTTTGCTTCCAAAAAAAGATCCAACTGTGACTGTGCAGCTGAGTCTATGAAACACAGATTACACCCCTCCTATGTTATAGATGCTTTGGCAGACAAAAAATACCCCAAAACAGTTCTTTCCAATGTTACAATGAAAGCTTTTGATAGACTTGACTGGTCCTTTCTATGTCTCTAATGGGAACTATGGGTTTTGTGGAGGTCTTGAACGCAAATGCATCAGCTCTGGCGCTTATAGTGGGCAGTTAGCTTCAACACTTCCCCCTGTCACTGGATCCTCTCGCCCAATTAATTCCACTTTCGAACTCCTTCTGTCTGTAACACTAACTCCCAGGTGGAGTTATATGCTGATGATGTATTTGTCTATCTGGAAAGCCCTGCACATTCATGCAGCTGACAGTAAAACTGGGCAGAGCACATCAAGCTTTGTGTTGTATCATGTTAGAAGAGATGCAACAAAGTGGTCTCCTCTTGGTGTGACAACCAGCTAAGCTAAAACTGTTTATTATCCTCTGTCCTTACGTCCTACAGGTACTACAGTGCCACCATCCTGCAGATGTCAGGAGTGCGGGACGACAGGCTTGCAATCTGGCTGGCAGGACTCGCCACCCTCACCAACTTCCTGTTCACCCTTTTGGGAGTTTGGCTAGTAGAGAGAGTGGGGCGCAGGAAGCTCACCTTAGGCAGTATCGTAGGTACGTAACTGAAACGTTCTTCTTTAGGAAGTACTTCTCATTGCAAATTTTACATGGAAAAAAGTTTTTCACAGGTACGTGTTTGAGCTTGGGTCTCTTGGCCGTCGGGTTTCTGATGTCTGCCCAGCACAGCCCTCCTGTCACCTTCCATCCACTGGACCCATCTTTGGCCAATATTACCTGCTCCAAATACCAGTAAGTATCCATCAACCAACCATAGCTGCTCAGAGATGCTTCACCTATCGTGAAATTTCATTTGAGAAAGCCTTCATCCTGCGTTTCCCCTTACTGAATTATTAACTGCTTGAATCAGTCACCATAGCTGCGACACTGTGAGGGGGTCGTGTAAATATTGTTTTTGTCTGTGTAACTTAATTATCTCCTGAGCTTTTAGGCCAGAGTGGAGCACAGTGTCATTATAGTCTCAACTGCCAACAAAGGGCAAACACACACAGGACCTCATCAGATGACTCTATGTCCCATTTTATTCTCGCTAACACAAAAGCTAAAACTCGTGTGTAATGATGGTCTTTCATCAGAACAACAAACAGTCTCTAATGGCCTTGCTGTCCAGCCCCCACACAATATACACATACCACTACGCACACAAACACAACGCTAAAATGAAGAGATGAGTGCTTTTACCACACTGTAGTGGCTTCATTGAGTTCACTTTACTTTATATGTGCCCACACATCATCTTGCTGACCAAAGCAGCATCATAGAGGCATCACACCCACCACAGGCCTTTCAAGTCCAGTGTGGATTAGATGTATAATTGTAGAGTTATTCTCGGGTTGTCTGCTTCGGAGTTTTTATGTATGCCACATGCATGGATTAAATTCCCTTCCTTGCATTACATGTAAGATCAGTACTTCCTGTGATTTAATATGAAAGAATTGATCCCTGTGCATGTGCTTTACCAAGGCTTCCTCCCACAGTCCAAAGACATGCTTGCATGGTTGTTTGGTGGTCCTAAATTGTAGGTGGGTTTGGTAGTTTGTCCAAGACTTTATAAGAAATAGAGGAAATCTGGTAAATTGACGGAGTGTTTTTGGTAAGTCAGCCAATTCCACTTAAATCAATCAATCATTCTTTATTTGTATAGTGCTAACACAACAAAAAGACCAGACTTTTGCTGCGTTCTAGTTACCTCGGAAGTCAGATGTCGGAGCTGAAAATGATGTCACACCTGAGTTACCAGCGTTTCAGTTACCAAGTTGGAAAAAAACAAAATCAGAAGCGGAAACAAATGGCTACATCTAGTAAAGTTATTTTAGCACTTTCATTGTCCTTACTTATTTTTGGACAAGGCAAGTACCAAAATAACTTAGCCATCTTGTTTTTTGCTTTTTTCCGACATGGTAATTGAAACGCTGGGAACTCGGGTGTGATGTCATTTTCAGCTCCTGCATCTGACTTCTGTGGTAACTCAAACACAGCATAACTTTTCATAGATGTAGCCATCTTGTTTCCGCCTCCGAATTTGCTCTTTTCAGACTGGGTTACTAAAACGCTGGTAAACGCTTGGGTGTGGTGTCATTTTCAACTCCGACATCTGACTTCAGAGACTGTCTCGAAAGCAGGATTTATTTACAGAGACCTGATATAAAGATTGAGCTCCATCTTGTTAGATCTGACTCACTCCCGTCGTCATCTTCAACCACGAGTGTAGCACTTTGTAGCATTAAACAAGTTACAGCGAAGAGGAAAAAGTTCCTTTTACAGGCATACAAACCTCGAACAGAACCAGTCTGTATCTGCAGCTACTACATTAGGTGTAGTCGGGGGATAGAAAGAGCAAGATGGACAGAGGTAAGATTGATGAAGGTAGTTGAAGTAGCTGGAAAGCAGGCAGGTCCAAAACATCTGCAGCAATGATCCAGAGGAACCTATGGCATGATGGACCTCAAGGACACCCAGAAAAGACTGTGTATTAGTGACTCTAATGAGACATGATGATTCAAAGTTAATGACACGGACACAAAGAGGACGAAAAAGGAGGGAAAGGTGCTCAATGAGCCAGAACCCATAGCAGTCTCAACCTATAGCAGCTTAGCTAGTGTATGAGCCAATATTATGGTGTGCTAATGTTCATTATGTCTGCTGTTTACCTTACAGATGGTGTGAGCCCTGCATGCTGGACCCAGGATGTGGTTTCTGTTACCGTGAGAATGGCTCAGCACTCCTCACCTCCTCCTGTGTTCCAGTCAATAAAGCTACCACTGAGCAGGCAGCATGGGGCAGGTGAGTCACAGGATGTTGTATGGAGATGTGAACGTGTTACGGATGCAGCGGCTGGGCCGGGGTTGAGTTTGTAGTGGAAAAACTTCCTGACGGAATATTACCAAATTGTAGCGAGAAGTTTACATCACATCCAGCCTAATCTGAAATGACACTTCACAGATTGAAAGGTCAAGAGTGAATAACATGCCAGTGGGTGTGTCCCTCTTCCAGATGCTCCAACTCCAGTCTGATGAAAGATCAGACCTACTGGGCGTATAACTACTGTCCCACCTCCTACTCTTGGCTAGTTTTACTGGGGCTGGTGTCCTACCTGGCAGCTTTTGCTCCAGGTGAGTGTTCAAACCTGAGTTTTCTGACTCTACTGTGTACTGTCCCCTTTGTATTTGAATCAAAGATTGTCATTTTTCTGTCATTCATGAGTTTAAGTTAACTGCTTCTGTCATTATTTGTATTTACAGTTCTGCTGATATGTTGTTCCCTCATTAAAACGCCAGAAAAAAAACAATGAAGGGTTTACAGATATCTCTAAACAACTTTCATTTGCTGCAGACCAATGAGTCATTCAGTATAAAAGCGAGATCCAAAATAGCTCCTGAATGGAGCTTTAGATAAGATTATTGCTGACGTTAATATTTAGCTCTAAGCACCACCATTGCTAATCCTGGTCCCACAGAGCTCACGGCAGATTTGCAGATGTTAAGTCTTCTTTAATGTTATCTAAGTGTTGGAAAAATCATTTCTGAAGCTTTGTGCTGCCACTTTAATTTGAACTTGCCCTTTATTTTTCTCTCAGGGATGGGTCCAATGCCGTGGACAATCAACTCAGAGATCTACCCTTTATGGGCAAGGAGCACGGGGAACGCATGTGCAGCCGGAGTTAACTGGACCTTCAACATCCTGGTGTCTCTCACTTTCCTCCACATGGCGCAGTATTTCACTTATTACGGTCAGTTTTATGACAACAGAATTGCACCGTAAATCAAGCCGCGCTCTCCTGCCAGATGCTATAAATGGCAGCTGTGAATGCTCTCTGTCTTCATCCAGTCCTGTCAATCCTAATGAAACCTCCCCAGCAGATCTTTTACATCATTTCCTCGTCTCCAGCGAGCTGACTGACAACCCCAAGATGTTGCCAACTATTCTCCCGATTGTCCTCCATACCTCCTCAGTCATTGTGCTTCAACAGCAGGTTCCTCCTCAGACAGGAAGGAACTGACCTTTTTACAGAGCTGGTAATCAATCCAGCGAGGGTGATCGTGGAGTCATCCTGAGATGTGGCAGGTTCATTATCAGTTCGAGCCCTTTTTTTTCCAGTCAGGCGGTGTATTTTTATTCAACAGCAATGGAAAACAATGTCACAACTGAAAAAATATGATATCAGAGAAATGGAAATGGTCATTCTGCTTTGGGGGTTAAAAAACTGAGAGAGCCAGTCTCAGGAAATCTCATTAAACCTCTGTCAGTGTGTTTCTGTGTGAATTCTTGTTTGTCAGTACATTTCTCGTTGTAGCATACCCTTGATATAATGCCATGCTGACAGGTGCATATTACTCGTACTTTGAGAGAACAGCGACAAGCAGCTAGAAAGATATATTTCAATTTGTCCGTACGTTTCCATTTGCCAGTGAACCCTTGTTCATTGATGTTGGGTGGCAGTCACATCTAATATAAGCTGCCCTCAGGATCTGCCGTCACCATCAGTGTTTCGTTTTCCTCGATAAATTAGAACAGAACTTGTAAATAACAAGTGACACTGCTTTCAAAAACTGCGACTGTGTTGCTTGTGTCAGTGGGTGGCTGTCCTAAATGACACTCTGCTCTTTTTTTCTTTCATCTCCCCAGGAGCTTTCTTCCTCTACTCCAGCTTGGCTTTGCTGGGTTTCTTTTTCACGTTCGGGTGCCTGCCAGAAACAAAAGGCCGACGCCTGGAGGAGATAGAAGCGCTGTTTGAAAACCAGCTTTGTTCCTGCGGCGCCTCCGATTCAGACGAGGGGAGGCAGGTTGAATACATCCGAGTCAAAGGGTCAAACTACCATCTATCAGACAACGATGCGTCTGATGTGGACTAAAGTGTTTTTGTGTTGGTAGAATCATTTCAGGTATTTCATTCACTTTGGTGATAACTTCAAGATGCAGGGTAGTCATGTCTGTTAATAGTTTTCTTTGTCCCAGCTTACACAGGGACAAAGAAAACCATTTTAAGGTAATGAAGTACACTGCTTCTTAGGTCTCTGCTTGTTTTAAAAGTGTTATTGAGTTCACTTTCAATTCAGGAATCCAAAATCAATCACAATGCTTTGGCGGCTACCAGACTGAGTAAATACACTTTACGTTTAACCTGTGCTCTACACTGAAGGCAAACTGACTCCATTTGCACTCAGTGGTCAATCATGTCATAAATATCACCATTTTCACACGCAGACACGCAGTATCAACAAAACACAAGGGACTCCTGCGTCTCTCATGACCACCGATGATAACATGCTCTACAAGTATTAACTAACAACATTATAATTTAGCATTATGTTGGAGAAAGTTTCCGGTGACCGTTCTTTTTAAAAGGTTCATAAATGTAGTCCAAGAAACCAGGTTTATGCATCCGCAGTTGTCAATTAAAATGACCATTATGCCTTTACAAATGAAAGAAATCTCAGTTCAATGTCCCCAACGCTTGTAGTGTAGCACAGTAATGTCAGTTTGTCACCTGGTAATAGTCGTGGTTTGTGGTTTTTGTGATATTTCGTATGAAAACAACCCCAGAGATGTACAGTGAGTTTGAAACACTTGAAATAGTAGTTGGTGCCTAAGTAAAACTTCTCACCAATCTAGTAGCACTATAAGGAAAGAGTCCTGATGCTATTCATTATTTAGTTGTCAGAATAATAACCCCTATCTGTATAATTTGATTTGTACAAACTAATCTCTTCACCATTTCACTTTTCAGGCTTAGACTATGAAGAGTTTGTGTCACTCTGAGGCTAGTAAGACAAAACCCAAACAGTGAACCTAACGTATGTTCGATGTCCATATGCGCCATGAAGCATAGACGGTGGTCGACTGAGGTCACTTCCTCGCTGAGACTTGTAATTAAGTATTTCATCATATCTTGAACATTATATTAGTGCCTGTGTTTGTGAAGGTGCCTAAAGGCCATTTTTGAGTCCAAATCCCTGAAAAGGATGTATTCTGTCATGTATGTTATGAAAAGGTCTGCACTGCAAAGCTTTTTATTTATTAGACTTGTACATAACTGCATCTTCACCGACGAAATATTATTTTTTTACTTTAATTTGATGTATTTAGATTTTTGTCTTCCTCCATAGCCTTATGTACAAATAGCAGAGAATATCTTTTTATGTAAGTTCTCGTGTTGAGTCCAAGAGTAGGATTTAGGGTTATTTGCAATGTCGTTTTGTAAATTTGTACCACCGTGTGAGGTAAAATCTGTTAGTCTGAAGCACATGTGTTTGTGTAGCAAAACCTACTAAAGTAGACCACGTGGTATCTTTGCATAAAAATACAGAATAGGTGGACAGGACGTTACAAAGCTGAGCTGCAGGAAGGAACAGTTCTCTATTTTGATACATTGGTCCTGATCAACGATAAATTAGTGTGATATATAACCAAAGGAGCTGTATATCAAATGTATTGACCTATCAAAGTGGAATGAAGCGCTCACATCAAGTATTGTGATATGTTTTGCTTTGTCAACCTGGTGTCACGTAAGAATATTATCAGTTTAATAACCACATTATTCCTCTTAAGTGCCACAGTATTAAAATCACAACCCCTGACATTATAACAAAAACTCTGATTATTGGTTTTTCCCCAAATAGGGCGATGTTGTGCTGATTTTTCAACTTGGGGATGCTGATCATTTGTTTGTGGCATGCTGTGATGTTGCCTTGAGAACAGTCACTGGTTTTCATTTATATTATAGAGCCGATCTCTCTGACGGATCAGAGATTAGTGAAAAGGTGAGAGAAAACTAAATTATTGTTCAAAATGTGAAAGACTGGCTGTATTCCAAGGACGGTTGTCTCTGAACCACAGAAACTATTGTTGTGCTGAAAATATAATTACAGGAAACAGAAGGATCCTGATAACACTGACAGCGTCCTGAAAGTTGCATTGACCAGCTGTTGAAGATAACTGTGTGAGGCTGCTCTGTGTTCAAACTTTAACATCCACTTGATTGATTTTCGCCCCTACAACATCAAGAATACTAAATGTGTACTTATGATAAAGCAGTTGTGATTTTTTTCAATGTGAACCAACTATCTGTGTTTCTACATTTTACCAGGAATGACAAAAATACAAAGTAAAGTGACGTAGGATATATTTCATCAATGTTCATGCTGTAAATGTTTTGCTAGAGTTTATATTCTTAAGAAAAAAAACACCTTCATGACACCTCAATATGTACGTATATTGGGAAAGAAATAAACTTATGAACCATAGTAATGCTTTCACTGTATCTCTGTAATTATACTAACTTGGATTTCCTGCAGAAAAAGGCGTCTTCTTCTATCTTGCTTAATTGCATCCTCACTGGCCCTCCTCCTTTCTCTGCTTGAGCAGGAGTAAAATGTCAGCTATTTCCTGGAGTGTTTGGGCCTCTTCTGAGAGTCTGTTAACCCTTCTGGCAGAGTTGACCTCCTCCCTCCTTTCATGTGATGGATCTGTCATCAGCCAGCCGTTCTCTGTTTGCCCCCTCTTGCTGCTGTCCTCACCTAAATCTGTAATAACAGATTGGAGTAAAACCAAATATCCAGGCTTTTTATTCTTTGCCTGTGAAATCTGAAGAGCCTAACTGGCACAAAATTCTGCACATATTTTACTCATGGAGTGATTTAGACTTTTACTCTGATGTTATACCTGTGCTATCAGGACTGCCCAGGGCACCTGCGAAGCGGTTTACGGGTCTCTGTAGGATCACATTTCCATCACTGTTGGTCGAAGAGGGTATGTTGGTAACCCAGACATCTGAGAGGGAACCAGCTTTGGATTTGATCTCATTCCAGGGTGTTTGCTTTTCTTTATTCCTCATGTTGCCTGATGAAGGTGGGTGTGTAAATGGCTCCAAAGTAGAGTTAGTCTGCCCCCCTGTGGCTGGATGCTTAACTGACACATCAAAAGGTGGCAGGAGAATGTTGAAGGCAGCGGCTTTGGATGCACTTGGCACAACAAAGCTGCTCTGGGTCGAGGCGTCACATGTTTTTGCAGTGGGTTTGTCATCAGTCTGAGTTTCTGCGTCTCGGGTTTCACCGGAGGTTCTCTTACATTTGCACAGCTGTACGCCCTGAGCTTCAGCCAAGACTGAGGGAGATTCAAACTGCACGGTTGTGCTTCCTGACTGTTGGCTGTCACTTCCTTTATCGTTATTTGAGCAAGTGAATGACTGTGTAACTTCCTGTATCTTTTTGAGTTGTGGCGATGGGGTGTGAAGGCTTTGTTGACTGTGCCTTTGGCCATCTTCACAACCGGTTTGGCCCATACACAGCTGACAGCATGTTTCATCCTAAAAAAATCATTGCAAAGGGGAACAGTAGTGACTGATGTTCTGTGAAGGAAATCTTAAGTAATATACATGATGTACTTTCATGTTAAACAGTCTGAGCTTTAGTTATTTATAAGAGCTTTCGCCATCCTCCAGCAAATAATTTTAGTAATAACTACTGCTGGCAGCTGCGGATCAACGGATCATTTGTCTACTAACACTGTACTTGGTAAAGGAAATTGCTGTATATGTTACAGTGACAGGACCAAACTCTAAATTGTGACTCTTATGATCTTTTTTGGTCTAACAGCAAAATGTAAGACTTACTTTTAACTTACTGTATCTGAGTTTGAAATCTGAAAGCCTTTTACACAGGGGTATCCTGGGAAGTTGTCACAGACGCCGTAGTTTTGTTGAAGACAAGCTGTTGGAGGAAAAGAGATGTATCTTGAGCTTATGTTCTCCATCATGTAAACAATGCACATTTAGTTAAAATGGAGACTATTTAGACACTTACAGCAGTTCATGTCAGGGCAGCTGGAGGACTGTGAATAAAAGAAAATTAAACTGTATATCTATTGGTGCATCATAAACCTGAATTGATAAGTTTACTCTTCAAATCTTTATATCAACATTGCGATGACTGGAAAACAGCCAAAACTTTCCAAAACACCCACCAAGCCCAGACTTTTTATGGTAGCTTACCTCCACTTCCATGTACTGTGAGTCAGGGACAGTTCTGTTTCAAAAAAATAATAAGTGAGGCATTCTGAATTATGAGTGATAAAAGTTACAGTGATTTTGTATTTACACATACTGTGGTGTTGATGATCTGCCCGGTGTTTCAGCTCTGAGATATATTTTTGATTTTGTCCCTGCAAAAGCTGAAACCAAATTCAATGTTAAGCCTCACAAGAAAGTTACTGTGGCTTTATCGCTGTTTTTGACTGTAATTACCTGTTTCTTCTTGATCTTCAGAGCTGAACCCTCTGAAGACGTCGTCCTCAAACTGCTGCTCAGTTACAGACTGATTCAGAGTAAAATCCAACATGGGCTCTGTGTCTTCTGATTGGTTTAGAGAGAAGACCACCTCGTGTGCGGCATGTCCTCTGTGTGAAGACACACACCCTTTGAGTGAATATAAAAGCAACAGTTATACTACAACAAAAAAGAATCCCTCAGTTTCTAGGGCCTGATCTCACTCTTTGTCTGGACTTCCAAACAGGACCTGGGATGCTGTGGGAGTCTCCAGTTGGTAGAGCAGAGGGTTTGATTCATCTGACTGGGGAATACTGTCTGTCATTCTTCTTGGCTGGGAAAAAGGCTGAAACTATCAAATGAAAGGAATACATTTCAAATGATAAATCTCAAGTGGCAAGGCTACAAGGTTCTGTAAAGCTCTTAGACAGCTCCCAGCGACAGGCACTGCTGATCAAGCTCATGTTTTGTTTGTGGATATTACAGTCAGCGAGTCCTAAAAAAAACTTAAGCCTTGTGTGCGTGTAGATTCTAGTGTAACCATGCCTGTGCAGCTGTAACCATGGAATTGCATGATTCTATTATCAGTTTTCACAGATTTACTCATTTTTACCCTACCTTGCAGTGCTCCAGCTCTGAGGTGACCCAGGGTGGAGGAGAGCAGGTGGAAGGTAACTGTGCGTGTGTTTGGTTTCTCTGGTGGAAGGGGAATATTCCTGAAGGGAGACAGAAAGTTTTTTCCAAATTACTTGTTGTTAAACACTCATGCAGCTAAAAACAGACATTCTATGAAACACATTGCTACACAACCTTGACCTGATGAGATGGAGGAGAAGGGGCTGAGGGAGTCCGCTTTGGTTGGCAGGTAGTCGGATGCACTGTTGTCTGAGAAAGCTGACTCGAATACTGGTGACAGCTTTGGAAAGAAGAGCTGGTGAACATTCAGCATTTTGTGCTATCAGTTATAAGTATGAAATCGTCTAATGCAGATGTTATTTTTGTCAATTATGATCCTTTTTAAAGGGAAACAGGCGATAGAGAAATATGGATAGCAGCAGCCAGCTGCAATAAGGTTGCTGCCACTGAGACATGTTTATGGGATAGAGAACAATCTCTCTGGCTTCTAAATATCGCCAAATGTTAAAAGAAAAAAGTAAAACTGTATGACAAACCTGTCGACTTTTGAATCCTTGTGGAAAAACATTCTTTCCCTTTCCTTGAAAGCTAGACATAGAAATACAAGAGACTGAATAACTATTGCAAGATAATACGGGGTTTGACTTGCATGATAAAATGATGCTACCGGCAAAAAACGGTATCTGGGTCTTTAATTGACACAAACCACTCTCAGAAAGTACATTGTTATTAATATCCTCTTTGTGATAATAGACGATTTATGAGAAACAACACCCCCGCTCTACCTGTACTGATGATGACTCTCGACGAGATCTAGCTTTGATGGAGAGCAGGGACTCATTGGGAGTACCAGAGGTTCATTTCTCTTGTGCTTAGATCCAAATTTACCGCTTCCAAGAACTGCCACTTTAGGGGGATCTGGAAACACAAACAATACATGATAATATTCATCAAGTTATGTGCCAGTTACTTTTACCACAATATTTTACTGCAAAAAAACTGCTCTTAATCTGTTTTTTAAAGTAAGCATCATTATCACTGCACCTTTCAGTGTAATCCTCGAATAATTACTCAATTTCACCTTTTTTTTCTTTCTTAGCAGCAATCTGGTTGACGATGAATAAAGTCACCAGATCCATACTGCCAGATGTGGTGCTTGGAGTCGATGCTGGAAGGGCAATATCCAGGTTTTTCAGTCTCTGTTGCATTCTTCTTCTTTCGAAAAACTCCTGAAACATAAGTAACAACACATTTATCCCCAAACAATTCAACCAATACTTCTCACATTAAGTTATTAAATGTATTAGGCTGCCTCACCCTCTGTCTTTTGGTATCATTTTTCATCACTAGCCGGCTCCTGCAGCGAGTTAAAACACTGTTAACATCACTGAGTAAAGCTAATATTAGCTTTGAACCAAATTATTATTGCTTTCTTACCTTGAACCCCCAACCCAATTCATTTCAGAAACTCTTAACGTCAAGTGTCAGAGAAACAACATAGACTTACTAGCTTAATGTCTTTGCTAGTTAGCTACTTGCCGTCACACTTCACTACTGACCGTTACTTAACCAACGTCTGCTCACGCGACCGCTCAGAAATATTAATAAACGTATTTAAACCTTTTTGAAATACTTCTACAAGCGGTTTGTGTAGTGTGAATACAATATAAAATACATTTTGATAAAAGAAAATGCTGCTATAATTATAAAATATCTACTACATTGTTGCACGAACAGAAATTACAGTACAACAGGTGTTGTGCCTTAGAATGCATCCCCGCCGAAGAATGCATCCTCTGCATCCCATCCACTCGTTAGCTTCTTAAAGTGGAAGAAAATGATCTCATATTTAAAAAAAAACACGGGTATTTGATCATAATAACATGTCAAATGGAGCAGCAAACTTTCGTTCGCATATATAGAGGTGTACTTTGGTATATCAATTGTACAGTAAGCTGTCAAGGTAGAGAACATTTATATATTTTCGGGACAGCAAATATTCCGAATCAGAGGGTTATTGTTTTCGGCTTATCTGAATAGCCTGAATTAAATCATTAAAGGCACACGCTTTTGAATCCATCAAACGGTAAGGAAAACTTGGTTTATTTCGCTTTGTTATGTACTTTCAACCGCGCTTCCGTTAAGGGATGCATTCTATGGAAGGGGTGCATTCTACGGCACAACACCGACACAAATGTATTACTGTACGTCCATCACGCAACCAATCATGATTTGCCGGGGGAGCGACCAATGAAACGACAACTGTCGATGCGTCAGGCAGTGAAAAAGCGTTAAGCTAGCAACAACCGGAAATGAGTTTGAGTATTATGTTAACAAATTAAAACGTAAACACAGACTCGTGTAAACAGGAATGTAAGGAGGTGGGGGTTGACCTTAATTGTTTTATTTTGAAATTAACCGGAAGTGTATTGTATGAGGTATATGGCAATTTACTCTTACAAAAAAGAGCAGGATGTAGCGGTACATGTATTGGGCTCGCTTTAACATCAATCCAGCCATCCGAGGTCTCTGCTCTAAATGTCGACGGGAGACGATTGCAGTCGGCCTTGAGTGATGGCTGTTGCGAGGATCGGCGACGGAGACGAATAACGCTCGAAAAAATGTCCAACATCCTCGATGCGGCGTCCAAAGTGAGATGGGACCGCACGGCTGCGGCCAAGCGAGCCGTGTTTCTTGCGGCTGCTGCCTACGGTGTCAAAACACTGTACCCCATCATCTGTAAGCAGCTCGGCAGAAACAAAGATCGCAGGAATAACGGTGGGATTTCCAAGGCGGAAAACGGTACGAGTTGTTTGATAACGCCGAGTGATGTTGCGAATCACAAAAAGGCATCCCCGGGAGTAAATGCGGAATTTTTCAAGCAGATCCTCGAACTTGGTAAAATTCTGTTTCCCAAGCTCGTTTCCAAAGAGCTCGCTTTGCTCTCCCTGCACTCCGTGGCTCTCATCTCCCGGACGTTTCTGTCTATTTATGTGGCCAGTCTCGATGGTAAGATTGTCAAAACGATCGTGGAGAAGGAACCCAGGAGCTTCATCATCCAGCTGATCAAATGGCTCCTCATTGCCATCCCGGCCACGTTCGTCAACAGCGCCATCCGGTACCTGGAGTGCAAACTGGCACTGGCCTTTCGCACCCGGCTGGTGAACCACGCTTACCGGACCTACTTCACCGATCAGACCTACTATAAAGTCAGCAACATGGACGGGAGGCTCGCCAACCCGGACCAGTCTCTCACTGAGGATGTTATGATGTTTTCTCAGTCGGTGGCCCACCTCTATTCGAACCTCACCAAGCCTATCCTGGACGTGATGCTGACCTCCTACACCTTGATACAGACCGCCAGGTCCAGGGGGGCCAACGCCACCGGGCCGACCCTGCTGGCCGGGCTTGTGGTCTTTGCTACAGCTAAAGTCCTGCGTGCATGCTCGCCCAAATTTGGCAAGCTGGTCGCTGAGGAGGCACATAGGAAAGGCTACCTGCGCTATGTGCACTCCAGGATCATTGCCAATGCAGAGGAAATAGCTTTCTACAGGGGACACAAGGTATGCAGGGATGATTGCATATGTAACATAACCTGAAATATAACACCAGTTAACAAAAATCTGCCCTCCCAGGTGGATAAAACATGATAAAGTTCCCTGTTGGTAACCTAACCTTGTTATGTTTGGTTGTCATGCAAAATTAATTAAAGCTCCTATAAGGAGTTTTTAGGACTTTCATGAAACTAACTGAAATTTACAACAATGCTTTCTAATGATATACAGGAGCTAAAAAAACTATAATCAACCCCTGCTCAGACTGGCCCTTGGCGTATGTTACATAGACGGTTGCCTATCCCCCTTTGGAAAATAATGAAGATAAATTCATATAATAGTTTATGACGCCCACTGGTGCCCCCCTTTACTTTTCTGTCTTGAAAATAACATATGAAATTACAAGATAAAGTAACTACCCACTGAGCAATAGATGGCTATTAGACTTCTAGTTTTTTTTAGACTTCATTTCAACCGTCTAGATTCTGTATATTTTTAGATGGAATTTAGACGTTGCACTTTAACCCATTATTCGATAACTATTTCAAAAAGCAAATGTGAGTTGCACAACTGATCTCCAAGTACTTAACCAAAATAATTACAAAAGCCATTGAGCAACATACAGTGTAGTATAGATCAAGCCCAAATTTAGACTTGGTATAAATTTAGACGTCTAGAAAACTTTCATTTTTAGACCTGTGGAAGTCTGATATTAGACCAGTCGTCTAGACTACATTTAGATGTCTATTAGACCTCTTTTAGACCAAAAAATGCTCAGTGGGTATGTTTGTCACTTGGCAAGTCACATGATGCAGGGGGCGCATCTCAAGTCAGCGAGCAAGTGAGGAGTCAGAACAGGATGGGTGATTTTATTAACAATTTTTTCGTCATGAAAGGGACAGCTAAGCTCTTGGGCGCACAATTTCAGGAAAGGAGAAAAGAGGAGGAGGAAAAAAGTCCAAATATAAAAGAAACGTAATGTCAACATATTTTATGAAATATCATTTTGTGTAAAGAACATGTTTTAGCTAGCTAGCTTGAAATAAAGTAAGCATTAGCTTAACACGCTAATGTCCGGTGAACAGACGAAAAATATATTTATGTATACGTATAGAAACTGTGTAAACTTAGTTTCTTTTCCACTCATTCCTGGGTCATTTGAGTCTTCCCTGGTGAAGACTCAGGGTCTAACAGCTGCAGGAGAGAGAACCAAAATATGGCAGATTTTGAGTGAGTTAAAATGACCAACTGACTAAAATATTTCTTATCACCATATGAATTCCCTTGAAAATCACTACTTTATTCATAACCACTGCGCTAAATAAAGATAGCATGCAAATCCCAGGACCACTCTTACTGACCTTATTTGCCTACATGCAGCTATCAAATCCACCCAAACCTACTTTACCCTCTATCACTATTGCCGGGTGAAAATCATCCGAACACATGCCTGTAGGAAAAAGCAGGTTTTGGATCAGGGAAACAAATATACCTTCAAAGATGTCAAAGGCAGTGCTGAAGCTACCCAGGGACCCATGATACTCAGACAAACACAACATAATGAAAAACACGTAAACATGTTTGGTTGGGTGAAAATCACCCAGCGATAGTGTTCTAGGGTTAATAGTTACGATTAATGATGAGGAAGAGATTTGTTGTGATAAATCAATGCTCAAGCATGCAGGGGACTGGATAAGGAAAGACTGCTTTGTCCACAGGGGGCGCCAAAGCTTAGACAAACTAAAAGTTCTTCACAGGAGCTTTAATTTTGTTTAATTTCCCAAGAGAAACCTAGGCTAAAATCAAACTACTCATCTTTAATGTGAATATGATCATCATACAGAAGCTAGGATTACTTAATTTCCTTGGGATGGACCTCCAGACCCCCTCAAATCACCTTTACCTCAGTATATTTAAATGAACCCTGCTTTCCTGGTATCAGGGGGTTGAAAAACTATGTAACTGCCATCCTTAGGTTGCCCACCTAAGTTTTCTACCAGCTCCTATTTTTGACAGGTTATCACCAGGTTTAGGTGGTGGTTAACCTTTCAAGCTCGGATAAATGCAGTAAGTGACTTCTGTCTTCATGTTCCACTACAATGTTTTTGACAGGTGGAGATGCGTCAGCTGCAAAAGTGTTACCGTGCTCTCGCAGACCAGATGAACCTCATCCTGTCCAAGCGCCTGTGGTACATCATGATCGAGCAGTTCCTCATGAAGTACGTTTGGAGCGGCAGCGGGCTTGTTATGGTTGCAGTGCCAATCATAACAGCCACAGGCTTTGCTGACAATGGTAAGGCAGTCTCAAGAGATTTAAAAATATCAGTTTAGTCTTATCCCTTGATGCTTTACAAGAAAAGCTATTCTACACCAGACTCCATTTACCTACAACATAATGGAGCTCAGGGACTCCCAGAAAAGACTGTGTGTTTGTGACTCTAATGGGATATGATGATTAATCATTCTTGACTATATCTGATGGTATCTGATTTTTAATAAACCCTTTGTAATTGCCAGTATAACAGTTTTATTTTAGGGTGTAAGCACATCTCAAACTGCACATCTCAAACTGCACATCTCCTAAACCATCAGCTGTTAGTCCTCCCTCTAAACAAGATACATGTAAACTGAAGCTAAAAATGTTTCCTTTGTTTTCATGCGCTGCTCGCGTGCTCATGTTCTGTGGTCACTCCCAATATTTAAATAACTTATTTCCATGGTATTCTAATGCCCACAGGTGAAGTGTGTGGGTGTGTGAGCTCACGGACTCCGTGGTTTTAAATCTGATAGCATAAAAAAATCTTAAAAATCAACAGTCCTGCTGCTCAAACAAAGACATCTGTCAGATCACAGTTTCTTTCACCAGCTATCTCTGCTTGCTTCTATCCTTTGTCTGCTCTCTAGAAACTGCTGACGGGCAGACACAGGTGATGGTGAGTGAGAGGACGGAGGCTTTCACCACCGCCCGTAACCTGCTGGCCTCTGGAGCTGACGCCATTGAGAGAATCATGTCGTCCTACAAAGAGGTGAATGGCATACTCGACTCGCTTCGGCGTTTGTTTAAGCTGCATCAAAGGCATTTCCTGTACAATTCAACACTGATATACACTTAACACTGAATGCAGATAGGCTGCTGGATTTGTAAGGGAGAGATTTTGGCGGTACTCTCTTATCTTGCACCATAAAGCATTTTAAGATAATATTGTAAAAGATACGATTAGCCTGGCTAAACTTACAGGCGCTCAAAATGTGCACAGATTAACATTAGCATGTGCGATCGAGTGATTTCATTGGCTGGGGGAGTGAGTACAGAAGTGCTTTGACAGATGGGCGGCCGAACGACTGCACATATTGACTGAGTGATTGACAGATGCAGACAGTGCGGGGCAGTCATCTCTCTCTACTTTCCCATGATAAGCTCAACGTGCAGGCGTAGCAGTTTTCTTTTAAAGCCCTGACTGCAAAAGCAAAGAAAGAAATCACTGAATGAAAGGCCTTGTTCATTGAGGGCCAAATCCCTGATCTCTTGTTGCATTTTAATCCAAAAAAGAGGGAAAAAAATGGCAGCGGGACCCATTCATGCCTTCCCTCTCTCTCACTTCATTTCGAGGCCTTTAAGAGGATTTGGCTGCTGCTGCACGGTTGCGGTGATGCAGTATCTACTCTTGTTTATACTTGTATGTTTATACTTCTTTTTGAAGAAGGTGAGGTCAACCTGTAAAGCATGTTGTTTGTCTGAGTGCAACAAGATTTTCGCAGCCTCCGTTTGTGCTGAAGAGTACAGATTTTCCTCTGTGTGCAAGTGCGAAGGAGTTATTTTCTGCTTTTCTGAGCGTGAGTCACCTCTCCTCAAACACTTCCTTTTGTCAAACTTGAAAAATGCTCAACCGAACTGCACCAATCTGGTGTTTCGAATACACTGAAGCCTCAAAAGTCTGTGGAAATTAAGACAATATGAAGCACGTGGACTGTAAAGAAATGTGAGGATATATTCTCCTAAAACTCTCCCTGGAGGATATGCATTCTTGTCCACTCCAAGTACAGTGCTGTTAGATGCGGAGCAGCAAGCCCTTACATGCAAGGATGAGAGGTGTGGGAGTGTGCGTGCAATTTAACAGGGACATTCCTCAGGCAGTGCGCCCAGCTCACACCTCTGGAAGCTCTGCGTATGTCACATAACAGCGTGTATTTATATACTTTTTTTATTGCTCGGCTTTTATCATTGCTGTCTTACCTTATCTTTCCAATATACTACCTAAAGTCATATCGTTTTGGATGTTTACCTCAAATTTGAAGTTGAAGCACATGGTGAGAAGCGTAGCAGTCATAATAGGGGCTTATTCATATTCATATTTTTCCAAGGATCCTGTTTATGAGAGTGAATTTCATTATTGGACAACACAGCTGGGTTGTTATCAGACATTTGCAGGGCTAATGAGACACAATCACAGAGGGAGACTGAACACAGAAAGCTTTTACAGGCGTTAAGTCCTGAAGATTGAATCTACGGCCACTTTTGTTTCACTGTAGGTCAGCCAGCAGTGAATCCTGTGTTGTGTTGTTGTGGCAGCCTTGTCTGTGTGTGTGTGCATGTATATATGTGTGTTTGTGTGAGCGCGCTCAGAGCTCCTTCCCTCAAGGCTTATCCTGACTGTGAATAATCCTCCATCTGTTGATCTTTCAGGTTGCACTTCTGCATCTCCTCCTCACTTTCCCTCCCTCTCTTTCTTTTGCAGCATTTGCTCAAATATTTCGATGTTTTTAGATTCTTCTGCACAAACACACATAAAAAAACAATCAGTTATTTCGCACTTGGACACAGCCTGTTGTCTGATCTCTTTAGTACACTAAATCTGAATGCACAGCGCGATGATGTGTCACTGTAAAGTTCTTTTCCTCGTCATACTCATTTCTTTTGTGTTCTTTGTTCTCCCTTTTGTTTTTTAAGTTTGTCATGTTTTTGAAGCCCCACACGGTGTCCCTGAATTCCCAGAATAAGCATTTGTTGTTTCACATAATCAAGCTGTGTCAACAGTCTGCATTGCCCCACTGCAGGGCGCAGTTCAAGAGCACAAGGCAAGAAAGGGGACGAGAGGACGTGCTCAGTTTTCCTGTTTAGACACTCCTTTAGTTTGGCTCTTCTTCATTTGTTGTTCCCTTTTCTTATGTTTAGATTATTACAGTCATCTTAGTTTATAAAAGAGATACCCCTTGTTCTCAAACATACTCACATACATAAGCTGTGATTGGCTGATCCACAGAGAGCAGAAATATGTGGGAAAAAAACACATTTATCAAGTAGTAAATTTCTGTATGTAACTGTAAACATTATTTCCGTTAAATAAATTATGCTATACTTGAGCAGACACACCATTTACATATTTTTTAATGATATTTTGTTCCATATTTTGATCCGTCCAGACATGTCAGATCATTGTCCTCATCGTGAAAACTTTCCCGGTGTCCCTTCCCAGCGTTGACCTCCAACTTTTGTGTGTTTGTGTGTGTCTGACAGGTCACAGAGCTGGCAGGTTATACCGCACGGGTCCACAACATGTTTGTGGTATTCGAGGATGTCCAAAGGGGCGTTTACAAGCGCTCCTCTGTGTCCACCACATCAGGAGCGGAGAAAAAGAGCAAGCCTGAGCTGCACATAGATGGACCGCTGGAGATAAAGGGTAGGCCTGTTTTTTTTTTATTTTTTACACACTCGTTTCCATCCTTGTATTTTCCCTAAATGGTGCCATATTTGGGGAACTTTCAGGACTGTGTCTATACTGTCAGGAATATGGATCCGGTGTACTTTTCATTGCGTCACATTTCATGAAAAAAAAGGTCCCTATCAGGGTCAGAGGTTGGAATTCTCTGCATGCTTATCGGAGTGTACACATGATTTGGCCTTTAGATGAACCTCCTGCTGTAAGGCCCCTTTAACCTGAGAGATAAGAAGGTTGAAAACTCCGGATTTGTGCTTTTTATCACATCAATATCTGTGTGTGTGTGTGTGTAGTACCTTTATGTTCTATGCCGTCAACCTATTTCCTTTCTATTTTGTCCCTGCAGGTGAAGTGATAGACGTGGAGAATGGCATTGTGTGCGAGAACGTTCCAATAATTACACCAAATGGGGACGTGGTCGTGTCCTGCCTGAATTTCCAGGTGAGAGAGACAAACTCTACTGGATCAATCTGTATCCCAATCATCATCAAACTCACTCAGTACTACCAAATGATGTTGACTTGAACATTTGCTGTCTTATCATGTCAGAGCTTTACTCCATCATCAGCCTCCCTCGGGGTGTTCTATATGACACTAATTAGCATTCAGGCAAAATCCTCTGAGGTCCAATTATGGAACAGATACATCCTTTGGGTGTGGAGGTGTTGCTCCCTTCAGGCAGTTGTTTACTGTGATAAGCCGGAGATTCGCTGAAGAACGCAGATCAGTGCTTCAAAAAGAGTTCAACAAGCACTTTTTAAACATGAACAATACTGATCAATTCTCTGTATGTTCCTGTCCTGTCCCTCCTGAGAGGCTGATTCATGGAGAGAGGATTCATTCTCTACATTTTATAGGATTTATTTATCACATGTTGTGTACAGACTGGTCTGAGGTCAGCGCACTGCTCTGTCATACACCAGCTGTTCAGACATTTCTTTCTTCTTTCGTAACACAGTATGCTCAGATGACTTAAATCAACATAACGATTAATAAACAAACAAATATCAGGATTTTGAATCAGCCTTTTCCAGAGTTTATTTCGCAATTCAAGAAAGTTACCATGTAGCTCATAATGAGTTGCAATGAAGAGTTTTTGCAGAGAGCTTGTTTAAAATATATTTTGATGAATGTAAATAAAAATTATTTTAATTCCTCTTTATGATATTTAAAAGTAAACCAGACCATCAGTAAAAAGACTGACATTTTTTGTTTGGTGGTTTTTAATACCCGAAACAGCCAGTGAAGAATCAGTGTTGTTTTGCAATCGCTACATTAAAGCTCCTATGAGGAACTTTTAAGTTTGTGTCAATTTTGGCACCCCCTGTGGACAAAGCGGTCTTTGCTTCTCAATAAATGTAATGTCTCCTGACAAAAATTCTATCCTGCTGACAGTCAAGTACACCATTTGTTGTTTATATCATAAACAACTTTGACACCTACCCTCTCACACCAGTTTGGGGCATTGATAAAGTTGTCAATTTCACCACTGATCAGCTTATTTGATTTTGGATATCATCAAAAGGCCTCAATATGAATTTCAGGATATTTCATCAATGTCAAAAAAACTCTTACAGGAGCTTTAAATACTCAGTAATGAAGCATATGACTGTCAGTCACTAATTCAGCATTTAGAGGACAAGATAAGCAAATACTGCTTTGTCCACAGGGGGCGCCAAAACTGACACAAACCAAAAGTTCCTGACAGGAGCTTTAAGTAAATATTTACTTAATCTGGCATTTTCACTTATTTTGGTGGAGTGGGTCTTGACTTGGTGTAATATCTATCTGTAATGAAAGGTTTATCATAGAACAGAAATACATAGACTTACTAGTTTCATGTTTGTCAGGCTGGTTCAGGTTTATACAAAGGTTCATTCGAATCACAGCACCTATGGCAGACAGCTAAAGTGCGTCATATTCATGCAGGAAGGAAGTCTCTGTTAGTTCAGCGTCTCAGGATTCCCTTTGTGTAATGTTCAAGTCTAATACTGTCATGATCTACATGCCCTCTGATGGTTTCTGTCTATCCAGGGATTTATATCTTAGAGACGGTTTGTGATTATAGTGAGGGAACACTCAGATTAAATCAGATTAATACTCTCTCTCTCTCTCTCTCTCTCTCTCTGTCCACTCCAGGTTGAAGAGGGCATGCATCTGCTGATCACAGGGCCTAACGGCTGCGGAAAAAGCTCTCTGTTCAGGATCCTCAGCGGCTTGTGGCCGGTCTACGGGGGGCGGCTACACAAACCCTCTCCTCAGCACATGTTCTACATCCCTCAGAGGTATTCACAGAAACACACACTCACCTGTTGCAGTGTGCCACAGCTGTGAGTTGTAGTAACCCAACAGTGAGGTCTGGTGTGTCTTATCAGTAATATAATCTATTGAAACAAGACCTAAGTGTGTGTGTGGGTGGGCGTGACAAAGAGAAAGCAGAGCCGTGGCTGCAGTGAAATATTTACCACCCAGAGAAGCTTTGAAATACTTTCAATTACAGTAATTTCTTTGTTGTTCTGCTGGATGATCCCTATAGTTAGAAAACTGACTATCCATCCATGCTGGTGCTTTTACTTTTTATTAATCGCAACCACTTTATATGGTATCGCCTTTAAGATTAACATTACCCTTTACTTTCATGGAAAAACTTGCTAAGGTTCAAAACAAAAGCTGTCACTTATTAAAGTTTGCACTTGAGAAGTCAAATGATAGTTTTTTAAAAGTCTGAAACAAAGTAGTCGTAGATCTTCGACCCTGAAACCCCGCAGCACTGGTCTTACACAACCTTAGGTAACTTTACCCAGGGCTGCCCGGAGGTGCAGAATCAGCTGTCTCCCTCCTGCAGAGCGGTGAATATTTTATACACAAGATGAGTCATCTGCCTGTCCGCCGAAACAGAATCCAATACAATGTGTTCATGAGGCTTAATGGATGTCCTGCTCTTTAAAGCATTTGTTATTTAAGGGTCTATACATACATCTACTTCTCTGCATCATTCAGAAGACTGTTTGAAATAAAGGGTTAACAAAGTAACATCGTGAATGAGTTTTATGTGTGCTCCTCCAGGCCATACATGTCAATAGGTTCACTGCGTGACCAGGTGATCTACCCGGACTCAGTGGAGGACATGTCCGCAAGAGGCCTCAGCGATAAGGACCTGGATGCCATCTTGGATATAGTGAACCTCAAACACATTGTCACCAGAGAGGGAGGTAAGACAGCCGTGAATTATGAAACTTTAAAAGTATCTGAGTTTGTATCACGGTGAAGGATTCTCTATCTCGTGCTTACTAACTTTGAGCCTGTGGCTAATTGGCAGCCTCTCTCGACTGAGCGCCAAATAAACAGGCTCATTGTTGGGAGGAAATGTCTCTGCAGGGCTTACAGTTGCAAGAGGCTTTGATTCGTGAATGGCCTCACTGTAAAAAAAAATAAAAATAGCTGAGAAGGGTCTAAATTGCACATGCAAAGAACCCAGGTCACATATACTGTCAGAGATGGACGTGGGCACATGTGCGATTAAGCTGCACAGATCGCCCTCTGCTTTCGTCTTTAATTATGACACAGAAGCAGCTGTAATCAAACACTAAGTAAACAGCACTGTCTCGGTGTTGTAATGGTGCTTGTTAAAAACTGTTTGTTTACATTTTTATTGTTTCTTTACTTTGGGAGAAGTTTTCTCTAGTTTCCCTTAAAGTTAAAGCTTGAGTACCGCTGACTAAGACTACTATTCAGACTATTGCGGCTTTCCCAGTACCTAAAAAAAGTTCTGCTTGAGGCAGAGAATAAGTCTTGTTTATTTCCAAAGAAGTTCCATAGAAGCACCCACAGTTTAGCAAGGTTTTGGAGCTTTAATAACACAAAAAAACTCCTCTACAGGCGCACATAAGGTGTTGTATGTGTACACTTTGCGACGTGTATCAAAGGCAAACAAAGAACATAAAGCGCAATCAACAAAAATTATGGCTACCCAGGCTCACCTCTCCACCCAGTGCAGGTGGAACAGCCCCTTATATAACTACCAGATTTCAAACACAGTGCCCACGTGACACAAAACCCAGCGAAGACAAAAGAAATTGAACACAGGATAACTGATAAACAAAGCAACATTATGGCTCCCAGACAGACTGTTTAAACAGGGGAAGAGTTTGCTCTCTGCGTTTGTAATCCAAAAATATCACATTCATAAATTTTTCCTTTGCCGTCAGGTTGGGATGCAGAGCTGGATTGGAAGGACGTGTTGTCTGGAGGCGAGAAACAGAGGATGGGAATGGCCCGTATGTTCTACCACAGGTATGAAGAAAGAGGAAATTGTAGCCTCTTTGACTAAAATAACACTGACGCCAGATTCATCCATAAAAAAGCTACTTAAAGAGGATTTAAAAGTCAGGATCGTACGACATATGGCACATAAAGCGTTATTATTACATCTTTTCACCCTGTGTTTTAGGCCTAAGTATGCTCTGCTGGATGAATGTACCAGCGCAGTGAGCATCGACGTGGAGGGAAAGATTTTCCAAGCTGCTAAGGATGCTGGCATCTCTCTGCTCTCGATCACACACAGACCCTCACTGTGGTAAGAGAAGAACCTGCTATCCTTTCCTGTATTTACACAAAAAACAACGCGTAAAATTCTGCTTCAAACCTCTCCTCTTCGCCACCTCTTCAGGAAGTACCACACCCACCTGCTGCAGTTCGACGGAGAGGGAGGCTGGCGCTTCGAGCAGCTGGACACGGCGACACGCCTCTCCCTCACCGAGGAGAAACAGCGACTGGAGGCCCAGCTGGCTGGCATTCCCGAGATGCAGCACCGTCTCAATGAGCTCTGCAAAATCCTAGGAGACGACTCGGTCCTCAAAACAGCCGAGTAGTGAAGTGGGTGTGTGTGTGTGTGTGTTTGTGTGTGTGTGTTTGGGGGGAAGAGGAAAAAAGAGAAAAAAGAAGCAGGGGGAGGAGATGAGGAGGCAGTGAAAGAAAGAAAGATGTCTCCGGGGGATTTTCTTCTGTTTCGTCAGGCTTAGATTTATTTAGCTTGTTTGGATTTTTTCTCTCGCTCCATCAAACCAGCAGAGCTCTCGGTGCCAGCTCTCCTTTTAGCTTTCCTTCCTTTTTTTCTTCTTCTTTTTCTTATAACTCCTTCACTATGCTCCAACCAGTGAAGTTTAGAGAGGGGTGACTAAAAACAGTCAAGTATTATTCCCTCGTTGTCGTTTCAAACATTTGCAGCAGACATCTTTTTCAACACCAATTTGCACCAGTGGCAAATCAAACAAGACAGTGAATCCGTTTATTTTTTAGCACTTTACTCTTTTTTTTAGACGGCTGTTTTTGTTTCTCGTGTTGCTGAAAGTGAAATAGGCACGTAGCTGCTTTTTAGCTGGAAAACATTTTAGTTTAAAACCACTAAATAATGTTCGAAGCAGTATTTAACTGTGAGTTTTAGGTCATAACAGAACCAATGTCTTATATTTGAGGTAGTAAGAAACATTTTTTCATAATGTCACGATATGCCTTTGTTTGGTTTGTAAATCAGTGCAGAACGATCCCCGTGTCTTATACCTCATCTTAGTTTTGTTCGGTTCTTGCTGGGATTCAGTCATAGTTTTACACATGACTAGCGAAGACAAAGGGCTCTATTTTTATGCCCACCAGCGGCGCGGCGAAGGGTGGCGCACCCTGCACAGTGGTATTTTCTTCTGGCAGACCCCGATGCACAGCCAGTTTGGTATTTTCGTAGACTGAGGCGCACCAAGGTCCGCCAAGCTGGGGGTAGTGGCGCGGTAGGGGGAGGTGTTGACAGAATCAGCTGGCACAGTGACATTTTTGTGCCCGCCGGCGGCGTGGAAAGTGTGCTGAAAGCTCGCTGATTCAAAACCTTGTCAGCTTTCAGCGCAGGTGAGCAGGCGCAGCTGGTCTAGTGGTATTTTGGTAGACCGGTGGCGTAGTGCGCATACGTCCTCTGCAGCGCTTACAGCGGCACTGGTTGAGGGGCTGCTTTTTGTTGCCATCGTGTGGCATAGCGGTCTTCAGACATCTCTTGATCTCTTTGACTACTTCACAAAAATTGTAATACCCCTCGCCGCCGGCGGATTTAAAGGTGAGGAGAGGCGCTGATGTGATCGGCGAAAACAGGTCTTGTCTGTGTTAAACCCACTCCACGCCTTCTCTCCTCTCTCTCTATGACTTACGTCGCTGGGAGGAGCTGAGTAAGAGAGGGGGGATACTTACGCCGGGCTGCGCCGCTCACCAAAATACCAAGATGTGTTTGGGCACGCCTTGTCGGCGCAGCGGACCTGACTCACACTGCGCCTGCGCCACACCACCGGCGAGGCATGAAAATAGAGCCCGAAGAGCCAATCTGGGCTCCTTTATTAAAACCATTAGTGATACAGATCCGACTTCAAAACTATAGCTGTCCAGTTTGTTGAACAAATACAATCAGGACGGGACGAGAGTAAGCTCACCCTGGAGGTCAGCTCTGTCTGTGAACCCACAAACAGGAATCCATTAAGATGATCCAACTGGACGATGCTCTCCCTTACCTACATTCAATCCGCATACATCATCGACTTATTTTAATGTTTGATACTGTGAAATTGGAGGTTTGTCATGAACACTGTGGTCTCTTGTGGTGGTTCGGAGTTCAGTTCTCGCTGTCTTTTATTCTTAGTTTGAACACAGAGTCAGAGGCGAAGATAAATCAAGTGTGGTTACTTGTCAGGGGTGCATTGTGGGAGTCTGTTGGACTCATGGATGTCTTATCTCATTTTTACATTACATAATAGGTCCAGGGTGTCCAGATCATAACCATCAAAGCATGTGGACCCATGAATACAGTCACATTTATGACACTATAACTCTAGAAATTGCAAAGGCTCCATAAAACAGGGCACACCGGACTTTCTTTGTCATCCTAACACTGTCACAGTCCCACTTTATTAACAAAGCGCCACAATAAACGCTTCAAAGAGGACAAAGGACAATCAGTCACTTTATCAGCAGAATACAAACACGTCTCTCCCCTTTTAGCCTTAACACCTCATAGTTGTACTGATGATTGATGATAGATCTATATATGCATGCTTGAATTAGTCCTTTTATCGATGGTAAAATGCAGCATCCTAATTCCAGTAAGGCCCCAAATCTTTGCAGCCGACCCTTTTGGCTTAAAGGAGACCAGACCTGTTTGGCTGCAAAGGGTCAAACTTGGATTTTTTTCCCCCTCTCTAGAAAATGTGAAAGAATTACGAGATATTTGTGAATGCATGAGTTTTGTTTTATTTTTATTTGGCAGGCATTACTTCAGGCGTGGCGAGTATTTTTAAGGCCTGTTTATTTTTTATGCTGATGTATCTGCGCCGTCAGGCAGGCTCTGTTGACAGGAAGCCAGACAAGCTGCTGAATGACACAGAGCCCGCCAAGACACTGGGATGTGAGGTCTGCTGGAGTGCAGACAGCGCCTGAACTCCATTAGCATGACTATAACATCTATAGATAGCACAGAAATACTGGATAATAGATGATGATGTACCACTCTGGAGTAACCATACTTTTTAAAATGGTTGTATCTCAAAAATACCCAAAGTGAATTATCTAGACATGTTATTTTTCCAGGATTAAGTTAGGCCCTTTGCACCCTGATAGGCTGAACGACTAATAATACTGTAATGACGTCCTTACTAACGTTTTTTAAGGAAAGTTTGGCTCTCGAGCTTCCTTTTTTTGTGAGTAAGAGATTGAATGTATCCATTGTGTACGATGAAGCATCTCTAAAGGTTTCTAGGATAATAAATAGTCAGTCGATAGTTCTTATTGTTTGATATCTGATCATTTTACTATTGTGTTGATAGTGCATGTTAACATTAATTTATCAGAGCCTCATAGTGGCGTTTGAACCGGGATTCTCTGTACATTTGTTTTCTCAACTTGGATAACGGGAAAGGGTGACGTTTGACATTCTCAGCTTGATTTTCCATGTTGTTCAAAAGGTTTTTGAAAGTCCAATCAATCTTAACGGCAGAGGAAATATGTGCTTTCTCACCCATCATGAATGTTGTTTGAGTTTTTAAGGTACCGATTAGACCGTGCTGGACCTCTGACACATAATGCTGTTAACCTCCCTCAAAGCCGGGGATAACTACACTTTATACCTGTTGAAAAACTACTTTAAACAGAGATCTGTCAGCAATCAAAATCTCCTGAACATGTTACTACTGGTATTTTATATACTGAATTCCTTGAATGGTAGTCCAGAGTGACTTTTTTGAGATCTAATTGTGCATGTAAGAATCTGTATACTTTAACTTTAGGATGAGGAAAATACGTTGAGTTCAAGGTCATCGGTTCAAAAATCATGTGCTATGGCCACTTTATGCTGAAAGATGAAGATGTATTTTCTTGTAAATAAAAAATACAGTGCAACCTCAAATATGTCGCTTTCTGACATTTTTTTTTGTCATAAAGTCACATTTTACAGTTTAATTCTGCCAAACAACAGTAAAAGCTTTAATTTAGTCGTTCTCTGACGTAAGGAAGGAGCTGATACATGCTAACCACCTTGTTTAGTTTCTAGAGGATGTGGAAAAGTTAAAGCAGACTTGATCAACCTCAGCAAACTAAAAGATGAACCAGTTCTTCACTGCGAGTGAAATCAAGATCCTCAAAATCAGGCTGGAAACTGAACAATTAAAGAGCAGATTTCATATTCTTACATTCTCTAACTCTGAGCTGTTTTTAAATGTAAAGAGTCTTATATGGATGTATAGATATAAAGAAATATTGACATATAGATATATGGACGTAGATATAGGGATACTATAGCTCTATATAGACCTAGAAGGACATAGCTTGAAATATATATACTGTATATGTATGTGTGTGTCTTTCTAGCACTATATAGAGCTATAACTATTCCTATATGTCCATATTTTATATGTATATGTCTGTGTGTATGTAAGATAGATAGATAGATAGATAGGTTAAGAATTTCATTAATAGGAAATGCTGATAAGAAATAGTTGATTGATTATTACTGATAGTGAAATATTCACCAACTGGAGTATTGAACTGGAGCACAGAACTAGCTCATGAAGTTGTGTTGGTAAAACCAAGAGAGGACCTTTCTTTACCAACTTTAAGAGTGTAATTCTCTAACTCTCCACAGAGTGTCAGCACAGACAAGAGGTAGTTTTAGTCAAGATGCTGGAACCACAACTGCATCAAGAAGGTTTCTTCACATGTACAGAAGTGTGGTGATCCTCTAAAGCACTGACATATCTTTGAAGCATTTTCTTTAATGAAATAATGTTTGTTTTGCGTCCCCTTTGGACAAAACAGTCTTTGCTATTCATGTCTTACACACTTACACAAGTGTCTCATACAAAACTGACTTACTAGTCAAAAAGGTGTCAGTGTGAATTTCATGCTATTTCATGAATGTCAAAAAAACTCCACACAGGAGTTTTAGGGCAGTAAATAGGCTAAGCATGACTGATTCCCATAGAGATTATACCAGACTAGCAACCCTCAGGGGCTCCTAGGACATCTTCGTCCATTTTTAGTGACTTTTTACCTTTCATTTGTTGATCATTTTGGCTGTGTTCATGTCAATGGGATGATTTTGTTCAGGGTTTTCTTCCAAATTTTAAAACGTGGCCACCTATCATTACATCAGGTCAATATTCACGGTGTGACAAAAACACTATACGTTTAGGTCCTTATGGACAAAAATGTCCATCTTCTAAAAGTGCTATAAAAATATTAAACAATAATTTTTTCCACTTTTTTTTGCCTGATCAGTCCTGATCATATCTATGAAATATTAATTCAGATTCAGAATTTTAACCCTTAAATGCCAGGTTGGATATATGATGTCACTGTTTTTTTAGTGGGAAAAAAAAGGAAGTTTTTATCCATATATTAGATGCTGGGCAGAAATTTCATTGTTTTGTTTTAATCAAGGTCTATGATGTGCCAATAATTAACAACATTAATTTTGATGCTTAATCACGTTTTATGTTTTTTTTTGTTTTTTTTTTAAAGTGACACTTAGGTCCTTAGATGGACATTTTTGTTCATCTAAGGACCTATGTGTAATTTTATTTAAGGACCTCAGAGAGTTAAAATGACAAGAACAGCATATCATTTGTCATGAACCGTACCTAATCATCTCTAAAGTGGTTCTGGTTGTAGTTCTGGTTGTACCCAGTGTGGATTGGTCCAGCTCGATGGGCGGAGTCTGTTTGCGTCCTCCGTCTTGAGTCTCACACGCAGAGTGGATTCCCTATCCACGCTCACACACGCACCGCGTTCAACCCGGACAATGTCTATGAAGCCGCACCAACGCCCGAACCACCACAGGCAATATTTTCGCTCCCAAAAATCACACTCATGAATAATATCCCACATTTCTGCCCCACGCCGTAAAATATGATTTGCATTTCCAATCGGGCGAGGAAACGAAGGTGAGGAGGACGACGGCGGTGGATAGGAGCTAAAGATAGAGGCGCTTCTTCTGGAAGGTGCAGGAGGGAAGGAGGGAGGAGGAGGAGGGGGCCCGCTGCTCCCTTGTTGTCTAAGAGGATAAAGAAAAAAGAGAAAACGAGCTATTTTTAATCTGGCTGTTTGGACTATCCTCCGGTGACACCATGACCAGCGGGCCGGATGAGAGCTCGGTGCGGGTCGCCCTGAGGTAAGGATGCAGAGGAGGACCCTTCTCTCCGTGATGCTCTTGAACACTCCACCTGCTTGGACCGTTCACATGTTATTCCTATTTATGCTTTTATTTTTCACTATTTCCCACCATTTGCCATTAATAGAATTTAGATTAGCAACCTACATCGACTCAGATCCACTAATTCAGACAATACCCTTCCTCCCCTAATGTGCTTTTATTTTGAAACTTCTTGCAACATGCTCCCCATTTGCTGCAAGTACCAGGATCAGATGCCAGTGCTTAAATGTGCATGTATGTGTTTTAAATGTATGCACTAACCTACATGTAATGCTTCACAGTGTGTATGAATGGAGCTCCCAGGGATTAGTCAGCGAAAAGCCTGTAACTCCTCCTAGCAGCAGTGGGAACAGCACTGACATTGCTCCATGCTTTTCAAATTACAGACAAGGAAGATTAACCTCATTGATCAGCACATGTGATCCATTTGTAGTCAGGTTTTAAGGCAGTATATTTATTGTATCCTTGTTTGTGTTTGCTGTATCTTGCTGATCTGACCCTTGTCCCTTCTGCTGAGCCGTGGTGTCACCTAGCTGGCAGATAGACTCAGATAGCCTCAGCCTGATCGCCACTTATAATAGTGTGTCAGCATGTGAGAAAAGCAGCTCAAGAACAGGCCGGTGAAGGGGGCAGGTGCTTTTCTTTGTGGGACTTTTGTAAAGAGAAACTGGCCTGTCATATGAAACGGATCAAAAAAGACAAAAGCGAGTCCGTCGTCTCATGTTTCTCCTCCCCTCTCTGTCTCTTTTCTTCCTGGCTTGTTATTATGCATTCAGACTTTGACCCAGAACCGTGTTTACTGAGCCAACTCAGTTCACTATCCCGTCTCAGATAATACATAATCTGTCAGTGTATCCCGTCATGCACTTCAAGCCCATAGTTCTGTAGGTCTCACTGATTATATCTAACTCCTGAGGATTTTAATTTTTCTGTTTTTTGTTTAAAATGTAAACGAAGGCTCAGGAGTTGCTTGTGTTGTGCCAACTAGACTTCAGAAAGTAATGATTTACTTGTATCAGTGATTGTAGAAACAATAGTTAATATAGTTTAATTTAAGTTATGCCACAAACACTAGGATATCATATTTCTTTGACGTAGACACTTCTGTGTCTCCTAATGAAGTGTTTTGGTTTTCAGATCCACTGTTGTGGTCCACCCTCTCTGCCTGCATCGACCTTGTTTGTGTTGATCACAATGAATAAGCTATAATCAACACTGTGCGTCTGTATAGCACCAAACAGCAGGCAAAGAGAGTGAGGGATGTAGTGTGTCTGGACTTGGTGATAAAGGTGAATGCATATTGTACAAAAGAGAGGCTGTGGTGCCGAATAATGAGAGAAACCCATGCCTTAAACACACAGTAAAACTACAGAGAAAACTCTGTTGGACTAACATGTAAAGATTATTTGATTTTTTTTGATTGATGCTGGTAAAAATGTCCCTCAGGGTTCTGTCCTGGGTCCCCTGTTGTTGTTTTTTATACGTTACCGCTGGGATACCTTCAAAAGTGACTCTTTTCTATGCAGATGACGCTCAGCATGTCTTTAAATGATCTATATACATTGATTGTGTGAGCTGTATTAAAGGGATATTCTGGCGTAAAATTATTTTAGGGTCAAACACACCATAACAACAAGTTAGACACCACTTCAAGAGATGAATGTTGCCGACCGCTTGCTTCTCTAGTTATATCAACTTTAGTAACGACGGCACGATAGCAATACACAGAGCTACACACTCAACCAAAACGCCACTCTATAGCCACAAATAATGCTCAGAACAGCACCTAACTTCATCAACAGTACATATAGGGTCCTAGCCATAGTACTAGCCACCAAACATCTTTTTAACTTTGCCTAATTTCTTTAGCAAAGAGACTAAACACAACTCACCTACTTTCCTCCAGAAGCCACTTGTTTGTAGCGAGACCTCAGGCCAGTCCATTACGGAATTCTGCGGGTTGACGCAGCTCAAGGAAGAACATTCATGATCATTTCTTTATCATTTCCTTATAATCACCATATTTATCATTTTGCACTGCAGACATGGTAGTTCTTCTGCCTTAGCGTCTCGGTCTGATTGTATTTCCATGAAGAAATGATCATAAATGTTCTTCCTTGAGCTGCGAAACTCCACTGTAGTCTGTAATGGACTGGCCTGAGGTCTTGCTACAAACAAGTGGCTGCTGGAAGAGAGTAGGTTAGTTGTGTTTAGTCTCTTTGCTAAAAAATTAGGCAAAATTAAAAAGATGTTTGGTGGCTAGTGCTATGGCTGGGACCCTGTATGTACTGTTGAGATGCTGTTCTGATCATTATTTGTGGTTATAGAGTGGCGTTTTGGTTGAGTGAGTGGCTCTGTGTATTGCTATCATGTGGTCGTTTCTTAAGTTGGTATAACTAGAAAAGCAAGTGGTCGGCAACATTCATCTCTCAACGAGGTGTCTAATTCTGTGCTACTGTGTGTTTGACCCAAACTTAATTTTACGCCGGAATATCCCTTTAAGACGTGGATGCCAGGTACTTTTCTCCAGCTGAATTCTGACCAAACAGAGACTCCTGATCATGTTGTGCCTCATGTGACAGAAAGTCTGGATGCCTTATCCTCCGCTGTAAAATCTGCCTTTTCTTTTGTTCCACACAATTAGAAAATCCTATTAACGTGACATCATCCTGTAAAAGCTTTACTTTCACTTCTTAAGTGCTTGAAAGTGCAGTTAGTCATCTACTATTAGGTCACCAGCCTTATCTCACGAGTCCGGAAACAAGTTTTCATATTGTGTCTCGCTCTAGCCGTCAGCCTCTCCCCCCTCACTGATAGCTTAGTTAGCCGCCTGCTTGTGTTTGCAGAAACTTGCAAGCCGGTACCTGCCTCAGCCTGGGAAGTTAATACTGTCTGTTAGCAAGTCCTTAATCCTCTACCTCAACAAAGTGACGAAATGCTCCTTTATCACCACAATTGGTGTCTTATTTGAAATCACAAGATCGAGGTTGAAAAGGTTTTGTTATCTTAATATGAGATGATGTCGCTTGAACATCTAGACGCCTCTTGATGGCTCTCCAGTGAAAGTGTGCCATGCTACTCTCTCAGGCTTTGAAGCTTTATTCACTCCTGACAGCATCCAGATGGGGCCCTTCAGTAACACATTACCACGCTTGTTCTGCAAACATACACACAAACGTATTTAGCGTTTGTAGGGTTATCCTCTGTACGCGCAGGTTTGTCATTCACATCTGCCTTGTTATGTAACACTCCATCTGTTTATGTAAGTTCACATCCTTTATGCCGTTTTATCCCATAAAAATATAAGAAGTTAACTCTTTTTTTCCAGCCGTATAAGAACTCTCCCCGCCTGAAGGAGCCAGTCAAGTGACTTATTAGTGTGTCAATATCCTTGAAGTGCCATTTTAATTATTCAGCAATACAGCAAGAATTGGCCTTCAGCGAGGAATCCAGTTTCAAGCTCATGAATTTAGAAGAGATGGCTCTTCCTGTTTAATTAATGATATGTTGGAAACATTTTCCCAAGACAACCCTCTGCAAAGAAATTTGACACCTCTATCATATAGAAGTAGGACCATATTTAACCCTTTAAATATCCAGATTGTCTAATTTCTATTGGTTACTTTCACGTGTCGTTTAGACTCAGGTTCTGCCCTCTTGACCTTAATAGATCAGGTCTGATGCTGTGGTGAAAGAAAAGGCCTGTGGGTGCTCATGTGTGTGTATGTGTGTGTGTATATTTAACTTTAATCCTGTGTCCATCCGTGCATATTGTGATAAATATTCATGAACCAATTGAAGTGAACTGAGACACGAAGCTTAGCATGCTGCAAACCATCTGCCAGCTCCTGCCATGTGATATTGAACCAACTGAGATATTCAGTCACTTCTGTCTGAGTGGAGCGTAACTCAAAATGGATTTATGTTAATACATAAAAAAACAACCTGCTGTGGTTTTATCACTCCTGGTCTCTGGTCTCCTGTCAAAGTGATAACCACCATCGTACGCCTCCATCCACCTCTGTCTCCTCTCCGCCCCCCGGCCCACACACCTTTGACCCATGGAGCAGTCTGAGCTGTGATCAGTGACCCTGTCAGAATTTCTTCACTGCCGCTTTAGTCTGCCCGGTCACCATGGATACTGTGCTTTTTTTTCAGGGTTCAGGGGTGTGCGGTGTCAGCCTTTTAAATGGATACGAGTCAGTCTCAGATATAAAGAGGTTCACTGAAATGCTGAGTCAGCAAAGCCTGCTCTCTTTCCTTTTCTTCTCTTTCTGCCGTCCTCCTACCCACCTTAGTTTACTCAACAGTTTTTAATTAAATAATTTTTATAATAATTTTTGTAATATATATGTTATCGTTTTATCGCCCAGCCCTACTTAGAGAATACAGCTTTTTATCCCTCTGCAGGTGGCTCTTTGGACCCTAAAAGTGTTGCCTCAAGCTCCAGGTCTGAAGCAGGTTGATGACTCGTCAGAGCGTTGAGCTTAAATTAGCACACAACGGACAGCTAACTCAATGAATTGACTCTTCAAGTCAAGAGCAGCTGCTTGACTACGAAGAGCGCTCCTGCATTAGTGCTGCATCACTCATGAGTCTCTCTACAACGACAAACAAACGGGATCTCTCCATAATGAGAATGCTGACTCAGCCTGATTTCAGCATTTACTTTATTTCGGCTTTTAACTTCCTCCTTTCTTCCTCTTCTTGCCCCCCGGCGCCCGTTAGACCAGAGTCATATGTTTCCAAGTCTGGCCCGCACACAGTCGCACAAGTTCACCTGCTGGCTAAAGCAGCATAGACAATCTGTTTATGTGTGTTTGAGCATATGATAAGTACTGTTTGTTGTACCTTAAGGCGTTCTCTAAGCACATGCACGATGAAATAGACAAGAGTGGAAGAGTGGAAAAGTGGGCGTGGCCTGCAGAAACAGAAACATGGAAACATAATAGCTGTTAATGGGACTCTGATTATGTCCCTGTCTGCAGTTTTTTCCCTCAACACCGCCTCAGTGGTGCCTGTGTTCAGGGGGCACCTGCATTTGTGGACCCCTGTGAACCCCTGTTGGATAGCATCACTGTCATCAGTCCACATTTAAGGCTCTCGCCGGACTACAGTCGACTCCTATCTTCATCAAAACAGTCAGATGGACATTCTTCTGCTGCTTAGCCTCGGTTATTATTGAAATCGCTCCTCGTGACACTTGAGGAGAGCGCTGTGTGCTGCACTTGAAAACAGAAGCTATTTAAAGATGTTGTTTGTCACATTAGATAGTAAGACTTGAGATATTTGGGTGAATTTCTCCTTTAAAAACAAAATTAGGCTCAAAATTTAGGATGAAGTCAGGATATGAGTCAGAGCGCCAGGAGCAGGATGAGCTGTTTCTGCTGAATCCCTCAGGACTGTCTTTGCCCGCTCTACATCCTAAACCAAAAATGAGATCATGATGATCAGATTAGAGAGGAAGGAACAAAGCATATAGCTTTAATCCTGTTGTCGGTAATGATGAGGAGTGATCATTTGCATCTTGGGAGAGATTTGATTGGAGTGATGTCAGCGTGTGATTCAAAGGGCTGTTTCAGGAAAGTAGAAAGGACTGAGTCTGTTTTACCTGCATTTACCATCATTTCTTTCCTTTGGTATATGAATAATATGTGTGTGCATGTGTGTGTGTGTGAGAGAGTGTGCATGGGGAACCCACTGTTTCTCAGGTTGTCACTATAATTGCTGTAATGAGACTGAGTGCAGGAGCTTTAAAGGACTTGTCACGTGGGGAGAGACTGACAAAGCCCCTCTAACGTGGCTCCCTGCCTGTGATGGGATGTGATGTATAGGTATGTGTGTATGTGTGTAGTTAGGAACAGGTTAATTTATAGTGACAGTCTTTCCTGTTTGCATCCCTTATTGGTGTTCCTGTACATTGACAAATGCCTTCACAGGTAGCAGCAGATTTTGTCAGAGCATGTTTGAAAGTTTCATCCTTTGCAAAGTTCTTGTTAGTCTAAAAACTAGCATATAGTGGGGCCAGATTTCCTAAAGAAACAGCCTAAGTCAGTTTGTGCGTGTCACTTTGGAGGGTAGACTTCCGCAGCACTGAAGGACAGACTTCATTCAACCAGAGGAGGCCGGTGTTTTGAGTTGTTCATGTAGGTTCTCTTTCATCCAGGTCATGGTTTTCTTGAAGACTCCAAAATCAGGCAACTGGACTGTGTGGAGTTGAGAAGACGTTTCGCCTCTTTTCCAAGAAGCTTCTTCAGTTCTAATTATTGCTAGTGTGAGGAGCAGATATTTATCTTACTGGAGAAGGGGACAGACAAGTCCTTGTCATCCCAGTCATTGTCTGTCCCCTTCTCCAGTAAGATAAACAGTCTGGTTGCCTGATTTGGAGTCTTCAAGAAAAGTGTTTTGAGTTGAAGCCTGGCAGATCTTTATCACAAGCACAGCAGCAAGACATGCTTCAATCACACCTAGCTTATCCCTTTTTATTGTTAGGTAACATGTGATGCCAGACTTTCTGTTAGTTTAGTTATGAGTCCACACCCAATAATCCCAATAGACGACTTCCCTGTCTCTGTATATTAAGGCTGTAATGTTACACTGATGGTTAATGTGCCAAACGCTACATCAGACTCTTCTTGAAGCATCATGGGAAACCTACAGTGGTCCAGTTGTATTCTACTATAACTACAAACACTGTGGGTAGGGCTGTCCTGATATGATATTGATATTGGATATCGGTCCAATATCAGCCAAAAAACAAATATCAGATTATATCGGACTGCATCTAAAATCTCTGATATCAACACGCCCATAAAAAGGAGTCCATTCCAGACTCAACTCCAGCACCTCCAGCTAGCAGAGCCCACGTAGTCATGACAATGTGATCAATATCAGAATCGGCCGATACTGAAGGCTACAATATCGGTATCGTATCGGAAGTAAAAAAGTTGTACCGGGACCCCTCTATATGTGGGCAAATACAGCTGCTGGAAGACGTAACAATCATGTCTTGTCACTTTCTTTATATTCGTCTTCTTTCTTTCTTTCACTCTATTTCTTACATTTCCCTCTTTGCCCTCTCCCCCCTTTCAGTGCAGCTTGGTACAGAGGAGATATTGTAGAAAAGCTGTCAGACAAACTGGCACTGATATGAGCAAGTATTTGCTTGTATTTCAGTGTATATTACTTGTCGACTTTTACCTCCAAGTCCATATTTGTTTCACACTTGGTAAGATCCTGAAGCGAACAATGAGCCAGTGACTTCATGCTCTTGCTGTCAGCTTCAGTGAGTGTCTCCATTGTTACTCTGTTTTGCAGTAATGGCTGTCAAGTTTTGGGATGGTGGCCAAAGAGATAACTGCAGACAGTGCCCTAAAACAATTATGGCACTAAACTACGATAATACAGAAGTAAGGAGGAGGATAATGGATAGGCTGGAAAAGCTGGTGATTGATTTGCATCCTTCTGATTATTCTGTGACCTTTTCCGTCTCCCAAAGCAAGATCAGATGTCTATACGGTAATCATTTATCAGAATAAAGCTCAAATCTGACCGCGCACTGTCACTCAGGTGTAGAGTTACCGCAGGCATGACTCCTCAAGTCTGGATCCATCCCATCCAGCCTCTGTCCTCTTCGCTCATCAGACCTGTAATCCCAGATCGAGTCTGCCAAATAGCTGGGATCTGATGTCACGCATGCACACACAGGCGTGCTCGCTCGCACTGGAACTGTATTATCAGCGGGTTACTTTTTGTAAAGCTGCTCACTGAATGCAAAGTCTATGCAAAGTAGCACATCCACAGGCCTGAGATACAAAACAGAACTTTGCTTAGATTCTCAGGCGTTTAATGGGTTTAAAATGGCCAGTCACCTCCCTTGCTTGTCTCCAATATTCCCACTTTCCTTTTCAGGTGGACAGTGAGTTCAGTGATGACAAGTAGTGGTGCATCATGGGAGGAAATGATGTAACAACAACAGTGTGTTTATACGCAGAAAAGCAAACAGAGATTCCTTAATGAAACTCAGGGTGGGACTGTTTACCCAGAGCTCACTCTTTCACTCCAGGCCTGGGCTCTGGCCCTGTCCTGAACAGTGAGAGCTCTGTACTGTACTGTGTGTAGTGCCTGCTGGAGAGTGCACTGCTACTTCATAGTCATTCACACCCACACTACACCAACAGTAGCAGCACACATCTACTAGCAGCTCAGTAAAGAAGAAAATAGGACCTGTCTCCAGATTAGATACTTGTTTTTATCATAAACCTGAAATGAAAAATTAGGCAAAGGTTCCTAAAGGTCAAAAAAATGAGAATTTTGTCATGCTGTTATAGGTTTAGACTGGTGCATTGAACATCTCCATCATGTCTCATTTGAGTCACTAATAAACAGTCTTTTCTGGGAGTCCCTGAGCTCCATCATGTCGTAGATTCCTCTAGTTCACTGTTTTGGATCCTCCTGCTTTCCAGCTTATCCAACTACCTCCATCAATCTCACCTCCGTCCATCTCTCTCTTTCTTCTCTAAACCATAGACTGTATATAGAATGGACGCCGTCTGCCTCCTCGCTGGGTGAAGCCACCGCGAGAACAACACCCTCCGGTGACGGGCTGCAGTATAGGTCATAAATCCCACCTCCTTCAGCAATCCCTATGGAGCTCTGGACAAACTTTAGAAATTTATTAAACAAGAATATACATTTTTCTCCCCCCTGGTTGCGATGTTGACGTAGTAATTGTAAGACCAGTTTGTGTGCAAGTCCTCATTAGGGGGCATTAGGCAAGTTATTAGGGGGGTTCATGTTTTCTATGATTGACAATTGATACAGCCTATGGGTGTACAAAGATTGCATAGCTCACCAGGGGGATATGCTGTTTGAGACGAGCGTCATCACAGCGACTCTTGAAATGCGTACAATGCTACTGCGCAAGTGGTAGTTCCAGGAAGAAATACCGAGAGCAATTTGGCCCTTTAAACCCAGCTCAGTCTCAGCAGATGACTGTCTAACATGTGTCTGGTCCTGCTCGAGGTTTCTGCCTGCTGTACGACTGGAGTCATGTTAGCATTTCTGTTGCTTGCGCAGCTGTTACCTTGTTGAGTTTCGAATATCTGTGTGTGTATAGGTCAACACAAGCTTATATGATGAATTGAGTTCTAAGTATTATGTACTTCACCTTACTTTAAAGCTCCTGAAGGGAGTTTTTCATGGGTTGCCGAACAGGCTGAAATCATCAGTGATGTGACTCTATGACGTTCAAAAGCAAATGAAACCATCAATGACAACATTAGCAGTTTTTATACTGTACCTTTAAAGGTCTGGAACTGCTGTGAGGGGGTAGGTATGCAAGAGAAACCAGCTGTTTTACTTCTACCGCTGCAAATTTCATGATTGAGTGATAAATTTAACTGCAAAAGCACTACAGAAAGTAATTATTTTTCAATTAACATCACTTTCTGAAGGAAGAAACGAAATCAGCAACAATATAAGGGTTAAAACTTTGTCCACAGGGGGCACCAAAATCAACAAAAACAGAAAGTTCCTCACAGGAGCTTTAATACTTTGTCTCATGGTAACAGGACTTGCACTTGAAGTTGTCACCAAGTGCCTCTTTTTGTCTTTCAGGATCCGTCCTCAGCTGGCCAAAGAGAAGATCGAGGGCTGTCACATTTGTACATATGTGATGCCTGGGGAGCCACAAGTAGTTCTGGGTAAGGACAAGGCCTTCACCTATGACCATGTGTTCGACATGGACAGCCAGCAGGACGCCATCTACACCCACTGCACAGAGAGACTGATTGAGGGCTGCTTTGAAGGCTACAACGCCACAATCTTTGCATATGGACAGGTTGGTCAGCAGGCTCTCTACTTCTACGATCAGTAGCGTTGTGTATTCACTCACTCATTTGTTTTTAATATGAATTGCTGAAGGGATTGGAGCAGCTTCCATCATCTCGAGATTTATGGCGGCTTGTGATATGAAGCTAATTTCATTTCATATCAGGAGCGAGCAGCTGCACAGGCTCTGCCGGTACAATATCAGCTGGCGTGTTTCAACCTGCTCTCAACAGCGAGCTTCATATTTGCAGTGATAGATTAGCTCGAGAGGGAGAGATAGAGAAGGAGTTTATTACCCCATCAGAACAGAGTGTGCTCTAAGCTGTGTGATGATATTTAAAGGGATATTCCAGCGTAAAATTAGTTTAGGGTCAAACACATCGTAACATTGAGAGATGAGTGTTGCCATCCACTTACTTTTCTAGTTTTACTAACTTTATTAACGACCGCAGGATAGTGATACACAGCGGTCTGAGGAGCCATAAACAAACCTCAACCAAAAAGCGAGACCTCATAAAAGTCCATTACCGACTGCAGTGGGGTGCCGCAGCTCAAGGAAGAACATTTATGATCATCAAGCTAAGGCGGAAGAACTACCGTGTCTGCAGTGCAGATTGATTGATATAGTGATTATTACTTAAAGGAAATGATAAAGAATTGATCATAAATGTTCTTCCTTGAGCTGCGGCACCCCACAGCAGTCTGTAATGGACTGGCCTGGAGGTCTGGCTACGCACAAGCGACTGCTGGAAGAGAGTAGGTGACTTGTGTTTAGTCTCTTTGTTAAAGAAATTAGGCAAAGCTAAAAAGATGTTTGGTGGCTAGTGCTGTGGTTAGGACCCTATATGTGCTGTTGATGAAGTTAGGTGCTGTTCTGAGCATTATTTGTGGCTATAGAGTGGCGTTTTGGTTGAGGTTTGTTGATGGCTCCTCAGACCGCTGTATATCGCCATCCTGTGGTCATCACTAAAGTTGGTAAAACTAGAGAAGCAAGCGGTCGGCAACATTCATCTCCTGAGGGGGTGTCTAACTCTGTGTTATGGTGTGTTTGACCCTAAAGTAATTTTACGCCGGAATATCCCTTTAAGCAGCTAAAAGGAAGATAATCTTACCTCAAACCCTCGACAAATGCAGCAGGATAAGCCAAGAGAAAGTTGTGTTACTGTTACAGCCCTGCTTTCTCATGACTTTTAAACAAACCCTGAATAAACCCTCCCTCACCATCCTTCTGCTGAGATATCCTCACTGCCTCAGTCTTTAGCTGAACCCAAACAGCGAAGCTCTCCCTCTTCTTAATCTTTCCCTTCACTCTTCTTTCTTTCTCTTCATTATTCTCTCCCCACATTGTTCCTGCAGCTCTTGTATTCCCGTCAAAAGGCCTTTCACAGAGCACAGTTGAGGCCACACACACCACTCCAGGCTCCCACAGGCACAACATACAAAGTGTGTGTTGTTGCGCACAAAGTAGCTTGACAGGTGCAGTCGCGAAGAAGAAAATGGACTAACACACTCTGTTGTGTGTTTCGCATACACACATTTTCTGGTACACACTCCGTGATCTGTCAGTCGACAGTCGTACGCGCTCTTTTCAGAGTTTCCTCCATGGATCCTGGGCTGTTGCATTCCTCCTCTTGTCACCATGGTGACCACCCTTTTCTCTATGACCCCCCCAAATTAGGGAAACTTCTCAGAGCTGCGTGAGGGATTCAGATAAGAAACTGGAAAAAACATTTAAAGACTCAAACCTTAATGGACTTCCTGTCATGTGGTAAAGTAACAAAAGACATATTATCTTCCACATCCAGACAGGTTCAGGGAAGACCTACACGATGGGAACTGGCTTTGACGTCAACATCGGAGAAGAAGAGCTGGGTATCATCCCCCGGGCGGTCAACCACCTGTTCAAAGGGATCGAAGAACGCCGACAGGCCGCCACGGAGCAGGGCAAACCGCTTCCTGAGTTCAAGATCAACGCTCAGTTCTTGGAGGTGCAGAAAAGATCCACACGCATGATAAACTTAACTTTTATTTTGACCCCAATTATGTGTCCACACGGGGTCCGAACTCAAACATCCAGTCCACTTAAAGTCCATTAGTTAGATGTGGGTAGAACCTGCTGACAGCGAGGGGTGAGAGGTCAGCGGGGGGGTGTAATTTAAAGATGCTAAAACAGCCAAAATGACCCGGCAGCCATTAAACTGTCATTAGTCTGTCGTCTCTGTGGTCGGCTCCTGGCTACATTTTTGACAGCCGTCATGTGTCAGCTGACAGATGGTGAGGGGGCGGCTGAGGAGAAGAGACAAGGCTGGAAAAAAAGATGATTTATTTGTGTTTTAAGTTCGTAAAATTAAGTTCGTTAAATATTTCCAGTTGAGGATCAATAAAGTTCTTCTTCTGCTGGTCCCCACCTTCTGGAATTCACTCCCCAAACCCATCTGAGACTGTAGAGACCCCCGTGATTTCAAATCACTCCTTAAAACAAACCTTTTTAAATTGGCTTTTAACCTGTGAACTGTTCTTTTATTGTCTTTTCATATTGTTTCTTTTTTAACTTTTTACATTGTTGGTCTTATTACTCAAAATTTTCTGTATTTTGAATTGTGTTTTTTTGTAAAGAGTCTCTAAGCACCTGTAAAAGCACTATATAAATAAAATCTACGATTATTATTATATTATATTATTTGTCTTATTCTCCAGCTGTACAACGAGGAAGTGCTGGACTTATTCGACTCAACGCGAGACATCGACGCCAGGAGGCAGAAATCCAACATCAAAATCCACGAGGATGCGAACGGAGGCATCTACACTGTGGGGGTCACCACTCGCACCGTGACCTCTGCGGCAGAGGTTAGTTTAACCCCCCCACTTCTTTTTTTAAATTTTTTATATATGTTCATTAAACAAAACAAGAACACATGATGAAAAACAATCATAGAAACATACATTTGGCTCTCACACACACACATTAAAGTTCAAATTTATATAGGTGAGAGATTCAGGAGTCATCCTACACAAATAAAATAAGTAAAATAAAAGTAAAATAAATCAGGTGTACATTACCATGCATAATAGGTTCATATGTTCAAAGAAAGGTACACAGAAGCAAAAACATAAATTAAATAGGACGTCATTTTCAAGGCAGCATCCTCCTGATCTTCTTAAGTCACATGATCATCAGATAAATTTTGATTGTTAGTGTGGTTGTCACTTTTTCGCTCCTCTCCTCTAACAGATGATACAGTGTCTGAAGCTGGGAGCTCTTTCTCGTACCACTGCCAGCACTCAGATGAACGTCCAAAGCTCACGCTCTCACGCCATCTTCACCATCCACCTCTGCCAAGTTCGAGTGTGCTCTGCTGAGAACGATGTAAGTACTCTGACAAACTCAAAGCGCTCTCCCCCGACATCCTTGTGCTCATTTTCTTTTTGTCTTCTCCTCCAGGATAACGAGACTGACAACCGTCTGGTGAACAGCTCTGAGATTAACGAGTTTGAGACGCTGACGGCGAAGTTTCACTTTGTGGACCTGGCTGGTTCTGAGAGGCTGAAGAGAACCGGAGCGACAGGAGACAGAGCTAAAGAAGGCATCTCCATCAACTGTGGACTGGTGAGAAAGCTCACAGAGATTTTGTTTTACAAAGGGGAGTGGCCTCAAAGGTCAAAGGTTACTGCTTTTTCTATTACTATTGAGTCAGGATGAAAAGCATACCTCTGTCATTGAGTGAGTTTTTCTGAAGCCATATTTGTGGAGCCGCTGAGACCTCTGGTGGCCAGATTATGAACTGCAGGCTAAAACATGAGAACTGATTCTCACAAAATCTTTCTGTTTCCTCTCAGCTCGCTTTGGGAAACGTCATCAGCGCTCTGGGAGACAGGAGTAAGCGGTCCACGCATGTGCCTTACAGAGACTCCAAACTGACTCGGCTGTTACAGGATTCCCTGGGAGGCAACAGGTGGGCAGGACTGGATCCTCTGGGTTGATTTAGAAACAAAACCTTGATTTGAAATAAGTTACTGAGCTTAGGGGTCTCCCGATACAACTTTTTTACCTCCGATACAATACCGATATTGTACCCTTCAGTATTGTCCGATATCGATATTGATACGATACTTGTGCATGACAAGTTTTGCACTCAGCTGTCACGTCTTTTTCCAACTTTAATGAAACATACTGCCACAGGGCTGACAAAACTCCTACTCCTTGGTACTATATTGTTGTTGTGATCATGTGGGCTCTACATGCTGGATCAGGGCGCTGCTAGATAGAGGTGCTGGAGCGGAGTCTGGAATGGACTGCATGCATCAGAGTGCTGATATCCGAGATTTTAGATGCAGGCCAATATTATCCGATATTCGATTTTTTGCTGATATCGGGCCAACTGATATCAATATTGTTATATAATTTAATTAAGTTAGGGTCAAACACACCAAATTAATTTTATGCCGGAATATCCCTTTAAGCTGCAGCTACAAGCTTCCCCTTTGTAATCAATAGATGCCAGGAAGAAATCAGGTTTGTGAGTTGTCTTTCTTATAATTTACCATTTCCTTTCCTTTTTCTCCAGTCAAACTGTGATGATCGCCTGCATCAGCCCATCAGACCGGGACTTCATGGAGACCTTAAACACGCTAAAGTACGCCAACAGAGCGCGAAACATCAAGAACAAGGTGATGGTGAACCAGGATCGAGCCAGTCAGCAGATCAGCGCCCTGAGGACGGAGATAGCGCGACTGCAGATGGAGCTTATGGAGTACAAGACGGTAAGACGGCGGCAGATGCGCAGAGTTTGTATAAGATGAAACTCAACAAAGCTGTATGTGATATTTATCGCCCTGTTTTATACCAGGGGAAGCGCATGCTGGGCGAGGACGGCATGGAGGGCATCAACGACCTGGTCCATGAGAACTCAATGCTGCAGACGGAGAATAACAACCTGAGGGTGAGAGTGAAGGCCATGCAGGAAACCATCGACGCCCAGAGAGCGAGACTGACACACATCCTCAGTGACCAGGCCAACCAGGCTCTGGCGAAAACAGGTAAAGACTAAAACCCTTATCACCAGTTTTTTACTCTTAGATTCTTAAAGAGAAGGTTTTTTCTTCGTTGGGGACATTAAATGCAAAAAAGTTCAACCTTTTAAATAAAAAGTCGTCTTCTCTACTTCTAAGGGGAAGGTACTGAAGAGATCGGAAACATGATTCAGAATTACATCAAAGAAATCGAGGAGTTGCGGTACGTTGGATGTAAATCTGGGGCACAAATACTGAACTTGTTGATTTAGTTCGATGAATTAACTTTTTATACTTTTCTTCTCCTGCAGAGCCAAACTTCTCGAAAGTGAGGCCGTGAATGAAAACCTCCGGAAGAATCTGTCCCGGGTTTCTACGCGTTCCTCGTTGTTCGGCGGCCCCGGATCCTTCTCCACCCTCCTCGCCCCTGAGAAGGAGGCCAGCGAGGTCATCGAGATGGCGAAGAAAGATCTGGAGAAGCTCAAAAAGAAGGAGAAGAAGAAGAAGAAGAGGTAAAGTGATTAAACCGATGACGCCGTTGAGCGGTTTACTTTCCGAACGTGATTATCTTCTGTGAGGATTTCAAGTTTTGAGGGGTCATGGAAGAGTTGTAGGTGAAGTCAAGCTCATCTGCATCTCCAAGATCATCATTTGACGTCTTTTGTTTTTGTTCGAATCTCTTCACTCACCTGTTTCTGTTCTCTCACTCTGTTTCTCCCCTATCGTGTAATACTTCCCTCACTTCGGTCTGTCTGCCCTCTCCACCTTCTCCTCCTCACCTCTCCATCTCCACCCTTATCCGTCCATTTTTTGTCTATGAAGACTAAGGCGATATGAAGAAAGTCACCATCAGGAGCTTGAACACACAAGGTTTGCTCACATCCTGTCCGGTACTGGATCAGATCTGAAACTGTTTCAATTAGCGGCAGTGCAAATCATGTCCCAGAATGCACCAGATTAATAATTGAAAGGTTGTTGATTCCGCTCCAAATTCATCTCTCCCCTTCTGAGCTTATCGACTAATCCGTCACTTTCTCTGCGCCTGCAGGTGGTTTACCCTCCTGGGGGGAGCAGATACTCTAACCGGCTCCTAACTCCTCCTCTTGACCCCGACCTCTGCCTCTTTTTCCCTCTTCCTCGAACGCAGCAAGATGTTGATCAGATTCCCAGACATAACCTCCAGTTTTAACGTTGAATATTTCGAGCGTATGTGGAATAAGATCAACAAATCTTGGTTGTGTGTTGCACCTTTCTTCGTAGAGTGAAATCAGATTTCAGCGTTGGTGGTAAAAGCTGTTTTTGTGTGATTAATGTCTTTCCCGGTGTTTCATGTACTCCCTGACCTCCACCCTGAACTCATTCATTAATCAACTCTGATCCACATCATCTGCATGCACACTTTAATCCAGACTTAAATTGCAGTTCCTCCCGAACTGACCAACAGATTGAGCTCCGTGTTCCCCGTCAGCGGTCTGCTAACGGTCCTTTTTTTCCTCTTTCAGTGTCGTCAAGGAGGAGCAGCCCGACAACGAGCAGGAGCGAGGCAACAACGAAGCGGAGGTGGTGAGCAGACTTTGACTCTCTACTTCGAGATGTTGTCGCATAGATACGTCTCATAATCATCGTGTTATTTGTGTGCCGCCAGGAGGGGAGTGACCACGAAGAGGGCGAGGACGCAGATGGAGAGGAGGAGGACTTTGACATGGCTGGAGATGAAACATCTGAGGAGTCTGACTCGGAGGAACTCGAGGAGAAAGGTGAGGTTGAACCGCACCCGGAATTGATCGAATTAGGACGGCGCTCACGGTTTGACGTTGTGCTTCTGTGCAGAAGACTTCCAGGCTGACCTGGCAAACATCACCTGTGAGATCGCGATCAAGCAGAAGCTTATAGACGAGTTGGAGAACAGCCAGCGGCGTCTGCACACCCTGAAGCAGCAGTACGAGCAGAAGCTGACGATGCTGCAGAACAAGATCAAAGATACGCAGCTGGAGAGGGACAAAGTGCTGCATAACATGGGTAACAAGAGACCCGTGGATCAGACTCTTTGGTTCTTTTGCAGCATGAAATAAAAATACTGAAAGGCTATCCTCTTCTTTAAAAGGTTCAGTGGAATCAGGTACTGAGGAAAAGGCCAAGAGGATCAGAGCTGAGTACGAGAGGAAGCTGAGCTCCATGAACAAAGAGCTCCAGAAGCTCCAGTCGGCTCAGAAGGAGCACGCCCGCCTCCTGAAGAACCAATCACAGTACGAGAAACAGCTCAAGAAACTGCAGCTGGACGTGACGGAGATGAAGAAGACCAAGGTAAAGAGATAAAGAGACGAGCTGTGATTTTAAAGTGTTGTTTTTACACTTCTTTCAGCGCTCGTTTCCATCGTGCGGTGCTCTTTGTCCACTAGGTGGCACTGATGCGTCAAATGAAAGAGCAGCAGGAGAGGAACAGAGCCTCGGAGTGCAGGAGGAACAGGGAGATCGCCTCTTTGAAGAAAGACCAACGCAGGGCAGAGGTACAAACTACGAAGAGGAACAGAGAGAATCTCACAGTCGAATATTTACCTTCATCTTAACCGTCTTTGTGTTTTATTCCTCTCACAGTATCAGCTGAAGCAAATGGAGGCCCAGAAGAGACAGCAGGAGTTGATCATTCGCCGAAAGAATGAAGAGGTGAGACACTCAGAGTCACATAAGAGAGAATCGTTCGTTTATTCCCTCTAATGGACAAAATGACTTTCCTTTTTTTCCAACTGTTAAAGGTCACAGCACTGAGGCGGCAGGTTCGGCCCGCGTCAGGGAAGGTGAGCAGGAGGGTCAGCCTTCCCGAACCTCACCATGAACCGTCGCCAAGAGCCTCACCTGCGAGAATAAACACCTACGGGACATCGCCGCTGAATGGAGCCAGGTGCTGCTTCATCTGTTTGTGTGTGTTTTTCATGTTCGGATGTTTGTTTGTGTTTTTAACTCCAACTCTCTCTCTTCAGGAACTCCCCAGTGAGGATGGGAGGTAGCTACCTTAGCAGAACAGCGAGGGCGAAGTGGCAGTCACTGGAGAGACGTGTCAGCGACATCATCATGCAGAGGATGACCATCCTGAACATGGAGACAGACATGAACAGACTGCTAAAGGTAACTACAGTCATCCTGCAACAGAAGAATTCCTACACTGCCCCTCGTCTGCTTCTCCTTAATCACTGCCTGTTACTAATAGCAACGGGAGGAGCTGACCAGGCGAAGAGAGCGGGTGTCGAGAAAGAGAGAAAAGATGGCAGTAGAAGGTGCAGACGCAGACCGCTCCCTGACCTCCCTGAACGAGGAGCTGGAGTCTCTAAATGCCAACATCGACTACATCAATGACAGCATCGCCGACTGCCAAGCTAACATCATGCAGATGGAGGAGGCCAAGGTGAGGTGGAGGATGGTGATACAGGAGCCATGTGTGGGGATTACTCTGGAAATAAGCCTCTGCTGATGGAGGTTTACTGTGTGAATCACTCACTGTGTTTACATGTGCAAAATTTCTTGATTAAAAATTTGAGGGATCAGAAAATCTGAATCCCCCTTTATATGAGCGCAAAATCAAATAATGATGTGCGTATACATGCACTAAGATTTATTCGGATTAGATGCATTTGGACATGCGCAGAGTTGTCTAATTTCGCTAAAACAACTGTGGGAGAAGAGTTGTATTTACGCCTGTGCTGTCAACAAACCAACAAACTCAGTAGTGGTTAACTTCATCCAATTCAGGATTTTACCCTCTGTTAAATCTTGTCACTAGATGGCGCCCTTGCATACTTATTTTACTGTTCTGTTAAAGGTTGTGCTGTGACATGTGACATCATTATGCTGTATGTACGCCTCGTTACGTTATCAGAGGAAAAAATTAATTAATTAAAAAATAAATAAATAAATAAATAGATTAATTAATTAATTAATTAATTAATTAAAAAAACTTTTCAAAATAAATAAATACTTTTTAAAAAATAAAATAATTTTTTTTTTTTAAAGTTATCGGAGGAGCAGGCTCAGCACCTCTGGTTGTGTTGTATGCCAGCGTGTTAATAACGAAACCTCCTGTACTGACCTCAATAAACAAGCCAACAGCTAAAGAGTGAAGACTGAGTCAGGTTAAAGAGTCACGATCGGAATAAATGTTTGCATGGACGCATATCGGAATAACAATCGGCATAAACCACCCCTCTCGATCGGAATACAAATTCTTTCCGGTTGAGCCGAATTGGATCAGAATTTTCATATTGACTCTGATTTTGCTTTTTTTCCGACTTGTGAAAAAGTTCCCAAGCTGGGAACTCGGGTGTGACGTCATTTTCAGCTCAGACCTCTGACTTCTGAGGTAACTTGAACGCAGCATTAGGGTTAGAGTTAGGAGATTCAGAACTGCGATAATATTCTGTAATGTTCTGTTCGATGTACAGAGCCGACAGCCCACGTTTAGTTTGAGCGTGTGATGACGTTTCACAGCCAATCAGAGGCGAAGGAGGCGGGACCTTCCCCTACCATCCTATGAAAAAAGTATCGTCCTGGACTGTTATAGGTGTTCATATCTGTACATGCGCAGACATACACACTGTCCACTATCTGAAGTGTTTCCGTTGTTTCTGACCCACAGGAAGAGGGAGACACAGTGGATGTCACCGCAGTGATTAGCTCCTGCAGTTTATCAGAGGCTCGTTTCCTCCTGGACCACTTTGTAACCATGGCAATTAACAAGGTAACCGCTTATTACCGAGGCTAACAGAGGCTACTTCAGATAAAGACCTGGACCTCTCATTGGGTTCATTCTACACTGACAGGGTCTGCAGGCCTCTCAGAAGGAGTCCCAGCTGAAGGTGATGGAGGGCAGGTTAAAGCAGACAGAGATCAACAGTGCGACCCAGAACCAGCTGCTGTTCCACATGCTGAAGGAGAAAGCCGAGATCAACCCTGAGCTGGATGCTCTTCTGGGTAGCGCACTTCAAGGTGAGAAAGAGAGAGGAACTCCTGGAGCTCTGAGGATGTCGAGTACGTTCAGTTTTTCAATGAGCAGCTAGATTTTATTCTGAGGGTGTCAGATTTCTTCACATTGAAAAAAAGTGTAGCTCCATTTTTCTTTGATTTTGATTTGTTTTGTTTTGTTTTTGTTTGTCGTATTGTCGTAATCTCAGAGTTAGGTTACCTGTCGCCAGGTGAGTACAGGATGCAGAGCGATGTGACTGTGTTTAAAACAGAGAGGCAGATGCACTCTCAAAGATTTTCAAAGAATTTTAAACACACCAGACAGAAAAAAAAAGTCCTTTATGATTATCTCAGAGTTTTTAATGTTTTAAGATGATTCAGATTTACTAATCTTTGAGTGTGCATCGACCCTTCGTCCCTCTTTTGGAAACTAATTCAGCTGTGCCACGAGGTGCATGATTTAAGTTTCCTCTGTAACCCCACCTGCTAGCAAGTAGCACTTATCCAGGTCGCTGTCAGTGTACTTAACAGTTAAATCTGAGCCGCAGTAGGAGTCAGAGCTGAAGCTTCGTGTGCGCAGCAGTTCATGTGTTTGTGTTGCCGTCTCTCATGCTTTTATTTTTCTTCCTTTACGCAGGATAAACTCTCCTCCAGTCTAGCCTAAATGTCTCCTTGTTGTCCTTGTTTATTTTTAACTCAGTCTGAGAAACCTTTGCTTGTTATGGAGCGTTTTGTGCTGTAATATTTAGCAAATTAATGTCTGCGTTTTGATTCAGCTTAAAGGGATATTCCGGTGTAAAATTATGCTAGGGTCAAACACACTATAGCGCTGAGTTAGACACCCTGTCGAGAGATGAATGTTGCCGACCGCTTTCTTCTCTAGTTATACCAACTTTAGTAACAATCGCACGATAGCAATACACAGCGGTCTGAGGAGCCATAAACAAACCTCAACCAAAACGCCACTCTATAGCCACAAATAATGCTCAGAACAGCACCTAACATTATCAACAGGACATATGGGGTCACAGCCATAGCACTAACCACCAAACATCTTTTTAACTTTGCCTGATTTCTTTAGCAAAGAGACTAAACACAACTCACCTACTCTCTTCCAGCAGCCGCTTGTTTGTACAAAGATCTCGGGCCAGTCCATTACGGACTAAAGCGGGGTGACGCAGCTCAAGGAAGAACATTTTTGATCATTTCTTCATGGAAATGCAATCAGACCGAGACGCTAAGGCAGAAGAACTACCGTGTCTGCAGTGCAAAATGATTAATATGGTGATTATTACCAAAGGAAATGATAAATAAATGATCATAAATGTTCTTCCTTGAGCTGTGACACCCCACTGCATTAGATGGACTCTCACTACAAACAAGTGGCTGCTGGAAGAGAGTAGGTGAGTTGTGTTTAGTCTCTTTGCTAAAGAAATCAGGCAAAAATAAAAAGATGTTTGGTGGCTAGTACTATGGCTGGGACCCTATATGTCCTGTTGATGAAGTTAGGTGCTGTTCTGAGGATTATTTGTGGCTATAGAGTGGCTTTTTGGTTGAGCGCGTGGCTCTCTGTATTGCTATCTGCGGTCGTTACTAAAGTTGATTTAACTAGAGAAGCAAGCGGTCGGCAACATTCATCTCTCGACTGGGTGTCTAACTCGGTGTTACGGTGTGTTTGACCCTAAATCAATTTTACGCTGGAATATCCCTTTAAATCTTTCGCTTTACAGAAAATGGAGACGACAGCAGCAGCGACGAGTCCACGCCCAGTCCAGCCACAGAGGGCAGGTAAATTCACATGCCACACAAATAGCTGGATTCCTGTCTTGGTCCCTTTATAACAAATCAAATCCTCCTCTGTGCTCCGTGTTCATGACTAACCTTTTCATGTTATAAACTGTAAATGTTTTATTTTAACTCAGACAAGCATGTTCAGGATGTAACTAATCAAAACTCCTGGCTTTCTTTCAGCACACTGGCAGCAGATCTAATGAAGTTATGTGGTGAAACTCGACCGAGAAGCAAGGTACTAATCCGCGCACAGCAGCCTGATAAGACCCGTATAGTCGTCGATCGATATGCTGTCACAGTAAAGTTCACATCCAAAACAAGACACCTGGATGCTGTGATAGCCTCTCTTATTACAACTTTTTGTTCATTGATTACTTCCTGCTCCACTGATCCGCGAGTCCACTCAATATTGAGCCAAATATTTCTGGTCCCTCAGGCTCGCATGCGCACCGCCACCCAGATGGAGCTGCTGTACGCCGGCAGTGGAGATCTGTCATGTGAATCCCCACCTGGAGACTTCCCGGCCCCTCTGCTGTCCGTCTCTGAGCGCCTGGAAGGGGCAGCGGACATAAAGGGTCACATGTTCGGTCAAACCCCTCACCGTGAGCGAGCTGTTTCACCATCTGCACTGACTGCCCGGCCAGTTGGCCTGTAAGTGTTAAAGGCCAAATCATTCCGAAATGAAAATCTGTTTTTTTCTCAAACAGTCATTAAAAGCTCGTCTGCCACTCGTAGGTCTGGATCCAGATCGCCTACAGGGACTGAGCGGAGACAACTGGAGCGCTCCCCGCTCGCTCGGAGGAAGTTGCAAGAGAGGGGAGTCACGGCAACGCACATCCCAGCACCCGCCTCTACGCCGAGCCCAACGGAGGCTAAAACTAGAGGAAGCGATCACATACCAACGTAAGTAACTTAAGTGTACTTTTAACTAGAAAAGACTTTTCTATATAATACAATTGAAAATGAATTTTTTTTCTTTTAGTTTTTTCTTTTTTTTTCTGTTTTTCTCCCTTTTTTTTTTTTTTTTGCATTTTATCCATTTATCCCATGATTACATTTACTATGTACTGATGCTGATGCTGTTTATTTAATTAATTAATAAATATATTATTTATTTGATTATTATTCTATTTTTTTTCCTTGCATGTAATTGCCCAAATTTGGGTGGGGAAAAGGAGTGTGGATAAATGAAAATGAAATGAAAAAAAAAAAAATTGATCACAAAAAAAAAAAAAAAAAATCCCTTTATTTTGCATTTTATCCATTTTTTCGCATTATTATTTTTACAATGTACTGATGATGCTGCTGTTTATTTAATTAATAAATATATATGTGTATATATCTATATATATATATATATATTTCTTTTTTGTTCTTCCCTGTAATCGCCCAAATTTAATGTCTCTCCCAGGACAAGGTTGAGGGTAAGGGGTGTGGATAAATGGAAATCTAATAAAAATAAACTAAATAAAAAATTGATCACAATAAAACTATATAAATAAATAAAATTAAAAATGTCAGAAAATACTTCACATTTAATTAAATTCATTTTATGTTCTTTCTCTCCACAGGTTGGAAGATTCACCCGTATTTGAGGGTCACAGGTGCTCATTTTCTCTCTTAATACAAACAGTAGTTAAACAGTTTTAATGCTTTTGCGTCTATGTAGAGTTTTAAACACTCTGCATGTATTTCAGGGGAGTAATCAATCCTGTGACGGCCCCCAAGAACTGCAAAGGAGCCAAACTTCAGTGTGTTTACGTCGCAGAGGGGCACACCAAACCTGTCCTCTGTGTGGACGCCACAGACGATCTGCTCTTCACGGGCTCTAAAGGTAAAAACGGGACACATGCAGATCTGGATTTAAGAACCATTAAAAGGGTTTTTCTCTTTTCTCATTTGTCTTTGTCTACTTTCAGATCGAACATGTAAAGTCTGGAACTTAGTGACGGGTCAGGAGATCATGTCCCTGACGGATCACCCCAGCAGTGTTGTCTCCGTCAGGTACGAGTCTGATCACAGTAATTGTATTCTGTAATTGAGTTTGGATACTCTTAATAAACACGTCTTTTTTTTGTACATCTATTTTCAGGTACACTTCCAGCCTCGTCTTCACTGTTTCCACCGCTTACATAAAAGTGTGGGACATCCGCGACTCTGCCAAGTGTATCCACACTCTCACGTAAATACTAACCCTGTCTCCTTGCACGTTATTATTGCACACACTGAGTCGAGTGCACACAAATGAGTGTTGGCATGTGTGTTTTGTGGACGTCAGGTCGTCAGGTCAGGTGGGTTCCGGCGACATCTGCTCATCGGCGAAGAGTTTATCCATCCCACCAGGAGAGAGTCAGATCAACCAGATCTCGCTCAATCCGAACGGCTCCTTCCTCTACGCTGCTGCTGGCAACGCTGTGAGAATGTGGGATCTCCGCAAGTAAGTCGAGTTTAAACCGCACAGGATTCAATGAGTCGAATTTACTCTGAATTTGACATTTACAGCTTTAAAAATCATGTTTTTCATAAGAGAGCCAGGTAATAACCACGATTAATCCGCTCTCTTCTCTTTTCTACCTTCAGGTTCGTCTCCACGGGGAAGCTGACGGGTCATTTAGGACCTGTCATGTGTCTAACAGTTGACAAGTTAGGTAATGGTCAAGACATGGTCCTCACCGGCTCAAAAGACCACCACATCAAAGTGAGCGGGCGATACACTCGAACACAGAGCTGTAAAAATGTTCCCGTTCCTGCGTCACTTATAATAAAATCATCCGTGTTTGTTTTTTTAGATGTTCGAGGTGGCAGAGGGCGCTCAGGGCAGCGTCAGCTCCTGCCACATGTTCGATCCCGCTCATCAGGAAGGCGTTGAGTCCCTGGCGCTGCACAGAGACGTCCTCTTCAGCAGCTCCAGAGACTTCTACATCAAGAAGTGGGATTTAGCGAGTAAAGAGCTGCTACAGGTACAGGCTGGAGTCTCTTAAAAACAACAGCCTGAAATTCTGATTTAACAGCAGCTGACTGGCTGTTTTTTTTCCTCTTGCAGGCTGTTCACACACAGGCAGACTGGGTCAGCGCTCTGGGCTTGGTGCCAGGCCATCCAGTCTTACTCAGCGGGTGCAGAGGAGGGCTGCTGCGCTTGTGGCACACAGATTCGCTCGCACCCCTCGGCGAAGTCCAAGGACATGACAGTCCAATCAACGGGGTGGTCACCAACAGCAGCCAGCTCTTCACTGCCTCAGAGTGAGTCTTAATAAAGGCTGTTTTCTGTTTCTTAAGTTTTTGTCAAATACCCTTCATCCTAAAACTAGAATGTATTGATCATCATGAGCTGTTTCTGATCGAGTTTCTCCTTGTTTCTGACCCGACAGCGACCGCACAGTCAAGATTTGGGAAGCCAAAGGATCTCTGGAGGAAGGACTCCACTGACACCAAAGTCCTGAAATCAAGGATCGCTTGCTTGATCAATAATTATATCACTGATAAGAAGCCTAAAAGTGCGAGTCTGACCTTTAAACTCTACTGATCGCCAAGGATTGACATGGATCAGTTTCAGGGAAGTTTGTTGATCTTTGCCCTTTTGGCTCCAGACGGGTCATAGCTGATCTGCTGAGATCCTCTGAGCACTAGAAAAAATTGGATCAAATGATGAAGAAAGACAAGTTAAAGATCCAGGATCCTCCGCTGCTTTAGCATTCCTCCTACGCTCAGCACAAGACAGCGCAGCCACGGACACGCGGCTTGCTTCCTTGCACCAGGAAAGTCCATCAGAAGTGAAAATGGCTGCCTCCTGCTCACCAGCAATCACTGTGCTTTCTGTTTGATGTCAAGTACGTGTTCTCCGTAACCTTATACCTGCTGAAATCAGTCTAGTATCGGTAAACTTGTTATATCCGGCTGTAATTAATCTTCGGCAAATCATCTACTGACTGATCCTAAAACTTTGAAAAGGTAACTGAACTCGTCTTTTCACCTGATAGCCTTAACCAGCATGCTCGCAAATAACCTTTGAAATTCGTCGAGTTGCTCTTTTTCAGGTCTGGTGTTTGTTGACAGCATAATGAGTAGGGCTGGGCGATAAACCGACAATTTACCGATCTAACTAGTATTTTTAAGAGGCTGTGATAAGACTGCTTACATTCTTCAGTCAGTAGTTGCATAAAAAGGAAAAATGGGGAGTTTATGTCAGTCTGGCACTTTGCTCCAAACTGAATTGTAGGGCTGGGCAATAAACCGAAATGAATGACAATAACCAACAATAACCAATTTATTATATAACGTGGGGCTGGGTGATCAATCTCAGAAGTCCGACTTTTCCTCTGAATTCTGACTTTTTCTCTGAATTCTGACTTTTTTTTTGGAATTTTGACTTCAATCTCAGAAAAATGAATTTTGAGATTTGAAGTCAGAAATCTGAGATCAAAGTAGGATTGGGCAATAAACTGTAAATTTACTGATACCGAAATTTACGACAATAACCAACTTCATTTTGTCCATGTCAATATATCCGGTGTCAAAAAAATTATACTTAAAAGTTGGTTTTGGATGTGTGTAGGTAGGCTATGGTCTCATGTCCCTTTAAGACGCTGTCCTACGTCAGAGACGTGACTCCACCCCATCCAGTCCATAACAAAGAGGGAAAGACAGGTGAGGAGATGGAGGACGGTTCAAAAGTTGTAGCGGCTGAAGTAGACGAAGTTAATGTGAGAGGGGGTGAGCAGCGTGTGGAGTAGTTATCGTTTATTTATCGTTATTAATATATCGTGATATTGATCTGAGGCCATATCGCCCAGCCCTAATAATGAGATTACTCTCTAATTCAAAGTAGCTGTTACAGGTACGAGCTGACTGGATATTACACTGTGTCCCGTAAGCTTTGAAACCTCGTTTGTTGTTTTAGTTTCTCGGCTGAATTGTTACCTCCCTGTCAGCGCGCTCTGCCGCGGTTTCTCCGACACGATGGTTCTAAAGGCGATCCGCTCAGTGTTATCTTTCCCTGCAGTTAGTGAAGATGAAGAATCGAGCGCTTTACTCGAGAAGTTGAGAAGACACTTTATGACGTGAGTGGAAATCATTCATGAATTCATGGAATCAAGCACCTTGTTTTGACATATTTTTGTGAAGGTTAAAAAAATGTGTGTTTGTGTGTGATTGTGCTCTCTCTCTGTATATTACTACATACCTCTGCTGTTTTTGGCTCTGTAAACTGCACAGATGCTGCAGTTCTGCATATCAAAAATCATTCAAACATTTCAATGCGAACTATATTTATTTATTTTATCTTTTTCTTTCTCTGTGTCTTCCTCGTCAATCAGAGATTTTGATGTCGTCGCGTCTTGATCTTGAGTTTTCGCGTCACAGCTGACGGACTGCATCGAGTTTATCGGTTCCACTTTTATTTAAAGTGTTTTGTCAGTGCCTGTTATTTATTTCAAATTGTGACGACTTCATCCATGTAGTCTCTCCTCATCTCAAAGGTCAGGTAATTTAAAGATCATGAATATTGTTTTCATGTTTTGGAGATTCTTTGGTTTTTCGGAACTTTTTATAGCAGAAATCGTTGCACTCAAAAGATTAAGATTTTGGAAACTGTGGATCAGTGTTTTCCCGTCATCACACCCACGTACTTTTAAAAAAGAAAAAATGAAGATTAACAGTTATTAGGAAATAGTTTCAGCAGAATTTGTGACCAAAATAATCCCACAAAGAATCATCACGAGGTATAATTCTTCCTAATCATCACAGATTGGACAAAATCTGATTCAAATCTTGATTTAAATGATATTTTTCTCTAAAATTGACTCTTTTGGAAAACATTTCTCCTTTTTATTGTGTTGTATATAATTTTGAGTGATTTCCGACATTGAAAATAAAATTTTTCAACAAGAAAAAAGTTTCTTTTTCTATTTCTTATTGCACTAATCTGCAATGGCCACACAGTGGTAGTACTGTGATAAGGTATGATAGGCAGTCTGACATCTTGTGCCCTGACAAATCAAACAACACAATATAAGAGGGTTTATGAAAGTTGTCACAGTTAAGTTGAACGTTTTCTATTTTTTAGATGTTTTTTTTAATCATAATTGTTATTTTCAAGTGCTCTCAAAATAAAAATAAAACATTGCTTTGACATAAACATGATTAAATCGGCTCTCTTAGTGCACTTTAGTTACAGGTGCTGAAGGAAAACAGCGTAACATCCACCTCCAGTCTCCCCTACTTCAGCACCGACAAAAAAAAGGGTCAGAAACTCCCCCAAAGACACAAATTAATGTGAAGAGTGATGAAATAATTAATATTTAATGTTCACTGCTGCACTGAGGGCTGAAGAGTGGTAATTGGCTTCGCAGGGGCAGGGCATTGACCTGTGGCGGCCTTCGTTGAGCTGGTTTGAACTTCTGCTGTAATTGATGCAGTGAGTGCAGGTGGATGCACCTTTTTCAAGCACTAAATAAAAGCTGAGTATACGAGCGAATATGTTTATTTGTTTTAAGTCTACAGGCAGTAACAGAAAATGGCTTTACTTAGTCAAAGCATTTAAATTTGTTTAATTTTGTAGATTTTAAAGAGATTCGGATGTGTACAGGGGTAAGTTTAGCTCCTAGACTTGTCACAATCTCATCCCTTAAGAGAGGAGTCTTAGGGCTCTTCAAAGGTGGGGATGATGACATCTCCCCGCTGATCTGGCGTCCTGACTCCCCCTTGCTGAATGAGATGGTACGTTGACCCTCATTGACCTCTAGTCCTGATAGAAACTTCTGTTTGAACATTGTGTCAACAGCTGTTTCTTTGTGGGCCTGGAAACTGGGGGTCAAAGTCCCCACAGATCCCTCATTCTCAGCATATAGCCCCTATTTAAGACACAACGTGTGGTCCTGGTGTACTGAAGTGTTTTATACTCAAATGTGTTCCCTATATTTTGTCCACTTTGTTAAATAACAAAAGGTAGGGACAAAATATTAGGAACACCTGCCAATATATGTACAAAACCACTCAGAGGTGTTCCCTATATTTTGCCCACTTTGTTTACAAACATGACGTAGGGACAAAATATTAGGAACACCTGCCAATATATGTACGAAACCACTCAAAGGTGTTCCCTATATTTTGTCCACTTTGTTAAATCAAAAAAGGTAGGGACAAAACATTAGGAACACCTGCCAATACATGTACAAAATCACTCAAAAGTGTTCCCTGTATTTTGTCCACTCTATTAACAAACATGAGGTAGGGACAAAATATAAGGAACACCTGCCAATGTATGAACAAAACCACTCAAAAGTGTTCCCTATAATTTGTCTACTCCATTAACAAACATGACGTAGGGACAAAACATTAGGAACACCTGCCAATTTATGTACAAAACCAACTCTCAATGCGGCTTTAACAATGAATCCAAATTCCAGTAATCCCACCAAGAAGTCACCAATCCTTTAATGCCTTTTTAGACCATTTTTTTATGAAGATAGGAGGCTGTGACCGTGTTCTCAAAGCCTCCACATTTTGTCTTTTGACTGAAACCTTGAGAAAAATGACCATTTACAGTCTATCATTAGCCTTGACTAGGTCTTAGAGTTCAAAAAGCTGCACAGAAAATGTGAGATGAGATGTGATTAAGATAATATATATATGTGTATATGTGTGTATATATATTTAAGCAGGAGATAAGGAGAGATAAGCTGAGGAGAAAACAGCCAAGTGGTAGTTAAAGGCGTTTATCTGAGCAGAAATGAGGCTCAGGAGGACAGGGTCAATATTCACCACCCCGGCTCCCATCTCAGCGAGAGAATCCTCGGGCTAAAAATACCAACACTGCTGCTTTATGACCAGAACTGATGAGCCTTGATGCTGCTGCCTGCTCTCTTAATGCAGCTACAGAAAACCGCCTGATCTCAGAGCATCTCAGTTATCTAGCAGAACAGATCGGGAAGGACAACATGTTTACTAGACCGGCAAGGCATTTTTGCATGAAATAAGCAGAATTTACATGAGCTGAATCCAGTTTGAGTTTTTGAATCAGAATTATCAGGAAGTTGAGGACTAAGCAGAGTGCGCTGAAAGGCTCATATTAAGATGAATATGGTGAACAATGAAGAGGAAGGCTGCTATAGGGGTTTTTTCACATAGCGCACCTTTCTCTCTTCTTTCATTCTCTTTCTGTCTGTGTCATTATCTCTGAATCATCATGTCTTATCAGAGTCACTAATACAGTCTTTTCTGGGAGTCCCTGAGCTCCATCATGCCGTAGGTTCCTCTGGATCGCTGCTGCAGATGTTTTGGACCTACCTGCTTTCCAGCTGCTTCAACTACCTCCATCAATCTCACCTCTGTCCATCCCTCTCTTTTTCTATCCCCTCTAAAAACCCAATGCAGAATCTCTCATGATCAGAACTTCAGAGTATCCATTTTGAGCTTTATATTATTACTTCCACATTTAAAAATACAGAAAATTATGATTGGCCAAGATTTAGATCAAACACTCATGTGTGGTCTGCGTACGTGTCCGTCTGTCCACGCATGTGTAAAAAGCTATATTTAGCTACATGGTTTGCAAGTTGTATTTAGGGATGTGGTTTCCAGTAAACACTCTCAGTGTAACACTCAGATGTGTCATTTTATGATCCTCTGACTACATCATCTACACACCATGAGTGCACACACTCACACACTCACACAGTAGTCAGTTGGTTCTTCCTCTTTTACTGGCAGAGTGGTTTTGGCATCTGTCACATCACTGCAATAATATTAGTCCAAACCAAAAGTTCCTTACAGCGGCTTAAAGATAGAGTCAGGTTTAAAGATTGATTTATTTTAACTGGTTTATTAGACGGCATCACATCACTTCCTGTCAGTTTTAGAATTGATTTTAAGATTTTATTGATTACTTTCAAGGCTCAAGAAGCGCATTCAACCCGCAGCATCCTGTCATTGCAGTGGTTTGCGAGGGAATGATGTATGTTCAGTTTGACTTCTTCTAAACATTCAGTGAATGAATCCCTCGCTGAGACCAATTTACCGAGCAGACATGATAAAGCAACACAGCCAAACACTCTCGTCTCACGGTCCTAGAAGCTCTGAATTGAACTGAATCCTGAAACGTTCAGCTGTGAATCAGTTCAGGAGGTCGGAGTTGCAGGCTTCTCCTGACAAGCGCTACGTGATTCGGTGATTTGGTGAACGAATCTTTTGAACGAATCTTTTAAGTGAACTGATTCTAGTAATTCAGTACATTTACTCTAAACCATACCAAGCTGTATCCTCCTCAAGCGTGTCTGCACTTTAGGAGCTTTAAAATGCTGACAACCAACATTGTATTGACCTCCGTGAATCGACTGGTATGTCAATGACTTGCAGTGAAGGCAGGAGAAATGTACAACCGCGCCTCCCCCTTCAGGCACACACATGCAAGTCTTTCCATGACACATTTCTACTGTTTTCCTCATGATTTACTGTTCACACTTGTGCGCCCCAGGGACAGATAAGGGACTGTGTCTTTTGGAGAGCTGCGCAGGTGTAAATTGAACCGAAATGACAGGCATCCAGAAAAAATAAAGAGGTGAAAAGAAAAGGTTGAAAGGAGAAGAAAATGAAAATACTCACACACACAGTCAGAGGAGGAGAAAGAGAGAAGTGACATCACATCTCCCTGCCTCCCTCCCTCTTTCTCTCTCTCTCTCTCTCTGGCACCTTTGCTCCACTTCTCACCGAGGAGGAGGAGGAGGCGTCCACACACTCACACTCACACACTCACACAGTTTCTCGCTGTCCTCTTTCCTCGTTCATAAAAAGAGGCTGGACCTCAGGAAAAGGGGGAAAGCGAAACGAAAGCTTCCCTTCTGACAGGATGAACAACACTTTTCCAAACATGGCGACGATAAGCGACTTCGACACTATCACCGCGTCTATTCCTGCCACTAAAGTTGAAATCACAGTGTCCTGCAGGTGAGAGGATTTCTCCTTTTTCATGTCGCTTTTCTCCTCGGACAGGGTTACGAGGGGGAAAAAACTGGGTTTGACAGTCTTGGCGAGACTATATCGAAGTTTGGGTCAAGTTTTGGTGAAAACTGGATAAAAATGTCACTTCGCTTTGAAACAAACCCGTGCGTATCGGTGTATTTCCCCCTTACAGACCATTTGCGATAGAAAATACTGTTTTAGAGGTTCAATCCTGGTTTGTGTTGAAATTTAAAACCCACGATTAAGGCGTGGACCACTTAATGTTGATAGCGTAAAGTTAACGCCGTGGCTAGTCCGCGACTAACTTTGGATGAGTTACCTAATACTGAACTTTTTACACAGGTTACATGTCAATCCAACAGCGATATGGGCTCTAACGCTTTAAAAATCACATTTATTGATATATCAAACTATTAGTGCTTTTCTAATGGTGCCAGATTGACAATAACAGTGACTCTACATGTGTGCCATGAGTGAATGTTTGTTTATACGCGCAGTGAAACCATGAGAAACAGAAACCAGAGTAACGCAGAGTTGCATCAGCCGATATTTAATACATGTTATCATTATTTTAATAATTCTGAGAGAGTTTTACATTCAGAGAAGAGGGAGGAATACAGAGAGGGGTCTATTTCACCCACTGAATGACATAGGTCACATTGTGTTCTCTGTGTTTGGTCCTTTCGTGGAAAGAGGCTGCTTTACATAAACTTGATGCAGAGAGAGAATAAAGTATACTGACAAAGATTCTCCTTATTGACACTGTTTTAATCATTAACAGTGATTGGATCAGGGCTGAATGATACCTGCTGACAAAACTATTGAAATGCTCTAATAACCCACTGAGCATTTTGTGGTCTAAAAGAGGTCTAATAGATGTTTACATGTAGTCTAGACGTCTAAAATCAGGCTACCACAGGTCTAAAAATGAAAGTTTTTCAGACGTCTAAATTTAGACCAAGTTTAGACTAAATCTAAATCTGGGCTTTATCTATACTACAATGTATATTGCTAAACTGCTATCATAATTATTTTGGTTAAGTACTTGGAGATCAGTTATGCTACTCACAGTTGCTTTTTGAAATAGTTATTGAATAATTGGTTAAAGTGCAACGTCTAAATTCTGTCTAAAAATATACAGAATCTAGACGGTTGAAATTAGGTCTAAAAAAAGACTAGACATCTAATAGCCAAATACCCAAACAGTAGGAAACCATGTATACTCTGAAGGCTGGTAATGATACTCTTAAGGTATTGATATATTTTTAATCGAAATTATGTTTTTTACATTTTTTTCTTTGAAGCTTTCCTCACTGCTCTTCTATTCATTATGATAAAATTGTATAAATTTGGCATTGCGTGGGAAATCCCATCGCACATGTGAATAAGCTCTGCACTTGGGCATGAGGAGAAAGGTGCACACTATGCATTGTTGGGTTGACCTGCCGGATGGAGCAAATGCCCTCATATTGACTCGTGTCGAGTGATAGTATATTGTGTGTAACATTAGCTTGCAGGGATCCCTGTTGAAGATATGCATTTCACTGACTTAGATGAGGGTTTGTCGACTTTTGATGATGTGGCAGATGTGCAGGGTGATAGACTGTAAACTGCTTTTGTAGGTGTAAAGTTTGGTGTTTGGTTTGCAGTGATTTTGGTTTTATAGTGTTGTTGATTCTCACCTGTTTAAGGTAGGTAGCCAGTATGAAACTGACACTCATGAACGCTGCTGTGTCTATAAGACCCGAACAGCAGAGCAAATAAAACACTTACTGTCATCCCTGCTGCAAAATAGGTGTCAGGAGACGTGATTTACTGCCAGAACAGCGCTTTAAGGATTCATCCACATCAAATATTCATTACAAGCAAGATGATAAGTCATCCCACTTTGTCCTCAGAAAGCGGAGAGTTGACCCTAAAGGTCCTCAGAGGAGCTTGAATGTCCTCACATACTGTGATATTATAGCAGGGGCATTAATATCCATGCATATACAGCGGCATGAAGGAAAGTGAGTGTCAGAGGCCCTAAATTTTCCACTATCAACACGTGGCCCCTCTGTCTAAGCAGTAACTGTATTTTTCCATCACAAAGGAGGATGTGATAAAGAGGTTTCTGTTTCCCAACCACAGACACCTGCTCTGAGCTGTACACTCGTGTCATTGTGAATTATTGATCAAACTTTACTCAGTTTTGTGAACGGTCTCGGAAGAGCAAACAGAAAGGGTTTTTTAAATCTTCGCCTGTTTCTATGAGACTACACGGCAACCCATGAGCTTTTTTTTCACCCCCATCTCCCTAGTAACAGAGAGATCATGTCAACTTCCAGCACAGTATAAGAACATGTAAGGCAGCGCTAATGTCTGAGTCACCCGGCTTCTCAGCACCCAAAGGGGGGAGGCTTAGTGGTTGTCCTCCCACCTCCAACCCGAGGTAGAGCCGAGTGCCATGGTTACGGCCAGGTGATCGGTGTGTTTGTGCATTCCAAACGTGCACATGTGATATTTAAGCGCATGAGGTGATTTTCATTTCTATAAATGTCTTTATATTTCGGCGCACGAGGGGGTGCACGGCATTGCCATGGTAACTACTTTTAAAAGTTTGCGTCTGTGTGCGGAGAGGGGTGTGAGAAAATTCACAGGAGAGACAATGGCTGAAGGGAGAGCGAGATGAAGGACTGGATTGTTACCTCGATATCAGCTGTGGATGATAGTTAGAGTTTGTCAGCTGTATCCACGGTGAATCTATGATAGATAAATTGATTCTCGGGTCATTTAGTCGTATGGAAAAGAGGGGAAATACATGTGAAAGCTGAACCCACAGGTGACACACTCAGACCTCCTGTCACTTAGATTTGGTGTTCATACTTTCTGCATTACTCAGAGTCAGCGTGTACCCTTTGCAGAAATATTGACTTATCTCATTAGCCTGCTTCTCAAACTAATTCAGATAATGCCACAGGGCTGTGTAAGAGCTTGGCTCAGGCTCCACGCTTGAGTTGAGACGTTTTCGCTGATCCCTGAAGTAGATCGGCCAAGATCAAAATGCTATTAAATTACCCGGTATGTCTAAATCTGCTGCATAGGTATACATACATCATTAGTGATCATAGTGGACTGCTGCCAACATGACCGAGAGGATTTATCAGCAGCTGATAAGGAGCTTGTAAATCTGTGAATGGTACAAAGTGGATCAGGTTCTGACAAGAAAGGTGAATCTCAGACCTCGTTTTTTAGCTCATCTGGCCATGCCTGTTAGAGCAGAATCTGACCGAAACAGGAAACCGCCCCCTTTCGTAAGAGGATCAGATTTGTTTGTTTATTCAGGGTTTCAAAGTTTGCTGAATGTTTCCTGACATAGTCTCGCTGAAGAATACAAAGTCCGTGTTTCAGACAGCAATGCTGACCCCGGCTGTTTCTCTAAGGAGTCAACACCCAAAGGTCTGTCTAGTTCTTTATAAGAGAAAAACAGATAAAAAGTTCTCGGTGTGTGGATCTCTTTCTTCTGGATCTTTCGAAGTCTCTCTCTCTCTTTCTCTCTGGCTTCTCTTTCCCAATCCTCACCCCTCCACCTCCTCAAACACACACACTTTCTCTCCCTCTCATGCGTTCAGGCACTGTCAGCAAGAATTGTAACTGTTGACAGTAATAACACGCAAGTTCTCCTCTCCCCTCCTCTACCTCCTTCTTATTTCTTCATCCTCTCCACTGAAAAGGTGAAGCACAGTCTTCACTGTTTCCATGACACAGTGGAGCTCGTGGTGCTGAAAAACTCAGGCTTGTTGTCATTATTATGAATCTTTTGTCTTATTATAGTAAAAGCCGGCTCGCCAACATTGAAATGAGGCCATATTTAAAACAGGGTCAAATTTGTGTAGGCCTGAAGGCTGGGACATGCCACTGCTGTGATCTTAATGGATTCACTCACAAAATGTGTCATCGCTTCAGATCGGAGAAGCCAAACTTACACGCTGCTTCTCCGTGGAGCGAAAACAGCGAGTTTGACTCCGTTTTCATCAGCCGAGCAGGAGGCAGAAGGTAATCAAACACTCATCACGGTGACCGAACGGCTGCTTATAATCTCGCCATTGTCTCATTTTGAGCGGGTTAATCTGAAAACATGGTTGCCAGGTTGTGTTGGCAGGCACACACACTGACAGTTTGTAATTGGATGAGGACCCCCATTGTAAAGAATCAGGGAAACAAGAACATTTGGTTCCCTAGATCCTGTTTCTATGGTGTTACCCACAATCTGTAAAATGCAGATCATATCAGGGTTTGTCTTGACGGCACATGAGCTGATGACACAAAACAAAAATGTGCCACTATGTTTGGGTGTCAGAAACTGCGTCTGTACTCTGCCTTCTGGGTTTCAGAGCTTGGCAACCCCTCCACACACACAGTTTTCCACACAATGGTTTAACTGGGGTCTTGAGTGGTCCACCAAATTATTTTATTTAGTCCAAAAAACTCTCAGAAAGGCAGAATACTCTCGAGACATGCCAGATGTGAGCCTCTTTTGTCCTCTGATCAGCCCTGGAATTTGCTTTTACCGAGGGTGAGCATACGTCCTCTTGTACCCCGGACATGTCCTCTTTTTTGGGGGGTTTCCAGGCTGTACATGGAAGTTTATAAAATGCTTCAAATGTCCGGGGTTTGTTTGTAAGTTTTGAGTTTGTGTTGCGTGGACTTGCTGAGTTAGAAGCGCATAAAAGACACTCAATCCGACCTGAACAACTCTCAAAATTAACTACGCACGACTCTGTGACTCTGCCTATGCGTTGTCGTGTCCTCTTTTTGGGGATTCAGAATATGGTCACTCTTTTTTATACCACTCATGACAGCATTAGCTCTCTGAGGCCTTGTCCACACGTAAACAAAGTCAAAAGTGAACGCACAAGTTTTTTGTCGTACATGGAAACAGCTTTTCGGGGACTTTTTGAAAACAGGTCAGACAGTGGATAAATTTCGTGTCCATGTGGATGTTTATCTGGATCTGTCTTTAAATGATGACTTCATACATACAGTAACTTTCTAAAGGCGCCTGCGCGTGTCCGACCAAAACAACAATGGCTGACTACAGGGTTGTTTTCGTGTGGCAGAAGCTGCTGAGCTACAGCAAACTTGGATGGTTCTTTACCACCAATGAAAACAACCTTTTCTGATCTTGTTCACAGCGTTTTATACAGCGTCACTTACTGGCTTGGTATATGCACCACATCATTCTCAGTGGTTTCTTGTGAATGCAGATATCTCCTGTAACAATTCTATCCTTACGGTAGACTTTTTCAAAACAAAACAGCAATATATCGTTTTCCTCTCCTGAATCTGGGCGCAGCGGCTCACTGTTTACATACCTGCACCCACAGGTATCTTTGGATCTCTCGTCTCACTGTTACCACAGAGGTTTCCTCCCTCTCTTTTACATGTTTACAGTAAATGCCGTGTCATTGCAGATGTCAAAGGTAATCATCTTCCTTGTTTGGTTGTTTATTTTATCTCCTCCTGCAGACTCAACAGCACACCAGACAATATGTTTACACGCATGTACAAATTGATTTATTGGAATAGTGTGACTCAGACTGGACTTTGAGATGAAAACATGTTAATCAGACTGATAACGAACTTTGCACAGTCAGACCAACATTTTCGGATAGTGCGATTTTCAGTGCATGAATTCCTCCCTTCACCTTCAGAGTTCTGAATTAATTTAGGTGATAATGCTCTCAAAGTTAAAAGTATTTTTTTGGCACATTAAAGGCATGGTTGACATTCTAAGAAAAAAAAACTGAGCGGTTGAGACAAATTCGGAAAACGCCTCCCACCCCCAACACACAAACCCCTCCCCTCTGTGCTCCATGATAAGAACCTGTATCGCCCTCCCCATGACACACCCCCTCCGGCGGAGCAAGAAGCTGGTGGCAGTAGATTCTACGCTAGCTTTGAATAGGATTCACCATGTCGGATTGCTAGTGACTAGCAGCAGTAAACACCAGCTCTGCTAGCGAGCTCAGTCTGCAGCTGCCTGGACAGCTACCATGTTGACATTACAGAGACTAATAAGAGTTGTACATGTGATAAAAGGAAAGAATTACCTGTCCAACAAAAACTCTGCTGTCTTGGCATCTGTTTTCAGGCCCAAATCCTGGCGGAGCTTTCTCCACCGCTTGAAGAATGACCCAATGATTCCTTGCTTGGTCACATTTCCTCTTTGTCTCCGCCCTTTCTTCCATCGGCTTGTGTTTTTTTTGAGTACTTTTGGCGGTGGGGCAAGCAGAAGTGTTTTTTTTTCCTCCATCCCAGCTCCTGTAGCTAAGCTGCTACACTACTTTTAGCCGCTCAGAGCTCCGAGGGGACAAGTTGGAACTACGGGAGAGCGATGTGTCGAATACAGCGAGGTGATTGGATGGAGAGGCGGAGCAGGAGATTGACCAATGGGAGCTGTCCGGAACGGATGGCTCCTATTGGTCAATGTTTTTGCAGCCTTGCACCTTCTAGGGTGAACAGATTTTTTCCATTCTTTTTCCACTTCATGGAGATCGCACCATATGATCATGATCGCCATAAAAATGAGGTTCATTATAATTACCAACCTCTCCAATTGTCAACCATGCCTCTGATAGTTCAGTCTTGATTATGGATTGGGGCCAAAATCGTTCAAATCCATGTCTGATGTATCGGAAATGTAAACAGCTGATTCGACTACATCAAGATGTTGGCGTTGAGGCAAACATCAGGATGGGATTACCTGAGACACCGCCGTGGTAGTGGTGAAGGATGGATGCGGGGTATGATAAGGGGTGGACATCTTTACAGCTAATCCCGTGATGACAGGTGGAGGAGGGTTGTAGTGATCCATAATAACTAAAGGAGGGCGTATTGTAAGTTAAGGAACAACAGGAGGGTTGGTTGATGGAGGTCATTGCAGAAAGAATCCCATGATCAGGCGGCAATAAAAGCAGCAGAAAAATGGAGTGATGGAGAAAGGAAGAGTGTTGAATGATGAGTGTACGCTGAGCTCTGTTTATCCAAGAGATAAAGGATCACATGCTCTTAATTGTATCCACTCCCCCCTGCGGACCCCTCTCCCGTTGACTCTATCGATTCATAATTTTAAGCTAGCTACAGCTTTTGCTCTTGTCAAACAGCTGCAGAAAATACTCCCCCGAACAGCCTTCAATTTTGCTTTCAGTGTTAGGTGTGAAACACTTAGCCTGCAACCCGGCCCTTTAACATCAGCAGTCATGCCCGAGCTGCTATTTTCAGGTTTCTCACTCCCACTCTGTCTACAGGGAAGTGATTGTGTTGACCTTTTTGGCCCCATAGAGCTCACATAATGGCTATCTTATTGAAGATGCCGTTGACATCCGTCACTTTGAAGGGAGGAAGGGGTCGCCCGCTGCGCGCCGGTTCAATGACGGCGAAAAAAAAGCACAAAAGGATGTGCAAGAAATGACGACTTTTTCCCCGTCTGTTTACATGTGGTTTTGAACAGCAGGAAGCGCAAATGATTTTTGGGTGAGCGCACAGTGGTGCTGGCAATCAGTGAGACAAAGCTATATTGAAGAAATTCTCTCTGAGCTGCCATGAATTGATGCCATTGTCTTGTCTCCGTACACTGACTCTGTTTTTGTGTAGATCGGAGTGTGTATCCGGCTGTGTTTATGCCTGATTTTTTTGTGTCTTTGAGACCACAGTCCTCTTCTGTAATCAGGTTTGGGCTTTGTCTAGTCAGGTCAGTAAAGATTTATGCACTCGGAGGGAATTACTATCGACCCCCTTCTTTCTCTTATTCTCTGACTGCGGGTGTTTCTCCTTCTTCTACATAAGTCGGTGTGCCACACTGTGCCGCAACATACGCAGATCTGTGTGGACTTAATTGCACTCTTAGACTCCGTCCACACGTGAAGCTGCGCAGGAAAGATAAAAACATGATATCTAATGAGAGCAGGTTGTCGTGAAAGGTCGCGAACACTCTCAAAGTTGTGGCACAGTGATAGATGTACACATTATCTCCACTGTCAAGGTTATGCAGCTGTGGGGTTATTTTAAAATGCAGGGGATAAAACAAGGACTCAAGGACACACTTACAAACACACACACTCCCTCGATACGAATTACACTCATGATTTCTGTGTGTATTTTGTACATTTTGAGAAATTTCTCCAGAATAGTGTCCGAAGTTCCCCTTTAAGAGTATTTCTGAGACTCCAGCAGCCATGTGAGGACACCCAAAAGTCCTAAAAGCAAATGCCTCTCCTCATCAGTAACCACCATTACTTACAGTCCTCAGACTGAAGGGGCGCTTTAGGTCGACGCTTGTATACAATAGCGTAGAGTATCAGTGCGTTTAAGAGCGTTTCAGCCCTCATGCATGGAAACTAACCTGCAGAAATATGTGCCACTGTGCCCTCCATCACTCTGACAGCTGATGACATTTCACACACACACACACAAAATAGCATCACATTTGAGGCTCTGGCATTTCATTTCTCAGCTGCGACGTGGGAGGCAATCCCATGGTAAACAAATTTGTAATTAAACACGTCAAAATTTAGATATTGCAAACTGAATTAGATTTTTCGTTGACGTTCTGGGTGTGATACCTCCGTCTGAATACCCAGCGCTCAGATTTAAACTATCTGACAAGCAGGATTACTTGACGTACAGTAAATCACCCTCACATCCCTCTTTGCAGCCGAGTGTGACAGACAGACGGAGGGTGAGAGAAAGAGAGGGGGAGAGGGAGAGAGAGGGAATGTGGCAGGGTTAATGAAGTCATCTCCATCCTGGTCACATAGCGCAGAGGCTGTTTGAGTTCCTCCAGGGATGCAGCCTCCCCCCCCCTTCTGTCTTTTTCTCCCTCCCATGTAGAAGCCCTCGGCCCGGGCCTGCACACCCAAGCGTGCCTCTTTTTCTCTCACAAGCACAAATTCTCACTCGACATCCTGCTGATAGCATTTTATAAAGGCCAGCGAATGCATGTGATGGAGTAAAAGCGCAGATATGAGGGGTTGATACTCAGTCTTCCTCCCTTCTTTTTGGTTAGTCTGCAGCTCTGAGTCAAATACTATACCAACAAACACACGTGCTTACACACATACACTGTTTGACATTCTGTAGCGTGTGCATTGTGAACACAGACACGTACTCAAACAGGATGTAGCTGCTTGACTTTCGGGGGACATCAGATTTAGTCCATGCTGACATTATCGTTGAGGAAAATACTTGTTGTTTGCGCTTTAATGGGATTTTTACAGAAGAGGATTAGGGCCACTGTGGAAAAAAAAGGCTCTATATACAGTATATATATAAATATGTGGTTTATGCTGAGGGAAAAAAATAGACTTTTAAAATAAAGTCAGAAATCTAAGAAAAAGTCGGAATTTAAGATTGATGTCGGAATTCTGACTTTGAGCTCAGATTTCTAACTTTAAATTTCAAGTCATGATTCTGAGATTGAAGTCAAAATTGAAAAAAACATGTCCGAATTCAGAGGAAAAAAGTCAGAACTCTGAGAAAAAAGTCCTAATTCCAAAAAGTCTCAATTCCAAGAAAAGTCATAATTCTGAGAAAAGATCAGCATTCTGAGATTGAAATCAGAATTCTGAGAAAACAAGTTTGAATTACAAGAAAAATGACATAATTCAAGAAAAAAGTCAGAATTCTGAGAAAAAATTCATAACTCCGAGAAAAAGAACTCAGAGAAAAAATCCTTAATTCTAAGAAAAGTCATTATTCCAAGAAAAATTTTAAATTCTAAGAAAAATAAATCGGCATTCTGAGATTGAAGTCATAATTCTGAGAAAAAAGTCAGAATTCCAAGAAAAATTGTCATAGTTCTGAGAAGAGTCATTATGGAAAAAGTCAGAATTCAAAAAAGTCATAATTTTAAGGAAAAAAGGATAAAATTACAAAATTCTTAGAAAAAGTCATAATTCCAAGAAAATGTCAGAATTTTTAGAAAAAATGTCAGAATTTTGAGAAAAAGGCATTCTGCGATTCAAGTTATAATTCTGAGAAAAAAGTTCAAATTACAAGAAAAATGACGTAATTCTGAGAAAAGTCATAATTCTGAGAAAAAAATTCAAATTCTGAGAAAAAAAGTCTGAATTCTAAGACTAAAATCAGAATCTTTCCAAAAAAGTCAGAATCCTTAATGGTTCCACATAATTTTAAAAAAGAAATATACTGGACCTTATAATTATTATTTTGTTTTATTTTTATTTTTCCATTGGCCCTATTCCTCTTCCATAGATTTTGCATGTACTGCAGTAGAGATCTGGTGTTCGCTGTGAGCATTTGCAGGCATCAGAAGTGAAATAAAGGTGAAACATCAGATGTGTAGCTGTGTGATGTCCATGACTGATGTGTCTTTTACTGCATGCCTGTGTCTTAATTGATTCTGGCATGGCGTCGTCCTATTTGTGTGCGCGCACGTTGAGATGCTCTCTTGGCTCTTGCAGCCCTTGTCAAGAAGAATTAGGGCAGCTCTTTTAGAGAAGCAGAAACAGAATACAAGCTGCTGATACTTCCCTTTAATATGTGTGTGTGTGTGTAAATATACATGTGTGTGTATGTAGAGAGAGAGAGCGTGGAGGCGCATGCACGCCTTTCTTGGCAGTGCCACTCAAGGCTATCAGCAAATCGGATCAGTGAATATGCACAGAGGAAGAAACAGACTCAGGTACCTGTAGCCTCGTGCTCAGCGACCTGTTGAGAACATCTGAGCATGCCCGGTTGTGTCCTCTCGCTCCACATGTTACTGAGAATATTCCTGGTCTGTTGCTAAGCATGGCTAGAAACACACACACACACACACACGCGCTGAAGAGTCCTGCAGAGGTGGATTTGAGAGTAAAAATTGGGCGAACAGTCACACTGTGTGGAATTTGTTGTTATTTTTCAGGATGTCTTAAGGGAAACTCTGTTTTTTTTTCATCCTGGGCCCTATTCTCCCAAGTGTGTGTGTTTGCTTGACTGATAGCAGGGCAATTTTTGGGAGAGTGGAGCAGCAGGTAACCACAAAACACTGCCTGCTGCTTCACTCTCCCTCAATACCGGTCCAGTTTCAGAACCGGTTCGCCTCGTCTGGTATTATTACGATTAAAAAAGTTGAACTGGAAAACCGTCAGACCATAAACAGGTTGCTCTGCCTGCATCTATGTGTGTGTCTAAGTGTGTCTAGTTCAGTGAGGTGGTGTAATCTCTGCAGAGTCTATTCAGGTCATGGTCAAAGTGAGAGAGAGAAACAGAAAGAGAATTGATGCTCAAGGCTCTGAATGAGAAAACCCTTTCCTCCCATGCAGAGGACGAATTAGGAGACAAGAGAGAAGACAAGTGGACTTGTAGTATTTAGGGTCCTGCAAAAATTCAAATTTTAGCTTGAGTTTTCTTTATGTTTTGATTGTTTGTGATTGACTTTACAGTGAGCAAGCTGGTTGAACTTCATAGATGTTTACAGCCAATGAAGCTTTTCATGCTGTGAACCTTTAGGGCATGTTTTTATGACAGGAACCAGCTCTAGAAAGAATGCCTGGAATGTTGGCAGATGACCAGAAATACTGAACAGTCCGGTTCATAAAAAGTACCAGGACATGTAACATGTAGAAACATCTGAAGTGTCTACTCCGATTCGTTACATAACGTAGGGCTGGGCGGTCAATCTCAGAAGTCTGACTTTATTCTCAAAATTCTGACTTTTTTTGGAAGTCTGACTTTTTTCTCAGAATCCTTTTTTTTTGTTTGTTTGAATTTTGACTTTTTTTCTCAGACTTCTGTCCTTCTCTCTAAATTCCATTTTTTTTTTAATCTGGCTTTTTCGTTAAATTTTGACTTCAATCTCAGAATTACCACATGTTGGAGATGTGGTTCCATCACCCCATCCAGTTGTAGCGGCTGGAGCAGCGGCTCAAGTAGATTAAGTTAATATGGGAGGGGGTGAGCAGCTTGTGGAGTAGTTATCGTCCATTTATCGTTATCGAGGTGAACTGCTCAATATATTGTGATATTGATTTGAGGCCATATCGCCCAGCCCTAATGTAACGTCCCAACTTTACTTGAATTGGGTTTGTGCATAAAGTCTCAAAAGTCTGGGACTAAATCACTGACCCCAAATAGAGCTCATTGTGGCAGAAGTAGAGCAGCCGAAGCTCCACTCAGTCCAAATCTTCCTCTTGCTTCTTAGACAGATTTGGGGTGGCTAACTGGACGTCCCGCCTCTTTTCCTTCACGTCTTTTTAACTGAGCACCTGTTCTTTTTTAAGTCCAGTCGCCTCAAACTCTCTTTCATTTACTGCGTGGTCCACTTTCCTCTCATCTCCACTCTCCTCTAATGGGCTACAAACCAAATAATTTGGCGGTAGTGCTGCCAGGGTCCCAGGAGAGTGTTGGCAATGTCTCATTAAGGTTACACACTGTCAGGGACACGGCTTCTGGAGCCGATCCAAGAGGCAGAGTAAAGTTATTCATTATTCAAAAAAAATAGAGGAGAAGAGGAGATAAGAAATAGGGAGAGGAGAGGTGTGTTAACGGGAGATGAGCGAGAGAAAATAATGAGGGATGAAGGCGTGAGTGAAGCTGCGAAGGAGAGGAACTGAGTTAGGAGGTAAAAAAAAGTGGCCGCAAGTACAAATACCTTCACACCGATGGCATCCCTGGCTGTCTAAGTGGAAAAACAACACACATCAGTCAGTCTGCAGTCAGTCAAGTGGCCCCAGTCGGCTGTCAGCAGTTGCCATGGTTACCCTCCCTATACCGCTGCTGTTGTGAGGCTCTCCCCGTCGAGCGCAGAGGTGTGCTTTCACTTCTTGTGTCATTAGGATAGAAGGAAAGATTTCCCCCTCCCTGACCCCACACTGGAGCTCAGACAGGTGTTTAACATAATTAGAGAGATGTCATTTCAGTTGATGGCGCGGCCTCGCAGCCCCTCTGCCTGCCTCCTTATGCGGCGCTTCCTCGTCTGCCTCATGAGGCAGCTCGGTCCAGTTGGATTCTAGAAAGTACATTAGAGCGAACAAGCGTGTGTGTGTGTGTCTGAGTCGGGGGATTCGCCGTCCATCTGGTGTCAGATTTCACTTCCTGGTGCTGTGATTGACAGCTGTCAGAGGTGACGTCTCAGAGGAATTGGTCGATCACAGGACCGATATTGGCGTCATCAATTCTGGATGGGAACACATTTTTCCTATCACTTATTAACAACATAACAAATCAAAAAAAAGTCACTGACTGGTGTTTTAATTTTGTTCTAATACGTATTTACAGCATTATCCGCCATATTTAGCTATCTATAGCGTAATATAGCGTAAGGTTTTCCCATCTTTTCAATATTCACTGAAGTTTAGCATTTTTTTTTTTTAATTTTTCAGTCTCAGCAGCAGCCTCTGAAAGACTGTAATGGCTCGACCACTAATACTTCCTCTATTTTGGTCCTTTGGCACCTTTATTTGCACAGCCCTCTCCATGGCTCGCATGGCAGCTTTCAGCTTTCTGCTGCCTCCGGATGAAACGAGGGAACGAGTGAGAGCGGGGGAAAAAAGGGGGAGAGAGAGCCATGACTCATTCACATAATCCTCTGAAGTGGAAATCCTGAAACGTGCCTTGCTCACACACAAAACACCTACCCTGACACACACTCACACACACACACACAGTACGTTCACAGGGTGAGCCCGGTCGCCCGGAGCCCATTTGTAGCGCCATCACTGCTGATGTGGAATTTGGGGGCCTCATACTCACAGAGAGGAAAACTGCAACCTCAACTGCAACCTTAATAATCTGTTGAAATCCAGATTCATTCATAGATTGTGAGATTAAGATTAAATTATGGTTGTAAAATACATTTAAATGTAGTTTTAGAAAACATGTTTCATATGGACTCTTTGGGTCATCTTATTTCCTACCTGAGTACAGACTCTGGTTGTACATTTTGTGTGTAGGATCTGTCAACAGATTATTCCTCCATAGACCATTACATGCCATCATCTCCCTCTCCATGATTTATGTCATTATTCTCACTCAGAGCCAATGATAGAGCCTCACGCCACTTTCATATAATTTACCGCAATCATCCCCTTTCCTCGTCTCCTGGAACATAGTCTTCACAAATGGGATTTTGTCCATTTTGGTTGGACTTTATTGGTTTGCTCATAATACATCACTAGTTACAGAGACTGGTATATTTAATCCGCTGTTTTACGAGGATGAAAGGAAGGAATCGTGAAATCTATCACCCACTAAATAAAGGATCTGAATACAACACAGATTTATAAATCCAGCTCCTCGTCACCAGTCGCCTCGGGAACTGCACAGAAATGTTGTTGACAGATGCAGATACTGTATGTTAATGACTATTATACAGCGTTCCAGTTGTACTCGGAAGTTGAATTTCCGAGCTCCGAATCGGAAGTTCATCTATAACGCCCCCCTGAAGTCGGATTTCCGATTCGCGAAATCGGGCGATCCTCACCAACCTCGACTTGACGACATGTCATAATCAAAGATGCAGTGCAGTGCATCAACAGTAAAAAGTAACAGTGAAAGCTTGTGTGATGTATCATTTATTAGCACTTCTGTTTTGTTTTTGTGAAATGAAATAAATGGTTTATGTTGTACTGCCCAACATCTAACTATGAACACGGTGTTGTGGTGTTTTTAAGAGTAAAATACTGTGTTATGAGTTGTTTACAACTGGTATAGCTAACAACAACTAAAAACAGCTGACAACGGCTGACAATGGCTAACAGCAGACGTCCATCTTGCTTTTCTTGTTTTGTTTTAAGTATATCCAGCTGCAGGCCCTCCAAACCATGCCCATCCAAACCACGCCCATCGCTGTAGCATCAACGGAAGTGAAGCGGCTGCCACGTCCAAAACACGTCCACTGTAGTACACGCTATGGTCGTTTATTAAGGAGACTATACTCCAAAGTTAATAATAAATTAATAATGCCATTGAAAGCACAGTGTTACGCGTTGTTTACAACTGGTATAGCTAACAACAACTAACAACCACTAACAACAGCTGACAATTGTAAACAACAGCTAACAATGGATAACTGTAGGCGTCCATCTTGGTTTTCTGACTTGTTAACTGAAACGCCATCAACTCGGGTGTAATGTCATTCCCGGCTCCGACTTCCGAGGTAACCAGAATGCAGCACTAGTACTACTTTTACCAAACACTCACCTCTCTGTCATGTCGCCCTCATGTAGTGGTGAAAACTTAAGACCCCAAAATCTGAGTATTTGATTTACCACTTAAATGGTTTTAAACACCTTGCTCTCCTCATCTAGTGCAGCAGAGGCAGATAACTGTCAAACATGAGTCAGGTTTTGATCGAGGTTTCTGCCTGTTAAAAGAAGTTCTTCCTCTCTGTTGTTGCTTACTAAATGCTGCTTAGTGTTTCACTCATGTGGTTGAAGATGGGATGGGAGTGGATCAGATCCATTCTTTACATCGGGACAGAGTCTGGTCTAGACCAGCTCTTTTGTTGCTGTACAAATAAAGATTGATTGATTTCGTATCCGAGGTAACTGTGTTTCTAACAACTCGGTCATTTGTGTCTCCACAGAAACCTGTTGGACAGGGACACCTTCTCCAAATCAGACCCAAGTAAGACCGCGGTGAACGAGTTTCTGTTTTTGAATGATTGTGCACGTTAAAGAATTTTACTATGATGCTATAAAGAAATAAACTATAAACTTGTATATTTAAAAAGGTATTTAATACTGAGTATAATATTCAGATTGGACACACACACACACACACATGTATTAAGATTAGCAAAACACAGGATGTCAGCAGATTTATTAAAGCAGGGGATAAAAAAATGACTCAGTGATGATGTTGACAGTGAAGCGCAGGATGACGAAGATGACAGTGATTGACATGATAATGATGAGGAAGAGCAGGAAGGAGCTCAGGCTCAGCCCCCGACATGAGTAGCACTTCTGATTATGCTGTGCAAAGTGACTTTGGTCTCCGTCCGTATATGAAGAATAGTAAAGGAGAGGGTGTGGAAACGATAGAGGTCCAAATGGAAAACCAAAGATTTCAGTTACACATGGAACAAGTCAGTTTAAGGGAGATGAATTTTCTGCTACATGCCAGTAAAAAGCACCCACTGCACCTTTAACTCTTCCTTTATTTCTCCATAACACTACATTTATAATCAGTATAATTTAGTTTATAGCATGCATGTTTAACAACTTTGGTTTAATGCCGTCATGTCGTGTTTCTCTTCTTCACAGTTTGTGTTCTTTACACACAAGGAATGGGCAACAAGGAGTGGAGAGAGGTGAGAATTAACTTCCTATTTAGACCACGTTTAAAGCAACTCTGAGGTAAACGTGAGAATTGTTTGCATTAGTAAACCAGCTAATAGCTTCGCAGGATCGAATATTCATTAATGTAAATACAGGACACAATGTCAGAGCATGAATCACTTGCAGTTTTTCATTGTTATGAGTGGCCCATTATCTATAATCTTTATTTAAATGCTAAGTTAAATGCCAAATGAGGACCTACTTGACCTCCAATGACTTGATGCCTCAGCTCTTTGCATTCATTACCGTACAGCTATAGAGGAGCAGCCAGAGCCGGGTTTTAGCTCGAGCTCTTGGTGGTACAGTTGCTTAAAGTGCAAAAAAACAGAGCAATTAAAGTTATACGATTGTGTCCCCGAATAACTCTGCGTACGTCAATAACACGCGTTGCTTTTTCAATCTAGTTTGGGAGGACAGAGGTGATCGACAACACGCTAAACCCTGACTTTGTGCGGAAATTCATTTTGGACTACTTCTTTGAGGAGCGGCAGAACCTTCGATTTGACCTGTGAGTATGTCTTCATCTAAAGAGCTTATTTTTCTCATCTCAGGTCCTTAAATACAAAAATACAAAGATTTCCATTTGTCCTTGGAGAGGCAAGACTAACCTTAACTGACTCTACTACGACACAGCTTCCTGCAGACCTCTCATGACATTAAAGCGGGCCACACAGACTAATGTTCATTCATGAAAAATGTCTTAGTTTGATATTAAAAAGGGTTTTCTCAATCTGAAAAACACATTAGTGCATCATTGTTGAATATTTTGTCAGAAACATGATATTTTAATTTCAAATAACTCCTCCTTTTCTTCACAAAAGGTTTCCTTAACAGAGACATTTTGATTTTTAAGACACTTGAGTGTGACTTCGGTATTTAAAAGCTACGTAAAAGCAGAGTTGGTTGTGGTCCAGATTAAACTCCTGTGCTTTCAAAATTGTATTTGTCCCAAAATTTATTGTTCCACTTTAACTGTGAATTTGTTGGTTCCCTTATATCTATTGCTTGCTATTTATCGCTCTAGTTTGTTTTTTTTTCTTGAATTTACATTTATTATGACGTGGGCTGCTGACCTCCTGGCCAGGTCGCCCATGTAAATGAGATCATGATCTCGATGGAATTTTACCTGGTTAAATAAAAAAATGAAATAAAAATTAACTTTTATTGATGATTATTTTCAGTTTGTTAAATAAAAATGTAAATTATATCAACCACAAATTTGAGAGAAGTAAAACAGTTCACTGAACTTTAAATTATGTCAGATTTCAAAGGTCATAACCTGACATGAAATAGTTGTCCTCATGTTTCTTATATCTTTGACTTTTGAGTCGTAGTGAGTTAAACTCAGTAAAGTTGGATTTTTGTGTGACTCATTGGTCCCAGCAGGTTTTTATCTGATACTTGTTTCTTTGAAAGAAGCTGTCAGGAGACATCTGGCCTTTAGATTTATTAAGCCAGCAGGCTGCATGTAGGTGAGGAGATTTTCTGTCTTAATATGCTCTCAGATCACATTTCTCATTGAATTACAGAGGGGATGTTGTGGGTTTGATTGTATTAGTAAGAGACTAATTATATCATAATCTAGAAATGAGAGAGCCGTACCGGCAACCCGAATAGGGTCAGAGCGTGCTCAGTGAGGAGGAGTTGTTTTTTCTCATTGTTTCATTTGTGTGTGTGCATAAACTTAAAGATTTCAGCGTTACCAATACTGACATACTGATACTGCACATCAACGCTAACACGAGTCTCATTGATAACTGACTCTTTGGCTCTGAGTTGCTGCATCACCAGACAAAAGAAAACTGATGCATGAGTCTCTCATTCCCACATACTGTGTTCGACAATTTCATGTGCTTGTATGTGCATGTGTTGGTGGCTATGTGCTGGGTTTAGCAATGGTAACCATAACAACTGGGGTCCCGGGGGACTGTGGGTGTTATATAGGAGTGGACAGATTCCCTTGAGGGATCGAGGCGCGTTTAACCTTTCCTATTCGCTCTATCATGAACCGGACCATGTGACTGAATCTATATTATTAAGTGCAAACCTGCTACTTAAGTGACAAATCAGGAAATGACTCAGTGACGGATGTGAGTGTGTCATTTAGAAGGGTGCGTCCTTATTATCCAGTGTGATTGTGTTGCGGTAAACAGACAAATATAGCTGATATTTTAGGCTCAGGATATCACTGAATATAAAAGACCGAACTAGTATTTTTAAGAGGCTGTGATAAGACTGCATGAAAAGGAAAAATGGAGAGTTTACATCAGTCTGGCACTTTGGTCCAGACTTGAATTATGTCAACAACGATGCAATGAGCTATGATTGATGTCAAGATCATGATTGTGTTGAAATCATGGACTGTATTTACTATGGACAATGTGGTTCCGCCTTCTGCCAGTATATGGATTTGAAGCTGAATCGCTCTCGGTATTTACAGGGTTTTTTCTCCACTTCCTGAAACAAACTTTGCGCAGTAGCATTGTACGCATTCAGTGGGAGAGTTGCTGTGATGACACTCAGCTCAAACAACGCATCCCACAGGTGAGCTACGCAATCTTCGTACGCCCATAGGTTGTATCAAGTGTCAATCATAGAAAACATGAATAACTTTTAAAAACGGAGCTGCACAGAAAAAAGAGGACTTGAGCACAAACTGGTCTTACAATAACTACATGTCAACATCACAACCAGGGGAGAGAAAAATGTGAATTCAGTGTAATAAATTTCATAAGTTTGTCCACAGCTCCATAGGAGTTCCTGGAGGAGGCAGGATTTATGACCTATACTGCAGGCCGTCACCAGAGGGTGCTGTTCTTGCGGTGGCTTCACCCAGCTAGCAGGCAGATGGCGTCCATTCTATACTCAGTCTATGATTGAAATACTCAAACGTTAACTTGAATTATGCACAGAGATATTGTCAATTGAACTTTAAACCATAGGACTCAGGATTTGTAAAACAGCTCTTACTATGAAACCTCAGAGATACCTTCGATCCAGGGTTGCTAAAAAATGGCCAAGAAGAGACAGAAAAGTGCTTCAGGAGGAAGATTTTCATGGATCACAGCGTTCTCCTTTATGGCAGACAGGGGAAGCTGTTTTATTTGATTTTCTGCCTCTTCCTCTCAAAGTGTGCCTCTGTTTCTCTTAAACCAAAGAGCGTGGATTGAAAACCCGATCAAAACGAGCTTCTTTACTTTGTTGTGAATCAAAATAGCTTCCTCAGTTTCACAGAGGAAAGGAAATACCTCTGGGGATGTTGTTGATGACAAACTTTTCAACTCAAGCGCTGATTTACAACGTCTGTTATCCCCGCTGTGTCCCCAGCTGAGCTCCTGTCATCCTCCATCTCTTCCTAGAGCGCTGACTCTCCTCTTTGCTTTATTTCTACAGGTATGATGTCGATTCAAAGAGTGCCAACCTTTCAAAACACGTGAGTACCAAAACTTACCACTGAACACTCATTTTAAACAAAACCCTCTTGGCTTTTTTTTTTTCTTTACGTCACAGCTCTTCCCTCTTATCTGTGTTTGCGCTGGTGTGTCCAGTCAGTCCGGTTCGCCCAGACTTCTCTGTAAACACACGTGAGGCAGGGGGAGTTATTAGTGGAAACAGAGGGAGAGTATTTTTCTTCACAAACCACAAATAAGTCAGTCAGCAATAATAAAGATTTACAGATTTATAATTTTACCAAAGAGGTCCTTTAACGAAAAGAGAAGCACAGCACATACAGGTCATACTCTGGTGACGTGTCATTTTAAACATATGTCCAGTTAGTTCAGCTCTAGAGTGCATGTAACTCCAACAAGTTCCAGTGGTTTCTTCCATTTCTCCTGAAACGCCTGAATCCTCCCGTTTATATAATGTCCCAATTTTTCAAGAGTCACAACTTCACATATCAGAGATTTCCACATCAGAACAGAAGGCGGGTCATCTCCAACCCACTTTACAAGGATTGCTGTCCTTGCCAACATTAAAGGTCATTACACACCGGGGCCGACACGAATATAGGACGTGAACTTACGATATATCAGGAGGCGAATTTTGACGCTCCTGACTATACGTATCAAGCCCGATACGATTTTGTGACTTTCCGGGGGGAAAGCACTTATAGCCAATCAAAGGCGATAAGATAAGCACATGAATCTATGGTAACAACCGTTAGCTTATGTTAGCAATGATAAAATTTAAAACCAAAACGTTTAGCAAACTTTTAAAGCATGCAAACTATCGTCATATGAGAGATCCGACACTATGACTCTCCACAAGTTGTCCTTCAGGTCGTTATTTTTGTAATGTTTGCACTCTGTTCTCCGACACGTAAACAATCAGCCATGTTGGATATACCGGTGAATCTGACGTCGCAACAACACAACAACACGCAATCTGATTGGTCAGAAGTGGACACCCAGTATGCAATCTGAAAAAATAAATGCTGCAATATCGCAGAACGGGAAAACATCACTGATGTGAACGCTTGTATTAACAGGATACGAGTTCGAAAAAAAATATTGACGTCCAAAATAAACGCACAACAAAAACGGTCCCGGTGTGTAAGGACCTTAAGAGTGATTGAATCACCTCTTCATGTTGTTTAAGAGAATTGGGGACACTTCCGAGCAAACATAAAAGTGGAGTTGCTGGCACCTGTTGTCATATTGTGATACTGATATTCGCACATATTGGCCTCCAGAATACCTCAATTGTATTGCATTCCCACAGGCAGTGCAACCTAGTGCGTGCATGACTTTAACATTTGGGACAATTCGGTGAAACTCCTGCTGTATATTTACTGTAAATGTACGGTGATATATAGATATAAATATGTTATTTAAGATCTTATATTGTAATTCTCTATATCTCGCCTGCTCCTCTTCAAAGTAAAGCACACGGGACGTGAGTTGTAATATCAGTGTTTTGCACTTGAACAGTATTAATATACTGCCACCTAGTGGGTAAAAAGAGTTACTTCCTGTGACGAACACACCTGACCTCTAATTTGAGGCTGTCATCCTGCCCGCTCTTCTATACAATCCCCCCCGTTGTCTTTTTACCGTGTCAATCCGTCACTTATTTTTCTCTCACCCCTTCTCCTCGTACTCTCTCAATTTCTCATTTCCCTCCCGCGGTCTGTCTGACTGTCTCTACCCATCGGCTCAATCAATGATCTCATCCACGTAGAGATTGGTATGTAGGCGGGGAGAGGCAGCGGACCAGCCTCAAAGCGGGTCTTGGGAGAGAAGCCGGAGAGCCGAGCCATTACATGGTGTTTTTGACATGGGGGGGGGGGAGCGAGGCTGCAGGCGCACGTGAGCCCAGCGAGTCTGACAGACGAGCGAACAGACGAACGAGCAGCCTGAGGGAGTGAGGGGGGAGATGAAATACAACCAATACTCATTATTGCTCTTATTATAACCAGATTTATTCTTGTCAAAAATAGCACCATGATATATTTTTAACATCTACTGTATTAGTTACACAAAGCCTCCTCTCAGACCCTGCTGACATCTCACGCTGATAACAGCACCAGTTGCTAGGTGCTTTGTTGCTTGACTGCACGGCCTCTCCATCAAAGACGGAGAAATTATGTAGCGTAACAGAAAAAAAACCTGATCTATATATATATATGTAATCCTGTCATGTCTCTGCCTGTGTGCGGGTATCAGCTGTAGAGTTTGATTATAGGATGGTGATTTAATTTACCAGAAAAGTGGCGTTGGAGCACGGTGGAGCAGGTGAGGGCTGGTGGGAGGACAGCTCAATCCGTGTGTCGCTGTTATGTGCCATAGGGAATATTGACGTTTCTGAAATGGTGTTGTGCCCTCCGGAGCTGGGCGGCTCATGAAATCATTATTTCTGTTGGTTTTTGTTCAATAATTAAAATTTGAAACCTGTTTTATTGTGTTTTGGTGCACTCGCCTGTAAAACAGCTAATATGTATTTTTAAACTCTCTCTGTCTCTCTGTGCAGGATTTTCTGGGCCAGGCCTGCTGTACTCTCGGAGAGGTAGTTGGATCCCTGGGCAGTCGCATGGAAAAGCCACTTGGGTGAGTGATGGTGTAAGCTAGAGGTGTTCTTATATTTGAGTGATGATCACGGCAAACAAAACCTGCGACCCTTGGAGCGAATTTTCACCGTAGAAGTGTCCAGACGTTTCTTCTGAGGGGTTTCTACACATAAGCATCAATCATGTGCAAGCATGCTAACACCGCCACGTTTCTCTGTGACTGTTATTAAAGGTGGGGTAGGCAGGATCTGAGGAAGTGCCAGTTTTTTGGGAGAAATCTTGAATTTAAACTCTACCCCTCCCGACCAGTTCTCCCCTCAGCTCCTCCTCTCCCCTCCCTCTCTGCTCCAGCAAGCCCCGCCCACAAACAGACGCTCGCGCTTGCCCGTATCGTTCCAATTAAATTCAGATATAATGCAGATAAACTCTTCCAGCAGGTCCCGTTTTACAAGAAACACTTCTGTTACAGACACTTGGCTTACTTTGTTAAAGCGGTTTACCTGTCCATCAGTGTAGGTAGCCGTACGGTTATAAGTCTGTATGTGTCACGTGGTGTTTGTGGTTGCTGTGGTAACGTGCGGGAGCTTGGGTCACGTGGGGCACAGGGTGAATCCCAGGTAGTTATAAAAATACGTCGTTTACCTGCAGTCAGGTGGAGAGAGGGGTGCGGGGTAGCTGTAATTTTTGTTCATAGTATAGCAAAGCATTGTTTCGCTCTGGTTTGCCTTTTGTTTGATCCTGCTGTGTATCCAAAGGAGTCCCTTGTGTGTGACCACAAGCAGACGTTTCATAAAAGACACCGTAAAGTGCATCATAAGCCTCTTGCTTGTCTATGGAGAAAGCGATAGCGCGTCGGACAAATACTGGACCCTCAATTTTCCTCTCAAGCGACAAGGTTGGCCTTTGGAGTCGCTACACCCGGCTTTATAGCTCTTGTCCGGTCTACCTGGGTTTTAAGCGCCTGTTGTTCCGCCAGAGTCTTCGGTATTTACTTTGTTTTCTTGCTTGTGTTGGAGGAGGATTCAGACAATTTTCTGTACTTTCAGGTTGGTTTCTACTGTCTGATGTTGTAGCACGCTAACTTTGTTTGGGCTCGTTATTCGAGGGTGTGGAGCATGCCTCACAACCAATCAGGTCGGGGAGGTGGAGAACGGCTTTTTTACTGTCAGAATAAGCGGACTGCTCAAAAAACACAGCGATATCATTATATTCCCAAATGTCATCAATAACTACTAGCTATGGACTGATATTAAAGGATTTTTTGTTCATACACCACAAACAAAGATGCTTTTTTAATGGATTCTTGCCTACCCCACCTTCAAGAAAATGACTTTCTACAATTGCACCTGAAGATGGTCACTAAGGGGAATGTCCTCCACACAGGGACCCTCTCAAATAAGACCTAAAAACAATAACCTCTATATCACCCAGCAAACCTTGATGCGATTGTTTCTATTTACCTCCTCGTCCGTTGAGTAGCAATCTCCGTGGAAATTGCAGCTGAAGGTTTCCCACTCTCAAAGAAAGAGACATTATTCTTATGTGCACCATGGACACCTTCTAAGTGTTGTCAACCCCCGTCCTTCCTTCCACACACACACGGCGCTCAGTGTAGCTCAGTCAACACGCTGAAGTGTCCTTGAACACGACACTTAACCCTAACCTGCTGGCGTTGTGCGACCGGGATTAGTTAAAACTGATGGATGCCACCTCTGCGTGAACGGGAGGATGCTTGTAAAAGTGCTAAACAGTCACACTCATAAACACACAGCTTTACCGCGACCTCATGGACCATATTCTCAAAGATGTCATGAGCGCTTTGTCGCCGAAATAGAAAGTCTGTCATTAATAATTGAAAACAAAGATGGAGAGGAGAGAGGGGGCCGCAGATGTCGAGGCTGTTATCTTGCTGAGGTTGTGTACGTTTATTGTGTATGCATGACTTTTATAGACACACACCTGCAGCTCGACAACGACGGGGGGTATATTTAACAGTTTTAATGAGGGCTAATTACAGATAATGATATTGTTCGTTCAAACTCCTGCCATGTAAGCGTGCACTTTTATGTATAATGTATCCCTGCGAGTTTGAAGTCCGCTTTATCTATTCTGTTTTCTTTACTACTACAAAATAATTACTCTTGAAGTCTTGAATGAAACTCAGATTAAAGCGCTCTGTAGTGTTGCCGTGTTAGTAACCCGATCAGGTTTGCTCCTTCAGTTAGGATTATAATTAAAACGACATACCTGTGCAGCTTTTTTTCCCCTGGTCTGCGTGAGCCTTTTCTGCAGGAACATGTGTGTGTGCCGCAGCCCAGAAGTGGTCCAGACATAATTACCCATCTCGCCAGACACTGATTGCAAAACCGTGAGCCTTAATCAGCGGATTCGCAGAGTCTCCTCGCACCCACACAGACTCAGGAACACGCTAACACACATATACACACAAAAAGAGAGAGAGAGAGAGAGAGAGATGTTTGTGGAGCGCTTCCCAAATTAGAGTGCTTTTTTTATGTTGTGAATAAAATAATGAGGAGAGAGCGACTAACTTGTAAAAAGATTGTCTCTTTCAAGAAGTTTTTTAATTAAAATCACAGAGTTTACGGTGAAAACTGAACTTTAATGATAAAAAACAACAATAACACAATGTGATATCGACCTCGTTTATCGGCTAACTTGCTGTTTCAAATTCAACCATTGGCTCTTTAATCTCAACCTTATGCTTTGTCTTTGTGTTTTATTACAGAGGGATTCCAGGGAAGAAGTGTGGCACCATTATTGTGAAAGCCGAGGAGCTGAACAACTGCAGGGTGAGGACGCACGTGAACTTTCTGATACGTCGTTCTTGGTTCTGTCTGTCTCTTCTGTTTGAGTTTAACACTTGACGTCTTACTTGCTTTCTTGGTTAAACTGTAACTGAATTTAGACACTTGTTCCTTGTAGGGCTGGGCGATATGGCAATATGGATATGTTACGTTACCTGCGCTACTCGCTATACAGACCGTGTATAAGCTTAAACGTTACCCTTCACCTTAGTCGAAGACGGTCCGACAGGATTTGATGCGCTCCTTAAAGACTCAAAACAAGTCGGAAATAACATTGTGTGTTGTTGTTCTGACAGTGCGAGTAGAAATCATTTGTGCCGCATTGATAATAATGCTACTAATGCTAGTAATGCTACTCGCTATGTAGACCGTGTATTAGCTTGAATATTACCTTTCACATTGATAGAAGAGGGTCAGACAGGATTTGATGAGCTCCTTGATGACTCACAACAAGTTGGAAATAACGTTGTGTGTTGTTGTGCTCACACAGTGCGAGTAGAATCATTAGTGGCGCATTGATATTAATGATCATGTGAAATTTCAGTAGCGGCACACGTAATTTGGCAGTGGTGGTGCGCTGCTGCTATATGAATGTAGGGAAAACACCGCTGATACATATAAGTCCGAGGTAGAACTATGAGAGATAAAAACTTATTTTTTTAGGTGTGGCGGCTTTTATTTAGCCGTGAATAATTGCATGTAGGGGAAACCCTGCACGATATCGCACGATATATTGAGTGGTTCACCTCGATGACGATAAATGGACGATAACTACTCCACAAGCTGCTCACCCCCTCCCACATTAACTTCGTCTACTTCAGCCGCTACAACTTTTGAACCGTCCTCCATCTTCTCACCTGTCTTTCCCTCTCTGTTACGGACTGGATGAGATGGAGTCACGTCTCTGATGCAGGACAGCGTCTTAAAGGGACATGAAACCATAGCCTACCTACACTTATCCAAAACCAACTTTTATTTATTTATTTTATTGACACCGAATATACCGATATGGGCAAAATGACGTCGGTTATTGACGGAAATTTTGGTAAATTTTTCGGTTTATCGCCCAGCTCTACTTTCTGCACAATCTCTCTGAAGGTTCCTAGTTCCTGCAGCGGAGAAGCACCTCAGGAGTTGCATTAAGAGGAATTTATTGGAGAAGAGGGGGAACAAAAATCCCCGACCAAAAGACTTTAAGAAACTTTTACGTTGCATTCATTTATTTCTCTGTTTCTGCTCATTAGGAATCAGTAATGATGCAGTTCTGCGGAAACAAGCTGGACAAAAAAGATTTCTTCGGCAAGTCTGACCCCTTCATGGTTTTCTACAGGAGTAATGAGGACAGCACGTGAGTCCTTCCTTCCTTCCTTCCTTCCCTTCTACATGTTTCCTTCTCTCCTTCATGATAAATGTAATCCTTTCATCCGAAGGGAATTGGATTTATTGATTCGCCCCGGATCAAAAGCTCTGCTGCCTGTTTAAGGATGTGTGTGTGAGTTACATGTGGGAATGGTGTGCTTGGGATGTGCAGGAAGCAGGATGCTGTTAACAAGTGGATGTTCAAATGTGTGTTTGTGTTTGTGTGTTTGTGTGTGTGAGAGAGAGTGTTCGATCCGGCTCTGTGGGCTCCTCTTTTTCATCCTGCAGTGTGTGACAAGTCAGATAAGACCTTGTGCTCTGTGGGTGGAAGATACCGAGTCCACCCGGAGCGGTCAATCCAGTCCGTCGTTATTAAGGAAAAATACTATCACTGCGTTTTAACTTACATACTTTACCTCCTTCCCTTTTATCCCTAACTTCCCTTCTTCCTCGACTCCTTTTCTCTTCCGCTTTCGTCCATCCTCATCTTCCTCCGCAGGTTTACCATCTGCCACAAGACAGAGGTGATAAAAAACACGCTGAACCCAGTCTGGCAGGCCTTTAAGATTCCCGTCCGGGCTCTTTGCAACGGTGATTACGACAGGTGAGTGGAGTAAAGCGAAGAGTACTCATTTGTCACTGACTGACATGAAACCTGAGAAACCAAGATTCTCTATCAGGTTGAGATAAACAGCATGTGGGCTGATATCGTAAGCTACAACGTCAAGTTGAAACACATTTACTTATTTATGGGAACTAGCTTGTTAAAGGTGATATTCAAAATGGCACTTTTCTCTCCTTCTCAATCTTCTTTCTGTCATTAACTTTGAAATATAATGTCCTGTTACAGTCACATATTCAGTCTTTTCTGTGAGTCCCTGAGCTCCATCATGCCGTAGGTTCCTCCAAATCGCTGCTGCAGATGTTCTGTTAATCAGAGGTTGTATCCATCTGTGTTAAATATATGATTTAGGCAAAAATGTGCATCTGGAGGAAAAATTTAAGTTCTTCAAGCAAGTTACTACAGAACAAGATTAGATAGATTAGATAAATGAGTTCACCCCTTCAGAGTTGTCAAAAACCCTTAAGTTTCCTTTCAGAATTAACATTTTCTATGTCAGACTATACAAAAAATTCTCCCCCAAATGTAGGCCATGGATTTGAAACATGATTTTTTAAGTTGCATACAAACAATATTTTTGTTTGTTTAAAATCAGGATGCAAATATGAGTAGACCACAACAAAGTTCTGGGAGCACAGCTACATTTTAGTTATCATATCACCCTTATTCTCATCTTATGGTAAATAAAATATTATGTTAAACTCACCTTTGTTGTACTTTTGCTCATCTAGATATTGAGTAATACATTACTTTAAATAGGGAGTGTACTGACTTATGCTAGGTACTGTATTTATTTTAAGATTGTTCTGAGAAAAATTCAGGTGTCTGACTATTTTTCTCAGTATTCTGACTTTTTCTTCTGAATAATAATGAAAAAATACATAAATACAGTATTTTGGACCTATTTTTCCTTCAGTGGATCTTATCCTCTCTCGTAAATTACTAATAACTGAACATTTCCAAAGATTGATACCATTAATCTTGCGAATCGCCTCTCTAATCTCAACCCAATTTCATCCCAAGTCATTCTGCATACTGAAACTGCCTCCTCTCCTCTCCTCTACTGTCGTGGGGCCGTCCTCCTCCTCCTCCTCCTCCTCTTCCTCATCTGTGTGGTTTCATCCATTTCATGCATTGATAGCATCTCACAGGCATTGAAAAGAAGCAGACAAAAGGATTTGGTTTGGTGTACCTGGCAGACAGCAGCGTTGATCTGACGCTTAGTCCAATAAGCTTATTAGAGGAGTGGAGACACACCATGCCTTATGAATTGGAGACTCAGGAAACTCTTAGTGGATTACACACTCATAAAACACACATACTCACTCACACACACACTCACACACACACATGTTGTGTCGGCCTCCCTGCAGTCTGTGAGGGGAGATAAGGAGGCTTGCAAACAATAGGGAACAGTGTTGTTCAGACTCGAGGTGCTCTGATGGGCAGGCTGCCAGTCCCTTCCCACTTCTCCTCCTTATTGCCTCTTTTCCTCTAATGGACATCTCACTCTAAGAAGCTTTTAGGCCCATTAACGCTGCTTTACTTCCTGGGGTGTGTCTCTAAACTCAATGACAGTAAAAAAGAAAGAGGAAGATTAAGCTGATGAACTTTAAGGCCACAAAGTTTTACCCAATCCTCCGATAACAGCTAATTTTAAAAACATTTATTGTTCAGTTTCTCTCCATGGGGCCTTTTGCTCTCTCTCTCTCTCTGTTTTTAATTTAGATTCCTCGCAATCATATCTTTTTGCATCTCTCTTTTTCCTCCTTTTCTTGCATTCGTCAGGATTAAATAACACCTCTGCTGAAAACATGGGCAGATAGAGTGATAGAGCAGCATCTGCCTCTCGTAAACTCTTGTTATTTTCCTGGTCAGCTCAAAAGAAATGCCTCAAAAGATGTTGAGATGAGAAGAGGGTGTTACCAGGACGTACACAGTGTCAGACAGATAATCCGCAGAATGATAACAATGAAGAAATAGGAGTTAGACACATCAATTTTACACATTATGTCTGCAATAAAAAATTTACAGGGTATCCTCGGCACATTAAAACATCTAACATCCAATGATTTGAGTTTTAAGGCCTTAAAATGCCTAAAAATCTCTAAAAATCTCATAAAAGGTTTTAAATACAATTTAAGGTCTTAAAATGTATTAACTCTGTAGTAACATTTGAAGTAATGTAAAATTTTCCGATTTCCTTTTATGTCTATTGTACTTTTTTACCATTAAGGATGTAAAATGGGTCTTAAAATGTATTTGTTACGGTCTTTCAAAACTCTTAAAACATCTTAAATCCAATAATTTGAATTAAAGGCCTTAAAATATCTGAAATTCTCTTAAAATCTCATAAAAGGTCTTAAATGTGATTTTTAAAAGGTCTTAAAATGTAGTGACTCTGCTTACAAATAAAGAACGTGCCGTGGGAACAAAGATTGATTTAATATAATGTAAAATTCTCCGATTTCCCTTCATGTCTTTCGTACTTTTTGCCAGTTTGGATGTTAAATGGGTCTTAAATTACATTCATTACAGTCTTTAAAAGCTCTTAAAAAGTCTTAAATTTGACATAACTATTATTCTTTGAAGCTCCTCAAACGAGTTTTTTGTCATTCATGAAACAGTCTGAAACTCATCTTAATGTCTTTTAATGATACACAAACTCAAACAAGACCATCAGCTACAATTTCTATATCTTCATTTTTATTGTCTGAAATCATGCAGTTAAAGAAACGGCCCTGTTTTTCCAATTTCCTCAACAAGTACGACATTTGACTGTCAAAGTCAGCGGGATGAGATTTGTGGTCATAAAAAAGTACTCGAGCATGAGTGAAGACTGCAAGGGTCGCACAACATCTTCTCAAAATACACGAACAAATATGATGAGAAGTGAACTCCGATTGAGACTAATCTCTCTTATTGTTTTGCTTTTGTCGCAACAGAACAATCAAGATCGAAGTGTACGACTGGGACAGAGATGGCAGGTATTTCCCTCTTTGTTTTTTTATTTGATTACTGTAAACACGGTGACCTGGAGCAAGTTTAGCCACTCATGTGTCCTTGTGATCTTAATCCAGATAAATAAGAGCAATTTCCCAAACAGTCTTATACCAGAATTAATCTATTCACCCATTTTTACTTCTGTATCTTGTCTCACTTCCTTCTCTTTGTAGTCATGACTTTATCGGGGAGTTCAGCACCAGCTACAGAGAGTTATCTAGAGGGCAGAGCCAGTTCAACGTCTACGAGGTCAGTTTGTGTGTGTTTGAAGTAGATATCAGCTCCTGTGTTTTGTTGTCGTCTCCTTAAACCTGGCAGAAGGAGAGTGTTTCCAAATCAAAATACTTGTTCCAAAAAAGCAGAAAATGCTCGATTTTTCGATCTTAAAAACTCATAATATCAAACTGAGAGCCTGATCCGTAAAGTGAGGAAGAAATTTAACATCTTTTTAGATTTGATGATCAGCATATTCTTCAAAATCAGAGGATTTTCTTTAAAAAACACCTGAAGAGACTTACTCAGCTGACTTTAAACTTCCCCGCTGATCACTGGAGCTTGTGTGTTTTGTCGCCTCCTCGGTTTCCCCGCCAGCATTTCAATTTTTTGGTCTAGTTGCTTTCATCAGCATCTCGTGAAAACAGCAGTCAACAACGAAGGAGCAAACAGCGCGCCCAGTTAGAGGAAAGCTCGTAAACATCGTGAAGCGGTTGGCATTGAAAGAGGCAGATATTTCCCCGGGGAGCCGGTGGAGACCAAAACAAAGCAAAGTGTACTTCAGGGATGCTTTTATCACTTTTACGACGCTTATGAACTCGACAAAAAACGTTAAAAATGTTGGTGATAATCTCGTCAATTTTAGGTGGTGAATCCAAAGAAGAAAGGGAAGAAGAAAAAATACCTCAACTCTGGGACGGTAAGGAGCTATCATGTTTCTGCTCAGTCATCAGAGGAAACTGTATTTATTATAACGCGCCATTATTACTGATTTAACGCTCTTCATGGTCCCGTCACTTCCAGGTCACGCTGCTGTCATTCCTGGTGGACATTGAGGTCACCTTTCTGGACTACATCAAAGGAGGGTGAGTGAAGAGCAAACCCTCTTTGAAGGACTTCTGTGAGGTTGGAGACGTGTAGTCTGATAATAATCACCTGACTGTGACTCAGTGTGTATGATCCTCCAAGGATAATGACCTCCCAGCGTGTGCGTCTGCATGAGAGCCGAGAACTGTGAGCAGGAAAAACTGAGAAATGACCAGTCAGATACGTGTGTGTGTGTGTGTGTGTGTGTGTGTGTGTAATCTCGTATTGTGTTTCACCCCTTGCCCATGTCGTGTGTGTGTGTGTGTGTGTGTGTGTGTGTGTCTGTGCACATGTGCTTGTGTGTGTTTAGTGCTCAGGAGGATTGACTGCGTGCAACCAGGCATGGTGCGATTGCTCGCCTACACACTCTGCCTTCATTAGACTCACAGAGGGGGAGACTGTCATGGCAGGAGAAAGGGACGTGTGTGTGTGTGTGTACAGTAGAGGACTTGTGAGAGGGTACTCACATGACGCACAAACGCACACTCCTGTGATTATTCCCTTACAGCTCCATTTGTGTGTGCGATTAAATCTGCAAATTTTAGCCCGTTTAAGACGAATCGGTAATCGGCCAAAACTCGCCAATTGTAGCTGATATTTTCAGAAATAAATTCGGTTTCACTTCGAAAATGTTCTGCCATTTCGAAAGTTCCCCCGACTTATCCTGTAGATGGTGCAGCGACCTCATGGCGATCTTCATCCACGAACTACCTCACAGCAGAGTGACGGATCTGAAGCAGAAAGCTCAGGGACGCAGTTGAAAACGCTTTTTTGGTCCGAGTTTGATTCATGATAAATACGTGGAATATTACTGAGATGATCAGTCGGTTTTCCTGTTGACGTGAAGAGCAGTAAAAAAAAAAAAAAAACAACTTCAAAAGAACGAGTTATTTAGTTACATAAGAACAATATTAATGTAACATAGTTAACTTAACTATTTGCTCTTTACACAAAATACCTCGTTCTTTTTCAGATGTTTTAGCAATAAAAAGGATTTGAAGTGAGTTTTCTGCCTTTAATTCTTTGAAGAAATGTTTGAAAGGCTCAAAAGCAGCCATTTGTTAAAAAAAATAGTAAATATGTAGATATATTACTTCAATTAACAAAATTTGAAAACCTTATAAAAAATTTTTTAAATCGTCAGATTAATCAGTAATCAGATTTTTTTCCCCCCGATAAAAATCGGTATCGGCATTGGCCCCAAAAAATCCATATCGGTCGGGCCCTAGTTTTTATTTTAGATTCTTCATAATTTCTTTTTTTTAACTTAAATTTTATTTGCATTTTTAAACATAACAGAAACAAGACAAACTGTCATTCAGAGAAAAGTATAAATAAATACAAACGAACACAAAACATGGAGTCATTCACAGAGACGAAAAGAAAATTGTCCATGTAGCCTCCATCAAAGTTGTCCATTTTTTAAAGTATTGTGAATAGATTTATATTTGATCCATTTTTCCCACTTTCAGGTGTTCCTCCACCATGTCCAGCCAGTTTTTTTCTGATTGGGTGGATTCTCCTTACATTAAATCCTCGTGCTGGCTTTCTTTAATGCTGCAAGTCTTTATACTTGGAGTGGTGAAGAATCTGATGGTGTTTTTCCAGCAGAATTCCCTCCAGTGTCTAGAATTAGAAGTCTTCATCTGAGTCCTGCACAGATTATACCATTTTTTTTCAGTTATTTCCCTCATTCTTCATAATTTCTTTAACTCGGGTGCTGGTTTATCGGAGTAAATCCACCTCCCAGCAGTATCTTTAGTCTGGTAGACGGGGTGTTTTTATGATTTCCTTGTTTTCTTTTTTGGCCTCCGTTACCACTTGTCTGACCGGATGAAGTGCCAAGTGCTGTCCCACTGCTTGAAACCTAAATGGACTGTGATGGTCCGGCAGCACTCACTCCAGCTGCATAATGGGGCAGACTTTGTACTTGTGCACACACACTCAAGGATGCAAAAACGTAAACACAGCGTTTTTTGCAGATGCAGACTCACACCCTCTCAGGTGCCTTTTTCATGGTGGGACTAATCTCCTTAGACTGTTCATGCAGGTGTTTGTAAATTTCCCGTCTCGTTCAGTTTCCTGGTATTTTATCTCTGCTTCTGTCCCCGATTGTCCTCTTCTTATTTTTCTCTCGTCTCCTGACTGACGGCTTCAATCCAATCAGCTAATTGCTCGTTCTGATCTAACCGGGAACATGATCTGTTGGCAGCATTCGCATAAATAACTGATTTTGGAAGCCTCGTCTCAATCCAAGCATCGCCGCTCTTCTTCTACTGTATATAATTTCTGTGATAACGCATTAGTACCACCCGTGGATTTCAACAAAAAGAGGCCCGCATTCATGAGCATCGGGACAGAAATGAAGAATTGCTGGCTATATCTTTCATATTGAGACGAGTCTGTGAAGGCAGCTCTGTCACTCATCGTGACAGATATTGTTTTCTTTTGTTTGCATTGTGAATTGAGCATTGAAAACCAGAATAGAAGCAGAGGAGGACTCTGCTTGTTTGGAGACGAGACTGAGAGGTTATCATCAGAGTCTCAGAAAGCAGGAAAAGCTACATGAAATTAAACCCAGCCTGGTCATACAAAGACCGCCGATATGAACTCGCTGCAGGTACGAGCTGTTAATCTCTCCAACTCTGCTCTCCGCTCTTCAAGCTAGATGGACAACCATCCGACCAGCGACGTCTGTTTGCATATCATCAGGAGAGGTCACACTGCACAACCTTTGATGCTGTTTTTAGGCCACTCAGTGCACTCATGCATATGTTTCCCTCTGGCACTTAGATATATGAGAAAAGGAGACTTCTCTGGAACATTTTAAAAGTCTTTTTTTTTTGTCTGAATAGAACATTTTCACTTTTCAGTCAAAAAAAAAAAAAGTTTGAGACTGTTGGGAAAGTTACCGCCACACCCCAAACACAAACGATGTGTGTTTGGATGCAGAGGTGCAGTAAAAATTGACGGTCTTTCCCTTTAAATGCTGTATGTATTGAATTGAACCATGCTGCCTGCATACGGTAAGAAAAGACTTGTCATAGGGGAGCTGGAGCGACACATTACAACAAAAAGTTGCTCTGCTCTCCTTCCGTTCAGTCTCCGTCCCCCGGTTCACCTTGTTCCTCACGCTGTTACTCTCCCCCTCTTACAAAACTGCGGTTCTTCGCTCAAACTTTGTGCGTGCGTGACAGAGGGATTTGGTCGGAGAGACAGAGAGCATGCATAATTTAGACCGCTCGTGGGGAGCTGGACCAGAATTCACAAGGATCCCCCTCCCTCAGCTGCCTCGTCCTTGCGGCTGTCTGCTTTGAAAAGCAGTTTTACTGGGTCTTTTCCATCCGGGCCCCTCACTTTGGAAAGACCTCCCAGGGAAGATCAGATGTGCAGAAACAGTCACTGCTTTTAAATCACGTCTTAAAACTCATTTTTAAAGACTTGCTTTTATGTGATTTTTGTCTTTTTTAAAACCTTTTACGCTTCTTATACGCGGTACAACATATACCGCTAATTTAATTTCACAAAAACAAAACAGAAGTGCTAACAGATAATATGTTACATGAGCTTTTACTGTTACTCTTTACTGTTGATGCACTGCGCTGCCATCTTGGATTATGACGTTGTCGTCAAGTTGGGGTTGGTGAGGATTGTCCAACTTTCCGAGTAGGAAATCCTACTTGAGGTGGGCGTTCCAGTTGAGTTTCTGACTCGTAGCATATGACCATGCCGTCAGCTTCTGTGTGTAACAATATATGAAGAATATGTTTTGTATAGAAATCAATAGAAGAAATAAATGTGGGTGAAAGAGAGGAAGAAGGGAGGTTGAAGGATTGTTGATTAATGACTCGTTTTCTTCTGTTCTTGTCTCCTCAGGACCCAGATTAACTTCACTGTAGCCATTGATTTCACAGCCTCAAATGGTGAGATTTTTACCAAAGTTCACACACACACACACACACACACACACACTTTTAATGGGCACGTTTTCCAAATCCCCGGAGAGCAGTCATTGAAATAAATGAAAATGGTGAATCAAGAGTTCGCTAATAACCCTCTCTAAACACCTGGTGGCTGATGCCGAGTGTGCCAACGTGCCATGATGGCCCAGTTTGAGGACTGCGTTAACCACCTACCCGTAGATCTGCTCCCCAAAGTCTATCCGATCTCATCAAGAACGATGTCAATGGAGTCGATTAAGAAAGCAGCTTGAATAAACGCCATAATCAGGGGTACGAAGCAAGTCTGTTGGTGAATCAAGAACCGTCCTTTGTGTGTCCCCTTTGTCACGAACAGGTAACCCCGCCCAGCCCACCTCACTCCACTACATGAGCCCCTACCAGCTGAATGCCTACGCCATGGCGCTGAAGGCTGTCGGAGAAATCATCCAGGACTACGACAGCGATAAGATGTTCCCAGCACTCGGGTTCGGAGCCAAGCTGCCTCCTGATGGGCGGATCTCCCATGAGTTTGCTTTGGTTAGATTGAGATTTTGGAGTTTTCATCACAGGCTTATTGATTAATTTGTGTCTCCTTGTCAAAGTTTCAACTCGATTTTACTTTTTTTCCTCCTCTTCACAGAACGGGAACCCTCAGAATCCTTATTGTACAGGAATCGATGGAGTGATGGAGGCCTACTACCAGAGTCTGAAGTCCGTTCAGCTCTACGGACCCACTAACTTCTCCCCTGTCATTAACCACGTGGCCAGGTAGAAAAATTAATAAATAAAAGACTTAAACAGTTTTCATTTTTTTGTGAAATTGTTCGTTTTTTTACAGTTTGACTGATTTTCCTGATTTCTTGTGTTGAGGTTGAATTACAGCCTCGTTGCTATTAATGGTTTATGTGTTTACCACATCATTCGAGACATCTTGCAGGTACACTGAGTACATATCCCTCTGTGGCTGACACTTAAGTATATGTTCTTAGGTTGTCTGTAATTAGCTCCGCACGGCGAGTACTGCCAGGTCGCTCACAAGAGTTTGAAAAAGAGGCAGAAGACAAACATAGAAAGTCCCTGACAGCTGACTTCATGTTTGACTGTGTCTCTGTGTGGGTGAGGCAGGAAAGACGCTCATACTCAAGATTGAGACAAAGTGTTGAAATAAAGATGACAGAAACAAACAGAGTGATTTTCTAATTACAGATACATGTTTTTTTTCTTCTATTCCTGTGTTTTTTTGCGCAGGTATGCCGCCTCCGTGAAGGATGGCTCCCAGTATTTCGTTCTTCTCATCATCACCGATGGTGTCATCTCAGACATGGCCCAAGCCAAGGAGTCCATCGTCAATGTAAGGGCGTCTACTCACCTCCACAAACAGAACAAGGGTTTCTTTTTTATCCTCTAACGCTGACAAGCTGCAAACATTCAGACAGTAATGGGTTGAGAGAGGTCTTACTTTGTGAATTTGTTGGCATGCTGGTGTCAGTATGAGATCAAGTCTTGGCTGAGTACCACCATCCAGCAGGTCTGAGTCTGCACCAGAACCAAAAGGAACCGGCCAATCACTTTGCGCCTCATTCAAAAGAAATCTCAGATGACTCCAAACCAAAATGTTTTTGCTATTGTTGCCCTCCGATGAAAACCACGTATCTCCACTTTTTTTCAATGAATGGATTGTCCATAACCTTCCCTAACAACTGTTAGCTTTAGGTATCCAAATGACCAAAATCATCTTTTCAACACTTAAGGTGTCAGAAGTGTCAATCAAAGCACGTCTCTCCAGTCTGTGAATTTTTTTTTTTTGTAGAATGGTAGAGGAAGGTCCCACCCTCCTTGGCCTCTGATTAGCTGAAAGTGCTGGGCTCCGATTGGTTCTTAATAATGGCTGTGAAACATCATCTTATGTTGGTTTAGAGTTAGGGTTAGGGTTAGGAGATTCAGAGTTGCATTAATGTTGTGTAATGTTCTGAGCGTGTGATGACGTTTCCAGCTTCTAAGCCAATCAGAGGCGAAGGAGGCGGGACTTTCCCCTACCATCCGACAAAAAAAAAAAATTACCACCCGCCCCTGGATCTAAACTGTCATGTCTGCAAACAGACTTTATACCGTGAAAGACTTATTACAGGTTAAATTCTGCAATAAATCTGCATTCCGGTTACCTCAGAAGTTTGATGTCGGAGCCAGTGGCGGTTCTAGACCAAATTACTCCCCGGGCGAGCACCCCTCCCAGTGCCCCCCCCCCCCCACACACACACACACACACACACACACACACACACAAACAAACAAACAAACAAACACAAAAAGAGATAGAATTTTGAACAGATAGTTTTGTATTATTATCTAGTATTATTATGATTAGAACAACAAAAATAAAATATTTCTCAATTGCAGAAATCCTTCAATAGAAAAAAACACAATCCTGAGGGCCATTTTGAGAAGGTCTCCCAGATCCTGAGGTTTTCTGACGTGTTAAGGTTTACAAAAAAGCTGTTATCTCGGCCTCTGTAGTAGATAGAAACAAAATTCAAAAAGTATTTGAGAGCTTATACATGTGGCTTTCAAGAAAGCTCTCTTTTAGTTTTGCAGACCTTCATCACATTTTTTAAACCTTGAACAAACAAACTTAAATGAAATAAAGCGGCTGCATAAATAAAAGTAAAGGCTCTGCACTGGAGAATGACAAATAATTTGTTTTCTGTAAAACAAGTGTCAGTCATGATAAAGTGTCCATTCAATACAAATGTAAATATAGAAAATAAGGTGTTGAAAGGGTATACAGCTGCCCCAGTATACTGCCAGTACAAAAGCAGAACTAAAAACTAAAAAATGAATAAATAAATACGTGGCTGACAGTGTGTTCATCTCTGTTCTCACCCAAAGTCGTGCAACACTCAGAGAAAACGCTGATAGTGTGAGCCAAAGCACTCCATATGAAGAGGTTGTTCACACTGCTGGATGTTTCTCCTCTGAAGCTGCTCTCTGCCTCAGTCATTGTTTACTTTACTCATGAAGCTCATCAAGCACGTAGCAAGATCCGAGCATGAACCCGAGCGCTTTATTCGCCTATCGAAGGCAGACGGGTACGGTGATTTGATTCACCACGACTCTAGAAATGATTAAAAAACTACAAAATGACGTCTCCGCGCTCCTGGCAGAGTAGAAATGCGCAGCCGCGCTCCCGCTGATACGCTGACATGCGTACACAGAGCAGAGCTGTCCCCCCGCGACCCTCTCCCCGCCTCGTCTCACACAGTCTGTCAGCCTCTATGCAGCACCTTCGGAGCAAGCAGGGGCGCTTACAGCAGCGGGGGGCGCCAATTTGACAACAAGAGTTAATACAAAACCGCTTTGCGGTTAAGATTTATCATTGTTATCTTTTATTTTATTTTTTTGGAAGTGCTCGTGCCGCCCCCCATGAGTCATGACACAAATGCCGCCCCGGGCGGCTGCCCTGTTCGCCCGTGCCTAGAACCGCTACTGGTCGGAGCTGTCAGCTGTTGTTAGCTGTTGTCAGCTGTTGTTAGTTGTTGTTAGCTATATCAAGTGCAAACAAAGCACAACACAGTATTTTACTCTTACAAAGGGGTGCTACTGCTACTTCAGGGGTGCGTTCCAGATGAATTTCCGACTCAGAGCTCAGAAATCCCGACCTCCGAGTACAACTGGAACGCAGCATGAGGTCTTGACATGACGGTGTTGTTTACCTGTTAGATCGCATCACTTAGTTGTATTTTTCGATTTCTCCGCTGGCATTAAAATAAAATCAGAGCCGGAGTTTTATTGACAACCAATGAAGAGAGTAGAATAAGAATTTTGTGTGGCGACTATCTTTAATGGCTTAGTCGCCGAGAGGCTGAGTAGGGAAAACAATACCTCGCCCGACACGCTGGCTGTAGAAGCTTCAGTGAATGGCTGTTGCTCCTTTTGAGGTTTATTGATGAAAAGAGACGAAGCACTTACATGGAGAAAGGTAGTCATTCAATATGAGCTGACTTCACTACTACTAGTGCTGACGTACATGACTCTCATCCCCATATGTAACCGCACAATAAACAAAAAACTGTAGAGGCTATGGCTGCCACGAAGAACTGGCACCTACACATTTTTCAGCTGCTTTTCAGTAGACCTGCACCGTCTTTTGTTTCAGCACCGCGAACAGAGCTCTATCTATTATCCACGCACACCGGCGAAACTGTAGAGAACCACTGTGCTATGTGGAATGAAGAATAACCTGCTATCAATAGTTTACTAACGCAGTGGGACATAAACAGGATATATAAGACACGTAAATAACCAAACGTCATTGGAGCGCGTTATTAAAAGAAACACACAAATGTCCACTATCACTCAGAACACAAAGCACATAAGTCTGTTTACAATACTAAATGAGTCACTGAGGAATATGATATATATGTTATATATAAATATAGATTTAAATTTCAGGTCCTAGTTAAGACTTTGAGATTAAAGTCATTACTAATGAAATTTAAAGTCATAGGAAAATCGTTACTTACAAGAATAAAGTTGTGATAAAATCATTATTTATGAGAAGAAAGTCGTAAAGTAAATGAAGTCTTAAAGCTGCTTTTGTGGAGGAGCTTTGAGCTTCGACGAGAACCGCGTCTATCTCTGATGCCGGCACAACACCGGCAGCAACCTACACCTGCAGAGGCACCAACACCTTATGGCATATAGATTCATACAATAAACTAAAGCCATATGCTGTTGCTATAAACGGCTGCATTGAGAGATTTAGCCTCTGCACAGCCATTTCCAGCAATTTCCCCCTCCTCAAAAACAGCGATTCCCCACAAGTCTGTCTGGTTCTTTCTGCGGAAGAGATGCATTTCTTGCATATGTCCTGATACTTGTGTGACAATGTGACGCTGAAACGCCAAAGAGTTTAGTATCTCCTTGTTTGTGAAACCAAACTACTGAAGTTCAATTCATCTAAATGCTCCACAGCGCTCATTCAAACGACAAACAGCAGGTTAGAATAGCTATTAGCTACAAATTTATTCTCGTATATAATTATTTTATTACGACTTTATTCTTGTAAGTAATTACAAAGTCTAAATTTTTTTTTCTTAATGTGGCTCTAATTTTCCGTCATAGTTTTGGGTTTATTTTTCCATGCTACTACAAAAAAAAAAAAAAACGAATTTTGGAGAAACGCTTTTCAACCAACAGCGATGATCCCTTATGTTTTGTTGCATCTGTATTATTATCATGCGTATTGTGAAAAATGTTGGTGTCATTGAGGATAGGAGTGTTTGGGAAGCTTACATCTCTGTTTCTTTTAGCATTTGCTGCACAGCCTTTACTCTTGACAGCATGTTACTCACCCTGCATCCATCCTCCTCCCTCTGTCACTGTCAGCTCTCTGTGCGCTCCTCTGGGGAGGCCTGAGCGCGCTGAATGCTAAAAACCAACAGTGAGTGGCAGCCGTTTTGGAGAAGTCAGTGATCTACCTCACTGTGTTTTATTGACTCTCTTTTATCCTGATTCAAAGTTAATGAAAGAGGATGGAAAAGGAGGAAAAGGAGCTTAATGTGGCTGTACCCCCTATAGAAGCAGAACTAAGACCTGGTCCAGGCCCGAACCGGCTCTAACAATGACAAACAGAACAAAACACATGCTGTTCGTAAGCTGTAAATGAGCTGAGGCCAATTTGTGGATTCTCTGTTCAGCCCACACAGCACCACAGGAGGGGCCGCACTAAACGCACACATCAAAGACTGTCACCCATATTTACACATTTTGTTTATAGCACCAATCATATATGGTGACATATGCACATGTTAACATGCAGTCCACATTTTTCCCATTAACACCTTGTGTGGGTGGACGACATGAAAACCATTTCATCAACAGGAAAGCTTCAGAGCCAAACATGAGTTATTTATTGAATCCTCTCCTCTCCTGCAGGCCGCCTGTCTGCCCATGTCCATCATCATCGTCGGGGTCGGGCCGGCAGAATTCGACGGTAAGACGACAAAGCAAAGTATCAAGAAGTCTGGGTTTGATTTAGAACTGGTGGATTTGCATTTTTACTTGAGTCAGATTGCAGCTAACCTTATTTTGTGTCCGTTCCCTTCAGCCATGGTCGAGTTAGACGGCGATGAAGTCCGGATCTCATCCAGAGGGAGGTTTGCTGAAAGAGACATCGTTCAGGTACGAGTTTAAAACTGCTGCTGCTGTTCTTTAACATAATGCATCTACGGTTAAATGGTTCTGTCCAAACAACTGACCCACAGACATCTTAACCCATAGCAAGATAGCGTCAAACACTATCACACCAATAGATAATGGTATCCGTGAGTAGGGCTGGGCGATATGGCATCAAATCAGTATCACAAAATATTGAGCAGTTCACCTCGATAACGATAAATGGACGATAACTACTCCACAAGCTGCTCACCCCCTCCCACATTAACTTCATCTATTTCAGCCATTACAACTTTTGAACCATCCGCCGTCTCCTCACCGGATTTTCTCTCTTTGTTACGGACTGGGTGGGGCGAAGTCACGTCTTTGACAGCATCTTAAAGGGACATGAGACCATAGCCAACCTACACACATCCAAACCCAACTTTATTTGTTAATCAACTTATTTATTTTTACACAAATATATTGACAGGGGCAAAATGACGTTGGTTATTGTTGTAAATTCTGGTATCTGTAAATTTTCAATTTATCGCCCAGCCCTATAATCAAGTGAGGAGCCTTATACTCTCATATCAGCAGCTTGCACAGTCAGTCAAACAGGAGCTGCAAAAATCCTTTTACTTTTCTTGTTTGGTAGATTTTCCTATGAAACTTTTAAATATGATCAATCAGTGAGTCTTTTACTGACTGGAAACAGACTCTGACACAAAACACTTGTTGAAACATTCAGAACTTATATAATATTCTTCTGGATGAGTCCACGACTTTATTACTGTTTTCTTTATTTGAAAAAAAGTAGAGTATGCATGGCATTAAGAGAAAAAACCTCCAAAAACTCAGTGAGAGCTGTGGGTTTTTTTTAAATGTTTTTATCCCACATGACCTTTCAGTGCCCCCCGTACTCTGTAAGGAAACGGAGACCCTGCTGTTCTCTGGATTTAACGAGCTGCAAGCCGCACAAGTTCAGGCTCTCATTATGAGCGAGCTTACAGTCAGAGAAACACGGCGGAGTTAACATTGAGAATTTTGTGGCAAGAATCTGTGATTTTAGATGAAAACAGCTCAAAACAGCTTGTATTTGTGTCCTCTCTTAATCAGTCATGTGCAACAAACTTTGAAAATATAGAATCATAGCGTTTTATCACAGTTTTGGGATGCACCACGAACAAACAGCAGTCTGTGACCAGGCTGACCAGATTGACTCTCAAATCTGGCATCATCCATTATTCATCTACTGTAGGTCTGCTGTTGTGGTAATAAAGTGGCAGATTCTCCTTAAAATAGCCCTAATTGTCGGTCAGCATCTGTTTATGTGGACATGAATCTGTGTTTTGGCTCTTCAAGGGATATTCTGGTGTAAAATTAATTTAGGGTCAAACACACCGTAACACCGAGTTAGACTCCCCCTCAAGAGATGAATGTTGCCGACCGCTTGCTTCTCTAGTCATACCAACTTTAGTAAGAACCACATGACAGCAATACACTGCAGTCTGAGGAGCTACATGCAAACCTCAATATAGGGTCCCAGCCACAGCACTAGCCACCAAACATCTTTTTAACTTTCCCTGATTTCTTTAGCAAAGAGACGAAACACAACTCGCCCACTCTCTTCCAGCAGCCGCTTGTTTGTAGCAAGACCTCAGGCCAGTCTATTACGGACTACAGTGGGGTGCCGCAGCTCAACAAAGAACATTTATGATTATTTCTTCATGGAAATGCAATCAGACTGAGACGCTAAGGCAGAAGAATTACCGCATCCACAGTGCAAAATGATTACTATGGTGATTATTACTTCAAGGAAATGATAAAGAAATGATCATAAATGTTCTTCCTTGAGCTGCGGCACCCCACTGTAGTCCGTAATAGACTGGCCTAAGGTCTTGCTACAAACAAATGGCTGCTTGAAGAGAGTAGTTGAGTTGTGTTTGGTCTGCTATGGCAATTGTGCTATGACTGACCCTATATGTACTGGTGATGAAGTTAGGTGCTGTTCTGAGCGTTATTTGTGGCTATAGAGTGGTATTTTTGTTGAGGTTTGTTTATGGCTCCTTAGACCGCTGTGTATTGCTATCATGCGGTCATTAGTAAAGTTGATATAACTAGAGAAGCAAGCGGTCGGCAACATTCATCTCTCAACTGGGTGTCTAACACAGTGTTACGGCGTGTTTGACCCTAAATTAATTTTATGCTGGAATATCCCTTTAACTACATTGTTTCGATCTTTCCTCATGTCTTATTCACTCATAAGATCCTAAATATAGGCTATAGTTCCCCGGTTTCCCCCATCATCTCTCCTCCTTTTGTAAAATGTCTTTGGAAATAATCAAATTCCTGTTCGTCTTGTCTCAGTTCGTTCCATTCAGGGACTACATCGACCGGACAGGGAACCACATCCTAAGCATGGCGCGGCTCGCTAAAGACGTCTTGGCTGAGATTCCCGAGCAGTTCCTGTCCTACATGAGGACCCGCGGGATTAAGCCATCGCCGGCACCGCCTCCCTACACACCGCCAGGCCAACCTCTGCAAACCCAGATATGAGGATCCAGGTTTCAAAATCAGGTGTTAGATGAACTCAACACATCAATACTTCCATTTCCCCAAAGCTGCTCCACAAGCCTTGTCACCGAGGAATCGGGGCGGTCTTTCTTGTGTTGAGAGGGCCGCATGTCAGGACAGAGATTGTCAGGCGGGACTGTGTTTGAGGGCAGTAGAAGCCAATGAGTCTGTTTACTTCCAATGTTAAGTATTCCTCTTACTGCCTGGAGGTTCTGGCCTTCCGAAAAAGGCCTAATTTTCTCTATGGAAGGATTGAAGCTAGGAAAGGAAAGAAGAAAGAGGAAATGAAGGTTATCAGTTAGGAAAGGAGTGTAAAAAGAATGTCTCCAGACCAAGCAAAGGAATCACTTGCTCTTAAATAAATGTGTGTGTGCGTTTGTGTGTGTGTGTAAATAAGTGAACTTCTCGAACTTCTTCTATCTCTTTCTCGATCGTTCTGTATCTGCAGCTCACTCATGTTTACAGATATTGAAAAGGATTTTTACTGTTGATACTTTTTGTATATCCACATAGTTTCAGATAAGTCTTTTGATATTCTCTTAACTCCTCCCCTTTCTCTCTCTTTCTCTCCCTCTCTCCTGGCGAGCGTGTCAGGTAGCAGTGCAGGTCTTGGTAGCCCTTCTGTACCGTACTGTACCGTACCGTACCGTACTCTATTCTAGTGTTTGTATTGACCTTTTTTGCATGAGAGTAGCCTCAGTCAAGTGCATGCAAAATAGTGGCCCTGCACTACCTCTACTTCTTCTACCCATCAGAGTGTGTGTCGTAGCCTGTGGGGGATGAGCGCATCTCTGCCTACCTAGATTTGTTTCTTCACCCTGTCTGTCCACACTGCTTTCAGGCCTGAGGAGAGTCCACTTATCTGTCTCCTGTCTGCAGCCCCTCCTCGTCACTGTCGCTCTCATTTCCTCCGCCGCTGATTGGCTTCAGAATCAGATGAGCGACGTCACCGATGGTAACTACTCAAGGTTAAATTAATGTATTTCAGAGAGGTCATTTGTTCGATTAAGTTTGATGAAAGTCAAAATTTCCACTTCCAGCATTTTCTTGTATTTATGTAGCATTTAATGACCTCTGAATGAGAGCGTAATCCCTCTCTCTCTCTCCTCTCTCTTGCACTCCCTACTGCCTTGGCACAAAGACGCCAACATTCCCAGGGTTTTCATCTCATTTTGTGGTTTAATCACCGCATCCGTGCAACATGTGTAACGTGATAGCAGCTGCTGCTCTCAAACTAAATCCTGTTTGAGCTTAAGAGCCCAGTGGTCAAAAATACAGAGAAAAAAAGAACACCTTTGCTTTGTCGTTTCTTTGTCTTAAAACTTTAATTGTGCGTACTGCACCTTTAGCTCGTTGTAGCTTTTTTGTACTTTAGTTTTTTTCTAAAACTATTTTTACGTGCCGATCGTTCATAAACAGATGATTCGTGTGATTGCCGACCTTGAGTGCATGTTGCGATGATTTATTTTGAGTCTTAAAAATGGTGGGTGTGCATGAACGTCGAGGCATTTCGTAAATTTCGTGGGTGTCACAAATTGCGTTCCAGTAAAAGTTAAAGTAGGCTATGCATTGGTCGTACTTTTGGTGCAACAACATTCTTAAAAAAAGTGTTAATGACAGCAAACAGCATTACTTTGATAGCATGAATATGTTAAAAGTATATGTACACAGTAAATATGTACACACACATATATTATTATTATTTTACTAAGTGGACCGTGTTTATGTGAAGCACTTTCTCTAGTCTAGTTAATCACATTCATACTTATTCAAACACTGGGATGGTTTTATAATGATGACGTTGTTACTCAAAATGATCATAATCTTATAATAATATTACAGTTATCATTATTAGGCCCTTTAACGTATCATCTCAGAGTCACTATGATGTCTTTGGAGCTACAGACTACATCGAACGGGACTCTTTCACATATGAGATAGAAGTGGGTGGGTTCTACTGCAGAGCTTTTTACTTTTTTAAGTGATTTCATTTCAGAGTAAAATATAAGCCGCCAGAAAGTAGAGAAAGTTCAAGATAGATGTGCTATATATCTTATGAGGGGTCTGGCTGCAGACCTCCACTATTAGGACCCAAGGTGACGCTTTTTTCTCAAGCGCTCCAGTTTGTTTGAAGTGGTCATCATCTCTTTGTTGGAGACAAAATAAAAAACCTCTCCCTCCCTATCTCTCTGTCTAACATGAGTCTGGTCCTTCCCGAGGTTTCTACCTGTTAAAAGGAAGTTTTTCCTCACCACTGTCACTCATGTTAGATGAGATGGGTCAAATTTGTCCCATCTTAAGGTTGGGTCTTGGTAATTCATCAAACAATGAGCAAGATCTGGAGCTTCTCTTTTTTTTGGAAAGCGTCTTAAGATAACTGTTGTGATTTGGCTCTATATAAATAAATTTTGATTTAATTTAATTAATTGAAGACATGAATACACAAAAAATCATATTAACATTATATACATAAAACAAAGCCCCAAGAAATACAATATATTCAGGCAAGACAAAAAGTATGTACTTATCGGTCTAATCCCTTCACTTTTAATTTGGAAGGCTTAGAATCAACTTCCGACATAAAAAAAGTACTCCAGGTATATTTGCTTTTATTTTGAAAGGCTTCAAATCAACTTAAGGTCTGCTCAGTAGAGATGGGTCCTCACAGTGGAGGTCTGCAGTCAGACTGTCTTGCATATCTTTGGACTTGTTTTATCATTTGCTGCTAGAATCACGAACCCTGACGCCTCATAACCCGCTCAAGACCAACAAGTGATATATAGGATGATTTACATACCACTGAATGTAAATATATTTAAACTGTGAAAATCTTCGCTTGCTTTGACTTTCTGGTTTCCGGAGTATAAATGAAATATAATTTGTGAACTCAAAGTCTTTTGAATTGACTTCTGGTGGCTAAATGAAGAAAAATTCATCCCAGTTGAATTCAGGTGGATGATTTTTAATGATCTGATGTTAAATCAGTGGTGTTTAATTTATATAATTGTCCCACCTGTATTCAGATTTATCTTTTTTTCTTCTGGCGGCTTCATACGTACATTTTTATTCCTCCTTTTTCCTGTCTTTATTTAGACGATCTCTGCAGAGCCCTACAAAGCCTGTCCGGAGAAAGTGTGTCTGTGTGTTTCCTGACTGTGTGCGTCTTTAATACTGCAGAAACTAACCTGTGTGGAAGTGTGTGTGAGTGAGTGTGAGTGAGTGGCAGCTTTATACGAGTGTTTTCATAAAACAGATGACGTGTTCAGACACATAAATCTTTGTTTACTAAAGCTATCCAAATAATAAAACTGTTTGCTTGTCATATTTTCCTCAACAGCGTGCACTACGTTTGCATGTACAGTTTTACGGAGGACACATCAGTTCCTTTTGGAGTGTTTTGAAATAAATCTGTATGAAAAATGTACAAACGGCCTTAAAACTTTCACTAATATTCTTGTAATCGTGCGATGCCTTCTTGAGATAAATAAGTTGTTTAAAGGAATTACTTGTTATCTATTTTGTGCCAGTGTTTTTATTGCTTTCTAGTGTGTTTTTTTTGCACATGTTCGATTATTGAAAATGAATAATCTTGTATTTTTTGAAACTGTGTTTAATCAGAGAAAGCATGGGTAAAGTATTGATTGTCTGATAATAAATATGATAGATGACTATTTCTGTACTGAACTATGAATTTTCAAATAAATATTCATACTAAATACAATACATGCTGGAGCTGTTGTTTGTTTCTTCACTCGTTTGCTTTTTTTTGCAGAGATTTAAAAAGGAGGGTTGAATTTTTCTGTCCTCATCAGCTGTTGAGGAACGTTTGAAGTGCACATCCACCATGACCCCAAATACATGTCCCCAGACTTTATGTCTTTGTCTTTGGCTGCATGGTAGATTTTGAACTTGCTCTTATAGATGTAGAGACCAATTGTTTTAACTGGCAGTGGTTTTCTTAAAGGGTTATTCCGGTGCAAAATTGATGAATGATGCCAATCGCTTGTTTCTCTAGTTATACCAACTTTAGTAACGACGGCACGATGGCAATACACAGTGGTCTGAGGAGCCATAAACAAACCTCAACCAAAACGCCACTCTATAGCCACAAATAATGCTCAGAACAGCATCTAACTTCATCAACAGTACATATAGGGTCCTAGCCACCAAACATTTTTTTAGCTTTGCCTAATTTCTTTAGCAAAGAGACTAAACACAACTCACCCACTCTCTTCCAGCAACCGCTTGTTTATGGCGAGACCTCAGGCCAGTCTATTACGGACTACAGCGGGGTGCTGCAGCTCAAGGAAGAACATTAATGATCGTGTCTTCTTGGAAATGCAATCAGACCGAAACACGAAGGCAGAAGAGCTACCGCGTCTGCAGAGCAAAATGATTAATATGATGATTATTATTTCATGGAAATGATAAAGAAATGATCATAAATGTTCTTCCTCGGTGCCTCTGTGTTATGGTGTGTTTGACCCCAAACTAATTTTACGCCAGAATATCCATTTAAGTTCTCCTGAGCCCACCTGCTCAAATCTTTTACTGAATGATGTGGGCTTAATGCAGTGCTGCCTACTGAGTCAAAGGTCATGGACATTACAGGCTTACATTTCTCTGGACTCTGAATCTTTTGATGATTTTAAGGACTGTAGGTGAGGAAATCCCTACTTGCTCATGCAGCTGGCCCCATCCTTTGAACCAATCAGGGATGCTCCTTTAAAACCCAATCATGACACTCACCTGTGTCCAATCAACCTGCTCACCTGAGGAGTGATCCAAACAGTTTTTGGATCAGTCCTCAGTTTCCTCAGTCTTTTATCTCTGACTTTGAGTATGAATTCATTCATTTGTTTTGTTTGCCTCAGGTGAAAGGACGATCCTCTCACAGGAAAATCCAGTTGTGTACCGGAGCTCCACCTTGTGGCTAACCTGTGAAATTACTCTTGAGTTGTGCTTGTGCAAATTGGAAAAATGCTCCACAAACAAACTTGAGAATAACTTATGCAAAATGTTTTTATTCATCTTTTTGCACAAAATTCATAAAGCAGTCGGGGTGAAATATAGAGCTGAATAACTGTCAAAGGAAAAAGCACAGACTTAAAACAGAAAGTATTTTTGGAAATGAGATCCTTCACATACAATCATCACACAGACAAATGTGGTCAAATGAAAACAGCCTATGGGAAACATTCAGAGGATAAGAGAACAGGATATTCCTACAACAATTTAAAGACAATTAAAAAGGAACAGACAGAAAAATTGGGTTTCTATATTTGATATAGTCTGAAATCAGTGTGAGTGAGGGGGTAGGTCCAAGCCCTGTTTTAACAATTTACACCAAAAATAGTCACAATAAATACGACATCTGACCGTCAAAAGTCAGCAGGATGAGATTTGTTGTCATGAATATTTACTAGTGCATGTAGCGGACAAGACGAGTGAAGACTGCTTTGTCCACAGGGGGCGCCAATGTTAATACAAAGTGAACGTTCCTCACAGGAGCCTTAACTGAAAATCTTGCAACTCCTGACACTTGTACTACAGCACCAAGCTGTTGTCATAGAAACAGAGCGTGGTTTGGGATTGTCCTGCTGAAGTATACAAAGTCTTCCCTGAAAAAAGGCTTTTTTTTTTGGATGGCAGCAAACAGCGGCGTAACGAGTCTGTGACGGCCTATAGAGCAATGCAGGCTCACGAGCACGTACGCAACCACTCTTTACTTTAAAGCTGACAGGAAATCAATGTGAATCTCACAGCGCAGCTCTAATCCAAACCAGCAAATGATCAGAACCACACTGGAGAACCTGACAGCTTGTCTCAAATCTGCACAGATACCAATTTTTTTTTTTTTTTTTTGCATTTTACTCTCCCTGGCCCAACATTTTTTTGTGTCTATTTTGTGTCTAGTGTCTATTTTTTATCAAAATTTTAGCGTCCCACCCTTCGGGAACTGGGGCTGAAGAGCTCATGTGTTTTTCAAAAACTTTCACTCATGAAAAAAATCATCTCAAAACACAAAAAGTGTTTTTCCAAGTCAACAGTTCAATTCATGAAAAAGCGTAAATTTTTATAATTTGAATAATAGTAAAAAAAAAAAGGTCAAAATACCAACTTCAGGCCATGTTAATCTGCATCTAACATGAAGCATACAGCAAAAAACTTGAATATTCAGTACAAAAGAACTTCATTTACAGTGAAATTGATCAAAATAAGCTGCTGTAATAGGAATGTATAATCTGAAACACTTCTTGAATTTTCAAAACCAAAAACTGAAGAGCTTTTACAAAATGAGTTCTCTTTGAAGCACTTTTTTTTTTTATATTTGTGAACTAATTCACACTGAAAGCACCACTGCCTCCTGTCATTGAAAACAAATCACAGCATATCAGTCCTTCAAACCTTCACCGTCTCACTCTGAGACTGAAAGGTTTGTTGAATTTGAAATTTTGGAAATGTCATAATTATCGTGGTTCTCTGATTTCCTGATATCAGCTGTCTTCATTGTTTTTAATGTTCACCACATGAACCTCTGAGTGGCTGTGCTGTCGGGCCAGTGGAATATCTTGCTGATGAAGATGTAAATCGTGGCAGCGTTTATCGCAGTGTACAGAAGAAACTCCCCAGTTAGTCTCGGAAGAGAGGGAAGGGGCATGTGCAAGCGGTACATCAGATATGGGACGATGAAGTACCTGAACTCCAGCAGCTTCTGGGGAACCGTGGCGGCCAGGAGGCACGCCAGAAACGCCAAACTCCAGAATAATGAGCGGGACTTGAAAGAGTCTAAAAAATTCCATCCTGCAAACACATAAGCAGGGACGAGGAGGAAACGCACCAGCTCGTGCCTCTGGAAAAGCCTTTTCCACACGTAAAAGGGAAAGTGTCGGTTATCCGCGAGGAGGTAGCTGTGCACGAAGGTGAACTTCCACACCAGAAGCGAAAGGATACCAGCGACAAGGAGATAGAATAGAGGCTGTTTTTTCAGCGCCTCGAGAAAGCGGAGGACACGACTGAAACAAAGAGACACGGGGAAGGAGAAAAAGAGGGCGAAGGAGAAAAAGTAAAAGAGTTGGGGGAAGTGTAGGCAGGCCTCATGGCTTGATCTGTCGCCCACCACTATCCCTTCATTCAGCACCACAAACCCGAGGAAACCTACGCCAACCGCCACATAAGGCCAGGTCACCAGCAGAACCGCCTTTATATGACTCGGCGAGGTGAGGAACTCCACGGTGAAAAGCATCACTTTCTTAACTCCACTGACAGTCAGAGGAACTTGGGAGGGAGAAGACTTCTCATCCCTCTTCTTTGAGTGCTCCACTTTCCAGGCCTCATCCATTTTGGCCGCTACAATTGTGCCGGCGCAGAACGCAACCCAGATGATGTTGGTCTGCCGAAACAGCACTGAGCAGACGCCAAGGAAAGCAGAAACCTTGTGGCAGCTGTACAGCGTCATCAGGTAGGTGAAGAGGATGAAGAAAGTAGATCCGGCGTCCGTGTAGTAAAGGAAGTTGAAGAAGTAGAGCACAGGGAAGGTGGACAGAGACAGCGCAGAGAGGACTCGGCGTGAGGCCGTTCGACTCTGAAAGAAAGACGTTCAATAAGAAACGGCAACACAATTTCATCGACTCAAAACCAGGATCTGCTTTTGATTTACCTTTTCCTTGAGGTGTAGTTTGCAAATGAGCAAATAGAGCAGGTAAAGGTTGCCACAGTTGAAAAGCAGGTTTATGAAGCGCAGCATGGCGGTGGAACAAACCACCTCGCCTGTGAGGTCTGCAAGCCACACCACGGGCTTGATTAGCCCCACAGAGACGAGGTAAAGGCCTGGGAGCGTGGTTATCATGGGGTCCCACTGCAGAGGAGTAAAAATCAGCATCTTTAAAAACCAGTAGAATTTACATTAGGGGAGAGTAGGGTACGTTGAGCCAAAGGGTAAGTTGAGCCACCCCCGTGTTGCTTTGAAATGGTAAAAGAAATTGATCATGTGACCAAATATTTAGGAGATGGGCATCAATTCATGGAGTCTGTGAAGGTTAGGAGTGCATGGGTGAAGGGGTTAAACATTTATTTACAAAAAAAACATTTTTCACTCTTGAAAGTGAATTTAGTCTGTCATGAGTTTTAATAGAATTGTGTTAAGACCAAAAAAGGTCATTTTAAATTTGTTTTATACATCAATTGTGGTATCTATGAGCTACAAAACCTGACATAAAAGTCCACCATTTTAGCTTAGAGGACTAATAAAGTCATAATGGTAGTTCTGGGGTAAGTTGAGCCAGCTGCTTAAGTTAGAAAGTTAATAAGTCTGTTGAGAGGATCAGAGTTTCAGTTCAGATTTTAAATGTTTTACTTTTTCTTTTCAAAAATACAGCTGTGAATGTTCTGAATCACTTAAAGACATTCTCATGTTAAACTGTCTTTTTACAAAACAGCTTTTTAGCAGTTATATGCAATAATAATAAGAATAAGAATTATTGTACCAGTTGAATAGCGTGTAATAGATAAAAAATACACATGAATGTGAAGAAGTGACTGTTATTTAAGGAGAGAGAAGGTGAAGGAGGGATGGCTTACCCCATACACGGGGTAAGTTGACCATAGGAGACCCCTTTTTTTTGGCATGCTATATTATCAAGACAGTTATATTTACACTCATTCTGCTGGTTTGCAGGGATGAACAACATCTTGAAATATATGCAGATACACTAGTTAGAGACAAAACTATGATTGACTTGATGTAGTGATCCAAAATGTGAAAAATGGCGCATCTTACCCCACTCTCCCCTACTGTGTTTTATTTACCTTAATAGTTAACGACTGCAAATATGCCATTTTATAGAAAACCTCATGTATTTAATGCTTTCTTATAGAAATCTCTGTTATAGCTGGAAGAGTTGAAGGATGTGGATGTCAACCAGGCAGACTAGGTGGAATTTAATTTAATAAAATGCAGAAATTGTGTTAAAATCACAGCAAAAGGGACAATGTCTGTGTCTGTGGGTTGTGCAGTCAGGACAATGCTTTGTTAATCTAGACTACATGTTAAAAGCACATAAAGCTCTTTAATACCCTCCTTTATGTTAGACAGATTAAAGACTCTGTCATTTAACCTTAATCCGCTATAACAACTATCTCTCTATCATGACTCTATTACAGACATTAAAAAGGCATAAATATTACCTCGCTGAATTTTCCGTGGCAGTATTTTTGGGCTTGTGGGACGTGAAAAATCTCGTCCATGTAAGGACCCTTCTGCTCTCGGGTCACCCTGGAGAACAGCAGACAGGAGACCAAGAAGTTGGTGCTGCAGAGCGCCGTGAAAATGTAGCTCTCGAATTTCTCCATCATTCTTGACAAAAACACGATTGAAAATGGACTAAAACGAGGGGAAAGTCACATAACGATAGTCCACCACGGTGCTTCCTACACTCGAGTTCAGTGGGCAGCTGTTTATAAACGGGAAGGGACCGTCAATGTCCGCTTCAGAAATACGCTCGGATATTAAGTTCCGATGAATGCTAACTAAGTTTGGATCTTACATCTGTCAACTGTAAATTATCATAATAAAAGCTGTGAAATATTGAGAAGAAAACAATGTGATATATTGTTATCTTGCCTGCGCGGGACAGTGTATAGAAGAGGAACCTTTCTCCCACGCGGTGTTACCGTATTATTGTCCCCCATGTGTAGTTGATGGTGGTTTCCGCGTTGTGTCTAACATGGATTTTACACGTGAATTGGAGCTTTTTCCCGACCACAAAGTCACACAGTTGCTTTTTAAAGATGTAAAAAATTCCAGGGAGCTTCGACAGTGTGCAGTTGAAGGTAAAATCAGCGGCGCCTTGATCAACCCGACCATGGTGAGAGGATCTCTATTTACTGTTTCAGTCACTCATGCTCGATAGGAAACAAATGTGTTGATTTGTGGACTGGGCACATGATTTGCTGTGTGTATCATATGTGGAACTAAAGAAAACACTTGATTATCAAACTTCTTTATTCATTTGCAGCTTGTGAACCCTTTCCAAGTCCTGGTAGCTGCTAACAAAGCCGTCCATTCACAGAAAAGTGGTAAAATGAAAACCAGGAGTTTATATTCAGAAATCATCTTCAACCTGTCCCCGACCAATAATGTAAGTAACCAAATTATTCTGCACTGATGGTGAGATAATCAGCCGTAGGTTGTACACTATGTACAACCTCTATATAGTTAATATAGGGGAGAGTGGGGTAAGATGAGCCATTTTTCATATTTCAGATCAATACATCAAGACAATCATAGTTTTGCCTCTAACTAGTGAATCTGCATATATTTCAAGGTGTTGTTCATCCCTGCAAATCAACAGAATGAGTATAAACGTAACTGTCTTGATAATATAGCATGCAAAAAAAAGTGGTCTCCTATGGTCAACTTACCCCGTGTATGAGGTAAGTTGACCATGTAGTCCTCTAAGTTAAAATGGTGGACTTTTATGTTAGGTTTTTGAGCTGATGATCTTTTTTGGTCTGAACACAACTCTAATAAAACGTAGACTAAATTCACTTTCAAGAGTAAAAAAATTTTTTTTTTTAGAAATAAATATCTAACCCCTTCACCCATGTGCCTCTAACCTTCACAGACTCCATGAATTGATGTCCATCTCCTAAATATTTAGTCACATGATCAATTTCTTTTACCATTTCAAAGCAACAGGGGGTGGCTCAACTTACTCTTTGGCTCAAGTTACCCCACTCTCCCCTACATATAGTTAATGTACAATGACCACACAGCTATTGAGTTTAGAACAATAAATTAAAAGATATTTACATTAGAGTCTGAAGTATGTTTTCAGTTTTAAGATGCAATGTAACACCACCCAACCTATTAGGATCTTTGTCATAGATTTAACATTTAATATAATGAGCAGGACAATAATAAAGGGCCAGGCTACTCATTAAATATGTTTTTTTTTTTTTGCTTCGTTTACTTCTTTATTCACTTCTCAGTAGCCATTTACAAGATTTTTCCTCCTTTTAAATTAGTCACTGCTGTTTGTATCCCTTCCCTCACACAGATCTCAGAGGCTTTTAAAAGATTTGGCATCTCGGATGGTGATGACTCGGTAATGGTGGTCCTGGTATATGACAGAAATGAGTCACCGTCATTGTCAAACATTGTGGCCAAAGTGGACGGACAGCAAGTTCCAGTGGGAGATCTTTCTTCACTGTCGAACCTCACCAAAATCAAACAGGTTTTGCCTCTCTGTCTTCTTTTGTATATAGCTCTAGACTGTTTAGATAGGTGTGGGACAAATACTCATGATGCACACTGTGAATTCTATGAAATGTATACCATTAGCTTTGAAACAAGCAGGAATTTCCATTTTTATTTAAATTAAACTTTAATGTTCCTCTTTTAATCCTTCCCCTTTGCTTGCTTTGATTGCAGCTGTATAAAGTTACTCCCCAGGAGGAAAAGTGCGGGACTCTGCTGGACGCAGTTGTGTGCAGGATGGCCTCCAAAGATGTTGTTTAGCTGCTTCGGGAAAAGGACCAGAACCAGATCATGAGCCCCTGTTTTCAAATGAAATATAGGTTTTCTTTTTTCTCTTCCAGTACCTCATTTGTGAGTTATAAAACTGCAAGCAGTGGAAAAGAAAGGCAAGAAAATTAAAAAGTTTTTATTTAATGTGCCATTGATTATTTACTTTTTATTACTCAACTCTTCTTCTCTATTTAAAAACATGCTATATATACGGTATAAGTTAATTATAGTGACTTGACTTACTCTCTCTCTCTTTGTCATATATAAAAATATATATGCGTTTTTAGTAGTTGCATTAAAAAAGGCCTCATGCCATTGCCAATCAAAGGCAAATTTTTCAGTCGTTAAAGTTAACAAGCTCATCTTTTCCGATGTTTCCTCCACTCAGGATGCACACCACATTTTTCCCCTCCATCTCAGGAATCTTGTTATTAAATATGGCAGCAAATGCGGCACAGCCCGATGGCTCGACTACAAGTCCAGAACTGTAGAGGATGGAAACGGCTTTCTTTATTTCTTCATCACTTACAAGGATGATCCCCTCAACGTAGCGCTGACACAGCTCAAAGGGGAGTGTGCCTGGGATGAAAAGAAAAGGAAAGAGATGCAAATTTCAACTCTAACTGCAATGTTAGCGTTACGCCAATTCGAGTACAACCAAAGTGATTTCATGACAATATTTAATGTTCTCAAACTTGGTCGGATATTCCAGATTAAAAGGCTAAAAAAAGAAGATTAGTTGAAAATGTTCGAGACTTTTTATGTGTGACTGGACTGCTTTAGTACGGTGGCCAAAAACCGCCACTGCTGCAAATAAAAATGAATGCAGTAAAAAAAAATAATAAAAAAAAGAAACTGAAGCCCGCTGCAAATAAAAACAGAAAATTAAACAATAACCTTTCCACTTAATTCTTTGCTTGTCTTCTCGTAGTCGTCTTCTGTGCCTAGATTGTAAAACACCGGTGCATCATCAGTGTTGGCCGCCGGCAGCTCACTTCCGTTGTGGCTTCTTTTTTTTCTTCTTTGCATCCATTTATTTTTGCAGTAAGTTACTCTTTTTTGCGTTGTTAACTACCATTGTGGCTTTTTTTTTTCTAATCTGCACCGTTTCTTTTTTTAATTGCAGCGGGCTTCAGTTTCTTTTTTTTGTTGCATCGGTAACTTTCATTGTGACTTCTTTTTTTTTTTTTTTGCATTCTTTTTTATTTGCAGCAGTGGCGGTTCTTGGCCACCTTACTTTAGCTGGTCATGTGTGGAAAAAATAAACAACAATGACAGGAAGAATCCACAGAAACTTTGTGAATATTACCTGCAAAAGGCGGTGCAAGTCCTGATGCAACGCTCTTGGTGTCCATGCCGACTGGTTTCTTCTCAATGAAACTTTTATACATTGTACATGCTGAGTTTAACAAAATACAAAAGTCAAAATTACATCAGTTTGCTGAATTCATGATTGCTCAACTCCTATTGTTACACATTACCTCCCTCTGGCTCCACACCATAAATTCTTGTCTTATCACAGCCTGACAACTTGATGGCAGCAGCTACACCTGCGAGTAGACCCCCTCCACCACAGCACACCACCACCACATCAGGCTCAGGCATCACCTCAAGCACCTCAAAACCAAGACTGAACAAGCAAAAATGTAATTTATCACGGCGCTGTACAGCCAAACTTAACTTAACTTCATGAATGACAAAAGGAATGATCAGCATTACTGTACCTGGCATGTCCTGCGATTAAATCCAGATCATCATATGAGTGCAGGAATGTCATGCTGTCCTCCTGAACACAGCGGTTAACCACACTCATGAGACTGGAAGTTGGTACTCGTTCCACCTCGACACCAAAACTCTGAGAGAATGAGGGAAACACTTTTACTCCCTGATGTAACGATGACACTCCAGTCATTCGGTGAATAACCTTACCTGTATGAGGGTGGATCTGGACACCGGGGCAGTTTCTGGCATCACCACCTTGCCCTTTGATCCAAAATGCTTAGATGCATAAGCAAAAGACTTCCCATAGTTCCCAGCAGACATTGTGACAAAATGACCACCGCTTGGTCGCCTTGCAAACTGATTGGCTACTCCTCTAATCTTGAACGACCCTGTCAATGAAATTTAATACGAAGCAATGAGATATCACAGGAGAATCACAGGTTAAGCAACATAGATATTTAGCAGTTTTCCTCAAACCTGTTTTCTGCATGTTCTCCAGTTTGATGTAGATGTTGCAGGAGATTTCAAGAGGCAGGGTAGTCTGGCACCAAGGGATCATGGGGGTCTTAATGACACCCAGCGGGCTGCTTTTCACCGTCTCCATTGCTTCTCTCAGCAAATTAAGGGTGACTAAGTCTGCTGACACCATGTCCATCTGCTTTAGACAAGCACAGTTCAATATCAGGGACAGATCTGCAGGATTTTCATACACATAAATAGGGGAGAGTGGGGTAAGATGAGCCATTTTTCATATTTTGGATCAGTACATCAAGACGATCATAGTTTTATCTCTAACTAGTGAATCTGCATATATTTCAAGATGTTTTGCATCCCTGGAAACCAACAGAATGAGTGTAAACATAACTGTCTTGATAATATAGCATACCAAAAAAGTGGTCTCTCTCCTATGGTCAACTCACCCCGTGTATGGGGTAAGTTGAGCTGTATTTTTTTTGTAAATAAATATCTAACCCCTTCATCCATGCACTTCTAACCTTCACAGACTCCATGAATTGATGCCCATCTCCTAAATATTTGGTCACATGATCAATTTTTGTTACTATCTCCAAGCAACAGGGGGTGGAACAACTTACCCTTTGGCTCAACTTACCCCACTCTCCCCTACAAGTAAACAGATTATTGCACCAGTTTGAATATATAATTTTTAATGATTTCTCTTCTGCCTTTAATATAACTTTGACTCTCATTCATCCTTTGGAAAATAAAGGAGATTATTTTCCAATAATAGTGTAATAAACTTGGTACAGATTTTAGTTCATAAACACGTGAGCATGCCACATACCTTAACAAGCACGAGATGTTGAACGTCCAATAGGAAGTACTTTTTAACAACAGAGTTATAAGGAACCTAAAGCCTGTTTAATTGTCTTCTTTTTATGGTTTACTAACATTAATATTTATTTGGATTTAACAGTTGCAATTGTTCAGCGCTGCGTGTAATTCACAGTGTAACAGCTTTACAGGCTCCTCTCCGACGCATTAGTTCCGGATTGGAACAGGTTTCCAGTCGGAAGCAAGTCCTGTACCAACCAGAAACATGGCGGCTCCCTGAGGTTTGAGGTGGAGGCAAATGTTAAATCGACACTCTTGTCATTTTTACATCTACATGGAAAGGGCTTGAGAGTGAAAATATGGGTTTTATAAGGCACGTTGTGTGCGCCATGTCGGGGGGCGTGGACAGCTCTGTAGCGGCGTTACTGCTAAAGAGGAGAGGTGAGAGAAACTAGGACTGAATTATTCTCACTTTTAAACTCATAAGAAGTTCAGAAACATGAATGTAAAGCTAAAACTGTTCCACAAGTATTGCCAGTTGAGCTGTTACTATCTCCTACTAACCCGTATTCTTCTTTTTGATATGAAGGCTACAATGTAACAGGAGTTTTCATGAAAAACTGGGACTCTCTGGATGAGAAAGGGGTTTGCAATTCCGAGCAGGACTGTGAAGATGCCTACAAAGTGTGTCAGATCCTGGACATCCCCTTTCATCAAGTGTCCTATGTGAAAGAGTACTGGAATGAAGTTTTCAGGTAATATTATGGTCAATTTAAAACACTCACTTATCATGTTACTCAGTATTTTAATATTTTGTGTTTATATTTCAGCAACCTTTTAAAGGAATATGAGAGAGGCAGGACTCCCAATCCAGATATACTCTGCAACAAGCATGTCAAGTTTAAGCATTTCCACAATTATGCTATCAACACTCTGGGTATGTCATTGTATTTTCTCACTCGCTATAGTTCTTTCAAAATAAGTCTTTAGATAATTGTAAGGAATTTGTTTTATTTATTATCAAAAAGGTGGTGTAAATAGAGTTATTCTATTTTTTCACTTAGGTGGAGATGCCATGGCAACAGGCCACTATGCTCGGACATCACAGGAGGATGAAGAGGTTTTCCAGCAGGTGCACACGACAACGCCCACCACTCTCTTCAGAGATCGCTTTGAGATCAGAAATCGTGAGTGATCGACTATATCAATCAATCAATCAAACTTTATTTATAAAGCACTTTTCCTACAGGAATGTGACTCGAAGTGCTTTACAAGTTAAAAACAAAAACAAAAACTATCCCAGATATGATATTTAGCCGCCCTCTCTAGAGCTGTTACTGTCAGGAGAAGTGTATTAACAGCTCAGGAGGTCCTGCAGAGGTCCTTTTTAACTCCTCCCTCAGAGACTCTGACATCCTCAGTCTGTAGTCTTCACCTGGACTCTGCTCACTGTTTATATGCATACTATTTTACTATTTTGTGTGGTATATAGAGTACATGCTTGTATATTGTTAAATTGTATATATTGTATATTTTGATTATTTGATTATTTCTTTAGTTTTACTTATTTTATCTATTTAGTTATCTCTTCTTTCTACTTTCTTTTCCCCTGAAGATTATGAAAGTATCTCTGATTCTGATTCACTTTTTAATAATCATTTTTGTCTCGTTTTTTTTTTTTTACCAAGCTGTCAGGCTGTTCAAAGGAGCAGATTCCCTCAAAGACCAAACCTTCTTCCTCAGTCAGGTCTCCCAAGATGCCCTGCGACGAACCATCTTCCCACTAGCTGGACTCACCAAAGAGTTTGTTAAAAAGATCGCTGCTGAGGCAGGATTTTACCAAGTCCTTAGAAAAAAGGAGGTAACCTCAGACACTTATAGACATGTATGAAATAATTTACAGAGCACATGATGATTTTAGTTTTTTTATTGAAATGATAAACTACAGTAAAAAGGTTGACTCTACTGATTTGTTTCCAGAGCATGGGCATCTGTTTCATTGGAAAGACAGATTTTGAAAGCTTCATCTTGGAGGTAAGGATGAAATATTCACATAAAATTATTTCTGCAAATTTGAGTTGTTTTCTTTCTATTTCGTCTTTCTGATTAAAACTGAATTTGTCTTTTGTTTGTTTTATTTTGTTTGTCTATTTATGTCCAGTATCTTGAGCCTAGACCTGGGAACTTTGTCTCTATTGAGGATGGAACTGTGCTGGGAACACACCAAGGTATGTTTAAGGCTATGAGGGGGGTCCTCATATTGTAAGTCTTGAGGAACAACAAATATAAACAGAGGTCTGAGACTTCTCCAAGAAACTTGAGACCAAATTAAAAGAAAAATCTGAGAGAGATGTTAATGTGTGGGGCCGATAGTTCATTCCTTTGTGTGTTTCTCTCCATTTAGGCTTGTTTACTTTGACGTTAGGCCAGAGGGCGAGGTTACCTGGAAAACGGCTAGCTTGGTATGTGGCCGACAAAGACATCGTAACTGGAGATGTCCTTCTGGTAAGGATGTTTTTTTTTGCTCGTTAGAAATAAAGAATCTGTCTTATATCAGGTTTTATCTGACACTCTTTACCAGATGACCGAGCATATACACCAGAAAATTATGTGTCATGAAAACCACCGAAGTGAAGCTGCCCCAGGTGTTTCTTAATGTAAAAACAGAATTGATGATGACAATTTTTTTGTGGGTTATGCTTTCTGTGTCTTAGTAAAGTACTGCTAAATAATCCATCAACAAAATGACGTCATAAATAACAAAATAGTTATAATTCTCCTTGAGCATGAGGATGGTAATGTTGGATTTGTTTTACCTTGAGGGACTTACTCAATATTAATAACATTAACAACAGCTGCTACTTTACTGTTATTGTCACTGTTGTTGTTATGGTTACTACTACCATAATTGTCACTATTGTTACTGCTTTATGTTACTGTTGTTACCATCTTTGTTACTGTTATTGTTACTGTTGTTGCCATTTTTGTTACTGTTGTTGCTGTTTTTGTTACTGTTACTGTCTTTGTTACTGTTATTGTTACTGTTGTTGTTATCATTGTTTTTAATGTAATTATTATCATTATTACTTTTTTTAAAATTCATCAGGCTCCCTCTTGCGATCACCCAGCCCTTCTCCGCGACACATTAGGGACAGAGCGTTTCCATTGGGTTACAGGAGACCCGCCTCCTGAAATTGCCAAGACCCACATGATGGAGTGCCATTTTCGCTTCCTCCACCAGATGCCGCTCGGTGAGTTTAGTTTTATCACTCCTTCTCCTCTCATGAATGGGATGGGAGGAGGTTGAGTGCAGAGAATATATGTAACATGTCTTTTATTTCTTTCAGTTCCTTGTACAGTGACTCTTAACATGAACGGCTCTGTGTGGATTTCACTCTCTAAGCCAGTCAGAGCTCTGACACCTGGACAGGTAGTTGCAAACACACCTCTGTTCCAAAAATACAATGTTATCGCTTCAGTTTGTGCTACTATAACAGTTTACTGTAGTGCTGAAAGCTCTTCTAAAACATGAACACAGTCAATGCTTTGAAGTCTCAGAGTTTGAGTGTATTTCCTCAGTACTTTTTGTCACTGCTCCCCCTAGTTTGCCGTCCTCTACAAAGGAGATGAGTGCCTGGGCAGTGGAAAGATTGTCCAACTAGGGCCCAGCGAATTCACTCTTCAGAGGGGCAGAGAACGGTTGCGGGCGGCTGCACAGCAGAAAGAACAGCACACTCCTGATCTGGACAACTGAGATGAACTCACTGAGTGGTAGGAGGAAGCTCTGCTTGTCGACAGAGTTTACTGTCTCATTGAATCTTCAATACAAAGGACTAAATAGTTGTTCCAGTGGATTTATGGGAAAAGAGGTGGTCTTAAAATTTGGGGCTCTGGATGCTGGGAAGCTGTCCACTTGCTCATCAGCAAAAACACTGTTAACTGTGTGTTTTAAAGTGAAAAGGGACGTTTTTCTGGATAGTAGTGACTTCGTTTTAAAAGAAAAAATAAGAAACTTCTTGATCTTTTTACTTTTAAACCTGACAGCCAAGCTGTTGCTTTCAGGGACATACAGACATATGTCCCTGGTGGATCCTAATCTAATAGGGTTACTTGTTAAACCAAAATCGATTAGTGTCCACCAACAACAATAAATTTATTATAAATAGCCCAAATACCATAGTTTTTGGTATTATGTGAAAAAATCATGTATATAGCTGAAGCTTTGTCAAAAGAGGGCTGATATGTGACTTTTATACAGACCCATGCTGCTTAATTGTGATTATGCCTGATGACAGTTAAATTTAACATGTCAAGTAAATACATGGTGTGGTGAAGTATCAAAAAGAATAGCAAAGGTAATGCTATGCAGTATTTTGACTATGTGGATAATTTCAAAATTATAAATGAAAACATTCAATGTGATACCGCACTACTATTTCGTAGTGCCATGTTTTAAGCCCATTTTGAGGCTTACTGGTTGTAGCAATTGTTTTTGAACGTTCTTTAAAGCTCCTGTAAGGAACTTTTGGTTCGTGTCAATTTTGGCACCCCCTTGTGGACAAAGAAATCCTCACGCATCTTGTCCACTATATGCTTGATTAGCTATTCATGAAAACAGATCTCATTCCGCTGACTTTTGACCGTCAGATGTCGTATTTATTTTAAAAAACAACTGATTTCAAACAATAAAAATAAGGATATAAAAAGTCTTGTTGCGGATGGCCTGTTTAATTTTTTTTTAACCATTAATAGGAGTCAATATAAATTTTGTTGTATTTAATAAATGTCAAAAACTCCTGATAGGAGCTTTAAAGAAAGACGTGCCTTACCCTTATTAAGTTGTTTTTTGTAATTGGAACCTAGCTTTTCCTAAAAACATAAATAGATACTGTGAATATTTGAAAAAGATTTTACAAATCAATGAATAAATAAGTTAAAGAAGGTTGAGTTGTGTTTTTAATTTGCCTTTTAATTGTATTTGTGCTTTAATTGTTCTTTATTTGTTCATCCACATGAGGGCGCTATTATACAAGTGAAACCTCAAAGTTGAGCCCTCTAGGATTTGATAAAGTTGATGCTGTTTTGCATAACAACGTACTATTGTATACAAATGTCATGCAGAAATGTAGTTTTTGGAGATTTCTCAGAAAGACTCCTTTAGTGTAATATCACTGCTGAAAACTGACTTTTTTGCATTTAGGAAAAACTTGTATGAATGCTGTTGTAATACTTTTAAGATATTAGTTCATAAAACTGAGTGACATTTGCAAAAGCATACATAAAATGAACAGAGAAGTAACTAACAAAATGAAAAAGTCATTAAATATAATCTGTCTTACTATTAAGCTTCTGTTGCCACAATTATTATCCTCTTATTGTGTTTTATACTCAGTTAATTATATTAAAACGTGGATTACAAACCATTTTACTGTCATTGAATATGTGTAATGTTGCCAATTTAACAATCTTTACAGTTTCAAACAGTTATTTATCAAACTTTGATTGATATGATCACAATTTTCTAAACTAATCCTGATGAGTTTCTGCAGACTAAATTCTTGACTCTTGGTTACCAAAACGCACCAAAACGGTGTTTACAGTGTAGGTTCAATATTAGATGTGAATTAAAAGTTTTTACACAACACATTTTAATTCAACCTCTTATTCCCCTTCCTGCCATTACACTTACAAACAAAAGTTGAATTGGGAGCAACTCTCACACACAACAGGAATCCCAACAAACTCTCGTCCTATTGTCACAACAAAGCAGTTGCGCGTATTGGTCACCCGGTCAGGGCTACTTCCCTAATCTCCATGAGAAAAAAAGCCTCCTCTTAAAAGCGTCCCCGAGCGGGAACACAGCAGGTTTATGGTAATAAGCCTCTGAGGAGAGGAGGAGAGGAGGAGACGGCGGTGGTGGAGAGCCACGGAGCCATTTTGTACTCATTTAAACTCAGTGTGGGTTAACGCAGCTCCTGCGCACACACAGTGGATACGCCGATACTATGGATATGGGTACGAAGCGGTTTTTTCCACTTTAAAACGCCACAATGAGGGACAAAAGTACCGCGTTGTGCTGGGAGAGGGAGAGTTGATGCTTTTTCGGAGGACTTTCGGGGAAGTTCGCTGGGATATAAGTGGTTTAAAAGCATGGAGCTATCGATACATTGGATGTTGGTCTATGTCATATTCAGTGTGCCGCTTGTTGGATGTTTGGAAATACACCTTTCGGAGGTTTTACAGCCCGGGACGCTCTTGGCAAACTTGTCACTCGGCCCTGGATGGACTTATAAAATTGACAGAACTTTATCATCAAAGTTCATCCCGAGTTTTCTCGAAGTTACGAGACACGATGGGGTCATCCGTCTCTCCCACAGAGCTCAGTGTGCGCACACACCGAGGAACCCAGCTGCTGTGTATTTCAGGACGGGTTCCCCAACATCGAGAGACGTTATTCTGACACATTTTAACGTGTTTGTGCACGGCCAGGACTGTTTTATTAAATACAAGAGAAAGAAAGCGCCAGGTAAGCCAGATATTCAAATTAAACACCTTTCGAAACTTAAGGCAACTTCCTGCTCCCCCGCAGGTAAACTGCTCCTGAATGTAACAGAACTTTTGCCTGTCTTTACGCGGAACGCCGCCTTTTCGGACAGTATTTGTGTGGGGAACGACTTGAGCGCAGTATTCAGACACGGGGCACTGTTTCTGGCGAGCGACTTGTGTCTGGAGAAGACAGGACAGTCCGAGGTGAATTTGCACTGTGCGTTTCAGAGCTCTTCAGGCAGCAGGCTCTCTGTGCAGCTGGATTTGACGCTTGTTAAAGCGCCCAAGATACACGGATCCCACACAGAAAACGCCCAGAGAAAGTCTGGCAAACTGAGCCGCAGGCCAAAGCGGCAAGTAAACGCGTCTCCCCAGTTTCAGCTCCCAAACTATCAGGTGTCTGTTCCCGAGAATGAGCCTGCGGGCACACAGGTCATCACTTTGAAGGCCACTGACCCGGATGATGGAGAAGCAGGGAGACTGGAGTACAGCATGGAAGCCTTATTTGATAGCAGATCCAATGACTTTTTCAATATTGACGCCCAGTCAGGGAGCATAACAACAGTCAGACCACTAGACAGAGAAGTCAAGGACACTCATGTCTTCAAAGTAAGTGTAACAGACAATGGCTCTCCTAAAAGATCTGCTACTTCTTACCTCACAGTCACTGTGAGTGACACCAATGACCACAGCCCTGTGTTTGAGCAAACTGATTACCGTGTGAGCATCCGGGAGAATGTTGAAGTAGGGTTTGAGGTGATGACAATCCGGGCCACAGATGGGGATGCTCCCTCCAACGCTAACATGATTTACAAAATCGTTAACGGCGATGGAGTCAACTCTGTGTTTGAAATTGATTCCCGCAATGGCCTGGTGAAAATCAGAGAGAAACCTGACAGGGAGACCCGGGCTAAATATCAGCTTATTGTCGAGGCCAATGACCAAGGCAAAGAACCAGGTCCCCGTAGTGCCACTGCCACCGTCCATATCTCTGTGGAGGATGAGAACGACAACTACCCTCAGTTCAGTGAAAAGAGGTATACAGTACAGGTTAAAGAGAATGTTGCCATTAACACTAAAGTCATTCAGGTGGAGGCGACGGATAAAGACCAGGGGACGAATGCTAAAGTTCATTACAGCATCATCAGCGGTAACGTTAAAGGACAGTTTTATATCCACTCCCCCACCGGCGTGATCGACGTCATCAACCCTTTGGACTACGAGATGATCCGAGAGTATAACTTGAGAATTAAGGCCCAGGATGGTGGAAGGCCACCTTTAATAAACAGCACAGGGATGGTGGTGGTGCAAGTGATAGATGTAAATGACAACGCCCCCATGTTTGTCAGCACGCCATTTCAGGCCACTGTACTGGAGAATGTCGCAGTCGGTTATTCTGTTATCCACATTCAAGCAATAGATGGTGATTCAGGAGAAAACGCCCGTTTGGAGTACCAATTAACCGACACTGCACCTGGTTTTCCATTCACCATCAACAACAGCACAGGCTGGATTACAGTTAGCGAGGAGCTCGACAGGGAGACGACTGAGTTCTACACGTTTGGCGTGGAGGCGAGAGATCACGGGATACCTGTGATGTCCTCCTCAGCCAGCGTCAGCATCACGGTGCTCGATGTGAACGATAATGTGCCCACGTTTACGGAGAAGACCTACTCGCTGAAGATCAATGAAGACGCAGTGGTGGGATCCAGCGTCCTGACAGTGACAGCCGTGGACAGGGACGTCAACAGTGTGGTCACCTATCAGATCTCCAGCGGCAACACGAGGAACCGCTTCGCCATCACTAGTCAGAGCGGAGGAGGTCTCATCACTTTAGCGCTTCCCTTGGACTATAAGCAAGAACGCCAGTATGTGCTGACAGTCACCGCGAGCGATGGAACGCGCTACGACACCGCTCAGGTGTTCATCAACGTGACGGATGCCAACACACACCGGCCTGTTTTCCAAAGTGCCAACTACCAGGTCATGCTCAGTGAAGATAAACCAGTCGGCTCCACAGTCGTGGTCATCAGTGCGACCGATGAAGACACGGGGGAAAATGCCCGCATTACCTACGTGATGGAGGATAATGTCCCCCAGTTTAAAATCGACCCAGATACAGGTGCCATCACAACACAAATGGAGATCGATTATGAAGACCAGGCCTCTTATACGTTAGCCATCATCGCCAGGGACAACGGCATTCCTCAGAAATCTGATACCACTTACGTTGAGATTATCATACTGGATGCAAACGATAACACTCCTCAGTTTCTTCGGGACATGTACCAAGGGTCTGTATTTGAAGATGCACCTGTCTACACCAGCGTTCTTCAGATCTCTGCCTCTGATAGAGACTCTGGCTCAAATGGAAGGGTGAGCTACACGTTTCAGGGCGGGGATGACGGAGATGGAGACTTTTATATCGAGCCTTACTCTGGTATCATCAGAACGAACCGCAAACTGGACCGGGAGAACGTTCCCATTTACAACCTGAAGGCTTACGCAGTAGATAGAGGGGTCCCGCCTCTGAAAGCAGCCGTTCCCATCCATGTGGTTGTCCAGGACATAAACGATAATGCACCTGTGTTTGAGAAGGATGAGCTGTTCATTGACGTTGAGGAGAACAGCCAAGTGGGGTCCGTCGTTGCCCGTATCACTGCGATGGACCCCGATGAGGGCACCAACGCTCAGATCATGTACCAGATCGTGGAAGGGAACGTCCCAGAAGTTTTCCAGCTAGATATTTTCAACGGAGACCTCATTGCACTCTCTGATCTGGATTATGAAGTTAAAACGGAGTATGTCATGGTGGTTCAGGCCACTTCAGCGCCTCTAGTGAGTCGGGCCACGGTGCACATCCGCCTCGTAGACATTAATGACAACAGCCCGGTGCTGCAAAACTTTGAGATCATTTTCAACAACTATGTCACGAATAAGTCCAACAGTTTCCCATCAGGAATAATAGGAAAGGTACCGGCTCATGACCCAGATGTGTCGGATAAGCTGCAGTACAAGTTTGAATCTGGGAATGAGCTGAGTTTGCTGGTGTTGAATGAAGACACTGGGGATTTGAGGCTGAGCAGGGACCTCGACAACGACCGGCCTCTGGAAGCACCAATGACCATCTCTGTCTCAGGTAAGTGAGTTACGTACATTTTTGGTAGAAACAGATTTCAGAGTGACATGAAGTGTGTTTGTATCATGACTCTGTACTTTCACAGAATTAGGTGTTTAATAGAGGCAGAGGACAGGTTTCTGCAGCGGTGTTTACTAAATGTTTACAGTGTTCGCTGCAGGCTCTTTGCAGGATCCAGTTGAGCTGCTTTTAACTGATGACTCTGTGGTGTGCATGTCAAGTGGTTGGTTTGGTGTCACTGGCAGGTTACCTTCATTTTTACAGACGCAAGACTTTATATCACAATCAGAACAAAAACACATTATTAAGCTTAAAAATGTGTTTTCTGTGAAAGAATGAGATTATTGTAACTCCAATTTTGATCTCAAGGCTTCTTGGTTTGCTCATGAGGTCATGCAGAAAGAATTTGTGAAAAAATTACTTATTTTCTTTCTGCTACAAAAGCAGACTTTGTTCTTTTCAAGTTAAAGATTAGATGAATGCAAACACTTGATCATTCACACCTAATCCTGCAAGGTAAGAGCCTCCCTCCCTCCCCCGAACACACACACACATAGAAAACACACTTTGCAAGAAAGACCAATGACATTAATCAGGTAATCTGACAGGTTAGATAAATCTGACAAACCTGACAGGATAACTACCCTGTCGCCTGCTGACAGCTGGTTGCTCAACCTTCTTTCTTTGTGACTCTTTTCTTGCTCTCTCTCTCCCTCTCACTGTCAGTTAAAGACCGACATCATCAGCCCCATAATGGGCAAACAGCCCAACAAAGATAAATCTCTTCAGCTTCTCTAAAGCTAAAGTATGCCAGGGTATCACACACTAAAGAAATATGAACGAGCTGCCATGAACCAGGCTGTGCAGGGAAATCCCACATCCATACAGCGCACATTAGTCTCATCATGTTTGTGGTGATCTTCGCTCAGGCGTCAGCAAACAGGGATGCTCATGATTGCTTGCACTTTGAGAAGTAGTTCTTGGAAATAGCTGCTGAGTGACTGTTGGCGTTTCCACGTCGACCCTTTTTACACCAGTCCATCCTGAGAAAAATGCAGACTGACCCTTTTTGAGCCTGAGTGCCTCATCAATGTTAAGACCTGCAGAGGGCATGAAAGGAGGCAGCTATTGACAGCTATTGACAGACTTTATCACCACTATGTTCATGTTTGTCGGTAATAAATTAGCCTGACAGCAGTGACCTTATGATGGTCCCACAGGGAGCCGGACATGTGGTGAAGACAAAAAAAACGCACACTGGTACATAATTGGAAAGACGCACACACTCCAAACCTCCCTCAGTTAGTTACATTTAGTTAATCGTTACCAATGATGTCTGACCTTTCCACTCTATGTTATGAGCGAGGGAGACCTGAGGGCATCAGGGACCCAGCAGCCCCTTCACAAAGAAAAAGGAGACTGATTTTATCTCCCTCTCCGTCTTCACTACGACTCCACCAGGACTTAGTTTTACTGCAAGGTCATTATTTTGACCTTTTCACCGTCTGAGAGATCTGACCTGAGTAGAAACGGGTCCAGATTATACCTGGGTGAGGGTTTAGTTATTCTTCCACTGATCTCTGGTATGTGCCACATGCTGCTTTTGACAGTAGCTTGTTTATTTGCAACACATGACCCTGCTTCTCTTCTCACTCAGGTTGACTGTCTCTTAGATCTGTGTGGACTGATTCGAGCTAATGAGGCTAAAGACTCTGAGCTCTAAACACTGGATTTATTAGGTTAGGCTCTGTGGTGGACAAAGAACCTGGTCTAGACCTGCTCTTTTTGGGAAGTTAGAGGTGTTAAGGATAAATCAATTATAGGGTAACGAGTCAGGAATGAAGTAAGAGCACGGATGCTTTATCTGTGGGAAAGTTCTTCCAAGCACTTTGGTGAATACCCTGATAAGTTTCCGAAAATACACCCTGCTAGTCACAACTTTGTTGACTTTGTCCTTGTTCTGTTGAACCCGCATTGTGATTGTGGTTACAGAGGCGTCGGGGGGATAAGACAGCATCTAAGTCTAAGGAGCTGGGGAGGCATGTGCGCATGTCTGAGTGTGCGAGTAATGTGAAGCGTCTTCAGATCCATAATGCATCATAAAACCCCACACTGGGATACCGGTATTATGTCAAGAATGTTACAGGATCAGTGTAGAACGACGGCGGAGCTTTCCCTGTGGTGAAGGAGGAATAAGTAACGACATATAAATGACTTTCAATCAGATAGTTGCTCGCCAGATCTGACAGCCACAGGCATGACTTGTTTTAAGGCAATTTTGCTCCAAATTTAACTCCAAGGAACTCGTCTGGTCTATTGCAGTTGGCCGTCACATGCCGACACTGTGATTTGGAGGTGGAAAGTGTTCGTATGTTACATGTGACACCTGAAAGTTAGCCTCATTAAGGGAAGAAAACAAGCCTGTTGATGAAGGCTCCCAGCTGCTTTGCTTATCGACACAGACTCGAACTGTAATTCGCTCTGGGAGAAGTTGGGGCGTGCACTAACTGGCTCTAACTGCAGTTGTGTTATATCACTAAGTAATGTAAGAGAGATTGTTATTTAAATGATTAGAAGTGATTGATGATAAGCAGTCTTTTTTCACCCTGGCTGTGATCTTTTCTCCCCACTCTTAGTGTCTGTGACGACGTGCTGCTACATGCATCCTCTCACACACCCACCTCCCCTCTCTCTACCCTCGTTTCTGCCCTCCCCCCTCTTTTTCCCCCATGGGGCTTTTTCTGTACTTCCATACCTTAAGTTAGGCTATTAATCCAGTTTGAGGAGCCGCATAGCTCAGCTTTTTCAGATTTTTGCTCTTGTCGCCCCCCCCCCCCTCCCCGAGCATTCCGACACACACTTGCTCGGCCCTAAGTCCTCGCCGTCTTAATAAACATAACTAGATTTGCACTGTGACACAAGAGCTTTGTGCTTTTTTTAACATCCAGATTGAGATGAAGTGGACTTGTCGAACTTTCCCAGACAACCGGTTTATAAAGCAGACATGAAAAACACGGCTTCACTTTCAAGGGGGAGGAATTATGTTAATGTTGATGAATGATCAGACTTCTGTCTTGCACAGTAAATTACTCGCCTCACGCTTGGTTCAAGTCATTTCTTGGTCTTTGAATGTTGTGTCAGATCCTGTTGAGAACCCGTAAATGTGTATTGAGAAAGGCCACAACTACCTGTGTGAGTAAGTGGGCAAATATCTACCTGACGGGCCTCTTGTCTCACATTTCCCGGTATTTGATGTAACTGTCGTGTTGAATGTTGTAATGAGGGCGATGGGTTTCCCGACCTGAGTGCAGGTGTTGCAAAGACGTGGGTGATATACGACCTCTAACCTGGGAGATCAAAGAAGAAGTGAGAAATGACCTTGTACTTCTTTGTACTACAACCCATGACTGATCACCTCCAAACATGATGAATGATAGAGCCGGGGATGGAAGTCATGGGAGTCGAATTTGGTGCGTGGATGTGCAAAACAAAAATGAAATAATCACATCTTGTTTTCGTCTCTTTAAGGCCCTGTAAGGTAACCCTGGACATTACTCAGGAACTAGACACAGTCAGTTGAGAGATAAAACCCCTTTGAGAACCAGATACTCAGATGATGCTCAAGTTTACTCTAAGATGCCTGATAATTTCATTAAAATTATTCAAAGTCTGCGTCCTCTGTATGAACAGAGAATTGTTGTATTACCAAAAACTATCTATAACCAAAAACACAAATTCAGACAGGCTTCCTTTGAGGTTACTCAACATGTTTTATTATGATGGAAAAATGAGAGAAATATTGTCTCTTCTGTATTAGAAAAAAATAAAAAATATCAAAAATACTTCTGCTATATTAGTAATCCGACTTTAACAAAAAAAGCTCTCACAAACTCACAAAAACGAACAAAAATATCTAAAAAATATCTAAATAATATTTAGTTTTCTTCTTCATCCTACAGGCCCAATAAAAAACAATGAAAACTAGGACATTTTCAGGACGGCAAGGACAGCACAGGAAATTCAGGACATGCCCTTGAAAAACAGGATGTTTCGTCTCCCTAATTTAACAGGCAGAAACCTCGAGCAGAACCAGACTCTTGGTAGACAGCCATCTGCCGCCTTTAGTTCGTATAAATTTACTTCTCACAATGCTGGGAGAAATAACAAAACTGGCAATAAATGGCAAATTCACCCTCTTTTAAGGTGGGTGATACACTGTATTTTCATTATACAGTTAAAAGTTTAAATTAAATATTTACTATGTTATGATTTAACACGACACCAAAGCCAATAAAAAGGCTTTTAAACCACATTTGATTAAACAAGATGGCTTACTAAAACAAAAAAAAAATCTTAAATGTATGAAACTTTTGAGACCCAAGGCCAACTCATTTGGATGAAAATCAGTCAAAACAGGAACAATTCAGTGAAGGTTTTTCTTCATCCAGGTCGCTGTAGTCCAGTTTTTGGAGATATTTCAACTGTTATTTTTAAGCTCCTCTGAAGTTCTAAACTACAGAATAAATCATGAGTCTGCCTGCGTAGTTATTTCAACAAGATAAGGTTTGTCTGGATGGAGACTGTGTGCTTTGGTCTTGTCTGCGTAAGATCACGCTATCCTTCAGTATGTGAGTAAGATATGCAGCCATTCCTCAGCTTGGCTCTCTCTGTAACTGATAGTGGGATCCTTTTCATTCCAACAACATCCCACACTCCTAACTTTAAATATTACCCTCTCCGTGATCTTTCAGTCTTTCCTCCTCACGCCTCCGTTCTAGTCTCTTTTCAAACCCTGTTGTCTTCTCGTCCCTCTTCATGTCTCTCTTTGACTCTGGAGTCCACCTGCTGCATGTCCATGTTCTTGGAGAGTCTTTCCTCGCCATGTGGTTTTCAAATCTGTGCAGGTTACTCAGGTTGCTGAATTTTACTTTCTGCTCTGAATCTTGACGACTGTCTGCCGTCTGCTGCATCTCTTATCTTCTTGCATTGTGTCAGGTTTGTCTTGAGGGAAGGCTGCCGGAGAGACTTCTCATGCCTTTATTTTAGAGGACAGGACGGTGAATAGAGCAGGAAATGAGGGGAGAGACTTGCAGGAAAGGAGTCGAAAAGCTGGAATCACACCCAGGCCACACACAAGACTCACAACCTCCATATATGAGCCACAGGCTTACACAAATATTTGCAGCGCCCCCTTCATTCGACTCAATTTTTTTCCCTTTAAACGCGTATAAAAAACCTTTTAAAGTAAAACAAATGAACTCCCAGTCGTGTTATCTTCCGTGTTTCCTGTCTGTTCTGAGGCAGGGAGGGAGATGTGTGCCGCTGTATTAACAATGTACATGTGTCCCTGCCTCTCATTGTGTATTGGATCCACAAGAGACGAATTAAAGTCATGTTTAAAACTGTTTGTGATAGAAAGTGAAATAAAGGGTTAACTAGGGAGGTGCCAACACCTTTTAATGGATGAATAGACACCCTGTTGAAGGTGTGTATTGCTGGGGTGGTGTCTGGGGTTCAGAAGGGGGTTACCTCTCTTTTCTTTTGTGCCTGCCTCTCAATTATAATGAATCTGAATCACAAACAAGCAGAGGGATTTACAGACTTCTCCTTCTCTCATAGCGACTGATTTGTTAATTTGCCATGTTCGGGGTCCTTAAAGCGCCTGTGAGGAGTTTTTGGACATCTATGAAGTAGTGTTAATTCTTCTTTCTGCCTTTTTATGATATTCTAAAGCAAACAAGATCATGAGAAACATGATAAGTGATTTTGGTAACACTTTATTTGATGCCTATCTCTATGACCCATTATAAATTATGTAAAATGCGTTATAATCATGTTATAGCACTGTATAACTATAGCTATAAACACTCATAAATGATCATTGTGCTTTATAGCAATAATCATAACTTACTATAAAGCATTTTATCATGACTCACAAGGTCAGGTATTATAATGTGTTATAACTGTTAACAACTCACTGACAATGCTCACATAGAGAATGCAATGCAACTGTTATAACACATTATAATACCTGACCTTGTGGGTCGTAATAAAATGCGTTATATTGTGTTATGATTATTGCTATAAAGCATAATGATCATTTATGAGTGTTTATAACTATAGTTATAAAGTGCTATAAGTGATTATAATGCATTATACATATATTTATAATGCGTCAAAGAGAGAGGCTTCAAATAAAGTGTTACCAATATTTCTTATCGCCCCCAACCAGTAGGAAGGGGTCGGTGTCAGCCAAGTAGCTCAGTTATTCCCCTATAAAATTTGGTAATCATCAAAAGTTTGTAGGATTTGATTATTTTTAGGACAAAATAAGTGAGTGCTTTATCCACAGGGGGCGCCAAATTTGACACCAACCAAAAGTTCCTTACAGGAGCTTTAAAAATGTCAATAATTTGTTCAAATGAGTTTGAACAAATGAGTAGAATCTTCTTTTTTCTTTATATTTAAGTACATGTTTGACTTTCATTCACTGATAAACCTTTCATGTGTTTTCACTCACTCTAAAACAAACGCCCCTATTCATGACACCAGCAGTGCTATCTCTCGTTTACATACTGTAGGACAGTGATTTCACCGCTCTGACAGGATGGCCGGGGGGGTGGAGAGGGTTGTATTTGATTGTAATCTGACACACCTCTCCAAAGTCTCTTTCTTCCTCACTCTCGCTCCATTTCACTTAAACAACACAATGCTGTCCCTGTGTCTCTCGCCGCAGAGCAGAGGGAGAGCTAAAGCCTCACGAGTGTGACATTACGTGCGTCATGATTTGCAATGAGCAGTTGTAGGAATGTTAAGTAGAGGTGAGGCGGGGGGCTGAGGGTGTGTAACCTCCAGCCGGAGCAAATGACAAGTGTTGGTTAGAGTGGAGGAGAAGGGGGCAAGGGCAAGATGAGATGATACGGAGATGGTTGTGGTTCATGTAGAAGTTGATGAACTCTTTGAAAACAGAGCGTGAGGCGCTACGGCTCTTGTTTGGTCTGGAATGATGATCAGAAGAAGCGGAATTCGCATCCTCGGTATTCAATCGTGAAGAGCTTGTCGAGGCCTGATATCCTCCTAAAAACACAGACATGATTAAAGAAACACTCAGCAACTCAAAAGTGCTTATTCTGTCAAATTTAATAATCATATTCATCTTTTTATGGAAAAACGAAACCAAAGATATGCTCCTTTTGCTGTTTTCTGGCTCAATGTGCTGCACTGTAAGTTTATATCCTTGCGATTACATAACCCCAGCTTTTCTACCTGTGTACTTGTGTGTTTGTCTGTTTAAACTTACAGCTATTAAGACATGTCATTGGCACTGACAATGCTGGTATTAGGATGAAATATCAAACGGATTAAAGGATTAAGCCTCCTGGCACAAACACATTAATATCTGTTCTGCGCTGGAGTCCCATTGCTTTTAATAACAAAGAGGAAACTGTCTAAAGAAACCTCTTCTCAGGGTGATTAAAATTAATTTACAGGACACATTTTAAGTTTATATAGGCGAGGTTTTAAGACGGCCAAATCACTATGAAACCCGTCCTTGAAATCCGAAACTGGTTTTAATCACTCTTACTTAAAAACTCAATGACCGTGGCATTAACAGTGACCCCCCTGTGAGTGCTGATTTGACTGTGAAAGAAAGACTTGACACAGGAATGCGCTCACAAAGAAACCTGATTCAGTCATTTCTCTCTGCGCCGGTGACAGGTGAACTCTGACAGTTATAACTTGTGCGTGGGAACTTGTTGATGCACGCTGAGCTCTTAGCTCTTAGTTTGTGTCTTATCGTTATCAGGCATTTGCCGAACTGTATGAGTGACAGAGGGTGCTGATGTCGCTGTTATATGGTCAGACTAATTTCCTGTCGCTCCCTCCAGGTATACATGTGGCATTCTTCAAAGTCTTTAGATGACTGAACTGTATTTCAAACTTTAGCCCGTCGTCGGCTAAATGATCCAGTTATTTGTAATCGTTTGATAGGACTGCTTTTCTTGCATCATCTCTTACACCAGGTTAGATTTGAGTTTTTGCAGCACTTGCACAGTGTATATATATTAGCATGTGCATACTATGTTAAGCTTTTGTCATGAAAACCGGCTCATAAGTGCACAAACTGGGCAAGACGGTGTTAGCACAACAAGCATACGCCACACCCTGAGTCACACTTGGCTCCTACAAGTAGTTAGCTCTATATAAGCGTTTCAAAGACTCATACTAAGACATGCAGATTAAGGCTTTGTGTGTGTCTATTTCAAACCCTCCAGGCTTCTTCTTTTAACAGGGAGACAGACCTGAGGAAAGAGGCAGAGGGGGCGCTCAGGTGTGTTTAGTTTGCCTTTTAATAAGGTGTCAAAATGCTTCTTTTGAACCCCTCTCTGTCACATCAACGCTGAAACGTTTGTGCACACTCATACACGAGGCAGTCTCTCACCTCTGACAGTTACACACCTTTTCTACACCGCTGGCAGATTGCCTCACCAGTTATTAGTTACATAAAAGTAGAGGCTGTTTTTTTCTCTGCGAACAGTTGCACTTTGTTTTATTTTTTGATGCATGAAATTTTAAAGTTAATTTATATTTATGACTATTAAATGTTCCTGAAAATGCGAATTACAGGGATATTCTGGCATAAAATTAAGTTAGGGTCAAACACACTGTAACATTAAGTTAGACACCCCCTCCAGAGATGAATGTTGCCGACCGCTTTCTTCTCTAGTTATACCAACTTTAGTAGCGACCGCACGATAGCAAAACACAGAGCAACACGCTCAACCAAAAAGCCACTCTATAGCTACAAATAATGATCAGAACAGCCCATAACTTCATTAACAGTACATACAGGGTTGCCTGATTTCTTAAGCAAAGAGACTAAACACAACTCACCCACTCTCCTTCAGCAGCTGTTTGTACGGAGACCTCCAAGCGAGTCCATTATCAACTGCTGTGGGGTGTCACAGCTCAAGGAAGAACATTTATGATCATCTCCTCGTGAAAATGCAATCAGACCAAGACGCTAAGGCAGAAGAACTATCACATCTGCGGTGCAAAATGATTAATACAGTGATTATAACTTCAAGAAAATGATTAAGAAGTGTTCATAAATGTTCTTCCTTGAGCTGCGTAACCCTGCTGTAGTCCATAATGCATTGGCCTGAGGTCAAGCGGCTGCTGGAAGAGAGTAGGTGAGTTGTGTTTATTCTCTTTGCGAAAGAAATCAGGCAAAATTAAAAAGATGTTTGGTGGCAGGCAACCCTGTATATACTGTTGATGAAGTTAGGTGCTGTTCTGAGCATTATTTGTGGCTATAGAGTGGCGTTTTGGTTGAGCTCGTAGCTCTGTGTATTGCTATTGTGCCGTCGTCACTCAAGTTGGTATAACTAGAGAAGCAAGCGGTCGGCAACATTCATCTCTCGACGGGGTGTCTAACTCAGTGTTACAGTGTGTTTGACCCTAAATTAAATTTACTCCAGGATATCCCTTTAACACCAGGAGTTTGCATATCAAACTCCAAATATTGTAAGCAGAGTATGAACATATATATAGATCATGTTACTCCACCTCTTCCTTGCCTTGTCTCATATCTACTTTATGTGTTTTCCGTAAATATCGCGATAACATCGTGGATAAATCTGATATCACGTCTGCCGTAATCCACATAAATGCAAATCATTCTGCCTCCATTCCCTCTGTTGGTAAAAGAAAGTGGTGGGATTCTTCATCACTGAGAGATGATGAAAACAACACTCCTGAAAACCTCAGTCATGGAGCAGAACCAGGATCCACAATGGCCCCCTTTGTGTGTGTGCTGGTCCCATGTGATGTTAGAAAATGACATGCGTGCTGCTGTCTACCTTATCAAATCAAGGACAGCAAGGAGCTTTTGTGAGGAAGTGTCATTGCATGAATAACATGTGTCTCGGTATCAGGATGGACGCAGTGGATGCCGAGGATTTGCTCCTGCTTTTTCCTGATGTCAGCTTCATGTTAAGAGGTGCAAAAAGGAAGTTAACATGACTTCTGGTCTCCTAAGACATGCACCTCTTACTCTCACAAGTACTGAGAGTAGTGGCGTGATATAAAGTGATTCAGCTTTGCATTTTTGATGGGGATAGAGACCTTTAATGAGAGTTTAGTGAATGAGTATCAAAGCGGGCTCGCCTTACTCTAACAGTGCAGAAAACCAATCCTTTGATATAAACGTCGTCATCCCACGCTCGCTTGATTGGGGTGAGATGTCGTCCAAGGTTACTTCTGCCTGAACTTGTCTGAAAGTTCAGGTTCAGGCCATTTGCCAACTCCTTAACCCTCCCTGAAAGCTTTTCCTGACTAATGGTGCGTCTCGCTCTCTGACCACAAACATTTCAGCTGCTCAGAGTCTCCATGAATTTCCGTGTTGATTTGGTTTTATCAGTGATGACCATCCCCCTCTATCAGCCTCACTTTTGTCCCAGTCTCAGCAGATGAGTCTGATTGAGGTTTCTGATCACTGGAGCTCTAAAGTTAAATCTGAAGGATCAAAATGAAGCTTAAAGAAGGAGTTATTTACGAGCTTTTAGCTTTAGTTCATGAATGGAAACAAAAAGAGCCAAAAGACAGCCCCGGTAAAAGTCCCCTTCTTTCTCATCCTCTGTCGTAGGCCTGAGGGCTCTCACTCAGACCTGGGCTCAACTTCAGAGGAACAAAAACTCTATAAACTGTGAATGTGTTAGTGCAAGAGGAAAAAGCATCACAAATTCAGAGGAGGTTAACTATTTACACCCCAGACAAACAGATATAATACACGTCGGCTAATTCGCTCATATGCTGTTTGCCAGTTGGCCAAGCAGCAGAACGTTTTTTTCAGTCAGGGGGTCACGTATTATTACAATCATCTATTCAGTTATTAATTCAGGCCAACAGGCAGCCAGCCGAGCCATTAGGTTTACTCAAGCGTTAGTTGATTGATTAGTCGTCGGTGTTGATACGGACAGATGTCTCACGTCCCACCAGGAGCTGCTGGATTCTGGCTTGTTTCTGTGCTTGTCTGGCTCTTGTTGTATCACTGAATGAGCCGTAACTTGAATATCTTACTCTGTCTTTGGGCTACGAAAAATAGGGGGGGAGAGATTTAAGGGTTGGGTCAGGTGCGTTTTTATGAAGATTTTTTTTATGCACTGTGTGTTTTATTTCTGAGATTTATGGCCCCTGCTGAGTTTTACTAGCTGAGGCCTTCATCATAATCTCCCCCTGGGATATCAGTGACTCCTCGTTGGTTTGTGTGCTCCTTAGTGATGTATATTGATGTCTTTATAAGAAGGAAACAAACTGGATCCTCAGTCTACGAGCAGCAAAAGCACCCCTGGATCTGGGTATAAAGCTTTAAAGCAGAAACAAGACTTTTCTCCCAGAAAGCAATAAGTTTTTATTGAGGACTAGTGAGATGAAAACACTGGTGTAAAAAAGCGGCACGCTTGAGCAGAGAGGGATAATTCCTTCACACCAGGAGATTCTTTTAAGTCCGAAAAGAGGAAATGGACGGGTGTTAAAAAAAGGAGAAGCCTCCACCCTTTTCCTGTGTCCTCTGCTTTTCCACCTTTTCCCTTCTTCTCCTGCAGAAAGTCACTTTAAAGTAAGGGTACTGTGTTTGGTGAACAGGAGGGGGGTAGTTGGATATGTTTTAATTTCTATCAACCTTTAAAGGTACTGTGAGGAGTTTTCAAAAGCAAACCAGACAATCAACAAAACTGATTATTTCACTGCAGTGTTTATTAGTGCTGTGAGGAGGGGGTTTAAGACCAGCTCTAAAGCTGAAAACATACAGGATCCGTACTGAGCGCATTCCTTATTTGCCCTGGGTATCACATACAGGATGCATAGCAGCAGTGTAGTGCCCCAACAGGACTTTAAACTGCTAAACTCTGAAGGTAACAGCACAGTATAAAGGAACATAGTTTACTTTATTAAACATTAGTAAACCTGCCAAAACTGTACAATCATTTTGCATTTTAATAAATAGTAGAAGCTCAACAATCTGAATTATATCCAAATTAGCAGGAAATAGACCACAGAAAGGCAAAGTTAGCAGTTTAAAGTCCTGTTGGGGTCCACATGGATCAGGGATTGACCATCAGATTGGTCTGTTTTACTGATAAATTCATAACCAGGAAGTATTTCTAATCTACACGAACTGAAACACAGTCAGGAGTTCGCAGATGATGTTTTATTTTGAAATACCAGATGGCATGCCCGGTTTTCGTGCTTAACATCCTGTCTAGAACGATCTTCTCTGTGTGGACTGACACGTGTTGGAAGCGTAGAGCAGCAAAAATAGATTTGGCGCGTATCTGTAGGAGACGCTCAATTTGCTTCTGATACGATGCTTCGACGGAGCTGATACGTATCCTGTATGCGATACTTCATTGGCTAGAATGGCATCCTATGATGTCAAGCGTTTTAGCCCTAATACTTAAAGTAAATGATAAGACAGCAGGATGAGGTTTTAGTTTAGAAACTCTACTTTCTTGTACACAGGATGATAGACTTCCTTGATCCAAACCAAAAGTCCCTCACAGCTTCTCTTTAACATCTTTATCAGAATTACTCTGACTCAGATTTATAGCTGCTCTCAAGAAGACTGGAAACATAACAAGAAGGTGGTTCATACTAATAAGACATTACACAATTCATGTGTTCTTCTCTCAAGCCAAGCATGATTGCACACGCACGCTCTTTTACAGGCTGTTTTGTCCAATTATAGAAATGTTACTCGGTTTGGCTCGCAGGTGAAGTCATTTCTGTGGTGAAGGCTGGAATGTGAAGACTTTAAAGTAGGAGAAGAGGTGATTTCTACTCAAACATGAATGTCATCTGTGTGTGTGGAGATGTGGGGGCTTGTCTGTTCCCATCTAATCCTGCATCTGTGCCAGTTTGAATCAGGGACATTTATATATTTGATATATTGCAACATTTTCACTGATTTTTCATAGATTTTTTTGGGGGGGTTGGAAGCATCTGCTGTCATCGCTTAAAACAGTAATAAGCAACTTCCACCTCGGCAGCCCTGAAGCCTCCTGGACCCCACAGATAGTGACTTCAGAGAGTAGGCGATGATAGAAATGACAAGCAGACTGTTTAAGCGTGATCATCCCAGTCAACCAACCAACCCTGGAGGCAAACCACAACAGCTTCCCACTGCTCTCTCATTTTAGGGCTACTGTCATCGGAGGTCGACATGCTCAGACTGATACCACCAATGTAGTTAGATGTAAATCTGCTCCAAACATGAACCATAAAATCGGTAAAAACCTGGTCTTGGTCAACCATGAAGGACTCAGGATTTAGTTTGTGTACATGGCTCTAACTCCATGTGACCTACCCAGCCCAAGAAGAACACTTTCACATACTATTTTCATGGCTACTAGACATGCATGTGCAGGCTTTACTTGTGGCCTAGATTGCGAGCTACCTCGCAGCATGTCAGACGCCATTGCGAGCATGCACGGAGGCTCCAAAAGGGCTGGTCCTGTGTACTTATCTGTTCACATGCTAATCCCCAGACGTCCAGTTTTATTTACAGTCCCCCTCACCTACAAAATATTTTTAACAACTCTGTCATCATCTAGACAAGCAAGTTTATCATCCAGTTGGCCTGTGCTGTGTTCAAGTTTGGTTGTCTCACACACAGGTTCAAACCTGGACTTGGTACATCTTAAGAAGACTCATACATGGATGGCTTAGTTGAGGATTTTTCGCCATAAGTCTTTAAAACTTTGGCTGAGAGTTATCATTTTGTGGCTATGTGTTGATATCTTGTGGTAAGAGATATATATACAATATAGGGCTGGGCGATATGGCCTCAAATCAATATCACAATATATTGAGCAGTTCATCTCAATAACGATAAATGGATGATAACTACTCCACAAGCTGCTCACACCCTCCCACATTAACTTCGTCTACTTCAGCCACTACAACTTTTGAACTGTCCTCCATCTCCTCACTTGTCTTTCCCTCTGGGGTGGAGTCACGTCTCAGACGTAGGACGGCATCCTAAAGGGACATGAGACCATAGCCTACCTACACACACCCAAAACCAACTTTTATTTATTTATTTACCGTATTTTTCTGGTGATAAGGCACACCGAATTATAAGGCGTACTGTGAATCAACGTAAGGTGCATTAAGCATTAAACCTTGATTGGTTTATTGTTGGTAGCACGTACTCCGGGCCTGGGCTGCGTTACATAAATGCACTTCTAGTTTAGACATTACAGTCAGGCAGTCTTGTAGACTGCTCAGGGGTCCTGCTATATTGCCGATCAGGTAGTGACTCATGCTGTGTCCGAAATGAATCTCTCAATCCCTAACCCCCATATGGAATTTCACTGTATAGCTGACTTTGTAGTGAGCTCAATCCCAGGAGGTTTCGGACACTACATGGCGCTCTGTTGTGACATCACTGCTCAGACTGTCGCTGGAGACGCAGTGCATGATGGGATGCCCACCACTGGTTAGTCACCATCAGATGGTCACTACATTTTGTGATGCTCTATGGGAAATTTTGATTCGCCTATATGGGGTATTAGAATTGATCACTCAGGTTTCGGACACCCCTCAAAAGGCGCTAACCCCCATATAGTCGTATAGTAATGCTCCGAATATCCAAATGAGCGGAGCATCTTTGTTGCTTACCAAAGTCGTACTCAGGCGTTTCGACATATTTTTGAGTGCTCTGTACTATGGAATCAGATTGTACCACATAAAATCGGTCAGTAAGCACAACAAGTAATCATACATAAGGTGCGCTGGATTATAAGGCGCACTGTCAATTTTTGAGAAAATTTAAGGATTTTAATTGTGCCTTATTGTCCGAAAAATACAGTATTTTTTTGACACATAATGTATTGACGTGGGCAAAATAATGTTAGTTATTGTCGTAAATTCTCAGTTTATCGCCCAGCCCTAGTTCAGTATGTTCCCATAGTAACTCATTTTAGATCCAGTTGATCAGTTTATGCCCTTGAGGAGACTCAGTTTGGCACAGTGCACCATAATTCCTGCAGGGGTTGAAGCTGGATTGGGGTACTCATGGGGTATTCTGTAGATTTAGGTCGAGAGGGGTTGTCTGAAGGCTCAGTGTCACCCGGGCGTCTTTCTTTCAGCGAGCAAAACCAGTTCAGCATGCACACATGGACATACTTCAACACACACACAAATGTATTCAGGATTTGCCAGACTCCCTATTTAGATTTACACAAGTCTCCGGGTTTCCCAGGGAGACGGCTGCTCCACCACCCCACCCTTTTTTTTTTTTTTTTCTCTTTGTTGAAAAGAACCAATCGTGTGTTGGCTGGTAACTAGGCACCCCATTTATCAGTAACCAGCACCAACAATAACTGTAACCCGACACCTCCTCTGAGAGAAAGACTCCGAGGAAAAGGGAAGGTTGGAATGAGGAGGTGAAAGAAACGGAAAAAAAAGAGAAAGTCAAGTGTGGAAATTTACAAAATACAACTTTAATCTTCAGATATTTTATTGTTTGTCATGTTTTTGGTGCATATTTAACTTTTGGGAGAATTCTTGATTTTTCACGTAACTCATTCCAGTTTATATGAAAAAAAAAAGTCATGCCAAAATTAGATGGCTGCAAAAGTCCAGATCGAAGAATTAGAAATGGGTAAACAAGAACCATGACAGAAAAGGAGCAGCGGCGGCGGCGGCAGGGAGGGGCTCCAGTGTCAGGGTAATGGATACTCGGGTCCTATTAGGCCATTAATGGCTGAGTAGCTCTGAAGAGAGCAGCGCAGGCCGACCTGTGAGAGGCTTTTGATCAGAGTGCGCTCCCGACCAAACCGTGTGTTGGTTCGGGTTGAGTCAATCGGATGTGATCGATTGTGAAGAGTACAACAGAACGAGTGCTTGTAAACACTTGTTGTTAGATCAGGAGCATTTGTGAAGGAACGGCGGGCGTTTATTTGTGAAGAGGTGTTTGTTAGGGCAGCGAAAAGTTTGAGCACATTGAGAATATTGTAGATGGAGCGTGGCGGATGACTAAGCTGCTGTGTCTGTGTGGTTTTTGAGGGTGTGTGGGCGTGCGGAGGTGCATTCCTGGTTATACTTGATTAATTTCCTTTCACGAAACAGAGAATGGCGGTCCACTTGACTCTTTACCTTTTTTGACCCCTTGGCTTAAGGAGACAAAAAACAGGAGCGGAAACCCCGCAGATACACCACAACCTGTTGAACCGAATCAAACTATTGTGATTCAAAAGCCCCCCGTATGGATTTCTTTGTTTTATCTTCAGCTTTGACAGGATGTAACGACGATAATTTCAGTGTTGACATGATGTCAGGAGGGATACTTGTTGGAGGTGATGGACATGTCTGGACTCGTACTGTAAAGGATATGTGGAAATGTGGTCTTCGCCTCATTGTACCTTTGCGGTTTCTTCATACACTTAAGCGCCTGTGTTTCCTGGCCTCTTGGTGAGGTTTTTATGTGTATGGTAAACATTTCACACTCCTTTTATTCCAGTTTTACTGACCTTTAAAGTAAGACTATTTTTGGACCAAGACAATCACTTTCTACTTCTTTCTTTGTGCCATCAGGTAAAAGTCAAATCCTGCAGGGAGCTAAACTAAGTAATTCACAACACCCACCTTTTCTAGTTTGATTTCTAAGTGATTTACATGACCTAGACTGCTTAATCTTGTTAACCACAGTTTCTTGTTTCCCCCGCTCCTTTTACTCCTCCCATTCCTACCTTTCCTCTGCCTCAAGGGCATCTTCTCCTCAAACTTGTTAACAACAGAATGAGATGTTCACCACCAGCTGCTGATTTTATCACTGGAGATCTTGTCACAACAACAAGCCAGCTGCCTCCTCCTTTTTCTGCTCCATGTCCACTGCCCGAGTGCTTCGTCACATCTCTCAACAATTACATTCTTTGGCAATTAGTCAAGAGAGTTTAAGAAGTAACAAGTGCGCAAAGAGCGGTTAACCCGCCGGCACCGAAAAAGGGTGGAGAAATTCAGGTGTGTGTTTGGACTCATTTTGCTTTGTCTGGCCTCTTCATCCAGGTTTGCTTGGCATTGTCTGCGCAGGAACACTGCTGCTATTCACCGAATCCATCTCTCTCAGGGATCCTAAATGGGACATAGATATTCTAGCCAGGTCGTTTCTTGGCCCTGGCACTCGATGCCCCTGAGTGCTCTGCTTAAGTACAGTCGCTAAGGGCACTTGTGGAGTCTTGTGAAAGCCCGGTCTGCTTAGAAGTGAAGGCGGAGGAGCAGTTGATACGCCAGTGCGGTCTTTTGAACTCCCATGTGTTTGGAGCCAAAGGTTTCAGTTTGACTCGACATGAGTGCGATGTTTTAACTGGCCTGCAGCAGATGTGTATGTCTGGTGGTTCAGATTTCCCTGTTAGGTGTTTATGTAGGCTTGTGCCTCCTCTGATCCTTCAGCCGTTGTTTGTCAAACTCGTCTACTTTTTTTCTTGTAATGTGTGATGTGTTGGGACTAAAGCACTAAAGACAACAACTTTTCCACATGTATTCAGGGTAGACTGATTCAGGCAATCACTGATCCTGGCTCAGTCAACCGTCTGCATGTAATCCCACCTGTTCTCTGGGATGTTAGCCTCCAACACCCACACGCTACTCTGTTCCAACTGCTCACTTTTGAGGTGAAAGGAGTCTTTTGTTTCCGTTATAATGGCTCAAAGAGAGGATAATAGATAGAGACCTCTTGCCAACCAGAATAAAAGTATAATGACCGAGAGGAAGTAGAGGAATAAAGGGGATGAAGATTGAGAAATTCCTCTTTTTTTCCCCCTGGAGATATATAGATGTTGGAGGCTATAGATGGGTTCCTGTGCAACGTCATTGCAGGTTTGGGTGTGCAGCCAAGGGGCAGAAAGCGGGACATTTTCTAATTTGTTTACGAGCAGAGTCAACGGAGAATGACACGGTGATGTTGCGCTGTAAAAGCATGAATTGGTAAAACAATCTGCAAACATTATGACCCTGCTCCTGATATTAGAAACATCTAAAACAACGTCACAACCTGGTAAATCGAGGGAAATTCATGGACATTTCAGAAAGTGTTTTTCTGATTTTGATGCAATGGAAGACAAAGTGATTTTTCAATGAAATGACATTTTATTGCAATTTTGTCAGGGAGAACTTGCAAAAATTACGGCATCTTCGGCATCTGCGGCCCCCATGGTTGCGCGCACACCTAGTATTGTTTTTACACGAGAAACCCGTCTATACTGCCTCACAAAACAGGGGTTATACTTTTGAGCAAACCTGACATAAGCTGCCTCGCTACGATAGTTATTGAGGCCTTTTGAATTTTCAAAATCCTTACCAACAGGTTGTAAGTTTGAGCATCAGTCAAGTGTGAACATTGTCTTGAACTGCTTCAAATTCAGCTTTTCATTCTGGTACATAGAGGTGTGAGTCAAGCGCCACTTCCAGATAAGCATGATGCGTCAGCTGCAGGGTTATTGTGTTTACAATGTCTGCATTGAAAATAAAACAGCATGACAAGCAGACAGACTAACAATAAAGTCTACTTGCTTCGTGAGGCCGGTAGTTTTCCACTGACAAACTTTGTTTCTGCAAGAAGAGCAGTTTCAGAGAGTGTCCTGATCCAATCCTTAATGAATTATTTATTATCCCAGTTTAAGGTTAATTTCGTATCAAACTAACATTTTTTTCTGGTCGCCAGTCCAGACATGCTCTAAATGGGAATTGCTGTTTTTTTGTAACAGGAAGGCTTGACAATTATACTTAGACATTTCTTCATCCTGCATGTATTCGTAATGTTTTTCTTTTTTTCCTTTTGTTCATAATGTATGGCTGTTGAGTTGACCCATCTAAACGTGTTTTGATTGATGGCGCTCAGGCTGAGTTAACTTCAGCGTGATTTCTGGGTGATTTCCCGCTCCTTTCAAAGACAGGATGTCAGTCAGAGTCTGCAGCTCGCTGATATGTGATCTGCTGTTGGTGCTGGTTGCCACGAGAGAGAGAAAGAGAGAGAGAGAGAGAGAGACAAAGGGAGATGAGACTTGACAACATGGACTCTGAACAGTGGGTGCAACCGTCACATTAGGGGCAAACTAGCAGCTGATGCTAGCTTCTGGCAGGTTTCATTAGCTGCTCTTTTCACCCATTTAGATCTCATTAAGTACAACACATGATTTTAAATGACTGGACTATTGGTTCTCTGACTTTTAAATAGTTAAACTTGTTAAATACAAACTACATATCCAACAGCAAGATTGTGTTCTTGCATGTTGTATTCACCAAAAAAAAAAAAAAGCTCTGTTTTTCTGAGTATTTTTTTTTCTGTTCTGTTCTTCAGACAATTTTTTTGTCTGTTATTCAAAGTTTTTTTTTTTTCTTTTCTTTTTTTCTGACTATTTTTTTTTTTGTTGTTGAAGTTTTACTTTCTTTTGGGGTTGAAACACCGGGAGATACTCCTTTCTTTAAGTCAGATAGATGGAATCGTCATTGATGGAATTTGTTTACTTTGTGCAGGCACCTTTGCATACCCTATGTTTAACTAATAATATGCTTTACTCTTATTGACCCCGTAGTCGATGTTATCTAGGAGCTTGAGAATCCACTGATTTGGTGCAGCCATGGTAGTTAACGTTATCTGATTGCATGAGATTCTCACAGGATTTTGAAGTATCTTGCTTAGTTAGGTAAAAAAAAGTCCAAAAAACAGAAAGACAAAAAAAATATTACAAAAAAACAGAAGAAAAAATTTGTCAGAAAAACAAAAATAAGAAAAAAATTAGTCTGAAAAATGTATTTATTTCTATTTAAGTGAATGCAATACGCTCCTGTAGTGTTCAAAGCATCAAACTATAAGGCTGCAAAAATGTGTGAAGCAAATTACAGTATAATGCTGTTACAAAATAATAATTATGCTTTTTTTAAGATATTTATTAAGATATTCATACTGAGACGCATAAAGAAAGTTTAGATATTCTATAACAGCTCCTGCCTTTTCATCTTACAGTTTATAAATTTACATACACGCAATAGTAATAAGTGAATCCTGTTAAACCAGTTTCTGCGGTGCAGCATATCTGTTACTCATTTCATGTGTGTGAGAGTGCGCAGGGAAGCATTACACACGTAGAATGTACAGTATTTTTCTGTAGCATCTTCCCGTGACACACCCTTCCCATGTTCAGCCCGTCCTCTGCATGTGTGTTTGTGTGAGTCCATGCCAGCAGCTGTCGAGATCTATAAATAGCGTGGGCCGTAATTCCCTTAGGAGACAAAACTAACAAACACCTATGGAGCAAAAGTGTGTAAGTGAGGCTCGTGTAGGTTTTTTAAACTGATACTTTAATTACTCTGTCAATACAATCTCAATAAGATGTTGTAATCTCTGTTCATGTGGTGCTCTGTATATAATAAATCCCTGTTCCATATTCTCATAATTGTAGCACAGTCTTTCAGTTTTGGATACCTTACTTCACGGGACCCTCAAGACCTGATAGCAGGGTATTGAATTTGCTTTATTGGGTATATAAATGACCCGATTATCAATCACCGTGCCTGCTCACCAACCTAATCTCCAAAATGTTACCCAGTCAGGAATTATCCTGGCATCATAAAGTCCTCAGTCATCATGTCGAAGCTCCACACTCAGCATTGCTTTAAGTATAGAGTTTGTGATGCATGAGTATTCGGCCCAGCAACTTAATTATCGTAACATTTTCAGTTCTGCATTTGGAATCTCGCTGGATTTGTACTTTGGTTCCCATGAGACGCAGGGAGAGACAGGTGTGGACTGCAGCGGAGGAGTAAACACACAGTAGCCAACAGATACTTAGTCAGTTCACGCTTTGTTGAATGACAACCTCCATTCCAGGACATTATAGCAGCCCCACAAACCACAGCTGCCGCTTAATATCACCGGCCTGCCGAGTGACTTGTTAATGTGCGTATATGCATTTCTTTGAGAGCCGCGTGTGGCTGCGTCGCCCAACAGCCAAGAAATAGAAGTAGTTGAACGAGCGGAACAAAGTGAGCTTTATACTCCCTCCTATCATCAAGAGTAGGCGGGGATGCCAAGTCTAGTTAGCACTGAGCTTAAGGCTTGGCCGACAAGGCTGGAAGAGTGGTTGTCCGCACCCTTCTTTGATTGAGAGGGTTCAGAGTCTAGTGAAGTGACCTCATGGACTTCTGAGAGTGACCGCGGCCACACCACACCACACACACAAACACACACACACACACACACACACACACACACACACACACACACACACACACACACACACTTTGAAACATGTATTACACTCCCAGTAAGGCGTAATAACACTTTGCAATCTGACCCATCTCCAAACCCTCCCTCGACAGTGTTGTTCCCCCCTGCAAATTTCATCTGGTCTCTGCACCTGTCGTCAGCTGTATTTCACCCAGCCTTTGGCCTCTGCAGCCCACAGCCATCTGTTTCATATATAGGCACCAGAGCTTAGACTTGGAGTAGACTGTAATCTCTTTGGGGGGCAGAAATCCTGGACTTATTTAATTTCTCCAAACGTCAATAAATCAGCCTTGACTGGCAAAAACAAAATCCAATCTCTGCTCATTTCAAAATGCATGAGATGTTACGAGGTGATGCAGTCGAAATCATTGTGAAAGGTGGTTATTAATCAATCAATCAACCAATCAAACTTTATTATTGAAAGCACTTTTCATACATAGAATGTAGCGTAAAGTGCTGTCCATTCGCGCAGGATATTAAAAAACAATGAAATAAATTAAATAAAAATACAAATACCAAACCCCACCCAACCTCCCAACCCCCGTTCAACACATACAGCGCTCACACACATATGCATATACAGAAGACAAGGTGAGGATTCTTCAACTTGCCACAGATGACTGAGGAAACGCTATCTTGAGTTAAAAAAGATGAAGAGGAGACACTGAATCTAGGACTAAAACAATAAAACCATGATAAAATATATTAAAGGTGATAAGGCGTTAAAAGTTAATTAAATAAAGCAGTCTTAAAATCTAACAATAACAAAAAGTAAATAAAAAAAGAGGTAATAAAACACAAAATAGTTACTCCAGGACTAAAATAGGGTAAAATCACCTAATGCTGATTAAAAGATTAAAACGAAATTCAACTAAAAGCCAGAATAAAAAGGTAGATCTTTAGTTAAGTTTTAAAAATATGAACAGTAGGTGTCGCTCTCAGGTCTGCAGGTAGGCTGCTCACAGATGGGGACCATAATGTTGGAACGATGATTCACTGTATGTTTTGTTTTTACTTTGGGAACAATTAAAAGACCGCTGCCTGACGACCTGAGGGCTCTATTAGGCTCATACGGTTAAATCAAATCAGACAAATAAGAAGGAAAAAGACCATTATGAGCTTTAAAAACTAATAAAAGAACCTTTGAATTTTGTAGAAGCTGAAGCTGTGCAATGTTCTTTTTAAGAAGACCAGAGAGGAGAGCATTGCAATAGTCAATTCAACAGGTGATAAAAGCATGAAGAAGAGCCTCTTCAATGGCTTGAGAGAGAAAGTGGCGCACTCTGGAGATGTTCTTTAAATGATAAAATGCCTTTTAAACCTTAAACTGAGGTTTGAATCAAATGTAATCATCGTGTATGTGTTCTCTCCTCTTCCAGATGGCGTTCACCAAGTCGTTGCCCTCTGCACTCTGCGCGTCACCATCATAACAGATGACATGTTGACCAACAGCATCACAGTCCGCTTGGAGAACATGTCCCAGGAGCGCTTCCTGTCCCCGCTGCTCAGTCTCTTCCTCGAAGGGGTGGCGGCCGTGCTCTCCACCAAACGGGAGGCGGTATTTGTGTTCAACATCCAAAATGACACCGATGTCCAAGGCTCCATTCTCAATGTGACGTTTTCGGCTCTGCAGCCTGAAGGTCTTCAGGGTAAAGGGATGTTCTTCCCTTCGGAGGAGCTGCAGGAGCAGATCTATCTCAACAGGACTCTGCTCAGGCATATATCTTCCCAGGAGGTAAAATAAGCAAACATGCTTCAACAAGTGCAAAATGATGCAGTTCCAGGAAAGCAGAGTAGCATTTTATTTCCTCTCTCCAGGTATTGCCGTTTGACGACAACATCTGCCTGCGGGAGCCGTGTGAGAACTACATGAAGTGCGTGTCGGTCCTGAAGTTCGACAGCTCCCCTCCCTTCATCGCCTCGGACACCGTCCTCTTCCGGCCCATTCACCCCATCAACGGGCTGCGTTGCCGTTGTCCTCTCGGTTTCACGGGGGACTACTGTGAAACCGAGATTGACCTCTGCTACTCGGGACCCTGCAAAAACAACGGAAGATGCCGGAGTCGGGAGGGAGGGTACACCTGCGAGTGTTTGGAGGACTTCACCGGTGAGTCAACTTTATCAGAGGACACAAAAACAGACTGTTTTACTTCTTATGACAGATACTTCCTGTTGTTCATGCAGAAAATTTCTTCATTTTCGAGTCTTAGTGCTTGCCTTGTCCGAATATAACAAGGACAAGGCAAGCGCTAAAATAACTTTCATAGATGCACCCATCTTGTTTCTGCCTCCGAATTTGCTTTTTTCCAACTTGGCAACCGAAACGCTTGTAACTCGGTTGTGATGTCATTTTCAGCTTCAACATCTGACTTCCGAGGTAACTCGAATGCAGCATGTTAAATATTAAATGTGTTAGACCGAAAGGGCGCCCTCAACCTCAGCCTTCCACTCACTCTGTCCAGGACAGGACAGAGAAACCCAACACTGCCTGGAAGCAGGGACTTCCACTCATTTTGCTCGGCGTTCACATGGTGGATAATTTGCGGAAAGCTTTCATCATTCCCATTGAAATAATTCGCCCAAATATTTCTCAATGTCACTGATATTCCCTCCATTATCCCTCCTTGTACGTCTGATGCCTGTTTGGGTGTCTCTCCCTAATGGAGCCCAGAGAGTCTCTGACGGCTGTCATCCCTCCCCCCAAAACACTCGACCTCACCTCTCCCTCTCTTCCTGTATCTTATCTGATGTAATTACCTGATTATACCTGCTTTTGTCAGTCACTGGTTATGTCACGACCCCACTCCAAATGTCTACCTTCTCCACTCAGCCGTCATATTCCCCTCACCTACATCTCTGTGTCCCATCTTTGAAGGTCACAGTTCAACTCTAGATAGTGAGGGGCCGTAATGGGGCTGATGACAGGGGCCCCTTTTCTGTCCTCCTAGGGTTTCCTGCATTACAGGGTTACAGATCCTTATAATTCAGCCTCGGAGAAAAAAGGATTATGCTGAGGAGAGAGGAGCTATTACCTGGTTCCAGGCTGTGATGTTCGGGGTTTGTGTGTGTCCTACTGAAGAAGGAGGGGCGCTGATGGTCTAGTGGTCTAAGAATTCCACATGTAGAGGCTTTAGTCTGTAGTAAGGCTGCACGATATTGGAAAAAATAACATTGCGATATTTTTCAACCCTGCGATATATATTGCGATATTAAAAAATACAGGAATTTTCACCAGATGACCTTTATTGGGCTGGGACATTGTTGTGGCAACAGATGAAAGGTAGTGCCAACACAGGACACGTGTTTTGGACGACATCATCCTTCTTGTAACCGAAATAATTCCAGATAACTGACGTTGCTTTTTCTTTTTAGCAACAAGTCCTAATTTCCGGTGATTTTCTCTTGTTCGCTGCTCATTTTGAAATTGATGTTGTGCCGAGGAACACATGCCCGCCGAGAATTGCATGCACCTCGCAAAACACGCACCACTTATAGTAGAGTGGTCCACGGAAATGTTCGATTTAAAACCCATACAGTTCTTACTTGTGGGGCTGACCACTGATGAGTAATGTTCCGAAAGTAATTCTCAGTTGACACCCGTTCCTCGGCACAACACCAGCAGCGCCAGCGACTCACTCCATGTGAAGGGGCGTGGTTTCCTCCTCTCTGATTTTGATTGACGGCTGGCAGGGTAGATGCAGAGTCACATGTAGTGTATCTCAGTCAGCTACCCTTGAAATTAGATGAGTTCATTCACCCCCGACATCCCAGGCCGCGCACACGTACATCGCGATGATGATATATCGTGCAGCCCTAGTCCGTAGGTTCAACTCTTGGCCTTGACGCTTTGCTGCACGTCTCCTTCCAATCTCTGCTCCTCAAAAACCAAAACTTACAAGAAAAGATTTCTGCTCAGGAATTCATATGAGCTGAGCCAGGAAAGCAGCTCCGGCTCTACAACTGCACAAAGTAAGAGCCACATGGTCATTAGGGAGGAATTTCCCATGGCGAGACTCATGAATCGGATAAATCTGATATCAGGATTCAGCCTCAGGGTGATTAACGAAAAGACATACTTTTGACAACTCCAATCAGGCTCACAAGACCCGTCAGAGACATTTACTGTGTCCTGGATGAAAGTTGTGAAATTCCTGTTAATGTTGAATATCTGACATGATTTCATTCATTCAAGAGCGACCATTTTCTCCCGCTTTAAAAGAACACGCTGTGGTTCATTAGTATCAGCCTGTAGACTCGGGTTTCACAGTATGTAGAACTGGTTTGTAGAAGTCCCCCTTTTCAAAGTTAGTCAGCAGGAAAAATGAGAATCCCTCTTTCTGTCTCTCAGGTGAGCACTGCGAGCTGAACGCGTCATCAGACCAGTGTGTACCCGGCGTCTGCAAGAATGGCGGCAAGTGTGTCAACCGCCTGGCGGGTGGTTTCATGTGCCAGTGTCCAGACGGGGAGTACGAGAAGCCCTACTGCGAGATGACCACCCGCAGCTTCCCTGGACGGTCCTTCATCACCTTCAGAGGCCTGCGGCAGAGATTCCACTTCACCGTCTCCTTTATGTAAATCCTCTTTTTTTTTATTATCCGCTCTTGTTTCTCCAGTTAAGATAAAGTGCCGCCCTTTCCCTCGTGGCTTTGTGACTAATCAGGATAAAGTATTTAACATAACACCGATAAACAGTCATTTCAGTTAGTTAAGTGTGTCACTTTGGGCACGCTCAGACACGTCCGCTCGTTTCTGTCGTGTCTCAGCGACCTCCTCTTGATGCACACAAGCTCAGACACATACAGCAGGAACAATACTCAAAAAATCAGTTACAATTAATAATAAATGAGGAGCCTTTGACACTGAAACTAACCATAACAACATAACAAAGGTGAGTGAAGTTTTTTTAATACGAGTTCAGGCAGTGATGGTGGGAAGAGATTGCAGAGCGGTGAAAACAGGAAAAGCTCTCTGATGACTTTCTTTTATCAGTGTTTGGCTACGGCCATCCTGACTTCCTGCCCCGCTGACCTCACTAGCATCTGCCGGCTGACTCCGCTGCCCTCATTTTACGTTAATAAAACACACACATACACACACACACACACACACACACACACACACACACACACACACACACACACACACACACACACACATAGCTCCATACAGGAGCTTTGTACACACTCGTGAGCAGGTTGTGGCCCATTAACCCAACTTTTCACCATCACACACACATGGGTCCACTCGTGCATCCTGCTTTCCTTGAATTTTTTCCCTCAAGAGCTCCACTGACCTTTCAAAATAAAAGTATCTGCAAGACCTTCAGTTTGTTTGAGTTGGATCTGTATTAAGAAAGCTACGAAAGGGGATGAGGGCCACAAGAAGAGAAAAAATAATAATAACATGAGGGAGGTTTTTTTTAATTTCCATTCGGGAATAAGGTTAAAATTTGAAAAAACATTTCAACTTTTTTCATGTCAACTCTAATCTCGAAATTTCGACTTAAAACTCAAAATTTTAAGTTTTTTCATCTTGAAATTTCAATATTACTTACGACATTTTGGCAATACAATATTTCGTCATCTCAAAATTTTGACTTTAATCTCGAAATTAAAATTTTTAATCTTAAAATTTCAACTTTATTGACAAAATTTTGTTTATTAATCTCGAAATTTCTACATTATTTACGACATTTTAACATTTTGTAATCTTAGAATATCAACTTTAATCATAGAATTTCAATTTTTAATCTCAAAATTATCACTTTATTGACATAATTTCCATTTTTTTTACCTCGAAATTTCAAATTTTAATCTCAAAATTTCAATTTTTAATCTCAAAATTTGGACTTTTATCTCAAAATTCAGAATTTAATCTAAAAATTTTGACATTATTCATGACATTTCAACATTTTGTAATCTTTGTAATCTTATCTCGAAATTTTGACTTTTTTGTTATATAATTTTAATTTTTTTAATCTTGAAATTTTAACTATAATCTCAAAACCTTTAATTTAATCTCGATTTTTTTCACTTTAATCTTAAAATTTCAACTTCAATCTCCTTCCTGTAATTTTTTGTCTCTTTATGTGGTCCTCATCCTCTTTGATAAAAAACAAGGAATTTAGTTAAGGGAGATATTTCCAATTTATCCACAACTGTTGGACTTTATTTCTCCACTGTGTAATCTTAAATAACCTCGAAATCTAATCTGTTTCTCTAGGTTCGCTACACGAGAGAGAAATGCTTTGCTTCTGTACAATGGCAGATTCAACGAGAAACACGACTTCATCGCTCTGGAGATCATCGAAGAGCAGATTCAGCTCACCTTCTCAGGAGGTAAGGTCTCATATCATGTGCAGCTGTTTCTGTCAGTATCAGCTTCATTGTAGGAATACCATTCATCGTCTTCGTTTGTATTTTTGCAAGCAGTGCAAATTTGAAATCATGCATGCACACGGTGCCCTCAAGCATGGATTAACACATGCACACTCACATGCATACACACACACACCTTTAGCTATTGTTAAACTGGCAACAGTTGGGCTGTAGATCAAACACTTTTTTTTTTTTTTTTTTGGTGTGGTGACTGTTGTTTTGAAAACCTGTTTACTTTCCCATGGTACCTCACAGTCAGGGATCCAGTTTAATGTGATTTTGTGCCGTGAAGTTCATTTAGGAGCAAAGCCAAACTCTTGTTCGGCACTTCAAATCTGAAATGTGATTAAATGTTACATGCCTGACTCATCATCATCTGATTAAATAACCAGTATCATGACTCATGGTGTTTCTTAACCTCAGTTTCGAACCTTCCTCTGTTTGTTATTCTCAGCCCTTTCTTTTTCTTCCCCTTTCTCCCCGTCATCCAGGAGAAACCAAGACCATAGTGTCTCCCTACATACCAGGGGGGGTCAGTGACGGCATGTGGCACTCTGTTCAGCTCCATTATTACAACATGGTAAGGAATACAATCGCCTCTTCTGCTCTGCACCCCCACCCAACAGACGTACACATACACACGTAGAACAGCAGTTATTGCAAATCAGTTTGTTGTGATGAAGATCATTGTCACTGCGATCATGTTGGGGGGATAGAAGAATAGGGGGTTGAGGATTCAGTCCACGTATGGTAGAGTGACCATACGTCCTCTTTTTTGGGGGCTGTCCGGGCTTGTCTGGCTTTGTCCAGGGAAGTTTATAAAATCCTTCAAATGTCTGCGGTTTTGGACGAGAGTATTGATTTTGTGTCACATGGGCTTACTGAGTTAGAAGTGCATGAAAGACACTTGATCCGTACCAAAAACTCTCAAAATTAACTTTTTGCAACTCCGTGACTCCGCCCCCGCGTGTCTTCGTGTCCTCTTTTTGGGAAGTCAGAATATGGTCACCCTACCTAACAGATGCTAAAAAGGATGATTCTGTCTTTTGCAGTTCTGCAGGCTTCGCTGAAGATGCATACTTGAGGTACACTTGTACTCAGGGTGAGGCTTAAGGAGATGTAGGGGCTGAATTCACTGTTGTTGGGTGATTGTTGAAAAAATCTTCAGTCCACAGACACTGTTGAGTCCAAAGTCCTGCAGTTTGCTGACCAGCCTATTAGGAATATTGGCGTCGAAGGTGGAATAGCAACCTAACACAATTCCCCTTCCACAGTATGGAGGGTGTTGTTTATGCTTTTCTCTATGGATCTGTTCACCTAGTACGTGTTCTGATGCTGAGGGTGGATTTGATTTATTCCAGGATTATTCTTTCAACAAAAGCAACCAGGAAATACTGTTGCATGCTTCAGTTCAAATGTTGGATAAGCAAGTTCAGAGCAAGCATGGAGGTTAAAGCTGTTATGAGGATGTTTGTCAAACAGACTTAAATTCATACTGGTGCCTTTTCATGAAATCCAAAAGCAAACAAGACCATCAGCGGCTGTATTTCTGAATTTCTTACTGTAGCTTTAAGAGCAGAAAACCAGTGTTAGGGGGAAGCTGTTAGTATTTAATCTAAAACTGTCTTTAAATGAATACTTAACACATTATAAAGCATTTTTTTCATGACTTACAAGGTCAGGTATAATAATGTGTTATAACTTTTAACAACTCACTGACAATGCCCACATAGATAATGCATTATGCATGTATTTATGTGTTATAGTTTGATTATAAACTTGTATAACTATCATTTTAAACACTCATTAATTATCATAAGGGTGTATAACAATAAGCATAAAACATTATAATACCTACCTTGCAAGTAAATGCTTTCTAATGCTCTTTGATTATTGCTATACAGTATTATGATCATTTATGAATGTTTATATCTATAGTTATACAGTTCTATAACGTGATTATAACACATTATACATATAAATATATAATGTGTGATAGAGATAGGCGTCAAGTAAAGTGTTACTGAAATTCTAGTTTATTTCAGTCAGTGTTATTTAAGACATTCCCACGATAATCTAATTGCTCCAATTCCAGGAAATAGACAGTGATTATAGCCCAACCTGACTCGTGTTTCCACTTTAATTGCAATATTATTAAGGCTTAAATTACAACAAACTTCCAGAGCCTGTAGACATAAATTTACAACTTTTGAAACTGACAGGAAATGATATGAATAACCTTGAGAATGTGTATATCCTTCAGTCGTGTCTGATGACTGGTCAGTACGAGTTTAACTGAATGATATTCTGCCGGAAGTTGAGTTTTCTGATCACTTCTATGTTCGCTTTATGATTGTGTTTGTGGGCCGAGTACACATCTTTGCTCGAACTTTCTTTTGCACCATTTCTCCCTCTTATCACTCGATATGTCGAAGCGTCACTGGCCTGACTCAAGACTTCCAGGATTGTATAGAAGCGCTTGTTTCACGGCCTCACACTAACCCTCACTATCACTACAGACCGTCTAAGATTTCAGCTGGTCACCCATTTTCGTGTCAACCAGCTGCGCAGCCCGTGGCTTATTAGGTTACCTCTGCAGGGAGGTATGAATCAAAGGCTGCCGAAATGTACTATGTAAGTTGAAAGGTCACCACTGTGTCTATGCTTTGAGTTTAAGTCGCTGCAAGGCTTCGAAATATCAAATGTGGGCGCTGAAAGTTCCTGTGTGTTTTTTTGTTCTCTGGGAGGCCGTGTGCACGGACATCTGTGATACACATAGTCTTTTGCGTGTGTAAATCATGTAAACACGGGGGGGTATATGTGCGCCAACAATGTCAGTCTTCATGGAGTCCAGTGATTTGCAGAGCAGGTGACACATTCCATTGAATTTGCCCGTGGCTGCCTGTAAGCCTGACAAAGTATCGTCTTTTCTTCATGTGCTGAATGATTTGAAGTTGGATGGACTGATGGTAATTTAATCCCATGTCAGTTGCTGGAGGGATTAGTGGAAATGTATATAGCAGAGAGCGGTAATGTTCTCACAATAGATAAGAAAAGTTGACATGTGAATGTATGGGCATGAGCGAAGGCACACCTAAGTCATCCGTGAATAATAGAGCGCGCACATTTGTCTGTCGAGAGCATTCAAGCTGTGGTTTGAACTAGGTTCATGACATGTACTCTCACACATGCATAGACTCTGATGGTTTGTGTATTATCGTCCATTCAATTACTCCATTCAATCTGAGAACGAAAAACGAAAAAAACGAGTCAATATTCTGTTTATTTGTTTTTCTGTATAACCAAAAAATAAAAATTTTGTGTTTGTTTTCGTGTCTTTAGCTCAAAACAGAATATATAATAGAGAAGGAAACGCAAACGAAATAATAAATCTTATTTACAATAATTGATTTTGAGTGCACCTGTTTTTAGCATACGTGCACGGAGGCTACATTGGCCTTCCCATGATCCTCAGCGACAGTTACCATGGTGAAAGATGCGACAGAGCGGTTCGAGCACCAAAATCTTCCATTGTAACAGAGATCCCTCCTGGCGGCTTTGAATAATATGTAGGATGCGTCCGTCTCCATGACAGCAGGTTAGCCTTTCTCTACTGCTCTGGCCTGGAGTTTTTGGTCCACGTTGTTGGCTACTTTGTTGCGCAATGCGCATGTGCGAACAGTAGAAAGGCACCGTGGGAAATGGGGACATCAATAACCCGAAAACGAAAAGTAGATTATTATTTTGTTTTCATTTTCATCTCAATTATATATTCTGTTTTGAACTGAAAATACGAAAACAAACACTAATCTTTTATTTTTTGGTTATATTGAAAAACAAATAAACAAAATATTGACTCATTTTTTCGTTTACTAGATTAAATGGAATAATTGAATGGACGGATAATACATGGACCTCTGAAGCATACCAACAGCCACTTTTCTTTTCTTATAGTTTAAGTCCCGACCGATCATTTTTTTTCCTACTTTAAGTGTTCTCATTGGTCTTTAAATTGTGATTATGAAGTTTTTAGCCCAAATCACATTACCTGTGTCATTTTCAAGGACTTCTTCTGCAGAGCTCCAGTAGCTCATTAGCAATTCACCTCTGAGTCGTGGGCGGAGACAGCGCTGCTCTGCACGCTCGTCTTCACGTTAGATTGCAGCCTAAAATTGCTGGTGTAGTAGAAGTGGCAGGTAACAGAGGAGCTATTCAGCTCTCTGACACTAATGTCTTTTGGGACACAATGAAAGCTAATATCATAATTAGCTTTCTTACGAGCTTTGCAATCTGCTAACGCACATGCTTGTTCCGCGATCGTCCTCTCTACTTTTCCGAGTCTGGCCTGCATAGCGGGGCTGCAGGGGCGGAGCTTGGATTGGTTACATATGACGTCTCACTGTTTCTGAACTTGCCATTTGGGTCTGCCAGAGATTCACAACGATTTGAATGTAGAAATACTCGGAAAAGCAATTTCGCATTTAGTTTTCTCATGGTATGTCCTGTAGCACCAGAAAAGTGCCATACTAACATTTAAAAAAACGAGAAAAACATGATTTTCTTCAGAGTGGCTTTAGAGAGAGTGCTTGATTCTGCAGCCAGTTTGAGCACAATACTGTTTTGATTCTTAGTTTCAAAGAACTTAGCAAACCTTTGTAAGACCAACTGGTCGACATTGTACATTCTCAAGCCGATGCAGATTGAACCCCAGTTGCTTTTCAACGGTCTTAACGGCACACTCATGCAACGCACGCATGGATGCTGATTTATTGGGTCAAGATAATGAGGCGGTTGAAGCTGTGCCTCCTTTTAAAGCCGCTGCCCTGGCTGGAAGAGCGACGGTGCCTCTCCTTAAAAACAGAGGTTAAAGGTTGCGAGGGAGTTGGCATGACAACAGACGTGGCCTTGCCATTGTTGCAATGATCTGGGTCGGTTGGACAGCTATGTGTACAAGTGTTTGCATCCAAGGGGGTCAGGCAAATAGGAGGCTACTCAGTGTGTGTGTGTGTCTGTGTGTGTTTCCTCTGTCTGCGATGTGTGCCTGTACTGCTCATAGAGATGCAGAGGAGAGATTTTTGAGATTCCACGGAGTGACGTCTGAAGGACATTTGACTGTGACAAGCAAGGAGGCAAACTGTGACGGCAAACACTCTCATGCACACTCACAAAAGCTCAGTTGTATCTTGAACTTTTAACCTTCTTTCAAGTATTGTCACGATAAAATAGTCCCCCTCCTGCAGACATATCATGCGTTAGTGTATGAAACATTGCTATCTTGCAGCTTAATGCCACATACATTAATTCTGTGACCATAAAATCTGCATCTAAGTTGCAGGGACAGAAGTAAGACTCTTCTGAATGAGCTCCCTTTTCTATCCTTCATCCTCACTCTGGTGTTGTTTATAAACCAGGACCTAAATCATCAGGACTTAAGTGCAAATGACTTCACAGAGCAGCTGGAAGTGCTTTACATATTTATGTATATTGTGTGTCTTGTTCTTTATTGGTGGACTGCTGAAACACTCAGTGTAACCTCCTCAATCAGCTGTATTTAGAAATATGTCTGAGTTATTTAAACAAGGACATACAGTAAGTGCAGCATCATCGTGTTTAGATTATAATTTTGATTTTGTTTCTACATAAAATGTCATTTTACATTGATCGGGGCACTTTTTGGAAAACTCATACTCAGCCTATACTGGCGCCTTTACTAACTATAAAGCAGTGCCCCTAATGGACTGTCTTTTCAGGGTTTTGGATCATAGCAACACAGAGAACAACACATTTCACAGCTCTAGAGTTTTCCTTAGTATTTGCAAAGACATGAAGTGTGGATTTGTGTGTTTTTCCTCTGCGAGGACTTTTCAGAGAATTTAGGGTTGGCACTTTTGGAGGTGAAGCACCAAACCTGTAAATTCTTCAGCAGGATATGTTTTGAGAGGAAGAGGCCGTGTTATTCTTGGTCCTTCTTGACAATGGTAGTCGACACCTCCAACACTTAAGGTCATCATCACGCTCTACTACACACCAAATACGTCTGATCCGATCCGCTTTATTTTTATAGCACATTATTTTGAAAAATAAAGTGCTGCACAGTAAGACAAAAAGCTAAAATAGTAATTAAAAAATCCTAATTAAAACAGAAAATACATGCAGCAATGAGAGCCTGATATCTTGTTTTTTGAGGAGGTAAAGTGCAAACAGTACAGGCCCAAGACTAGAACCTTGGAGTACACCACATGGGAAGCATGAAGAAGACGATACAGAACCAACCCTAGAGTTTGACCTCAAACCTTCTCTCTATCTCCACTGTAACACACAAATCCTTTTTTATATTTTACTGGCATTTTATTGCATTTCTCTACCTTTGATGAAACGTAGAAGCTGTTTTTAGCCTCTTCCTGTGTGTTTGTATTTCACAGTGTGATATAAATGTGCCAGAGAGTGTGTATCTGAGGTAGTCAGAGAAATATATTTAAAATGTGGCAGAAGAAACCCACTTGTTTGCCCACACAGACAATTCAAACATCCACAGAAAATACAGTAAATACCTGTAACTGAACGGATAACCTGAAATATTTGATTCGTCTGATTACGATCAACATTTTTGAGCTAACCTAACAACAGGAAGTTACATATAGTGTGATAATCCCCCAAATTTAGGCCATCAGAATATCACAATTGACATACTGAGAGTCTCTGTTGTGGGCTACAGGTCTAATGTGGTATCCCTCTCTCATGGTGTTTCTCTCCCAGGAAGGGGGGAGTCTGATGGACTCCAGTGGAGCTCTGCGGCTCCCACTCTATACTGCCTGGCTGGAGCTCAATCAGAAGGAGGTAACCTCTGACCTCTAGCCTAGTCCCCACTGGTGCTTTTCCCCCCTGGGGTCTTATGTAGGACTTGTCCTTCTTCTAGTGTAGTCTAGTCTAACTCTGTTGTCAGGCTGACCACGGATATGCAGAGGTGGAAGCTCTCTTATTTAGACCGCCTTTGGTCTGGTGTGGACCTAATAAGAGGAGACTTGAGTCGGTTCTTTGGTTTGCTAGTTGTGGTCTAACAGTTGGAGGGATGTGGTATTTCCAGTGTGGTCTTTCTTTTGTGTGTCTGTCTTGTTCTGTCTTCTTGGTCAAGTTAGGATTTTATGTGCTGCTCTTGGTCTGGTTTCAAAGACGCCCCAAACACATCATGACTGTCTCACAACTAAGAGGTTCCTGGTGAAGTTTTCCAACAAAACAACCACATTTTAATTATTTTAGAAGAATAATAAAAATAATAATATGAACAGAAAAAGAATGACTTGGAGGTGAATGTGGTAAAATAATTGAGATTATGTTTGTGTGTGATTTTACCGAAGAGGAGCATGTCGAGAATGAACTGTAGAGGACCAAACACCCAACCCTGGGGGACACCTAAAGTGAAAGGGGGGCTGTTGAGGTGGAGCAGTTGTTGATATGGATGGATTGTTGTCTGTATGAAGGATACAACCTGAACCAGGACAGGACAGGGATCTTGTGGTGCGGTTGATGGTGTCTGACGGAGTCTGAGGACGGCTGAGCTAGCTTGTCCAGATCATTCGAACAGGTTATTGGCGGCGAGATAAGGACAGAGTAGAGCAGAAACAACAGGTTTTTTGAGCTTGAGTGCAGAACTGATGATAGTGATGAACGGGAGGAAACTCTTTTGCATTTCTTCAATCAAAACTTTAAAAAGGAGGTCCTCTGTTTCGAATATGGGAACATCTAAGTTCAGTAGCATGCAGTCACCCTCTGTTGTTTAAGGTATGGGTGTCACACTGTTGGCAGAGATGCGCAGGTATCATGTATCTCTTGTAGGCTGGTGAGGATGCACAGACAACCTTTTGCATGAATGGCATTAAATTAAATGACCCATGCATTTTCCTCTTCTTCTTCTGCTTACTATTAGCCGTTTAGATGCTGTTTTTTCGTTGACTTTCGTAGAGGATTCATACCGTCGCCTCTTTTTGAGTCCTTTGCATTTATTTCTTCAGCCACAGTCCATATGTTACACTGAAAGCTGAATAGTGATGAGAGGATGAAGACAGCAGTAACATATATGCTTGATCACCGGGCTTTGTCGCTCTGTGTAAGTCTTCAGGGAGCTTTGTGTGTGTGTGTGTGTGTGTGTGTGTGTGTGTGTGTGTGTGTGTGTGTGTGTGTGTGTGTGTGTGTGTCTGCGCGCTCTTGATAAATTCACACTTCTAGGTTTACAGCGCCAGAAGGCAGGTGATGTAATGCGGACATGACAGCCTGTTGCTACCGATGGGAAGGTCGGACACACTATAGCTTGTTCATGACTGGGCCAAAATCAGCTCTACACACACAAACACATAAACACACACACACTTTGAAGAGAGTACTTACATTAGGTGTCAGGTCAGCACATTCTTTAAAAGCCTAATTGTCGTGCGGGAGTCTGAGAAACAATCGAATTTCCTCAAGTGGCCCAAACAAAATACAGACTGCGCGCCCTCTTTCCTGCGTTCCTACAAAGAAATGTGTTTGGCCGTCTGCAGCCCCACGTGTCACTTCCTGCCTCACACACACACACACACATATTTAGGCTGGCTGTTTTGTCGCTCAACACACACACACACTGAAAAGCGTCATTTTTATTTACTCATTTACTTTTAGCTCCTCTGTATTTGAAACAGTTGGAATTAATGGAAAGTGGGAAACTGTTTTTAGAGGAAAAAGCTGAAACAGGGAGTGGTTGTGTGACATATGCCCTGCATGTTGGAAAAATCCGCTCTGTTCAGATCCCACCTGGCCTGAAATAGAGGACGCTGCATCCTTCTGTCGCCGCTTTCTGTCCGTCTGCCAATTTTTTTATTGTCCGCTTCTTCCACTCTCTTATTTCTTGTCATTTCATCCCCCTATTTTTGTCTGTTGCTCTTTCTTCTTTGTGTTTCACCCTCTTTTTTCTCTCAGCCCCACCAGTATCTCATTACTTTATTCCTGTTTCAGAAGACAACACATGTACACTCATTGCCTTTCTGTGTCTTATTTTCCTTCTGCTTGACAAATTCACGTTAAAGATATGAATTTTGTCGGTCAGTAAGTTGTTAAAAATGTTTAAAAAGTTGTTAAAAATATAATGCGTTATAGAGATAGGAGTCAAATAAAGAGTTAACCCATTTATAAATGGTCTATTAACCAGTTATAAGTTATAGTTATTGTAAAGTGTTACTCCTTCTGCTTCAGGGTTTAAGGCCACTATTGTTTAGGAAACACGGCCTTGAACTTTGTGCTCAGGTTAAATGAAGAAAAAGAAACTTTAACTGGGCCTCCCGTTTCTCTAAGCTGATTCACATTTTCTCAGATCAACATTTGTCGGCCAGCAGCCTTGATGAAGGAATTAGCCTACTTTGTAATCATCGGGTGCGAGCTACCGCACAATAGGCTTTTTGTCACGTTAAGCCAAGAGGGGCCTGTAAACTTCGAGTCAGCTAAAGTCATATTATTTCAGTCAAGAACAGCTGCTTTAGAAAGCTGGGCTTCCTCTCGCTGCATCGAAAAAGACACAAAGAAAACAAACATGGTAGATTTTTAATCAGTGTAGCTGATATCTTTAGATTTTAAGAGGCGGCTGAGTTTGTTTCTTTAAATTTGGATTTAACCCTTTAATGCCTGAAACCAAAAATTATGTCCAAAAAATTCAATTTTTTTGGAGCTGAAATGTTTATTTTACTTACTACTGAAAACCAAAAAAATCAAAATGTTTTTAAAATTTATCAAATATATTTATTTATCTTGTTTGATACATTGGATGTTTTTGGAAATTGACAAACTACAAGAGGACATTTTTATCATTCATCGGACTATATTAAGGTGTTATTTAGTAATTTGTTGATCATATTGATTTGATAGAAGAATCGTAAAAGTATGTATCAAATATGATACAAAAGGTATTAAAGGGCTACGTGTTTTAAATAATATTCTGTTCATTTTCCAGCCAAACATTGGCCGTCTGGGTATCCCTCATGGACCCTCTGGAGAAAAGGTTGCCGTGGTCGCCGTGGATGACTGTGATATCTCCATGGCGGTTCGCTTCGGAAAGCAGATCGGGAACTACTCCTGTGCCGCCCAGGGCACCCAGACTGGACAGAAGAAGTAAGCTGAAGTCTTTCTTTCTCTTTCCCTTATCTCTTATACTTTCTTTTAACATCATCACGTAGAAATGAAAGAAATATTTCCATAAAGTGGGAGCATCTTCTTTACTCTGAAGCAAATCTGTAATCTGGTCTTCCTCCTGATGTTAACCCTCCACACTTCAAAACTTACATAATCTGTTTACTGTGTTTACCGCACATCAATTAGTTTAATTTTTATAGCACACACAGTTTTTTTTTTCCTTCGGAGTAAAGCGTGCTGAGACACATTTGTGCAGAGGGTGTGGGCTCGGAAAAGAAAGAGAGAGAGAACTTCAAAGTGGAGTTAATGAGGTTACATTCCTCGGAGAAACTTGTTGCACAGGTCACAGAGAGTGAAAAGTGTGTTGAGGATATTTTTACTGTTTCCAACCAATTGTTACAACATGACCAAAACACAGGTGATAACTGTCCGTGATTTAAGGGGATTATCGACACAGCTCCGGGGTCCAATAAAGCCGGTTTATGGAGTACTACTAAAGCGGCTGTGGTTGCATATTGTCTCTAAAGTAAATTAGCAAACAAGGCTACAAAAGTTAAATGTGAAATCTGAAAGGAAAGAAGTTTAAGTGTAGTGTGGCTTTATTAGCAGGGACGCACCAATAAGAGACGCTAGTTTCACTCTGACTATAACCCACAGACACCAAATGCAGATACAGTGACAGTACAGTTGGATGTGGGAGGGGAAAAGCCTTTCAAACTTGTGGTTAACATTGTAAATGGGCTGCACTTTGTTTGGTTAAGAAAACTGTGGTCTGAGTGAATGGTGCACTTAGATACCTGCAGGACCCATTGTTCGCCCACAACAGTAAGCTTTGTAATCTACCTCTATACAACATGCAGTAACCGTCTTTGACGCAGCACTTTTGCACTCCATCAATCTGTATTTATGTTGACGTCATGGTTGACGATCTAAGAAGCAGTTGAAAAAAACTGAGCTGTCGAGGCAGATTTGAGGCACACAAACCTCTCCCCACTGTGCTCCACGATATCTTCCCCCTGAGTCGCCCTCCCCATGACACACCCCCTCTCGCAGAGCAAGAAGCCGGCCAGCAGAAGATCCTACGCTAGCTTAAAATAGGATTCACCATGTTGGATGGCTAGTGAGTAGCGGCAGTAAACACCAGCTCAGCTCTTCTCTTCGACTCTGCCCTTTCCTCTGTCGGCTTGTGTTTGTCTAGCGGTGGGGCAAGCAGAAGTGTTTTTTTCGCGTCCTTCTCCATAACAGCTCCTGTAGCTAAGCTGCTACGCTACTTTTAGCCGCTCAGAGCTCAGAGGAGTTCCGGGAGAGTGGGAGGAGATGAGTCAGAACTACAGGAGAGGGGTGTGTTGAATACAGCGAGGTGATTGGATGGAGAGGCAGAGCAGGAGATTGACCAAAAGGAGCTGTCCGGGATTGATGGCTCCCATTGGTCAATGTTTTTGCAGCCCTGCACCTGCTAGGGTGAACAGATTTTTTCCATTCTTATTTCTCTTCACTTTGTGGAGATCGCACTAAAGGACCATAATCGCCATATAAACGAGGTTCATAATAATCACCAACCTCTCCAATCGTTAACCATGCCTTAAAGTGTTATTGCAGGATGCTTTAAGAAAAGCTGGTCTAGACCGTACTCTATTTATCTAAAGACCCAACATGAAGGATTATTTCACAGGCTGGTCATTTCTGTCTTCTTCTACAGGTCTTTGGACTTGACAGGACCGCTCTTGTTAGGAGGAGTCCCCAACCTACCTGAGGACTTCCCGGTCAGGAACAGAGACTTCATGGGCTGCATGAGAAACCTCAGCATTGACAGCAAACCCATCGACATGGCGAGCTACATCGCCAACAACGGCACCGAAGCAGGTTAGGACAGTAATAGTTTAAAGGTGATAAAAATCAAAGTGCTTAAATTCAAATCTGACCTGTTTGAATCGTCCTCCATCTTTGTATTTCTTCTTTCCAGGTTGTCCAGCTAAGAGAAACTTCTGCATCGATGTGGTGTGTCAGAACGGTGGAGTTTGCGTCAGTAACTGGGACACCTACACCTGTGACTGTCCCACTGGGTATGGAGGCAAGAACTGCGAACAAGGTACGATAAGTCTCTTCCTGATAAAACGGATAAAAGCTTTTTTGTTTTTTAAATTCAGGCTCATATGCAGGTGTGTCTCTCTGCGAATGTTCTGTTTCTACTTGCTCCTGTAGGGTTTTTTTTTTCTTATAATGGTATTTACCTACAGTAAGTGTGTGTAGCTCATGTGTGTGTGTATATCCCGATCTTGAGTGAATCAGTGTGTTTGGGAGATCAAATAGGATAAGGAGCACCTCCCTTAAATCAGTGTGACTCACCTGGTAGTCACAATGACTCTGCTCACTACTTAGAGACACCAAGCCTGGGCCAAGGTCTGCAGATTTCTAAAGGATCAGACAAAAGCTAGCGAGCAGCCATCATCACTGAAGTCATGTCCCTCTATAGTAAAGAGAGAAGACAGATTTTACGCTTTAGGGCAAGATTCCAAACAATGTGCGAAGGTGTCGATACCTCTTCTCGCACCCTTGCCTTTGAGATAGCCAAGCAGCTAGTGCCAGGTCCCGGTATCCAGTATCTTAACTGGGCCTCGGTCAAAGCAAACCGAGGACGAGTTTTGGCTTCGATGTTTGTAGTTGACATATTTGGTTTGAGGCTTTTTACACGCGAGAAAAGAGAGATTTGATATGGTAGATGTAGATCACCTCGACTGACATGAAAGGAGAAAACATCTATCGGTCTAGTACCAGCTGTTTGGTTCTTAAACGCTGGTATTTCAATGATTCTGATTATTTTTAATCTTTTTTAATCGTTCTGTTTTTGTTTCTGTCTTGCGCAGTGATGCCGTCTCCTCAGTTCTTCGACGGCCAGGCTCTGGTCTCCTGGAGTGAGACGGACATAACCGTTGCGGTTCCCTGGTACATGGGCCTCATGTTCCGCACCAGGCAGCCGGCTGGTACTCTGCTGCAGGTTAATGCTGGACCGTCATCGACCATCACTCTCATGGTACGTCACAGCGTAAATCACACTTTTAACAGCCCACGAGCTCCACAAAAGTTCGTCACTTTAGCGGCTGCCATGTCGTTGGTTTTCATCGTCTAGGTGAGCGAGCAGCAGGTTCGTATGGAGGTGTTGCTGAGGCAGCAGCTGGTGACGTCGCTGAGCTTTTCTCAAGTTCGGGTCAGTGACGGGGAGTGGCACCACCTGCTGGTGGAACTGAGAAGCGTTAAAGATGGGAAGGACATCAAATACATGGCTGTGGTGTCCCTGGACTACGGGATGTACCAGGTATGAACCACCTCACACAGAGACAAGCTTAAACATGGGTCCAGTCTTCACATAAATGCTCTAATTTTTAATCTCTGTTCCTTTAAGCAGAAGTCCGCTGAGATTGGTAATGACCTCCCAGGATTAAAGCTGCAGACTCTCCACATCGGAGGTTTGCCTGGAGATGGAAACCATGTCAGTAAAGGATTCGTTGGCTGCATACAGGTCAGTGCAATCTTTGCATTTCAACATAACATTCATTCATTCATTAAGGTCTCTGCATTGGCTACCCATCTCTTTTAGAATAGATTTTAAGGTTGCTTTATTGGTTTTTAAAGCTCTTGTTGGCTTTGGACCTTCTTATTTATCTGACCTTCTTTTACCCGATGAGCCAGGTAGAGCCCTCAGGTCTTTAGGAAGTTCTCTGTTAACACTAAATAAAGTTAAAACCAAGACATACGGTGAGGCATCTTTTTTGTTACTACGGCCCCCATCTATGGAACAGCTTACCTGAAGACCTGAGGACTAAAGCTAATCTTAATGATTTTAGAAGCAAACTCAAATTGTACCTTTTCAGTCGTGCTTTTAACTAATTTTTATATCATTAACTTTGTTCAAGTGTTTTAGAATTTATCTCTTTCTAGTTTTAATGACAGGATCGTCTTTTATTGAGCTATTTTGGTTTTCTTATTTTAGTATCTTTTACTGTTATTTTTATTTCATTTTATTTATTATTTCTTAAATTTTATTCTTTGTTACTTCGTTCTTAGATTTTAACCTAAACCTCCAGAGTTTCCCCATCTTGAGTTTTAAAATGGTGTTTCCTCAGTGTGCAGATTCTGTTTCTATGAAATCAAGCTCTTTATGAGCATTTAAGCATTTTAATACTGTTTCTGTTGCATTTAGATCATGGTTATTGTGTTTGCTCTCTGTTAGGGTGTGCGCATGGGAGAGACCTCCACCAACTTGGCCAACGTGAACATGGCTCAGGGCCTGAAGATCCGTGTTGAAGACGGCTGCAACCTCGCTGACCCCTGTGACTCCAACATTTGCCCCGAGAACAGCCACTGCAGTGACGAGTGGAGCACGCACACCTGTGTCTGTGATCCAGGTACTGTCCACTTTCATGAAAAAAAACATCAGAGCAGCGACACATGACATGCGTGTCTTTGATGAGGTGAAGTGTCTCTCCTCTCACTCGTCTCCGTGTTTGTTCGGCAGGGTTTTTTGGGAAGGAGTGCGTGGATGCTTGCCAGCTCAACCCATGTGAGCATGTTTCTACTTGCGTCCGCAAACCCAGTTCTTCTCATGGTTACACCTGTGAATGTGGACAGAACTACTATGGACAGTACTGTGAGAACAAGTAGGTTGACGGTCTCCTCTAATACTGTAAGCACGGTAATAATTCTTGTTTCTACATTGTCTCAAAGCTCAAAAGTACTGTCTCGACTGAGAGGCGGTTATTTTCCTCCGATCTTTGACTCCTGTCACACGCATCATTTCCTGCCTTGAACAGGATGTGAGATTCCCTCGCCACGCCTGACTTCTTCACCATAGATGTTTTGTCACTGCTACCCTTATATTGTGACTTCTCCCCTATCAGATCGTCCCGCTCGGTCGGAGATTGCATTTCTCTTTGAGTGGAAGTTTATTCTTGACTAAAGGCGGTGGACTCTGTTATTTTGAGATATTCCTGAGTGATTAGATTTCAGTCGATTTGATGCACATGAAAAAAAAAATCGTTATAGGAGCTTTAATATAAACACTTTTATCTCCATATGTTTAAGTTGTGTTTAACTCTCTTTATTGGTTGTAATATTTACAAAAGCTGTTGTAATGAATGTGTCATTGTCTGTTATGTCAGAGTGGAGAGGCCGTGTCCTCAGGGTTGGTGGGGCAATCCCGTGTGTGGACCCTGCGTCTGTGATACCAGCAGGGGATTCCATAAAGACTGCAACAAGACCACTGGAGAGTGTAACTGCAAGGTAACAAAGACGCTTAACTAGAAAAAATCTCATGCTTTCCACGACTTTATCAGGGCTGTTTCTGAGTTAGACAGTTAGACATTTGACATAGTGTTACTTTTATGACTTTAAATGAGCATTTAGAGGACATATAAAAACATGACTTTTCATATTTCCCTCTGCCTGGTCTGAGTTGAGCAGCTGTTTAAAGCTCCCGTTAGTAACTTTCAGTTTGTGTCAATTTTGGCGCCCCCCTGTGGACAAAGCAGTCTTTGCTTTTCTTGCCATCTGCATATTAAAATAGTTTCTTCAGATTAAAATCTCTAACTGCTGTCTTTTTGCCGTCCCATATGTAATCTATTGTGAATATTGGAGTAGGAAAAGCGAAATCAGGGCAGACACCTACCCCCCGAGCTCATGTGTGCTCCTCATCTTGCAGGAAAACCACTACAGACCAGAAGGTGAAGACACATGCTACCCCTGTGAGTGTTTCTCTGTCGGCTCTGAGTCTCGAACGTGCGACCCCGTCACTGGGCAGTGCCCCTGTAAAGGAGGAGTCATCGGGCGCCAGTGTAATCGTTGTGATAACCCCTTCGCCGAGGTCACTCCTTCTGGGTGTGAAGGTATGTGAAAACATCACAGTCCAGTATTCTTGCAGGATGAATTTAGGTCTGATCTTTGTTTTTTTCTTCTCCTCTTAAGAAAAACCCTGAAAAACCTAACGTATGTTCTTATTACTTTTATTTTCTATCTATTTTCATTCATTTATTTATTTATTTTGGCGTCTGTGCAGCTGCAGTCAGCCTGGGAACAAAGATTGTACTGACAGTGAGGAAAAACTTCGAAAAAAAAGTCGGATAAAAACATTACAGCTTACAGAGTGAGCCTCGATGTCAAAGCGGACAAATAGTGTCACTCACATCTTCTTGTGCTGTAGTTGCCTTGACTTCGTGTCATTGTTGCCGGCCAGTCAAGCAGCAGAGGACGGGCCGGCTGGTGGGCCAACTTGGCAGTGGGAATGCACACCAACAATAAAGTAGAAAGGAGTGGAAGACAAAGACACGAAATCCTCTGGCAGAAAAGGAGCTTTTTATGCTTTCTGTCTAACATGATATGAAGTGAATTCAAGCCCCAGAATGTGTTTAGACTTTTAATCGTCCTTAATCCTCATGTGGTATTTTTGATCATGTCACTTTTACTGTGGGAAAAATACCATGAATGCTGATTTTCACAAATATTTTTCACTGAGCGGAGAAAGCTTTTTTTTATTTAGTCATTGGGAAAGTGAAAATGAAACTTACATACCTCTGACCTGCTTAACACAGCTGGGGAATTCAACATACCTATCTTGTGTTATTGCAAAAGTTATCCTCAGGGAAAAGTTAAAAATGGGGATAAAAAGATTTAAAAAGGGGAAAAAACTTTCAACTTTTCTTCGTCTTTCTACTCAGTGGTGTACGAGGGATGTCCCAAGGCTTTTCACTCAGGCATCTGGTGGCCCAAGACGAAATTTGGACGCCCTGCAGCCATGAACTGTCCCAAAGGATCGATCGGTGAGTACTAGGGTTGGGAATCGAGAATCGAAAATCGATGGGAATCGGGACTAAAACTTTGATTCTTCCGGTATCGTTCAAATATTAAAATTTCGATTCCAAGTTTCGATGCCAGAGTCCGCCGACCGGAAGAAATAGCCGCCGAAAATCAACGAAGAAGAAGCCGCTTAACACCAATGAGGACGGAGCGTATGAGACGAAGACACACAGAGAGAGGAGAGAGACAGAGAGAGAAAGTACATTGCAACCCACAGCAATGCAGCCGCTGTGGGTTACAATGTAATCTCTCGCTGTCTCTCTCCTCTCTCTGTGTGGCTTCGTCTCATACGCTCCGTCCTCGTTGGTGTTCGGCAGCTTCTTCTTCGTTGGTCAAAAGTTTGGCTAACTTTAGCAGGAAGAATGAGCTCTTATCTTAATGCAACATTAGCAATACAGTTATATCATGCAAAGGAGGGTAAACGACAAACATGATTAAACACCTCAGGATTCATGGAGGAGAAATACCCGAGTGCTCGTCTTTGACGCGCTTCGCCGGTGTTGTGTCGTAGAATGCACCCCTGACGGGAGCGCGGTTGAAAGTACACAACAAGGCGAAACAATCCAAGTTTTTCTTACTGTTGGACGGAATCTAAAGCGTGTGCCTTTAATGATTTCATTCAGGCTATTCAGATATGCTGAAAACAATAGCCCTCTGATTCGGAATATTTACTGTCCTGAAAATATTATGTTCTCTACATTAACAGCTTACTCTACAGTTTACATACCCAAGAACACCTTTATGTGTGCATTTTTGAGACACATACAAACAAAACGAAAGTTTACTGCTCCATTTGACACGTTTTCATGATCTAATACCCGTGTTTTATTAAATATGAAATCATATTTCTTCCACTAAGAAGCTAATCAGTGGAGGGTAGGCATTCTACGGCAGGGGTGCATTCTACAGCACAACACCTGTCTTCCGCTAACCAGTCAGGATCAGATAAGTGAAACAATAAATTACTTCTGTCCTCTGCTAATTTTGAAACGGTAAAGAAATTGAACTGTGTACGGTGAGTAAACTTAAATATCCACCTAACGTTAGCCCTTGTACTTTTTCATAGACAAACGACCTGAAAACAAAAATTGATATTTATATACTGGTTGAAAATAGCTCTGTGAGAAATTCATAGTAAAGTTCTTAAAAAGTTAATAGGATTTAAAAATTCATGGAGAAGTTCAGAAATTTCATCCAAAAAGAAGAGCCCCGGTTAGCACCCTCATTCAAACCATGCTTTTTTTTTCTTTTTTCTTTTTTCTTTTTGATATCCTGCCTTTTAAAAGAATCGAATTAGAGAATCGATAGGAATCGGAATCGAAATGAGGAATCGAAATTGGAATCGGAATCGTTCAAAATCAAATGATACCCAACCCTAGTGAGTACTCCAGACTCCTTTAGATAAAAGTAATCAAAACTGTGATCAGTAAATTTGTTTCCCAGCTTTCTAACTTTCTTATGCTGCATTCAAGTTACCTCAGAAGTCAGATGTCAAAGCTGAAAATGACGTCACACCAGAGTTACCAGCGTTTCAGTTACCAAGTCAGAAAAAAGCAAAATCAGAGGCGGAAATAAAATGGCCACGAACGTTATTTTAGCGCTTGTCTTGTTCGAATACAAGGCAAAAGCTAAAATAACTTCCGTAGATGTAGCCATCTTATTTCCACCTCTGATTTTGCTTTTTTCCGACTTTGTAACTGAAACGCTGGGAACTCGGGTGTGACGTCATTTTCACCTCGGACTTCTGACTTCCGAAGTAACTCGAACACAGCATTATACTCTAGCTTTCTTACCAGGCTGCGCTGAACTCTTGATTCTCATTGGTCCAAACCCCTAAATAACAGTTATTAAATCTGCAAAGCAAGATAAACACCAGAGACGACCAGATCACAAATGTCATATCAAAATAATCTGTGAGAAAATAGTTCTGGCAAATTCACTGAGTGTCTGCTAGCTTGCTAACTCGCTGAATGAAGACAAGAGTCAAAATTTGTTCTACAGAAGTATTGTTGTGAGGAAGATGAGAAATACTTAACTTAAAAGGAGTATTTGGGTTAAACTTGGCACACATGTATGCACTGATATTCTTTTTATTTATATTTCAACAGGCACTGCCATTCGCCACTGTAGCGACGAAAAGGGTTGGTTGTCTCCTGAGCTCTTCAACTGCACCACAGTCACCTTCGCCCATCTGAAGAAGCTGGTCAGTAATTTTTGAAAAGTATTCACTATGGTCCGCGAGAATTAACTTTGAAATGTGGAAGTTTTATTAACAAACCCCTTTAGAGCCTGAGTGTAACCTAGACCTGACCTCTATTGCTCACACCTTCCTCCCTTTTACCAGAATGAAGACCTGCGACAAAACGCTTCAAGAATGGACAGCGAACGCTCCAAGCACATCGTACATTTGCTTCAGAGCGCCACCAATAACACAGAGCATTACTACGGCAACGATGTGAAGACAGCCGCCCAGCTTCTGAACCATGTCCTGCAGCATGAGAGCCAGCAGACGGGGTTCAAACTCACCGCCATGAAGGACGCAGAGTTCAATGAGGTAGAAAAGAGACACGGACCTTGTCGGTCTTAGATGGATTTAAACTTTGAAATAAAAACTTGACTTTTGCAGAAGATGTTGTGTTGAATGCACACTGCCCTCTGCAGGTCACCTCTCACTTCAGTTCTGATATGCACACACATATTTGGAAATAAACCATAAAACACTTCAGTCAATCTTGAATCTGCTTTTTCCAGAATTTGGTACGAGCCGGCAGTGCCTTACTGGATCCTGAGAACAAGGAGCACTGGGAGTACATGCAGAAGACCGGAGCAGGTACGGCCCACCTGCTTCGCAACTTTGAGGACTACGCCAACACGTTAGCTCAGAACGTGAGGAAGACCTACCTGAAACCCTTCACCATCGTCACGGAGAACATGAGTGAGTAGAGAAGCTGTGTTTTTACCATGTTTGTTACCAGGACACAAAGTCTCACCTGACTAATCCTTCTCACCCTTTTTCTGTGGTGTTGTCTAGTCCTTACCGTGGATTACTTAGATCTGTCGGACCCGGAAAGAGCGACGTTGCCTCATTTCAACAACATTCAGGAGGCCTACCCCAAAGAGCTCGGGTCTACGGTCCACTTCCCACAGTTCAGTCAGGATCACAGAGGTAGGAACACTGACACAACCAGAGCTTATTTGTAGTATTTCTGTCATGCTGTGAAGCTAAATGGAAACTCCGATCTTAAACTGTGCGTCTACGCCCTCCTCGGCAGGGTCCACTCCGGCCGCTTCAGCTCAGACTGATCCACCGCAGGATGAGGATCCACCGCAGGATGAGGAGAACCAAGTGTTCGACAGGATTCCTCGACATCTTGATCTAGCTGAACCTTTACCAGTCGCAGTTGTGATAGTTTACAAATCACTGGGGAAACTCCTTCCAGAGAGATACGACCCTGATCGTAGAAGTCTAAGGTAGGCAACTTGCTGTAGTTTTGAAGGTTTACGTGTGATTTAACCATTATTAACCTCTTCTTGTGAATTAAAATGGACGAGTCTCCACTTCTGGTGCCGACATATTGCAACATTTAGGAAGGGACCAGCTTGGGATTGGTGATTTAATGCGACATAAGTTGGTTGACCCTTTTAACATCCTTGCAGACTTCCCAATCGTCCAGTTATCAACACAGCTGTTGTGAGCGCCACGGTACACAGAGAAGGTACTCCTCTCCCTCTCGTCCTGGAACCCCCAATAATCCTGGAGTACACCTTACTCGAGACAGAGGAGCGAACCAAACCTGTCTGTGTTTTCTGGAACCACTCGGTCGGGTGAGTTTGACTAAACACGCACAGATCTTAGCAAAGACAGAGCAACGTTATCAACTCACGTGTCTGTTTGTCTTTTGGTGCTAGGAACGGGGGAGCAGGCGGTTGGTCCTCTAAAGGTTGTGAGGTGCTCAACAGGAACAACAGCCACATCAGCTGTCAGTGTAACCACATGACCAGCTTTGCCGTGCTTATGGACATCTCCAAACGAGAGGTATTACTGAAAAGATCGTTGATTTGAGCTTTCGGTTCTGTTTTTTTTTTCACCTGCCTCATGAAAACTTCACAGATCTCTCTCTTTATACAGAATGGAGACGTCCTCCCACTGAAAATCGTCACCTACGCCACACTGTCGGTCTCTCTGTTCCTCCTCCTCCTCACCTTTATCTTGTTGTGCGTCCTGCGACGGCTGCGTTCGAACCTCCACGCAATTCACAGAAACCTGGTGGCAGCGCTCTTCTTCTCTGAACTGGTTTTCCTGCTCGGCATCAATCAGACCGACAATCCAGTGAGTGTGTTTGTATTCAGCGGGGAAAAGATGTCAAAAGTTTGAAATATGGAGTCTGCTTACTTTGACCTGATGACATAGGGAGTGTCTGACTTCAGCCAAAGACCTGCAGAGAGCTACTCTTAACATAGTCCTGGGTCTAATCCGGCTGGTTATTGACTAACTTCAAGTTTGCAGTGGTTCTTGGTTAAGCATTGAAAGTTTGCACATCCTGCGTTAAGTTATTGTATAACTTTTTTTCCTGTTCCTGTTCATGCAGATATGTGTTGCTTTTTTGTAAACCTTTGTCCTGGGAGACAGAGAGAACCAGGTCCCAGAGTTTGTCTGAAAATATGCAAGACAAACTATTTATTAAAGGGATATTCTGCTATAAACTTAAGTTAGGGTCAAACACACTGTAACACTGAGTTAGACACCCCCTCGAGAGATGAATGTTGCCGACCACTTGCTTCTCTAGTTATTCCAACTTTAGTAACGACCGCACGATAGCAATACACAGCAGTCTGAGGAGCCATAAACAAACCTCAACCAAAACGCCACTCTATAGCCACAAATAATGCTCAGAACAGCACCTAACTTCATCAACAGTACATATAGGGTCCCAGCCATAGCACTAGCCACCAAACATCTTTTTAGCTTTGCCTAATTTCTTTAGCAAATAGACTAAACACAACTCACCTACTCTCTTCCAGCAGCCGCTTGTTTGTAGCGAGACCTCAACGGGGGGACGCAGCTCAAGGAAGAACATTTATGATCATTTCTTTATCATTTCCTTGAACTAATAATCACCATATTAATCATTTTGCACAGCAGACACAGTAGTTCTTCTGCCTTAGCATTTCGGTCTGATTACATTTCCATGAAGAAATGTAGTCCATAATGGACTGGCCTCAGGTCTCGCTACAAACAAGCGGTTGCTGGAAGAGAGTAGGTGAGTTGTGTTTAGTCTCTTTGCTAAAGAAATCAGGCAAAATTAAAAAGATGTTTGGTGGCTAGTACTATGGCTGGGACCCTTTATGTACTGTTGATGAAGTTAGGTGCTGTTCTGAGCATTATTTGTGGTTACAGAGTGGCGTTTTGGTTGAGGTTTGTAGATGGTTCTCATAGACCACTGTGTATTGCTATCGTGCGGTGAATTCCATTTTTGTAGGTAGCTTTGACGCTAATGTGACGCCAAACAGTAAAACTCTATTTTTAAAGCAATTTTAAACCTTCAAAAGAACAAATATGAAAATTATACGGGAAAAATTCCTTGTTTTGACACCAGAGTACAGAGACGGTAAGTTACAAGCCCCTGTAATTGTGCTCTTATTGCTCCAAACAAACTGCACCCTGCAGGATTTAGACAGGTACACAAGTGAAGGTTTTAAATCCTTGATGTCATGACATAATCAGATCATATTTCAAACTTCATCTTTTGTTCGTCGAGTGTAAGCGGTGTCTTTTGTCGCTGACAGTTTCAGCTCGGCGAGTTTTTTTTTTTTTTTTCCCAGTGTCAGCTCTGACAAGTCTGGCAAAACCAGGTGTGAAATCACATGACACATCATGAGATCATCTGTCAGGCACTCTTACAACCAGATGTACATGTAGACTCCATTACTGTGGGAAGTGATCAGACTTACTTGTTCATGTTGCAAAGTTGAATCTCAATCTTTATTTTGTTTGGTATAAAGCCTTGGCAATGCCTCTTGTACACCAATTTTCATTTGGAGGCGCTGACAGAACAATTAGGCCAAGAAAAAAAAAAGGGTACTTAAAAAAATCTAAAATAATGACTACTTTAACTGGAATACTGGCCAAAGATATTAAAACTGCACCAAAAGCTGTCAAATCAGTCGATATTTCAGATCTCCTCGTGTACCTTGTTGTACTTTTCTTGTGTCTTTTCATTTTCCGTGCACTGAAGTTAAGTCTGTAGGTACAGTAAGTTAAAAAAAGGAGCAGCGGGTAATTAAAGTTTCATTTCTGTCAGCCTCTTTGTGTGTGAGTGTGCACATGCATTTGCATGTGTACGTAAGCAGCTTTAGCCTTCCTGAGAACTGTGGTATGCTGGTGGTGTGTGCCCAAAGCAATCTGCCGGATGATTTATAGCCTTGTCAAAGAGGTGTCTCTTGCTCTCTGATCTCAACAGCAATTCACACCACGACTTTAATACAGTGGAGGTGTCAGGGATATTCCCTGACATGCAACATTCTTCCTGTGCAGCCGCAGACAGTGGGTCACATGATCATCAGTGGCTAAAACGATTTCATCATTTTTGTTCAAGTCTTGAAATTTTTTAAGAGTTGGTTTAAAATGTTCCTTTCTGATAAAGCTGATAGTTGGAGCTGGTTCAGGTCTAAGTTTGGCTGCTATAGGTTTAGACTGCCAGGCTTACTGGGACTTGAGGATCTTTCCCTCCTTCTCCATCCTCTTTCTGCACCAATCTGTCCATCTCTCTCTTTCTTTCTGCATCTCCCTCTATCTCCTCTCTAAACCCAATGCAGTCTCAGCAGATGACTGTCTAACACGAGTCTGGTCCTGCTCAAGGTTTCTGTCTGTGTCATTAACTTTGAATCACCGTGTCCCAATAGAGTCACGAGCCAATCTCACCTCTGTCTGTCTCTCTCTTTATCCTCTTCAAACCCAGTGCAGTCTCAGCAGATGACTGTCTAACATCAGTCTGGTTCTGCTCGAGGTTTCTGCCTGTTAACAGTAGCTCTTCCTCTCCACTGTAACTTGCTAAATGCTGTCAAGTGCCGCACTCATGTGGTTGTAGTGTGGGTCTGATCTGACGAAATAAGGCTCAATCTGATCCCTACTGTACATTGAGTCTTTGTAAATAGAGTCTGGTCTAGATTATAAGCATCTTGTAATAACAGTTGTAGTGAATCGATGCTAACCAGTACCTCTCTGTTCTTCTCTCTAGTTTGTGTGTACAGTGATAGCCATTCTCCTCCAGTACTTTTACCTGTGCACCTTCGCCTGGATGTTTGTGGAGGGGTTACACATCTACCGCATGCTAACTGAGCTACGAAACATCAACCACGGTCACATGAGGTTCTACTACGCAATGGGCTGGGGCATACCGGCTATTATCACAGGTGAGACAAAACAGAGCAGAGTGATGCTGAAGGAGACGAAGAAGCAGGCTGTGCCATCGCAGTAAATGATGCATTTAAAACCCTATGTCTGTGTGTGTAGGTTTGGCTGTAGGTCTTGACCCTCAGGGTTACGGGAACCCAGATTTCTGCTGGCTCTCTGTTCATGACACCCTCATCTGGAGTTTTGCAGGACCCATCTTTGTAGTTGTGTTGGTAAGTAGATAAAACAAAATATATTATAATTATACGTTATAAAAGTCTTCATAAATGCGCTTATGGTGCATTTACCTTATGGTGCTTATGCTTATGGTGTATTTTAAAGTCTGTTAAAATGAAGGAGTCTATCCATATTAACTGTACTGTTAAATACACGAGTAAAATGAGATTCCCTCTTTTTGTCTCTCCAAAAAGGTGAACATTGTGATCTTTCTCCTCGCTGCAAAAGCTTCATGTGGACGGAGGCAGAAGGCCATGGAGAAGTCTGGAGCAATGTGAGTTTATTGATACTCTCTATCTATTGTCGAGTCTATCGATACTATCGATTCTATCTATCTCTATTGTCTGGTCCTACCCAAGGTTTCTGCCTGTTAAAAGGAAGTTTTTCCTTACTACTGTCACTCATGTTAGATGAGATGGGTCAAATCTGTCCCATCTTAGGTTGGGTCTTGATAATTCATCAAACATGGAGCGTGGTCTAGACCTGCTCTTTTTCTTTGGAAAGCGTCTTGGGATGATGACTGTTGTGAATTGGCGCTATATAAATAAAATTTGATTTGATGATATCTGCTGTGTAACTGCGTGGACATCAAATAAAACCAGACTGTGGACTTTCTCACCTCAGCCCTGCTCTTCGGATGGCCTTCATCCTCCTGGTGCTCATCTGTGCGACCTGGCTTCTTGGCCTCATGGCTGTCAACAGTGATGTGATGATCTTTCACTACCTGTTTGCTGTCTTCAGCTGTCTGCAGGTAACTCAGCCCCAGCGGTGTGATTCTGTAAACTGAAAACAGTCCTGGGAGCAGGGGTATTAATCTGTTTTTTACAGTTTTATGAAGATCCCTTCGATGTTAATAACTGAGGTCTTTTGCCTGCTTTTAGGGAGTCTTCATCTTCTTCTTCCATGTGATCTTTAACAAAGACGTACGGAAGAATCTTAAGAACTTATTCACAGGAAAGAAAAATATCCCGGACGAATCCAGCACCACAAGAGCCTCTTTGCTCACAGTGAGTGGACACACATACGATTACAGTATACGGCCCGGTGTTCTCCCGTTTATGTTTTCTATCATGTCGGATAATTTCATATTTCCCTTCACAGCGTTCCCTTAACTGCAACAACACATACACAGAAGACGGCGCTCTGTACCGCTCAGGCATCGGCGAGTCCACCGTCTCCCTCGACAGCACACTCAGGTCAGGCAAGAGCCGTGGCAGCTACATGGGGTACACATTCAGGTACAGCTCGCTCACTGACTGCATGGCTGCTTTGACTAAACTGCTGCATGACGAGTGTAAATGTGAGAACATGTGGATGTTTCTTCTTTGGTCTTCTTCTGCTCCCTCCTGCATGTCTGAAGATGCATCGAATGTCTCACATATACTCACACATCCTAAAACCCCTCACACAAGCAGACAGAGATTATTGAAGAGGAAATCAGTTCAGTTGCTTCATATTTTCTACTTTTCCTCTCTTCTTGAATGCTGTGTAAGAATTGAACTAATATCAGTGCGCATTGCCTGGCACATGGCTTTAATGCAAAACAAAGCACAGGTTGGGGTCAGGTTTTATATTTTTTCTGTGCATTTCGAAGTTAAAAAGTTGTTTTTTCTTTGTCCAAATGAAGTTTAAGTTCATATGTTACAAGTCTTAAAATTCTGGGGTAAACCAAAATGTTATCAATCAATTTTTATCCATATAGCGCCAAATTACAACAAGTGTTACCTCAAAATGCTGAACTAAAACAGACCAAATGTAAAGTAGTAGACCCACCTTCATCCCATCTTCAACCACATGAGTGTAGCACTTAGCAAGTTACAGTGGAGAGGAAGAACTTCCTTTAACAGGCAGAAACCTCGAGCGGAACCAGACTGATGTTAGACAGTCATCTGCTGACTCTGCATTAAGTGTAGAGAAGGAGATGAAGAAAGAGAGAGGTGGATAGAAGAGCGATTGATGCATGTGGTTGGAAAACAGGCAGGTCCAAAATGTCTGCAGCAGCAACCCAGAGGAGCCTACAACATGATGGAGCTCAGAGACTCCCAGAAAAGACTGAGTATTAGTGACTCTAATGAGACATGAGGATTCAGAGTTAATGACAGAAACAGGATGGAAAAGGAGGGGAAGGTGCTCAATGTGCCAAGCCTTTAGCAGTCTAACTCTACCCTAAATTTAAAGGGAAGCCAGAGTAGAGATACTGATACGGGGGAGATGTGCTTTCTTCTCCTGGTTCTGGTCAGTCCTCGGATTCAGCATTTTGGACCAGCTGAAGAGTCTTTAAAGACTTGTTAGGGAGTCACAGTAATCCAATCTAGAGGTGACAAATGCATGGACACGTTTTTCTGCATCGTTCTGAGACAGGTTGTCTTTGCAACAGTTTTGCACTACAGCTAATTTTTGCATGGTCAGAGTGACTTTGAGCGTCTGTTAACTTGGAAAAATGCCTCTTTCTGTTTTTGCTCTGATCTATCAAGGGAGGAATCTGGTCAGAAGCCCAGCATCTCTTCAGGAACAGCTAAAGGACACACAGACCTGGATGGCCCCCTGTTCCATAGAAAAGGCACCAAAGGAGACGGTAGTTGTTATTTGATTTTACATTTTTATATATGCATGTTGGACTACATAACTCTGAGATCCTCTTTGCTGACCTCCTTTATCTGCCTGACAGACTCTGACTCTGACAGCGAGTTGTCGTTAGACGAACACAGCTCCTCCTATAACTCCTCCCACTCCTCTGACAGCGAAGACGACGACATCGATGTCAAGCCCAAGTGGAACAACGAACGGCAGCCAGTTCACAGCACACCTAAAGGTACAGGTAGTTCTGCTGAGACACTGACATGGTCTCCTCTGAAAATATGGAGCTTAAGTGATTTAATGTCGCTGCTTCCTCTACCTCTCTTCCTCAACCAGTGGAGTCAGTGTCCAATCACGTAAAGCCTTACTGGCCAACAGAAGCCACCACAGCCAGCGACAGTGAAGATCCTAACGGGGCAGAGAGGTTGAGGGTGGAGACCAAGGTAAACGTGGAGCTACATCAGGAGAACAAGCTCAATCACACGGGGGAAAGAGACAGTGAGACTCCCCAGGAGAGGGACAAACAAGCTCCCGGTAACGCCCGAGATCTTGGAACCACCAGCCCGCCCAACAGCATCAGCAACCACCAACCAGAGCAGAGAAAAGGTACGTTTACAGAGTTACGTTCAGTACGAAGGAAATGTTGAGCAGTTTATGATCAATTTTATTTTTCGTCCATCTCAGGTATCTTGAAGAACAAGATCAGCTATCCTCCTCCGCTGACAGACAAGAACATGAAAAATCGTCTGAGGGAGAAGCTGAGCGACTACAACACCCCCACCATCACCTCCCCTCTTCCCATCAACAACAACACCCCCTCTTCACCCCCCTCCTCCATCAACATCATGTCCCCTCCATCCCAGCTTCCCTCTCTGGCCTCAAAAGATGGAGGTCACCCAGGCAACCATGACAACAGCTCTCACGTGAAGACACCCAGCGCCCAAAGGCCTCATATACCTGCAGCGCCGGCGAGCATCTGCAGAGAGACCAATGGGGGAGTTGCAATGCACTTGAAGTCGGGGACGGTAAACGGAGGCAATGAGTCTGACTCAGAGTAAGTAATCAATTACTTGATCATTAATGAATGTCAAAATCAAACACTATCAAACGTAAGAGATAGTGTAACAGCCAGTTTAGTTAAAGGGATATTCCGGCATAAAATTAATTTTGGGTCAAACACACCGTAACACCGAGTTAGACACCCCTCGAGAGATGAATGTTGCCGACAACTTGCTTCTCTAGTTATACCAATTTTGGTAATGACCGCACAATAGCAATACACAGCGGTCTGAGGAGCCACAAACAAACCTCAAGCCACAGATAATGCTCAGAACAGTACCTAACATCATCAACAGTACATTTGGGGTCCCAGCCATAGCACTAGCCTCCAAACATCTTATAACTTTGCCTAATTTCTTTAGCAAAGAGACCAAACAAAACTTACCCACTCTCTTCCAGCAGCCGTTTGTTTGTAGCGAGACCTCAGGCCAATCCATTACAAACTGCTGTGGGGTGCCGCAGCTCAAGGAAGAACATTTATGATGATTTCTTCATGGAAATACAATCAGACCGAGACGCTAAGGCAGAAAAACTACCGCGTCTGCAGTACAAAATGATTGATATGGTGATTATTACTTAAAGGAAATGATAAAGAAATGATCATAAATGTTCTTCCTTGAGCTGCGTCACCCCACTGTAGTCTGTAATGGACTGGCCTGAGGTCTCGCTACAAACAAGCAGCTGCTGGAAGAAAGTAAGTTGTGTTTAGTCTCTTTGCTAAAGAAATTAGTCAAAGTTAAAAAGATGTTTGGTGGCTAGTACTATGGCTAGGACCCTATATGTCCTGTTGATGAAGTTAGGTGCTGTTCTAAGCATTATTTGTGGCTATAGAGTGGCTTTAGTTTGAGGTTTGTTTATGGCTCCTCAGACCGCTGTGTATTGCTTTCTTGCGGTCGTTACTAAAGTTGGTATAACCAGAAAAGCAAGCGGTCGGCAACATTCATCTCTCGAGGGGGTGTCTAACTCGGAGTTGCGGTGTGTTAGACCCTAAATTAATTTTACGCTGGAATATCCCTGTAATGCTATACTTCTGCAGTACCAAATATTGCCACAAGGTTGTGCCACCTTTCTGTTCTGGTTTGTTACCCAGAGACTCCATGTTGTTACTTTGGACCACTAAAGACTCTCATAAGTGACAAGTTAGTGCAGGTAGTGCCTGTATTTCTGCTACTGGTGTATAATAAGTAAATATAAGGCCTAGGGACCGGGCATGGTATGGCAGAATAAAACCACCTAGTCAAAAGTCCCTTCCTGCTATCCTGGAGCTACAGCTAAATGCTAATGACTCATAGACTGTATAATTACAGCTTACCTCCAAGTTATTCAGAATCCTCTTAAGCATCCAGTGAGACCAGCTCAGGTTTCAGGTCTTATTCAGCAAGACTTTAAAAAGGAGTTATTCATCACTATAAGGCTTTACCATCCTGATGAAATCCTGCATGAAGACTTCCTGGCCTCCTGTTAATTCTTCTTTCACTCTCTCTCCTTGTATCTCCCCATCCCACATCTTTCCCTCCTCCTCATTTTTTCTTGTAACAGCGGCAGCAACGAGACTTCAATCTGACCTGTCAAGGAAATGCAGACCAGCCTGTCTTTATGACAGAAGGAGGAGGAAATCTGTTCAGGGAGGAAGAAGAAGAAGAAGAAGAAGAAGACAGCGAAGAGGATGGAAGTGAAAGACTAGGGGGAAAAAAAAGATGGACGTGTGTTGCAGATTGATTGAAAGTGGAGGAAAAGTGAACTCCATTCTTCCTCCGTAATCTGCCGGGACCTTCGTTGTGATTCCTCCCACTGGAGAGCAGTATTAGTGGTAAACTTAAAGTCTGCCTGAGATGAGAGAATAAACAGAGACAATGAAAAAATATGAGAAACAATAAAGGGAAAGGTAGTTGGTCATACAGTGGAGGATACAATGGAGTCATGTGTGCCAAACCCAGTGCAGGGTGTGGAGAAGGAAAAGTCAGAAAAGTCCCTGCCATGATGCATCGCACACCGCAGAGTCTTGTACTTCTGCTGAGTTCTGCGGCGGCTCATCGCGTCGCCCCGTCGATGCATAAAGTAAATGGACAGCTTCTCCTGAAGAAAGGCAGATGCATCATTACTGTGCATGAACACAGACTAAAATTCGCACTAATGCATTTACAGTCCTAAAGGATTTCAAGAACTACACAAACTCCTTTAACATGTCTGAAAATCCGACTCAGTCTGTCCGATATGAGTTTTGGAAAAAAACCTACAGGGGCAATTACACAAAGTGCTCTTTTCCTTTGGCTTCCTTAGCCTCTCAATGCAGTGCATTTAGAGTGTAGTTTATCAGTCGATATCACTAAATGATTAATTATTGTTTTCAGATGTGGCAAAGACAAGCTTTTAAACTTTAAGAGCATGTTGCCCACTTAAAGTGACGGAGTGTTTTAGTCAAGATAATCACTGACATGCAGGTTTCATCACTGGAGAATAATCTGCACAAGAAACTGACGCAAAACAAGACAGATTTTAATTTTTAAGTGTCCGAAAGTGTCTGAACACACTGAGCTGAGGCGCCTTAATAAAGTGATCCTGACAAATAACCCTCTTTGGAAACTTTGTTTTCAGTACGAGCACTATGACTTCTATTCAGTCTGTTCATCCACTGCTACATACCTCTGGTTACCAAAGTCCTGTAAAACAGTAAATGTGCACTCTCAGGTTGGAGTTTGTTCACTTTCCAAAATAGTTGGGTTTGGAAGACATTGTTTGGTTTTTGATATAAAATAGTAAAAACTGCGTAGGACTTTTTAACAATTACAAATGTTTTTATCCAAACTTGACACTTTAAACAAGTCTTTTCTGTTGCTAAATCCCCGAGTTTAACGTAGAAATGATGCCACTTCTCTTCTATTTTGCTTGTATGGAAACCTGAGTTTTGTTTACCACTCATGAAATGCCTTTTTTTTTTTTTTTTTTTTGCTGTAAAACCCCCAGTGTTTTGCTTTCCTGTGATCTAGATATCCTCTTTTTTTAAACTGATTTGTGACACTGGAAATGTTTTGTAAATTAATGTATATTTATTTTTTATGGCTTGATGACACTGGAAAGTAAAAACTTTTGTGACTGTAAAATAAAAGATGACATGATGAATTTTTAAACGTCTCATTGTGACCATATTTGTCGCATGGAAAATGAAAAAAGACATGTTTCTTCAGAAAATCTTCTGTTTTGTAAAATGAGTTTTAAAAAAGTGACTAGTTTTTAAAGCTTCTTTTCATCTCTTTATCTGTCAGATGGTAAAGAAAGTGAAAATAAGCCTCAGAGATCATCTTAGTACCAATTTCCTTTTCTCTTCTCTCTGTTTTCAGTGGACAATTTGTTGATTGCTGCCATCTAGTGGTGAAGACTTTATAGTACACGATGCAAGAGGATGTTCTTACTAGATCTAGAAGATGAAAAAAATCTCTTCAGCCACTTCGTTTGAGAGGGTGGACGATCATATTAAATACAGTTTAAACCATATTACCAATGTTAACATGTCTAGAGAATCATTATTATCTTAAAGGAGTTTATGAATAATCAAAAGTGCATAAAAGATGAGAATTCTGAGAAGAAAAGTCATATTTCTGACTTTTTTCTCTTCAGAACAATAATAATTGGAAATATATATGTACTGTTTATATAATGGACCTCGTGATTTTGGACCTCTGTAATGGCGTAATAACGAGCTGATCATTTGAATCCGGTGTGTTGGAGCAGGGAAACATCCAAAATATGCAGGACAGGGGGCCTCGAGGACTGGACTTGAGAACCACTGGCCCTAACCAAATGACACATTGAAAGTTTTGGAAGCGAAATTAAACAGTAACCTTTCCACGCACTTCTTTGCATGTTTTCTCGCTGTCATCTGTGCCTAGATCGTAAAACACCGGTGCATCATCATTATTGGTCCCCGGCAGCTCACTCTCATTGTGTTTTTTTTTTAATTGCATCCTTTTAATTTTGCAGTTAGTAACTCTTTTTTTTCATCGCCACTTTTTATTTTCGTCGTTAAGTTCCGTTCTGGCTTATTTTAGTTTATCTGCACCGTTTCTTTTTTTATTTTCAGCAGACTTTGGCTTCTTAATTTTTTTTTTATTATTATTATTTTTTGCATCAGTAACTTCCATTGTGACTTCTTTTTTTTCTTTTTTTTGGCATTCTTTTTTATTCGTAGTAATGGCGGTTCTCGGCCACTGTACGGCCCCTTTAAGGCAGCAGCACCGAACTGTGACCAAATTTCCTCCTGATCAACAAGCGGCGACGATCCGAGCAGAAACCTCTAAACTAGAGGAGCTGGATGGAGACGTAACTCTACCAGCGTTTGCTTGACGATCCACCAGAAGACGAGTTTAACCAGTAAATTAATCGTGGAAAAAGGGGAAGTATCGGTTTGTTGGGATGAATGGAGCACATACAGGCTCTCCGCTGTGAGACAGAGTGGATTTCCTGAGCAGCAGGTGTACTCTCGGATACAACGGACCCGCGTTCATGAGACTGCGCTACGATCTTCGTGCTGGGTGAGGAAACTCGCTTTCTTCATGTGATGAGTTTGTTTAGGAGCAATGTATCAAATACCAGGACTCTTTCTGTATACTGGGAGTCATCTTAACCCTCCTGTTCTCCTCAAATATTACGAACACATTTTACCCTTGGGTAAATTTGCCTCCAGAGAATGATTTATAAGCATTTGTTGACCAAGGTTTTTTGTCAGGAACTTTGTTTATTTGTTAAGTACATAAATTAGTCCTTAAAAATGAACTTGTAGGTGAGTTGACCTGTTCTCTAGCGCCACCAATAGGCTTAACCTTTAAAGTACAATCAATGTGTCTTCAAAAGTTTTCGAACAAACCTCAAATTTACTGACAATAGTGTTGTGTCGTTCGCGAACGATTCGTTCAAAAGAACCGAATCGTTTAAGTGAACGTACTGAATCGAATCACTTCCTCAAGGGATTTATTCGTTTCTTACTTAAGTTGAGCTTAAATGAGTGTGCAGGACATGGAGAAAAAGTTATATTTTTTTATTTGCCACCAGTGATGCTTGTATTCTCTTGTGAAAAACAGACTAAGTCTGCAATCACAGGCAAAGCTGGAAGCTATCTTACCATGGGCTCTGAGACCTCAGGAACAATACTCCACTGGATCCTCCAACCTCTGAAGAACAGGAAAAATCTTAACTGAATGAACTGTAGTGTTGTGTCATTCACGAATGATTCGTTCAAAAGAACCAAATCTTTTAAGTGAACCTACTGGACCGAATCACTTCCTTGAGTGATTCGTTCGTTTCTTACTTCAGTTGAGCTTAAGTGAGAAACAGCATTGCCAGGCCAGCAGCCAGCGGACAAGGGACCTCATGCACTGATGTCTGAATCCTTTAGTGAACGAATCACGCATTGAACTACACTCTGGAATCATAATGAAAACGTTTATGAATGGATGTGTATCGTTAGTGATATCAGTAAAACGCCAATGATACCCATACGCAGTGTTTTCTCTCGCTGATCATTCTCCATGTGTCTTTGGTCCCAACAGAGTAGCCGTCCACCATGTGAAGATAAAGCCCAAGTGTGCGGCGTTAACCATGCTAAAGCGCCTGGACAAGATCCGCTTTCGAGGCCACAGGGCGAGGGATGACTTCCCAGAACTGGCAGAGTCACCACCTGCCTCTGACAATGAATGCATGGACGACACGCAGCTGAGGCCCGGGTCAGCCCTGCAGGACACAGAGGACCCTGTGAGTGCTCACAATACAGTGTTACAGTATATGTGTGTGTGACTTCAGTTTGACCTGTGGCTTCAGCAACTTCATGTTCACGGTTTTATGATTCGCCTTGTGTTGCTTTTGTCAGTGGAGGCATGTGATGGATAAGCAGACAAGAGCTGACTTAGTAAGACTTGATAAAGTGAGATAACTGTAATAATCAGCTGATCGGTGTTGATATCAGGGAGGTTTTTACAGAGAGGTGACACTGACTGCATGGTTGGATAACACTATTGTGAGCTTGAGTCATGTACTGTCCTTGAAAAAGAGCTTTGTGTTCCTGCCCTCTATCTTCACTGCCCTAGCTGTATTTTCTTTTCTTTCCATCTCTGCTTCATGTGCCGGTCTCTTTTTTTCTTTGGCCTCTTTCTGAAAGCACATTTTTTCATGTCAGCGTCAGCCCTCTTATTTCTCCCACTCCTTACTTCCGTCTCTTCTCTACCTCTCTGTGCATCACCCGTCACAGTCCACACATGCTGTTTTACTGTCAGGGAGAAGCTGCTGCAGCATGTGTGTGTGTATAGAAGAGTGTAGCAGGAGTCTTTTAAAGGACCCTTGCTCTATTTCAGCAGCTGTGCTAAACCCCGCAGTGCTCGTCTGCTCTCTGCTTCCCCCTCCTGCTCCTTCTTCTCCTCTGCCTCCACCAACAACTTCCCCATTTACTCAGCACATTTGTGCTTCATCCCTCTGCTCTTGCATCATCTCAGTTATTATCTCTCAGTATGTGTACTTGCACACGTTCTGCTGCTAGCTGCGTGTGTTATAGCTCTTAGTCAGGGGGTATGACTCAGTGTACTCGTCACTAGAGGGGGATTCTCCTCTTTTTTGCCTTCCTTTCCCCATCTTGCTCAGACTGGACTTAAATTGGAAGAGGTGCATTACCGTAAGTCATGGTGCAATGCTCATCTTTTGGTACTTTGGATCTACTCATAGAACTAATACATTTTTAATTATATTCTCTTGCAGCTTTTGTATGATTTATTTACTCTAAATTCTAACGTGTCTTTTCCCTGTCTGTGATTGTGGATGCAAATGTTTGTGTGACTGTGTGGGTTTGTGCATGGATACATATGAATGGGATGTATATGTTTACGTACAGGCAGGTTCAGGGTCTCCGATCATGGCTGCAGCCATCCAGGACTTCCAGAGGCCGGATGTAGAAAGACTCCATGAAGTCAAAGGTCACCTGGAAATCGCTCTGTTGGAGAAACACTTCCTACGTGAGTGTCTGCATTCACGTGTTCATACACTCACAACATCAGGCATGGACTATATCACAGAGTCTGGGCTCAGTGCACATCAATGTGTGAATGAATGTAGTGTGAATGTCAGCCTTGGAACATCCAGATCACGTGCCCGAGCCAGCGCAGTCGGTGCTGGGTGATCATGGCCTCAATACTCCTGCAGTTGGTCTTGGCAAGTATTTCAGTCTGAGGCACATGATCACGCCAGGTGAGGCCCAGGATCCGCTGGAGGCATCCAATATGGAGGCGCTCCAGGGCCGTGATGTGTCGGCTGTATGTGTGTAGAGGAGGGTGGTGATGCAGACAGCCTGGTAGATGAAGGTTGTTGTTCTGGAAGACCCGGTGCGGTAGTCTACCGAAAGCAGCTGATGCCTGCTTGATCCGGTTTTGGATTTCACTGTCAATGCTGCAGTCCTCGGAGAGAATACTGCCCAGGTGTTTGAACGATGGGGTTATTGTTAGTGGTGTGTTGTCGATGGTGAAGACGGGCAGTGTGTGTGGTGTACTGGAGCTCCATTGACAGACTCCATACACAGTGACATACAGTAAGAACAATCTAAAAGTCAAACATGATAAAAACAACAACACAATAAAAGAAACAACATACATTTACACAAGATCACTAAAAATAATGTTCAGTCCAGAGCCAATACCAAATCTGGAAAGGATAGCTGCCTTATTAAACTGTGAAAAGTGTGAAATATGGATGTGCAAAAATGCAACAAACAGTGCAAAGAAAAACATGGGCAACCTAAGGCCTAGTCGCCATTCAGTAAATGAATCACTCTAGGGATAAATGAGATCTGAAATCTCTTAGTCGTCCTCGTAGGAGCCCGATAAGGACGGCCTGATGGCAAAAGCTGGAATTAATAGAGCAAAGGGTGGTCAGGACAATCCAGAATTACATTAGCCTTCCTCATGACCTGTCTGTTATAGATGAACATAATCCCTGTCTGCTGACTTCCAGAAATTTTTCCTGCCGTTTTAACAAGGATTCTTGTCGGACCAGTTAAGGTTCCCAAACCATGCGGCTATACAACAAGCTAAAACAGATTTAATGAAACTTTTATAAAAGAGAGTCATCATCTCAGAAGAAAAATAATCACTTTACTGTGATCTGTTTCTACTTGATAGAAATGCTTCCGGTTTCGTTGTCCATGCCCAATGACAACAAAGAAATTCTATACGTTTTCAACAGTTTGCTGTTAGGTAAAGTTAATACGATTAGCGGGGTGAAACAAAGATTCCTTGTAGCAAGAGATTATAGGTTATGTAATTGCATTGCTAAGGCATAGTTAATGTAGAAAAACTCCAACAACATGCCATATTATGTGACCGCGGATGCTGAGGGCACACTCCAGTCATCTGAGGCCAGGCATTGATATGGAACCGGAAGAAACCCAGGGCCCACTGGACCAGATCTGGGGATCTCATCCTGCTATCTGACAGCAGTCAGGGTAGCAGGTGGAGGTCTATGCATCCCTCCTTAGACCACTGCTACTGCCAAACTGACAGTCCACCGAAGCATGTAGAAAGGCAGGAAGCCCTAACCGCTCAGAATAACTGATGCATGCACATAACTCTTTTGACAGAAGTGGTGCTGACTGAAGTGGACTTTCCTCAGACAATCAAATGTCTCTGAACTTTGAGTGTCCCCTGTTCTCCACCCAGTCTTGTACCTTGTCCATAACTCTTCATCTGAGGGTTCAGGACTAATCATTTTTCTGTGCGCAGTTCCTCCGTTGTTTTCTTTCTTTGTTTCTGCGTAAGTCAACCAGGGGGACAATCACAGACTAACGTGATGCTGACCTCACTCTACTGTTCTCTCTGTCTTGTTTATGCACCCCCCCCTCCATTACCCTTGCCAATCTCAGATCTCAGATGAAAGGAGCCATTGTCTGTGGCCTGGATTTCAAACTTCACACAGTACTCTCTCTCTGAGTTCTTAAATGATTTTCTGCTCGGGTGAAAAGGTTCAAGTAGATTTGTACTGTACTCATGTACACATGCTAATGCACAAACTCTTCACTAAGTGTAACATACCAAGCGCAGAGGACATGGTTATCGAAAAGAACCCATCAAGTTACACAAACAGGCATTTTGTTTATGTACCTTAGACCTCTTGTATGCTCAGAACTTAGATCTCCTGTAATCCCAGATTCCAGACCCTCTTAGTCCACCAGCCACTCAGCAAAGCTCCTCCTCTCTCAACCTCTACTGTTTCTTTTTCTAAAACTCCAACACTCTAATACCAAGTCTGATCGCTGACCTTTCTCTGAGCGAGTGAAGACCAAAACAGTCTTTCGGTTTGACAGATAGCCTCCGCCTTACCTCTGGATCGGATATGTAAACCAGTAAATACCTCAAAGTTTGACGGGCTCCTTGAGGTCGATGGATAGTTAAAGTTGGTGATCAATCTGGACTGTACCAGGGATACTTGTGCCATGGCTCAAATGCAAGAAAGACCCAAGTCAGCCACTCTCCCATCCCGTTCTTGTTCGAGTTTCCCAAAGACGGATCAACTTCAGAAACGAGCGGGATCATGCAAGGTGGGCGACTGCACCTTTGACAGCTTTGAGCTGCTTTACAGCGGAGGCGTCAACAAGATAAAGAGCCATAAAAGCAACCTCAATCTCAGTAAGTTTCACTAAAATCAGGAAGTGACTGTAGACTTGGTTTGCAAACAGCTTTGAAACTGAATCTTCATTTTTCAGAGCTTGTAGATGAGTGCTGTGTGCTCCACATTGAACGCCAACCCTCCTCAGATATTCAACTCTTTCTCCCATCCTACTTTGATGTCTCCAGCTTTATTCTCTTTCTGCTTCTGAAAACCCTGATCCAGCCTGGAGATGATTTTCTTTCTGTTTTGTTGATATTTCATCTATAAAACATCTATCACACCTTTATTATCTCTGGTTTGATTTCTTTCAAATATCAGTAAAAATCTGTGCAGCATGAATTCCTTCTGCAGTTCTCCAAAATTCTTCATTATGAGTTAATGTACAGACCCCTGTAATCCCTTAATCCCTCCACTGTTTGAATCCAGGATCACTGGCCCCAGGTTTGAATGTGGTGTCCAGAACAGGCCAGTTTACCATCTAATATCCCCCTCTATGTTATTTAGGGTCTGATTACTCCCAGATTTGATCTTGTTTGTCTCTTATTTCTCGGTGAGGAGAACATTTTAAAGACAAGATTTGAGTCTTTTTTTAATGTTAAATTTATAATCTGAGTGTTGGCCAAAATCCTCTAGTCAGGTGACCTCTAACTTTAATCCTGGTTGCAGTTTCTTGGAATGAGGCTGCTCGTAACCCTGAATGTTTAATTTGAGTCATTTTTGTCGTATTAGTTTGTACCAAAGTTTGAGATTCTGATCCTCGAGTGCTTGTGTTCTGATTTCTTTAGAGGAGGAGCTGAGGAAGCTGCGAGAAGAGACCAATGTGGACTTTTTGCGGCAGGAGTTAGAGAGAGAGCGATGCAAGAGGATCGACCTGGAGCAGAAGATAAACGAAGTGCTGAAGACACGGTAAGACATAACGGAGTATGGAGTATAACTAACTAACTTCTTTTGACAAAAGTAGTCCTGAAGATTGAGGTTTGTCCTGTAACCTGCTGCACATCTTTATTTTGAGGTGTGTAAAAAGTTCTGTTGAAGATCTGTTGAAACTGTTTGTTTTTCTGAGATATTCTGCTGCATTTTTAGGGGGTTATTTGCACAAAGGCTCTATCCAGTAAGATTAAACTTTGTTTTAGGGGACAAGGTTTTAGGGATTAGATGTTAAACCCATGGAGTTCAGGTTCAATAATGTCAAACAGTGTTTATTATAAAGATGACAAACTATACTTTCTTTGTCGACTTCTTCCCCTCTTAGACTGGAGGACTCTCCGCCACAGCCTCCCCGGAAACAGCAGTCACCTTCAAACAACGGAGCAGGTACGTGTCCCAGAGGAAGACAGAGTGTATGAGAGAAGAGAGGTGCTGCGTTAATGTCTGAAAGAGGAAGAGGGAAGACTTAAGTGTAGTAAAACACTGTTAACAGGTATCTTTTACTGTCTTTAGCAGAGAAACAACCGAAGGAGATTTGGAGTTCACGGCTGCAGAAGTGGCTTCACGAACAATTAGGAGCGTACGTTGAAGACTTCCGATTCACGCCGGAGGAAAACACGGTAGAGGCAGAGGAACCACTAAGCGCTAAAAGGTGGGTAAGAGGTGGAGTCAAAATAAGGAGCTTTCACTTAAAAAACCTGAATGATAAATAATCATCAGAATTAGTCATCAAAACTGACATATGCAGCAGTCTCTGTCGGTGACTCAGTGTGTCTCTAACGCTCCAGTTGCAAAACCAGCTTGATCCGGTTTAAATAAAGAAGGTTTGATGCCTCTTCATAGATTTCTGAAGGCTAGTGAGTCACTCCTGAAGATTTGCCATCTCTTGTAGCGCATGTAGAGCAGCTTTTCTCTGTGTGTGCCAGTACATGCTCCTGATCCTCTCATACTGTATTTTTTATCCAGGTTAACAGAAAATACAAGGCGACTGAGTGAGTATTCAAATGCATACAAAAAAAACACCGAAAAGTGCAGTTAGATTCTTATTCACATTGATTTTTGGGAACAGTTGCCATGACGAAACACTGCCATGCTTCAGAGCAAACGTGGATGTTTTACATGTCTCTGTACTCTTGTTTCTGTGCACGATTTCCACTTGGATAACTCAAACTTTTACGTATCTAAATGCACTCAAAGTACAATTTGGCCACCCAGATAACCACCCTGAATAACATGCTGTACTTTTCTTTTTTACAAGAGCGGGGAGCCCAGCCTGTCACCACCTTCTTAAAGAACCTCTCTGCCTTATCGAACTGGCACTCCGTCTATACCTCAGCGATTGCTTTTATTGTGAGTACTGCATTTATTTGGCTAGAGCAGCATCCAATCACAAAAAAGACAAACTTCCTCAGGTACTAAACTGCAAAGTAACACATCTTTAAGTCCTTAATATAACACTGCAGTAAGTAAAAATGTGGCTGTGTCTCCTCTTGCTTCCAGGTCTACATGAATGCTGCTTGGCATGGCTGGGCCATCCCCATGTTCCTGTTTCTGGCAATTCTGCGCTTGTCTTTGAATTACCTCATATCCAGGTAAACACATGTTCTCACATCTGTCTTAAACACATTGTGATAATAACAAACCTTATCAAACATGTGCGTCATTGCTGAACAGCTGCATTCTCTGGCTCTAAATCAGACCCATACAGTGAAAAGCATCTGCCTGGACTCAAATCTGGGCCGCCCACTTTGGGACAGAAACTCATGGGTACTTGATTAGAGCCTGAGGCTAGCAGCATCCTTATAACCTGATAATCTGGTATGTGAAAATCATTTAAAGCTGGAGAGAAGTTTGATTGCCCAGATGTCAAAGATTGAAGGTGATATCTGGCAGGTCATTTTGTAATCTAGGCTTTTAATATGGGTAACCGTATAGTCCTCAGTGTGATTGATCAGTTCATTAGTGATGGGCACGGCAGTTCTTTTAGATCTACTGAATCAGTTCACTAAAAAGATTTGTTCACCAAATCACCGAATCATGTAGCGCTTGTTGGGAGAAGCCTGTGATTCACAGCTGAACGTTTCAGGATTCAATTCAATTCATAGCTTCTGGGACCAGGAGACGAGAGTGTTTGTCTGTGTTGCTTTGGCAAACAGGTTTGTAAATTGCTCGGTAAATTGGGCTCAGTGAGTGATTCGTTCACTGAACATTTAGAAGAATCCAAAATGAACATACACCGTTCCCTCGCAAACTGCTGCAATGATAGGATGCTGCGGGTTTAATGCACTACTTGTTACATACTGTGTCCTATTGTATGCAAGTTGTTGTGGTGGCAATTTTAGCGGTAAAAAAAAAGGTAGTTTTGTCCGACAAAAATGATTCCAGAGTGTGTAGTTCAATGCGTGATTCGTTCATCAAGTGATTCAGGTGTCGGTGCATACGGTCCCTTGTTTGCCGGCTGCTCGACTGGCAATGCTGTTTCTCACTTCAGCTCAACTGAAGTGAGAAATGAACGAATCACTTGAGGAAGTGATTCGGTTCGGTACGTTCACTTAAAAGATTTGGTTCTTTTGGACGAATCGTTCGTGAACGACACAACACTACAGTTCATTCAGTTAAGCTCTTTCCTTTTCTCCAGAGGTTGGAGGATCCAGTGGAGTATTGTTCCTGAGGTCTCAGAGCCCATGGTAAGATAGCTTCCAACTCTGCCTGTGATTGCAGACTTAGCATGTTTTTCACGAGAAAATACAAGCATCACTGGAGGCAAATAAAAAACTATAAATATATATATTTTTCCATGTCTTGAGCAGGAGCCTCCAAAAGAAGACCTCACCGTGTCTGAAAAGTTCCAGCTTGTACTGGATGTCGCACAAAAAGCTCAGGTACACCTCTGCTCATGTCAAAACAATGTGGGAAGATACTGAAACTGTAAAAGTTCTGAAGTTGCTGAAATTTATTTTAACAGAACCTGTTTGGGAAATTGTCAGATGTTCTGGAAAAGATAAAGAAGTACGTGCAACTAGTTTAGATCCGGGGAGTAACAATAATAATAATAATAAAGTTTTTTTAATATTTAAGACAGACTGACTTATTTCATTTCCTTTGTGTCTTTTCTCTGTGGATGTTTCTGGGTCGGTCTCACAGCCTCTTCATGTGGGTGCAGCCAGAAAGCACCAGGAAGCTTTACATCTGCCTCTGGGTAGCTTTCATCACCTCCTGTGTCATGCCTTACAAACTAATCGGCTCTATGATGGGTGAGAAACCTAAACGCACACAGACAAATCTCTTTATCCTTTTCACGTACTCTAAATACACCCTAACCCAAAAGACCAAAACAAACGCGACAGCAGAAACACTGTTTATCAGAGTCGAGTGTAAAACCTCTGCAGGAGTTTAAAGCATGTCAAATCAAAGCTTTTCAGTGGAAGTGGTCTAGGTCTGTTCGGGTGCTAAGCAACACAGCTCTATTCTTGGTGGGACATTGATAAGAGGTGATCCTTGAAGTCCTCCAGAAGCTATGCCAGGAAATGTCCTCTTCTTCTTTTGTAAAAAAATACATGCTTTCTCTGCTCGTACAGGAGTTTACGCAGGTATCAAGTTCTTCATCGTTGACTTCCTGTTCAAGAGCTGTCCTAAGCTGAGGGACAAGTACGACACACCTTACATGGTGTGGAACACCCTTCCTACGGACCCTCAGCTCAAAGAGAGGACCAACGCCGCGATGTCCCGAAGGGTGAGGAGGCCAAAACATTCAAACGCACATCTATTTATAGTAGCTCCTTGATGAACCTTCTCTTATTGGCTCTGGTCATCAGTGTTTGTAGACAGAATGGATCGACTGTTAAAGAAATCGCTGTGGAGACTCCAGTCAAAGTAACATGGGACCCCTTCTCTGCGTCTCTCCAGGTTCAGCCAGCGGTTTCTCGCAGCAGCCTTCCGGCAGTCTCATGTGGTTTAACTAAAGAGGATGAAACGAACCGCACCCACAGCACCAAAAAAGGCGCCTTCCATGAGATCTTTAACCTGCAGGAGACAGAGCGCCCTCTCGCCGGTGAGGATAATAAATGAACCATATAAATAAAAACTGGTTTACAGTTTTGGTATGTGTCTTTAAAGCGTGTCCTCTCCTTTGTGTTTCTAGTTTGTGAGAATGGATGGAGATGTTGTCTCATAAACAGAGACAGGAAGATGCCCACAGACTACATCAGGAACGGTGTGCTCTACGTCACAGAGAAGTAAGCTGGACGAGGGAGAGGGTAACAGCTTTGAATATTGGGTTGTGTGGGGAAAAACTAAGAGTAACAAATAACCCCGTCCTTGCTTTGCTAATTCTATATCAGAAAACAGTCACAGTTTTTTTATTTCTCTCCATCAGTCACTTGTGCTTCGAGGGCTCCAGCTCCAAATCGAGCTCTTCAAAGAAAAATAAAGTTATCAAGCTTTTGGACATCACCGACATCCAGAAGGTATTTCCTTTTGAGCAGAAACTATTTGAGGAGTTGAGGGGCCGTTAAAGTCGAACGCTAACTGGCCTGCTTAATTGTATGGCGTTGATTGTCAATGATGATCCTGCTTTTTTCTTTCCCCTCTAGTACAAAGTGCTGTCAGTCCTACCAGGAAGTGGTATGGGCATCTCTATAGCCACGCCCTCCACTCAGAAGGTACAGTATGGGGATACTGCTGACATACCACGGTTGAGATGCGTTGCATTTAGGGTGGTCAAAACAATGTGTCTGTATTTAGTATGAGTCTTAAAGGTACAGTATGTAGAATAAGACGGCATCATGTGACTAATTGTTGGCCAACTCTTAGTATTGTATAGTTTGTTGAAGGATAAAGAGTCATTTTACTGACAGAGAAAAAGACAAACGATGAGTTATGCCATCGCCTGACTCATGTTTTAGATTTTTTGACTAAAACTGTTCACGTTCTACTCGATCGTTGTTGAATTTTACAATCCAAAAAACTTCTATCATTACAAATTAATTTGCCCACAACAACAACTTTGGGAAAATGCTGCTAAATTCTACACAATGTACCTTGAATGTTGTATGTAACTCTGCAAAATCAAAAATATTCCCACCTTCTGTGTGAAATCTAAAATACTCTACCCATTTTAATTACTATACACTGCACCTTTAAAAATCCTTCTTACTGTTGATATTAATAACCAATCGTTTCTGTTTCCTTCAGCCATTGGTGTTTGGTGCTATGATCCACAGAGATGAGGCTTTTGAGGCCATCTTTACCCAGTACATGAAGATCATGACCACCCCCAAACCACCTGCTAGTGCAGAGCTCTAAGCAGTCTGCATTCCGTCGTCAGATTTACATCCTGGGGGTCAAGAGACTGGAAGATGCTGTTACAAATCAGCGCCACCTTTGGTCAGCTTTTATTGGTGGATACTGTAAGTGCTTTGGTCATATTGGAGGGGAAATGTAGATGGTAGTTTGAATTGATTCACCAGACTCTTAAACTGTTTTGGAGCTGATGTTGGAAATGACATCTTAACGGAGGGCCACTTCAAAATTTTAATACAACAAAGAAAAAACATGCTTTTTATTTTCTGCATTATTATTTTTGTGATACTGAACCAAAAATTCAAACATCCGCTTGTGTGCAGTTTTATATGTTTCTAAGTCCAAGAGCGAATCTTTCAGTAGTTATCAAACTGTTCTGAGTTCAGTCCAATGACACTTGAGATCATGAACCTTTCCTTGGATTAAAGGTGGTGCATCCACAAAACCTAAAATTACTAACATCAGCTCTTCTCTTCCACCTGACGGGTCAGCTGACTTGTTTTTGTTTGTTCCTGGATTGCTCTGTTTTTGACTTCTATACTGTATTAGAAGATCTTATGTGCTTATCCGAGCTAGAACCACAAACTAATAAAACTTAACAAGGTCTTAAAAACTGTCAGAGAAGAACAAATACATCAATTTTTAAATTATGATGGCAAAGAGAAATGTTTAAGTTCATCCCACTGACTTTAGATGGTCAAATGTATCATTTTTTTCTGAGTATTTTATGTAAAAAAAAAAAAAAAAAATTATTTAAAAAAGACTTTAGCTCTTAGGTGATGTCCCTGCAGGTCTTGTTTGATATTGGATATCTTTAAGGGGCATCAATGTGAATTTCAGTCTATTTCATGAACATTTGGAACTCCTTACAGAAGCTTTGACTAATGCTGCGTTCGAGTTGACTTGGAAGTCAAATGTCCGAGCTGGGAATGACGTCACACCTGAGTTACCAGTGTTTCCAAGTTACCAAGTCGAAAAAAAGCAAAATCAGAGGCGGAAACAAGATGGCTACATCTTCGAAAGAGGATGCTAAAATAACTAAAATAACAAGTGCTAAAATAACCTTATTAACTTGCGTGCAGCATATGTTTTGTTTCCCATACGTTTATTGAAATTTAGTAGTAGCCATGGTTACTAAACTTTAAATGTCTGATTGATGTTTATAGCAGGCATATAAACTATCAAGTTTCTAAACAGATATTGTCTAATGAGGAAAAAAACATGTGCCAATTAGTCTTACTGTAACACTTAAAAAGACTTATTTATGTTTATAAGCATCTTAAAAGGTCTTAAATGAAATAAATGCCTTTAAAATGATCAGAAAAAATGCAACAAGTCGCATTATAAAAACACAAATTCACTTTCCTGTTCATGGAGCAAAGTTGAACTCAACTATGTCACAGTTTGACAAATGACTCAGGGTTTGTTCATGAATATAAAGAAATTGTAAATTATATCGTGGAAAGAGAGGGTGGACGTGAACGGTGAGGTAGCTCGGCTCTGTTTAAGTTAACATTCAGTTAGAGAAACCCTGAGTTTCAAGAGCATTATATTGTGTATTCATGTCATCCAGTCATCACATATTATTGTAATTTACCTGGGTACACACTGCAGGTTGTAAAGAGACACTCAGTCCTGTCTTTTAAAAAAGATGTATGCATATTTTTCCCATTTGAACCCCTTACATCATCGTCTTTTATTTGTTCATTTAAAATCAGTGCAACAACAAATACTTATCAACTGTGCGTTGAATCACAGCATCACAGTTAGTGTTCGCTAATCTGTAGATAAAGATGAAGACCGGACTATTTTCAGATTGAGATTACTTTCAAACGTGCTTTACTTAAACGTGCTATAAGCAAGAATAAAGCTGGTCTTTACTCCTGCAGAAGAGTTTCTCTGCCATGTGCGTGGGTAAATCTTGGTGAATGAATAAAGATATGTTACGAGTAATAAGGGATTTCTCTTCAGATGTTGTTACGAAGGGACACGGTAGAGACGCTTTCTTGAACTCCTATTTTCTATGAACTCAGCAGCACAAGCTTAGGTTGTTTTTGCACATTTTACACCGTCAATAGTAAAACATATTGATATTACTGATATGACTTTATAGGTTTACCTTCTGTATAAATGTCCTAGTTTATCTTTCACACTTTAAAGGTTTTTCATCTTTCCCTCTTTGATACACATGACTGGATATGAAACTTTCGTAAAAGAAAATGGACCAGTTTTAACAAGCGTACTATCATTTCTTTCAATTTTGTTTTATTATTTATTTCTGTTTTGTTTATCCTGACAGGATTTGGTCAAACTTGTCTCTTGTCTATTCCCTATAAGGTTTTAGAAAGAAGATGATGTTGCAGAGATTATTGATTTGTCACTTTGTAGTTGGACGGCTTCATGTGGTCTTTCAGCTTTTACCTGAGTTAACTCTAAAATGAGCTCTTCGGGGTCCTCTGATAAGGTACTGAGATAAAGCACAGAATTCAACATGTAATTTTCTGTTGTTCTTGTTTTTCTTTTGCCAAATCATTCTTATTCGACTGCCATATTTTGACTATAATCATGTTTACAGGAGTAGAATTTATAGTTTGATCTATTATTTATAACTTTTTGTCATTCTTCCTGATAATCCAGTTTTTTAGTTTATCTACACGCAGTCAGGTTTTAGTTTTCGCTTATTTTTGGTCATTTGGTTGTGACTTCCTCTTTTCTCGCTGTCTTTTTGTCAAAAAGGAGTTTGTTTACATGTGATTGACATGTATAGTTCATAAAAATACAGATTTTTAAAAAATAAATGTGTGTCTGTCTACCTTATTTTTAAAAGGAGAAAAAGACTAATGGTTTACTTTTGCCTTTTTGTGCCGCACCTCCACTTTTCGCTGAAACCTGCTAACTTTATGGATTTAAAGTTATATTGTTTTCTTTCTTCTTTTTTTTTTTTCTATGAGAACAAAATCAAACTGGGATGTTGGCACACTTGTAGTTTGGAAAATTACATTTCAGCAGAGATGGGAAAATGTGGAGTCACCAAGTCATCTCCATGCCATGTTTGTGTTCTGCTCAGTTACTGAACCAGGTGCCTTCACTAATGAGCTCACCTTCCTGGCTGCTCATTAGAAGCAGCTGGTTCAGTGACAGAACAGAACGGATACATGACATGGTGACTCCACAATTCCCATCTCTGCATTTCAGTGTAATTGTGGTGAATCCCTGGAGCTATCAAAGTCTTCAGCAGCTACTCTGAACCATCAATGACATCTGAGTCGATGGCGATATCTGAACCATCTAAGGGAACAGGCTGGACAATCCATCCAAAGAGGCAAGTGCAAACACGAAAGTAACTATTAAATCACTGATAAGCTGCAGGACACCGACAGATCACCTCCATTAGACCTTCCTTTGGATGAGAGTGTCTACTTGGTGATAATGCAGTCCTTAGTTAAAAGGGCAACTGGATTTATTTGAGGTTCTTGAAGATGTTTCCAGATCCCTTTTGGCTGGTAGGTAGTCAATGTAGTGGACCCTGTTTAACAGTTTATAAGAGAGGAAGCTTCTACAATCCAACTTCTTGTTCCAGGCTTTTAACATCATCTTCCAACACCCATAACCAGGTTCTAAGTCTCACTCCCAGCTGTCACATCAAGCCTCTTATTCTAGTTTCAAACATCCAATTGTTGCTCTATGAACTCCCAGATCCAGTTTCTAAGTCCAGCTTCTGACTTTCAGGTCCTACCTTCCCTTTTGCCTGAGATGCCATATCTAAATCACTTTAATTTCAGGACACCCTCAAACCCACAGCTGATCCATAACAGGATAATGAACATTGCAGCCCTGACCATGCACACTCCATAGATCAGTGACTTTTAAGGTAGCCATGAGACTTAGTAGGACTCATCAAAGGGTGACGAGGAATTTGCTCACCAACTTTGGTGGCCTTGTCCATCTACCTAACATCCATCTACTCTTTATTCTTGTTTTTTGTAGCAGCCAGACTCGACACACATCATCATACAGTGCCTGACAAAAGTCTTGTCACTTATCCATTTTGTAGAAACAACAGCTTATAACCTGACTTGTCATTAATCCATTGGTTTTAGAAATGGCTCATATGAAAGCTAAAACCCTCCCAAATTATGTTTAAAATCTAAAATAAATTTCCTTCACCGAAGAAAGATTGATCATTTAATGAACACAGAAAGGTCAGATTTTGGCAAGACAAAAGTTTTGTCGCCTACATAGAGTAATGTGAAAATTGAACAAATAATTTACTTCAAATACAAAATATGTTGCACAACATCAGTGAATCAAGTAGTGGTGCTGTGAGATCCATATTTAATATCTTGTATGACTTCCATGAGCCTGAAGAACTGCATCCATGCAGTTCAGCAACGATTCATACAATTTATTGATGAAGTCATCAGAAATAGCAAAGAACGCAGTCTTACATGCCTCCCAGAGTTCATCAAGATTCTTTGGTTTCGTCTTCCATGCTTCCTCTTTCATTTTACCCCAGACATGCTCGATGATGTTCATGTCTGGTGACTGGGCTGGCCAGTCCTGGAGCACCTTGATCTTCTCCGCCTTGAGGAACTTTGCTGTAGAGATCTAAGTATGCGATGGAGCACCATCCTGCTGCAAAATTTGACCCCTTTTATGGTTGGGAATGTAAGAGGTAGCTAATACTTCTTGATATTTTAGGCTATTGATATTGCCTTTCACCCTGCAAATCTCTCGCACACCTCCATGCTGGATGCAACACCAGACCATGATTTTTTCACCACCAAACTTAATTGTTTTCTGGGTGAATCTCGGATCCATGCAGACTCCAGTAGGTCTCCTGCAATATTTGCAGCGGTTGTGATGTAATTCAACCGAAGATTCATCAGAAAAATCCACCTTCTGCCACTTTTCCAGCGTGCATCCTTTTAGCAGGCTGTGGGCCTTGGCAAATGCCACAAGTTTTTTTAATTTCTTTTTGTTTAGTGCTGGTTTCTGGGCACTGATTCGACCATGGAGGCCATGTCGAGACAGAATTCGACAAATTGTTCTGGTTGACACAGGGACTTGAGGTGACCAGACCTGGTGGAGCTCTGCTGCAGTGGAAAAGGGGCTGGCCTTGGATTTTTAAGCCAACAAATGGTCCTCCCGAGCAGTTGTCTTTCGGGGTCTGCTGGGCCTGGGCTTGTCATAAACATCTCCAGTCTCTTCAAATCTTTTTCTTATCCTTTGTACTTGACGCTGAGACACATTGAAGGTGTCAGCCACCTCAGCAGTGGATCTGGTCTTCAGCCTCTTGATGATCAAAGCTTTGGTCTCAGGGTGAATCTTAGGCATGTTGTCAGAGGTTAAGTTGCAGTTGATGTGAAGGTCTGGTGTGCTGTGGTTCTTTCTATACACCCACTAATTGATTGGTCAATAACTGATCACAGGTGAGGCTGTAATCTTGGATTGGGTGCATCATATGACAAGGCGACAAGACTTTTGTCTGTGCAAAAACTGACTTAGTGGGCTTTACCAAGCTATGAACATTAGAATGCTTTTCAGCAGTTTCATTTGGCACCAAGACATTATTTCAAACACTGTTGGGATTGAAATTAGACATTTCTTGTAAAAAAAAAATTTATTGCACATATATTTGAGGGGCACTTAAGGTCAACTTGTACCCAAGCGACAAGACTTTTGTCAGGGACTGTACATTATATGGCCACCAAGTGGGATAAGACGGCCTTAGTCAAACACACCATCATTTATAATAGGGCAACATTTTGGCTTATATCTCAGGAATCAAAGGTTGTAGAGATTTGGGACTGGGTGGTGTGGCCCATAAACCAAGACCACGGATAACACTGGTCTTAGTCCTGTGTCATCATGACCTGAGATATAAAGAAAATACTTAAACCAATCATAGTAAGACATGAGTCGCACCGCTAGGACACTCATACGCAAAACTCCAAGGTCAGAATTTGGTTTCAAGAATTGAGTCCTTTAACCCTGACCAGGGACCCTCTCAACAATGCAAGAGCAATGTGATGTGGTGCTAAAACTCTAACTCTACGAAGTGATTTTGGTAAAAGGATTGGTTTATGTTTAAAGATTTAAATTCGCCCCCATTATTCCACGATTCGTACCACTTCCGAACTATCGTTTGTACAAGTCGGTCAACGGGTTGAAGTAAAACGTGCTGATTCATTTTGACCCTGTTTCACTCTTGCTTTGACTAAGTATCCGCTTTTGTTTTTTGGTTTTGACCAATCAGAATCGAATACCTGACCTGGCCGGGTGATCAGTAATAAACCTGTTGTTGTTTCCTAGAAATTCGGATTATCGCCTCTCTTGGTAAAGTCACAATGACCTTTTACGACTTTCAAAATGTGCTTAGAAATGATAACACGAGGGTGAAGTTCACTGCAGACGCAGCACAAAATGATTATAAACTTTATATTCCTGTCTGCAGCTTTCTTACATTTGTGATAGCGGGCGGTTTAATGTCTTACAACACCTCCTAAATAATTTTCTACTCTGTGAAAAGTTAGACCAGCTGCTATAATGATGGATTCTGGAGATGTTAAGAAACAGGAGCATTAAATCAGGACTTGAAGTGTATCACCTTTTGCCCCCTGGGAGGTGCTAGAGTCCTGAAAATGCTGAAACAACCTGATATAAGAAGAGTTACAACTATGTTAAAAACCCTGAATACAACAAAAAACATACAAAAATTGTATGCAAAATAGATTTTTAAAATATTTGGAAACAGTAAAAAATATTTAATAAATAACAATAAAATAAAAATTAAGTACAAAATAAAAAAAATAAAAATATAATAATATATTAAAATAAAAAATAAATAATATAGTAAAATAAAAATAAAATAAACAATACATAACATACAAGTTTGAAGCTAGCCTGTTAAAAGGAATTTTTTTTTATCATTTATAACAATTTATTTAAACTTTAACATCCAACTATACATCTAGTATATTTGTCCTATGATATGATTGATAGTTATGTAAAACAGCATCTTTGTTGTTTCTTCTATATACATATAAATTTAAACAAAAATGTGTCAAACATGGGATTGAAGTATTGCTCTTTTAAAGGAGCTGTTCCAAATACACTTAAATAGACCTGAATTCAACATAAGATTTATAATCTGATCAGAATTTTAAAAAAACGCTCTTTAAATGTGATTACCACGTCTCAAATAACATACAGAAAAAAGAGAAAGTGTGCCGTTTGTTTTCAATACAGATCTTCTCAGTGATTTCTGAGAGTAGAAAGAGTTTTTTCTGAAGTTTTTGAATGTTGAATAAACAGCCGAGGGTGTTTGCAGCAATAAAAGTGTGAGCAGGCGTCACCCTCCGTCAGCAGACTTTAAATATTTGCAGAGTTTCCTGGAAGCAGCAGGGATATAAAGCCCAGTGTTCACTGCTTTCTGAGAAACTCACATGAGCGTACACACACACACACACACACACACACACACACACACACACACAGAATCTGCATCTTATAAATAACAAGCCTCTCTTCATGTTTAACTGTTTCGGAAACAGCTGCGTGTTAAAATCGATGTTCTTCGATCAAAAACACAGAAACAAACAGATAATTAGACAAGAACCAAATGAGAGAGAGGTTAAATAGTTTCATAGCCACACCTTTCAATTATCAATTAAAGATCAATTTGATTGATTGTTCAGTGTGTCTTTGTTTCACAGGGATGAAATGGTTAAATTAAACTCGGGCACAGTGGAGAACCAGACAAAGCCCTGTTTCATTAATGAAATTTTGATTAATATCTGTTAACTGTCAGATATTATCATAAATAAAAACATTTTTTGCATCATTGTTCTTATGTTTCCTCTTGTTAATGTTGTTTACACCAAACACACTTCAAAGAGGTAATTTAACACTGATTTCAGACAGTATAAATAAGGATCTACAAAAAGCCAGTCCCCACACTGATGGTCTTGTTTGATTTGAAGGCATCAAGAGGAATTTTAGTCTGTTGCATAAGTTTTTAAAAATTCCTTATGGGAGCTTTAATAACGCTGGTGCTGTAGGTGACTGTACAGCATTCAAGTCCAGTGAAAATATCTAAAAGAAGAATAAAGTGAATCATCTCAGACTGGATTAATGTCTTTTATTGTGTGTGTTTTATTGAGTTGAAACAATTGCTGTGTTTTAAGATGTGTTGTTTTGGTTTTGTTTAAAACTGTATTTTGGGTATTTTTTGCTTTCTTAGGGAATTAAACAGCAGTCAAACATATTGAAGTATTGCTCTTTTAAAGGAGCTGTTCCAAATACACTTAAATAGACCTGAATTCAACATAAGATTTATAATCTGATCAGAATTGTAAAGATGAATCCGTTTAAACTCCACGTGTCACAGGTGAAAACCTAAAAGCTGTCTCGTCTGACTGACTTCAGCTGCTGTAAAAGGGTAATTTCCTTCAAATGATCAACAAAGTTTTAAAACTATTGAACTGAAAAGATTCCCCAAACTAATATCTTTAAAGAAAAATGTCATAAAAATGAATATCAAATGTTTCATTTCCGCTACAAAACAAACCTAGGGTTTGTTTTCAAAGCAGGTTCAGTATCTGATCAGTCCACCTTAAGAACAGGGAGTCAATCCTACAGCTCTGCTCTTCAGGAATTAATGAGGTACGGCCAGAGGCCATTTTTACTGCCTTAAGTCAGTACTATGAGTATTACCGCCAGTGTAAACAAGTATTACTGAGAGTCAAAACAAGTATTACTGTATGATTGATAGTTTTGAGACACAGCACGCCTTTGTTCTGATCACTTTGTTAAAAATAAAACAGGTTTATATTTAATTTGTGCATTAGTGTGAATTAAAGAGTGCAGAATGGATTTAGATTTGTGTGTAGATATTTATTTACATGTACTGAGTATTTTTCAGCGTTTTGTTTTTACGTCTGAGTGTGACTGATCATTACAAAGTGTTACTGTTTATGACTGCCTGTCTTTGTGTGATAGTGTCCCTCTCTGAGTGTTATTGTGTGATAGTGATGATGACTGTTATTGTGAGTATCAGTGTGCGTCTATGTGTTATGTAACCTCGGGGAACACGGGGCTCTGTGGCAGCTTCACTGATCGCTCCAGAGAAGAAATGTGAGACGACTTCCAGGAAAAAGCGGGGAAATCCTGACAGACCAGACTTCTGTGAAAAAACACACGAGCTCAAAAGACGGGGAGAAAAAAACGAAAAGGAATCAAACCGATTAGAGTAAAACTTTAGCTGTAATAACAAGTAAGTTTATGTGTAAAAGCTGACAAAGTGTTTGGATCTCTGACTTATCGTTTTTAAATCAAATTTTGTTTTACAAATTTGGTGGATGACAGATTTAAAATACCGGCAAATCAAAAAAATTATGCACAAGTATTTGGGATCTGACTAAAGAATAAAAAAGGCTTTCATACAACATGTTTCTTTCATCCATCTTTACAAAATATTTTCATTACAAGAAGTTTCTACAGTCTGTGTTTCGTGGCAGAGAATAAAACAGTATCCATCTCTAAAAGAGACCGATCCCAAGTCACTCCAGAACCTCACCAGGGACTGATAGTGGATCTATCGCTCCAGAAACTCCTCCAAAATATGTGGATCTCAGCTGACCCCGGGTCACTTGAAAACCTCCTCCAGAACTGATAGGTGGACGTCAGCGAGGCGCAGACTCTGCAGAAGTCTCTGAACTGTCGCTCTCCTCCCCTCTCGTTGTCTCCACAAAACCAGACCGGACAGAACAGTCCCGTGGGTGCTGAGAGCGTGATCGGACCGACACCGGAACAGATCCTCTGCAGACAGACCCAGATCCATCAGCACTGCCTCCCACTCTGAGCCCAGCCGAGAGGCCAGCCGGGACAGATCACGATCAGTCGGGACCTTCTGGAGGACGGAATCAGGGAGCCCACACTTGTCTGCAGAAAGACAGACATCTTTATTTTAACTTGGATTATAACCTGAAATTACAGTTAAACATTAGAAATGTTTAGATTAAAATTAATTTAGATTTCACGCAGAATCACAGCTTCAATAACTGGATTATATTCTCTATGTTTACAAGTTCAATACAGGGATTACAATCTCAGATAAAAAAATGAATACCTTGATTATAAATTTAGTTTACAGAGTGACATGTTAAATACCAGGATTGTACTCTGTGTGTACAAAGTCAGTGCTGAGGTAAAAATCGAAGATTACAGATTTTGTTGTTCAATATTAGGATAAAAACACGAGTTTGAAGTGGAATTACTGAGAAAAATTCTGGGTTTACAAACTGAGTCTCGAGGCTTTACTCTAAGATTACAGATTATTTTGATTAATACTGGGGTCATAGTTTTTACAGGGTAACAGATCAAATTATTTCACATTTAATCTTTATTTCTTAAAAATCCTTGGCAGCGAACCTTAACCCAACAAAGTTTTGAATTTTTTCTATTTCTTTTCTTTTTGACTCAAATCAGTTTTTTAATCTAAACGTAAATTTATGACTTTTACCTTGAGATCGTTTGTATACCTCAGTTTGTCATTTTGTTTCGTTTGTCGAATTTAATTTACATTGTAGTGGCTTTAAGTCTCCAAAGAAAACCACTGCCGACTGAGTCTAATACACACAGTCCAAACAAAAAACAGCCGTGGATCCAGGGTCACTTCTAAGGTTTATTTCCAAGAAAAATAAAGGATTTACACGTGTCATTCTACAGATTAAAGTAAACAAAAGGTAACTATAAAGGTAACTATATATCGACGTGTCTGCTCTTTGTAGTCAACAAACTTTCCCGCTCCCACTCTCAGTCATCTGGCCAGGTGTCACTAATCACACAAAATGACGGTCTAATTACTTCAAATTAAATGCCAACTAATGATATAAACTGGGGCCCAACCGATTTATCAGCGAGACGATTAAATCGGCCAATTTTAGCCTGTTTGAGATTAATCGGTAATCGGCCAAAATTCGCCAATTTTCACCATTTGAAAAGTTCCTAACTTATCCTGTAGATGGCGCTAGATGTAGATTATAACTTCATAAAATTTTTAAAAATCGGCCGGTTAATCGGTAATCAGACCCCCCTCGGTCGGGCCCTAATATAAACAATTAGGCAGGCAAGAAAATGAATACCAGCTTTAAATTAATATTCTTTCCTTAAGCTAGTTTAACATAAATTTAATTCATTATTTAAATTAGATTTCCTGTTTGGCCTCAACATACATCACAAAATTAAAACTATTATTATTGTTTACTTATTCGTGTCAAACCTTTTTTTTCTTTGTTTTTATTTATGAATATTTTATCACAAAATTTCAATGGAGATTTAATAGAAAAATTTTGTTTTTGAATCTGACGAAATCTCACATTGTAGCTCCAACTTTTTGTCTGTTTTTGCGAATAGTTTACATAAATGTGGAGTCAGTCTGAAGTCAGATTTTTATCATTTTCTGAATCTATAGGATCAGTCTGTATATTCTCTATAAATTTAACATCAAACTTAAGTCTGTTTTATTCATTTATTCTCTGTTGGTAGATTATCAGGTCAGATCTCTTTCCTCTGTTTTAGTCACTGATCTGACAAACCATGTCCTGCAGGTGGAGCTGTATAAGGTAAACCCCTCCAGTCTGTTGTTTTCAGGCCTCATTAATAAACTACGTCCATCCACACGTTGTTGACTCTGTAGTATAACTTTATTTCTCAATGTGTGTTGGTTAGTGAAGGACGAGCTGTTTGCTCTTGTCTGATTGGTCGACAGCTTCAAAAAAATACTATCAACTCTATGACAGAGAGCATGTCGCAATCAGTGTTTTTCTCCTGAAAGGTCACCATGACACAGGAAGTGCTGCTCTGACCATGTGTGGCTTGTGTGTGTGTGTGCGCATGTTTGTGTGTGTGTGTGTGTGTGTGTGTGGCTGGACTCTCAGAAGGTAAAACGTACAAACTCACCAGGAACTGATTTTGGTCACTATGACTTTCGGGAAAACATCAGCTGCAGAATAAAACAAACAGAGATCCTGGAAAGCTTCTCAGAAGGGGCTCTAGGGGGATGCTTTTATTTTGGAGGGGTGGGGGTGTCATGGGGGAGTCAGGATCAGGGGCATGTGATGATCTGAAACGTCCGGCGCTGCAGCTTTAACCAAGAAAAGCTGCTGCAGCCGCTGCTGCCAGATTCCTGGAAAGCAGAGGGCAATAAAGGGAGGGGGAGGCGAGGGAGGAGGGTCAGGGAGGGGGAGGAGACAGTGTTTGCTCTCCATCACACTTGCGTTCGAGACTTTTCTTCTTCAAATTTATGATTATTTGGACTTAAGTTTTGGTTTTAGGAGTTTTTTTCCCCTTTAAATTCAGACTTTTCTCAAAGTGAGGAGGGGGGACTTCAGTGTCAGCGGTTTCGTCTCCTTTAGTGACACATGGAGGAAATCAGCTCTCATGTTGTTTGGCTCTTAAATATCTGTCATAAACTGTCTGATTCTCCTCAAGCTGCTGCTTCATGGAGAGCTCAGAGAGAGCAGAGCTACAGGAACAGGGCCCCGTCTAAAGGGGGAGACTTTAATACACTGCAAAAAAGGGGGGTCTAAAAACAAGATACAAACACTAAATTTGCGGGAAAAGGTACTAAAAACAATTAAAATTATCTGTCCATGCAGCGAGATGATTTCACTTGACAGGATTTCTTGAATTAAGACTGTTAAATCTAGAAATAAGCATGTCTACAAATGTATTTGGAAGGATTAAAGTTGGGCAAAAATGCTGGTTTTAAGATCCGAGTACTTGAATTTTAACTTTTACAGCCCTAAAATAAGTGAAATGTACCAAATATACCATATTTTTCGCACTATAAGGCGCACTTAAAGTCCTTTTGGCTTGTTGGAGCACTGCAGCCACCGTAGCCTCGCCGAGTTATTGAATGAGTTCAATAAAGTTTTACTTATCTGACTGTTTTGTTTGGCTTTATGCGCTTTATAATCTGGTGCGCCTTAAAATCTGGTGCGCTTATGAATGAAAATAGTTGCGAATAGACGCGTTCATTGATGGTGCACCTTATAATCAAGTGCGCCTTATAGTGTGAAAAATACGGTAAGTATAAGGTAAGTAGAAAATGCGGGTTATAAGATGAAATAACTTAAAAAGTAACATTTTTACAGCCTCAAAATAAGTGAAATATGCTAAATATAAGTGATTACATTTTTTTTTCTTACTTTTAGCAAATTTAGCTGAAGATTAGTTAAACAAAAAAATAGAAATTTAGAGAAAAAATACCCAGTATTAGTGAAGAATGACTAAACTCTCTCTACTAAACTTATTTTAAGTTACTTTTTTCATTTTAAGATTTCCTGCCTATTTGAGACAAAAATAAATAAATAAGATCGGTTTATGTAAGATTAAAGTGTAAAGTTAAACACTTAAAATAAGAAATCAAGTCTTAAAACAAGTGAAATTATCTAACACTTCTAAATCTAAGTTTTTTTGGAATAAAAAAATAATAATAATTTGCAGTGTACCTGATTGGCTGTAGCAGGAGCCATCTAAGGATCCTGAATGAGGATTTGCTGTTTCAAAAATACGTCAGTAACAACAAAAACAGGAGAAGAGGAAGAGGAAATGAGCTCAGGACCTCTCCTCCTCCCCCTTCTCCTCCTCCTCTCTTGTCTCTCAGGTGGTTTTGTTGGTATGTTACCTGCAGAGTCTGAAGGTGTGTCACATAAGAAGTTCCACCCCTTAAAACACCTGCAGCGCAGAGACTCAAGCAGGAAACAAAGTCAGAGTGTTTCAGCCTGATTAGAGTCACACACACACAGACACACGTGTTCCCTGCTGTTACATAACACACACCCACACACCCGCACACACCCACACACCCGCACACACCCACACACAGTACCTTAATGTTGTGTCTGGGTCAATCAGGGTCAGTATAAACCGTCTACACTGTAAAAAACTGAAGCGTCTGAAACGAGTGAGAGTCGTGAAACTTTTGAAAAGAGTTTTCTGGAAAGTAACCGTCGCTGGTCGGCCTCGTGAGGTGATTATTTGCTTCTTCGAAGATGCTGACTCATTTTTCCCGGAAAGTTTTTGGGAGTTGTTGTTCTGGGAAGAAGTCTTGCCTCACAGATCTGTTCAGACTCATCGATCATGTTTTAGTTCTTCTGAAGTTATTTATATCAAATCTCATTTAACCCGCTTGAATACCAAACTTTAGCTACGAATCTAATCTCATTTCATCACTCTGGACTAAAAGCTTTAATTTTTGGACTCGTTCTCAGACTCAAATCTGGTATTATGACTCTCTGTCTAATATCTCTCACTATTACACAGGCCTCACTGTATAAATTACGACTTCATATAATCGAAATTTTAATCCTAGAGTACAAAATAAAATTCCACATTGTGCATTTTTTTTTGCTGTGTTTAAATCTGTAATCACTTAATGTTGTTATAAACAGAATCTGGCAGTTTGTGATTCATATGGTTTGTATTTTACTGAAAGTAGATGTTAGAATCCTTCACACCTGCTCAGGCTGCAGCAATCGACCACAGGTGTAGCCACTGCGGCCTGATCAGGAGTCTATAAGGACTCCTCAGTCCACTGTTCAGTTTGCTCTGCTGCTGACATGTTTCATCCTGGCTGTCAAGTGTGTAAAAGTGAGTGTTGTATGATGTATTTAATTTATAGGCTGTTTTGAAGACAATTAAGGTTGTTTCATTTGATCAATTTTGTGTTAAGGGCATTGTTTAAACTATCAGATTCTGATTAGTAAGTTAAAATTATTGAGCATTTCTCTGTTGTCTAAAGGTAACAATTAATAAATTATGCTTATATTTTTCCTTTTTGTTAAATACAGAAAACACTATTTGACAGCTTGTAAATAAATCCTTTAAATTGGAACCTCGTCTGAAGTTGATTGATTCCTCAACCTCCATGATGAAGATTGACTCCAGCCCTATCAACTACCTGTCATTTAAAACATAGAGCAGGCTTAAAAGAAATTATTGAAAATATTATTGCATGATGAAAAGTATCTGCTCATTTCAAATTTAATGGCTGCAGCATGTTTGTAATCATTGAAAAATCTGTGTTTGTAAAATGTCAAAGAATAAATAGATTTTATTACCACAGAACATAATGCCTTTTTATATTTCTCTTATTGCAAATGTTCATTTTAATCAAAGTTCTTAATGTTTATTTTATGTAATCTTATGAATTATCTCTGTTCTTAGTCTTTTTCTTAACTCCTGCCTTAGAGGTTTTTACTTCTTTTACCCCTTTTTACATGGTAAAGAGCTCTTATTTGTTCATTTTATTTTCTTGTTTTAGTCCATCAGATTTCAGTCTCTTTTTACCTTTATTTATTTATTTATTTATTTATTCATTTATTTTTCAGTTTTATTTTTTTATCTTTATCTCCAGTGTTTCCTGAAGGTAACTCCTTCGTCACGCAATGTCTGCGTCAGGCCATGTCTCTTTAACAATATATATCTTAAATTCTCACTCTGTGTGTGCTTGTGTGGGTGAGCGAAGATGGGTCTGTGTCTGTGTGTGTCCATGGGTGGGTGTGTGGGTGGGAGGGTTGGTTATTGTTGTTTAATTGTTGTTTTTAGACTCTGTGAGGCACTTTGAGCTACATTTTTTGTCTGAAATGTGCCATAAAAATAAAGTTGAATTTGAATTTAATATTCAGAGAATCTAGAGAAATCTTTCTACAAAAGGGACAAGGACCAAAACCCATACTGGATAGTCCTGATCTTCAGGCTCTCAGGCAGTACTGCATTTGGGTCCAAAGAGCCAAGAATCAAACAAACTTCCTTTAAATCCCCCTGGCAGATCCCACTACCAAAGTTGAATTATTTCCCACTACATGTTATTTTCTTGTTGCCACGAGATAGTAACTGGTGGCCACGCATTAATTTTTTTCCCTCCAATGTCACCAGAGGGGCTCCGTTCAAAACCAGATCTGAATGTGATCCAGAAACACCAAATATTGACATTCTTCTTAAAAATCATGGAAGCTGCAACTTCTACTCCAAAGAGTAAGGGACTGCCTGAATATTAAAGGCTTAAACTAATTTATGTTGGCCTACACGTCTGGAGTTACATCATATAAAGAAAAAAGGTGAATATGTGCGGTGGTCGGGAGCCGCCACTGCTGCAATAAAAAAAAAAAAAGAAGTCACAATGGAAGTTACTGATGCAAAAAAAAAAAAAAAGAAACCGAAGCCTGCTGTGAATGAAAAAGAAATGGTTGGGATAAAAAAAGCCACAACGGAAGTTAACAATGCAAAAAAAAAAGTGGCAATAGAAAAAAAAAAAAGTTACTCATTGCGAAAATAAAAGGGTGCAAATAAAAAAAGCAACAACGGAAGTGAGCAGCCAGGGATCAATGACGACGCACCAGTGTTTTATGATCTAGGCACAGAAGACGACGACAAGAAGACAAGCAAAGAAGTTCGTGGAAAGGTTAATGTTTAATTTCGCTTCATGAACTTTTCAATGTGTCATTTCGTCAGGCCATGTTGCGCAGATCAACTTCATATCGACTCAGGCGCTTTTATTAGTTAATCTATTATCTATTTATTTTTATTTTTATTTTTTGCATTCTTTTTTATCTGCAGCAGCGGCGGTTCTCGGCCACCATAATTATGTGTTTTTGATGAGTGGACACGGACTTCATTATGGTTGGACACGCCCCTGCACACTTGGATTGAAAAACGACGTTGTAACTCGAACACTGACGTCCAGGTGTGTTTTCTGCGCATGTCTCACCTGTTGTGCTCGGTCCAGGTCCAAGTCCGGATGGTTTCTGGAGCTCCAATAGTAGCCGGTCTCTGACCCAGCTAAAGTCCTCCAGAGACCGCAGGAACGCATCAAAAGCTGCAGGTCCGCGGCTCGGTAGAAGGTCCAGCAGCTTCAGAGTCTGCTGTCTGTCCGTAGGCTGACACCTGATATCCTCCACCTGAGCCTCCGTCAGGATTTCTTCTTGGTACAGAAACGGAACGATAGTGTCGGAGACCAGCAGCTCCCCGGACAGATAGAGCCGGTGTGTCCGCAGCAGAGCCCTGTGTTCTGGGTCCATCTGAACAGCATGCCCCTACTGACAACCATGTAAACCATACTAGTCAACTCCAACCCCAACTAACCTACCATCCTATTATCAAGTCAAATTGGTCACATCCAGCACCCACCGTTTACTGTCCGACTAGAAACAAGTTAGCGGAACTGAAGCCTAAGTAACGTTTTACCATTTTTTATAGTTTTTTCATTCTTCATGTCTAATATTCCTCCTACTGAAGCTAGATTTCTGAAATCATCCAAATAAATAATTTTATCATCAACTACATTAAAGTTAGCGTCTAAATAATACAACAGAAAACTATTATAAAAAAAACAACGTCCACCGACTTGAAGGTTGTTTAATGGCAGCATGCTAACAGCGCAGCTAACTGTAAAAGTCGATGTTTTAAATTAAATTGAAACATATTGCTCCGTGAAATTTACGACGAACAGATCACAACAATCTTATTTACGCGACGAGGATATTATTTGTGTTTTACCGAGCCTCTACAATGAATACAAAATGAGGAATCAATAAACAAATGTTTTTTTCAATGAGGTTCGTTTACAGAGGATACAACTAAGACTAGCTCAGTCATCCGTCTGATAAACAAATTTATTTTATGTGCACTGTTAAATAGAACACACACACACACACACACACACACACACACACACACACACACACACACACACACACACACACACACACACACACACACACACACACACACACCTTATTGGAAAAAAAGAACTGAGCAGTGTTATTATGAATCAACATTTAGAAAAGTTTTTCTAGACATTCGTTCTACAAACTCAAAAGCTCTGGGGGGATTAAAGAGAGGAAAAATGAAATATGGTCAAATTCATTTAAATACAAGATCAACAGTATGTGTGTGTCAGTGTGTTACAGCTGCGCAGTTACAAATCAGGATTAATAATGAGCTCATTAGGATTAATAATGACTTAGCTGAAAAACCTGGAAGTTTCAACTCTTTCCTGGAAAATCGGATCAGGAACTCATGCGACCCACAAAAAAAGAAACTGTTATAAAACATTTTAAACATTTATTTTTGTTAATTTGTTCAGACTTAATGTTGTTTTATAAAAACAGGACTTAGCTGTTACCCTCTAAACTCGTTCTTTCTATCACTAATAGGTCAGGGATAACTTTTCTTTCCCCTGTTCAACAGAGGACTAAAAAAAGATTCAGTTTCTTTCTTAAAAGCTGACTTTTAGCAGATGTGATTGTCATCACATGACTCGTTTTCAGGGTCATCTGGTTGAAATATGTAGATATTTATAGAAACAAGAAATTCACGAGAATTTTCAGAACTGGACGAGCTTTGACATCATGTGGAAGAGTATTTCGATTTAATAAAGATAAACAGCTCTATTATAGGAAGAATTTACAATAAGACATGACATTTTTCAACTGCAGTATAATCTTGTCAGATGTTACAAGTTTACAGCAAAAAGGAAATCCTAAAAACAGGCGGTTTTTAAATGGAGTCTGGTCGAGTGGTCTCTGAACAACAGCGTGGCCAAATAAAAGGATACAATTCCTCCTATTGAGTCAAATCTGAGCATGACTCATCACCATCAAAATAATCTGGCTAAAATGTTTGTTTGGTGTCAGAAAACCATAAAATTTCGGATTTAACAAGAATTCTCAGAAAAGCACAATAGCGACTAGGGAAAATCAGAGTGTTTCGGTGAAATGCTATTTCAATTGCTGGCTCACATGAAAGCTGAGTTTACTGGACATTATGTAATCTTTCAGCACAATGATTAGTCTGCAGCTAGAGAGGTGCTCTAAGTCCAGAATAAAGAACAACTTAAAACAAGAGATTTTTGAATTAAGTTTGGTTCAGGGACCTCATAACACCAATCCATTAAAAAGAGATAAGTTCAACTGAAGCCACATGACTCATCCCAATCAGGGTCATTAGAAGGACAAATTTCTTCAGTTTGAGAAAAACATGAAAAATAAGAAGATTAAATAAGACATTGATGAGATTTCACAGAACTGAGAGCCCCAAAGAGCATGTTCAGATTATTTCTGTGAAATGAACTTCAGACCAACTGATCTAGAAACAGAATCTTTTAAAAGTCCAGCAGATCAAAAAACATCTTGATCATGAGGAATGAAAGGGAAGGCAAAAAATGCAGGATTTTCAGGTGGAGTTTGGTGGAAGGTTCTTCTTAAATTTATAGAAAGACTTTCTACTTCAAAACAGGTTTTTATTTAGTACCTCAGAGAGAGTTACCTCTTCCGAATGACTCAAAAAAAAAAAGTTTGTGATATTTTAATATTTATTATTTTAGGCTTTTTGTTCTAATTTAACTCAAAATTTTCAGTGTTTTCCGTCATTTTAAAGGTCCTTAAATTTACACAAAAATAAAAAAGTAAACTTCATTTGTGTCTGAATGTTTAAGGCTCTGTAGGTCATGTGTAAAACTACAGATCAAAATAAACAGGCCCTCTTTGTTTATCTGCACTCTGATTGGCTGAGAGCTGCAAGTACTACATCCAGCGGGGTCAGAGTCTGACGGGAACCCGGAGGGGTCAAACTGTGACCCTTTACACACGGACAGCAGCAATAACACATCTGTTTATCTATACGGTGCCAACCAATCAGACGCCAGAGTGAACTCCTCATGGTCACTGCTCAGGCAGCCAATCAGATCCCTCCGTTTACAACAACAGATTCATCAACAAACAGAGACTGAGAGGGAAAAGAGAGAAAGAGTAGGAGGGACAGAGGGTGAGAGAGTTTTGAGGTCTAAAAATCCCCTTTAGTAACCTCTGGCAAGAGAAACTATATCACTGACACACCATCAACAAAACACACAAACAGGAAAAACTCTTTAAACCAACAATCGTTTCTAAGAATTTATGAAGTAAATAAAAAGTTCTCGAAATCAGAAACGTATCGAGAGCTCCCCATCCCCTCCCACAGAGCGTAGAGCCCCCTAAACAGCCCAAACATCACCGAAGCTCTGTAGATCATCCACCATATGGAAACCCCGTGTTTGGCTTTCAAAAGTCCTTGAAGAACGGGTACCAGATCCCAGGGTCCCGGTCCTTTGTATAAGCCAAGTGGACAACTTAGTAGAACCAGAAATAAAGTTCAACGAAGAGTACTTAAACCTTTTCCTTGAAGAGAATCTCAGCCCCAAAATAAACAGAGCAGAGAAGAAGTTCTCTGTAAGAGATGATTTAAGAGGAACAAACAAAGCTCTTAATCTTGGACACACAACAAATAAAAGCACGAGGGTTTCAACCTGAGAACAAAACAAACACCCCACTCCCACCCCAGGATCAATGTGTGCTCTGACTGTTTGTGGCTATTGCCCCATATACAATCCTCCACAGGATGTCAGCTGATCCGGCAGAGCAGCACAGATCTCCAGGACCAGTCTGATGGAAGCGATGTTGCCCCTCTCCTTCAGATGTTGACATCATCCTCATCAGATGGTCTACTTCGGTGCATCCAGTTCATCTGTGTTATTCTTCAGAATCACAAATGATAAATGATGAAGATATGGACTTAGGATTGAAAAAAAGAGCTAATAAAACTCGACACAGTGCAGGAAAACTTGAGAGCTGAAACTTTATTGATCTTCATTATTCAATCAATGAAAATTCATCAACATGTTTACTTTAAAAGGAACCTAAAACCAGAACATTTGCAGTTTTTTCTTCCATAAAATGAAGGCCAAATAAAATGTGTTTTTGGACTTTTGGACAAAATTAAATAAATAATAAATAAATAAATAAATATCGAGATGTTTCTTAGAGATAATTAACCTTCGACACATCTATTCTGTAATATTTCTGTTTTTTAAAAAAGGGGTTTAAGGGCAAGAATATTATAGTGTCTGTCACCTGAAGGAAATAAATTGAATTCCACTTCAGTTAAAAGTCTTTATCAGCTAAATACATTTAAAAGACAAACAAACTGTCTTTAAAAATGGGGAACTTATATCAAGAGTAACAGGCTTTGTGATTTTGGACAAACTGTTGATGAATTAAAAAAGAACAAATCAACTAACTAGATAATTTTCAGACTACCTGATAATACAGCCACACCTCCAAAAGAGTTAAAACCTTGAGAATAAACAGATATTCTGATAAAATTGAATTTTAATGGTTTCAAAAGCAATTTTATCCAACGAATCAAAAATATCTGCTCATTTCAAATTTAATGGCTGCAACATGTTTTCAGAAAGTTGTGGCTGAGTCTCTGAGATGGGAAAGAGGTTCATCAATCTGTGAGCGACTGCGTGAGCTAATAATTCAACAATTTCAGAATAATGTTCCTGAGTGTCAAAGAATTAGTGGATTTCAACATCTATAGTACATGATATCATTAAAAGATTCAGAGAATCTGGAAAAATCTCTGTACAAAAGCTACAAGGACCAAAACCCAGACTGGATGGTCCTGATCTTCAGGCCTCCAGGCAGCAATGGGTTATAAACAGACAGGACTCTGTAGTGGAAATTACCACATGGGCTCAAACTCACTTCTAAAAATCATTGTCTGTGAACATCCACAGCTGCAGATTAAAACTGAACCATGCAGAGAGGAAACAATATGATCCAGAAAAACCAGAGACTGCTCTGGACCTGAGCCCGATGAAGGTGGACTGAGGGGAAGAGGAAAACTGTCCTGTGGTCTGATGAATCAAAACCTGACACTCTTTTTGGAAATCATGGATGCTAGACCCTCCATTCCTAAAAGAAGAGGGGCCATTTTCCTCAAATACAGGATTTAAATGATTTGCAAACCATCCAAATTAGATTTCAGTGATACTTTGTACTCCTGTGGAATAAAGGTAGTAACTGTTTTTATAAAACTGTTTTTAAAAATTCTCTGTGCAGTGATGTTCTCATGACAAACTGTGATTTCAGGAAGTTTAATTTCATGTATAAATATTTAGTTTCAGCTGTGTGAAAAAAGAACCTCATTTAAAAAACAGTGAAGTTAAGAAACTGCTTGTTTGAAGTCAGAAATATTTATCAGGTAACTTCTGATGGAAACATCAACACAAACATCTCAAACAATAAATTACTCAGAGTAATAAAACAGCGATAATCATCCTCCTGAATGTTTATAGAAAATCATCTCGTGTGTCATCACCTCTTTGAAATAAACTTCTTCAGCTTCTGTCTCAAACATGCTGAATATTTCCTGAAGAAACTGACGTTTTGAGGCTGTAAAGGGTTAAAAATCCAGAAAAGATCAGCTGAGCTCTAACAGAGACGAAGTCAGAGAAATGAGGGACGCTGAGAGTCCACGTGTTTCACAGGTCTCAGGGGTCCAAACCATAGACTGTATATAGAATGGACAGTGTCAGCCTCCTCGCTGGGTGAAGCCACTCCGAGAACAGCACCCTCTTATGACGGGCTGCAGTATAGATCATAAATCCCGCCTCCGCCAGCAAAGTTTATGGAGCTGTGGACAAACTTTAGAAATTTATTACGCAGCACATAATTTTTTCCCCCTTGCTTGCGATGTTGACATGTAGCTATTTTAAGACTGGTCTGTACTCAAGTCCCTTTTTTTTCTGTGAAACTCCATTTTTAAAAGTTATTTGGGGGTTAATGTTTTCTATGATTGACACTTGATACAGCCTTTGGGCGTACAAGGATTGCGTAGCTCACTCGGGGGGATACGCTGTTTGAGCCAAGCGTCATCTCGGCGACTCTCCCGCCGAATGCGTACAATGCTACTGCGCAATGTTGGTTTCAGGAAATGGAGAGAAAACATGGAATTACCGAGAGCTTTTTGGCTTCAAATCTGTATACTGGCGGAAGGCGGAACAAAGTTGTCCATAGTATAAACAGTCTATGGTCCAAACTAAAACCTGGAGAAGTTTGGCCTCTAGGGGACGACTGCTAATAATTTAGGGCTTCTGGGACAGTCATAAAATATAAATTTCTGAAATCACATGAAAGTCTCCATGTTTAATTTTCTTCATCAGGGCTTTCTCTCAGGCTGAAACTTCAGTAAAAAAAGCCCAAACTCTTCATAGACCAGGACCTGGGATTACTGAAATATTCCGACCAGGACCCTCAGCGCCCCTTGTTTATGATTGGTGGACTCGTATTTTTGTCTGTTTTAATGATTAAAGACAGAATCGGCGTCTCTGGTTTGTTTTGCGGTGGATGAAGGCAGCATTCAGATCAGTTTGTGGTCTGTCAGAGAACCTCAAACCAGGACTTACAGGTCCAGTACTAGTCCTCCCTACAGTCAGATATCTGGTTGATTTCTGCAGCAGAGACGTAGTGTGACTCCTCACAGACCAGACAATAGGAGCAATGCATGCTGGGACGGCACACAGTGAGTCCTGCTCCTTGTCTACACATGGTAGCTGTAGTCCATCAGATAGTCCTTGAGTCTGTTGGGCAGAGGCAGATCCTGGACCCGCTGAGTCCTCCTGTTGATGGCGATGCGGCACAAGTGCTGCAAGGGGGGCGTGGCCGTGTACACGGGTTTGGTGAGAAGCAGCTGCACCGTGCCATTTGGCGCTGTAGCAGACTGAGAGTTCGATGGTCCCGTTCTGTCGCTGGTACGGGACAGGTGGACGTAGTGCTCCACCAGGTGGACCACGCTGTCAAACTGCTTCAGCTTGGGCTTCACCAGAACCACTGAGTCCAGCTTGAACTTCCCGTGTTTGTACTCAATCCGCAGGTTGGTGGGACCTGCTGAAGTCATGGCCGAGATGGTGAAGAGGTAATCCCTCTGAGAGCTGTCCCGCACCAGAAAGGTCCCCTCGGACGAGTCCTGCAAGATCTCTTTTGCCTCATTAGCAGTCAGACTGCCCCAGTACCAGCCTGAGAGTCCAGAGAGAAGACAGAAAATGTGAGAATCTCAAAGTCAGCAAGAACGGCTCACACAGCTTCAAACTAAGACCTCCATCAGTTCTTTGTTGGCACCATCAGTCTCTTTGAAACCAGAAAAAATGAACAAAGCCCAAACCATGGCACCCACAAAAACAGGATTAGGAAATAAGACCAAGAAGGAAAAACCTCAAAAGCCCTAAAGATACTGAGCACAAGATCCAGTTGACCTTATTTAAGGTGAAAGTATTTTTGATTTTCAGTCAGTCTCGCCTCCTTCTGCCAGATCTGTAGTCTCTCTCCGAGATTTTAAATCAAAAACTCTTTCCTTAACTGGGATTGGAGTCTTTGAAAACTTTTGTTTCAACCTCTGACTGAAACGCCTCATTTAAGTCACTGTCTCTTTAAGAAACTTCAAACACCCCAAGAGCCCAGCATTCTAGAACCCGACATTGGAACACCCAGCATTCTAGAACTCAACAATGGAACACCCAGCATTCTAGAACTCAACAATGGAACACCCAGCATTCTAAAACTCAGCATTGGAACACAGAGCATTCTAGAACCCGACATTTCGAGAATGAGCTTTCAGTGGAATACAGCATCTGAGAACCAAACTGGAATTTTTGCTTCTGGATTTCTCAGTTTTGGATGTCTTACGCTGCGTTCGAGTTACTTCGGAAGTCCGAGCTAAAAATGATGTCACACCCGAGTTCCCAGCATTTCAGTTACCAAGTCGGAAAAAAGCGAAATCAGAGGCCTGAAACAAGACGGCTAAATCTACGAAGGTTATTTTAGCACTTACCCTGTATTTGGACAAGGCAAGTGCTAAAATAACTTTCATCTTGTTTCCGCCTCTGATTTTGCTTTTTTCCGACTTGGTAACTGAAACGCCGGTAACTCGGGTGTCACGTCATTTTCAGCTCAGACTTCTGACTTCCGAGGCGACTCGAACGCACCTATAGTTCTGTAGAGCTGGCTTCTGGATGACTGTGTTCTGGAATCCAAAGTTCTAGAATGCTAGGCTCTTGAGCTTTGGATTCTAGAACGCTATGTTCTGGAATGCTGGAGTTTGGATTTCCCTGGCTCTGGATTGCAGGGTTCTAGAATTACGGATTTTTGGATGTCTTGGTTCTAGAGAGCTGGATTCTATAAGACTGGGGTTTCAAATGCTGGGTTTTGGATTTCATGCTTCTGGATTGCTTTTAACCAGATAAAAAAGTTCTCTCAGGAACTTTAAAGAAAGACTAACTCAGTTAAATCTTTGAGTGAACTCTGCAGCTCTCCTTCAGTTATTATGTTACGTTCAAAAACATGAGGAACTGAACCTTTTAAAATAATTAGATATTCTAAAATAATTGAATTAATTCATAAATCATTGCAGCAGAGTTGACCTTTTGCCACTTTTTCTGGCTCTGGTTTCAAAAATTGGGCCAAAGTATGTTCTCTTCAGTTTTGATTCAGGCTCAGGTTGTTATTCTCAGAATCTGACGGTGTTACAGAAAAGATCCCTGCAGGGAGAGAGCTTAATGTCACAGAGGAAGAGGATTCTATCAAACAGTAACAGCTGACACATCACTCTGTACAGAAACAGCAGGATACATTCAGAATAAAACTGAGATTTTACCTCTCAGACCAGAGGATTGGTCAGTTTGTCTGTGAAATTCTGGGACTCTGGTGTTTTATATGGCTTATTTTAATCCAACCCAGTATTTGTGTTACACAGAGTTTTACTGGATAAACTGACAGATGGAGTCGGCAGTGGACCGAGGACTCCTGTGTCCTGTGAGGTTAAATTCCTGTATTTGTAAGTGGAGTCTGGTGTCAGAGTAGAGAGGGATTAACAACCCATTCTGGATGCTGCTCTAAACTATCATCTCCATGCTCTTTCTAATTCCCTTATTTGGAGAGTTTGTTTGGTTGCAGTTTAGGGTAAAAAGGAAAACAGATGTGACACCAAATTTCTACCAGAGCTCATTTTTGTCATAAAAAAAAAAAAAAGTGATTTTTATAACTAGTACGGTGCAGAGACTTAAGTCTGAGGTATGCAAGTCTGTAGGTCTGTAGGGCAGAAAGTGGACCAGAGTCCCGGAGTGTCCTGGAGAGTCTGGGACCTGATCCAGCTGCTTTTCTGGCACATAATGAACCTGCATTTTCCAGCTAATCTTAGAGGGGGGCTTGAATAGTTTATTAAGCTCAATAAGGTGGAAGGACGACTTAACCCCCGAGTTTGTTTAACCCAAACATTCACGCTTTTCACGTACCTGTGTTCCTCAGGTCCTTCATGGCTAAAGCGATGCGGCTCTCGTCTGATTCCACACTCCTGGAGTTGTTGTCGGCTCGTCGGTCACTCTCGATACTCTCTGAAGACTCTGAGGACTGGCAGGTCATTGGACAGGTCCAGCCTTCAGCCTAAGCATTAGGCCCACAGATCAGACATGGGATGGGTCCTTGAAACAAATAAAATCCATCAGAGAGGTCAGACCAACCCCCTCAGAACCGACCGCCTCAAACAACCACTGTTCATCCTGCAACTCCAGCTACAACCTTTGATATTGAGAAATGAGGCTAATGCCCCACAAACGGCAGTTCTTTGAGTGTCCACTAGAGGCTGTGTCCTGCAGTGAGTCAATCCCCAAAGAGTGTCATGGGAAAATTCACAGCTAAAATAAATATGTACTTAATAGATTTGTTTACTGATTGCAAGAGGATTTTACCTGAAAGCTTAGAGTGCTTAGGTGTTTTGTTCAAGAGTCTCATTTTAAGTTCTACGTAAAGTAAAATTCTGTGGAAGCACCACTTCAAAAACTTATCAAGATCTTGAAATATCATATTCAAGGCAAGAACTGAGGGCGTGAATAACCTTTTCTGATTTGTGGGTCAGAAAACAACCAGAAAGAACATCTAAGTCTTGAAACATGTGGCTGAGAAATTACATAAGAAGACGTCATAGAGGTTCCATTCAGACTCGCTCAGAAACTGGAGAAGAGTTCAAGTAAAGATGAGCAAATTAATTTTAAACGAAACGAAATTGTTTAGAACTGGTGATTCAAATACTGAACTTTTACTCTGCTGGTTTTCTCAAACTGAACATCTCTGTCCTCTAAGAAGACCAAACAGAGATTCATTTTGTGACTTTGCATCAAGAGGTCATTACACAACAACTAAAATTTAACCCGAGGAACTGCATGCTGTGTTTGTCTTTATGCATGTCAAGATTCTGACCGCGCTGAATGATTCTGACTGTGCATCAGGTTCCTGACAGGGCTGTGGGCTGTTTCTGACTGAGTGGCATGTTTCTGACTCAAAGGTGTGTTTCTTTGTCTTAATTATGTTTCTTTCAGCACAGCTTATGTCTGACTTCACTGCATGTTTCCTTCATCCTTCTGTCTGTAGGATTAAAGGGGTGAACAGTGCAATGCTTTTGTGCGTCTGCTTCTACTCTAAGCTGGCTGCACATCAGCTGATTAGCATAGAAACCTTAAATTAGTTGAAATTTGAACAGAGTTTGGTGTGACACAGCATTTTTCTCAAAGACCTTCCAAGAAAACAAAGATAAGTGACTAAGCAGCTCCTCACTGTGACAAGCGTAATGAATCTCAATAAGTATGGAAAAGCTGAATTTGACCTATTAAAGCAGGAGATGTCACTGTAATCATTTGTTCTCCAGCGTGAAACTGTGAAAGTTTCCTCTGGAGTAAATCTGCAGGGTTGATCTGGTTTAGAGTAAAACACACTAAGGAGTTAAATCAGGTGTGAATAATTTAAAGGAAGCTGGGAGGAGCATTTTAACATATTTATTATAAGTTAACCAGAGTAAAACTAAAAGTTCTGATCAGCAATCAGCTCTAAATTTTTAACTCAACTGAGAAGCTGTTACAAACTTTATCCTAGAATAAATCCAATCTTAAAGTTGTCCTTAAGGGACTTAAATTAACTTGTTTCTTTACCTTTAAGTCTAATGTAAACAGAGAGCAGAGATGAGAATTATTCAGCTTTCTAAATAGACTTGGGCATATATTCAATTTTTAAAATGTATTTTTGAAGTATTTTAATTCTCTTCATAAAGGTAACAGGATAAATCCTCTGTGGCCCTGAACTTTGGGTTGTGTTAAATGTTTTTGTACTTTGTTTCATGAATGTTAGTACAGTTGACCTTCACTGTTGCTGCACATGTTGCTGTTTTCGGCTGTAATAAAGAACGAACTGTGAGAAATAATAAATGTTTAAGATAGAAAAAAGCTGCAGACTGAGGTGGTGTAAAATTGTCAAAATTAAGAAAGGGATTTGGCACATGGAACTGGTTATTTATTCTGCTGTCCTAAAATATCTCTTTATTGAATATTATGTCTAACAGCCGGATTTAAGAGGAGACCGTGGAGATGTTTTTATTATTATTATTGTTGTTGTTCTAGTCGGTTTCCCCGTCAGCGAACAGCTCAGTATTTTTAAATCGTCAACATTTTAAATTAAATTTGACGAAGGGATATTCGCCTTCCATTTCTAGGCTGGAAATGTATTCACCTTTTATTAGACATTTTCAAACTAAATACTCTAAAATTATTATTCTAAATAATGCCGAAATAAAAACAGTAGTAAAAGAAATATGAATGTATATTTTTGTTGTTGTTTAGGTGTGATTTTCCACCGCAAAGTAAGGTGACTCAAATTTGTCGAAATAATGAACGGGGTTTGGTTGAGAAATCTCTGTTGGGAGATCAGTAGCAGCAGCTCCGGTGATTCCCTGTATGGTTCATCACCTCCTCACCTGTCTGTTTACCGTGTAATAATAACACACCTGGTTTCACTGATTTGTTAAAAAGGATTAAAATCAAGCTAACGTACCTCCGTTGGCTCAGAAGCAGGGGTTTCAGTTTCTCCTCCGACAGCTTCAACGCGACATGTCGGCCGTTTTATCCGGTTAAATCCGCCGACCCGGTTGGTCGGTCGGTCGGCCAGGTCATAAGTTCTTATGGTCCGTCTAATTCTCCCGAGGTTAACACACAAACAGCAGCTCGGTCCGGAGGTCTAGATGCCGGGGAAACCGATCCCTCCACCGTCCGATAAACCCGTCAGAAGCACAGCGACTACACGACAACTAAACCCGGATTTACTCCCGTTCAGACGCAGACAGACAACACCGTGACACGGCGAACATCGTGTCCGTCCTTCAGGCTCCGAGCTCCGGATACAGCGTGTGTGCCAAGCCGCCGAATCACCGAGAGAACCAGGAACAAAAAGAAGCGTTTCCAGGAACTTTCCAGGAATACGGTCACGTGGTGCAAGCGAGGAGCGATTTAAGGTGGTCCGTGTTTACACACACACACACACACACACACACACACACACACACACACACACACACACACACACACACACACACACAGAGATATGTATTTAAAAAAATCTACATACATATGAACACACAAGCACATGAACGCGCATACACATAAACACACTGACAGACACACATAAACACACACTGACGGACAAGTGTGTGTGTGTGTGTGTGTGTGTGTGTGTGTGTGTGTGTGTGTGTGTGTGAGTGATTTCAGGTGTGGTGTGAAATACGTAGATTACAGGTTAGATGCACGCGCTCACTGCAGAGAGACCTCAAAAACAGACCTGAGGTCACCGAGTGCAAACACCCCAAACACACACACACACACACACACACACACACACACACACACACACACACACACACACACACACACACACACACACACAGAGTGAGTCCATGTACGGTAGGGGGTTAGGGTCATATTTAAATTTGTTTTTGAGTTTTGACTTTTTAGAAAAACTTTCTAACTGAATACAATATGTATATATATATGTTTTATTCCAGAGTTTCTAAAATAAAACTAACATTTAGAGTTGATCAAATAAAATAAACATTTGGAGTTTTTAAAATATTTTGATTATTTGTTTATTTTTACTTATATTTTATCTATTATTTATCTCCTCTTTCTACTTTATTTGCACTGGAGTTACTGTCACAAAAAGCAATGTCCCCTAGGGGATTATTAAAGTATTTCTGATTCTGATTCATACTTTGCAGTTTGTGTCACTGCCCTAATTATGAGCTCTTCACTGATTTATTTCTATGGTTTTATTTTTCAATATATCTGGTTTGCTTTTTAAGTCACCAACTCGAGAAAGAAAATCTGGATCTCACCTTTGAGAATCTGTTCGGGTCAGCATCTGACAAAGTATTCAAGTCATTAATGAAGTATTTGAGGGAGACTGGCTTATTGTACAGAGTTTAACTTTGGAGCTTAGTGAGTATCAGTTTGTGACCCTAAATGATTCACAAATTGCCCTCACTGACTCTTACAAATATTTAGGAATTTGGCTAGACAGTAATCTATATTTCAAGACTCATATTCAGAAATTAATCCAAAAATTAAATTAGGCTTTTTATACAGAATCAAAGGCTGTCTACCACCGCCCAACCGAAAAATCATTGTACAATCCACCTTCATGTCTGTCCTTGATTATGGTGACATCTTGTATTGCCATGCAGCCCCATCAACTCTTCAGCTGTTAAATCCTGTGTATCATAGTGCACTACGTTTCATCACTAACGACACATTTCGCACTCATTACTGTTCCCTCTATCAAAAAGAAATATCTGTCTCATGTTATTTATCTATAAAGCTCTTCTGCTGAAGCTTCCCAGCTACCTCACATCTCTGCTTTCATTTAAACCTAGTAGCTACAGAACATGATCCAGTAACTCTCTAACCTTAGATATTCCATGTACCCGTATTAATATTGGCAGAACTGGTTTCAATTACTGTGCTCCCTTTGAATGGAATAAGCTGCAAACCGCCCTTAAACTGGACTCTTTCATTCATCTTGGAGATTTCAAATACTAGTTATCTAATGTTTACAATAATCGCTGTAACTGTTTAACTGATTCCTTTTATTATTTTTAACCTCTTGTTTGTTTGTTTGTTGTGTGTTGATTGTGAATGTTCCTTGTTCTCAGGCCTCTCTTGTAAAAGAGCTCTCGATCTCAATGAGACTGCCTGATAAAATATAGATTAAATAGAAATAAAAATAAATACGTATAGGCATACATCTTTTTTTCCCCCAGCTAAATTTCCCGCGCTACACTCCAATCCGGTAGGTGGCGATAATGCTTGTTCAGTTTGTTGCCAACCGCCAATAAAGCGAAGAAGAAGAAAGTTAGCGCGGGTAGTTTGACTTGCTAACTGCTACAAACATTAGCTGACGTCGCTCCGTCGTAAAGGTGAGTTTATTCTTCAAAATTTCCCCGAAAAGTCCTCTAAAACCTGAACTTTTACCACAGAAACGCTTTGGTAAGTTGATGTTTTTAAGATTAGAAGAATATAACAGATGTTTTTGTTTTATTCTGGTTTATAAAGTCGATTTGTCTCGATGCAGCAAAATATCCTGATTATTTTCATTTATTATTAAGACGTTAAAGCTTTAAAAGAAACGGGAATAAAATGCTAATTCAATTTTTAGACAGTGATGAATGTTTGGACACAGTCTGAGTTATGTTTAACCAAAATGACAAGAATTAGACTGAGATAATCCTCCGTTGTTAAAGCCAAACTCTGAACTAAATAACTTATTTCTCACCGAATATATGAGTTAAATGGTTTCAAACTGATGTTATTTGGACCCCAGCTCAACATTCATGTAGCTTAACTCCAATTTAGACCTATAAACCCTGATATATGACCGTCTGGGTGTCTGTGTTGACAGTGAAGCCGTCCTCATGGAGTCTACGGAGAGCAGGTATGCTCACCTGCTGCAGCCCATCAGAGAGCTCACCAAGAACTGGGACATCGACGTGGCTTCAGAGCTCAATGATTACCTAGAGGAGGTACAACTTCTATTAGTATTATTGTTATTATTATAACCTTTATTTAACCAGGTTTGTCCCATTGAGATCCAAGATATCTTTTGCAAGAGAGATCTGGACAAATACAGTTTCAATACATAATCACATTAATCATTTACAGTCAAGCCCAAAATTATTCATACCCTTCTCAGTAATCAATAGAAAAGCCTTTATTGGTTATTACAGCAATCAAGCGCTTCCTATAATTGCTGACCAGCTTTGAATTGAAGAGAGGCATTCATGTATAACACATCACCGTAATCAATAATCAAAAGAAAGGTTGACTCCTCTAGTTTCTGTTTCACCCTAAAAGAAAAGCAAGACTTATTTCTAAAGTAAAATCCAAGTAAAAGCTTCAGCTTCTTAACAGTCGACTGAATATGTGCCTTAAAAGACAAGTGGTCATCAATCAAAACCCCAGATGTTTAAAAGTAGATACAAGTTCAGTTTGTTGACCATTACTGGTTCTTTATTACCAAAGAACAGACTCAGATATTCACATTGTTTGTTTGTCTGACTCCTGCCCATGTGTGTGTTTGCAGCTGGATGAGATGTGCATCACATTCGATGGAGGGAAAACCAGACTGAACTTTGCAGAAGCTGCGTTGCTGATTCAGGGTTCAACCTGCATCTACAGCAAAAAGGTAAAATAACAGAAAGTAAACCGATGTTGGATTGAAACTCTGAGCTGTTTGAGGACAAACTCATCTTGTGTTTCAGGTGGAGCTGCTGCACAATCTAGTTTACCAAATGCTGGAGTACGTTAACGACAGAAACAAGAAGTAAGTGTTTGATTCAGATTAGAGATGCTTATCGTTATGATTATAAGGTAACAAAGATGACTTTCTTGTTGGTATTGTCAGACGATCCAAAGAGGCGGAAGGGAATCCAAAGGACAGTACGGACAGCGCAGCGAAGAACCGTGATGCTGACAAGGTGGCGGAGGTGAGGAGCAAGATAAGATAAGATGTTCCTTTATCAGTCCCACAGGAGGAAATTCCAAAATTACAGCAGCATAGCATAGATACAAAAAGAGAAAAATTAAAAGATAAAGAAACTCTGAGCTAAAAACAAGATATGTGCATGCGTCATATTTACATCTGTACAGAATATTAGCAGTAATAATAGCAGTACCTACTTCCAGACCAGCAGCTTTAGAGATGATTTCATTCTCTCCATGTACCCAAACAAGCCGTGACTCTTACTCTTATTGCTCTGTGGACGAGTGTCAGTCAGTGTTTGCTGCTGGATGAGGGTTTTGTGTAAAGTTTTGCTGTAAAAACTTCTTAGTCCTCATGTAGACACTCAATCTTCTCTTGCAAGCAGGTAAACATCTATTCAGGCTTTTGAATCTTTGGTAACTTATGTTTGTATTAACCTGACTTTTGATCAAACTCATAAATTTATAATGTTTCCTTAAAAAATTAAAAGTTGAGTTTTCTTGTTAAACCCATTTCACACAAACTTAAAGGGATATTCCGGTGTAAAATTAATTAAGGGTCAAACACATCGAAACGCTTAGTTAGACACCGCCTCAAGAGATGAATGTTGCAGACCGCTTGCTTCTCTAGTTATACCAACTTTAGTAACAACCGCACAATAGCAATACACAGCAGTCTGAGGAGCCAAAAACAAACCTCAACCAAAACGCCACTCTATAGCCACAAATAATGCTCAGAACAGCACCTAACTTCATCAACAGTACATGTAGGGTCACAGCCATAGCACTAGCCACCAAACATCTTTTTAACTTACCCTGATTTCTTTAGCAAAGAGACTAAACACAGCTCACCCTCTCTCCTCCAGCAGCCACTTGTTTGTAGCGAGACCTCAGGCCAGTCTATTACGGACTACAGCGGGGTGTCGTAGCTCAAGGAAGAACATTTATGATCATTTCTTCATGGAAATACAATCAGACCGAGACGCTAAGGCAGAAGAACTCCCGCGTTTGCAGTGCAAAATGATTAATATGATGATTATTACGTAAGGAAATGATAAAGAAATTATCATAAATGTTCTTCCTTGAGCTGTGTCACCCCGCAGCAATCCGAAATGGACTGGCCTGAGGTCGCTACAAACAAGCGGCTGCTGGAAAAGGTAGGTGAGGCGTGTTTAGTCTCTTTGCCAAAAAAATCAGGCAAAGTTAAAAAAATGTTTGGTGGCTAGTATTATGGCTAGGACCCTATATGTACTGTTGATGAAGTTAGGTGCTGTTCTGAGTATTATTATTTGTGGCTATAGAGTGGCGTTTTGGTTGAGCACGTGGCTCTCTGTATTGCTATCTGCAGTCGTTACTAAAGTTGGTATAACTAGAGAAGCAAGTGGTCGGCAACATTCATCTCTCGGGGGGGTGTCTAACTCGGTGTTACAGTGTATGACCTTAAATTAATTTCACGCCGGAATATCCCTTTAATTAACATTACGTGGACTTGAACAAACATCCAACATGAGGGATCAGTCAGTGGAGCTCCTTCTGAATCTCCTCACGGACTGTTTTATGATATTACGCCTCAAGAAACAAACAGTAAAAATCAGATTTTTTTCAGTCTTTAACTGATTTTCTCTCCTTGAGTCTGACTCTGATCCTAATCTGACTCCTCAGTTCACTCCTCTGGATCTCAACCTCACAGAAGGGTCGCGGAAAGCCAACTCCCGCATGGTCAGTTCACACACACCGACTCCCTAAACTTGGCGTATGTGTGATGATAATGATACCTGCAGTTTGTTCTGATGTGATGAACATTAACCCTTCATTTTTGTGATGTTCAGAAGGTGAATGTGACTCCTCTTCCTCCTGAGGCTCTGATCGCTCTCGAATCTCATGAAAAGCAGAAACTTCCTCTCTTCAGGTCAGTGCGAGCTCTGAGTTCTACAAAACGGTTTCAGAGTGTCGGTGTGAGTTACTAAAACCGCTTGATGTTTTTGTGTTTGCTGCGCGTCAGTGTGAGAGGGGAGATCTTGTACAGTCTGAAGGATTTCAGGAGCAACATCTTCATCCCTGGAGACGACGACATGATCCACCTCACTTTTAGACTGTCTGCCTCAAACTTCCTGTTGGAAAATTATCAACCCCCTGCAGAGACTTGGAATCTACTACAAGAAGGTAAAACATCGAGTAAATATCCAATTATGAAATGAGCTCGATGCTGCAGGAGCACATGGTGTGAAAACAGCAGCATACATTCAGAGGGCAAAGTGAATAAAGTTGATTTATTCCTGGGTAAGAATGTGTACAATTATTAGAAATTAAAGTTTTGTTATTATGAAATAAGGTTTGAAGTTAGGAGGTAATTTAGATTTATAAAAAGAAACAAGGTGACATCCAAATATCAGGAAATGTTTTAAAACAATTCCAAGCAGTCCTCCTCAAACTCATTTTCTCTCTCAGTCCCATAAATTAGCTGTTTAAGAAAGATTTCCTCCCTCCAAATACTGCAGGTCAACTTGCAGGTGAAGCTGCAGGCGAAGCTGCCGATGGGTTGGCTAATGTTGTGGAAAACTGTGCGGATGCTGCAGATGACTTCATACCGATGGAAGACTTGGAGCAGGATGCAGAGGAGCACTTGGACAGACATCAGGTCTGTCTGATGGTTTGATTAATGTTCATTAGTCTGTTTGACGATTTCAGTTTCTTATCTTTGAACCCTAGCTGAAGATCACCATCTCATTTCAGAGTTTAAACCTCCTCTCAGAGCCGCACAGTCTGATTTAGTTTCTTCATCCTGTAAAATCTTTATCTTGTCATTTCATGGCTCAGGCTCCGAGTGAAGGCAGAATGATCAGAGAGAGACGAGAGCTGGAGGATGGCAAACTGCAGAGAAAGGATGCTCCTCCTCCTCCTCAGGTGGGATCTTCATCTGTGGAGAGAAATCTATTTTGTCTGTTTTTCTTTAATGATGAACTATTTATTTAATGATGAGTAATTAATTAACTTCTGTCTGTCTCAGGTAAACGTGTGGGCATTACATGACCCCTATGCCGAACTCGGAGGGGAAAAACCTTTCAAATCAGGTGAGTTTGAGTTCTTCTAGGTACTTTAAATCTACATTTTTTCTTGTCCAGGTGAATATTATAAACTTCCTGAGCCCTTTCAGATGTTCTCAGACTGTATCTGTACTCTTTCAGGTAAATGTTATAAAGTTCCTGATGGTCTGGACGATGGGGGGAAGAGGAAACGGAAACGTGGAGCAGCTCTGCAGGACTTCAGGAGCTGGTTAAGAGACACCTGTGAGGATGAAATAAGATCTTTTTTTTTCTCAAGATATTTTACCTCTGAATGAAAGTAAACTTTAAAAAAAAAAGTTTTTTAATGTGAAATAAGTTAAATGTCTTATTTTTGTTGTTTCAGTCGATCCTCCAGAACACAAATTAAAAAATGGACCAACCTTTTCAGGTAAGTTTTAGAGAAAAATACACCACCTTTCATCTCTGAATCTTTTTACATGAAGCAGCTGATTTGTGTTGCATAAACTCCTGTGTTCAAAATGAAACCTCCTTTATAAAACACTTTGATGAATTCTTATTTTAAATATTGAATGTTTTGAAAAATTAAGGTTAATGAAAAAACTGATATATAAATTTTAGATTTTATTTAAATTTCAGACCTGAACTACATTTACCTGAACACCATGAAAGACCGGCTGAAGAGCAAGAGGAGGATCCTCAGGAAACAGGTACACGTGTAACTCTTGACTCTGTGATGGAGGCCTGTGTGACATATGGAGTATAGTCAGTACTTCGAGGCTCGCTGCACATGAGAGATATAAAACCCAACTATCAGGTGTCCTACACTTGAAAAAGGCTGCCTGCACATAATCCTGCTCTGAGTTTTGCTCCTCCCCTCTCCTGTGATGTCACTCAGGGCGTGGTCGTCTCTGAGGAGGAGCTGATGCGGACCCTCCTGCAGCCCACAGAGACGGGGCCACAGCAGCAGGGAGAGGGGGAGCATCTGGAGGACTTTAGACTCCCGGACCTGCTCGGTAGGAACACACACACACACACACACACACACCTCAGTCAGTGTCAGAGGAATTTGTTGATAATTAAAGGTGGGGTTGATAATCATAATAAATCATATAGAGGTTTTGGGGACACTCGGCTGCTGTTGCCAGTGGCTTAAAAACACTAATCGAAGATTTCTCTGCAGGTGGAGATGAGGAGCTGTCAGATAACGAACAGGAAGCGTTTCCTGACGATATTCCTGCAGAGTTTGGAGGAGCTGATTTCATTCCACCAGGTAGAAACAAACCTGTACTGTTTCTCACTCTGACATTATTTAATCAATGGAGGTTCAGTTTGATAACGTCTCCAAACAAAGTTGTAAATATTTAGAGAATTTCACCTGTCTGTGCCTAACCTTATAATACAAACATAAAAAAAGTTACAAAAGGGACCCGACTGCTTTATAAAAGTTGGTTTTGGGTTAAAAGTCTTATTTATTATATGATTAACTCGTTATAAACTCTGGGATCTGTTTTGATGTCAGTGTTTGACTTTCAGATTATCTGCTTTTTCATTGTCTGTGTTTCAGACGTTCAGAAGGACGAGCTGAGTTATGAGGATCTGGTGAAGCTTCGAGTGGTAAGCGATCGATCCTTTACTCTCCTCTTTATCTCGTTGACTCAATGACCAGTGAGTCCGGTAAACGTGTGTTTAAATGTGTGTTTTTCACGTGTGTGTGTTCAGGAGCAGCTGGTGGCGAGCTGTCGCGGTTACACCCAGGAGACGGCGTTGAGTCGGCGAGTTCAAGAGTGGGAGGAGAAGATCAAACCTGACCTGGCGCTGCAGGTAAAAACTCTTCAGTGTGTAAATCTGCAAATAAGCCACGCCATCGCCCAGAAACCAACTGAAACATGATGTCACTTCCTGTTCAGGAGGAGCGTCCCGCCTTTGACATCCACGATTACAGCGATCGGATCATCAGAGCTTTAGACACCATCGGTCAGCGGCGAGCTTTCTACTCCATCGTCTCTGGGATGGAAAACACTGAAGCCTGCAAGTACCTGCTGGCCTCGCTGCAGCTGGTGAGACACACACACACACACACACACACACACACACACACACACACACACACACACACACACACATAGTGAAGTCTGTGTGTGTTTTTCAGTGAGTGTGAATGAGTGTATTAGTTTCCATATGTGTGTATTTAAGCCTAAACTCGTGTCTCTGTGCGTCTCTCAGGCGAACGACTACACAGTGGAGTTGGACTCGGCTGGGGGTCTGGAGGAGAGTCTGGACACATTGGGTCTGACTCTGCTGAGCACTCAGAAAGCGAGGGACAGATTCAAACATCTTGACGGCGTGGACATGTGACCCTAACAGAGGATAAAAATAAATGTTTATTTCTGAGTATTTTTAAATTTTCTAAACAAACATGAGTGTTTTGTTTTGTCTCTGTCCTGTCTCTGAATCATGATCGGTCTGTAAAATCATTAAATTACAGAAACTCTGAGTTATCATCCCATCTGCTGCCCTCTGACTGTTTCTGTTCAGACTTTAAAATATGAGCTGGTTCGATGACAGCGAGAAAATATGTCGGTATATTTTTAAAACTGAAGAATAAAAATGGATTTGTAAACTGAACGAAGTCTAATAATTTAGTAAGATTTGACTTAAAATCAGTTTTTATTTCATCAGAAAGTTTTCACACTTGAAAGATTTGTTACAGACGCAGTGACCCGTCTGACCCGAATGGAGGAGAGTCTTTTCTGCAGGATCACTGACAGGCGCCACAAAAACCTCAGGAACAGTAGTGATCAGATTCAACATCAGAAACTTTATTGTCCCACTCAGACTGACAACAAACAAAATCCTCAGAGTCTGAATGTTTCAGAAGTTAAGTCCTCTCATGCTGCCTTCAGGTAACACTTCCTGTTCTGTGTTCAGGTGCTGTTGAGTGGGACGTAGTTCCTGATGTGGTTCCTCACACTCTCTGTAATCTGCTCACAGTTCTTCATCCTGTTGTAATAATCCAGGAACAGCCCGTCAGGACTCAGCAGGTAGATCAGGATCGTGTGATCCACGATGTAATCTCCGTCCTCGTCTTTCGGCCCAGGGCTGGCGTACACTCTGTAGTCCCGTCCCGCGTGTTTCACTTCCTCCGGCGTTCCCGTCAGTCCGATCAGACGGGGGTGGAAATCTTTGACGTAGCTAGCCAGCGCTGCCACATCGTCCCTCTCGGGGTCGACGGTGATGAAGAGCGGCTGAACAGGAGGCAGCGAGGGGTCGCCGTCCAGCTTGGAGACCACGGCACTCAGCTTGTCCAGCTCATCGGGGCAGATGTCGGGACAGTGTGTAAAACCAAAGTACAGCAGGACCCAGTGGTCCAGGAAGTCCTTCTTGGTCCTGCGCTGGCCCTTGTGGTCCAGGAGGCTAAAGGTCCCCTGACCCAGAGCCACCCGCCGCAGCTGCTCTATTCGTTGCTGCCGCAGCTTCTCCTGCTTCTCCGAGTACACCCACCACCAGGCCGCCATCAGCCCGCTGCCGAAAAGCAGGGTCACCACCAGACGGGTCCGCAGCTTCATATGGGCCGAGCGACTGGATGAGCTCTGATCATGAGACAGGAAACGCCTCAAAGCCAGCTGAGGAAGACCAGAACGAAGGCCGCCATGCCGATCATAAGACAGAATACGCCTCAATGCCAGCTGAGGAAGTCCAGGACGAAGACCGCCATGCTGACTCTGAGATGTCAAAGAAGAAGAAGAGGAGGAGCCAAACGACCTCTGCATGTGATGAAGGTTCCTCAGGAGTCTTCCTCCCCCACACAGGTCCCTAAGGACACACTTGGACCCCAACATCCTCACCTACAGACAACTTCCTGAGGGAGACAAGAAGAGACAAGTGAGTAATGAGGAGTCAGACTTAACCAAAACACAAACAAACACAGACACACTGTGGCGCTGTGATTTGTCCATGACCGGCCAACAATAACAGTAGGGGAGAGTGGGGTAAGATGAGCCATTTTTCATATTTCAGATCACTACATCAAGTCAATCATAGTTTTGTCTCTAACTATTGTATCTGCATACATTTCAAGATGTTCATCCCTGCAAACCAACAGAATAAGTGTAAACATAACTGTTGATAATATAGCATGCCAAAAAAAGTGGTCCCCTATGGTCAACTTACCCCGTGACCATATAATATTTTTTATAAATAAATGTCTAACCCCTTCACCCATGTGCTTCTAACCTTCACAGACTCCATGAATTGACGCCCATCTCCTAAATATTTGGTCACATGATCAATTTCTTTTACCATCAACTTGTTATTTGGCTCAACTGACCCCAGTCTCCCCTAATGATCACAGTATGAGTGGACTAGTGAAATTCAGACACTTCCTGCAGATATTTCGTGTTTTTGCTGCTTTTATTGTTTGACTATAAATCCTGAACTCTAGCTCGGACTCACCAGAGAACACTCGCTTTAATATTTTGAACAGTTTTATCATTAAAATGGTTTAATTCTTAAATAATACTCTCGTCCTCCAGCTCAGTCACCTTTACTCTCACCTGCTAACAGCAGTTTCAGCAGTCCATGCTAACAGACAATAGTGTAAATCTAGTCTTTACGGCGTTTATTAAACACGTTTAATGATTACAAAACGAGCCAAACTTACCTTCAGTCTGCGGACAGGTAAACTGTGGACACGAACATGAAGCTGACAGACGGAGGAAGAAGAAGCCGGTTGTGAAACTCATGAGCTGCATTTACTTAACAAGTAGCTCATGTCCGCTGATTCGACAAACGGAGAGCGAAATATAAAAAATACGGAAAAATCTGATTTTTAAATAAAACATAAGAAAATTCAGATTATCCTTTTTATGTTGATAAACTAATAAAATTAAGTCAATAACATTGTGTTCAAACATCGTTATCTAGCAGCAGATTCGTGTTGTTTCCTCCCCGGAGCTGCAATACCGGGAGTCTCCACCAGATGGCGTCTCCAAGGGGAAACACGCAGCAGCAGTAATGTAAGGCACATAACTCCAACACACACACAAACATACACACACTGATCTAAAGCTGAAGGATGCATAAATTTGTCATCCTTAAACACATTTTAAAGATTGAAAATATGAAAGATTGATTTTTTTTATGTAAGATACATTTAATATAAAAATACTGATTTGATCTGATTGAGTGAGCAAGATAAAGTTGGTGTTTTCCTCTGCAGGTTAAAGCCTTTCGGTCACTTTAAAATCAGACTGTCCTGACAGTTGAGCTGCTGCAGGTTAAAACTCTTTCTCTTGTATATTTTTCTTCCTACTCTCCTTCTTTCTCTCCTTCTTCCTCTCCTCCTACTGTCCTCCCTTCCCCCCATCTCCTTCTTCCTCACCTTATTTCCAGCCTGGGATCGTGTTGCTTAGTAACAGCTGAGAAAGTCATGCGGGATGTTCAGGAAGTTTTCTGCATGTACATTTTTTTTTTTTTTTACCACTGAGTCCTTCAGCAAGTGTCAGTGAAACTATCTCCAACATTTTAAAATAAAAAATGTTACATAAATATTTAATTTCGCTTATAATGATGTTTATCTGTAACATGAAACTACACTTTACTGAAACCGTCTGAGAGTGGAACCTGTAAAATCTGCAGTAAAAACACATTTTTTTTTTTTGTTATTTTACCTCCTCTTAACTTTAAATTCCTCACAGGACCAGGTTGGTTCTGTGATTTAAAAACATATGTTGAAGATTAAAAAAAAAAAAAAAAAAAAAAAAAAAAGTGGAATAAAAAGATTAATGTGAATGATAACTTTTTTGCTTATTTGACATGAGCCTTAATTTGTATATTTAAACAATAGTATTTACACACAAGCTGCTGTCAAAATAAAAACATGGAGACATTTTACAGGCAAAAGACATTGAAATTGCCTTTTAAAATCTCAATTGAAAACATTTATTTATGCTGTATCTTTTTCTTTTTTTATTGCTTTTATTGCTTTTTATTGGTTTTTTTTATTCATTTTTATTATGTATTGCAAAGCACTTTGGTTCACCGAAAGGGTTTTTGTAAATCGCTGTATAAATAAAGAACATTTACATTTTACATTTACAAATAAAAGTAAAATAATATAATACTAAAAAAACAAGTAATGATCCACAGATATAGATATATGTTTTATTGAAATGTTAACAAAATGAAGCCTCGCAGGATGAACATGAACACACCATGAACACACCTGACCTTCAGCCAGGAAACAGTTAATAAATCACGTCATGCAGCCTCATCCTGTATTCCTGTCGTGTGTGTGTGTGTGTGTGTGTGTGTCCCTGTGACGTCACACTGAGAGGAGAGCTGAAGCTGAGGAGGAAATATAGGACAACAGGAGGAAGAGGAGGAGAAGGAAGAAGAGTGTGCTGTGTTCAGTCACAGAGCTGCAACAGACTGAGCTGCAGCGTCAGCATCTCTACACCAGGTATTTATTATACTGTGTATGTGTGTGTGTGTGTGTGTGTGTGTATGTCTGTCTCTGTGTGTGTGTCTCTGTGTGTATGCACAGCATGATCTCTCTGCGTGTGTTTTGGTGGGTTGCAGCAGGGAAATATCAGGGGAGCAGAAACTGTTTTTCTCTGAGAGGACGAGCACAAAGGAAGGTCACAGAGGCAGTCAGAGCTGCAGAGGGATCAGCTGATTATAAAGGAAACTCTGAACGTTTGTTTAATTTGATTCATATTAAAAATACCTGCTTATACTTCATCTTACAGGTAAATATCGATTCTCTTCTCTTCTTGTTTTTGTTACATTGAATTTGTTAGTCTGAGGATTATAATATAACTCACATTAACATATTACTGCCATGCTGTTGCTATACACCTTCCAGCCACCAGGGGCAGCACTTTGTGTCATATCTCACTTTATCGCCACCTGAGATTAATTACAGGTGTGTTAAATTCAGCAGCACTAAAGATTTATGTTTGGTTATTAGTTTGGTTTACTCAGAGGAAGTTCAGCAGATAAAACAGGAAACTGAGAGAGCGGTCAATCTCGGGTTAGAGTCAGGTTTAAGTTAACTGGTTAGGTTAACTCTATCTCTGAATCTCATGGCGGATGCCATCCTCTGTGCAACAGAAACAGCAACTAACCTCAAGGCTGAAGCGTGCAGGATGCTCTGAGATGTTTTTACACCTTGTGGTCAGTTTCGCTGTTTTTATTGGTCAGTCAGTGTGACCTCACAGCTGGTGGTAAATCATTGGTCTTGATTTTGGATTGCTGATTGGCACAGAACAGCAAGCCAATCAAAATCAAGGATGCTGGGCAGAGCCGGCCCAAGCCTCAATGGGACCCTAAGCAAAATATGATGATGGGGCCCTCTATTTCTGCCAATAATATTGATTGTTGATCATTCAAACACTTACTACAGTATAGATTTAATGCTCCTGACATATCTTTACACATTTAAGGGGGTGGCCTAGGTGATAACATAAATAATACCAATGCAACTATACAAATAATACCAATGAATGACTGATGAATGATGATCAGGGTGCCACATATAGTTTTTAATCTCAAAATGTAACACATTCAGGATGCTCAGTGCACATTGCACAGCAGGAGGCACGTAACGGTAGCCGAGCTTTGACATATCGACGGTAAGAATCATAAGCCTACATCAGCAGCAGCACTAAAATGTTTTTACTTTATTTTATTTTATTTTTACAATAATATTTTGATCATACAGAAAGCTTCACTCATACATGCAGAAAATAAAAAATATTTATTTATTTTTGATTGCTCTTGGGGCCCCCTATTGGCCGAGGGGCCCTAAGCAGGCGCTCAGTTCGCTTATGCCTCGGGCCGGCTCTGACGCTAGGCCATCTCTGATGTTTGTGATTTCATGGCATTTGTTGTGAGACAAATGTTTATACTCTGTCTCTCAGTCGTCTCTGTCAGACTGTCAAAGCTACATGAAGCCTATGGATATAAAACTGAGAAGTGAAACTGCAACTCCCATGGTGCATTGTTTCAGCCTAAAATATAAATATTTTTGATCCTGCACTGCACCATTAAGCTGCAGCTTCAGTTAATTTGACGCACAGCAGCAGCAGAGGATCATGGATGTTGGAGTTTCATGTGGAGGACAGAGACTGATGATGAGAAGATGAAAGTTTATGAATTTTCATCCTCCAGCAGTCGATCTGAGTTTCTTTTTTCAGTCACTTAAAATCAATTAGACACAAAAACTTCTGCTTTCTTGTTTCTTTTGCTAGATCAAAAATATTTAAACCATAAAAATAAAATACAGACTGTTAAATCTGAATAATCCTGTGATCAGGTCAGATCTGTTTACACCGGCCTCAGCATCCACCTGTGTGGTGCAGTGTTAGTTGAGTTGTGTCGCAGTTCTCCCTCACATCTCCCTCCCTCCCCTCTGTCTCCCTCTCCCTCCCTTCCCTGTCTCCCCCCTGTCTCCCTCGGTCTTCAGTCGTCTCTGAGCTCCAGCACAATGAAGGGGCTGCAGCGGCTCAATCTGCCCGGAGCTTGAAGACCCTCCCTGGGCTGTGTCTGCCTCGTACTCCCTCCTCCTCCCCTCTGTGTGAGGAGCTCTGATCCTCTCTGCAGCAGCGTCTCTCCTCCGTCAGCTGAAAATGGATGGACTCCGGCTGCCACCACTCATCGAGGAGGTCCTTGACTCATCAGGTCAGTCTGTCTTTAGATCAGCAAAAATCCTAACAAGGTTTAAATGCATTTTTTTTTTTTTTTCGTTTTTTAAACTCATGGTTTTATTTGGTGCAGATCAGTTTCTGTTTGGCTATCAGGATGCTGCATGGAAGGCTTTTAATCTGAAAGTCTACGCAGGATGCTAAAAGTGGTAGTCCCTGTACTGTTAGAGCTTTCATTTAAAAACATACACAGATGAAATAACTTAGAGGAGCAGAATCCAAACTCTGCAGAAAACATTTAAAGCAGTTTCCGCTGTCATCGTACCAACAGACCAGAAAAACCCTGAACTCAGATGCTTTTACAAATCTGCATCCTGATAGATACCTTTAGTTTCTGTTGGATGTCATCATGTCTCTTCTGTCTGCAACTGAATTAGTGATGGACACGGCAGTTCTTTTAGATTTACTGAATCACTAGAATCACTTCACTAAAAAGATTCTTTCAAAAGATTCGTTCACCAAATCACTTAAAGCTTGGCGGGAGAGGCCTGCGATCCCGACCTCCTAAACTGATTCACAGCTGAGCATTTCAGGATTCACTTCAATTCATAGTTTCTGGGACTGGGAGTCAAGAGTGTTTGGCTGTGTTGCTTTGGCAAAGGTCATGATGCTTTAAGTGTACTGTCCTATGGTATGCTATTTATCAGGTCTGCTCAGTAAATTGGGCTCAGTAAGTGATTCGTTCACTGAATGTTTAGAAGAATTCACACTGAACATGCACCGTTCCCTCGCAAACCACTTTAATGCAGTATTTGTTACATGCTGTGTCCAATCGTATGCAAGTTGTTGTGGTTGATTCCAGAGAGAGTAGTTCAATGCGTGATTCGTTCATCAAGTGATTCAGGCGTCTGTGCATATGGTTCCTCATGGTTTCTGGCAATGCAGTTTCTCACTTCAGCTCAACTGAAGTGAGAAACGAACGAATCACTTAAGGGAGTGATTTGATTCAGTATGCTCAATTAAAAGATTCGGTTCTTTTTAACGAATCGTTTGCGAATGACACAACACTAAACTTACTGAAGGTGTACAGACATGGCAGAACAGGTGAAGGTTCTGTGGGTGAGGATGCATTACCAGCATTTCCCACACCTATACAATACAATACAAGAGTGGGCTGACAAAAAAGATCAACATTTAACATTTCAGTTATGAAGAGTCTCTGTCTTTTATTTTCATTTTTCAATAGTAAAAGTAAGAGTTACATGAGTCTTCGTCCTCTGTTTCATGTCTACCTCATACTGTACATCAAAAGCAAAGGCGGGGGGGGGGGGGGGAATCAGCAAAGACCTCCAGTGTACAGACCAGAGCAGCATCAGTAAGGATCCTTGTTAAACTAGTAAGTTTAGACTCAGCATAAAATATGGAGCCTGTGTAACTGCAAAGACTGTGTGATTAAAAAAAGGATCCTGGGTGAAAGTACGGGGAAAATCAGCAAAGATACTGATAAAGTCAGACCCAGCATAAAATAGAGAAGCTGTGTTGGAGGCTGGGAGAGCATTAGTAAAGAAGTGTGTGTGTGTGTGTGTGTGTTCAGGTTTAATTGGCAGATGTTTGTGTTAGATCTTTGTATACTAATCGGATGTGAACCTGCCGGTGACTCACCTGTGTTTGTAAACAGAAGCTGAGGTGTGATCAGCTGATTTCACCTGTTTCATCAGGTGTAAATAAATAAACATCGTCCCCCTCATTATATCAGACACTGAAACATCTTCCCTTTGACACATTCAGAGGATCCAGTTCGTTGAAATATTTATAAAGTATAAGTGATTTAACACCTGCAGGTAGAAACAAAGAACCAACATCCCCTGGTGCAGCTCCATGTCACCTTGGTAACAAGTGAGTCATCAGACCAGGTCAGGCGTGATTGGACAGGAGGAGCATGGACAGATAATCAGAGAAACAACAGAGATTATTTTAAATAAGTTTAAAAGTTCAATATTTACCACTTTCTGTTAAGATTTAAAATCTCCTTTAGAGTTATTCTGTGACTTTAAAAAAGTTGAAAAAATAACAAAAAGAAAAACTCTGAATCAGAGGAGCTGGTTAAATCTGACGACTGAATAATCGATTAAAAGAGGGTTTAAATGTTTGATACTGGTGGAGGTGTTTCTAAAGAAATATTAGCTGCTCCTGGTGGAGCCAGAAGACAAAGCAGATGGAGACGGAGCTGCTATGTGCAGCTTAAACCAGCAGATGGAGGCAGAGTCACTGTGTGGAGGTAGAACCAGCAGAGCTTCTTGTTCTCAGAGTTTATAGAGTTTGAGGATAAAGAGTCCAAGTTTGTGTTTCCTGTGTCTTTGGGTTTTTTTATCTTTATTAGTCCATGGTGTTACACTGTGCTTCACTGTGTAATGAGCCCTCAGGGCCACCATAGATCACCGATGAGAGTTTGTGATTAAAAAAAATAGAATTTACTGAGGTGTTTTTATCTTTAATGACTTTAACAATTAAAGTTCAACTTTTAACAGGCTGATGTTTCCTCCCTCTTCTCTAACCCTGACCCCCTCCCCTACAGACGAGCTTTGTGAGCTGAAGGAGGAGATCAAACCTGTCATGTTGGGAGAAACTCTAACTGCCAAAGAGAGAGAGTCTTTGGAGGAGAAAGAGGACACAGTTGGAGATGGAGAGGAGAAAGAGGTGAAGGAGGAGAAGGAGGAGGTGGAGCCAGGAGGTGAAGGAGAGAGGGATGAAGAGGAGGTGGAGGAGCTAAGGGCTCAGGTGATTCAGCTGCTCCTGGAGGTGGAAGAAACAAGAGAGGTTTCTCAGAAACATGAGGAGAGCTTCCTGGAGCTGCAGGGTGAGGGGCTTTTATTTTGAAAAGTTCGATACTTGACAGAGGTATTTTATAAGTCTACTGTAGTACACATTGGGGGAAAATACTATTGTATTCACATCTGCATCTTCAGTCTGCAGGGTTATATCACTTAAACTGCCAGAGAGGTTTTACAGAATAAAAACATGTTTAATGACCATAATAAGAGTCTTCGCATTAACTTAATTAAATTTTTGATTTTAAATCATGGTCGTTTTTTATAAATAATGAATGTCCTTCACTCTGATCTCAGGTCTGTTGGAGGACGAGCGTTTGGCGAGCGCTCATCAAGCTGAGAGTTTCACGCGACAGATCCAGAGACTGCAAGGTGCGTACAGATTTATAAGACTTTATTTATAATTAGTTAATGGCATTATGACACTTAATAATAATAATCAGTTCATTACATTATAAGACTATTTACAATCAGTGTATTATATTATGAGTCTTTATGACCAGTTTTTAATTTTAGACTTAATTTATAATCAGTTTATTAAATAATAAGACTGTTTGTAATTACTACCTTCCTTTATGAATTTTATTTGACTTTTATATTTATGCTACTTCGATCATATATTTTTTTTAAAAATTTAACTTTATTCTTTTCTTTTTCTTTTTTTTTGTTTACCTTCTTACAACTCTTAACTTGTTGTCCCTCCTGTTCCCCTCCAGCCCAGCTGAGGGCGCTGCAGGAGGAGATGGACAGTCTAGAGGAGGAAAAGGAGAGCGAGCTGGAGGAGGCGCAGGAGGAGCTGCGAGCCGCTCAGGAAGAGGTGCTGATGCTGCAGCAGGCGGCCGAGGAGGCGGCGGCTGAGCGGGAGAACGACATCGCCTCCCTACAGGAGGAGCTGTGCAGGCTGAGGGCGGAGCTACAGCGTCTCCATGGTAGCACACAGGAGTACGAGCTGGAAATGACCTCGCTGAGAGCCGAGATCAACATGAAGAGCCAGAACACACACACACAGGGTGAGACACACACACATAGTGCTGTTCCGCCCTGCTGGCTCTGACGCAGCAGATCATCCCTCTTTTTATAACAGGAGAGAAGGATGGACTGCTCCTCTTGCTTATCTCTGTATAACATGACTCTGTGCTTCTTGTTCAGGCGATGTGAGTCAGCTGAAGGAGGAGATCCTCTCTCTGAAAGACGAGCAACAATCTCTGAGCAAAAAAAACAAGGAGCTGATCAGCAAAGTGGAGCAACTGCAGCAGCAACATGACACGTGAGTGGACCAGCCAGCTGTCAATCAACCTGCTCTGTCACTGACTGTGTTTTACTTACTGTTCGGAAATACAGACTCATTTCAATCAGTGAGGAACAGAAACTTGTTTTCAATGATCATCATTTTTGATTTTATGAAATCTTTTGTAGAGGAAAAACTAAAAAGAAAAAAGGAAAAAACAGTCAAGCAGGAATCATAACCGATATCACATTTTCCGTCTTGGGAAAGTGGTGGTAAATTAAAGGGATATTCCGGCGTAAAATTAGGTTAGGGTCAAACACACCGTAACACCGACTTAGACACCCCATCGAGAGATGAATGTTGCCGACCGCTTGCTTCTCTAGTTATACCAACTTTGGTAACGAACGCAGGATAGCAATACAAAGAACCACGCACTCAATCAAAACGCCACTCTATAGCCACAATCAACATACATATAGGGTCCTAGCCATAGCGCTAGCCACCATCTTTTAAGCCAAATTTCTTTAGCAAAGAGACTAAACACAACTCACCCACTCTCTTCCAGCAGCCGCTTGTTTGTACGGAGACCTGCGGGTGAGTCCATCGACTGCAGTGGGGGGCGCAGCTCAAGGAAGAACATTTATGATCATTACTTTAACATTTCGTGTTACAGTGTGTTTGGCCCTAACTTATTTTTACGCCGGAATATCCCTTTAAAAATCATTTTTATTGAACTTCCTATAATAAGAATACAAGTGCATAACTGAACCTCTACACTCTGACTGCTGTGTCCAGGTGTGAGGATGTGTACCTGGCAGTCAGAGGGGAGGGTGACACTAAGCCCAAGCTGGATGATCAGGTGAAGACAGACTCCTACATCACCCTGTCTCAGTCCGGTCCTGAAGATCCAGACTCGGTCCAGGAGGAGGAGGTGTGCAGCTCGGAGCTGAGCCTCCTGAAGGAGCAGCTGAAGGAGGCGGAGGAGACGGCTGAGAGAGTTCAGAGAGAGGTGACGCAGACTTGACAAACTGTATGAATTCCTGTTATTCTGACCTTATAATAAAAGAGGTACTCAGCCTAAAGGCACAACAAATTATCAACACAACACATCCTGACTCTGCGCCTGAAATGAGCTCATCTGAAAGTCATTCAGAAAACAAGAATTTATAGACGCGCTCTGTAAACATTTCTGTATTTCCCTCTGTCAGTGTGACGGTTTGAAGAGCGAGCTGGTAGAGCTGCAGCAGCTGTACGACAGCAGCCAGAAGGAGCGAACAGCGCTCGAGCAGGAGCTGCAGCGCTGCAGAGCTGAGCTTCAGAAACTTCTGGGCAAGAAGTCACAGGTAAGAGGCCGAAGGTCGACTGCTCAGGTGCTGCGGTGCGAGGCCTGATGCTTTCTTTCCTCATGCTTGAAAATCTACTTCAAGACTCGGTTGAATTGGTGCCTTAGTGCAATTCATCAGAGACCAGAACCTGAACAAAAACAGCTCAGGGTCCAAACTGAGAGAAAAAAAATCAGCATTTCTTGGAGACTAATGGGTTAAAGTGAATGTTTAAATAAAAAAAAAATAAGGTAAGTACCAAGGAGAGTACAGGAGTCTCTTCTCCCAGGTCCATGGTTTCTCTGTTCTGTGTGCATGTGGATCGACAGGGCTCCTTGGAAGTTCTGTGGAGCATCATCCGTCTTTTGCTTTCTGGTTTGCCGTTGCTGCAGCTCTGGTCATGTCGCTGATACTTGAGTGTTTTGTCGTGAGCTTCTTTTGAACGTCTGTCGCTTCTTGGCAGTTTGTCGTCATCCAAGCAGTCATCTGTCTCTTCTACGTCCGCTCAACCACCGCTTCCTCTGTGCCGCCTGTGGAAAGGGTTTAATGCGGAGGTGTATTTAGCTTCTGAATGAAAAGACAGCACTGCAGTGGGATAACAGGTGTGAACTCCTTGTTGGCTCAAAATCCCCAAGAACATGTAAAACAACATTTCACTTTCAAACTCAGATGTACTCCGTGTCTTCAGTGATGACTCGTTGGCTTTGGTTTTTGAGGGCATGACTTGAACAAAGTTTAGGACTTTCAGACGTCAGAAGTCCTGACTCATACGGCTCTCCATGGTGTCATCCATTTACACTCTTTTATTCTGAAGGTGTAGTTTCCTCTCCACTTTCATTGCTCTTTTTTCCTTCAAGTTGCTTGTAAAGGCAAAGATCTCTGAAAGACAAGCTGAGGATGTTTAAAATTTGACTCTCACAAGCGCTCCCAAAGCTCGGTCTTGTCTTTCACCATCTTTGACATCGTCCTCTCACCGTTCTGCTCCGTTCTTTGCCTGCTGCTCAACCTTTCTTACCGTCTTTTCTTTCATTTTCATTTTGCCTGCTCATTTATTCGTCCACGCTTGCCTCCTCCTGACACGCTCTGACTTTCTTACTCTGATTATTTTATGCTTTTATTTTCTCTCACCTCAGCCTCCCTCTCTCCATCTCCCCCACACTTCCTTTCCTTTGTCTTCTCCTCAGAACTGCACTCGTCCGTCTGAGTCCCCTGTTCTCTCCATCCCCTTCATAGGAATGATTGTAATTGTGGCCTTGATTTGGTGCTGGTGGGAGGAGCTGGCGTCCTAAATGGGACCAGGTATGGCCACGCCCTTCTTCACCTGTCAACCAGACGCTCTGCTTCTTTTAGCTTCAGAGAGTGGCTGAATCAAGGGCTCATGTACACCAAAACTAACACTTGGTATCGCAGTTATCTTATTTCCTCCTCTATTTCTTCTTCTTGTTGTCAAAAATGTTGAGTGTTTATGTCTTCGGTCACCTTTCAGGTTGTAACTTTTCAGCAATTAGTTTGGCCTTTGGTCTAAACACATATCAAATGTGTTTTTCCAGGTGAAATATTAAGTTAATTTAGAGTTTATGATATCACTGAAGTCAAATTAAACTGTAAAAAGTCTTTGCATTAACATTATTCCTTTTATAAATCAGATACTAAGAGTAACTTGAAAATGGGACCTCTCTTTGGTCTTTTTTGGTGAACTGAAGCACCAAACTGAGCAGGTTTGATAGCATGAAAACCTCAGCAAGATGCATATGACACAAACTAATCAGGAACCTTTCCCTAAGATACTTCAGCCAGGACCAGTTTAGCCAAAGAGAACTAATATTTGCATGCAATGAGTTATATTTGGTGGTATGGCTCTATTCAGATAATACCCTACCCTACAATGTCCACACGTGGGGGAGAGCGTACCCCCCCTCCGTTCAACATGAAAAAGCAAAGGCAGGTAGAGCAGCAGCAAAGACCCCAAGCTCTATTTTGAGCCCCCTGCTCCATGTCCACATGTGAAAAACCAAGGCCTGAGGTCACAACCCCCTTCTGTTTCAAAAAGGCGGGGAGAGAAGCAGCAAAAAAAAAATTGGTACTGAACAGAGCAGCATCGGTGACAATCCACATGACACCAGTAAAATAAGACACAGCGTCAGTAGGAGAAGCTGAGAAGGAGGCAGGGAGAGTATCGGCAAAGATACTGGTGAAACCAGACAACATAAAAAAGAGGAGCTGGGTGGAGGTGGGGAGAGCATCAGCAAAGAAATTAGTAAAATCAGGCAAAGCATGACAAGAAGAAGCTGGGAATGGAAATAGGGAATCTGTAGTAAAAACACTGTTTAGATCAGACAGCACAAAAGTGCATGAAGAGGAGGAGCAGGAAGGGTATCAGCAAAGTGGTTTACAGAGGAAGCAGGAAGAGTGGGCAGGCTGAAGATGTTTAGATAGAACCACCATTTTCACATTTAATGATTGATGGTAGAAGGTAATCAGCTGGGTGGTCGGCTGATATTGGCTGGATTTGAGATTAACTGATGTACAGTGGGCGGAGCTCGACTTTGTTGCCTGCCTGGACTAACACCATGCTAAATTTGTAGTAATGTTGTTGCCAAACAAAAAAGGAACAAAAACAGCTGATAAAAACATAGACTCTTGCAGGTTGTTCTGTCCAAACACTGAGCTGAAGTCAGAGTCATTCAGTCAGAGGCTTTTTGGTCCTTACTGCTTCCTGTAGTGAAGGTTTCAGGAGTGACTGTGAAGTGTGTTTGTGTGTGTGTGTGTGAAACTCAGACAGTTTTATAGCTCTCTTTGTTTCAAGTGGTGCACGTTGATATTTGTTTAGTTGTTTTCAGTCTTTGAGATTTGACTCTTGACAATGTTTATCTGCCGACATCACTTCCTCTCTCCTCAGCACATCGAACCTGAAGGATGGAACCTGGCGGTGGCGGCGGTTGCCGTGGCAGCCATTATAGTTCTGGTGGTTCCCAACTTCACCCGGGCCTGAGGACTGGACAGAAAGTGCCCTCACTGGGGAGTGTGGGATTGTGGGATATCCATCACCCATCAGCGTGCTGCCTTTACACATATCGCTGTCCTGATGTCTGCTTTCAACATCGCTCCGCCCAATTGGACGGCTGTTTGATTGGATGGTTTTAATCCGAGGGACATAGACATCAGTGAGTGTTTGAGGTAAAGCAATAAGACCGTAACTCATCCATGAAGTCGTTCACCGAGATTGAGACCCGTCCTGCAGGCTGACGCTGCAGCAGAGGACGGTTGGTTGATTCAGTGATTCGCTCGGAGGTTTTCAAACCTCATCACCATCATGTTCCAGAGAGACCGAACGCTCTCAGTCTGCATTAACGTTTCAGTGTCTCCTGATAAAACCATGACACAACTGTTTAAGTAAACTGTTCCGACTGATACTAACAGATTAGATTCCCAGAATCAAAACTATCTGAAATAATCTGATTAGATAATCAGTGTCAGAATGATCTGAAATTTACAGATTAGATAAAATTATCAGCAAAGATCATAACATTTAAGAGAACAACATGAAATCAGGTAGATTAGCCTCCGTTTTTATGCTAATCCTGTTTGAAACTCTTAGTGGAATAAATTTGACTGATCCCGGTAGAAGTTGTTGTTGTCAAACTGGATTACAGGAACTGAATTTGTGAAAACTTTTTAGTAGTTAATCTAAACAACAATGTTTCTAAAGATTTTGACACTTCAGATGTTTTTCATCCAGCTGTTTCATTTCTGTGGTCACATATTCGATAAAGCAGACTCTGAAGGTTTCCATCCTCATAAAAAAATCACCAAATTGTTTTAAGAGTTAAAATATTAAATATAAAGCAGCTGTGAGGATCTTTCGGTTTGTGTGGATTTTGGCGCCCTCTGTGGACAGAGCATGTGAACTATGTGGTCTAATATATGGCTCTGGTAATGTGGATTTCTGGTTCAATTTGATTACAGAGGATAGAAAGAAACTGTTTTCTAGATACAGATCGTACTGATTCAGAATAAACTTGATTTTTTTCTTTTTTGTCTATTTAAAAATCAAAAGGTTTTCCATTAACAATGTTATTAAACACAAAAGCTGCAAATACTGCATGATATTATCTTGAAAAACATCATAAAATAGCCAGGACAGCAGCTGAGGACTCTTTATCGACTGTTGTTTCAGTTATTGATTTTTTTGCCTTATCTTTTACAGGATTTTAAAGAATAATTTGCACTTTCTGAGTTAAACTCGTGAACGAAATCACAGTAGCAGATAAACTTTGATTGTTGAATATTACAATTATCATTTTGTCCGTCTGAAAGTTAGTGTTTAATATTTACAGCTTTGTTTGTAGCATGAATAACAGGTCATACAGGGAAAATAATGACTGGTATTTAACCTTCTTTCCTCCTTACAGAAAAACTTAAATCTTCTGTGTTTGAATGTTTATTGTTAGGGGTAGGGTTAGGGTACCAAGCAGTCGTATGTACATCTACAGAAATATAACAGCACTTTATTTTAGCTTCAGAAAGTATTTATTGGAGTTGAAGCTCTTTCTTCCATTAGAGATTATTTATGTTGACTGATTTCACTGTGCCAGTTTAAACTCAGATTGTACCAGAGATTAAATAGATTTTTGATATTTTTATCAGCAGAGGGAAATAAGTAATTATAAAAATTTTATTTATTTATCTAATCATATTGAAAAGGCATTATATTTTGGTGAAATATCTTTTTTTTTTCAAATAATGTCTCATTATCAAGATGTGGGGGATAAGATGGTGGTTAAAAAATAAAACTTAAATGTAACTAAATCAGTTTTATTTTACATTGAAATGATCAAAAAAAGGTTCTTGGATGAAAATATTGATGCGTAGGTAAGTTAACTGACCGTGACTCTGAATAACATCAAAGGAGGTTTGATTCTGTAAAACAAACATGTTAGGGATGAGTGAATAAAACAGAAGAGGACCGAGGGTAGAGCCCTGTGGAACACCTTTACTTCAATTTGAAACAAATAGAAATGTTTGGTTCTGTTTGACTGAAATCAAGAAAAACATTGTTTAGAGTAAAACACAGACTCCAGAAGAACTAGTTTGTACATCTTCCTTTGTGTTTTTATTGAATTTATATAAATCTATTGCTTAAAAATGTCTCAGATATTAACATTTTGCTGTGTATATTTTTTTCAATATGAAATATGTTTGAACTGTTTTATTAAGAATAATTCTATCCGTCTTATTTGCACATATTTTAAGATTTAAAGAAACCTGGCAGAAATCTGGTTCATGTTTACATTCAAGTGGTGACCAAACAATCATGTTAAGTATAATCAGACGTTAAAATTACTGTGATTCTGTTCAGGTTGGAATCAGGTGTTGGAGTCCAAAACCGTTGTTACTGTATGTCTCTAGTCGTAATGATACCTGTAAACTGGACCAAATATGAAAGATTTCTTAATGAGAGACATTCTTTTTAAATCAAGACACTGACTTTAATGTAATATAAATATAGAAAGATAAACATCCCTCTGCTTAGTAAAATTATGAATAAAAACTGAACTGTGATGAGCTGTTTACAGAGACGATGGGACACTAACTTTGGTTTTGAAAACTAAAGCAAAGTTATAATAAAACTGTTTAGTTTGTGGATAAGTAAGAAATAAAATTATAGTTACTGTTATTAGTATCAGGATGTAAGAAAGACTATGTCCTGTTTGTTGTAAATGGTAAAAAGCATGTGTCATAAAGATCTTTATGTAGTTTCTGCATGAAAATAGCATAAATTTACTTTTCTCAGTTTACAATAAAGGACATTCAGACTAATGGGTTCTGTATATAACTTTTATTTATTTTGACACTTTTATTATTCATTAAATCTTGTTTCCCTACAGGCAAATAAGCAAAGACTGAATAATGAATACAACTTATATGTTTGTAGCAATTCATATTCACATATTGTTTATGGTTATCCAAAGTTTAGATGTTTAAAACTTTAAATTTTGAGTCAAAGAATAAGAGAAATATTGATAACACTTGGGATAATAATTCCAAATTTTCAGAAACAGTCACAGATTTTGGTTATCAGATTATTTGTAAAATCATTTTTATACCCACTATGTTTATTGTGAACAAGTCTGAATATTATCTTTCTTTTTTTAAATTCAAATTAAATCCGGTTTTGTTGGTGTAAAGGAGCCTCCACAGCTCAGAAAACTCCAGTTTGTTATCGTCTGTACTGTAATGTGAACAATGTGATTTCTGACTGAAAACACTGTCTGTAAAATATCAAACATATGAGTATTGGTGCAAAAAACTGAAAAATGAAATGTGCTGGTGAGTCTGAATAACGACAATAATGACTGAGTCATCAGATGTTTTTATTTATGGTTTCCCTAAAGTGAGTAAAAATATTGTTATTCTTTAAAGCTGCATGCTAAAGTAGAAAAAACTCTTTACCTCCATTACTCTGTTTTAATTTTCCTGACTCATTCTGAATAAAGAATAATTCACTTTGACTTTTGTTAAGGGAGATTTATTTGTTCAGCTGATCAGTTTTTTAATAATTGGAATTTATTGCATTTAGTAAATTGTACCACATTCCATTATGTTATGTTATGTTATGTTATGTTATGTTATGTTACGCTATGGTACGTTATGTTATGTTACGCTACGCTACGTTACGCTACGTTACGTTATGTTACACTCTGTTACATTATGTTACGTTATGTTATGTTACCTTATGTTATGTTACATTATGTTACATTACGTTATGTTACATTGTAATGTTACGTTCTGTTACATTACGTTACGTTACGTTTTGTTATGTTACATTACGTTACGTTTTGTTATGTTGTGTTATGTTATGTAAATGTGCAAGTTTAGCAGTTATTTCTCTTAACTGAAAGTTACTTTGCTGTATCCAAAGGTTGGTTACATCAAATTTATTACATTACATATGTTACGTTACATTCTGCAATGTTATGTTATCTAGGGTTAAGTTACAATTATATCATATTACACTATGTTAGGTTATGTCAGGTTAGCAAAAGTTAAATCTTTTTTTTTTTTCATGTGTGTGTGTGTTTTTTTTTTTAAACTACATGTTAAGTAATGTTAAATTTTTTGTTTCTGTTTTTTTCACTCTATATTAATTTTGTTGTCTGTGAGGGTAAAGGAGGAGGCTATGAACCAAACATGTTAGGTTTGTACAGATTTTGAACAGTGAAAAATTGATCAGAGTAAAAGTTATTAATCTGACCTATTTCATATTCATCATTATATTGTTATTATTCCCAGATTGTTGCTCTCACATGGCCTTTAACGAAGTCTGTATTTGAACCCTCTGAGAGCATGCAGACCCCGTCACAGCTTTAATTTTAGTCTGTCTCTATAATTACTCTGCAGATCTGCTGTTTTTACTCTCAGGATGACGAAACGTGAGGCTGAGTGCAGAGGAGGAAGATGATCCACATAGTTAAACAGTGAGCGAGTGAGTTTGTAACTCTTGATGTTTTTTATAGTAAGAGTCCAAACAGGAACACTGCAGAGAGAGAAACAGGACCACTGACCACTATACTAGGCCTACTTATAAAGACTCAGTATAGCCTCCGCACGTCTCCTGATTGGACCTGGACCCCCAACCCTGATGACACCGCAGTGACATCAGCTCAAACCCTGATAGTGTTAGAGTGACATCATTTTCAACCCTGATGGTGTGTCACCATAGACTGTATATAGAGTGGACACCGTCTTCCTCCTTGCTGGGTGAAGCCACTCCCAGAACAGCACACTCTGTTGACGGGCTGCAGTTTAGGTCATAAATCCCGCCTCCGCCAGCAAAGCTTATGGAGCTGCGGACAAACTTTAGAAATTTATTACACCAAACATAATTTCTTTCCCCCTGCTTACGATGTTGACATGTAGTTCCTGTAAGTCTGGTTTGTGCTCAAGTCCTCTTTTTTTCTGTACATCTCCATTTTTAAAAGAAATTACGAGGTTGATGTTTTCTATGATTGACACTTGATACAGCCTATGAGTGTACGAAGGTTCCACCCTCCTTCGCCTCTGATTGGCTAGACGTGCTGGGCTCCGATTGGTTATTCCTAATGGCTGTGAAATGTTACCGTCTGTCGGGTTAGGGTTAGGAGATTCAGAAGTGCGATAATGTTCTGTTTGATGTACAGAGCCGACAACCCGCGTTTGGCTTGAGCTTGTGATGACGTTTCCAGCTTTTCTAGCCAATCAGAGGAGGGGGTGAAGGAGGCGGGACTTTCCCCTACCGTCCTACAAAAAAAAAAAAATTCGCCACCCTGGGGATACGCTGTTTGAGCGTCATCACAGCGACTCTCCCGCCTAATGCGCACAATGCAACTGCGCAAGTAGTGGAGTGCGTACAACGCTCCTGCACAATTTTGGTTTCAGGAAGTGGAGAAAAAATGCCGAATTACCGGGAACTTTTCGGCTTCAAACCCGTATACTGGCGGAAGGCGGAACCAAGTTGTCCATTGTATATACAGTCTATGTGTGTCACACTTATGACAATTTCAACCCTCATTTGATCAATAAAGTGTACTCAGTTCACATTTAATCATTTTTAATCTCCCTCTCTCAGGCCCATCCTGTGATCTGATTGGCTGCCATATCATAACGTCATATCCTCTCTTCACGCCACTTAACGAGCTGCTTCTTACAAACGGCCCCCGGTGTCCCTCCAGGTTTAGAGCCTCTAAAAATACACAGAGGTGTCACTGAGCCCTCGGAGCCCCGGGTCCTGTGAGGGGGGATCCGGCCTGGCCCCGCCCCCTGTCCCAACACAAGCCAATCAGCGCAGTGCTCCGTATCTGTGCGGGCTCAGAGGATGCCGGCTGTCGTTGTATATGGTCATGGTGGGGGCATTCCTGGGAGTCCAGCGCAGTGACGCCGAGCTCTTTAAACCTCTGATCCACTTCTCCACCACCCGCAGTCCCGACTCTCTTCAGGCCTCCACCCCGCCGCCCGCGCCTCTCTGCCCGGACACAGGAGCCAGTCCGTCCGGAGGAAGAAAAACTTCCTTTCACAACTTTTTCTTTCTTTCTTGTAACTTTCTTTCCGTTTGGGCCTCACAGGAGCCAATGACGCCCCCGGCCCGGACTAACTGACCCTGGATCTGCTCTGAGACCGGACTCAACTGAAGTGGTTCACTCCCCGCCGGCCTGGCACTGCCCCTCCGCCCCGCTTCTTTTCTTCTTTTCTCTTTTTTCTCGGTTTTCTCACTCTCCCACCCCGCTTTGGCCTATAAAAAGGGGCAGCATGATGAGCAGCAGCAGCCTTCTGGAGCCGCAGCAGCTGCCGTCGCAGTTCTTCCAGAGCAGCGCGGAGCTCGGGGAGGAGGAGGAGGAGATGCCAGCCACCGAGAAGGACCTGGCCGAGGACGCTCCGTGGAAGAAGATCCAGCAGAACACCTTCACACGATGGTGCAACGAGCACCTCAAGTGTATCAACAAGCGCATCAATGACCTGCAGAAGGACCTGAGCGACGGGCTGAAGCTGATCGGGCTGCTTGAGGTGCTGAGTCAGAAGAAGATGTACCGAAAGTACCACTCCAGACCCAACTTCAGACAAATGAAGCTGGAGAACGTGTCTGTGGCGCTGGAGTTCCTGGAGAGAGAGCACATCAAGCTGGTGTCCATAGGTGAGTCACCGGAAACACTCAAGTGCCCAGTTTGGAGACACTTTACGCACAAAAACAAACCCTAAAAACGAACTGATTTCAGGTGTTTTATTGTTATTAGACACCAGAAAGGACCCATGAACATTCAGAAATAAAGGAAACAAAGAGTTAAGAGAGAGTTTATTGGAGTTTATCACATTATCAGGGCTCTAGATCTGCGTAAAGACGCAGATGGAGCCAAACTCATCAATATCAACATTTCAGGTTTGACAGTTTTATCAATTTATGCTCCAGCATCCATGTGCAGACAATAAAAATACATTAATCAAGAGTGATGAGCTTCATATGGAGCAAATTTATGTTGAATAACTAATAATGTTTGGGGCAGAAATACCAGAAAGAAAATATGGGGGCAAAAGATACATGAATCAAGCAGGTGGTCAATATTTATCATTATGCGTTTTAAAGATAATCATGTTAAAGTGAGCAGTACCAGGAAAGGAAACTAATAAAGTAATCTGAGTTTTCAGAGCATGTTAATTTAAAATGAATCAAGTTTTCAGGTGTTGTTGTTTGTGTAAAAGATGATTTAATGCTGCAATGAGAAGATTTTATCTGATAAATCCTTCGGTCTGTTGAAGCTGCTGCAGAAATGAGGATATTCAGTGAAATCCTACAGTCAAATCACAGGAGCTTTGTGTCCTCAAAGGCCACCATAGCTTCATTAATGAGAGGGGTCGAGTAAGGGAGCGTTTCAATCTGACTCTTTACTCTGAACCTGATCACCGATTTCTCTGTGAGGGCAGAATTTACAGGTGTGTGTTGTTGCTCAGGTGTTGATTATATGGGGTTTACCTTTTAACTGCTTTGTCAACATGAGACCAGTTCAATGTTTTGGACTTTGTAATGAACCGTATATTTTTTACAGCTTCGATGCTGCAATGATGAGGATGCTGTCACAAATGTTGATTTTTGTTGAGCTGTTTAATGGTTTATAAATCTTTTTAAGGACAATTATCACATGTTAAAACTGTAAGATTTTGTTGTTTTATGGAAAAATCTCTGTTAATTTTAAACCTGATTTCAGTGACATGTTTGTAAAAAGCAGATCCATGGTCATGTTTCTCTTTGTAAACAGCTCTTTTTTCCTCCAACACTCTGTAAATGTTAGTAAGCCCAGGAGACCAGTTTATGGAGTCTGGAAAGTGAAATGTCTCATTCTTGCCTGATAAAGGATTTGAGCTGCCCAACAGTTTAGGGTTTCCTTGGTCCTTTTATTTAGCACTCCGCGGGTCCTTCTATCAAGCTGATTTTTCCAGCATTACACAACTTTTCCCTGTCTTGTTGTTCCTCTAACACGTTGTTAGAAACACGGTGCTGATGTCAGATCTAAAACGAGCAGATAATGTTGTTTTTCATAAATCTGTGGAACCCTCAGGCTCAGGTCCCCGTCTGATAACTTTCCAGTAGATCAGTAGATTTATGAAACAGGAAGTAGATCTGTCTGCAACTGCAGGTCAGTATCTCTGCTGGCAGACACTGACCTGCGGTTTCCTCTGACTCTGATCTGATTTCACCTCCTCATGGTGAACACATGTCACCTCGTCCCCCTCCTCAGTTTCAGGCTGGCGCTCAGTGTAAGCATCAAAATTTATGCACTCAGGGTACCATGTAGTAGTGGTGATGATGATAATGAGAAAAGGATGGTGATGGTGTAGATGATGATGACACTGGTGATGACGATAATGATGGTGATGGTGATGATGATGATGGTGGTGGTGATGGTGACGATAGTGACAATTGTGATGGTGGTCATGGTGATGGTGACAATGATGGTGGTCGTGGTGATGATGATGGTAATGGTGATGATAATGATAATAATTATGGTGATGATGATAATAATGATGACATTGGTAGTGATGAGGATGATGGTGATGATGGTGGTCATGGTGATGGTGACAATGATGGTGGTCATGGTATTGATGATGGTAATGTTGATGATAATGATAATAATTATGGTGATGATGACATTAGTTGTGACGATGGTGATGGTGGTCATGGTGATGATGATGGTAATGATGATGATAATAATAATAATGATAATTATAATGATGGTAATGGAGACAATGGTGGTAAAAGTGATGATGATGGATGATAGTGATAGTGACAATGATGGTGGTTATGGTGATGATGATGATGATTGTGATGATAATAATACTGATGATAATGGTTATAATAGTGTTGATGACGATGATGATAGTGATAATGGTGATGGTGGTGATAATGAAAATAATTACAATGATAGCGATGGGGACAATGGTGATAAAAGTGATGATGATAATGATGGTGATGGTGACAATGATAGTGGTAATGGTGATGATGATGATGATGGTGATAATAATGGTGATGATAATGATGATAATGGTTATGACAGCGATAATGACAATGATGATTATGATAATAGTGATGGTGGTGATAATAGTGGTAATGGTGATGATGGTTGTAATGATGATGATGAGGTGAAGATGATGGTGGTAATGATGATGATGATGATGATGGTGATGATAGTGATGATGGCGATGATAGTGACAAAGATGGTAATGGTTATGACGGTAATGGTTATGACGGTAACGATAGTGACGATGACAATAATGATGATGATAATAGTGATGTTGGCAATGACAGTGGTAATCGTGATGATAATGATGGTTGTGATGATGTTGATGAAGTGACGATGATAGTGGTAATCGTGATGATGATAATGTTGATGATGTTGATGAGGTGACGATGATAGTGGTAATAGTGATGATGATAATGATGATGATTTCTTTTTTCCCTCCGTGTTTCTTCTCTAAACGACAGGTGAAGAAGGTATTTTTCCCATTTGGGTGGAATAAACCTTTAACCTGAGTGTTCATTTTAACTTGAGCGATCCTTTTTAACTGAGTATGAGTGAGTATTATCTTATTATACACCATTTACTGAGCTTGTGCTCTATGACAGCGATTATGATAATACTGGTGATAATGATGATGATGATAATGATAATGATGATGATGAAAATGGACTATGAGGAGTTGAAACTTGATCTCAGTGATGAGGAGTAAAAATGACTCTCCGATCTCCTTCATGTCCTGCTCTAAATTCTTACTCACACTTTCTCTGGAGTTTACTCGTGTTTTCCACTGACTGAGCTCTGACTGTCTGCAGGAGGTGTGGGAGGTTGTTGTTAGGGTGGTATGGGGTGGTGGAGGGATGATATGGGGTCGATGTGGGGTGGTGGGGTGTTGTCAGGGTGGTGGTGGGGTGGGGGGACGCGGGGTGTTTGAGGTGATTGATGGAGCACAGCTGATCCTGCTCTCAGTCCACTAACAGCTGCTGAAAATAGATGGAGAGGAAACCAGGAAGATCCTCCGTAGACCTCGGAGTGAAACTCAGACTGCCGGCAGACTAACACTTACTGTTACCTGTTACCATATCACACCTGAGAGATTACCTATTCTGTGTATCACTCCTAAAACACCTGTTAAGATAAGCTGGAGCTTTGTTTTCCCTGGAGAAGATTCTGCTGCCTGGTTGTTGTACTATTACAGATCAGGAGGGTTGGAGAAAAATGATCATTTTTGTTTTATTTTGAAACAATGAACAGATATTTAGTCTTTTAAACAGAGGTGTTAAAAATTATCAGAGTTTCTAATGGATAAAGAAACATCTTTGACTGAGTAAAGTCAATAAAACACACAAAATACCTTTTTATTGATAATAGATTTTAACAGACGGTGACCTGTAGCTGTTTTTAACTCTATCTAGAGCGCTAACATTAATATATAACAATATGACATAGAGAGACAGGCATGTCACCATGTAAGTGGAAGGTTATGGCTAACAGCTTGTTGTTGTTTGTTAAAAATATTATCCCCTTTGCTTTGTTTGAGTTGTATGAGCATTTTAATTAATGTATTGAAATTGATTTGTTCAAGCTAAAAGAGTCAAGAATCAAACCGTTTCAGTGTTTGAATCCTGTGACAGAGTCAGTGTGAAAACAGAGCTAAAAACAGCTTTTACTAACAGCTTTTTTAAAGTGTTAAGCTGCCCTTAAAAAACCTGAAGGCATAAAAATCAGGAAACAGAAAGAATTAACGTGTTCTTCAGTGTGAACAGACTGAAATATGCCCTCAGTGTGTGTGTGTGTGTAAGTGTGTGTAATGGTTTCCATGTGTTGAAGCAGTCAGCTTACAAGAATGTCCAGCTGAAGCCAGGACCCCCCCACTCACACACATTCACACAGCCACAGTAAAACACAGTCAAACTAAAACACACACACACACTCTGTGTTTTGAGCTTTCTCTCTCCCCGTGTGTGTGTCTGTTTTAGTGTGTGTGTGTGTTTGGATCATATTCTTGTTGTATTTACTCTCCATGTCTCTCTTCATCTAACCGTCAGACTGTAACATCACGTACAAATTAACAGCACTTTGAACTCACACTGATTATGTCATTATTGATCATGACTGCCATGATATGATGATTCCTGATTGATTGATAGTTTATTATTATCATGAAAATATTGGACTGGTGCAGGCATTAAAGTGTTGAAAGCTACGGTTTATCATCACCCAACTTTAAATCCTTCAGTTAAAAAAGTAAACAGAGTTTAACTCAGTATGGCATGTTCAGAGGATATAACATATTAACTCAGTACACAATATTAGACTGAGAAGAAGAAATATCCTGATTAAAAATAAGGAGTGAATCGTCTGCATACATGTTGGTCTAAACTACAGCTGCGAACAAACCAGCATGTTCATCCTTCTGAAATAAAAGCTGAATTTATAGACAATTTTTAAAAAGTTTTCTGCAGATTTAAACTGCCTGTCTGTTAGTGATGGGCACGGCAGTTCTTTTAGATGTACTAAATCTCTAGAATCAGTTCACTAAAAAGATTTGTTCATTGAATCATTGAATCATCCAGCGCTTGGCAGGAGGGGCCTGTGACTCCGACCTCCTGAACTGATACACAGCTGAACGGTTCAGGATTCAGTTGAATTCAAAGCCTATGGGACCGGGAGATGAGAGTGTTTGACTGTGTTTAATGCGTGATTCCTTTACCAAGTGATTTAGGCGTTGGTTCATATGATCCCTTGTTCTCCGGCCGCTCGCCTGGCAACGCTGTTTGCTGTATCTGCCCTGCTGACAGCTCAACTGTAGTGAGGAGCGAACGAATCACTTGAGGAAGTGATTCGTACGTTCACTTAAAAGATTCGGTTCTTTTGAAAGAATTGTTTGCGAATGACACAACACTATTGTCTGTCCGTCTCTGAGTGATCTTTGACCCTCTGCTGTCTGTGTCTGTAGCCACGTTTACATGCAGACTTTTTTCTCATTCGGATTATAATCGTTCCGATTGAAGCTCCCAGGCGAACTGTTTACATGGAAGCGATCTATTCTGATCTGGTGTTTACATGTGCCACGGCATTCAATTGGAACAGCTATTTACAGACACGTGATACCTTCAAACATCACGTGATTGATTGATCACGTGATCTCCGACGCAGACCAGTGCATCGTGCTCTGCTTGGAAGCCGCCATCATGTTTCCATGTGAGTCATACGTCACTGCTTGTTTACATCAGGACAGAGCATGCGCAGACAGAACCCAGCCTGACAACTTTCCGATTCACCGTTTACATGACAGGATTTTGCTTTTAATCGGAATGGGAAAAGGAAAATTCTACCCCTGTGAATCGGAATGAAATTCCATTCGGAATGGGCCTGTTTATTCCGAATGAGGTGTTTATATGGAGCATTTTCATTCCGATTGGGCTTCTAATCCGATTATATTCGGAATATTTGGCTCCATGTAAACGTAGCTACTGTCTGTGTCAGTACCAGACTGGTGGATTTTTACATTAGTTACAGATGACTTATTGAACTTGTGTTTGAAGGTTTGAGATGATACTATAAATGCAGATGTAACATGGTATCAGAGTTTAATGCAGCAGGTCTCAGGGTCTTTGAGTCAGGGTCTCTGTGTGGCAGCAGGTCAGAGGTCAGAGGTCAGGTTCATGGTGGATGAAGTGAGCTTTAACATGGCGTCAGTCATCTGCAGATAAAAACAGGAGGAGTGTGAGGACCTTAAACTTCACTGAGAAACACAACAGACATTTTTTTTTTCCTCTTCAGTGATTTAAAAGATCCTTATCCTGGTCATTTAAGGCTGCAATGATTATAATGTGAAAACATAATATTATTACAACACTGTTGATAAAGAGGCGAACTCTGGTGAATAAAGCGATGATAATAATCAGCAGAGAGTCTGAGGATCAACTGAACTTCAGCAGCGACTGATCTGAACTCTGAGTTTAGAGGAGAAGGACTTAGTGTGGAGCTGCTGTGACGGTGTGGAGGTGTCAGAGGAAACAGTCGCTCCATCTGTTGCTGCTGTCAGCTGCTCCTCACACACACACACACACACACACACACACACACACACACACACACACACACACACACACACACACACACACACACACACACACACACTCACTCACTCAGATATTTAGTGAGCTGGACACTATGACTGACTGATAATCAGAGTTGTTGTTGCTGACTCTGCAGTGAAACTCTTCCTCCTTCAATCACGTGACTGTGATGTTGGTGAATGTAAACCAGATGTGTGTTCAGGTGTGTTTCCGATCCTGGAAAAAATGACCAAACTGCTCAGACTGTAGATCTACTGACAGAGTTTTTCCAGAGTTTTCTGTTGTCACAGACTGTGTAAGGAGGCCTGAAGCAGAGGAACTCTGCAGGAATCACACCTTCACCCTGCTCTGTGCTCTCTGCTCTCATGTTTCCATTACTGAGTTCCTCCTTTGACACACACTGACTAACAGGACGCTCTGGAAAACACTGATTATTTGGAAGAGATGTGCAACTATTGTGTTCGAGTTAAGCTCCACCCACAGTACTTCACCAGCCAGTATCAGCTGGCAGCTCAGCTGATTACTTTCTACCATCCAGTCATCAAAATGTGAAAATGTTAGTTCTGTTTGATCGTCTATAACCTGCCTGCTGCTCTTACTTCATCTACAAACCACTTTACAAACCTCCTCTGGCCCAGATCCCCCTCCTGTCTTTGCTGATGCTCTCCCTGCCTTTTCTTTCACGTATTCACATGAAACAGAGGGGCTGTGTACTCCGTCTGCCTCAGGCTTTGACAGGGAACTCCCAGAACAGAGTCATAGCACCAAATTTAACTCACTGCATGAAAAGGTTTTTTCTCTTTCAGTAATGTGGTCCTGAATGAATAATTGTGCATCTATAGAATGGTTCATAACCGTACACAGGGATGTAAATAGAAGTAGAAAAGACTGTCAATTCACAGAGAACAAATCCTACATTTCCCATGATTCCTTTGCACGGTATCTGTCCTCAGAGCCTTTCCATCTGAAGACAGAAAGTCTCTTTAACTCTTCATCTAACACAGTGTAGACTTATTATAATATTGGCAAACCAAGACAAGATCATTCTGACATCACAGTGACATGATAGTGACATGATGGGAGTTGTAACGTGATTTTTAAAGGCTTAGAGGAGCCTTTAGTCCTTTCGCTGATGCTGAAACACTCAACTTTAAAATCAGCTGCTTTTCAAAAGGACCTCTGAGTGTGTGTGTGTGTGTGTGTGTGTGTGTGTGTGTGTGTGTGTGTGTGTGTGTGTGTGTGTGTGTGTGTGACCTGCTGACTGTCACACTGCTGCCTCATCATTAAAGTTCAGTTGAAGTCTAAACAACAAACGTTCAGTCTGTTATCCCCCACCACCACCACCCGACAAGTCATGTCATATGGTCTGTCCCAGCCTGGGGTGTGTGTGTGTGTGTCAGTGTGTGTGTGTGTGTTGGAGTCAAAGGAAGAAGCTGTGTGTGTGTGTGTGTGTGTCTGTGTCAGCTGTCGTCACAGTTGGTCCAAAGCATCTAAGCATCTCAGCCAACAGCTGGAGACTGAACAGATCCTGGACGGACACACACACACACACACACACACACACACACACACACACACACTCACACACACACACACACACACACACACACACACACACACACACACACACACACACATGAACAGCATAAATCTGTATATTTGGACTGAGGTGTCTGAGCAGTAAAAACAGTTTTGTTGGTGTTCCTCAGGGCTGCCCTTCAGGTCCTCTGTAGTTGTTCTGTTTCTACATGTTGGAGCTCTGAACATGTAGAACATCCTTAAAGTCTGTCTGTAAAAGTTGTATTTTTTGTCCCTGACAGGCTCAGGTAGTTATTCTCAGAGTCTGACAGCATTACAGAAAGGATCCCTGCAGAAAGAGCTTCATGTTAACGGTAGAGAGAGGATTTTATTGGACAGAAACAGCTGATATATCACTCTCTACAGACATGGCCAGGTTTAAAAACAGGTTTGGTCAAAACAGCTCAGAGTCCCCACTGAATAATGAGTGGATTTTACTGTAACGTGTTTGTTTTTAAGTTATTAACACCACAAGATCAGCCAAGCAGAGGAACAGCTGACTGTGGGCACATTATAGATGTTAACGAAGAGGCGAAAAAACAGCCTCTGATTGGTAGACCATAGATAAGGTTTAATCAGTGTTTCTATGGCGACTGGCGCTGTAAGGCTTCACAAACACACTACATCCAGATATTACAGTCTGTGTGTGAAAGTGTTTTGTAGTAAACTGTTTACATCCAATGTGTGCGTGTGTGTGTGTGAGAGAGAGAGAGAGAGTTAAATGTGTGTGTGACTCTCGAGGATTTCCTCCTCCAGCTGTTGGCTGGAAATGCATACTTAAGTCTTTTATAGGTCACAGGTGTGTGTGCGTGCACATGCATGTGTGTGTGTGTGTGTGCGTGCACGTTTGTGAGTGTGTGTGTAGGTGTGTGTCAATGTGTGTGTTTTTAAATAGCTCTGAGTTTTCTTGAAGTTAAACGCTCTCGGGGTTCATCAGGATAAACAAATTCACACACACATTTATTCAGCTGCTGTCCACCTGCTGTCAGTGTGTGTGTGTGTGTGTGTGTGTGTGTGTGTGTGTGTGTGTGTCTTTCACTCTCTTCAGGCTGTGTTTTGGGCTCATTAGCCGGTTAGCTTTAGTGATAGTCTGTCAGAAATAGAGGGATGTTTATTCAGAGATGATGAGAACTGAATATCTGAACTCTGTCCTGATTGGTCACTTGGTGTGTTTGAATCATTTTCAACATTTGAACAGTTTAAACTCAGAAAGAAAACAATCGGGGATGGTTGGTTGTGGTAGAGGGTGGATCAGTCTTTTGTTTTATAGTAGAAATGAGGAGATAAACCATCAGAGTTTGAATCTCTCCACTGGAGGACTTTTATTCACTTTGACAGTCTTGATGAATCTCATTCTTCAGTCTCAGCCTTCAGTGAAATCCTCCTCAGTGAGTCTCTGACAGCCGGTGCCGCTCGGTGCTCGGCACTGATGAAGAACACAAACACTCAGAGTCTCCTCCTCCTCCTCCTCCTTCTCCTCCTCCTCATGTCTGACTCTGAGGTCACTTTCAGTCTGTGGTGTTTGACTGGTTCACATGATTGTGATTTTTCTCTGTGAACAGTTTATTATCTGCAGTGATGAAACTTTTGAACTTTATAACCCGAGCAGAACAATTGAGAAATGAACGAATCACTCGAGGAGGTGATTCTGTTCAGTACGTTCACTTAAAAGATTTGGTTCTTTTGAACAAATCATTTGCGAATGACACAACCAGAGGTGGGAATTGTGGAATAACCAAGTCATCTCCATGCCATTCGTTTGTTCTGCTCTGTCACTGAACCAGCTGCTTCCAATGAGCAGCCAGGAAGGTGAGCTCATTAGTGAAGGCACCTGGTTCAGTAACTGAGCACAACAAATACATGGCATGGACTTGGTGACTCCACATTTTCCCATCTCTGGACACAACACTACTGTAGACCCTCTAAACCTCCTGAACCCGGACAGGACTGACCTAAATCCAAACATTAACACTGTTAATCTGATCTAAAAAACAATTACACATTTCATCTGATAGAGCATAAAGACATTCAGCCTATTCCTGTTCTTTCCTCTTCCATCCGTCCTCCCTCGCTCTCCTTCTGAATGTCACATTAGTACAGTCTCTCTCACTCTCTTTCTCTTTCCTTTTTTTCTTTCTATCCCTCTCTCTCTGGCCTCAACATTGTGAATCTCCCTGTCTGAACAGCCTTTGTCTCTCTGCAGATTGTTTGTTTGGTAACCATGGCGACCTCGCTCGGTGCCGTTAGCGTCCCGGCGTGGCGATGAACGGGAGGTGTTGTTGTGAAACTCGGAGGCTGTTTGGAAAGAAACCAGAGTTCAGTTGAGCTGTTACAGTTTTAGTCCTCAGAGTAAGGCGTCCCTGTGGGGTGAAAAGGTCACATGACTCCATCACTTCCTATGCTTCTGTTTTTGATAAACAGAATCAGACAGAGAGCCGTCTGTGATTGGATCAGCTCGAGAAACTCTTCATCTAAAGATTAATTTATAACTTAGACTTATCTTTATATTCTCCATATGTCAGTGTAAGTGTAAACAGCCTGAGTCCTTTAATTACATATCAAAAATCTGCTGCAGAGGTCTGAGCTCAGAGTGGATCATTTTGACTCCTCAGAGTTTCAGGTCAGTCCATGACTCGATGCTGTATGAGAATCAGTGCCTTGCTCAGAGGAACTCCAGCTTCCGTCTAGAGGAAGTGGAAACATGAGGGTCAAACACGGACTGACCTCTGACCTTGTTTTCCCCCACGAAGTCCTGCAGGTCACGACCTGAAACTGCTGTGGGAATGGAACCAAAGCCCTGTAGACCCGAGGAGAGTTTACAGAAAAACACACAGAGGAAAACTTGCAGACAGAAAACTAAGAAAAACCTGCTGAGACAAACTGACGGAGATATAGAGAGGAAAAAATCACAGAGCTGTGATAAACTTGGACATGTTTTTGTGTGGATGTTTGAGGGTACGTGCGTGTGTGTGTTAATCTCCACCAGCTCGTGTTCCAGTCATCTTTGAAACAGAAACTGGAGCAGAACAAACAGACCCATCAGCTCCTGTTTCCTGGGGAAAGATTACAGCGTCGCTCCAAAAACACTTCCTCTCTGAACACGGGATCGGACTAATCTCTGGAAAACAGTTTCCTCTGACATACACTGAGTGAAATCATATTTCCCTCTGAGAGGTCCAGGCTCTGACCCCCCCCAAGACACACACAATCACACACACACACACACACACACACACACACACACACACACACACACACACACACACACACACACACGCATAGTTATGAGTAGGGCTGGGCGATATGGGACAAAGTTTATCTCAATATATTTTTCGTATTAGTTGATATCGTGTTTATCACGATATAAAAAATATCATTTTAATTTCTTATTGGTAGACTGTCTTTTGCAATACAATAAGCTACTACATCTGTTAGGTCTTTGTGTCTCGTTGACATTTTGTCGTAAGGCGTTGCGCTAGAGAAAGTGGACTGAATGGTTAGGTATTCCCAGACTTTGTGAGAACATGTAATCCACATAATTTGCAGTGCACATTACTCTGCTTCATGTCCGACCTTAAAAAAAACCCAAAATACCTCCACACCACCGACCTTTTTCTTGCCAGTGTTACCTACAATGTCGTCATCTGTTGAGCCTTCATCCACGTTTCTGCCGGGGGTCTCACCAACAGTGCTGTCAGCTTCACATGTTTAAGTGCTATGGTTGTGTGTAGCTGCGGCCTGCTACTACGCAGTTGTTTGCTACTCGGTTCTAATTCAGCACATGATTAGTTCAGCACAGCGAGCAACTCCCGTTTTCATTAACTATTCGCATAGTCTACCAAAACATGGCAGAATGCCGACAATCAAAAAGCATATTGACCATTTTTTATATCGATACTGAGGGAAATTAATCTTCGATAAATATCGTTATCGTTTCATCGACCAGCCCTAGTTATGAGTGATGAAACTTCAAGAGTTTACATGAAGGTCAAAGGTCAACGACATATGACAGAATAACAGATCAGCTGAGTCAGTCTGCAGCCATGAGCTGATCAGCTGATCAATAAAGTCATTATATCAGCTGACCATTAATGATCCTGTGAATATGAAAATATGAAGGACGATCTCTGATCTACAGATCTGAACCAGGTCTGAGGATCTGGACTTGGATCCAGTCCTGGTTTTTCTGAAGGTTTAGGTGTTTAAACAAACCGCTCTGATCCTCACAGTCATGCTGCTGCTGTGTGTATAATGGTGTGTGTGTGTTGTGGTTTATGTGTGTATGTGTGCATTAGTATGTTTGTGCAGTGAGAGCATGTGTTTCTCATTTACGTTGACCTCATTCTGATGACATCACCATCCTGCTGTCAGTGAAACTTTCACATTAAGAGAAATTTCCTGACAATCTAAATATAAACACAGTGGGGCTGTGGGCTTTTATTTTGGCGGGTAGATGTGAAGTTGAGGACCAGAAAAGGAAACTGGGTCAGAAAGAAGCTGATTGAAAACAGTTTTTACAGTCATAGGAGATAAATTTAAACCACAGACTGAGACTGAACAGATCCTGAGGGGATAAGACTTTCAGAGACTGTTTGGCTGTCATAGAGATGATGCAGCGACTTCAACTGTTAAAAAAACACCTAAAGAGAAAGCAAATGAAAAAACAAACAATGTTCCTACAGTACAAGAAGATCTGTTTTACTTCCAGTTTAGCTGATGTTTTCACCTGTAAACGGCCGGTATTTTCACCTGTAAACAGCTGATAATTTCACCTGTAATCAGCTGTTATTATCACCTGTAAACAGCTGATATTGTCACATGTAATCAGCTGGTATTTCCATCTGTGATCGGATGATATTTCCATCTGTAATTGGCTGACATTTTCAATTGTAATCAGCTGATATTTCTACCTGTGATCAGCTGTTATTTTCACATGTAATCAGCTGATGCTTTCACATAGAATTAGCTGACATTTTCACCTGTAATCAGCTGTTACTGTCACCCCCAGTTGGAGGCTCAGGTGTTTTCTGAAAGTCTGCCTCCTCTGCTAAAATTTAAGGTTAAATCTGTGACTCAAACACTGTTCTGTCTCACGTCCTCTCCTCAGACTCCAAAGCCATTGTAGACGGTAACCTGAAGCTGATCCTGGGTCTGATCTGGACTCTGATCCTGCACTACTCTATCTCCATGCCCATGTGGGAGGATGAGGACGACGAAGACGCCAAGAAGCTGACCCCCAAACAGCGTTTGCTGGGCTGGATCCAGAACAAGGTGCCCCAGCTCCCCATCACCAACTTCCACCGGGACTGGAGGGACGGCAAGGCACTGGGAGCTCTGGTAGACAACTGTGCCCCAGGTGGGTTCTTACTGGCCAAACAGTGCTCCTATTGGCTCTCTGTAGTCATGACAGTCAGGTTAAAAACTGAATGGGATCTGACTTATTCCAGCAGGTTTGTTTTTATCTTGTTTTTATCCTGTTTGGGGGCTGTACTGACTCTCTCTCTCTATCTGGCTCTTCCCTGTGATGCTTTCAGGTCTCTGTCCTGACTGGGAAACTTGGGATCCCAGTCAGCCTGTGGAAAATGCTAGAGAGGCCATGCAGCAGGCTGACGACTGGCTGGGAGTGCCACAGGTAATGTTCACCTGACATAACCTTTGACCTTTACCTTCATCAAGGAATTGTTAAAAAAAACACTAGATATTTGTTCAATTAAAGCAAGTTTTGAGGTAAAAAAACTGATAATCCTAAACCACATAAATCTGATCAGATCTAATCTAATCTAAACTAATCTGATCTAAACTGATCTGGTATAATCTAATCTAATATGACTGATTTGATTTGATCTGATTTCATCTAATCTAATATAATCTGATATAATGTAATCTAATTTTATCCGATCTACTGTAATCTAATCCAATGTAATGTAATGTAATGTAATGTAATGTAATGTAATCTAATCTAATCTGATATAACTTTATCTAATCTAACCTGATCTGATCTGATCTAATTTAATCCAATCTGATCTGATATAACGTTATCTCATTGACCATAATCTAATCTAATCTAATCTAATCTAATCTAATCTGATTTATTGTAACCAAACATATCTATTCTAGTCTAATCTGACCTGACCTGACCAGATCGGATTGGATTGGATTGATTCAAATCGAATCGAATCTAATCAAATCAAGTCAAATCTAATCTAATCTAATCTAATCTGGAATAAAGTTATCTATTCTAACCTGATCTGATATGATTTAATCCAATCCAATCTGATCTGTTTAGATCTAATCTAATCTGATATAACATCATCTCATTTAACCTAATCTAATCTAATCTAATCTAATCTAATCTAATCTAATCTAATTTTATCTGATTTACTGTAACCAAACATATCTGCCGTATTCTAGTCTAATCTGACTTGACCTGACCTGACCTGATTGGGTCGGACTGGAGCGAATCTAATCTAATCTAATCTAATCTAATATAATCTAATCTAATCTAATCAGAGTTTTTACTTTTCCAAAGAGTCTTAAAAACAGGCGTCTATGAAGTCATAATCTATTCTTGGTGTTTATGAGTCACAGTCTTTCTCTGGTTGATCAGAAACTCTGCTCTCAGTGTGTTGGATGTTGGTCTGGTCTGTGTCCAGGCTGCACACTGGTCCTGGTTTGTAAATCAGCAGCAAACAGCCTGATGAAGAAAAGTTAACTGTCGACTCGTTGTTTCAGACATTGAGTCAGAGTTTCCACGTTTGGACGACCGACTGTGATATTAATGAGGTCTTTACAGGTACAGCAGGTAACCCTCGGGGAGCAGAGATCCTGTCAGTGTAATGGATCAGAGGTGGAAAATCTGGATTTGATATCTAATGGCTGGACTTTAATGTGCTGACCAGCTGCTGCAAGAACCCTGACAGTGATAGATTTACTCTCTGTGGTCAGCCTCTGGTTTCTCCCCTCTTAATCACGTTGGACTGAAGTCGATCTGATCTAGTTTCTCATTGTTTAAAAATGTTCTTTGTTTAATGAGTCTGGTGCGTTTCTGTGTTTAATGAGTCTGTCTGGTGAGTTTCACACCGTCCCTGTTTGACCCAGTTTGAAGTTCACTTTCTGGTCTTTCTGCAGCTGCATTTGTGAGTTTCATGCCTTCATCATCTCTCCTCACCTCAGGTCATCGCTCCAGAAGAAATTGTTGATCCTAACGTGGACGAGCACTCCGTTATGACCTACCTGTCTCAGTTTCCCAAATCCAAACTGAAACCTGGGGCCCCCTTGAGGGCAAAAACACTACACCCAAAGAGAGCTAAAGCTTACGGACCAGGTGAGAAAGAAACACCTGAACCGATTAGAAACTGAGCGTGGGGTTAGTCCCAGTTTAACCATGTTTAATACCCTCCTCCGACCAGCTCCATCTTTTCATGCTGTGTCTAATTTTACCATTGTCTTTGCTGATGCTCTGCCTGCCTCCACTCCTTGTTATTTGGAAACATTATACCTTTTTTATTGAACCACCTTCATCTCACCTGTCTCTCAGGTATCGAGCCCCGAGGTAACGTGGTTCTGAAACCAGCAGAGTTTCTGGTGGAGACGGTGGAGGCCGGACTGGGTGAAGTTCTGGTGTACGTGGAGGATCCAGAGGGACACACAGAGGAGGCCCGAGTGATCCCCAACAACGACAAGAACAGAACCTACTCTGTGGTCTACCTGCCCAAAGTGGAGGGGCTTCATAAGGTAAATCCCTGTGTAAAGACCATGCTGTAAAGGCTCTGAAGGCACTCCATCAGCTTTCAGCTCCGTCTCATGGAGATGGAAACTTGGACAATAAGCCACACCATAAAAGTCAAACTTTTCCAATTTTCCAACCAACAGGAGTTCAGCTGGAGCCCTTAAATCCCTGATTGAGCTGTGATTTCTGGAATGAGGGGTGGTTTTTGAATCCAACTTGGTTCTTCCACTTTTCAATGTAACATCCTTTGGGAGCATTTATTTTGATAATGATTTGTTGTACGTCATCCTGAAGCTCTAAATCTGGTTAATTTGATTCTTGTTGAAGAAACCAGAGTTTGTAGAGATGGAAGGTTTGGTCCTCTCTCTTTCTGTGGAAGATTTTTGCTTTCCGTGAGAGGAAAACTTTGTTACTCTGTTCCTGAAGGTTTGATGATAGCCAACAGGCCTGGTTGTCTCTGTTCCACCCAGGTAAAGGTGCTCTTCGCTGGGCAGGACATCGACAGAAGTCCCTTCATGGTGAACGTATCGAAGGCCATGGGTGACCCCACCAGAGTCCAGGCCCGCGGGCCGGGACTGCAGCAGATGGGAAATGTGGCCAACAAACCGACATACTTTGACATCTACACAGCTGGTGAGTGCTCAGACTGAGACTCTTGTTTATTCCTTTTGAAGATAAGCTGCAGCCTCTCAGTCCATCTGGTTCCGTCTTATTCAGAGTCTCTGTCTGTAGTCTTTGAGTGTCTGCTCATCCCTCCATCTGTCCTGCAGGGGCTGGGTCTGGAGATGTGGGTGTCATCATTGTGGATTCTAACGGGCGGAGGGACACAGTGGAGATTGTCCTGGAAAACAAAGGGGACAGTATTTTCCGCTGCACCTATGTCCCCGTTCTGGAAGGACCCCACACCGTCTATGTGACCTTTGCTGGGCAGCAGATTCCCAGAAGCCCTTTCACCGTCCACATCTCAGAGGGTAGGTTCACACGTTCATATCCCTCACTCTGGGTTTAATCTGCTCTGACTTCTTCTGTAAAATACTGTGAAAACTGAAAAGTTTCAGCTGTAAATTTGTCAAAGATGAATCACATTGAACTGAAACATGAAGACACTTCACTTCTCATAAAACAGCATCAATAATGTTTGACCCTTTCTCTCTGTAACCACCATCTACAGCCTCTTTTTCCACCCGCACTCTCAAACCTGCAGTCCAGACTGACTGTCAAAGAGTGAAAGCTCTTTGTATTCGGGGTTGAAGGTTTGAATCTGAGCTCAGTCTGTCAGAAAGTCTCTGATCTGCTCTACAGAGTCTATGTTCTGAGTCTCTTTGGGTTCAGGGTTTCAGTGGTCTCTTTGGTGAGGTGGACTATGACTTGGATTTAGATGCTGGCTCTCTGGTTTATGGGATCCAGTCTTGTTTTTTGGCTGTCTTTGGAGTGTAACCTGGAACCTGAGACTTTACCTTCGACCTGAAACTTTTAACTTGACTTTGAATGACCAGGCTACCTCACCTGCTTGGATAGACTTTGCCACTCTTTGACTGTGGATCTTAGATGGGGTCATCTGGATCCATATTTAATTCAGGACTGTCTCTGAAAAATGGACCTTGTCTGTCTTGACTTAAGTTAGTCAAGGTTTGAAATTCCATTAGTGTATCTTTGAATTTTGAGTGCCAGTCTTCGTTTGGTATCCAGTCAGAGATTAATTCTCTTGAGGAGGTTATTGATCTGGGACATGACTTGTGACTTGTATCGGCTAATTTTTCCAGTGCCCAGAGATCTTGACTCTGGACTTGACTGTTTTTGACTTGAGGCTGTCCAGATGTTAGGTATTCTGCTGTCTTTGCAACATGTAAATGGTTTACTGGACTTAACAGTGTCTGACTAGACCCAGATTAGATTTCTTTGACTGGAAATGATCTGCATTTGCATGTGGTCTGAAGTGGGCTTGAGGTTTTTCTGAGGTACCTATTTCTTGGATTGTGACCTGGACAAACCCTGGCTTGTAACTTCACTGTTTTATTCAGGACTTTCCAGACTAGACTCGAGACCTACCAGTCTTTATTTAACTAGTGAATTATCATCCTTGACCCTCGACTTGCATGTCTTTACTTTGGGGTTGGTAGAGGATTTTGAACATGCAGTCTTGCTTTGGGATTGTCTTAGCTTGGACCTGACTTGTCTTGGCTGTCAGCTCGACTTAGAACTTGTCCGTTTTGGGGATTTTCTGGAGCTGCTTCACGCTCTGCTGCTGATGCAACATGTGGATCGATTAATTAGACTTTTGCATTGCCTGTCTTTGACTCTCTAACTGACTTGGGAGTTTCTTCTTGACTGGCTTTAACTTGACCAAGATCTCATTCTGGTTTGAGGATTTTCAGTCTTAACACAAAGCTGGAAGTGAGACTTGAATTGAAGTTTGTCTTTGCTTGTCCTCTGGTTTTGAGGTGTGGCAGTCTGCTGGTTTTTAACTGGTTTGGTGGTCTGGAAGCCCGGAGGTCTCTGTTGGCTCCCGGACTGTGCACAAATGTACCATCACTGTTGTACCTTCCTTCAGTTTTGCAGAGCATCCAACCTTCCGAGTCTCCGGTGCACATTTTGCCTCAGTCCATTCACACCCCACCCTCAGACAAGACCAGGAGAGCCCCCCCACCAACACCACCCAAACCCAGACGACCAAGTTAGTACAGGCTGGGGGTGGGGTAGTGCCTGGAGCCTGCCTGCGCTAGCCTGGTTTCTTCCACCTCAAACCATCCCGCCAGCCCCTGGTGCTCTGCAGGGGTTCCCCAGCTTTTGAGCATGTGCAGCACCTGCTTCCACCTGAACAGCTTTTCTTCTTCTACAGCCCAGAAACAGAGCGAACGAGAAAGTGGTGAGCCGCTCTGGATGGTCTCAGGATTAAAACAAACCAGCTTCTATTGATCGTGACTTATTTCCTCTGCAGCCGTGATACTTAAACTGTGCAGCCCAGTGAAGCCTGATCAAAATAGACAGTCAAGAAACTTAAGATCCTGACCATGGTTTTAGGTCAGAGGGATCCTAGATCAGTATGTTTGGTGAATCTTTGTTTGGCTCATTTTAACTTTGATAGAATAGTTGAAGCTTTGCATTGATTAAATCGACTTAATATTACAAACATCCCTTTAAAAAGGAACCAAACAGGCTCAGAGATAAATATCTGATTTGGTACATGATGTTTATCAGGCTGAACTATTTAACTAATTAAAAGTTTAATTAGTTTCTGATAGAAACAGTGAAACAAAAACCAACTAAAATGTGGTTAATTTGACACCTTTAAATGATACCATCCAGAGACGGCCTTGATTGTGAGTGTGTGTTTGTGAACAAGTGTGTGTTTGTATTTCTTGGGTCACTTCAGCATCTGGAGGAAAACAAACCAGCTCTCAGTTGGTTTGGATGGGCGTCTTGTAGAAACAATGATGATGATGTTTCCATCCTGCAAACCAGATTATGTCAATTAACATTTATATATATAAACATATATTTATATGTATACACTGTATGTAAACTGTTTGGATTTTAGCTGATCTTGTAACTTAGTGATGAGAGTAACTACTAATAAAATTAACAATGGTTAACTTTTCAAAAACAGCAAAACAAACTAATGTCAATTACAAATAGACAGACTGTAAGTAAGGAGAGAGTAACATAGTAAAAGCTCAGACCCTCCGACCCTCAGCCTCCCTTGTCTATTACCTCTAACCTTTTTTTACTACCAGCTTCCCATCTATGTGTCCTTCACTATTTCTTTGTCTTTTAGAAGTTAAACCTTTTCTCAGTGTTTTTTTCTCATGTCTCAAGCTCGTGAACCTGAAAGTTTGAACTTCTCCTCTTTCAGACACACCATTTCATCTTTCATTACCTTCACTTTTTCTTTCCAGCCTCAGCAAACTGCTTCTTTCAGCGTGATCAGCTGACTAACAGAACAAAAAAAAACTGCAGAGATCTGTATGTGTGTGAATGCGTGTAAATTTTCATGTTGATTTTTAGTTTTAGTCAGTTTAAGTATCAAATCAGATTAATTTAGTTAAACAAACATTTTCTTTTCAGATACAAACAGGTGAATGAGTGTGTCTGTCAGTGTTATTGATAATATTTGACTATGATTTCCCAGTTGAACCAGTGTCCCTCTGTCTGACTGGTCCTCAGCTTGTAATCCGAATGCCTGCAGAGCGTCGGGCAGAGGTCTGCAGCCGAAGGGTCTGAGGGTGAAAGAAGTGGCCGATTTTAAAGTTTACACTAAAGGAGCCGGCAGCGGAGAGCTCAAAGTCACTGTGAAGGGACCAAGTAAGATCACATGACTCTAACACAAAAAATATACATTAAAAATTATTATTATTTTTTTTAATGTATAACTTACTGAGCTGTAGCTGATGACCCCTGATTGTCTGATTGTTTTCTTTAACTCAGAGGGCACAGAGGAGCCTGTGAAGGTTCTTGAGATGGAAAATGGGCTGTATGAGTGTAATTATTATCCCATCATGGTGGGGAAGTATATCGTAACCATCACCTGGGGAGGACACAGCATCCCACGCAGGTAAAATATTCAGCTCATATACAGTAAATGTTTAACACAGGCAGCTATACAGTCAGTCAAGACAGAAAACCAAAGGAACTAAATTATTCTGAGTTGGATCTCAATAGAAGAGAATCTTAAATCTAAATATTGTGCTAAAAACTGGAGAACTTCAGAGGACTCAGGATAGAGCCCTGAGGAACTCCGGATGTTTACACAGAGCATAATATCTTAATTAAACCAGTATAGATCTTTCTATAATAACCCTGCTCAAGATATACGGTACATTAGGTTTTAATCTATGTGTGTTTTTGTGTCTTCAGTCCATTTGAAGTCCAGGTGAGCGAAGAGGCGGGGCCTCAGAAAGTTAGGGCCTGGGGTCCAGGTCTGGAGACTGGCATGGTGGGGAAAAGCGCTGACTTTGTGGTGGAGGCCATTGGCACAGAAGTGGGAACACTGGGTAAGTCACCTCGCCTGCTGTCAGGAGTTTAAAAGGCGGGGCTCAAGGATTGGATGTTAATTTGTCATGAATCAATCAAATATAGTGTATTAAAAATTAAAAACACTGAATATCCAAACAAGTTGGTGGTACTTTCAGTCACTGGACGAGGAGCATAACAAAATTTACATTTTAAAGAGGACAGAGCGTTTGATTACAGGTGTGTTTCTGCACTCAGGTTTCTCCATCGAAGGTCCATCTCAGGCAAAGATCGAGTGTGACGATAAAGGGGACGGGTCATGTGATGTTCGGTACTGGCCCACTGAGCCAGGAGACTATGCTGTGCATGTGATCTGTGACGACGAGGACATTAAGGACAGTCCCTATATGGCTCACATCCTCCCTGCCGCCAATGATGTCTTTCCTGAAAACGTAGGGCCAGAACTTCTCTGATATTTAATAGTGAGTCTTAGTTCTCTTTCTGTTCAACCTGAAGTGATGAACACTCTTATCTCCTCAGGTAAAGTGTTACGGTCCAGGTCTGGAGCCTCTTGGCTGCATTGTAAACAAACCTGCAGATTTCACCATCGACACCCGGGGAGCCGGCAGAGGAGAGCTGAAGCTTTACGCTCAGGTGAGAACATTAAGGTCGGATCACATGACGCTCTGTTATACTATGATAATGATACTCTGAAGGGAAGTCAACAAGCTGTGTTTGTGCTCTCAGGATGCAGAAGGTTTCCCCATCGACATTCAGATCACCGATAATGGAGACAGCACTTTCTTCTGTGTTTACATTCCCACCAAACCCATTAAACACACCATCATCATCACCTGGGGAGAGGTCAACGTCCCCAACAGCCCCTTCAGGGTAAATCATCAAAACATGTTTAGTCACTCATTTTCAGGCATCAAATATCTTGTTATATCTAGAGAAAGTCAAAATGTCAAAATGTTCTCATTCCACTGAAGAGAGAGAATATTCCTAATTTTAATTCATTTGTATGACAGGCCCTGAACCTACTTTTCATATTAAGCTATATAAAGGGCACCCCTCAGCAGATACACATACTGAATATTAACAAAATAATAATAAAAAAAGGGAAAAAAAAGTTTATGTGAACAGGTGAAAACGTGTTAATAATGAAGTATAGGGGACCGAGCATTGAACCCTGAGGAACTCCAGCTTTTTGAAAGTTCATTTTTCATTATCTATTTTATCAAACAAATCCGATCAATCATACAGATTTGACCAAATCTTTACAAATTATAAGTGGTGTTATAGCTGATAAGATAACAGTTCTCATTTTGCTGATGGAGAAATTAAGATAAGATAGAAACGTCCAGAAAAAGGTGTGAAATTGATCTTGTAGATGGTTATTTTTATCACTTAATATTCTATAACTTCTGTGTGTTTGTTAAGCTGTATTTCATATGTCAAGTCTCCCTTTCCCTATCTAATCTTATCTTATCTTTTGTCTATCAGGTGACGATAGGTGAAGGCAGCCATCCAGAGAATGTGAAGGTGTATGGCCCAGGTGTGGAGAAGCTAGGGTTGAAAGCCAATGAGCCAACATACTTCACCGTGGACTGCAGTGAGGCGGGACAAGGTAAGACGTCTGCACACCTGTTTCATTTTTAAGACTTTGTTGAAACTCTTCTCTTTACAGACTGACTGTTAATATTACTAAAGTTTTTGTTTCTACCTTCAGGTGACGTCAGCATCGGGATCAAATGCGCTCCAGGTGTGGTCGGTCCTGCAGAGGCTGACATCGACTTTGACATCATCAAGAACGATAACGACACATTCACGGTGAAGTACACGCCCCCAGGTCCCGGTCAGTACACCATCATGGTGCTGTTTGCCGATCAGGTGAGAGCGCGGGTAAAACACACCTAGACATGTTCCCTGTTTTTTTCAGGACTTCAAATAAAACCTCTTAACTTTAATGTCACAACAGGAAATTCCCATAAGCCCTTTCAGAATAAAAGTGGATCCTTCCCATGATGCAGCTAAAGTTAGAGCAGAAGGACCAGGACTCAACAAGACAGGTGAGCTGGTCGGTTTAGAAAATTGTCTGAGTAAACGAGTGAAGTGATGGTTAATAATAATAATTCAATAATAATTAAAAAGGACTGTAGCAGTTCTAAAACTACCATAAAGTAAATCTTTTTCCATTTCCTCTGCCCTGACCTCCTGATCTTTCCACAGGTGTTGAAGTTGGAAAACCAACCCACTTCACCATCTACACAAAGGGAGCTGGAAAAGCTAAACCTGAGGTCCATTTCACCGCAGCAGCTAAAGGAGAAGCTGTCCGAGACTTTGAGATCATTGATAACCACGACTACTCCTACACCGTCCGTTACACCGCCGTCCAGCAGGTACACCACACCCACAGGGTTTATATGTATGAGATGTTAGCCTGGTGATACTGTGATGCTAACCTCAGTGTGTGTCTCCATCAGGGGAACATGTCCATCACTGTGTGCCATGGTGGAGACCCCATCCCCAAAAGTCCGTTTAACATCACTGTGGCCCCCCCACTGGACCTCAGCAAGGTCAAAGTCCAGGGTCTGAACAACAGTAAGTAAACTGAGTCTAACTGTGTCTGTTGATGAGGAAATGTTCACGATGCTGGAGGGATACAATGTTTTCAGGTTGTAGTTCAGGTCCCGAAGAAAAAATCTAAAGTTTTGTGTTTCAGTTTAAAATTTTACTGTAACAACATCTTGAGCTGATTTTGTTATTAAGATATTTGGTCTTTAGATTTTGCAAACCAAAAAGAGAGACCTCTCAAACTTTAAACCTCATTCTCGTTTCCGTGTGTGTGAACCAAAGAGGTGGACGTGGGGAAGGACGAGGAATTCAGCGTCAGCACTCAGGGCGCTGGTGGTCAAGGCAAACTGGATGTTAAGATCCTCTCCCCATCACGTCGACCAATCCCCTGCAAGCTGGAGTCAAGCTCAGCCAATGAGCTTCATTCAGTGAAGTACATCCCCCCTGAGGAGGGACCGTACAGGGTGGACATCACCTACGATGGAAACCCTGTACCAGGAAGTCCATTTGCAGTGGAGGGAGTGATGCCGCCTGACCCCTCAAAGGTGAGTCATTGAGACCTTGTCCTTATAGGAAGTAGATCTTTCTTGACAGGAAGTTAAGATTTCTGTTTCTAATTAACCTTTCCCATTAGAGTTAATCTTCCCTTGCTCACTGTAAACCTCTTCTTGACTTCTCAATCTCTTCCCTGGTCTCAGTTAAACTGAATCTTTAACATGTGGGCAAGGGTTAACCCTAACTAACCCCAAACCTTTCCTGGATCCAGTTAACCTTTCCTGGTCTTGGTAACCCTTTCTGATTTTTAAATGGTTATACTGGTCTAATCCCAGTAAACAGTCCTGGTCTGAGTCTCTCTCTTATCTCTTTACTTATAAATTAATTTTGTTGCATCCATCCCCCACAGGTTCGAGCTTACGGTCCAGGACTTCAGGGTGGAGTTGTGGGTAAACCCGCCCCCTTTGCCATAGACACAAAGGGGGCAGGTACTGGTGGTCTGGGTCTGACGGTGGAGGGACCCTGTGAGGCCAAGATCGAGTGCCAGGACAATGGAGACGGGTCCTGCTCTGTGTCCTACCTGCCCACTGAGCCAGGAGAGTACGCCATCAACATCCTGTTTGCAGACCAGCACATCCCAGGGTCCCCCTTCAAAGCCATGGTCCAGTCCGTGTTTGACCCTAGCAAGGTGACGGCGAGTGGCCCCGGCCTGGAGCGAGGGAAAGTTAACGAGGACGCATCCTTCACGGTGGACTGCTCCAAAGCTGGAGACGCCGAGCTCACCATCGAGATCATCTCCGACTCTGGAGCCAAAGCTGAAGTCCATGTGCAGAACAACAGCGATGGGACGTACTCCATCACCTACATCCCCCGCTTCCATGGCATGTACACCATCACCATCAAATATGGAGGACATGCCGTGCCCAAGTTCCCTTCACGGCTGCAGGTGGACCCTGCTGTAGACACCAGTGGAGTGAAGGTCTACGGACCGGGAGTGGAACCACGAGGTGAGGACATATTCTTTACCTCAGTACTTGGTGACTATCTTTCACAGAGACTTAAGTCCATGTCTGTTTATCTCTCCAGGCGTCCTGAGGGAAGTGACCACACATTTCATCGTGGATGCTAGAGCCCATTATAAGAGCGGTGGCAGTCAGATCAAAGCCAGCATCTCCAACCCGTCAGGCGCCACCACAGACACCTACATCACGGACAAAGGAGACGGGACCTACAGGGTGGAGTACACGCCGTACGAGGACGGTGAGGCTGACTTCAGTGCGAGTCTTTGTGGAAAAGAAGTGATGTTAGGTTGGGATTCAATAGACTTCAGTTGAGTTAGTGTCAGTAAGGCAGAGTCAGGATGGAGGATGGAGGATTAGGGTTAGGTTTTTACAGGTTTAAGTATGATTCTCAGCTCCAAAGGAAGTTCAGAAACTGGGAAAAGGGTTCAAACGGGAGACCTCTACCTTCTGAAGAGCTTCATTGTCCATGTTAAACTGTTTTTTATTCTGTCTGCAGGTTTGCACCTGATTGAAGTCCTGTTCGATGAGGTCTCGGTGCCAAAGAGCCCATTCAGAGTCTCAGTGACTGAGGGTTGTGATCCCAGTCGGGTCAGAGCCTACGGTCCAGGCCTGGAGGAGGGGCTGGTCAACAAACCGAACCGCTTCACTGTCGAGACCAGGTTTGGTTTTAGATAGATCAAAAATATCTGAGGGTTTTAGACGTAGTTTGTTATCCAATCAGTCCATCAAATCTCCTCTGTATGTTCACTGCCTCCCCTCTCAGAGGTGCTGGCACCGGGGGTCTCGGCCTTGCCATCGAGGGTCCGTCTGAGGCCAAGATGTCCTGTAAAGACAACAAAGATGGCAGCTGCAGTGTGGAATACATCCCCTTCACACCTGGAGAGTATGATGTAAACATCACCTTTGGAGGCCTTCCTATCCCGGGTGAGGACTCGATCAGAACTTGGTTTTGATGTATTGTACAGCAGCAGTAACTAACCAGTAACTATCTCTGTGTCGGCTGCAGGGAGTCCGTTCAGGGTCCCAGTTCGGGAGCTGGTGGATCCCAGTAAAGTGAAGTGTTCAGGTCCTGGTCTGGGAACAGGAGTCCGAGCTCATGTGCCTCAGACCTTCACTGTGGACAGCAGTAAAGCAGGAGTGGCCCCCCTGGAGGTCCAGCTGTACGGACCCACAGGTAGGTGATCCTAATTAGACCTTATGGTCCATGAGATTCTTATTAGATCCTTATTAGATTAGACCTTATGGAACCAGCGAGTTTCTTCATGGAATAGCTTTGACTTCAGACTGCCATTGTCTGATTTCCAAAGAGGCTTTTAGGACAGAGGGGTTTTAGTTAAATTCAGAGGCAGCAGGAGGGTTAAGCCAAAAACATATAAGGGATCCTGTATGTTTTAGCCTTTAGAGCTAGGGTTAAGGTTAGTGGTGAGTGGCGGACATAAAAGAAGACAAATTGCAAACTCTCTGTCCTCTCTGGTTTCTCTGCAGGTGTGGCTGAACCAGTCAGCATCACTGATAATGGTGATGGTACCCATACAGTCAATTACACTCCCTCCATTGACGGTCCGTACACAGTGTGCGTGAAGTATGCTGATCAAGAGGTTCCTCGCAGGTTAGTGCTGAAATGATGGTTATAAAGAAGTCCTGATCTTACAGTTCAGGTCTAAACCTTCAGACCGTCTCCTCTCAGTCCCTTTAAGATTAAGACCTTACCGGCTCATGATGCCAGTAAAGTCCGGGCCAGTGGTCCCGGTCTGAATGCGTCCGGAGTTCCCGCCAGTCTGCCGGTGGAGTTCACCATCGATGCCAGAGATGCTGGGGAGGGACTGCTGACGGTCCAGATCCTGGTGAGTCACAGGTTTGGGATCAGACACATGAACAAAACACAACACGATTCATGGATGAACCCACTAAACTGTCATGTTCAACACAAGTTTCAATGTTGTCATGGTCGGGCTTTCCCCGTGGACCCTCTCATGGTCTTTCTGTTTTAACCCTGGTTCAAACCCTCCATGTGACTTCCTGTCCCACGTTGAGGGTTGTTGCTGTCCCTGCAGGGTCCGGATGGGTGCAGGCGCGAGGCCTCTGTGTTTGTGGAGGACTGGGGCAGGAGGGTGTGGGAGTCTCATATAGTAAAGAAAACCATCCCCTTCAGTATTCATAGGAGAGGCTGTGTAAGGCCTGAACCCTCCCTTGTGTCACCTCCTTCCCTGTCACATCGTCTCATGTCCCACCTTTCCTCATTCCTACCCACCCACAAACCCTCTCCTAGTCCAGTCAGAGGACACGCTCTGAAACTCAACCAATCTGGTCCACAGTCTATCTCAGTCCAGTCTAAACACGTCCATTTAAACCCAATTCTGGCTAATTCAGACAGTTGTATCTTTCCAATAGAAGAGATCCTGTTAATGGATTTTAGGAAAATAGTGTCATTTGAGGAGGTTTACATCTCCTTTAAAGGGTGAGATGAATTTATTGAAAACTCCATCACAGCTGCCAAACAGTCTCTTTAAAAGTTGTTTAGTCGAGTTTGAATCCGACAACATTTCTGTGAAATATCTAAGAATAATAGTGTTTTGTCTGTGTGGGTTTTTGATGGCCCAGGTGGAGGTTATAGGAGTACTTTAACTCACAAATTAAAGGGATATTCCGGCGTAAAATTAATTTAGGGTCAAACACATTGCAATACCAAGTTGAACACCCCCTCGAGAGATGAATGTTGTCGACCGCTTGCTTCTTTATGTAGTGATTTGAAATGAGCCTCATACGGTCGCACCAAAATATATGTAGCGATTTGAAATGAGCCTCACAAGGCCGCACCAAAATAATACTTGGCGATTGGAATTTATAATAAATGTCTGAAGATTAATAATCTCAAATTATGACATTTATGCACTCGTTGAAAGGGGCACCACCCACCCTTAATGGTGGGAAAATAAAGAAAACAAAAGTTTAATTCAGAAATCAAACATCAAGTCAGTTTTAATTAATCAGTCTAAATTAATCAGTCTTAATTAATCAGTCTCATATCTTAAGTCGAAATTCTAATTTCAGGGACTCCACTTCTGGAAGAACACTAACAGACAGGAACTTAGAAAAATAATTATCTGTTTATTACAGGATAAATGATGGTACAACACACATGCAATAAATGATGATAAGATAATGTGGATAAAATAATAATAGGTGAATAAATAAAGATTCTGAGTTAGGCTAAGAGCACTAAAGTTAATGATAGTGAGTGAATATGCGCTAACATATTAACCTACACTAACTTTGGTGTCGAGATAAACTCGGATGTGGATTTGGAGGAATCTAAGATTACCAGAATAAGCGGGTATCTGAGTTATGAACGCAGGAGACAGCACCAGCCCTCTTTAGAGCTCTGGAGGTTTGCATACTTAAGTGAGACTGGTCCTTGGAGAAGATGGAGCAGGTTCCGAAGGTCCGGGCTACTGGCGGTTCGAGCGGTTCAGCTCAGAAGACGACTGAAGTCAGCCGAAGGATGAGCCAGGAGTTGCAGCACTCAGGCCCGAAGCAAAAACCAGCGCCTGTGGATCCTGTGGATGCTCGTTTGGGTACTTCTTTAGTCTCACTCAAAAACTCTGGCACAGAGGATAACCTGGGCCTGTTGGATTGCGTTCGGAGGTGACTTTGAAATCACGCAGAAAACTCAGAAAAACGAGGCTCGAAGAGCAGAGAAAACTTTCAAAAATGGCTTCGCGAAATTAAAGAAAATCAATCAAAGGCTTAATCTTGAATTGCTATGTGCACAAAAAGTTGAAGTTTCAAAACTTGAACTAAGACGATGTTAAAGAAAAATCAACGTGAATCAACACGTGGCGTAAAACTTAGAAGACTAAGAAAAAGTTCTAAGAGAAAACAAAGAAACGCACCACAGAAGGGTGTGGGCAGAAGAGAAGGGGCATAAGAGCCGGGGACAAGAGAGTCAGCAGAAGAGCAGAAGCATAAGAGGAATAAGAGAGATAAGAGAGTGAGCAACCCGACTTCACTGGTTTTATCTTCTCACACTGGGGGTGGCTCCGGCGTGTGTGTGAGGAGACAGAGGAGGGGTCGTGTGGTCTTTGATTATTTGATCTAACTTATTCTTTTGGCTGGCAAAAGAGTCAGATCTGATACTCACTCACTATGATTAATATCATTGAATGTTTGGTTTCATGATAAATAATTTGATACTAAACACATATGAATGAAGTGTAGGATCACATCAAACATTCTCATTATGTTTTAAGTATCACATTGAACAGGCTAAATTACTCTGAAATGAAACAGATAGTAACACATGGAAACTGTGAACAACAAAAGAGTAAATACATGTGAATGAACGTCATCATGATTAATAATGGATTCTAAATACTCACATTAAGGTTATTCAATGACATTATAACCACCTAATGGTTAAAAATACTAAATAAATAACTAAAATATAAACCAAACATTTCTAAACTATTTCTGTTACTTAGAGTAAACTTAGGATTCATAGTCAATAAATTTAACTCTTAAAAGTTCATGAAACAGTCTGAAAAGCTGTTGGTCTAAAGAACTAAAGAATAAGGATTTATTCTGTCAGATAAGATAACTTGGCTTCTGAAGCACATAGAAAAACGGGAAACATCTCATTTTAACACAAATTTCATGATTAGACAGATTAGTACATTGCTGAATGCATAAGACGTCATGATCAGTCCTTTGTATTCTTTCACCAAAGGAATGCAGTCTTTATCAGTGTATGGTCGAGCAGGGTTTTACGACCGAGGTCTGGAGGTCAGTGTCCCCCCTTATCCTGGGGTCCATATGTTCACACACTTTAAGACGCTAAATCTCAAATGGGAGATCTGGGTTGAGACGTTAATGTTTATTTAGATGGTCAGTAATGGAGTCAGTTTGAAAGGTAATAAAAACTCTGTCTCTGTTCGCCGAACTGACCAATCCTGAAGAGTCAGAGGTTTAGTCAACCTATGGTTGGGTCACTTATTTAACCTGAAAGTGCAAACACGTCTGGAAAGATTTATATCCTGTTTCCTGGGACCAGATAAGGAAACTTTCCTGTAAGGAATGTGTGGGTTTCACATCCAGGGTTGTCTTGATTGCTACAGTCCCCCCTTCGTCACGGTGGTCCTGTCCATGGAGCATCGGGACGACGAGTAGACAACCATGAAGCAGCAGCAGGTGTATGCAAATAGGACTGATGCGTCTCGTCATCACTATGTGAATCACTAGTACTGCTTTGAGATAAAATTAAGCATGCATTAAGCTATCAAATAAAATAGTCTTGTTGTTAGACTTTTCTCAGTTAACTATTGGTAGACTAATGTGAAAGAAAATCTCCTAATTTTCAGTATTAATGAGATTTAGGAAAGCACTATTTAGTCTGAATGCTAACTGGATCTAAAGATATAGCTGTTTTCCATGCTTGCTGGAGAAGTCTGAAAGTTCAATTTCAGTTTCAAAAATGGTTAAGACTTAGGTGGAAAAGAAATGTCTGCTATAGACATATTAACCATCTGTGTATGAGCATAGTCAACCTGAATCAAAAACATCAAAAGTTTACTGCACAGAGTTTCTCTTAAACTTTGTCTGTTAAACTTGGGGATGATGCTCTTACCGGTTTGACTAATTATCGGCTGTTGAGTCTGAAATTTGTCAATCTGAGTCTTAATGACAGAAATTTCAGCTTTTAATCTGTTGATGAGATATTCGACAGCTGACAAGCTGACCATATTGACAGAGGAGAGACAAATGCTAACAAAGAAAGCAGCAACTGGGGTTGCAGTCATCAATGTATCACCACAGCATTTGGATATCTTATTGGAGTCATTTAGCTTTGGCTGGGTGACTTCTGCTTTCGCAGGACTCACACCTTCATGACTCCGCAGTGTTAATCTCAGTGGTTAGCTGAGTAGTCATGTTTATTCACCTTCAAAGTGGATGAAACCGATTGAGGTGGATAATAAGATCGTCGTTTCTGAGAGTGTGATTTACTCTGATTCTGCCAGTCATTCACCCCCCTTTGGCGGTGTCGATGGTTTTTCCTTTGTCTGGGACAAAACCCACCGGGACGGGAGTCTGAATAACAACAGTTGGTCTCAAAGTTTACCTGGCATTGGTCTGTGTCAGACCCGGGCCTTGGTGTGTAACTTTGACCTTTGTGAGTTTGTTGAGGTCGAAAAGGTTTTGGAGGCCTGGTTAACCACTCATTTGGAGGCTTATCGGAGCCTGAAAATACACAATCTGAAGCTTCGTTCAGCTCCATGGGCAGTGATTTTGTCTCCATAGCCAACAGAGTAACAGGCTCTGCTTTCTTAGCCAAAGTTTGTCGTTGTTTGGCAAAACCTTTTACAGCAAGTTCACGAAGCTGTCGGCTAGTCAAAGTGTTTGGGCAAGCTAAGACGCCAAGGTGATGACTGGTGGTAGGGTGGAGGTTCTGGACGAACAGCATTTTGAAGTTCAAGTCCTCCTCCATTTCTGGTTCATTTCGGAAACCAAAGTAAGCTTCGCGTAAGCGGTTGTAATAATGTTGGGGAGATTCTGATCTCCCTTGTTTAATAGACAGAGCAGCAGAAAGGCCTGTCTGGGTCAAGTGATCAGAAAACTCTTCAATTAATGCTTGGCAGAGCAAGTCATAATTATTTCTGACATGATAAGGCTGTCGTTCAAGGAAACTGCTAACCTCTCGACTTGACGTCGCCTTAATAAGGTAGATTTTGTCATCAATGGTTGCACCTGGAAATTTCCTCAGGTAAAAGTCAATGTCTTTCAAGTAGGTGCAGGTGTCAGTAGCACCTTGGTGCTCAGGTTCAAAGCGTGCTATGTTACGAGCAATTTTGTCAAGATCCCTGTCTGAGGGAAATGGCAAGAAACCATCATGAGGAGGAGAGTAGGACTCTTGGTTTAAGGATGACCTCTCAGGGTCAAGCAGGGTCCTGTCATGATGCTGAGAGAGATACTTAAGAGTTGGTTTGGAAGGAAGTGATGGCGCTCTCTCAGGAGGCTGATCACCTATCATTTCTTCAAGAAACGTTTGCTCCATGCGTTCTCTTTGGGCTCGACCTGACTGGAGGGAGCATTGTAACTCTCTTTGGGCATCTTCAAGTTCTTTGTCTGTCTTTTCTTGCCGTTCTTGACAAAGAATTAACTGTCTTTGAGCTATCTGGAGCTGGTGCTGTAAGGTAGAAGTTTGCTTCTCCTTAACTTCAAGAGCTTCAGCACGCACTTTGACCAGTGCTTTCAAAGCTTTTACATCTTCTGTTGCTTGCTCTAGTAGGGATTCTGACTGTATCAGATCCTCTGTGGTCTTAGCAAGCTGCTTATTCGTGTCATCAAGTTCTTTCTCCTTTTTGTAAAGGGTTTCATTAAGTCTTTCAATCTTGTCTTTGAGATCAAGATTTTCTTCATGACTTATCAGTGAGGGAAGCTTTGACGCTTCACATCTGGCACTGTGTTTTTCTAAAACACTTAGAGACTTCTTAGTCTCCTCTAGCGTCTTTTTCAGTGCGCTGTTTTCATCTTTTTGCGCCTTTATCTTTGCTAAAGCGCATTCCAGCAAGTAGTCTTTATACTCAAGCTGAGAAGACATCATGACAGACATGCATCTAGTGAGCTCTTTGTCACGAAGTGTCGTGGTTAAGGCTGTTTCCAGTAAGTCAGCCATTTCATCCTCCGGATTGGAGGGTTTGGCCTTTTGAATCTTAGTCATGTACTGAGGTATCAGCTGACTAGTTAAGTTTGCTAACACTGTGTGTATGTCCCTCAGGGGGTCTCCCTGGCTGGACTCTTTTGTGTTAGGCATGTTTGGTTTTGGTAAAGAGGTGCAGGTGGTTGGTTGATGAGTTTGAGTTGACTTAAACTGAAAGGAAGAAGCACAATATCAAATTAAGTGGGTTAATCGACTTAATTTATCAGTGCTTGATAAAGAGGAAGAGCCTATCTGAGTAGATCTCTAATGGAGAGAAAAAACCATAAAGTTAAATTCATTTCAATGAAAATTGAAAAAAGTGAAATGATGTTAAATTAAATTTAACATCAGATACAGAACCATTGAATAAAGGGTTCAATTTGTCTCTGTGTTGCAGAGATCAGCAAAGCTTAACTAAACTGCCTGCTGCAGTTGGATGAATTGGCAAAATCAATGAAATTGTCAATTTAAGGAATTAACTCTGAAGTTAATTCACAAATTGCAATTAATCCAAAGGTTCAACTACCAAATCTATCTGGAATGTTAAAAGAAATTTCAAATATTAATTAATTTGTTCATTAATTAATTAATCTTAGGAGGAGGGTTAATACATTAATGTATTACAGGGAACAGTAAAACTGCTCAATGGTGTGATAAGTAACAACAAGATCAGGTGATTGATTCAAGGAGTTACTTTATCAATACATCATGGAGGCTCTTATAACAAAGACAAAAATCAAAAATCAATGATCAATGATTTAGAATAAGCACATCAAACTTCATCAACCAAGTCAATCACTTGAATTATGTCTGTAGAGTGTTACACACTGACTACAGAGAGGCAGAACAGCTGGCTGATACTGCAGGCAGATAATAGCAGTGTTAGCTCAATACCAAAAGCAACCATGTGGGGCAGTATGGAGTTGGGGTAACTGCGCAAGCTCAACACAAGTGGAGAAGAAGAAGAGAAGAGGAAACAGTCATCCAACTAGCCTCTTGTGGCTGTGAGGAGTTGGGAAGTATGCAGGAAGGGGCCTTTAGGCTCTGCCTCCTTGAAGGGCCTTATCTGCTTAAGGCCAAATGGTCAGTCTCTCCACTGACAACAAAGGGTTAACATTTCACAGCAGCTGTGTCTGCACCCTCAAACATAGAACTTTACACCATCTGCTCAGGCAGATTGGTTCAATAAAATCATTTACAGGAACAAGAATCAAAGTGACAAATTCTTAAACAGCAGATTCAACTGCAGACTTTAAAATCACAAATGCGGCGATTTGTGATCACAAATTTTGTCTGAATTCATTCAAACAACAACCTCCCACTGTTACAGTGGTTTCCTGTGACAGGTAGTTAATCTGTCAGGGGAAAGGAGGAAATCTGAATCCCATATAGTTACTAGAACTTCGTAGCAGACTATAGAGACAAGAATCAAAGTGACAAATCCCTCAACAGCAGATTCAACTGCAGACTTTAAAATCACAAATGCGGCAATTTGTGAACACAAATTTTGTCTGAATTCAATCAAACAACAACCTCCCACTGTTACAGTGGTTTCCTGTGACAGGTAGCTAATCTGTCAGGGGAAAGGAGGAAATCTGAATCCCATATAGTTACTAGAACCTCGTAGCAGACTACAGAGACTTCAGGGGCTTGAAACCACAGCTCGGAGCATCGCGAACACTGGGTTCAGCCAAAGGCCTTAAATACAAGCGTACGGCGACGCCACAATCGTGCACTTAAATATTGGACAGTCTAGACAGAGCAGAGGAGTCAGTCTCGCTGCTACTCAGAACAACATTTCACGCTGTCCAGCTCAAACACAGACTACAGGCATGTAGTACAAAAGTGTGTGAAACACAGAGCATAAAGATTTTATGCATAGATCAGGAAAACATCAGAACTTAGTCAAGCAACTTCAGCAAGCATAGCATTGATTGTGATTAAGTCTAAAATAGCCTGGAAATAAGTTTCTCTCATCAATTTGGAAGGCTAAGTTTTAGGTTGTCTGTTAGTATCCAGAAGTTTTGTTTGAAACGCCTCACACGGGGCACCAAAATATATGTAGTGATTTGAAATGAGCCTCATACGGTCGCACCAAAATATATGTAGCGATTTGAAATGAGCCTCACAAGGCCGCACCAAAATAATACTTGGCGATTGGAATTTATAATAAATGTCTGAAGATTAATAATCTCAAATTATGACATTTATGCACTCGTTGAAAGGGGCACCACCCACCCTTAATGGTGGGAAAATAAAGAAAACAAAAGTTTAATTCAGAAATCAAACATCAAGTCAGTTTTAATTAATCAGTCTTAATTAATCAGTCTTAATTAATCAGTCTCATATCTTAAGTCGAAATTCTAATTTCAGGGACTCCACTTCTGGAAGAACACTAACAGACAGGAACTTAGAAAAATAATTATCTGTTTATTACAGGATAAATGATGGTACAACACACATGCAATAAATGATGATAAGATAATGTGGATAAAATAATAATAGGTGAATAAATAAAGATTCTGAGTTAGGCTAAGGAGCACTAAAGTTAATGATAGTGAGTGAATATGTGCTAACATATTAACCTACACTAACTTTGGTGTCGAGATTAACTCGGATGTGGATTTGGAGGAATCTAAGATCACCAGCAATAGGTGGATATCTGAGTTGAACGCAGGAGACAGCACCAGCCCTCTTTAGAGCTCTGGAGGTTTGCATACTTAAGTGAGACTGGTCCTTGGAGAAGATGGAGCAGGTTCCGAAGGTCCGGGCTACTGGCGGTTCGAGCGGTTCAGCTCAGAAGACGACTGAAGTCAGCCGAAGGATGAGCCAGGAGTTGCAGCACTCAGGCCCGAAGCAAAAACCAGCGCCTGTGGATCCTGTGGATGCTCGTTTGGGTACTTCTTTAGTCTCACTCAAAAACTCTGGCACAGAGGATAACCTGGGCCTGTTGGATTGCGTTCGGAGGTGACTTTGAAATCACGCAGAAAACTCAGAAAAACGAGGCTCGAAGAGCAGAGAAAACTTTCAAAAATGGCTTCGCGAAATTAAAGAAAATCAATCAAAGGCTTAATCTTGAATTGCTATGTGCACAAAAAGTTGAAGTTTCAAAACTTGAACTAAGACGATGTTAAAGAAAAATCAACGTGAATCAACACGTGGCGTAAAACTTAGAAGACTAAGAAAAAGTTCTAAGAGAAAACAAAGAAACGCACCACAGAAGGGTGTGGGCAGAAGAGAAGGGGCATAAGAGCCGGGGACAAGAGAGTCAGCAGAAGAGCAGAAGCATAAGAGGAATAAGAGAGATAAGAGAGTGAGCAACCCGACTTCACTGGTTTTATCTTCTCACACTGGGAGTGGCTCCGGCGTGTGTGTGAGGAGACAGAGGAGGGGTCGTGTGGTCTTTGATTATTTGATCTAACTTATTCTTTTGGCTGGCAAAAGAGTCAGATCTGATACTCACTCACTATGATTAATATCATTGAATGTTTGGTTTCATGATAAATAATTTGATACTAAACACATATGAATGAAGTGTAGGATCACATCAAACATTCTCATTATGTTTTAAGTATCACATTGAACAGGCTAAATTACTCTGAAATGAAACAGATAGTAACACATGGAAACTGTGAACAACAAAAGAGTAAATACATGTGAATGAACGTCATCATGATTAATAATGGATTCTAAATACTCACATTAAGGTTATTCAATGACATTATAACCACCTAATGGTTAAAAATACTAAATAAATAACTAAAATATAAACCAAACATTTCTAAACTATTTCTGTTACTTAGAGTAAACTTAGGATTCATAGTCAATAAATTTAACTCTTAAAAGTTCATGAAACAGTCTGAAAAGCTGTTGGTCTAAAGAACTAAAGAATAAGGATTTATTCTGTCAGATAAGATAACTTGGCTTCTGAAGCACATAGAAAAACGGGAAACATCTCATTTTAACACAAATTTCATGATTAGACAGATTAGTACATTGCTGAATGCATAAGACGTCATGATCAGTCATTTGTATTCTTTCACCAAAGGAATGCAGTCTTTATCAGTGTATGGTCGAGCAGGGTTTTACGACCGAGGTCTGGAGGTCAGTGTCCCCCCTTATCCTGGGGTCCATATGTTCACACACTTTAAGACGCTAAATCTCAAATGGGAGATCTGGGTTGAGACGTTAATGTTTATTTAGATGGTCAGTAATGGAGTCAGTTTGAAAGGTAATAAAAACTCTGTCTCTGTTCGCCGAACTGACCAATCCTGAAGAGTCAGAGGTTTAGTCAACCTATGGTTGGGTCACTTATTTAACCTGAAAGTGCAAACACGTCTGGAAAGATTTATATCCTGTTTCCTGGGACCAGATAAGGAAACTTTCCTGTAAGGAATGTGTGGGTTTCACATCCAGGGTTGTCTTGATTGCTACATTTAGTTATACCAACTTTAGTAACGACCGCAGGATAGCAATACACAGCAGTCTGAGGAGCCACAAATAATGCTCAGAACAGCACCTAACTTCATCAACAGGATATATAGGGTCCCAGCCATAGCACCAGCCACCAAACATCTTTTTTCACTTTGCCTAATTTCTTTTGTAAAGAGACTAAACATAATTCACCTACTCTCTTCCAGCAGCCGCTTGTTTGTAGCGAGACCTCAGGTCAGTCCATTGTGGACTACAGTGGGGTCACGCAGCTCAAGGAAGAACGTTTATGGTCTCTGTGGCTATAGAGTGGCGTTTTGGTTGAGGTTTGTTTATGGCTCCTCAGACCGCTGTGTATTGCTATCGTGCGGTCATTACTAAAGTTGATATAACTAGAGAAGCAAGCGGTCAGCAACATTCATCTCTCGAGGGGGTGTCTAACTCAGTGTTTCGGTGTGTTTGACCCTAAATTAATTTTACGCCAGAATATCCCTTTTAGTATCAAATTATCAAACATATTAAATCTATCCTTGATTAAATATTAGTGTAGTTTAGTACACCATCCCCTTCCCTCTCTCCCTTTATGGTCTCCATGTGAACTGACCTCCATTCGGTTTGTCTAATGATCTGACTCACAGATGTGGTGTTCAGTCCTCCACTAACCAGGGTGCTTCGTAAACCTGCCTCCATCCATCATCCCTCCTCTTCCTCAGCTGCTTCCTGTAGAGTTAGACCCTGTGTGAGGTTTTACATTTACATGTGAGTACCATGAACACCACTGGTCTCCAAATCTTCAAATCCAACCCCCTGCAGTCATGTTAGTGATAAAGCTTTGGTCAGGTTGTCCTCTTAAAAAGTGTTGCTGTAGGATCTATTAGAGGAACATGTGATGCCCATGACATGAGGAATTGGTTGACTTTGTTGTGTTTCAAAAGAGACACAGTAAGACCTTAAGTTTAATCATTTGATCAGCTTCAGCAGCACACAGAGACCACTGATGGCCAGTACTCTGATGTTTTATACAGCTGTGGACTTGGCCAAAAAACATAATAACTCACACTTTCTGTCTGGCTTTAGGACCCTGAGGGGAAACCCAAGAAGGCGAACATCCGGGACAACAGAGACGGGACATACACGGTGTCCTACGTGCCGGACATGACCGGACGTTACACAATCACCATCAAATACGGAGGAGACGAAATCCCGTACTCACCTTATCGCATCCACGCCCTGCCCACTGGAGACGCCAGCAAGTGTCTGGTTACAGGTTAGACTCCGCCCACCACATCAACCAGACTTTATTATCTTTAAATTTTACCCCAACGCTGATTGTCTCATTTACTTTACAGTATCAATCGGAGGACATGGACCAGGTGAGTCAGCTTTGAACTTTATTGTATTGATTAAAGGGCTGATTCAGTCTTCAGTACCTTTCGTCTAGTCCAGTCCAATCCAGTCCAAATATAGTCCAGTCCAGTTGAATCCAGTCCAGTCTAGTCCAGTCCAGTCCAGTCCAATCTATTTCATTTATCCCAGTCTAATACATTTCAGGCCAGTCAAATCCAGTCCAACCTTCACCAATCCAATTCTTACTGCCAGTGTCACCTTGTCAAGTAGGTCGTTTAGTGGGCTGTAGCTATGTCATGTCGGGCAAAGGACTCAGCTTGTGGCCTGCAGAGCCAGTAAATGACCTGGTGTCTGGCTTCTCTGGTTACCAGCCCAAGTGGTTTAGTTCCTTGGATGTCAGTAGTATGCTGGGTATGCCAAGCAATGGTAGGACCAGTCATTATCTGATCCAGTTACCACTCTGGTAAAATAACCAGTGAGCTCTTTCCACACAGACCTCACAGGAACAGAGCTGGCTCTTCATTTGCCAGACCACAAGCTGTCCCTGCATAAACAGAACCTTTGCAGACTCTTCAAAGTTTTGTTTTTCACCCTTATCCTGCATTATTCCAGAGCTGCTCTCCGACAGAATTAAATCAAAAATAAAAATAAAACACATTTCCCAATCTCATTAGGATCAGGTATCGGCCCGACCATCCAGATCGGAGAGGAGACTGTCATCACTGTGGATGCAAAGGCTGCCGGGAAAGGTAAAGTCACCTGTAAGGTGTCCACTCCTGATGGGGCAGAGCTGGATGTGGACGTGGTGGAGAACGCAGATGGGACATTTGATATCTACTACACGGCACCTGAGCCCGGGAAATACGTCATCACAATCCGGTTTGGAGGCGAGAACATCCCTAACAGCCCGTTCCACGTGGTGGTGAGTAGCATTTCCGTGGGTCAGAAGATTAGTGGTTCTGTTGGTTCTGTTTAACCTGTTTGACGATTATCTAATGTGGTTAAACTGACAGTCTTCTGCTGTTGTTTGTGCATGTGAGTGTGTGAACTGGTGTGTTTTCTAAAGGTTGTACCGTGTTCCCCATCAGGCGTGTGATACCATCCCAATAATAGAGGAACCATGTGACACGCTTCAGTTACAGACGCCTTACCCTCCCTATGTGGGCTTCACCCCTCCTCACTGGGTACTCAGTCCTTAACAGACCTGCAGACTGTCCTCTTTATAAACCTGCAGACCTCCTGTCTCTGCAAAGACCTGTTGTCTCTCAGACTATTCCCTGCACAGACCTCTGTCAGTTGATTGGAGCTATTTCAGTCAATATTAACCCACATTCATGCATAGATTATTGGATTTGCTCTGCATGTTGCTGCATGTTTAATCAGTCTGCTGCTGTGGGGAGTTTTTCTCACAGGCATGTTTTAAGTTTAAAGCTTTGGTGTCTAAAGTTGAACAGATCTAAAACATTATAACAGCAGAATTTCAAACTGCTCTGCTCTGTTCATGCAGAACCTTTTATTGGATTTTTCTGAACTTTACCATGCTCGTCCTGTAGGTGGTGCTTTTTTCACTTGAAGTTTGGTTCTCTTCTTCTTCTTTTAGTTTTTCTTTGTTCAAACTTTTTAAAAGTATGTTTTATGATTGTTCTTTCTTTGCTTTATCTTGTTTCATCTATAATTAAATTTTTTTTTACACTTTTTTTAGATATTGTTTTATTCCATCATGATTTTTTTCAGCTTTATCTCACCCTTATACTGGGCTACACTGGTGTCAGACCAGCCTCAGATGCTCTTTCTCTGCAGTCCCTCCCTCTGCTCTGCTTCCTCCCCCTCCTCTTTCTCTCTTTCTTCTAACTGGGCCATTTTCCAGTATATTCCAGTATAATGACACTGATCCTCCTTCTGTTTGGCTCTGGTTTAGGCCACAGATGATCCCATCAGCCCCGTGGACGGGATGGAGCCGATGCTGCGCCCCTTCAGTCTGGTCATCCCCTTCACTGTGCAGAAAGGAGAAATCACAGGTGAGAGCTTCTCTCTTTGCTGTAAAATCTGGACTAAAGCTAAAATCTATGACTACAAACTACCACCACTGTTTGATTTGACAGTTTTTACTTCAGCTGGAGGCTTTAAAGGACTTATCTCATCTTTCTTCTTGTCATTTTTGTGTGTGTTTTTTGTTTTTTATCTTTTAGGTGAGGTGCGGATGCCGTCAGGTCGGACAGCTGTTCCTAATATCACCGATAACAAGGACGGCACGGTCACAGTGAAATACTCTCCGACAGAGCGAGGTCTGCATGAGATGGACATCAAGTATGACGGAGACCACATCCCAGGTAAGAGCTGACACAGTTTCTCTTTGCTCTGTGGGCTCAGCTGCAGCTCACCTGGTTAGTTTAAGCATCAGTCTCAGTGTTTGTACGGGAACAAGACTGCGTCATCAGTGTACTGACGGACTCTGAGCTCACTCTGACTCTCTGGTCATTATAGTCCCACTGTGTTTCCTCTGTTACAGGAAGTCCACTCCAGTTTTACGTTGATGCCATTAACAGTGGTCATGTAACCGCATACGGACCTGGTCTGAGTCACGGCACGATGAACAGACCGGCAACCTTCACGATCGTCACTAAAGACGCCGGAGAAGGTATCTGACCTATGACACATTAAAAATGGTCTTTGTTAAATTTGAGGTGGTCGCTACTCCCACACTCCTTTTACCTGGCAAGGATAAGAACCTCTCTGTTTTGAACCTCTGTATTTATCCGTGTTTATCTTTAGTTTAGTTGCTGTATAATATTTAACCAAAATGGTAATTTGCTGTACTGTCCATGGGAGGTTTTCATAAGTCAGTTACAACTAAGAAAAGAAAAACACACACACACAAAAAAACAGAAAATACTAAATATTTACCAGAACAATGCAGTCATGAAGGTAAAAGTGTAAAATATCTTTATTTTGAAATATTTTTTTATCCTCAGGAAGTCCAAAACTGAATTGTCAGCAGTTTCGGAGTGATTTAAAAACATCAGAAGAAGAATCAGTAAAAACATGCACTGAGTTGAGCTTATCTGTCTTTGTCTGCAGGTGGTCTGTCTCTGGCCGTTGAGGGTCCCTCTAAAGCAGAGATCAGCTGTAAAGATAACAAAGACGGGACCTGCACCGTGTCCTACCTGCCCACCGCACCTGGAGACTACAACATCATCGTCAAGTTCGACGACAAACACATACCTGGCAGCCCGTTCACCGCCAAGATCACAGGTACGCTCGCCGTCATTTAAGTCTGTTTGTGTGTTTTTATCAGAGTGAGTGTGTTTTCATTTCTTTTTAAACATTCACATACTTTTTCTGGTTTGCAATGGTCCGCATGGTGAAGCTTCACTGGAACGACCTTACATCCTTTCACCAAGACAAAAACTACAAAAAAAACATCCTCACTTCTACCTCCTCAGGGTCCAGTTTTGGGACCACCACCATGTTCTCAATTGTTTTACTTTGACACTTTATTCTCAAACTTTGTCTGAATCTCTGTATGCTGATGATTGTCATTTTTATCTTAATGTGCCACTAATAACCGTCTGCTTTGTTCAGGTCAAACTGTTTTTTCACTCTTTTTTTATTTTCTGTCTGATGTGCAGGAGATGAAGCCATGAGAACGTCTCAGCTCAATGTGGGAACATCTACAGATGTTTCCCTGAAGATCATGGAGACCGACCTGAGCAGTCTGACTGCAAGCATCAGAGCGCCGTCAGGGAACGAGGAGCCGTGTTTGCTGAAGAGGCTGCCCAACAGACACATCGGTCAGTTTATCCTGAGGAGAGGGTTATTAAAAGACCGTGACCAGGAGAGGAAGTCGATGAAGTCAGATAGGGGCCTACAATAACTCACATTTCAAAATAAAAGTTCCACAAACCAGAGAACCACGCAAAAAAAGGATCAGACCAAATAGTTATTAAGTGTTTTTCCGTGCAGGTATCTCGTTCACGCCAAAGGAAGTTGGTGAACACGTAGTGAGTGTGAAGAAGAGCGGGAAACATGTGACCAACAGTCCCTTTAAGATCATGGTGGGTCAATCTGAGATTGGAGACGCCAGCAAGGTGAAGGTTTATGGTCAAGGGCTGGTGGAGGGTCATACCTTTGAAGTCGCCGAGTTCATCGTTGACACCAGGAACGCAGGTTTGGCTCGATCTGAATATTAAGACTAGATCTTTATTCAGAAGACGAATGTTTGCGGTGATTGATTTTGTAAACACTATAATATTTTGTGGATCATGTGTCTCAGGTTATGGCGGTCTGGGCCTATCTATTGAGGGTCCTAGTAAGGTGGACATCAACTGTGAGGACGTGGAAGACGGGACGTGTAAAGTCACCTACTGTCCAACTGAACCAGGAAACTACATCATCAACATCAAGTTTGCTGACCAGCACGTCCCCGGTACGAAATGAATAACATCTACCATCAACTACGTCTATAATTAACCATGTGCAATAGAAATCAGATACCTTTACTTTTGAGTCTCTCACTGTGGTTTTATTTTGGCGGGTACAGGAAGTCCATTTACGGTGAAGGTGTTTGGTGAGGGTCGGATGAAGGAGAGCATCACCAGGAAGCGTCAGGCTCCTTCCATCGCCACCGTGGGCAGCACCTGTGACCTCAACCTGAAAATCCCAGGTGAGCTGTGATGTCACTTCCTCCTCTTTTCTGCCCCCACCTGTCCTCCCTGCTTCCTTTTCTTCACCTCCTTCTCTTTGTCCCTCCTTCCTTCCTCGCTGCCACCCCCATGATGCTGGTTTTTAGGAAACTGGTTCCACATGGTGTCGGCTCAAGAGCGTCTGACACGGACGTTCACTCGCAGCAGCCACACCTACACTCGCACCGAGCGCACCGAGATCAGCAAGACCCGCGCTGGGGAGACCAAGAGGGAGGTGAGGGTGGAGGAGAGCACGCAGGTGGGAGGAGAACCCTTCAGGGACGTGTTCGGAGACTTCCTGGGACGAGACGGTGGTCTGAGCAGTTTCAACGGCATGCCGGCGGGCAGCCGACCGCCGCTGCAGGATGGTGTGTGTGTGTTTGTGTGTATGTGTGTGCATTAGTGTCTAACCGCTGAAGGTTCCTGTGGAGAAGAAACTTCTGCTCAATCCACTTGAATGGATTGTTTGATCTTACTATCCCCCCACTCCTCCAGGTGAGCCAGGTCACCAGGAGATGACGGCTCAGGTGACAAGTCCAGGAGGGAAGACGGAGGACGCAGAGATCATTAAAGGAGAGGACAGCACATACAGCGTTCGCTTCATCCCTCAGGAGATGGGCGCTCACACTGTTAATGTCAAGTATCGGGGCCAGCACGTCCCTGGAAGCCCCTTCCAGTTCACTGTGGGGCCCCTAGGAGAGGGAGGGGCCCACAAGGTCCGAGCTGGAGGGACAGGTCTGGAAAGAGGAGTGGCAGGGATCCCAGGTGGGCTTCAATCATCATCTGTCTTTTGTTTCTTTCTTTCTTTCTGGCTTCCCTCCTTTCTTCTATCCTTTCTTTGGTGATAAATTTGAGGTGTTTGTCCTCCAGCTGAGTTCAGTATCTGGACCAGAGAGGCCGGAGCTGGAGGTCTGTCCATCGCTGTGGAGGGACCGAGTAAGGCTGAGATCACCTTTGAAGACAGGAAGGATGGATCCTGTGGAGTGGCCTATGTGGTCCAGGAGCCAGGTGAGACTTTAAACCAACAATAATAGAGAGGAAAAGGTTAAAAGTTCCTTATTTTACTATCAGGAGATCCGGCAATATGCAGATGACACTCAGCTCTATATTACTGGAACCAAAAGTCCTGAACGTCTTTTATTGCCTACAACTGAAACTCTAAGTTACAGCAAATTACCTCTGCTATATCAGTACAAATAAGACTTTAACAGTTCATGATGGAAAGTAGTTTGCCTTTATTAAGATGCTGTGATGCTTAAATTATTGCACTTTGGTTTTATGTCATTTTGATGTACTGTTTATACTTAATACTGTCTATGATGCAAGTTTACACTGAGATATTGTTATGGCCAATGAATGATGTTTTACTGGTGTTACCCCTCCTCTCCAGGTGACTATGAGGTCTCCATCAAGTTCAACGATGAACACATCCCAGACTCGCCCTTCATGGTCCCCATCGCCACACTGTCAGACGATGCTCGCCGCCTCACGATCACCAGCCTGCAGGTGAGATCACTAACCTTTACTAGCTTTAACTAGCTTTGTGTAGATGGAGAAAAACAGCTGAAAAGCATTTTCCCTCACATCAAAATAAGATAGACTGATCACCATCTTTTATTTCTGTTTCTTTGTCTGTTATTCATCAGGAGATGGGTCTAAAGGTCGGTCAAGAGGCGTCTTTCGCTGTTCAGCTAAACGGAGCCAGAGGTCTGATCGATGCTAAGGTCCACACCCCTTCAGGAGCCATTGAAGAGTGTTTTATCTCCGAGCTGGACAGTGGTAAGACTAAGTATTCATGATTGTTCCTTATGAATGATGAAGTTGGTTAATAACATTTCATAGGTGGTAAGGGGGTTGAACTATATTTCTGGGTTCACTAAGTCCATGAACTAGTCTAAACTACAAAACATAGACAGTGGAGCACCACAAGGCTCAGGCTCTCAGCCCACTAACTTTTAGTTTGATAAACATTTCATAAAAGATAAAGAAACATAATTCTACTATCATACAGAAGACATCTATTTGATTTTTGTGATCATTTAATCAGTAAATAAGTTACTTTGACATCTTCTGACCCTGCAAACACAGTTTTAGTTTTAAAGGGAGTGAGTTTGCTTCAGGTTCAACACCTTTGACCAGAGTAACATCAGAGTCCATAATCAGTGTAACTGATCATCCTCGTGTTTCCACAGACAAGCACGCCATCAGGTTCATCCCCAGAGAAAACGGCGTTCACTCTATTGACGTTCGTTTCAATGGCAGCCATATTCCAGGCAGTCCCTTCAAGATCAGAGTGGGAGAGCCAGGACAAGTTGGAGACCCCGGCATGGTGTCTGCGTTTGGACCAGGACTGGAGGGAGGAACCACGGGTACGAACTGAAACTAAACACATTTGTTTACATCTCTTCACTGAAAAGTAACTTAGGGATTTCTTTGAACATTTATCACGTCTTTGACCTCATTCAGGTGTGGCGTCAGAGTTTGTCGTGAACACGTGTAACGCCGGCTCAGGAGCTCTCTCTCTGACCATCGATGGACCGTCGAAGGTGAAGATGGACTGTCAGGAGTGTCCCGAGGGCTACAAGGTTTCCTACACACCTATGGCTCCAGGGAACTACCTGATCTCCATCAAGTACGGAGGACCCCAGCACATTGTAGGAAGCCCCTTCAAGGCCAAGGTCTCAGGTGGGTCAGAGTACAGGCAGGACTGCAGGGTATACTGGGCGACTGTGGGATAAGAGGGCATGCTGGGTAACTGTGAACTGTTATTAGACCAGCTATTGGGTCGGTCAATGTCCTTCATTTTTGACTCTCTGGTAACCATAGTAATCCACATAGAGGATTCCAGGTCCTTTTTTAGAGAAGTTTACATCTTAATGTTTGTTTGAACATTTCTGCAGGAGCTCGACTGACAGCTGGTCACAGTCTACATGAGACATCGTCTGTTCTTGTGGAAACAGTCAGCAAGACATCAGCAATGGGCGCAGCCTTCGCCACTTTGCCCAAATTCTCCTCAGATGCCAGTAAGGTCGTCTCCAGAGGAGCTGGACTGTCAAAGGCATTCATCGGTCAGAAAAACACCTTCACAGTAGACTGCACTAAAGCAGGTGAGAAACCACACACATAACTGTGATCATCACCATCTGGTCAGTAGCTTTCAAATGACACTTCATGATCGATGTCTCTGTTCTTGTCTCTGCAGGAACCAACATGTTGATGGTCGGCGTTCACGGGCCGAAGACGCCGTGTGAGGAGGTGTACGTCAAACACATGGGCAGCAGGATGTACAATGTGACGTACACGGTGAAAGAGCAGGGCAGCTACATCCTCATCGTCAAATGGGGAGACGAAAACGTCCCCGGCAGTCCTTTCCATGTCACTGTCCCCTAAACCGAACTCTTCATCATCCTCCTCACCTTCCTCTTCCTCCTCACGCACTGAAGATACAAAGACTGTCCACTTCCTGTTTAACCACTGTGTACAAATATTACATCTATATTTTTCTCTTTAGTCCACTGGAGACTCCAGACACTCACTGCGATTGTAGCAATCATAACAAAATCACCATCATCTTCATCTTCATCACCATCATCTTCATCACCAGGTCCATTTCTGTCTCTGTAAATCTCTGTTTCGTCTCAGCAGCGTCTCAAACTGACCGAAACATGATAGTTTGGAACGGTATCCGTCTGATATCGCCAGGACTCCGTCCTGGATCAGAGTCCTTAAGTTAGTCATGATAATATCATCAGGATACAATCTTGAGCAAACAACATATTTTCATGTGCACTATAAACGTTTTTGTATTTTACTCCTATCTGATTTTGTTGAAGTTGATATGCTGTTTGTGCAGTCGGTATCTTGCTCACGTTTGTTCACAGAACTAAGTATCTTGCTGGCACAAGTTAGTATCTTGTTTGCACAATATTGTTAATCGCAGCCTAAGTCAATATCTTGAGTGCACATGTAAGTATCTTGTTAACCCAGGATGGTATCTTGTATGACTTGATCTTGGGCTCGAAACAAACTTCCTGTTTAACAGTCAACATGAGTGTACCTGAGCGCACACCTGACTCCGCAGCGTATGTCTTACTTGAGGCCACCTGTAGAGGGCAGCAGAGCTCAGGTTGTCCTGTTAAAGCTCACTCGGGATCCTGTTTGTTAATCCTGTTCTTGGCAGCTCAGTGAGGAACAGTTATTAATCCTGCTCAGCGACTGATCATACCATTAGCCCTGCCCACTCTCAGTTCATCTAACCCCTTCTTACCATAGACTGTATATACTATGGACAACTTGATTCCGCCTTCCGCCAGTACACGGATTTGAAGCTGAAAATCTCTCGATAATTCCGCGTTTTTTCTCCACTTCCTGAAACCAACATAGCGCAGTAGCGTTGTACGCACTCCACCACTTGCGCCGTAGCATTGTGCGCATTCGGCGGGAGAGTCGCTGAGAGCCGCTCGGCTCAAACAGCGTATCCCCTGGTGAGCTACGCATTCTTCGTATGCCCATAGGCTGTATAAGGTGTCAACCAAGGGGGAACAAAAATTATATTCTGTGTAATAAATTTCTAAAGTTTGTCCACAGCTCCATAGGGATTGCTGGAGGAGGCGGGATTTATGACCTATACTGCAGCCCGTCACCAGAGGGTGCTGTTCTCAGAGTGTCTTCACCCAGCGAAGAGGCAGACGGCATCCATTCTATATACAGTCTATGCTTCTTACATGCTCTGACATTACAGTCCCCTGCTGTTCACCCCTCTGACTCCATACTGCCCCCTTCTGTTCAAATGTGTACTGCACCTCTTGTACTCATCACTGTTTGTCCTTTTATATCTCCGCCCACCTGATGCACAGAGCTAGCGCAGACAACATGGCGTCTTTCGATAGGTTAATTGTATCTTTTTTGAAGGTGTTGTTTGCAGATCAGGATTTTAGGAGGTAGATACCTTGTTTAATAAAGACGCTGGTTCTGACAGGTTAAGTTATTGGCTCAAGGTAGTATCTTGTGCAGGCAAGATACTACCTTTGAGATAAAATACACTTTCTGATTTTATAAACTGAGGAATGAAACAGGATTTTTATTGACTCAGATTCAGCGAAGAACAATCTTATCCAGATGACCCTGTTTTTTCATCTATTTTTACAGCGAAAGTGTTTTAAGATATTTTTCTGGAAAATCAGGACATTCATAGAAAAAAAAGAAAAAGCTTTAGTTTGAACCCACTTTTAGGGTTTTCTATGACAGAAATGGGTCTAACTGTAAATACAGGTGAGGAGTTTCGTCAGGTCAACACAGGTTAGATGATTTCACTGACTGAAGGAACAGGTGAGGAGGACTGTAGAGACAGATGAGGAGTTTAGTCAGGTAAACTCAGACGAGAGGATTTTTCGTACCCCAGGAGGGGTTGAGGAGAAACTCTGGGTTTATTTTGTGAATGTTGAGATCAGACTCACAGAGATGTTGTGATGCCTCAGTATTACAGAGTGAGATTTTATAGTGATTTTTTATGTTTAAAAGGATGAATGAAATGATTGAACTGTTTGATATGTTAACCTTCAATCCGGCGAGATTGTGCTGGCATAATAAAGTTTATTCGCTGATTTGCCACAAAAACGCTTGGCTGCATTTGAAGTTTGTTGAAAGAAATCAGCTGAATCCTGTGTGTGTGTTTCATTATCTTTGATTTTAAATAGATGTTTTAAAGGAGATTTTAAACCCTTTCACTGATATTCAGGTCTGTCAGGTGAAGCTTTAAAGATTCAGAGAGAAAAACAGTGAGGTGGTGAATATCGATTCTTCAGTCTCTGTGTTTCAGTCTTCGCTTCAGGCTCTGATTGAAACTTCAGCGATTAAAATTTAAAGCGATGTTGTTCTTGTCCTCATCGGTCTAAAGTTCAGACTCAGCAGCTCCTCTTTCTGTTTGAGTCTCTGAGCTGATTTCTGCCCACAGGGAGCGTTAAAGTTTCATCTAAACAACAACCAGAAAGAAAGAAATCTGCTGCTGCTGCGGTCAGCCAGAGAGTTTTTAAAGTTTTCTGCAGCTGGGATCAACTCCGGACAGACTGAAAACTAGAGGAGGAAAGTTTCTGTCAGACAGGAGAAAGAGCAGAAAGGACACTGAGGAGAAAATCAAAACATAAAGTAGAAAAATTAATGATGCACAAAAACAGACAAGGCATTGTTTTAACTTTTTTATTGTTTTGGAGAATATCTGAAGATTTTATAGGAACCACAAAGTAAAATCAGTCTTTTCATTCAATCAAACACTGATGCTGACACTTGAAGAGACAGGCAACAAAGAGGACAAATCTTAGCTTTAATCTCTCTAATTACTGTTGATTTATTATGAAGAGTAAACATATATTTATTATTTGAAGTTTGAAGCTGACAGAGTCATTAAGAAATGTGATTTAAAGTATTTAGATCATATCTACATTCTGTGTGTGTGATTTCCACTATCAAGTGAAGTTGAATTAAAGTGTAATGCAGCAGCCGGCCTGTGGGGGGCAGCAGAGATTCATCAAACAGTCAGAGAACTGCGCTGCAGAGTAACTGTGTCCAACAGCAGGTCCTCCCGTCATTAAATATGAGTGTATCTAAAAGGTTTCTGATGTTACATGAAAACATGAGATCTGATCCAAAGCATCTGAAACACTGAAACACAAACAGAGAGAAAGAAACTGAGAAGAGTCTAAATAAAAGAAGAGACGAGGTGAAAACATGAGAAACCTTTAAATGATAGAAACAGAGGAAGAGAAAAGATACTTGTTTTTATTTGTAAAGATACAGACAGGTCAGGTACATCTATTATATATATCTATATGTCTATTGCTATATTGAGTCTATCTATTTATATTTATATGTCCTATATCTGACCAAATAAATGTGAAGCAGCACCTTAGGATGGCAGGTAAGCACTGAGGCCTCATGGCAAATAGGTTCTGAGTTCATGGTGAACGTCCCTGCTGTTCAATGAAAGACCTGGTTTAAATTCAGGTCTGCCTACATGAGCTACAGAAGAAACCCCTTCCTCAAATGTCATTTTAGAAGTGTTTTTAAAAAAGCATCATTAAATGGTAAAATGAGAAGTTCATGAAAAAAGGAGGAACTATCTTGCATTCATGAGGTGAGATGGTTAAGACTGCTGACTGTCAGTGAAATTGTTCTGTGTTCGATTCCAGTATAGAGTGAGGGAAAGGTTGAGGCAAGGTGGGCAGATGAAGGATGAGAAAGGGAGAGTTAGGGAAGAAAGGACTAGATTGACGGAAGAGGGAGGAGGAAGAGGAAGAATAGGATAAAAAAATCATGATTTAAGAATAAAAAATGAAAAAAAAAAGGTAGGAAAATAAAGGGGTGAAAAGAGTCTCAGCAATGAAAGAGGAAGAGAGGAGTGGAGAGGGGTAATATCCAACCAACCAGAAGGCTCAGGTTATCCTAACCAATCACAAGCCTCCTTTTATCTGGCCAATCAAAGGCCTCCTTCCAACTGGCGATTCAGAAGGCTCCCTTTATCTGACTAATCAGAAGGCTCCTTTTATCCAACCAATTAGAGAGCTGCTTTCAGCTGACCAATAAGAGATTTGTTTTTAAACAGCCACTCAGAGTGCATCTTTTTTTTAGCCAATTAGAAGATTTCTGTTTATGAGGCTCTTTGCCCCTCTCTACAGTGTGAGACACAGGACAAGCGCCTGACAGACCACGCTTTGAATATAAAACTCTTTATTTAAAAAGTTTCCTTCATGATTTTGTGGGGTTTTTTTTACAGCAGCATCATCTCATCTCGATGAAGCAGACTTAAACAGTCAAGTGTTCCTGATCACTAAAGATCAGAGAAGGGGATGCCAATCAGCCAATCAGGAGGGGCCTTCTTCCAATTGGCCAATCAGGAGGCCCCATTTCAAACCTCAGCCATCAGCTGTATCTGGTTCAGGAACAGCTGATTAATCAGGGGACCAGATATCAATAAGCAATACCTGCTGCTAACGAGCCAATGAGAGACGAGCTACACCTGCAGCTGAAGAGACCAAAAAAAAAAAAAAAAAAAATGCACAGTAAAGTAAAACCCTGAAGATGGAGATGTTTCCTCCCCCCACAGCATCAGAGAAGTTATTATTAGTCTGAGTGGACGGCTGTAATTAATGCCTCCAAAGGGGGAGAAGGGGTGAATTGAGGAGGGGGGAGGATGACGGGGCAGCTGCTGCTAAAAATACTCCCTCCCAATTTAACTAGCCGGATTTCTAATCCAGGAGATAGACCTCCTCCTCCTCCTCCTCCTCCTCCTCTCCCTCCTCCTACTCGTCCTCCTACTCAATGAGTTCCTGTCAGAGGAGGAAGACCCAATGAAGTCAGAGTAAAGAATAAATCCACAGTCCCTCACTGTGACTCTGTAGACAGTCTGACATCTCATTTCACTGTCAAACCAAACTCCATTCAATAAACCGGCGATTTAAAAGTTATATTTCCTGTCTGCATACAGTCTCTCCTTTAGTATGATTTATGATAAATTACAGACAGAGGTGTAAAAATATTTAATCATGTGATTCATTACAGACTTTATGGATGAAGCAATTTTCAAAAGCCTCTTATTTACATACGATCCAGATGGCGGAGCAGCATCCCTTGTAAAGAGCTGCATTTCTGCACTGGTCGAAAGATTGATTCCCACTCACACTGTTTGTGTTTGTGTGTGTGTGTGTGTGAGAGAGAGTGTGTGTGTGTTGTTTTATTTGTGAACGCAGCGGGAGTTTCTAAACTAATCAGAAAGCCCAGTTGCAGGTCATGACCTCAGTGTTCTGTTATTCATCTGCACGCACTCAGTTCAGACTACCACACATCTAAGAGGCTGATTTCAGCAATAAAAGGTTAGTTTGGCTTTTATTAAAACACACACACACACACACACACACACTCACACACACACACAAACACACACACACACTCACACACACACACACACGCTCGCTGTAATTTCACAAACTCATACTCTGAGGTCCTGACTCACCACAGGGGAGTTTAAAGTGCACCGTCTGAGACTCACACACACTAATATTGATGCAAACACACACACACACACACACACACACACACACACACACACACACACACACACACACACACACACTCCCTCTCTCTCTGCCGATGGCTTCTTGTACCCGTCCTCTCTCTCTGTCCACTTCCTGTCTGTGGGGTCTCTGCTCTTATTTACGTGTCATTGGTCAGACAGGATGGATTAATTGTTAATTAAGACACCTGTTGAGCTCTGATTGGACGATCTGATCAGGTAACAAACTGCTGTCTGTTAACACCCGAGTGACTTCTGTTTGTTTACTCCTGTGTAGCTGCTGTGAGATTCTGTGTCTGTTTTCTGAGTGAATCACTGACACTAGAGGAGAGTGTGAATGTTTGAGCAGTTAAACACTGAAATATGGTGTTTCTGCGACTCTGGCTGATTTCCTCTTCTTCTTCTTCTTCTTCATCTTCTCTCTCACTCTCTCTGTTATTGTTGTCTCTGCGGGTCTCGTTCTTTCCCTCTTATCAGAGCTGCAGCCTGACTCTGAAAACACTGTTTGTTTCACTCTCACTAAAGTCTCTAAAGTCTCTGAGTGTTTATCGACTCCTCTCTGACTGAACAAACTCCCTTTAAAACTCTGTTTGTTTTACTCTCTCCTGCAGGCCAAACAGAGCAGAGAGAATTTGGCTCAATGAATGAATGAATGAGTGAATGAGTGAACGAGCGCCTTTGACTGTTAATGTTTTAGTCTGTGGTTGTCAGGAGTGTGCTAATGTGTAAAGCTGAGAGTATGAACACAGTGATAGTTTAGGGAGGTTGAGAAAGTGCTGCTTTAA